ATGCAGCGTGCCAGCGCAGCATTGTTCATTACGTTGGATGCCGACCAGAAAAGGGAAGCACTCGAAAAATCTTTTAGTACGCTCAGATCAAAACCAATACCTCACATGCATTAATGCATGCATGCGTGACCCGCGAGGGGATTTTGATTTGGTATTGTACCTTGCGTATTTATGGCGATGCATGCATGTCGTCTGGGACCTTTACATGAGCATTCTGAAGTTGTCGCAACAGAACATCGAAGTAACAATTATCCGCATTCTTTAGCATGCATTTGTCGCCAAATTCTAAGCTTCCGTGGAAGATGGATTTGGTTTGGGTGGAAATTTCATGGATGCCTGTCTTGGTAATCTTCCGGTCTTCCTCCTCTGGGTAATATTAAGCTACTTTGCGCCTTGAACACCGTCGCGTTTAGATCGGCAGGGGGGCATGAAGGTTCAAAGTGGGAGCGTGACCGGGGGGAAGTCGCAATTAGGGTTGGGCCACACAGCACCTGCGGACACGGCTCTGGACACTTGGAGATTCCTCACTATAACAGGAGGTGTATTTCGTCGCTGTTCCTAAAATTGGCGAGTTTCCGAGGAAGTTGACGGCGATGACCGATGAACCGAGGCATGAATATCAAGAGGTGAGTGAGAAAACCCAGAAATTTCACGTCGTCTCCCTCTCAACTTCGAAACAGCATGATGATCATCCATCCCGCTTCCAGAGTGGCGGGCGGACACCAAACTACGAAAGGATGCAGTAATTGAATTTCCTTGGAGGAAGTTACCTAATTAGCACGTTGGAGCGGAAGGGCCTTCGGGGATGAGCGGAGCGAGGGGAAAATGGGCCGAGAGAGTCGAGGCACAAGAGACGCTGGTGGAAGAAAGGAAGGGCAACAGTATGAGCAGAGAGGGGTTGCCAAGCCAGCGATCACGATTTAGGCAGCGTGCAAATGATTCAATTGGACATTAAAGATTTATGCCATTCCTGTCATGCTCTTGGCAGTCATCATTGTTAGTTTTGCTCTATTTGACCCTGTGACCCGAAACGGGTCACAGCGGTTGCCATTCATTTTCTCGCCTCAACAAGCCGGATTGAGGGGTCCTTAGACGAACCGGACACTGAATGGAGCAACAGATGAACCGCAGTGGCTGCTACAATAGTTGCGAGACGCCGAACTCTCTCCATTAAATTGGCGGAGCGGGTAAGCGGCCGGCCGAGAGCTACGATTATCGCGTGGAACCGGTTGCAGGAAGCCGAAGGAGAATGGCAGTGCGTTGCTTCCCGCCAAGACGAAGAACGAGATTGACAGGTGGGGAACGCAAAAAAAAATGATGATGTTGAGACTGCTTGGTCATCGTCAATAAGGAAGGACGGAATGAAGTGGATGCGCGATGAAAGCATTAATTATGGAAGGGTGGATATCGTGTGGGTTGAGAGAACAAATTTGGAACGCTTCTTTTGCTAGGAACCCCAGGATTTGGGATTCAAATTATAGTTCCATTGTTTCGTTTGTTTCTTCTCACTCTCGCGAAAGTGGTAGGTCGCCGATACCAATGATCGTCTCGAGCTACTAGATGAACCCCCACGGATCTCGGGCACAACTTCACAAAGGGAAGGTACCGGTACTTTTGGTTCTTCCCGTGATCTTCGCAAAGATCAGACGAGATGGGAAATAACTCGGCCGGTCGCTGTGTCGGTATCAATTATGCCTAGACGGCATTGCCCCTACGATTATAACCATGGACCAGCGGACGCCCGCCCCAAAAATTTCCCACCACGAGTTGCACTACAATAGCTAGTCACGATCCCGGCCCAAGGGCCGGTTGTGGGCTCTGATGTTACCGTGCCTTGCTCCCTTGCCTTGGTCGAATCCCCAAAGCAGGGTCTAAACTTACTCTACAGTACATTATCTGATCAAAACAACGCCTTCCGGAATATCTCCGCGGCCACCTTGTCGTCTGGCCCTATCGATGCTTGAATCGCTTGTATTTCCCTTAAGCCCTCTGCTGCATGCAAGTTACTGTACTCGCCGAAGAAACTTCCCCTCTCTCTCCCGCTCTCTTTATTCTCTCTCCTCTTGCAAGTCTCTGAGCTGATTGTAGACTGGTCTTTCCATAGAAGTGGGCTAGCTATGGCAGCCATGAAATTCTGCATTAGAGTTTGAAAAGGAAATGAAAAGGGTGTTCAGAAGCCCGGAATAGAACATGAAAAGGTTGTGGCCACATAAACACGCCTGTGCCACTCACTTATGCACCAAATAATCTCGCGAAATTCAAAAATGACTGAGACATACAGGTGGTCCCAGCATGAATGACGGACGCCCTGACACGCGACATGATCCAAGATGATTCGACACGCAGAGGTTTCTCTTCTAATCAACTGCATAGGCACAGGGCCTTTTCATTTTCCATCTTGTTTCCAAGACATAGTTGCCCCTGGAGTAAGCTCCGTAGTGCCCCTGACCCTTGCCGTGTGGCCAGGTAAGGAAAGAAAAGATGGAGATGTTGTTGGATAACACACACGCACTTTCTCCTACTCCGTACCAGAAAATGATGAAAGACCGGAGCTAAGGGAGGTGTGAGGGCCAAGCCAGATGAGCAAGAGGCAAGGCACAAGTTGGCTAGGTCAGGGCTATGAGCGCGTCGAGGTAAGGTGAATGCTCTGGTAAGGCAAGGTGCAAAAGGTCCGCAAGGTGAACAGTTTGGAGGTTGGCTTGAGTCTAATGGTCCGAGCTAGAAGGAGAAAGGATAGCGTCTTTTCTCTAAATTCGACCTGCTGAAATTTTTCGCTATTCTTGTCGAAATCGGCCATCGGCTCAGGCAGCCTAGCATAGTAGCCATACTTTGATGTTTCTTCGGGGGAAAAGTGGGATACAGTAACTGGGGACACGGTAGGACAAGGAAAGCAAAGCCCCTCCCCTGGCTCAATTTTTTTTATGGGGACAATTGAGGCTATGCTCGCCGTCCATCACTCACTCTGACGCCCATGACCGAAGCTATCCATAGGGCAGGTGCGGCGGCCTGTCTGTTTCTTCTGTCGTAGCCGCATGTTAAGTTGTTCCTGTACTCGTTCGGCTTTTAGCCCCGCGGCATCGCGATATCCGTCGCTATTTCTTTGCCCCGTCGTGGGTCTCGTCTTCTTGGCTCATTTACAGGTATTACCGGATGAGGGTAGTCCTTTTGGTGTGGCCACGGAATTCTTTTCCACGACACTCCCATCTGATCACTTCCCCCCGTACCTGAACTGACTCGAAGTTACCACCCATGACTTGCTAAAAAACCCATGCAGGCACTACGGTACCACGTTTCCATACCACTTCTACTCCATACTACCACCACCGCTAAATTACTACCATCACCGCTACCACCTTCTCGCTCTCATCTCTCCACCATTTCCACCACAGCACCAACCTTACTATGACCACCTTGACTTGCGGCTGCGACCACGTCTCTCGGCCACCCGAGCTCGTGGCCACTTCATGCGCCCGCACACACATACCTACATACACTCACTCACACACACACAGACACCACCCGCACCCACACCATCCGTCCCCCCTCGAGAAAAGGAAGCGAAGAAAAGTATGACGATGATGATGATGATACTATTTCGAGGTCCAGGTCGTGTCGGTCGCGCGGTGACCGTTGGTTGGCCCACAACCGCTCACCTCCTAAAAGAAGCTCACCGTTCCCCGGGCCCGAGGGCCACCAAGGGCCTGACGCTACGACGCTACACTTTCCTAGGGCCCTGAATGCCCTTGGCCGACCCTGCGCCATCAGAGCATGGCCGTGACGCTCCCCCAATGTTTCCCGTAGGCTGAACTTATTAAACTCGACGAGGGCCCGCCATTGCATTTCGTCCAGGTGGTTATTCCTGTTGCAGTCGTTAACCAGGTGGTCATTCTCTGCATCGTGAGCATCCAACGCCCTTGCTGTGTTGTTGTCTACACGTTGCATTGAAGCATTCGTTAGAAACCCCTCACTCTCGTTTGTCAATTAGTATTATTATTATCCTTATTATTACCATCTAAGCACAACTACCTCAGATCAATCGTTGCTGTACCCCTCTTACGCCGCTCCTGCGGGCTTCATTCGTTCGTTACATCAAGTTACGTACGCCTAAACGCCCAGACGATCTCCTCCACAGCGCAGACTTGCTTCTGTTACTCACTGCCCCCATCTCCTCCTCTTTCCGTTACCTTAACCCCCCCCGGCTCGCCTCGTTGGAAGGTGACTTGACCGGGGACCGGGGCGTAGCTACGCCTTAAACCAAACTGAACTTGACCGGGGGCCCCTCTATCCGTTCTTCCCTTCCCCTGCCCCTCGCTGGAACCTGGCATTTTTCTCCAGGCTGACCGGCCCGCCGACCTTTTTTGGTTCCCAGCCCAGTGGCTCTCTGTTCTCGTCATTCGCTTTTGGGAATTGGGTCTTCCATCAGTCCATCTGTTTGTCTTGAGCCCTTTCCCCCGCCACCTTGTGGTGGTGTTGAAAGCGTCGGATCTCTTATGCCGGTAACCCGCTTGGGCCTCATTCTGCCACCAAGTTCACTGTGACCTTGCTGGGTAGCTTTTCACACCCCCAAGTGTCCCTCTATCAGGCCCCCGCCTTCTATATCATATCCATAGGAGCAGGTGTTCTTTTGATCTTTGTTCTCTTGTCTCAACCTTGGGCGTTTTAAATCGTCTGTGGCTTGATTCATTGGCCGCTATCTCTCGACCCTCATTTTACCCACCTCGCGGTCTCGCACACTATAACATTCAAGGCTCCAATGGCTGGCCCCGGTGGTGGTCCTTCACGGCGGAGTCACACAAAATCCAGAAAAGGCTGTAAGACGTGCAAGAGAAGGCATATCCGCTGTGACGAGACGTTTCCGCAATGGTATAATTCTCTCTCTTCTCTCTTTCTCTCTCTCCAGTACTCTCTTGTTGGTGAAGGTTTGGTGAATTATTCTTTTGCTGACTGATTATTGCTTTTCCAGTCGAAATTGCACCAAACACGGTTGTCGATGTGACTATATGGACGCTCCGCTTCCCGGTGGAGATTCGCCGGCTAGCCCTCAAGGACCGGATCTTCTCTGGACTCCCGAGATTGAAGAGGATATCGACCAGTGGCGAAGTACCGGCAACTTTCCCTTTACGCAGTTGCAACTTCAAGCTCATCCCCCGGCTCAAAATCTTTCCGTTGTCGACTTACGTCTCATCTACCACGTTTCTTCGATTTCCGAGCGCATGCAATCAACCGGAGTCACCAAATTTACCATTTGGACAGAACAGATACCACTGTGAGCTTTATAATTCAGTTTTTAATTTTTTTTATTAAGTTTTTCGTCTTTTCCTCTGATGGATGGGAGTAAACGGAGTTTTTGAAAGTCTCTTAAGCTGACCGAGATTCAGGTTCCTCCACATCGCTTCATCCTACGAATTTGTCATGCATTCGATCTTAGCATTTTCAGCTACTCACCTTGCCTGGATTACCGAATCGCCAGAGACCAACAACATTGCTTATCAGCACCGTGGAATAGCGTTGAAGGGTTTGCATGAGGCCATTGGACGGTTTTCAAAAGAAAATTCAGATGCGGTTTTGGCTGCTTCAATTCTTTTGTCATGGCAGGCTGTAGACTGGTAAGCGCAGGCATAATGCCTCGTTCAAATTTTGCTGGGGAAGCTTTGCTAAACAGCATCATGCAGGCGTGGTTGGGCTTCGCTCATGCAGGGTACATCCACTGTACGTTTTTCTGTTTACTCCCCCCTTTGGGAAAATAAATCCAGAAGGGTATCTTTTTGGGCTGATGTTGTGATTGATAGGTCATTGACGCGATGCAACCGTGGCGAAACGAATCCAATTTTACGGCATTTATGGATGAGCAGGCGACGTTTCCGAAAGCTCCAGCATCTCCCCACTCTATGCACTCTGGCGTATCAGACCGGGCTCAATTACAGCAACTCGGGGTTCTGGGGCCTCTTTTCGACTCGCTCCAAAGACTTCGGCCTTATGTGGCGGGCAGAGTAGAGGAGATGCGTGCTGTAGATGATCTGTCCAACTTTATTTCAACCCTTGGATCGACCCTGCCCGTAACGAATGCCGAAGAGCAATTCCAACTGCTTCATCCTCTGCGGTCTTGGCTGTTTTGGATCCCTATATCCTTTTTAAATTGTCCCAAGACCGATCTCCAAGTGATGGCCGTGCTTGCACACTTTTATGCGGCCGCCCTCGCAGTGGAACCGCTTTTCCCTGCCGCTGGCGTAGCGTATTTTAGTGGCCTCTCCGTAGGACCCATTGAGGAGATGCACAAAATGCTGTACGAAATGCAGCGAGCTCAGGGCCCGAGCGAAGATCTTCGGATCGCTATGACCTTGATGGAATACCCATATCAACTAGCCGAAGCTTTTCGAAATCGAATGGGCTGGGCACCACACCCGAATCATCACCATCATCACCATCAACACCATGCCCGGCAACAGCCGACTCCTGCGTACACGTCGATTCCGAATAGCCCGTATATTGTTCACGATCTTCGTCCAGCAGACTACCTAGGAGGTGGTTACAATCCCGCCTACAACCAGAGTACCGAGCATTTGAGCGTGGGCACAGCGTCGTCTCCGCATCTGGCTCCAAGTCCAGGCTCTTCGTCTCGACCACATTCTGGGTATTTCCCTCCGTCTCCGATGCACACTGCAACGGCAATTTATCAGACTGGCACTGGAGCTAGGTATCATAGTGGTGGACAGTCTCCGTCGTCATATTTTGGCGGGTATTTGGAAGAACAGCCAGCTCTGGATTTTCCCACGGCACCGCTCCCTCCCCCCATGCACAACTATACTACAGGGTTCGTCGCTCAGCCCCTGTGGACGTGACGAGAACGCAAAAGACTGAGACCGATGCTTTTTTCCCAGACAACATATCGTACCTCACGATCCATTCGCCTTTCCGGGGAAAGAAACACGAAACTAAACGACTCTCGACATCCCTTTAGCATTCTTTTTGCCCCTTCGACTCCCACGGGGCCGCTGCCATTATCGCGGGTCATTCGAATAACACACACACACACACTCCCGAATAAACTTCACTCCGTCATCTATTATTGCTCTAGACCCCAAGAGCCCACTCCGCAACACGACCACACATTTGACATTGCACCTTTGAGCATTTAGACTACGACCAAGCACGCGCGATTCTCTACCGCCTTTGCCGATCCTTCCCATCGAAGACGAATTTGATTGTACGAATTTCATTCTTTCTTGGTTAACGACCCGCCATGCATTTCTTTCCTTGGATTATACCTTATACCAGCATGGAAAACGGGGCGTTTTGGTGGATACTTGAGCGAGCACATGCCTGATTGCCCTCTTGATTTATCTTTTTCTCTCACATGTTTTGATATTTTTTTCTTTGTTTTTTTTTGACAAGTGTTTTGAATGAGTCATTTATAGCTCTTGGTCTTTTCTCTTCTTTCTCGTTCTTGCTCGCGTTCTTACGATGATTCAGTATGTCTTCTTCCTTTGCAGCTTCTGGTTTAGCCGTCAGTCAGTGGCGGCTTGGTAGAGTGAAGCACTAGCATTTTCTGGCGACGTTTATGGCGACGGGCGTTGTTCTTATTTTTGAACGGAATCAAATGGTATACATGGCTGGATGAGAGGAAATGGATAGTTTGTTTGTCTGTTCGTTGTATTTTTTGTGTAAGTTTGCGGTTGGGAAAAGAAAACTTGGGTTTGTTGCTGTTACTGTCATGTTTATTTGTAGCTATCCAGAGTCTGTTCTACTGTGCTTTTGGTTTAGTCCTAGTTCGCATAAGGTGGTCTCGACTCTCATCGTTTTCAATGCTTGTTGTCTGCTCTTTGCAAATGTACCGTAGCTTCTTCTGTACGAGTTTGCTAGTCTTTTCCTTCTCATTCACTTCGGCAATATGTACTGCATTTGCACTCTGGTGTTGTCATTGTATCAATGTCTAGCTTTTTTCAGGTCCAGCGTGTTTGACTTTGCAGACTGGATGGTCCAGTTCATGTTGCTATTGGTATTTCTGAATATCTGGTGACGGTCATTTGTATACTAGTCCTACCAAACTAAGAATTTTCTCTTTGCAACCGACGAACCATCGTCTATTGATATCTTCAATTAATGTGAACGTGACGTAGTAATTGCATACTGCATTACCCCTGTTTCAAGTATTATCAATACCTGCGTTTTGGCATCCGGCTATTTGGCTGGCTAGTGGTCAATCAATCGTGTTCCTCTTCTGTTGACACAACTTTTTGCCTTATAGTACAGTGTACATTTTCCAGCTAAACTGTGAGACGGCTATCAGGATATACGCCTACGGCCTGCACTAAAACCAATGTACAATAGTACAGATGATGACTACGGGGCTTATTCTACAGAGCTACAAGTAGAATATCAAGATTCAAGATTCGAGAATGTTTTGCAATATGTATATGGAGGCTGAGGTCCTGATGATAATATATTCCAACCGATGAGGTTTTTCTTTTGCTATGCCGGACAGTTGGCTTGCTCGGGTGACTGGTGACGGGTCTATCGTCTGAGATATCATATACTCGCTGCCTAATAAGATGCGAGGCACAGGGTGCTCAGCGGGAGGTGTAGGTGCGAGAATGCGAGATATATGACAGGTCACAGACAGTGGACCGGTCAAAAGAAAATGTATAAACTGCACGTAGGTTCATAGTAAAGCAGCTAAAGCTATAATTACCTAGTCGGTGGCAAGTAGCAAGTAATAGCAAGTAACAAGTAGTAACAGAATGCAGAGTATGTATAATGTGATTATACAAAAGTTTTGACGTTATTAATTTTTTTTTTTTTTTTTTCGGAAAAAATAAACATATAAATATAGATTACACTACAATTATTAAAGTGTATAAAATAGAAAAAAAATAAATAAATAAAAAGGAGGCTTCTAAATACAGTTATATACTAAACAATAGTAGCAATTAGCAACTCGCGAGTCATATAATTATAAGCTGCATAAATTTAATACTTTATTAGTACATTACTACAATTATAAGAGACTAGAAAGACTGGAGAGTCAGAGATTAGACAGACCGGGAGTTGTAAACTACTAAACTGTAAATTGCAACCTATGCAATATACTGCTGCGCACATTAACCATTTTATGTAATATGTAGTATACAATATACAGTATACTATAGCGTATATCATCAGACTTCTATACTCAGACTCAGAGTCCCAGAGGACAGGTAACAGGTTTATAGATTCAGTCTTAGACTGTTAGACTCTTATAGATAGTTGATGCAAGATAGTGTATTAGTAGATTAATAGCTAGACTGTAGAATGTAGGCTGCAGGCTGTAGTATATAGTTTCGCTATGGTATACCATACACTATAGGTCACTGTCCAGAGGTCCATACATCCATACGTCCATAATTCCAATACACGTGAGAACCAGCCGCGACGAGCATGAGCATGAGCATGAGCACGAGCAACGAGCATGAGAAAACTGTAAGGCTGAACATGCCAACCCGCCGTGCAGTAAGGTACTAACCTCTAAGGATATCTGGAATTCTGTATTAGCTATGTAATATATCCCACCGTCTAACTCTACCGCCCCGACTCCCTGGGCTCTGTGGATGCAGACATGCTGCATGCATAGCCACAGGTCCGCAAGTCCACAACATGCCAGGCACGCCACACTATATAACATACAAGATACACACGGTAAAGGGTAAAGATATGGTAACAGCTTTAAGATACAGCGTAAAAAAAATGCAGGTTTAAGAACTTAAGATACACGATAAAGGGAAGATATAAGGTGACAGATACAATAATACAACAAACCCCGCAGACTGCAGACTGCAGTATGTAATACAGTACGTATAAATCACATAATATTGAACCAGGTGCCAGTGCTCAGCAAGAAGTGGGGACCAGGTAAAAACAATAAGGATAGACAAGTAAGCCGCAAGGAGTCGACGAGTGGATGACTGTTGGACGTCAAAGAACAAGGTGAGGACCACAAGGACCAAGGACCAAGGACCGGACGTTAGAGAGTCAAGACCAAGGAGAAATGTACAATGTACTGTGTACAAGAAATTAAAATGGGGAGAGGGGGACTGGGGGACGGCCAGACGGGAAAGAAACGGTGGGATGGGACGGGGAAAGAAATGTTGGAAATCGAATCCAACGTACAGAGGGTCTCAGCGGCTCAGGCGTCTCCAAAACCAAGGCCCAAGGGTGAAAACCAAGGGTGATAAAAACATGGACTTGAAAATGTACGAGTAGTAAATGGAGGAGTCGCGGGGAAATAAGAGTGTGACTGTGGACTACTTCGTAAACAAATGTTGGAAATGCAATGCCGTTAAACTCAAAACCCAATGTCGGATGATATTAAAGGGAAAAAGGCAAATGTAGGATGACAAAAAGGGAGAGGAAACAAGAGTTGGGAAAACCAGACAGAGGGAAACAAGAATGGTAAGACTAAATAGAGGGGAAAAAACATGAGAAAACATGAATATAGGAGAATTAAAAGCGTGATATAAAAATGTGGTGATATAAACAGGTGACTATCGGATGCTAAATATCGTGATTTATGATGCGGGTCATGGACTCATGGCACCAAAAAATGTTGCCAAAGTGCTAACAACCAAGGTAGGTAGGTGGGTAACCAACAAGTCACAATCCTCCCCGCCCTGCCCGAATGTTACAAAGGTACAATACCCGCACGGCTTAACCGAAAAGTCAAATTTACCCCGGGCCAACCCGGGCCTCGGCTGACTTCTCTTGTAAGGCCTCCCGCCCCAACCCCACAACAGCCCAACTTTAACCAACAAACAACAACCGAAATGGAACAAGCTAAGCTACCTTAGTTACAGGCCACAGGCCACAGGCCACAGGCACACCGCCACAGGGGGACGAGGGATAACATAACATAACCCCACTTCACTTCTCAACCCGATCAACCCAAAAAAAATGAACTCAGACATAACGCCATATTCGCAGGACAACGCCATTTCCCCTGTCCACGTATCCTTTCCCCCCCCCCTCCCATGGACCTGTGAGTAAAGGTGCGAAAAAAAAACAAGAAATTGGGGAGGATGAAAAAGAATAAGGAAATAGGTAAAAGAAAAAAAAGGTCAGCGGATGATCAGGAGGCCATGACGCGGAGAGCGGCGACCACCGGTCCACTCCCACCGCCTCCGCTGCCACGAACGGGATCATTGTTTGACGGATCGAGGGGGCCATCAACATCATCCGCCTAGAAGAAGAGATGGATTATTCCGCATTGATTAAGATTATGTCCATGAACGCTCTCATCTTCGTCGATTAGTCGTCTGTATTCCCAGAGAGAGAACGTGTGTGTGTGTGTGTGTGTGTGTGAGCGTGAGAGAGTGTGAGAGAGGTCCAGTCATTAAATATACTGTATATAGGGGTCATGAAATGCGTAATCGATAAAATGCGCCGTATCTCTCCAAAAATAGTCGAAAGATGTAAAAATTAAATATAGTGTTGAGTGGCGAGGTTGTTTTCATTATTCCCCAAAAGAACAGGCGCCGTAGATGACAATAAGTGAAATGTCGTAAAAAAAGGAAAAATGGTTGGTCGTCAAAGCGAGTCAGACAATCTGTTCGGATCGAGGAATAAGAGGCTGGAAAGGGCGACGATCTCGTTCCAGCGCAGCGACTGCATCCTCCAAAAGCCGAAGACGTTCATCCTTTTCCTTGGAATTGGCAGCTTTATACTCGAGTCGACGAAGCCGCTCATCTTTTTCGGCGCCTTCGAGCTTGAGTCGCTTGACTTCCTCGCGGAGTTCGGCAGCTTGGGAGAGGATGTCATCTGTATAAGCGTCGTTGCGATCGATTGCTGCCCTCTTTCGCTTCCGGATCATCAGTTCTCCCTTGAGAAGGTCAAGCTGCTGCTCGTCGTCTTCCAGTCGAGCAATAGGATTGGTACAATGGACACGTCGAAGATGCTCCTTGAGGTTCTCCTTGCGACTGAATCCAGCACCAGAGCTCCGCTTACAATCTCGAAACGGACACATGAGCGGATCTCGAGGTCCTCCGTGCTTACGATGGACTTCGCGCTCATGCCTCAAAAGTCCTCCGGAATAAGTGAACCCTGACAGCTTAGCACATGCAGGGTCAAGGCATCGATACGGTCTCTCATGCTTGTCCATATGCTTACTATTAGTGGATCACATTAGTCAATATCATTTCATAGATTTATTTTCTTTTGCTTTGTTTTGTTTGATTGCAAAAAGAAAACGAGAAATAAAGCAATAAAGATAAAAAAAAACTTACTTCCATTCACATCTTCGCTTGAAGACGGGAGGATTTGGATCACAATCTCGGTGGCAGCAGTATATCCTGCCATGGCTGTCACGAGGAGGATCTCGGAGACGTGCTCGCAACATTGGTAGAGTACTGGGTAACTGATCACTCAGCGGTGGCGAACTATGTGAGGTAAGGCTGTTGGGAGATGAGACTTTTCTTGTATAATGATACTCCTCTAGTCCTGTCTCGTGAGAGCTAGTAGAACTGGGAGAGCCAACCGGAGCCAGCATGGTGAGATTCGATGCTGTTGTAGGTCTTGTGTCGATTCTCAGATTTCTATCAAATCGTAAAGAGAAAGGCTCTTGCTTTATATCGAGAATCTTGCTGAGGCTGACAGTCATTTGGAACGCCTGAGTAGGTCACGGTCAAGGCAATTTTAGGTAGCAAGGTGACATCAATATTTGGAAAAGTGGTGAATCAGTGTTTGGGGCCTCGGCGGCAAAATGTCAAAAGTTCAGTAGGAAAAAATTAGGCGCGCTTGAGTCATGTAATCGCCCTGGTGCTTGGGTATGCTTTGGTCATCGACGGCGTCGAGAAGGCATGGCTTTGTTATATCTTGTCGCCCAAGGACCACCAACGGGTAACCGTATCCCCGGACCCCCGAAACACGCGGCCCGCACCCCTGGGAAGGCGCCTGTGCAGCCTGACATCATGTGATAGCATATCCCGTTGGGATAAGCTAATCGTAGATGGCGTCCAAGTCGAAGGAACAAATCTGCTCTGAGTCACACGAGTATTGACGAGGGTGACTTAGTAGTGTTGCCTTCGGAGAAAGGGTCACCCACACTTCGAGCTGCTTGCCTTTTTGGGGGGGATGTGGCGGTGCTGGTTTAGGGTAGCTCTGATTGGTCAGAATAACCTCAAGTTTTTGGACCCTTGGCGATCGCGCTATCTTTGGCATTTCGCCCCCTCCAAGAGAGCACGAACCACAGTAGATTCTGTTGAGATACCCGAACCTTTTTGACAAGTATAGTCTTCGCATTCCTGGTGTAAAATAATGACTGCGGAGTCTGCAGCATAGCAATCAGGACAGGCCGCGTAACGGTGGCCCTTTGTATGTTGCCATCGCCGTCTCGATGAAGCGATTTGTCATGCGCTGGCACCACAAACCGAATGGTCTAGAAGATGCCCCGTTAGAACCAATCGCAACTTCCAGCATCTTCTTGAAACGTCCTGGAATGTCGCATCAGCGCAAGTTTGCCTCCTGTGATGCTCTCATGCTTTATCCACATGTGCTGAGTACGCGTATGTCACTTAGCTCAGCGTTGTGGCTGTGACAACCTCTCGCTATAGATTCGGGCAGTCGCAAAATGGAAACTGAACGAGCCGAGCTGAATCTGACGTGGGCCGCATTATCAGATGGATCTCAGGTGCTAATGGGGTCCCTTTGTGAGCCTATCAGCACACTGGGCCGATCGATCGCAAGTCTTGTCCCTCATGTGAATGGATCATGTATCCGAAAATCCACATAAAGTTTCTCTGCTGAAGTGGCGCTTTCGCCCTCGACACAGATTGACTGTGGAGCCTCACTATAGCTTCCTTGTCTGGCATTATCGATAATATTGGTTGTTTGAAGCTGCTTGTTGCACCTTCATCTGTGGATCGTCCAGGCTGGTGGCTCGTGCTCCAGGCAGCAATGAAAGAAACCACCTAGTTGCATGTCGGTGCGCGGGGACGCAACGCCCGTGTGTCAGTAGCCGCGGTGAATGTTCCAAGATAGGAAGATTACTTCTTTCTAGGCAGATGGGCCTCCGAGCCAAAACGAGTCACATAGCCGTGCCTCGTAAGGGCCAGGGCTTACACTTGCGATACCCTCGGCTTCCCATGAGCCATGAAACCTGGTAGGACAATTGGTCCATTGCATCCGCCCTCGTTGAATGATGCGTACACATGTAATAAGCCAAATCTGATGAAAGTCGAATCATCCTTGCAAATTCAACCCATTTGGACTGTCATTTACCTTGGTGATAGCCGGCAACGTAGTTTCAGCCATCCATGAAGGCTGACTTTAGTCAGAAACCTCCGTAGCAATACATTAAAGATGACGACTATCATTTTCGATTTTGAGGAGAAACCAGTCAGCTGAGCCTGAGCTTAATCCTTCAGTGCCACTCGAGGATAACTGCTCGAAATAGTTTGATTTGACTGTGCATCAAGCAATGACTCTCTGAGGCTTGGACATGCACGCACACCCATTTGCGTCACAAGAAGCCTCTTCTTTCCGGACTTCACTGCGTTGGCTCCAGTCATAGATCCTCAAGATGGGGCGTTTAGAAGCTAAAGTCGCCGAAGCCAATGATGATGGTGTCGGAGGAACAGGTAAGCACTGGTCACCATGGATGATGCGTGTGAAACTCGAAACGTGTGGCCGCAGGGATAAAGTTGGTCCAATCAGAGAATCAAGCAGACTGAAAAATAGCTTGGCGTAACGCCCGTTGGTTGCCTAGCAGAGATCGTGATGCGGGGAGAATGTGCTCATGCAGAACCTCGTGCACTGCTGCCTCTGATCCATAGGTTTGGAGCCTAGAAAAAGGATGGACCGCCCAAGCCTTGACGGACGTGACGCCGTTTGCTATGCTCTAAGTCAGGTACGTTCGAAACTATCACTCAAGCTTTATCGAGGCTTGAGAATCCGTGCTTCGTGACGGGATTGAGGCTTGCTCAAGATCGAATCATGGACTCCATCGTAAAACGTTTTGCGCCGTCGCAATCGTATCAACGTCAGAAATAATAAGACTTTAGGCAGAAAAAGGTGATGATAAGAGGCTTGGGAGCAATGTTAGGCTGTCAGACAAGTCCAATATCCAAACCGCAGGCTCCCAGACATCCAGGACAAGACCTTACTCCGCCTTTCATTGTCGACACTCGTGTCTCATCGGATCATAACTATCGCATTGCAGAGCCGCCTTGATCAAGCCCACACGCCTCACTATGTTTCCAGCGTATCTGCCTTTCTAGTCTCATAGGCGTTCCTGACAAATCAAAACGGTCAGCCCTAGAAGTAGGTATTATGTATTAAAATAGTCGAATGTCAGCTCGTACCTCGAATTTGTTCGTGTACGTCTCAAGGTGCACTAAGAATTGAGCACACTAGAGAGATACTCGATTGTCATGACAAATGAAGCATTTAAGCCGGCAGAACTATCAGCCAGATAGGGAAAGACAAAGGCGCAGTGAGGCGTGAATACAGTGCTGGAGCGAGAAACAACGGGGCTGAATCATCTGGACGACGTCCAGAGAGATGCAAGCCGCACAATGACAGACTCAAAAACACATGTCGAACAAAAAAGTAAGCAAAGTATAATTAATCGGTGGCGGTAAAAATGCAAGCTAGACTAAAGGCACATATTCGTGACATGACAGCAAAGGGTCGCATGGTTGCTCGATTGCAAAAAGAGGACAATTCGACGAGATGGACAGCTCGGAAATGATGTGAGAAAAGGCGCATGGCTACACGACATTCTTTAAAAGCAGTACGCTCAGACACATCTCAGCCCGCAGGCTTGGTAATCGTTCAGCCTTGTCAGCCTTATCAGAATTTATTTTTTAAAAGGTGTCGCAATCCATGGCACACGAGGTACTTGGTTCATGCATGGCACACGTGCTTGTTCAGCCTTGCGAGCTGTAACTCGGAATTGGGTCATTCCTGAGTCCTGCAACCCGCCAAAGGCCACTGTACTTGTAACCAAGCCCATCCATACTAATATAAGGTAGGCAAATACAAAGCAGAAGTTACACCGAGACTGCACTGTCTTCCCCACAACGTCAGCTCTTTACTACGCCGGGCGGTACCTAAAGGATACTCTGCTGCAGCGATGTCCAACAGACTACCTAAAGTAGACGCTCAAGTCCCCGTGCAATTTTACTGTTTTTCTCTTTTTCTCTTAGAAGAAATCCAAAGTTACGATAATCATACATCACTTGCAAAGTGATACCACTCAATACCTCCCACGGCACCGAGAGGGTCTCTATCGTTCGGTCTCTTTGTATTACAGAAGCGGGCATAGTAGCTATATCTCCGCTCGAATCGTGAGGCTATTTGGACTTGATAAAGTATCTCCAGTCCATCAATCAATCTACGGTAGGTACCTGACCTTAGGTAGGTACCTACAGATATCTCAGATACCTAATCTATGCTATCTGAGGTATCTGTCGCCGTTTATCTGGAAGCCCTTATCTGTTCCGTGATGACATGCATATCGGAGCAACTGCGCGTGGGCGGCCTCTACGCTAGCGTACCATTGCAATGCGGCGCTCAGTGGGATTAGCGTAAACTCAACTTAAAATTAATTCCAGACAAACATCAATCGGGAGGTAGTCATCGTTTCAGGAATAGGGAATAAATCTTGTATAATTGCACTTTTAAAAGTCTACCATTACGCGTTGGGTATGTTATCCAACGCTGCGGTAAACCTAGCTCTTTCCATAAAAGTACATAAAGTAAATGAAGCAAAAGGTATCAAACCATGGCAATCTTCTCTATAGAAGAGACGGTCTTTCAAAATCTTTCCAAGATATTCTATGCCATCCATCTCGTGTAAACCAACAAGTGCTCGAAAATGGTTCGAGATGTTTATCCAAGTCCGGACTATCCGAGACCAGACGCGCTCAAAAGCAATATGTGCAAGGGAATCATAAAAAGGGAAACTAGAAGAAGACAAAATTTTCTAAAACAAAATGGCACTGGGCAAGACTGAGCAGCCGTGCGTCTAAAGTGAACTTAGGGATACACCTCGGGGACGCCCTTTGCGGATCGATAAGCCTCCTCGTCCTTGGGATGCATGTGGCCGGTGACAGTCTCCTCGTCGTATCCACTGGCATGAGGGTCGTACGCCAGAATGGGGTCAGTGACGAGATCGCCTTGCTCGTTCCAGGTCTTGCTTGTAGCCTCAACAGGGAAGACGAAGCAGAGACCGGTGTAGGTGACAAACGCGACGATAAAGCCGCAGAAGAAGTTGAGGCGGTAGACATAGGTGGCACCAAAGGGAACATCACGGCCAACTGCACCGGCGAAACCAACAACATTGATCAGAATGCCAAAGATATAGGCGGCGTAGCCGCGCCAGTGAACGCCGAGCGTGTAGAAGTACGGGCCAGTCTTCTGGCCGCTGTACAGATCCTTGACCTGCAGGTATCCCTTGCGAACGGCGTAATAGTCACCGCAGATGACACCGGCAATTGAGGAAAGGAAGACGGAGTAGGCCGACAAGTAAGTCGTGAACTGGTTAGAGCTTGACAGGAGGTTCCAAGGGCACATGGCCAGACCAATAGCTGCGCAAATGAAACCACCACGGCGAATGTTGATAAACCGAGGCAGAAGAGCAGTCATATCCGTTCCTACGGCCAAGACTTAGCATACGGCACTTGGACAGGTGCTAGAGTTGATTTGGGAAAGAAACTTTACCTGCGGAAACAGAGTTGGCGGCAATGTTGGTGCCCAATTGCGCCAGCGAAAATGCAAAGGCGAGGAAGAAGACGCCAGCTCGGTCGCCGGACGTGCCGCTCTCAAGGAAACCACCGAGCACATCAAGCGGGTTCCAAGCCGGTTGGCCCTTTTGCTCGGGAAAGAGCGCAGAAGCAGAAGAGACGAGGATACCAATCAAGGAGGTGATGGCGAAACCGAATGGAATCGTGATGAGTTGTGACCACAGAGCAGAGCTGGGCCGCTTGGAAAAACGAGTAAAGTCGGGATCATTGACAATCAGCGTAGCAAAGTTGGCGATTGAGGACATGATGCCGTTGATGACTGCCCAAGCAAGAGCGCTTCCATGCAACTTGGGCCTCTCGTGGATGACTTGACCCGCGCCGTGAGCCCTGACCAGGGCCCAAATCAAGAATGCGACACCAGCAACGGGGACGATGTAAGCCTTGACGGTGAAAAGGTGACGAATCTTGTGCACGGGGAACCAGATTGCCGGAAGAGACAGAAGCCAGAAGATGAAGAAGCTGACAAAGTAATCGGTAGATGTACCAGATGACTTCATAGTGTTGTAGGGCGAAGTTTCTGCTGAAGGGGTGGAGTACTTTCGGAAGCTTGGCCAGATTGCTGCAATCATCAAGCGTACACATTCACCTAGAAAAATTTGGATCAGCATTGAGAGGCGGGCGACAACGCTCATGGAGAAGCAGCATACCTCCGATCCATGACTGTACGCCATACCACACGCAAGCCATGCCAGCACGGTTAATGACGGGCCACAGAGAGCCCCAGACGCCAAATGACGAACGTGCGACCACGGGAAAGCCGATGTGATACATGGCACCGATACGACCAGAAGCACAAATGAAACATGCGGAGAAGAAGTAGCCAACCCAGACGCAAATCCAGGCCTGCCACCAGGCCAAACCACCGGTAATCATGGTCGAAGCAATCATCCATGTGTTCTAGGGTCGAATGTTAGAATTAACATGGATATGTAACTGGGGAAAGAAAAAAGCGTAGCTTACGATATTGAAACTGTCCGCAATCCAGAAACCGACAAAGTTCCATGATCCCCATAGTCGTCTCTGAGGCTCGACTGTGCACTTTTGTAAGCGAAATTCTGATAGTCCTTTGGAGGGCGCAACAAAATAAAATTTTTCGAAAAGTGACACAGGGCAGCCTTTCAATGGAGGCGGGATCGGTTCGTACCAGGCTTCAAATCTTCGTTGACCAGCATCAACTGGGTGTGGGTCAGACCCGGCTCATGATCGACCGCCAGCTTGTTGGCGAAATGGGCCGCCTTGGAGTGCTTAATTCTCTCCATATCCAAGGTAGGTAGAGATCTATGTGGAAGAAGGTTTGATATTGTCCGCAGGATGTAGGTATATATCACAACCAGTGCCTGTAGTGGGCAACAGCAACAATCCTGCGTAAGGATTTGAGGTCACCGCCAAATGTTGTCGCTGGACAAGAGAATCTGTGGGGGAGATGGGGAAGAGGGAAGAGGAGTTCAGGAACGGAGTTCTATATATGAGTTTCGAACATCTACTGCTTCTGCATTCGGCGCCGACAAATGATAAAGCTAACCTGGCTGGCGTTTTGGTGGACTGAGCTGATCCGACACAGTTCCCCACGCCAGCCAAGCTTCAAACTATGGGCAGGCATTATTTTCGGGGCAAGAAAATAGAAGCACCCTAGAGCGATCAACGAAGCCACCATGTCGACCCATAATTACAGAGGGTACTGTGCCTCTGTCTAGAGTTACTCTAGTACTCGTACAGTAGAAAATGGGAGTCAAGTCAGGTCTGCCGGTAGTTGCTTTTTTTTTTTTCTCTAAAGAGTTGCGACGATTCATTCGTCACTTCAAAGGGAACTTTGCCCAAAACGGGCTTGGTGGCGAGAATAGATTCGGGGTATCGGGGGGAACGGGGGCAAGCGATATCTCTGACATTAATGTTGTACTCGATCTCATCGAGTAACACCCTCCACTTATCGCTGAGCGCGCCCTTATCTTGTGCCCTCTCATTCTCGTGATTGGGCAGTGGGACGGACTGATAGGGGATCTCCATCATGGTTCTGGGGGGTCTTGTCCTGTCAGTCACCTCTTAGTGAAAAAATGATGCCCTTTCGTGCACTTAGAATCATCAGTATCTCCTCGCTCCGGCCCCACAAACTTGGATACGTTGGCCACTACTCCGTAACCATGATTGCGCACGCGAGAAATCTGTCAACTCGATGCCATCGAGTAAGAGAAAATCATCTTTGCCATTATCGCCCGGGCACCATCGTAGCAGACTACGTAGTCCAATGGTTATTATCGTCATCATCGCATCCCATCTTGCTCGAGTAATCCACTCATGAAACTCATTTCAGCGGTTCGCATGTGATTTGAAATTGCAGTAGCACTTTTCAAATGTAATGTACCTCGACGATGAGACTCTGTCAAAAAATTTACATATGTTGCCCTGGAACTGGTTCAAATCTTCGGCTCTCGTCATTGTTGGTACCGATCGACACCAACCAAGGTGAAGCGTTTCTGTCGTTGTATTGAACTTCCATCTGAAAACGCCCTTTTTGCCACAGGTATCGTTCCGAACTGTACCGAGTACTGTACCGTATATTGGAGGTTCCAAAGACCATTATCAGGCGACTATCAAGTATCTTTTACAGACATGCGCATTATAGACGACAAGGCATAAATCCCCATCTGTCTAGGACAGGCAGGTTGTTAATTTAGTGCAGTACAGACGCGATTACAATATTTTCGTATAGGTACGATATCTCTACTTGTCTATCAAAACCAGACCGATCTAACACCCTAAAGCATGTGCAGAACGGCCCGACCGGGATAATATGGCGTGGCGCTGCCGTTATCGTTGACCATGATCCAGAACAGACGACGACCCAAAAAAGCGTGTCGGAAAATTGACGGAGACAATAGTGGAGGATTTTAACAGCGCGCTGTCAGCAAGGGACATGTCGTCAGGACAAGTTTCTGAGGGAGCAAAGAAAAAGAAAAAAGAAACTAGTGTCATAGTCAGGGGGGTGCCCCTGATGATTCTGGGAGAACCAAAGACCAGGGACCTCGTCAAGTCGTCTGCTTCTTATCGTGGGCTACTGTAACGCTTCCCCGGTTCTCTGAAGACACTACCAGATTAATTTCAATTTGCTCGCTTCCAAGAGCCAGTGATGAACTCTTACTAGCCTTCAACAATGTCAGTGCCTATTTCTTGTTGCGCGCGCAATCTCCGCCACATATGCTCAGAGGACGTTGAGAACTAGCAACCTTTGGACTTGATTTTAAATCTTCCCTTTCTAAATCCACAATTGCACTTCCAAATATTCTCCACTCAACCATGCAGAGAGACACCTGATCAACAAACGAGCAACTTTGTTCGCCTGAGACGAAACCTCTGTTTCCTCATTTTCACGCCAAGCTCGCTTCAGTAAGGAAAACAGTTGTATCACATATCTTCTGTCAATGGCTTGCACACGCTTGAAGAACCCAAGAGCTGAAGAGATGCAAAAAATATGTAGAGTAGAAGCCAGAGCGGCCAGTGCGCTGAACACCTGATTTGCCTCGCACTATCTAAGTGGATGACTCTCAAGCGATGTTGCCGGTTATCGGCAGCCTGAGGTGGAGCATCCAGAAACATTCGGCGCCTCCTTAATCTCTTCTTCAGCTCTGGTTGCTTGTCTAATGTACGTAGAGCTGATCAAGGACTTGCTGGTGATGGTTGATACACTGTCGTTGTCTCGCCGCGGGTCCGTGCTACCCGCCGAAAGAAGGCCGGGGATTAAGCGACAGAGCTCTTCATGCTCTGCTCGACTGAATATTTCATGTCCCCCATAGGCTACCCATGAGTACATTCAGTCTTTCCGAATCATTCTTCCTGAAAGCTTCGCAGATCGCAATAGCCCTTTGGCAGGTTTTCTCGCTTGTCGCATGGATGCGCCGAAAAACTGAGAAGGTGGAAAACTAGCCAAATGGAAACATTCACTCCTCCTGCCAACGACCAAAGCGTCGGTAATCTTCGTAGAGGCTCTTGAAGATCGCTCGACTCGATGAGTCCATGGCGGCGTTGAGAGCGCGCAGGCTCTCTGGGCTTAATAAACCGAAGGCTGTGTGGAACCCTGGAGAGAGCGCGGCCTTTTGCTCTGCCGATACACGTGTACGAAGCTGACATTCAATGTATTTCATCAACAGATAAGGCAGATACTTTGCGACAGTCGCCTTAGCCTTGCGAACCTCGTCATTGAGTTCATGTTTAGCGCGCGTTCGAGAACCTGTCACTTGGGAAACTGTAGGTTCACACAAGGTCGAAAGAAGTCGAGCGTATCCCTCTGCACACGCGGTCCCCATTGAGGCTGATGCGACAGACTGCCCTCCAACACACCAGGGTGGGAGTCCTGCCGACGGCATTGAAGACCCAGGCTTTCCGCCTGGAATCAAAAGGCATTGTAGCAGGTTTTGCATCAGGGTCACAAGTAGATGGAACCGTCCGCCAAGCTTGGTCCGATGCAGACTCATGAATGTGTTGAGTAAATGACATATCTTCAAGAAGATGGGTCCTGCCCGCTCAGCTGGAAGGCGGGGACCGGTAGACGAGGTGATCGCATTGAGTGACCCGATGAGAGAGTCAATATTCCATTGTGACATTGGAAAGCCCCTCTTACGTGCCATTATTTCCAGGCAATCCATGGAGCTAGAGAAATGCTCGTATGAGATTGTACTGTTGAGGTCTTTGCTGATATTGAAGAAAGTAACAAGCAACTCATTTCCTAGCCGTCCTGTGCCTTGGTTGTAATCGTCGATGTCGTCAATCAGTGTTTTCAACAAAAGCAGCTGGCTCGACGAATGGCCATCGAGGGCACCGCGTCGGAGATTATCGAGTAATGACAGTTTCTTCTCAACACTGAGATTGCGTGATGACAACCGGAAAGAGTTCAAGATCGAGTCTTGCTCTACCTCCATCAGATCTTTGCTAAGCAGATGAGAACCGAGAGACTGATGGATCGCAATATCATCCCCATTGGCCCGTACAATTACTTCATAGAGACGAATGAGCAAGGCCAGATAATCAGCCTCAGTGGAGAAATTGCCCGTCAGACCAGCTTGTGATCGAGCCTCGGCTAGAGCAAGCGCCTCCTTTCCGAGGATAGCCACGTTCGTTCGTATTCCAGCATCCTCAGACGCGTCTATCAATGCGACTATGCCTTGGATAATGCACCTTGACACAATGAGGGTATCAGGGATCCCGGAGTGAGCAAATGTTTTCACGAGCGTAGACAGATTTAACATGAGACTCTGTAGCCAAGTTTGAATGACGGGCAACAACTCAGTGTTCGTGGTCGATTGAAGTTCGGACCGATAGGCGTTGAAGACGGAAAGCGTGGTCGTGATGAGAGTCACAATACCAACCTTATTTGAAAGGTTCTGATTCTGATTGATTTGCCTATTGACTCGCTCAAGGGTCGCTGTCAAATATTGGCGACTTCTTGGCTGGTCCCTGGTCGAAATAAGATGCCTAATAATGTGAGTTAAATCATTTAGAGTCATATATTCAGAAAAACCTACTCAAGATTCAGCTTCTGGAGTTCCTCGATTAGGAGACATAGAGTCGCATCCTCTGCCAGAACTTCGCCTCCAATCGACTCAGCCAATTTCCACGGCGCATCAGGAATTGTAGCCTAATATATTAGCATCAGTTTTTTTTTGTCTTTTGGATGATAAGCAACTCACAATCTTAGATGAAGGGTTGGGCAATCTCATAAGCTTGACCATACTACTCATATAGAGCGATCGCTGCTTATTTACGCCCATTGGGCGGGCCTCTAGGTAGTTCTCATATATGACATTGAGAGCTTCCTCCCTTTGATGACGATGAAGGACACTTAGAGGCGTTTTCAAGTAGCATTCTGCGAGGAAAGTAGCGTTCTCCTGGCGATCGTTGCCACCTTTTCCTTGAATGGACTTGTTCGATGTTGACGAGATGATCGAGGATAATTCGGCTGTAATCATGTTAATCGACTATTACCGACGGAGCATGTCAATCTTCGGCTAACCTTTCATGGACGGGTCATTCAGTAAAGAATCGTCGTTTAGGAGCGCCTCCCATACTCGCAGAAATGACAATCCGTTTGTATTCCACGATTTTTCTTGACTCCACATGCCTTCCTTTCGCGCAAGTTTGTACAAAATGGAAAGGAGCTTGATGCGGACTTCAGAGATAAGTTTTCTTTGGTGTCGTTAGTTTGTCTACACTTTTGCATGTTCGGTGGTTAAACACGTACAAGAGAAATGCCGGTGACTCGACTAAGGGCAGTGTAAAGCCAAGTGCCACTGCCGAGGCATGAGTGAGCTTCTCCGTCTCTCCCAGCCAGCAGCTGAGTGTATTATCTTCGTTCTCAGCGTGACCAGATATCCTCTCGATGAAATCTGTGACCTGTGCAGCAGCGGAATTAAAGGCTTCGATGGCCAAAGGTTTGTGATGATTTTGAGACGGGAGAATGTATGGCAGAGTAGAAAGAAAGCGAAATGCTTCTAGAGCTTCCAAATTCTTGAATAAGTATTTAAAAGAAATTGAATCTTTTGAAGCGAACTTCTTGATCAATTTGGCTGCCGACTTTATGGCACCTTTCAATAAGCGGGAATTGTGGCCAGACGCATCCTCGACAACAGCGGGTGAGGATGCAGAAAATGCTAGACTCCACTGCAATTGGATCTTGGTGATTGAGCGATATAACCGCCAACGCATCTCTGTCAGCTCATGAGCGTCCAGCGCAAGCAACTGAAGAAACGTCTCGTAAGAAGTGATTACTGATGCTGAGAGAGTGTCTACTGTTTCCTCTTGTGTGACGGAAGAAAGAACTGCCTCCATAACGACAACGCTACTCATCACATCGGCAATGGTGTCAGGGTTGTTCAAATCCGCCAAGTCTATATTGACGCGGGATCTAAATGTCTGTAGTTCGCGCAGAATTTGCGTAGCTGTCAGTGACCCTTCGAGCAGCTGCTTGAGCTGCCGGGTTAAATCATCGTGCTCCCACACAGAAACAATTTTTCTGGACTTCTTGCGCTTTTCCCCGCCAAAATTTGTGCTGTTGCGATAAAAGTGGAAGAGTTGAGCTCGCCAGCGCTCTAGGTACCCATTGAGGTCGCGGCCACGAGCAAATTCCTCCATAAGTGGAAGAACAATCGAGGTCCGAATGGTCTTGCTATTTGCGGAAGCCCCCATCTCACTGTCTTGGCCCCGTTCAGTGATGCGAGAGAATAGAATGTCGACTAATGAACCATTTGCTCCCGGTTCTTCGGGTTCTTTTGCAGCTACCGGTTCGGGCGCGAGGAAGACATTGACGTCCAATTTCAAGATCTGGGAGATAATTGCCCAATGGACATCTTTTTGCCCTTCGTCAGAAACCAGTCCAGTGAAGCTGAGCGTTATTTCTCGAAGGGTCTGGGTATCTATCGAAACGTTGTACTCCAGTGCAATCTGAAGCATGTGCTTTATTGTTGCGAGGTGCTTATCATTCAGTGCCGGTTTTGAAGTTGAGCCTAAAGGCAGTCCTATAGTGGCTAGAAGAGTGTTGAAAACGTTTTGTAGCCAAGCAGCTTCACTCACGCGCCACCTTGGACCGTAGGCTGGTAATGACCTCAGCGAGAGCTCAAACAGGGTTGGGATGACTCCAGTTAAAGCACACTCCGTTTGGGGGTTGCCTTCAGAATGAGCTGTATCATTTGTCTGAGACTGCACAGGGCTGAGAAGGTCCGGCAGCTGGAGTAATTTGTCTCCAGCATTCTTGTTAGCTTTAGTTTCGACATTCGATGCATTTGTGCCCACAGAGTCTAAGAAATTGGCTCGCGCAGGCAGAAAAATGTGAATAGCTATCAGCCCCTCCAAGACCTCGATGATTTGCCTTGTTTCAGGGGAGTTCTGAAGCAGCCTATGACAAGTATTCAGCAGAGCGATTGCTGGTGTAAGGGCGAAGTTTGCAAAAGCATCCTGGTTCCCAATTAGCTCAGAAGATGGACTGAAATGGTTACTTCTGCTTACGTTGCTGACACGGCCTGCTTTGTCACCAACGTCGACATATCGGTGATGCCAAATTTCGACCATTGATTGGAGACTCTGAGGTATGTCTTCTCCTCCGCTCTCGCGCTTCAGCAGCTCATTTGCAACAGTAAAAGCACTGCCCAGGATTCGAGCACCAGTTGGCACGTCCACTCGAAGAACAGATTTCATATATTCACGGTTGAGATTGTCTTCCTCATCGGGCCCTTCGAAGGCATCGGCTAGTCCGATGACACAAGTTACAGCAGAGGCAACGGAAAGAAGCAATATCCGCTCATCATGCCGCGAGGGACTGGGAGCACCCGAAGCTACCTCTGCGCCTCTACTTGGCCTCTTCCTCTTCTTACTAAGCTTATGCACCGTTTCCGCCCCGTCGCTGGCTTGACTTTGCGTTGAAGCCGCGAGAAGCGCTTCTTCAATCCGGTGACAAAAGTTATGGGAGATCAAGAGCCGAGCAGCGCTTCGGACAGGGAGTCTTCGGGCAACGCGTCGCAAAAGCAGCCATGATCTAGGTTCGGTTCTCCAACTATGTGCAGATGGTCAGCCGGCCGATTTCTTTTCAAATGACTTTCCCACAAGTGAAAAAAGAACTGTTTACATGTCTCCGGCGCCTTTGTTTGTCGAGAGCTTGCTCAAGATCCACCGTAAAATCCATTCTTCTCGTGCCCAGAAGCGTATTTCTCGTTCGTGCGCATCCTCATTCGATCCATTGAAGTTCTCGTTCTCGTTCTCGAGCTTGATTATGCTCGAGGCTGCGGCAAGCTGGTCTTGCACAGAAGCGGTACTTCTCTCAAGATTCACTAACGCCTGGTAGGATGATACGCTTTCCTGCCAATCCTGCGCAAATACAGTGAGACAATGGAATAAATTGTGATCATCCTGGAAAGTCTAACTTACAACACTCATGGGTGCCATAGCGCTGGCTGCAACAATGTTTTTGTCTCCGTGACGACGTCAATTTCAGAAAATATAGAGACTTTCTCAGAGTGCGTTCTGATTGGCCAGAAGCGAACGAGCCGCTATTTACGGTGCAACCAAATGGAGAGCCGAAGCATCAAGAACCTCAAGCACGCGCGACATTGACCGCTTGCGCTCAAGTCCCATTGCACTTCTTCACTCATCTCAATTGCCATAGTTCTAGGTTGGTCCTTGAGAAGATGCTTTGTAGATTTACCACTGGCTTACACGCTCTCAATAGTGTGAAAGATGTCTTCGGATTCAGCTTCCTCTCCCCCTGCTGTGCCGCGCCCGGCAAAGCCGGTCAGCGAAGCTCTCTTGAATGAGAAGGTACGAATACTATTATAACCCTCTCTTTTCATTCAGCCAGTACTTACAAGCTCGGCTGAATGTACCATCGATCATTGTGGATTTATAAGCTTTCCAAGCGCTCCTTAGCCCTACCCATGCAGTGGATGGCTTTGGCGAAACCGTGGCTAACATGAGTAACTTGTAGTGGGACCAGTGCCTCTCCTCCCTGTTGATTCGGTCGTCCCTCGGTTTATCTTTCGGTGTCGTTTTTTCTGTCCTTTTGTTCAAGCGGAGAGCCTGGCCCGCCTGGGTTGGTCTTGGTTTCGGTGCTGGACGTGCTTGGGAGCAGTGCGACTCAGCTTTTAAGAACTCGGCGGCAACCAGCAATGAGGGACTCCGTGTGGCTAAACAATAGAGCGGGAAAATGAGCTTCGATGGACGGGTGGGAGCGCATATCAAGCTCTCTTTAATGCGAGGTTTCGTTACGTACTACAGGACTTGGAATCGATGTATAGTTTTAATATGGTTTACAAGTCGATTGTAAAATCTATGTTTGGAAATGAGCATTCACTCCAATTGTCCTTTTTTGGTTTCTCTGTACTACCCCACTATGGTTTCAAATAAGTGGTTACGATTTCCTGTGAAATGCAACACGTTCAAAGGACGAGTATGATTGTAAGACGCATTGAACACTAAGAGTTGGAAGGCAAACGCTAGGTAGGTAATCTCATTCTCTCTTAAACTCGCTGACCCGTAATATTTTGTACGCGCTCTTGCATACGACAGAAGTTCCCAAAAGAAAAATATAACTGATATCGAAAGCCAATTGCGCCCAAAAAAAAATGCTGATATGAAAATATGCAGAACAAAATGTGTCCAACCGTTGTTCGAAACAAGAACCATACCCTCTATTCATATCCCGCGTAGGTACCGACCGCTGTGTAAATTTACCGCATAAACGTTCAACAATAACTAAACGACTTTGTATAGAACCTCCGGATGCACTTTAGAGACGGCTGAACGCGGAAGAAGAAAAAGGTGAAGATTGCCACTCTGAATTCTGCATATCCATTCCAAGGTCCGCAGAATCAAACATCGGCATAGCTAATGGCTCTAGGGGAACGCCAGTATGACCGAGATGAGTAAAGCACCCGGTGCAGGAGCATCCTTCTCCGCACTGACAGCTGCCACCTTCGTTCGAACACTCTACCTTCAGCGGGTATTCAAGATGATAGTAAAGTGAAGGTGAGTTGATAAGTTGAGGTTCATCGCCGTAGAAATTATTGATCGCATCAAAGGATGCCCGTTGTGGCTCCGAGCCATCCATGCTTGGCAGGGTAGCTTGCGACCCAGAGCGAAGATTCTCTGAATGGGAAGCAAACGCATCCTCAGAAGGCCGCTGAGCGGCACTCACAGTACCTTGAAGCTCTGCTGGCGATTGGTGTGGAGGCCTGGGCATCGCGTTACCACTGCAGCAGGCAGATTCCGCTGATGACTCTGGAACCGGCCCAGTGGGTGAGTCACTATCCGATCCGTCGTAGTGATTCTCGTTGACCATGAAGTCATAGATTGATTCAGCGAATTTAACGGAAGTGTCATTGTAAGGATGAGTAGGGCAGGCCAGACAACTGCAAGCATCGCCGCAATTGCAATCATGTCCAAGGCTCTCCAGGATGGAGTTGTTCAGCTGCATTGGATAATTCATCGCTCCTGGGGAAAAATTGTGCTGGGGTCCCTCGGCTAAAAAAGGGATGTGTTGACCATTGGCAATACCAGGTAGGCTTGGAATACTCTGATACGATGAGGCATAGGAAGACGGAAATGTGTAGGGTTCACCTCGAATGTTTGAGGATCTAAGTGAGGAGGATGACCTTGAAGAGCTTTCAGATGAAGTGGCGGTCCTTTGCTGCGACGGAAGAGAGTGGTCATGTGATTCGGCTTGAGGGACCGTCGACACTTGGAAGCCCGACGGTGACGTTTCTCGAGCTTTCAGAGGAGACTGAGCCGAGGGACGAGAAGATTCACGCTTAGGACCACAGCATCCACCCGCAGGCTTTGGTTGCTGCTCTGTAATTGTGCTCGCCGGACGGCTGTATGATTCGCCATAGGGACTTGGCCAGGCACCGGTCCAGCCAACCTCGTCCTTGATTGCAGGGTAGCCGCCGCTACCCGTCAAGCCAAGGCGCAAAGGCGGCTGCCCAGACTGTCGACTTGTCGCAGACATGGTGGGGTCCAAGGAAGAGTAGGGAGGTTGTTGGTCAACGGTGGAAGTGGGACTGAAGGCAAAGTTTGATGAATAGGGCACATTCGGAGGCATATTTGGAGGTGGGCCTGATTGAAAGGGAGACCGTGAAGCACAGCTGAGGTTTTCCACTATGGAGCTCTGCTGAGGAGCGGTCGGCGCGCGAGACCTATTCGATCTTGCGATAGACTCAGGCACAACCACCATTGCGCTCGTCTTCCTTTTGCTGGACTTTTGGACTCTGTGCGGCGAGGAAATGGCCCCAGAAAGGAGTGCTGGAACAGACCGTTGTTCCCCTGCTGGGCCTGGTTCGCCAGTAGCTTCAAACCTGGGTGTCGAGCTCGCTGCATCGGTGGAAGAGACGGTTGGTCCGCATGCGCAACTTGATTCTAGAAACGAAGTCAGTGCGTGAGCTCGTGAGGCTAGCAAGGAAGAACTCACTTCGAGGCAAAGCAAGTCTGAGCCTATCGCAAGTGCAGTGTGATCCGACATGAGGGCAAGTGCTCAGAGGCCGGCCAGGTTTGCGGACCTCCACAAGAGTGCGGTCGTGATGCTGGCATTTCGAAGAGCGATGTCCGCGGATACAAGGCTCACTGAGATCAGGTTAGTCTCATAGACTGAAAACATCTGGACGACATCATATCAGAAAGAACATTTGTGAGGACGTACCAGGCAAACTTTCGGGGCTTTCCGCTCACGAGAATCTCGGGCATGTTGTCAGGCTGATCACTCTTGAAATTTTCTCGGAAGTTCCCGAGAGGGGTTGAAGTCGACGAGCGAAGGGCGGAAATAGCACTTTTGAATCGCTGAAGAAGATGGAGAAGAAGTAGAGAAGATGAAGGCTCGATATTGGCAGAGAAGGGGTGCTGCCAGCCCAAATATATATCATCAAGAGAAGGCTCGGTGCATTTGATGCGACAGCATGTAGAGTGTGCTGGATGACTTTCGATACGTAACCAGCGGAGGTGGAGGTGGTCGGAGGTCAAGGATCGGATTTAGCCGTTTCAATGTACTTTTCGTTTGTGCAGGGCTGCCCTTCCAACCGCCCCCGGTCCAAAGCTTAAAGGTGGGGAAAGGGAAACGCCCAGGATGGCTCGACAGGGTTTCTCCCGACTAGGGGGGTCCTGAAGGATTAAGACAGCATGAAACCTAACCTTGGTCTCCCGCTACCACCATCGAAACACGCTGCGTTAACAACCCACTATTCAGCCATGTCGAGACAATGGCGCTAGAATGGTGCAAGAGGATGAGGACAGTAGGGCAAAAAAAAAGTTGGGGCAGAATTGTGCCTGGGTTCTGGACCCTCTCTTTCTCATTCCATTTAGATGAGATGTTCGACTATTACCTCTTAGGGCATTGGCGACTGACCGCAGGGACAGAGAAACGCGTGCCTTAGTCGCGACTGGATCTCTCCGTTGCGACCGCGTCGTATACTGGCTGGAGAAAGCAAAGTGGCAGCCACGAGCAGAGCATTTCTCCTATGCGCTAGGACACAGAATAACCCGAGGCGTGCAGCTTCTGGCGAAGCCCTGGATTCCAGAACGGCCAGCCATCGGGACGAAACGAGTAGTCGCAGGACCAAGTACTTCGAGGTAGATATTAGGGAACAATCTACACTGATTTGGGCACCAGGGGACAGACCATCGACTCAGGATGAACTTTTGGCGAATTGTTTCGATGCAACCCAATTTGTACACTAAAATCGACTACGACAGCTTTGATTACCCAATTCGACAGCTGCTTCCGTCCTGGATCATGGCCCATTCTCATTTGGAATGCGGGATACGGAAGCGAAAAGGAGAACGTCTAGTCAGCCCTAACCGCAAAGTTAGGCCTCCTTCGGTCACCTCTTCTGCGACGGCCGAGAAAAAAGGATCAAATCATACGTATGCTTAAAGAATTGGCATGTTTAATTCGGGACCATTTGCGACTTTTCTCGTCCATCAATTCGGAGTCTATTCCTGCGATATTCAAACTAGAGGGGTTACTTCAAACATGAGCTAACATGAGCTTTCATGTCACATGCGCTAAATCTGTCTCAAACCCACAGAAGTTTACCATGTGAAGAAGATAGGTATGGTAACAAACATGGCTCACGAATGATTCTAAACCGCATGACGCATCGAAGTTTTCTCACGGCCTCTTGGCAATTACATTTGACAAACACTAACATCAGAACAGACGGCTCACACGGCCTGAAACTCTCCAAGGTCCAGGCTAGAAGCTTGGCGATCGATGAGTCTAACATGAGTTTAAAGGATGCCGCACTGTAGGGGTTGTGGCCGACCAGTCCTGCTGTTTACGCAATTAAAGCCGTCAATACTAGAACTTCCTTAGCCAAGAGTTTGGGGTTCAAGTTACCCACCTTCATTGGACTTCGATTTTCGCTGAAACTCAAGCATCGTCCCTGGACTCGGCGCACGGGGGCCCCTTTCGATGGCGTTGATGAAGCTTGGCGGTCTTAATTCGGCTGATCTGCGCTCATAATAGAGCCGAATAAGTTACTGCGTTCGCAACACATGCATCATGACATTTTGTGTGGCTTTCGATGTCTGACCACATGATGGCAAGGCCAATTATCAGCTTTGACAATGCTGCTAATGCGCTCCTGGGCAATGGTTCGCAGAGTGAAACTAGTATCATCAACTGCATCTTACCCTTGGCCTGGCGTTATGGGTTCGAAAAAAGTTTTCTCGACACAGCCAAGGGTCAAGCTGGTCAAATATTACTAGCGGGCACGCTGTACGTGATCGATGAACAATGATTGGACTGACCAGCTTATAGCGGAGCTCTAATAAGGAAGAGACCGAGGGCGATGCCCCATATCGAATGGATTCCTGCAAGTTGCTTGTCCAATCGAGGCCGATGAAATGCTTCACAATTGAACGTGGGTTTCGACAAGTGAAAGCTTGACACATTGCGATCTATCCATTCCAAGTTCTCTACCACGAAAGCCTCAACCATTTTTTAAAATTTCTGCAAGAGAAATTGACCTTCAATAATTCAAGCTTGTTTGGACTGAAGCCAATGGATTTCTGCTTCATCGTCCCGAACTAATGCCCTTGGACATGTGCCACGCTGTGGTTCAAGGAGCATCGCCCCACGTCTCCAGATGCTCGGCGAGTGGACAACGGAAAAGCGGAGACGCATCTTGCCGCTCTCCGGCTCGAATGCGCACTTGAACGTCCAAAATGCTTAGAATCTCCCAACGATGATTGGGTACCTCGTGTTGGCTTTGGTGATGGTGGTTTCCTGAGAGTGACAAATTTGTGGGGCTTCGCCTCAAGTTTCCCTCTTGTCGCCTCGAGACATCTCTACTGATAACGGTTGAATTAGGCGTCAAAGCAGGACCCTCGTGCTATCATATGAACACGAACTACAATTATCATCTGTCATGACAGACATGCTTGTCCCTGCCCCACGAACGTCTAAGGACGTCTCAATACTTACCCCTGAGCCAAGTTAGGGTCGCAACAGGGATATGTCTTTAAGTTTGGTTGCTGATTTAATGGGTTCGGGCCGATCGAAGACGATCGATGACGGAAAGCGGTGGGAAACCAATGCGGGCTTAGCTCAACTCGGCATCCTTTCCTTTTGGAGAAGGCACCTACGTACTGTCCGTTCCACGCCACTCTCAATTGGTCCAAGCTGCTGTTATGGTCCTGCCTAATTAGGAACATCACGTGGGTGGACTTCTCGCCTAAGCAGGGCATCGTTTGAGGCGCACCGCCGGCACCCCAGACCGTTGGAAGGTTGAGGTCAAATGTCGGCAGTTCCTACGCTTTAAGTGGCATCAATATATGGCTTGTGCCCGGACTAAAGGTATGTGATTATTATTAAGCTATCGTCATGGATTCCCCAGTCCTAGAATAGCACATTGGGCGATGAATGCCTGCTTTCCCGCTAGCCCATCGGGCATTCATTTGACGAAAAAGATTTTAGAAAAAAGGAGGCCCCCTTTACCGCGATTTTTGTTTTAAGTTACTTCTCTAAGGTGTCATTTAGGGCCGAATGCTCTTTCCGCCTGTTCCTTGGGGCTGTTGTTTAGTCGGTACTAAATTTTTTCCTCGTAGAAAGATCCAAAATTTCCTCCTGATTCGGCCGTTCCAGCTGAAACCGACAGGAGTGTCCATCCGAAGCAGACTTTTTATGTCCGTGCTTGACCCTGCTGCGCCTCCATAGGTTTTTCTGCGAGCATTCTCAGATTTGTTTCGAGAAGCTCCGATCAAATACGCTCCACTCTGAGACAGGTTGATCTAAAACACAAAAGGCTCAAGTCCACGTCAAGGGCCGGTCCCACTTTCAACGGTCACTGTCACATGACCGCTCATGCAATGTCCATCTCGATGAACTCCGACCATGATGAGGATTCCCTGACGGATGATTTCTGCCTGTTTGAGGAACCAGAGGGCTATTTCCAAGCAGAGAAGCCCCCCACGTCAGCCACCCACGAACTGTTGTCTGGTGAAACAGTTACCGTGCGGTTGGTAGGACACAACCCTTTATGGGTATGATTTCATATTCGATTCAATGCATCCTATTGGGTGCTTTGCTGCTTATCGGCCCGCGGACTGACGTTGTCATAAAAGGGTCACCTATTATGGAATGCAGGACGCGTGATTTCGAATTACCTGGAGGAGCGGTCCGAGACTCTTATCCGGGGTCGGGATATCCTTGAGTTGGGGGCAGGGGCGGGTCTTCCAAGTCTCGTATGCGCCAAGAGAGACGCTCGTTCGGTTCGTCACACTTTACTATGGCCCGAAATGATCATTTCTTCAAAACGCCGTCATTATGATGTTGTAATATCATTGACAATGAGAATGCGATAGGTTGTTGTGACCGACTATCCTGATCCGGACTTAATCGAGAATTTGAGGCACAACATCTCTCATTGCAATTTGCCAGCAGGAGTTGATAATATCCATGCCGAGGTACAGCCTTGGATTGTCGATGCTCGGTCACATGTGCTAATGTTGGCAGGGTTATTTGTGGGGAGCTTCAGCAGAGACGGTTAGAAGCTATTTACGAGATCCGGCAACGGGTTTTGATATATTAATATTGGCTGACCTGCTCTTCAACCATTCCGAACATTCAAAACTCATTGCCAGCATCGAGCAATGTCTTAGAAAATCAAGAACTGCACAAGCACTGGTCTTCTTCACGCCATATCGGCCGTGGCTTCTCGAAAAGGATCTAGCGTTCTTTGACCTGGCCAGGTCCGCCGGCTTCAAGGTGGAGAAAATCTTAGAAAAGGTGATGGATAAGGTTCTATTTGAAAAGGACCCAGGTGTAAGTATTTATGACCTAGTAATATATACGTGGATTAACATGATTGCGCAGGATGAGCTACTTCGACGTACAGTCTACGGTTACGAGGTCCGGTGGGGTGACGGCAAAAATCCAGAAAAGCAATAGCGTCCAGCGAAGGCAGGAACTGTTTTATTGGCCATGACCGTTAATCATCTATAGCATAATGCTACTATATCACAATTTATTAATTTAAATCACAATATATACCCTGTATCAAACTTATCAATATTATAGTGTGTTATGACCTGTTCCTGCTTAGCGACGGGTAGATTAAAAGGCGTCAAGGCAGCGCAGTACAGGGCCCCGGCGTCGACTTGCGCTCGAGCTAAACTAACATACCCCACCAAGCGGGAGCCAAAATTTGCCCACGCAATCACCCCCGCGATGTCGTGAGAGAAGTTTTAGTTTGAGCGTCAAACTTCGACGTCAATTATAATGCCTGTATTCCTCCTAATGTATCACCATCAGTCAAGTATTTCCATTGAGCTAATTCAATTATTTTCAGCTAATCCTTCTGTCGGGCTTCCCTTCGTCGGGCAAGACTCATCGGGCTAAGCAATTGGTCGACTATTTCCAAGGTCGAATCGACGCCAACGCCTCTCAACCTACACCCGATCCACGAATCGCCCGGCTAAGAGTGCATCGCATTGATGATACTTCCCTCGGTCTAAGCCGTGAAGCGTACCGTGAAGCACGTACAGAGAAGGATGCGCGCTCTACGCTATACTCCGCTATCAGGCGTGCCCTTGGGCGCGACGATATCGTCATTGCTGATGCAATGAATTTCATCAAGGGATATCGATACCAATTGTTCTGCGAAGCGAAAGCTCTGCAGACTCCAAGCTGCGTTGTGAGTAATTTATTACCGACATGCTCCAAGGGTTGAATGCTTGGGAGATGACCGGTTGAAGCACGCTGGAAGGTGTCGTCTGGAGCTATTGCTGACAATCCCAGAGGTTCATATAGGAACGCCTATCGATACATGCCGGTCCAACAATCGACTACTTTTGGGTGACGATACCGTCGACGGAGGATATCCTGACGATATATTTGAGGATTTGGTTCGACGTTATGAGGAACCTAATGGCATGACACGATGGGATAGCCCGTTATTTACTGTGATTTATGATGATCCGAGCCCACCATGCGACGCGATCTGGGATGCGCTCGTAGGAGCAGAGGGTAAAGCGAAATTGGTCAAGCCCCATCAAGCCACGGTACTGGTATGTAGCTGTTCTGCCCTGCGCAGTGAATGGCCGTCCAATTATTTGAGAGGTCTCTTCACCATCTGAGGAATCATGGCGGCTAATCCATTCAAATCAATTGAACAGAAACCTGCCTCCGAATCAAACTACCTCTATGAACTTGACCGCACAACCCAGGAAGTCCTCACACACATCCAAACATGGCAAAAGGATCACCCGGGCGAGGAAGGAGGACAAATCTCAATTCCTGAAGCAGAACTGCCTATCGAACTGCCGGCATCGCCACTTTCCTTATCACACCTACAGCGGATGCGACGGCAGTTCATAACGCTCAATCGACAGCATACTCTCCCTAAGAGCAGGATACGGGACCTTTTTATCGATTATCTGAATACGAATTTTGCTTGAAAAAGCCATTTTCATCCCGAGGCTAGTCCACTCGACCCTAGACTTGCAACATATTCATTAATGATAATTTTCTGATGAACAAATTTCTACTGCATACAATCTCATATAGACCATTACTTATTCGCCCAAAAAAAAGCAGACAGTTTTTCGGAGTCTTCGTCCTTTGCCCTGCTCTGGCGTGATATTATAATGACATGTTGGCAACAAAACCTCAATTGTATCCAAAATTTAACTGCAACAACATTGTTGCCTGGAGAAAGTGGAGGCCGATGCTCTTTCTTTGTTATCTTCCAAAGACTTGTAGAAGATGAACTCATCAATTGCCAATTTGGCAATGACAACGAACACGGAGATTATCCTCCCAAGCTCTGAGCCAAGGCTACTGGATAATTTTGGGCGGCTGGAGTCCCTCAGAACACGGTCACGAGGGGGAGAGAAAACATTCTTCACTCATTTTCTCGGACTTCAATGCCGAAAACAGCAAAGCTTGACACGTCAGATTGATATTGCCCCTTGCCGTGTGGAGAAGTTAAAGGTCACAGGCCGCCAAGACGCCCGACGAGCAGATTTTATTTCTCGCACGTGAGCCATTCTTTCGTTAAGGAGCAATCCTCGGATTAATCGCAGCCGAGTACAAGCTTTTCCCCAGCTCAATTGTGCCTGCTTTGCCGCTTTCGCCGAGTATGCTTGTGTCGCGGATTCATATTGTGGGGTTAGTGTTGTATTGAAAAGCCACGCAAGCCACAGGCGGATCTGGGGTAGCGACTCTTGTCACTTTTCGTAGAGGAAAGCACGCCAAAAACACCAAAAATTGTGGTAAAGATGGGGATGCGATACCAATGCAATTCGTAGCAGGGTGGTAGTGGCTTGCAGTGGCTTGCACACTAATTCTCTTCCACCTGGGTAAGGCTGCACATTAGTTTCAATTGGGTTCTATTCTAACGACACAAAGCAGGGAAGGTTAAGCACTCTAATCCGTTGCCAGGTAGCGACGAAGGTTCATGACCAACCTCTATCTTGGTGCAGAAGTGCTTAGGGTGTTCTAAGGCCGAACGAAAGAAGAGCTTATGGCGCAATTCAGCTTCTCACATGCTGGAGCTGCGCGATTAAGGTAAAAGTCATGGAACTACTGAAGCGCTACGTGATTAACTTACAGCGTAGCTTTTTAGCGAAAGTATGGGTAGTACCCGTACTGTAACCACAGAAAAGGAAGCCTATCTAAGGTAGGTACCTTAGGTAGGACTAGAGGCGCGTTGCAGGTACTCCATGCAGGTAGAAGCTACCGAATCTGATACAGCGACCATCTAACTGGATGTGGTTTTGGCTACCATTAACTCTGTATAAGAGACAAACCCATTTGGCACTGCCAAATGCACATTAGGTAGGGGTAGTCTATAACGCAGGTGGCGTGTTGTTCCACAGTAAGGAATGCCTACATTTTAGAAGTTTCCTTATCCAAAGTCTAGTCGTGGGAGACATTCTCCGGTTAACATCTAACTAGACTGTTCCATACAACCCTTTTGTGCGTAGTATTTGAGGGAAAGGATCTAGACCTGGCTATTTCAGTAGTCCATTCAGCCTTTGATTCTACTTTGCCATCCCTCCCAAATTTATACGCTCAGGGAATGCATGGTCTGCTTACTCTATTCGCGGTTTCTAATGCCTCGTTCCGTCAAGGCCAACGGCGAGAGAATCGCAAGTCGTGATTTCCTACCGATCCTATTGAGCAAATAAGGCAAGGACAACCTGTTCATGACCCACGATTCAATCAATGTAGAATTTGCACGGCATTATGTTTGTGGAACAAGATTCAAGTCACTCGCGATAAAGTATGCCGCACCTCCAATGGCGAGCCTGCAGGAATTTGCAGCACCATGGACCTGACCTTTTTCGATACTGCGAGACTATGGTCAATAAAGGTAGTCAATGTGGATAATCATTGGGTTTCTTCTAGCATCAAGTCTGCATACTAGCATGCTAATATGGCGGTCAATCCTGCAAAACATCCTGACCCAGAGACTTATCGAGATAGAAGAAGATGCTTTCTGAAACATATATGCAACCAAGCCGGTGGGAAGAAACTAGGTAGTATCCTTGCCATGGCTTCCAATAAGAGACGAGTGTGCCGTTGAGTGGTAAGTTCCTAGTCGGGGAATAGGGCCTTGGGGGAACGGAACTTCCCCCGGCGGAGATTTTGCCCGTAGCCCCGCCAGTGTTGCTCTTTCGACCTCTCGACAGACCTACATAAAGACCTTTGCTTCGCTGAATCGATGAGAAACCAGCTGGATGGGTTCTCTAAATGGCTGGCTCAAGACTCGTCGTCTTGTTAATGCTCTGGGCGTTTTCCGGACTCGTCTGCGCGCTGTTTAGAGGAGAACCGGAGTCATATCCGGTGATCCGTCATGCTAATTTTTGGATAGAATCACCCTTTGACATGTACGCTGGTGTTCTAGAAGGATAGTCTTTGGTGCGAATGACGAGATTCAGGTAGGTATCGATGCATCCTTCAACCTTTTAAGCATACAATGGGCGATGACCAATGTCCTTGTCCAAAGAGCGATTACGATTGCTTCCGTTGCTGCAGAACACGAGAATGTCCTTCATTCCCCCCGTTGATCAGAACCAGAATAAATAACCGTGAAGCTGATTGTGAATTGGTTAGGTTCGGTCGGTCAAATCACTTTGACGGTTCCTATTCGGTTTCGTTCAAAGACGTAGTCGGATTTCCGTGCCATGAATAATAGCGACTGATCACTGGAAGAGACTTGAGCCCTTAATCCTGCGGACGCGTGTATTGAAACCAAGCCAGGCGCAAAATGGTTTCTCAACTTTTCTCAGCCCCAGTTCTTCGGATTCAAGACGTGCTGTTCAAAGGCGAGCGTCAGACGTGTGCAACCACTTTGGTTATCCCTTGTTATGGCTTCACCGAGAGAGAACGGCCAGCGAACAGTCCGACTCCCTGAACTATGCCCGTCCGGTATCAACCACTTGTGATATTTATGCGCAATAGCTTGATAGAAGGTAGGGCTAGGGAACGCATCAGCCTAGATCCAAGGGGAAACAGCGACACCAGAAGCTTTATACTCACGAGGAGAGGATATTAGCAACTGCACCCACAGTGTCAATTGCTTCGCTGATTAAAGGCTTGACGATGTCCGGAACTCTGGCATAATTCTCGGCCGTTGGCAGCAATGTCCACTGCAGATTCCTGGCGTTAATTTTCCATTCATTTAACGGCTTTGGAAGTGGGGAACTTGCTCGCATCAGATACCCAAGGAACATAGCCCCTGCCAAAAGCACGAATATTTCCTGTCCAGGCAACGTTTTGCACACCTCACATGCGAAGGAGCTCACGGTATGATTGTCCTGCGATGTCCGTTCCCGGAAAAACAAGTCGAAGTTTATAAATTCAGGTGGGCCAAGAATGACGGGTGCAGGAACGCCATCTGCCATCATTTGAAGTGCTGCGTCGCGAAATCTGAGAAATACCGTACTGGTCAAAGATTCTTCATAAGAACGACGCTCCCCAGGAAGGTGGCGACTGGGAGAATGGGATGTCGGCCAAGACACTGAGTGCTCGGATATTTTCCGTCTGCTGGGCAACGCTGGGTCGTCGATACCCGTTGCGAGTCGGTTCACAATCTCTGGGCAAGCTGTCGTGTCGCTGATGCTGCTCGGGGAAATTGCAGACGATGGTATGGCAATTGAGCTTTTCCGAGATGTCGAAATGTCTCTATCTCGAATCTTTGCTGATGCTGTTTGATAGAAGATTCCACTTTCTGGTTCCGAGCTCAACTTTTGGGATCTTTGCAGCTGAATATGAGGTTAGCCAGCCATGACGAGGCCGAGTGTTACGCTGGATGAGGAACTTAGCCGGGTGGGATTACCATGGAAAAGATGCTCGACATCGGAGACGCAAAAGTGGTCCCGTCTTGAACTCTTTCTGGAGCTTCATAAGCCTCGTTTGAACATGGATTGGTGCGAACGGGCTCAAAGTGATTTATCTGATATTTCCCATCGGTCATCTTCGGTGATCCGGGAGAGTCGTTTTCAGAGGCGCCGCTTTGGTGCCGATGCAGAAGGCTAGGAGACTCCTTATCAAAATCGTCTTCATCGTTTGCGCCCGAGATATCTTCGACGACATCCCCGGCATCTCCATCCAACACCTGCGAGCGAGAGGCCAAAGCAGTCGATTGGTGTAGTTCAGCGGTGGTCAGTATACGGCTAAGCTCTGGGTGCCCAGCCACCGAAGAAGCACGGAGAGCGTCGAAGAGATGTCGATATACATTCAAGTGGGCTTCGAGCTCTTTATTTTTTCTTCTCAGCATCTGATAGCGGTTTTCATTTTCCCCCGCGTCGTAAACACAATCCACTCCTTTCTCTAGGCAATTGCTGCATTTGGGCCTAGTTCTGTCACACTTTGCCTTTTTCTTACGACAGAAAAGACAGGCAGGAGCAACAGAATGGTGACGTCGTGGCCTTTTTGATGGCTTTTCAGAATCTTTTTCGGAACTCTCATCCGTCGCCACGGCGGACGAGGCAGCCGGGCGCAATGGTGGAAAATACTGGGACATTTGCGCTCGGCTACCTAAAGCCAGGGGCCACCGTTGCCAAAAGGCTGGGGAGTTTGAGACCAAGGGGAAAGTTGGACTTGGTATCAAACATGTAGCAGCTTGTGGGGCAGTGTGGCTTCGAGCCGTTTCGAATGGGAATGAGCCAGATGGCGGTTTGTAATTGTTGGGCGGCCAAGAGGATCTCAAGTGGCAAACTGGAGAAGCAAAGGGACAAATTTACCGCTATAGTCGTCGATACCCAGTTGATCAAAGGCCACTGAGAAAACGCGAGTATACGGTGTGGGGTGAAGGGGAGATGCTTCTGGATTAGAAAAGTCGTCCTACGCAGAAGCAGGCAACGGAATACATATTGATGTTACAAGTATGTATGCGGGTTGTCTTCTTCTTTCTCCTCCTCTGTTGTCCTCTTCCTTCTGCTTTCTCTTTTTACCCCCTCTCTCGCTCTCTCTTTCACAATTTTCTGGGAGTGAATGCACGCGCAAAGGGACAGATTGGAGGTCAAAAAGGATTTTGCAATCCTCGGAGGAAGATCCGATGGGCATTCAAGGGCCCTTTAGTTATACAGTAGCTCCCCATAACTCACTCTCCTAGGAGGGCTCCGTTCTGATTGGTCGGAAATTTGCGTAGCTCAATCCGCCAATGGGAGCTCATGGGGAAACGTCAATTGCGACAGACATTTTGCCGGCAACACACCAGGGACCACGTTGGTCCCCATGCCGGTCGTCGTCTACGTACTTGTCTTTTCTCCTACGGGTAAGGGACTGCTCGGCAGGGACGGATCTCATATCCAGATCCAATCGGGCCACACGCTGCTTCTTTGGCTCCTCACGATGTTTGGGACGATGGCTGAAGTGTCAGTCTCCGCTTACTGGAGACGAGCGCTGTATGCTTTACGAGAACCCAAACCTGGGGATCGTTTTTTTTTTTCAGACGGAAACTTGCCGCCTTTTCCTGCCGATTTTACAGTTCGCATCGATATTATCGCGCTTATCATCACGCCGCCCAGACTATGTTCAGTCCCGTAGAAACGCATGAGCCGCAGTATTTGCGTCTAATATAGTATAATACTTGACAAACCAAATCACCTAGAGTATGACTCTCCGCGCAAAGCCTTAGTGGCTTACATATCACCCCACGATCATCCGGAATCTCTCTCTCTCTCTCTCTTCAGCTTTGTTCTATCATATCATCTCTACTGCCCTTTGATTTTTCTTCCCTTCCCAAGTATGTATGAGGTATATGTACTTTCCACAAACCATATCTGAGCTACTTCACCTATGGCAGTAAAAGGAAAAGTAAAACTTAGGTCCCCTAAAATCCCGTCTTCTTTGGGTGTGTTGGTGTGGTTGATCCGCCACCTGTTTGCCCGCGTCCGCGCATCGCGCCTCGCTGTGGCAAATTTACTCCGTATCTCGTTTGAAACCCGCCCCCGCGATTGGCTGAAGTACCTCCGTAACTTCCACTTCCTGTTTCATGTAGTTTAACAGTAATAAGGTACACCGCTGTGTCTCGTTGGTCTCAACTTCACTCCCAGACACAACACCACCACCCAAGTAAAAATAAAAAAATGAGAGGGGCTCATATGGTTTTTAATTCATTCGAGTCAAGCATAGTTTACCCTTTGACCCATCTTTTTTCTTCCTGTGGTTCACTTTCACTGAAAACTTTTTACTAGAGATAATTGGACGGATCCATCTTCCGTCATCAATTTTAAACTACTGACCTACCCTATATCAAGTTAAGCTGGCCCACCCCTCTCTCCCCCCCCAAAGCGTGTCAAGTGTGGCATATCTACTCCTTAGAGAGTCGTCACCACGGGGTTCACTTGCGTTGCTTTTGCCCGCCTCCCCTCCCACGCCCCCCGCGGGGGCTCGCTCTACTATTGTTGGCCTGGCTTGGGCTTGGGCTTTAGCTTTGGCTTTTTTTTGGGGAGGGGGGTTCCTGGTCCTTATAAGTTATCTTTTACATGTAGTTTGTGTTCATCGAATACTAGGTACCTACCTACCTTAGGTAGGGACATGTGCGAGGCAGATGGTACGTCACACTTGGATTTATTGAACTATTAAGCCGTGATAATCCGTAACCCGTAACCTGTAACCCGAGGGGATAGGTGCTTGGTGCTTGTTGGTGACATACATATTACAACGCGAGACAGGATGTGAGTGTTAGGTGACATGAATACCTTACCTTACCTTACCTTACCTTAGCTTGCCTTAAGATAGTTACCTTTAATGTACTCAGTAAAATGAAGATGGTGCGGAGGTATGTCCTATCCAATAAACTATAATTTATGTTATATGGTAAACGGTTTCTGGTTTCATGGTTGAATATCCCAAGGTTTATGGTCCGTGGCTTTTGCTTTCTGGTTTCTAGTTCATGGATTACGAAATATGGGCTATGGAATATAAATTATGGAAATGGTCATGTCAATGGTACACTCTATACTCTGTAACACTACTCAAATACTATACCATGAATGAGTTATAATTCATACAGCGTCCCGCGGTTCTGTTGCCAACTTCTTCTTCCCCACCCCAACCGCCTCCAACTTTTCCGAATTTCATGTGACGATCCTTTTTTCAAACGTTTCTGTTTTTTTTTTTTTTTTTTTTTTTTTTTTACCTTTTCGAGTACCGGTGGTTCAATGCGTTGATAATTCCGTTTGGAGGCGGCAATGTGGCGATGTGGCGATTATGCAACGTGGCGATAGGAGTGAGAAGTGAGGAGTTGGCTAGGACTTCGCTCTACTACGCTATAGCATGGCACACGAATTGTGTCATGTCAATGGACAAGAAGCGGAAAGAGGAGGAATGCGGAAGGGTCTAGGAGTTGAGAAGGGCAAAGTCGAACGAGTCCAATGGAGAGGGATATGTATACATAAAGGAGGCCCTTAAAGAAGAAAGAAAAGAAAGAAAAACAAAACCGAAACCGAAAATAAAATAAATAAGATAAAAATAAAATAAGAGAATGGATTACAATGACGAAATACATCGTGTATAATATGAAGGAATGAGAAGAACCGAAACGGGGCGAGATATAACGAATTATTAGTCCTTAAGCTCAGAGAGAGTATGTGTGTCGACTTGTGAACACTAAATAAATACATCTACTGGGTTGATAAAATGTGACTGCACTCCGCATCAACACACGTGTAATTGATCAGTCCTATACGCTATCTGTCCGCGTATCGTCCTTTGTTATATACCGAGAAAAACAAAATACCATTGTGAGAAAAATAATCTAATAAAAGGGGCGGGGGAAGAAATATAGGAATAAACACGTCTATTTCTGCGTCTATCTATCTGTCGATTGCTTTTCCCGAAAGTGTAATACAATGTACTTGTTTATCCTTTGGTATGTTCTCTATATGTGCTCCTCCGCCTTCTTTCTTTCCTTCTCGTCAGTCTAGATTTATTCAATCCCCACTCCACCTCTGACCCCCTTCTTCCCCGTTCCATATGTAAATATGTTCAAGGTATATTTGCTCAGCTGATCAAATAGTTCCCCTAAAGGTAAGTGATTCGATTCGAGCTCTTGCTATTCGCACTTCGCAGGCAGAAGTGCTTTCCTGGCCGTAATTCATTCCTCTCTGTGTAAAGGATACGTTTGACTCTACAGACATGGCCAAGTCTTTGCGTTCCTCGATCCAACGGCCTTGACTGCGGGAGCAGCTGTGGTTCCTCGCGTTTCCCCATTCGGAGACCATAAACGGCTGTTTAGATTCTTCGTTTCAAGAGGCCCTCCTGAATGGAAAATGGGACCTGGAGACCCAATATGGACGATTAAACGCGGCCATTCCCAGGCATGTTCTCCGATTTAAATTGGACACATTCCCAGATGGAGTCCTCAGAACCGGCAAACCAGAAAATGAGAGGTTAGACTGGTATTCCAGAGCCATTGCGATGGAGAAAAATATCGGTTTATATTCCTGGATATCCCAGCTTCTCCAGAAACTTTTCGGTTGATGGAATCTTGGCTTCCGGAAAAATCCTGTCCGGACTGGTATCATCATAATAAGATCAGCTTCCTTCTTCAGCCACGATCATACCGGTAGGCTTCACTGGTAGATTGCTGTGGACTGAGGCGCCGAATTTCCGTTGCGAGGCTCTGGAGGCTGGCCATCTGCGCACGAAGGTGCTCATGTCCGGAAATATCCTGGGGATCCTGGAGAACATTCAATTGGCCTTGCAGAGTAGATATCCGGTGCGCCCATTGGTCCTCCATTTCCTTGAGGTGCCTTACCTCCTCCGTCTGAAGAGCTTCCAAGTGCACGGCCATGGCAGGTGTGCTCGGACGAGAATCCCGCGAAGAGACAGACTTTGACCGCTTGACTACATGGGCATCTACGCTGGATGCGCCCTTCCGCTTGCGAGAGGCCTGAAGTTGAACATTGCTTGCGTGGCCGCTGACTGGCGACGCTGCAGGGGAGGTGCTCCCGGTTGAAGAAGGGCCTTTGTAATCGTGCACTCGTTTCATGTGGTCATACAAATTCCATCGACGAGGAAATCCGTTTCCGGGAACTGAGCGGTCACATCCTTCATACGAGCATAGGTGAGGCTTTTCACCATGGCCGTGCATCCCATGGGCTTCTCTTTCATGTCGCAAAAGACATGCAGTCGATGAAAATCTAGATTCCAAACAAGCGACAACCTTGCATCGATACGGCCGAAGGTGGGAGTCGACATATTTACTAACCGCCAAAAAATAGATCAGTCATCGTCGCGACAGGTATCAGGTAAAAGTACTATGGAACTTACTCATAATTGCACTTTAATTTAGCAGGCTTGTGAGCGCATCCCTCTTGACCCTCAAAAGGGCAATGATAAAGACCATCTGCCTGCGGCGCGGCTTGATATAGCGGATTGTCTCGAGCTGGACCGTTCTCGCTATCCTCCTGTCTCTCGTGACGCGAAACATTATCCTGGACGGAGCGAGCAACGTGCCGTGCAGCCGAAACGACCGGCCGAGGCTTCCCGGTCACTGATTTTGAGATTCTGATGGTGGGATACATGTTAGAACAGTGCTCCACTGGAGGAAACTGGATAACCTGCCTAGCAGCTTGCTGGCGCTGAAGAACTCCTCGGGGAGAGAGCATGGGCTTAGGATCACTCAAGTCTTCAAACAACGGCTGGCCAGGGGAGCCAAACGCGCTTCCTTCGATTGAAACGTCGCCGGTATGTGTGAATGACGACCTCCTTGAACTAGGCTGTATTGCTAAGAAATCTGCCGCTTGGCCAAAGGCAGGGGTGACAAAGTCAGCCTGAGGCGGCGAGAATGGTGACGCCAGCTTCTCTGAATCAATATTTGAAACACTTGGCTGCAGGGAGCTCATTGAGGGAGCCTCGCTAATACTGCTGAGAGTGTCAATCGACTGCGGTGCTCCAGGAGACCAAAAGCTCAGCGGCCCTGGCAGCTCGCTGTACGAATTTGACAGTGGAGCTTCGTAGTTATATACCGGCGAACAGATAGTCTCGGTCTCTGAAGCAGTGGAGAGAGATGCGGATGGCCACATGGTATTGACATTGTACAGAGGGCGCAGCGGGTCTTGGCCGACTTGAGAGGGAGTCTCGAACATAGGGAAATCCCCATTCTCGCTAGCATCCGCTCGTACCTGTGCATATGAGCAATCCGTGTTCTCTGGGACAGCAAAGTCATCTTCTCGCGCATTAAAACCCTGAGAAGCCTCATTGAAAAATGTCTGTATCCGGCTGGAATCCTGAGTGGGAAAGAAATGTCCGTTCAAACGGGAAGTAGAAATGGTTCCACCACGGCCTGAACTTCCGGTAGACAAAGGGTTCCAAAGGTTCTCATTTGAAGGAACGGCCGAATCCATCCTTGTTTGACTTGGGTAGGATAACTCTGCGCTCTGTCTGGCAACGGGCCGAAGATCCAGGGTCATGTCAAAGTTCTCTCCGGCAGAAACGGATCCAAACTGGAACGGCCTTTGCTCCCATGAATGGCACCCCTGGAAAAAGGATCCCTGGCTGGGTTGATCCACGGATTGTTCTGATGTCCGGCTATCCATTCTGGCCGCTTGAGACCTGGACTTTGAGTTTACAGAACTCTGAGAGGAGATACGAGGGATATCCTGTTTCGCTTGACAGCTGTTTATGGGGGAAAGGTCAGTATACGGTCCCTTTTACATAAAAATGTTTGACAACTTGAACACCATTGCGCCTAAACAGAAAAAGCAAAATGCAGAGAAAGAAAGGAACAAGATTAAGCTAAGCCCTGCCATTATTTACGTTAGCAAAGACATGGTAATATAGGTATTTCAAGTACAGACCTTCAGTTAGGTTCTCGATGATTGCTTTTCATTCCAGAATTCCAGGGCGGAGTCGTCGGAGTTGTCCAAGTAGGTCACATGTCAAAAATCCAAAGCAAGGCACAGGAATCCAGGCAATTCATTTCCAGGGAAAATAAAGTTGAGATTGAATGTTCGACTAAGCCAAGGAGAAAACGGAACCAAAGTTGCCAGAGGAACAACTTGGGACATCGCATTGTTCATCTTCATCTTCATCGCATCGTTAGTCTCAATATCACCCGTTTCGCCCGGAGAAGAGCAAAGAACAGCGAAGTTAAACATGTTGGGATAACAAAGCTTACGTATTTCATGCGCTTGAACGGTATCAGTCCGGCCGGCACATTTTGTAAATGACACGACTGCACAGGATTCCAGGTGAGATTCAAGGCGGCTTAGCATCATCCTGCAAGGAAAATGCAAAATTCCAAAGCTGAAATATTCCATTGGCCAGAAAACGGAGGTCCAAGTACATCTATGGGATCCAAATACGGCATTTTTGATACGAGAAAGCGGTCCAGGGTAAAGATGTCCAGGCAAACGGCCTTTTGATAAACGAAGAAAAAGAAATACTCCAGAGAAACCTCGAAGGCATTGCAGTCCATGTTGTCCGGCAAAAAAAATCCAGAAAGGGTAAAGTCAAGCGGCCTGATCCAGTAACAGGGAAGCGCTGCGACGTGGTCGTCAGCAGCTAATGCATTTCAGTTAAATACCTCTTTTCGCTGGCCAGTGAATAGGACTAGCTCAGCGGAGGACGGACAACTCAATTGCCGCGGGTCCACTCGACCCTACAGCGAGTGTGCACCTATCCTCGAGGCAGTGGAGGCGCTGGCCAATGGGCCAGCTCTCCGGTCCAGCAAATCGGCGCAGTGGCACGATGAGACACGTCCAGGTTCGGAAATATAGGGATTGGTTTTCCGAGTTGGGCGGCCGTGGCAGGAACCAGCGACCTATGCAAAACGAACAGGATTGATGGAACTGGATCCATTAGGTACGGCCCAATGTCGTCCTCTGTGGTCCTATGGGTTGTGTCCTTGCTGGGATGCTGGGGCCGAGAACATAAAAGAAAAACCTAAATGGGATCCGGGGGGGGAAATTGTCCTCTGGTTCCTGGGAGTATTGATAATCCATGGCTATAACTCCTGATTAACGGAAAAGATGGTGGACTCCTGTTCGTCCAAGCTGGACTTGGTGGCCTTATTGGAAGACAGGACTGCGAACCGGAACCTACCGGGCAGAGAAAAGAAACAGAACAATAAAATAAAAGAAAAAGCAAAGATATAAGATAAAAAGTACATAAATGTTCGGCAACAGCCCGTTGGCCACCAATATGAAATAGATCAAAATAATAGAAAATATTTAAAAAGGGCGTTACCTGATGCGGGCGTTCCGGCAATTTCGACGATTGATCATTCTCTGGCCAGAAGGACTCATGCAATCATTGGTTGACCTCGACCCCAGAAACTAATATAAAATAGTTTGCGAGGGTGAAAGAAAGGAATAGAGAAGAGACGTTTGGTTTGAAAATGTTGGCGTATTTGGAAGGTCAAATAGCAGCTAAAAGATATAAAATGGTTTGTCGTATGAATGATCTACCTGAAGCAGTTCATCCGAGGATATAGCTCTGTGTGATTCAAAGAGAAAGAAGCTGTGATGAAGAAGGAAAAGTTCATCTGGCTCCGCGGGCGGGGGGAAGGGCGTCCTTAAAGCGCGCAGAGAGAGACACAGAATTCGCGCGGGACCAGAAGAGGGGGTGTATGCGAGCGAGAGTCAGTAAATCCCGTTTCGTGATGGTGACTGGGGTTGCATGCCGCGCAACGTGCCAGGGTTCGGGGAAGAAGGGATCGCTGGTGGTTGGACGACACATGGCTTCAGAGTGACTTTTTTGGCGACTTTGCAGGGGTTTTGAATGCAGTATCAGCACTTACTGCACAAGTAGGGCGCAGTCATCAAGCCCCTCCTCAGCAGAAGAAGCAAATGAAAGCAGAGTGTAGCGATACAAGCTTGACACGCGACAGCAGAAACTAAAAGGATTGGATACAACGGGATGGAGCGGGCCGGCCGAAGAAGCAAGCCACTGGTCACCGTCACACTCTTGGCTTCCCCTTGGCTGCACGTTGTTCCCACCCCCTCCCCCTTTTTAGGCAATTCATCGTCCGACGTGGACGGCTCACAGCGACTCACCGACCATTGCAACACAACACGAATGTCAACATCCCTGACCTTTGGCTGTGTAATAGAGTAATACGTTGTACTCGTAACAGAAAGCGCAGAGATATTGGCCGAGGATCCACTTTTCTTGCTCTTCCTCTTGTTTCCCCTTTTCCTGCCATCGATGATCAATCTCCATGACGGTCACATCGTCGATCTATGGGTGCCAATCATGTAGATGGAGTTTGCACGTCGATTTCACCCGCGATCGGCTGCTCTGCCCTGTTGATGTTCGCTTGGTTGCTTTAGCCGCCGGAGTTTCGCCGGCGTAGGGGACCGAAACCCCTAAATGACGTCCTCCCATCATATGTCGCTCATGAGAGCCTCGTGTTTTCCGCATTCAAAGGGCTCAATAACCAGGCATGATGCTTGACTGCGACCTCTTTTCAGGGCGTACACCCGCGAATACCGCGTTTTAATATAACTTTGCGCCTTGGCAAGGAAATTTGTAATCTCCGTTGCGGGTCACAGATGAAGGTGCTCTTCTTGCTACTGCCGACGTGCACTGGCCTCGGTACTCGTCGCCGTTACAATCGTCGCCACTTACATTCAGAAACGGTCATGAGGCATTTCAGAAACGTATAAATTCGTAGGCACGACGCGCATTCATTACACAGCAGATGGTGTAGAAGTTGAGGAGAAGCAGGAAACGGTTTCCGAATATGTCGACGAGAATGTTTCTGGAAGGAAGTCGTTGCGGAGTGAACAACAAAAGGTCACACAAAAAATGACCGTGGGCGTGGCCGGCGAAGCCTTTTATCCTTCCGTGCAGGGCGACGCTCATAATTGATCACATCTACTAAAGTCTTCACAGTGGGGACGCTGAGTTGTCCTACCCAGGGCTGGCTTGTGCATGATGCATCCTGCCAAAAAGAGTCACTACAAGGGGGCAGGAAAAGACGTGGGGGATTGGGCAGCAATGCTTCATCGCCCTGCCTTCGTCTTCCCCAGATTAAGCTACGAACATACTGTGCGTGGTGGTGAAGAACCCTAGCTAGGCAGATGTTAGCCTTTTTGCACTTAACATAGAAAATGCTGTGAAGAAGAGTGTTGCAGAGACAATAGCATCAGATAGGAGCGAAAGACGATGGTAATGGTTTTTCGTTCAGTGGTCATTGACCTCAGTTGAACTATGCATTTTTTGGATCATCAGAGTGCCAGGTATACCATCACAAGGACAGGGTCCAAGTATGGTAGAAATTGTGACAAAAGGGTTCATGAAATTAGATTGAATAAAACTTACCAAAGATGGAAACCTGTCCAGAATATGTGAACAAGCTTGGCATTCCGAACGATAAGAGCTGGCGATCATTGCCCCCTTTTCGAAGACTTCTGGAAGACACAGTCCCGACGTCAGGGGTCATCACAGAATGCCCTGATCGACAGCGAGCACAGCGAATTCCCATGATCTCATACTTCAGCTCAGGTCGACCCCTGACAGGAACACAAGGCGTCAAAAAGATGTTTCATCGACATTGCGATAATCTGCCTTTGGCAATAATGTGCCGCTTACGACAGATGATGGAATAATCAATTTCATTTCTCTTCAACGGATGATATAATGATCATCGCATTGACTCCGGAAGCCTATCGCTTTCATTTGCCACTGAAAAGGCCACTGATGACATTGTTCCGTGCTTGGATTGAGAGAAGGGTTTGGAGCTTCAGGTCATGAAGAAATACTGCGAGAAAATGTTTACTGGTTATGTAAGCAGGCGCTAACCGGATACACTTTTTAGCCCGAGCAGCTCGATGGGGGCTATACCCCCATCCAACTTATGAGGGTGATAAAATTGGAACCTTGAAGGAAGAAAAATAGCATTATGAGGACTGTCTAAGTGGGTATCAGCTTGGATTTTCTCGTAGCTAAAACTCCTAAATGATTTTTTGTTTGATCATTCTTGTAGGTTTATACATAAACATTGAAAGCGTGATATCAATATGTCAATTAAACCCCAAATAATCGGACAGCTCCGCAGTAAAATCCCCAACCCAGCATATCTCCTAGATTGCAAAACGGTTATTCTTATGAGAAAAAAGGAGAAAGAGATGAAAAAATGAGCGAAAAATTTCAAATTATGATATATGTACGAAGTACGAAGTAGATAGCTATCTATTTTGGATCATTCGTTGTGCTCAGCTCTTGGTTTGGGTTGGCAAGCTTGGGCCCGTGGCTGTGTTCTGCTACTGATGCGCCACATGGGATCCTGGCAAGCACTAGCCACATCCTTCAATGACACCAGCTGCTGTTGGCCCGAAGCTCAACGTAGCATTATCATGATCCTAGTTGAGAACAAATAGACCAACAATGGCGAGAGATGCTCGAACGGCCACACAGGGACTTAGTCCAGCATCAGTAGATCTTACCAGACTGCTTTCTCGTCTAGAACGCGTTATATTACATCCCGACAATCCCGTGGATTTAAGCCGATCTCCTTACGAGCGGACCAAAATCGGTGCAGTTAGTAGTCCCAGAGAAAACACAGCCATTCCTTCATATGTATGATGTGGTAGTCTGACCTTCTTTCCCTGTATAGAATTTAGAATATGCTCGCTCTTTACTACTGCGCTTAGAGCATGAGAATTCGGCAGTCAGGATACAATCAAAAAAGCATAGCGCTCAAGTAGATTTGTCGCAAAAACGCGAATTAATCAGGAAATTGAATGAGCGCTTATACGAGCTGGGGCAGGTATGATTGGACTACCCAAGAAAAATACCTGAGAAACGCACAAGCTAAAAGCAGGCTTCCAGGTTGATGATGAGGCATGGCAAGAAGACGAAGTCGAAACTAATAGCGATGACGAAGCCGAGCGCGAAGCCTTTCCCAGGCCGACTGACGGGGGAAAAAAAGAGAATGAGGTACACGCGGAATTCGGTGGTTTGGATCAGAAGGAGCGTGCAAATTACAATGGCGGAGCAGAATCCTCAAACACTCTACGATCACGTCGCCGTGTGTCTCTTCCCACGGATAGCGGTTTGGCGACAGGCAGCTCCCTTTCACAAACTGCGAAGACCGAGAATCTCTTGAGCCACAACCGCACAGAGCAGGAATCGCTTACCACTTCGCTGCTCAACATGGCTGAGGCGCTGAAGGCCAGTTCACTGCGGTTTGGCCAATCGTTAGAAGCGGAAAAGGAAATTCTAGATCGAGCCGGACAAGGACTGGAGAAAAATGTGTCATCGATGGAGGCTGCTGAAAAGCGCATGGGGACTCTCCGACGGATGACTGAAGGAAAAGGCTGGTGGGGACGGATGCTCATGTACGCCTGGATAACGGGATTGATGATCCTCGCATTCGCCATTGTCTTTGTTATGCCAAAACTCAGGTTTTAAAGAGCATGTCCATCGGCGTTGAGAATTGGTTTGAGATGGTATGCGTCAAGCTAAGATTGCGCAGCATGCATTAACGGACAAGTGCAGGTTTGAAATCTGCGATGATTCGAAGCCGGCAAGATTCTAAAGTTCTCCACGGCGAATCGCCCATTCAATACATCTTCTACATGCACAGAGCTTGATGAAGGTTGAGACCGAACATATTTGAAATGCAAGAGCTCGATCTGAGCAATAAGAGAGCTTTCAGCGCGGAATATCAGCTTGTTCTAAACCCACCTCAGGATCGTGGGCCCTTCGTCAAATGACAACAATTGCATCAGTCCGCTGATGCAGTACAATTTTGCGCACAGAGGCTTCCATCTGGCGAAGCCAAAAGCCTCACTTTCCTCATGAAATCGCAAAAGCTCAAACCCTTGCATGAACTCAATTTGAGAATTTCAAATCGGCCATACAAGCTCTGCCGAAGCAATTTTCCGAAACTTTCGAACGAGCTCAATCGAGAAGCCTATTTCTACTCATCAACCTTCCCGCAAATATGAATCACCATCACCGGTGTGGAAGAGGGTCGTATTTCGGGTCCAGCCGCAGCCTGCCGCTGCACACTCTGCAGTCGCGGTGGTCGTATGCCTCTCGCCCCAAGCTTATCCGCAGTAATAATGTCTCCGCCTCGACCTCCACAGCAGCAAGCTCCAATGCCGCCGCTTGCGAGATTGTCGCCGATGCGCGCATCTCGGTAAAGAGATAATCGTCTACACTGTTTGGATCGCTCTCAATATCGACATATATTGGCTTTTCGGAATCGTCGTTGAGAAATGTATCATGAAATGGGCCAGACGCTCTCTCCCCATTCCTCAGAGGAACGGCCGGTATCATGCTGATGTACATCTGCGCCTTTGGATGAGACGCTTGCAGCAACCTCTGCGCCCGTTCTTCTGTTCTCCTTTTCAAAACATTGTATTTCCTATTGACCGACTGGATATTTAGTTTGAGCTCATGAGCTCTGGCATAGAGATTGTGTAGCTTGTCGACTAGTTGAGTAGACGGATGCAGGTTCTGCCCATGGCCTTGACTGTTCGGAGAACGCCTGTGTGCATTTTCCGGGAGAGCACTACCGTGCTGGACCTGTCAGAGATTGTCAGCTCCAGAGTACAACATAGAAGCCCCGTATGGATGACTATAGCTAAGGTCACGGCAGATTGATGCTCGCTATCATGAACTTAATTAGTGAGGATGGGCAGAGACTGGTGAAAGCGCTCGGGAAATGTATTTGTGGCGCGGGATTTATCGTAGAGAATGGCCCAGAAATTTCTTGTGTTTGTCATGATAGGAAGAGTGCATTTCCAAAAATCTGATTCTGGGTAGAAGGTGGTTTCGTTGTCCCAGCTGTGAACGCGTCCTATCCGTCATCCATCTCACTGAAGCTATGGAGAGTTCTACTCACATGTTGCCTTTCCATCGTCGAATAATTGATTCCACGCGCTTTTGGGGGCCCCACCGCTCCGCACTGCAGTCTATACGTTGGCTGAGTCCTGAATCGATATTACGAGTATGGCTGAGGATTCGTTTGTATAAAGGGTGGAACTGTAAGGATGAGACACGATAAATGAGAGAGAGCTTGATTCCGAACATGTAGTTCAACCGCTTGAACATGGTAGCCGAGTGACAGAATTGTAGAGGTGAATCACGGTTGCTACGGTAGTCCAGAGTCATGCCTTTCTTCTTCAGCGAATCTGTATCAAAGAGATTCGAATGGCGAGATCCAGGCCTTCCTGCCTAGATAGGTCTACACCGTCAAAACATGCAAACCGCGACATAATTACAGAGGAGGCAGAAGAATCGAGTCTATCATTTATATTCTACACTTTGGGTGATTATTAAAGAAAAAAGGAGGACAGCGTAAAATACAGATCAGACTTATATCCATCTAGATATTAGAACATCCAATCAAGCTTGCATCTTCAATGAATGTCTGCCTTCTCCAGGCGAAACAGAGACGGTACTATCCAAGAACAGACCATTTCAAATACAAGCTCTCTATAACCTGGATATTTCCAAACATAATAACAAAATTAGGTATGTGTCTTTATATCGGCGCCCAAAATGACAAAAAGATATATTTCATCCCCCACGGTTCCTACAATGGAAATATATCCATGCCACGATATAAGCTGTTGCCAGACAGTTAAATCGCACATAGAGTTATGGATATAGGAGTTCACATAACCACGCAGCAGCCTTCCAGCTTCTTGAAAATCTTTGGGACAACCTTCTTTACGATTTCCTCAACCTCATCAGGTTGCTGCTGTTGCTGCTGCTGTTGCGGTTGCTCCTGTCTTCCATAATAGGGCTGTTGCTGCTGGCCAGGATAGCCAGGCTGGTATTGCTGAGGGCGTTCTTGCTGGCTTGGATGGCCGGCAAAATGCTGAGGAGATGGCTTCTGCACCGGGCCGCCCTGCAGGTTGATATAGATCCGACCAGCGTTTTCCTCAGTCTCGTAATTAAGTCCAAGATCGCGGCAAAGCTGCTCAACTTTGGGCTTCAATTTCTGAAGATGATTGGCAGAATGGTTGCCCTTGCCGACAATGCTGCAAAATTAAACAAACTTTAGCTCGCATTCCACCGTTTTACTGATGGGCTCTCGCGAGTAGCCCTGATGATTCGCGAAGTGGCATGCAGACTTACACATGCAGATGTGTTTGGCCCTGCGCCTGCGCAGTCCTTATGCGCTGCTCTAAAATATCTTCGGCTTCTTCAACAAATTGCCCGTGAAGGTCAATTGCGTCGTCCGCTACACGGCCTTGCGCGTTGTTCTCTCGAAATATGAACTCGGACGCTTGCTTGTTGTAGTGCTCGGCATTCCGCTGGTGTTTGTCACCCTCGTCAAACAATCTGTCGGCCTCCTGCCTGTCGCCTCGATCTTTGGCCTCGTGCGCCTAGACAATATTAGCAAGTCGTAATTGCAAATCGGAGCGCGTTTTCAGAGACGGACTCGCTGGGAGCACGAGTGACGCTTGTCGCGTTCCTGCCGCGCAAGGTCTCGAAGCCGATCATATTCAGCTTCCGCATCTTGGCTCTGGGAATGACTGAAGGCTTTGAATAAATGTCAATGCTCGGAGATTCTTTAAGCTTTGCATAATCGAGGTCGAGAAAATTACTTACCACCGCCCCCAAGCTGGGTCAGTGGGTAAGACATTTGTGCTGCACCTTCCAAAGAGCGAGAGAACAAGTTCCAAAATCAACAACGAAAGAAGCTGAAAGAAACGGCAGCGTCAGTCTTTCCCGCAAGACAGCAAGCAAGCCAGAGGGGACTGAAGTGGCCGGGAGTAGTGGCCCTTGGGTCTCAATCCGGGGGAAATTTCGCGGCCAATCGCAGTTTTCCGATCGAGCTAGCCGGAATCGTCTTATGGGTCTACTGATAAGTTACTTTCGATCTGATAAAATTGTCACTCTTTATTTAGACGTATGGTGATGATGATGATGCATGTGAGCACATTTTACTGATTCATACGGCTTGCATATTCCACAATCCAATCATGTTCTCGTTATAAATATTGCGCTTTTTGAATGAGGATGGATTCAACGGTCGCGTATATGAAATTCTATACGCAGCATCAAGCAGCCGTAAATGATCAACTTTTGTCGCTATAGTTGTCACGAGATCAGCCACAGAGGCTGATGCTACGTCCTTTTAAACATGGATCAAATGCCACAGGAGATACTGGAACTCATTTTCAGTCACTGTGACTTTACATCCTTAAAGCAAGCTCGGCTGGTTTGTAGGAGCCTGGCAGACGCGATAGCCCCTACAATATTCGAAGTTGTTTGGATCGCTCTGCTTCCAGAGAGCTTGAGTAAGCTCGAACAAATATCACGACATGAGATCTACAAATCTTACGTGAGGAAAATTGTTTACTTGGGAGACATTTTGCCTGCGTTTGGCAGTCTGGACCGATGGAAAACTCAAATAGATGAGCGTCCGCGCATTCGGGACTTCATTCACTCAAAATTGGCTCTAGCGGCAGTCAACACTTCCCCTCAGTGGCTTCGAGAACATGACATGATGGCTAAGCGGGAATGGCTGAGCCTTCCTCGCATCGTCAGCTCACCAGAAGTGGTTGGAAACAAGTACAAGCGCTACCAATATCAAATGGCTGCACAAGCCGATATGATACGGACCGGTTTCGACATGTCCATCATTCTAACCGCGGTTGGCCGACTCGAGAACCTCAAGGACGTTGTGGTCGAGACATGTCACTACATGGATGCTAATCGGCAGCCGTTATGGTCAAGTTTCCGCGAGGAGACACTCATTGGCCCTGATGAGTGGAACGAAGTAAGGCGGCGAAGAGAGGACGAGTGGCGGCGTGCTGTGGAAGGTGTTCGGCACATTTCCAGCCTCCTACTAGCAATCCATCGAGCTGGCCTGCAGCCGCGAAGCCTGGAGTTTCAGACTGTAGGACTTGCGTTTTGGGATCAAAATCCCATCAGCTTTCTTGAGGGTATCCCTTCCCAGTGGACAAAGCCGTTGATGAGGGGTGCCCTGCATAACCTCCGGCGGCTGAAGCTTAGAGTTGAATACGATGTCTTCGCCTGCGATGAAATTATGGCAGGTCTTCGGGAATTTCTACTGGAGGCTAATGAGCTTGATGATCTTTCGCTGGAGCTAGCCGAGGAAAACAATGAAGGCAGCCTGCTTCATGAGCAGTCGCCCAAAGTGTTAGGTCTTCTAGACGATCTAACTTGGCCACGACTTCGCAAGCTCCTTTTGAGCAGCCTTGCACGTGAAGATAAACTCATCTCCTTCCTTGGTCGACATGCATCGACATTGAAAAACCTCACACTCATTGATGTGATTCTGGTCGAGGGGCAGGGATCTTGGAGCTCAGTGATTCGACAACTGCCGCATGTCCTGTCCCTCGAGAAAGTATATTTGGAGGGGCTCTGGGACGACCATTTCGGATCAGAGGCGTTACTCTTGGAGAATCTCGGTGGGGACTACGAAGCGGCTATCGACCGATACGTCCTCGGGGAAGGGCCATTCCCCCTTCTCGACCGATATATCTTTGAGAGTACGCCCGAGCATTAACGGAATGGGCTTCTTTTGTTCAGTCATGGATGTTGCATGTGCGCGGCATTGGTTCTAGTTTCAAGATACGACATGAAATCTTCATGAACCTTGGACAAGACCTCATTGGTCAAGGCATGAATCTCTTCAGGTTGAAATAAGCGATTCAAATGATACTTTTAAGTTAGAGATTTGTTCACCGATCCATTGTTCAGGGTCCGAGCGGCAGTCGGTGTTGCTCTATTTATGACCTTGTTGCACCGGATGTGTCACTCTATGTGTTACAAATAACTCTCCCTACATTGAACGTGAGTCTGATAGATGAACAGCGGGGCGATCAGGAGGGTATATTTTGGGCACCCCTTGCCTCAGATTCCAATGCGGTGTCATGGGTATAGACTAACAGCAATTCATCACGTGTTCGCTCTCTGGGGAAACGAAAGGCTGAACAAGGTCCTTGAATCGCTTGTTGTTGACCGCCGCACCATACGGGACGAGCATTCGTCAAACCATGCTTGTGCTGTATGCATGATGACGGGCTGGGAACCGTTTCCTAGGCGCGATTTGATTTTGCCCGAATGGCCTGAGTTGGTTGCCAACGCCGTCTGGCCGCCATGTCTCTCTCTCGCTAATTTCAAAAGAGCCTTGTCGGAGTAACGTCCCTTGGTCCCTGGCTCCACTGTGAAGAGAAAATATTACAATTGAGTACCCCTTTGGATTCTTATTTCTCGGACATCCCGACTGAACAATTGCCGCCAAGCAACGGCAAGAAAGGTCACGGAATATGAAAGCTTTCAAAGAAGTCGCGCCATCTCCTCGACCGCCATTTTGAAGCTGCAGGGCAAAGTACTGCACGATTACGATGCGTTGGGTTTTATGTCTACTAGTTTTACTCGGCGTGCAGTGGCAGGACGCAGCTCGACCACATTCCTCAGCTTCGTGATTTCGATGATTGTCTGGGATAGCGTAGACTTTTCATTACGAAGCTCTTTGCATCATAATCGTCTTATCATTAGATGAGCACCTGCATAGGGACAACTCTGAAACGGCACGGAGGTGAAAAAAAAAGGAACCGCAAGTATGAAGCACTGCAGTTATTCTGGACAGAACGGGAAGAGCCGAAACAATGGACTTTTAAACATTTCAAAGAGACCCCATCATCACTCTAGGGCGGATAGCCGAAAGAGATTGCAGATGAGGTGACGTTAGCTCAGAAAACATTGAGTGAGAAAGATAGGGAGGGCCATCTCAGGGGCTCATCATTAGAGCTCTCACACATGCTGCAGGAGAGGCTAAACAGCTCTTGAGCCGCACCAAACTCGGTACAGAAGGGAATAGTAAAAGACCGAAAAAACCGATCGTTAGTAGTGTGGCCCTGTCGCACTCTGATGCACCGGCGCAAGCGGCCGTTGAAGATGGAAATTACGGGACCGCAATACTATCGAGTTGAAGGCGAAGGAAAGCTGCTCTCACTACGGACCCGCTCTGAAGCTAACGCTGGTTAGTCCAACGGGAATTGACCTCTTTCCAGAAGAGAAATGCCCCGTCCTTTCAGGGTCGCCATGTGCGAAGCTGGGTTCCTCTGGGTCGCTATCCGCTCAATCTGGATCATCACATCAATCTTAGCTGAAAAAGTCTTGTCCCGTGCTTCATATGTCATTACGTGGGTGAAAGTTGCCTGTCCAGCTTGGTCTCTGCTCAAATCCTCCCGCATAATTTTTGGTGGTTCGGCGATCGCGCAAACCCAGCTGGCATCTCCTAGAGAGGGAATAGATGCGAGGTTGGCCGGTGATTGGCCAGTTGTTCATTCGAACAGAGAATGGTCGCGGCGGGTCGGCGGGTTCCACGGTTCGCTTCAGGGACCTGTCGGTACTCTATCCGCATTTTGCGACGCGATCAGGAAGGAAAAATGGGGGGTCTAAAAGGGAATAAGGGTAGTCGAAAAGTTAAAATACCAGCCGAGCAACTGAATAGCAGAAGCAAAAAAAGAAGTCGGCGCCGCATCACGGACACGGAGGCCCTTGCGGAACCCGATGGAGGGGTATTCCAGTGCAAAGAGCAGGTCTTGTACGACGTGAGCAATGGCTAACCACAGTCGACATTCAATCGTGGTTGAATGCGATGCAATTGTAATGCCGGAGCTGATCTTTCTGGGACCCGCCATCACGGCGACCACTATCAGCACCACCTTGCCGTCGGCATCGCTCCTTTTGCTCTTCCATTGTAGTGGTCATGGATTCGGTTCCCTTGCGCCCCCAAAAAAAGGGCCCAAGCCGTAGACATGATTTTGTGGTACAGTGGCCCCCAGCCAGTGTGGCCCGGTGAATTTAAGCTAGTTGGTTGGTGTATGTGTGCAGTTCATGGGCTGGGTGCCGGAGGCTGGTCGCTTACCTTGCATAGGTAGCGAGGATCCGGGCCGGCCGGTTCTTGAATGAAGCTGACCGAGAGGGGAGAGAAAGAGACTGTTGTGAGCAGAATAATACGCGATGTGCTATTGCAAAATATGGATTGAGAGATTGCCGAGAGAAGGCTGGATAGCTCTGGCCCGATAGATGATATGACAGAGGACAGCTTCTGTAGCTTTTGATCCATGCAGGATTGACAAGAGATTATCGCTTGGCAAAGGTTGTAGGGCATAGGCACGAAACACAAGGCCGAGGCAACACGCAAGAGGGGACGCATCAGAAAAAGAGTAGGCTGGAAAGTCCATGATGGTTGTCACGACAAAGGCAATTGAAAGGGGCATGGAACAGCCCCCCTATCTTTGTTGCTGATGAACGACGAAGCGCCTCACGAAGACAAAAGGCGACACCTACGATTTAAAGAGGGCGACGATGATGTTTCGTAGACATTAAACACTCCACTTTTGACGCCCCCTAAACTTTTGGCGGGCAAGCTTTTTTTTTTGTCTTTTTTTCCTTTGAGCTTACCGGTAACTGATCGTAGGTAAGTAAGGTACCTACGGTCAAACTCATCGATAGGTACACTTTTGCACCCTTTTCCCTTTTCCTTTTGCAACCAGCCGGCTCGATCCATGACCCATCCCTGGCGTGGGCCCCGCCACTAAGACTAAACGAAAAGACCGAAACACTTTGTTTTTTCCCTTTGGTGTCTCTTCGCTTCTAACGAACCCAAAACTTCCCCCCCCTTACGACCCTGGATGAGTTTCCCTTTCGAGAGTGGAAAAAACCGTCTCTCTCTCTCTGTGGTTAAACGACTCAATTCATTTGGCTTCTTACTCAATCATCGTCGTTCCCGTACTTCTTTTCTACTTTTTAACTAGCAGTACTCTCTACACGGCACTCCCTTCTGCCCTCCTCCCCCCCAATTTCCCGAAGCTAAGCTGACTTGAACTTCTCCGTCCCCCGACGAAACGTCGTCTCGTCTCGACTCGTCTCATCCTGTCTTTTCTGCCCGTACATCCCCTTCCCGCTCTTCCTCTTCTCATCTTTACTTTTCTCATCCCCTTCCTCAACCTTAGTCCCTTTGTCTTCTTAATCCAACCAGGATTAGACCTGGTTGTCGTGCAGGTGATCCGAAAGGTTATCGCCAGCTTCGTTCATCATCATTTCTGACCTTACCTTTTCTACTTCTCTCACACTACTTTTCTCGTCTCTCGCGACGTGCCATTAAGGAGGTCTCCGAGCTACTTTTTCGGCCATCTCACTTTTTAATACTCCATTTTTACGGCGCAACGTGATCTGATTGTGAGTCCCGACCTTCGAATTTGGATTTCTTCGCATCGAGAGGATGGCAGCGAGCTCCTGTAGTTTCATAGCTCCAGCTGTGAACGCTATTTTGGAAGTACAGAGGAGGGAGCGTTGTCCATTGGTCAATGGCTTCATCCAGTGTGCGAAGCTGAGCTTCAACCTCTTTTTCTTTCCCCCCCCCGGCTGCGCAACTGAAGGATTTGTGTGCGTGCTAACACCTCTCTCTCCAGGCGTCTGTCCCTTTTTTTCTCCCCATCGATAGTATTTTCCCAGTCAAACACATTCGTAATAATCAGTCAAGATGGGTTGCGGAATGAGCACCGAGGATAAGGAGGGCAAGCAGCGTAATGAAGAGATTGAGAACCAGCTCAAGCGCGATAAGATGATGCAGCGCAATGAGATCAAGATGTTGCTTCTGGGTAGGTGCAGAATCGGCAACCGAATTCGTCAAGGTGGCATTTTGGTTAACGGACTGTAGGCGCCGGAGAGTCTGGCAAGTCAACCATTCTCAAGCAGATGAAGCTCATCCACGAGGGTGGCTACTCCCGGGATGAACGCGAATCTTTCAAGGAAATCATCTTCAGCAACACTGTTCAGTCGATGCGCGTCATCTTGGAAGCAATGGAATCCCTCGAGCTTCCTCTCGAGGATCCTCGTACCGAATACCATGTTCAGACCATCTTTATGCAGCCCGCTCAGATTGAAGGTGACAGTCTGCCGCCGGAGGTCGGCAACGCCATCGAGGCGCTCTGGAAGGATGCAGGCGTGCAAGAGTGCTTTAAGCGTTCGCGCGAGTACCAGCTTAACGACTCGGCCAAATAGTATGTACATTCTCGGAGAGATTGCGCCAGCGGAGCCACGGCGAGTTTTTTACAATCGCGCCACTGGCCGTTGCTCCACATGTTTAAAGTCGAATGTGTCGCTGACAGTTCATTTTTTAGCTACTTTGACTCCATCAGCCGCATCGCCCAACCTGACTACCTCCCGAGCGACCAGGATGTCCTCCGATCCCGTGTCAAGACCACTGGTATCACCGAGACGACCTTCATCATTGGCGACCTTACCTACCGTATGTTCGATGTCGGCGGTCAGCGATCTGAGCGTAAAAAGTGGATCCACTGCTTCGAAAATGTCACCACGATCCTTTTCCTCGTCGCCATCTCCGAGTACGATCAGTTGCTGTTTGAAGATGAGACTGTCAACCGTATGCAAGAGGCCTTGACCCTCTTTGATTCCATCTGCAACTCGCGCTGGTTTGTGAAAACGTCCATTATCCTCTTCTTGAACAAGATCGACCGCTTCAAGGAGAAGCTGCCCGTCAGCCCCATGAAGAATTACTTCCCCGACTATGAAGGTAAGCTGTCCGGGTATAAACCCGGAATGAGACCCAAATGAGCAGAAACTGATATGTAATGAATAGGTGGCCCGGATTACGCTGCGGCTTGTGATTATATCCTCAACCGTTTTGTCTCGCTCAACCAGCATGAGACTAAGCAGATCTACACTCACTTTACCTGCGCCACGGACACGACTCAGATTCGCTTTGTCATGGCTGCAGTCAACGGTATGGCCTTTCCATTGGATCGTGCTTTTTGTTTAATTCAAAACGATACTGACATGTTTGCGTTAGATATAATCATCCAAGAAAACCTGCGGTTATGCGGTCTCATGTAAAGCCCCAAAGTATGAAAAGAGGAGGGTAAAAGAGTGCTGACATTTCGTCGTTGAGACCGTAAACCAAGAAAAAAGTGGTTTACATTGCGAGTCTTTTGCAGACCAAAAAAAGATTGCTTCTGCTGTGTTCCTGTCCTTTGACTTCTTCTCTGGCGGGCGTTGTCGAATCCAGACCGGATCTTTGAGCTGCGCATGTGAGCGTTTCTGTTTCCGTCATTGATGTTGTCACTGTCGGTGCCGCGAACTTTGTGCTTTGCGTCTGTCTATGGCTGGCTGGCCAAGGGTTCCCAGTCTGTCTACGTTTGTAGTTGGCCGATATCGAATCGTCAATGCATCTCATACAGCGAATGTTGCTGACCCTGCGGGTCTTTGCAAGCTGTCTGGATTGAGGAGCACAAGACGTTTGTATAGCTGGTTGGCTTCATTTCAACGTGGACACTGATGCCCAGCACAATTTTTTCTCTTCGTTTTCTTATTTCCCTCGTTGCATAGCCAGAAGCGCGCGCATTTGTCGTTCTTCGTGCAGCGTCTCCTTTTAACTACTTACTCGATTTAGTCACACTTTCCCCTCTTCTTTTTCTCCTATTTTCTCTCGTTCCTCTTATCTCTCTTCACAAGATTTTCCTATCGTCCATATGCATATACGCATATTAGAGCTGGGGCATCAAGAGACTTAGCACTACAGCTTGATATGTCTCGCACGCCTCTCTTCATATTTCATGTCATTAGAGAAATTTCCTTTTTCCTTAGTGCTTCTTTATTTTTTTTTTCTCTTTTTCCTTTAATAGTCGATACCAGAGCTTCTTTTTTTCTCTTCTTCCCAACTGCCCATTTTCTCCTCTTCTCTTCGCGAAACACTCTGTAATTCTTGCATGTCACGCACACGCATAGAAAGGGAAGGAAATATAACTCAATTATTCTCAAAAAACAGTGGTTTGAATGTGTTATCAGATGTGTGTACAATGTGTTGTTGTTGTTGTTGTTGTTGTTGCTGCAAAGCATAAAGCCAAGATATGTGCCATGATAGATAGAAACCTTCAATGCGGAAGAACGTATTCTTTGCCTACATGAACAAGCGTAGATACATTTATAACGGGGAAAGAAATTGGTGGCAAGGCCTGGTATCAAGAAAGCAATTGCACGAACGGGGGAGAAATGGGACGCGGGAAAATGTACATGAAGATAAAAATTGAGGGACAGAATGTACGCAGCGTGTAGGGGTATGAGCAAAAGCAGCAGTGCAAGAAGTGAGTGTAATAGAGGAACTAAATGACCGAGGTTGATGCGATAGATATTCATCAGGGGAAATTGTGGATCGAATATGAGACAGATAGAAAAGGAGATATGATGTCCGCAAGGTTAACAGAAGAAGAGATCAAAAGTGTTGGACTTGGGTATGTTGAAGAGGGTAGGTCACAGAAAAAAAAAGAAAGAAAGTATGGTCCAACGAATGGACAGGCGAAAATGGGGAGGGCTAAAAAATGAGAAAGGGAAAAAGGATATGGTGCAGAAAAAATAAGCAAGATAAAACAGGATATGGCGCAGAAAAAAAATAAGAAAGATGAAAATAATATGGTGCAGGGGGAAAAAAAAAAAGGAAAGGAGAACCAGAAAGCGGGATCAGTCGACAGCCATCTTGTCCACAATGGCTTTGATGCTGGCGCCGAGCCCTTCACCCTGATCGAGCGCGTCGACGAGGTTGTTCGCTTTAGTCGTGAGCTCGGCGAGGACGGCGCGGCAGTAGGCAAAGGTGCCAGTGGACTGCATGTACGAGACGGCATAGCGCTTGACTTGGTCGTCTTGGGTGCGCTGCTTGAGGATGTTGAGCAGCTGAAGGTTTTCCAGATCCGATCGGATGCTGTGGATGATGGGGAAGGAGAATTTGCCTTCAGTCAGGTCTTCGCAGAGCCCCTTATTTTGTGTATACGCCGTGCTTGACAGGTTGAGGTAGTCGTCGCGGATTTGGAAGAGCAGACCGATTGTGTTTACGAGGGGAACGCAGTCTCTGGATTTTTTTTTGTAATCTGTTAGTTCTCTGCGTTGATGGCGATGATTTTGAGTAAAAACTTACTTGCTGGAGTCGCTCTCGGCTTGCATCAACTTCACGGCCAGTCTGAAGAGGCCTCCGGTCTTGTTGGCAACCATTTCTAGATAGTCTTCTTCCGAGGGGCAGGTCAAGGTGTCGCGCCAGAAGAGATCCATGCCCTGGCCGCGATGGAGATTGAGCAGCTCCTCGGTGAAGATGTCGATTGCGCGCGGGCTCTTGAGCTTCTGCAGCTCCCGTAGAGCGCAAAAGTAGACGTAGTTTGCTGAATTTATTGTCTGGGCCGTACCGAATATGCTATGCGCGACTGGAATTCCGCGGCGCAGTTGGGATGAATCTTCGACATCGTCGACCCTGGGATGCGGCATCAGCAAATGTGGTATAGGACTTTGGTGAGTTGAGTTGCGGCGAAAGGAGATTGGGCGCGAAGGAACTTATGCATTTCATGCTTTCAAAGATTCCATGGGATTAAGTGTGCTTTTTCCCATTGAAAAAGGGATCCTGACGTACAAGAGAGAAGCCGTGTGGAGCATGCCCACGACTTTGGTAATCACCTCCAGGCTCTCATCGGGCACCCTGAGCCAGGCGTTGAACGCCGCGATGAGATGGCTGCGAACATCTTTGCCGGGATGTCCAAAGAGGTAGTCAAAGGGGCCGACAAGAATCTTTATGTATCAAGGTCGATTTAGTCAATTAAGCTCATGCGATAGAAGCAGCAGGTTAGAGCTCCGACGTACCTTTTCCTTCTCGTTGCTCCATGATGGTCGGCTACTGTAGATCAAGTCATCCCCGAATGACGTTGGCGGTTCACGGCCTGGAGATAATTTAGCAGGCCCTTGAGCAGCTGGTGAAGCTGTCGTCGGGCTGGTTGCGTGTGGAGAGGTTGGGTGAAGCCTCTTGCCCTGAGAGATCCAGTCGGCTTCGGAGACGGGTCGCAATACGGGCTTTGCGGCGATCGTCGTACCGTTCCCGAGCCCGTTTGAGCTGGTGCGGGGAGGGATGGCGTTTGGAGATCTCAAATTTTCCGAAACCATGGCCATCGATCCAGAATAACAGACGTAACTTTCCTTTCAATTCTCCAACGGCGGGATGAACGTGGTCTGTCCACAAGCTTCAATGGTGGGGCAAATCCAGCGTGGGGAGCACGGACTCTGTACAACGGGCGAGTTTATGGTTAAACTTCACTCGTACAGCTACCTTAAGTCGTGGTACAACGACTACTTCTTCAACGTCGATGAGACTGACAACAGTGGATATAATATGAATGATACGATGCAGCTGATACAAGGAATCGAAAATGAAGAAATGTTATGAGAAGAGAAAAAGGACGAAGCAGAACGATAAGCTAATCCTCAAAGTGCACGTTCTGGGCCCATCTGACCAGGTGAATTGTCAACCCTCTCTGAACCCCTCCTTCGTCTTGTCATCTTACTCGTCCGTGGTTGTATGAGTACACTGCGCCTCCTTATCTAAAAGCATCTAACTAATATGAAGTTGCAGGTAATAGCTCGAATGGGCGCAAAATCTTTCGGAGGATTGGATCACCAATATTTGCTAATCATGTTACAAGCTCAAAATCGTTGTTATTTTGCAAGTGTTTCTCATAGGTTGTCGTCTCAGAAAGGTTTCATCATGTTCCTGTACTCTTCAAGATCTGCATGCTCCTTGTGACTTCTCGTCATTTCGCCCCGTCGTGGTTAGTTTCCGCTGGAGAGGCTATTCTGCCTAAACGGTCCGCTTTCAGTTGTCTCGCCAACCTCACCTATCCGCTCTCTATTTACCTCCATCCCAGCTGAAAAAGCTAATTACTGCCCAAAAGTCTCCACCCCCTGACCCAGTCGATCACGATCGATCATTGTTAGCTTGACTCTCTTAGTTTTGTTTCTATTGTCGGCCTCTCCGGACGTTGTCAATCGTCATCATTGCGCACTTGCCATGCTTTCGCCTGGCCATGCCAATTTCCCCCCTAATCCGTATATCTATCGATTGACGGAAGCTCTGGTCCCCCGGCGGGATATCACGGTGATCCTCGCCACCTCACTGATCAACAATCAGAACCATGGAGGCACTTTTGTCTCATTCCTTTGATTACCTCTCTTCCTACGAGTCTGGTAAAATTCGCAAAGGCTTGCGGCAGATTGAGGGCCTGCTAGCGCAAATATGTCTCTCGAGTTCAAATCCGTCGCCCCCGGACCGACGACGAAACGCATCACAAGGACACCGACTGGCCCCGCCAAAGAGATTGGAATCATTACGCGAAGACCCAGCATTTAGAGAATTTTTCAAACTTCAAGAGGGTTTTCAATGGAACGGTAGGAGTTCTGGTTTCCCCGTTGGCAGGCGTCAAAGGAGGCCAATGCTGACGCCTGACAGTCGCACTTCGACTGATCTCATGCTTGGAACGCCTGCTGGGCAAAGGAAGCAGTATGTGTGCTCTCTACTCTACAACAAAACGATTTTCAGTTTCAGCTTATCATATTTTCAGATGGCCAGAATGATCTGTTAATCATCGCAACTCTGGACCTCATTCAAGGCGCTCTTCTTTTGCATCCGCCGTCGCGCTGTCTTTTTGCGCGCGAAATCTACATGAATGTACGAGAGTCACATATAATGGATCCACCGATAAATTCGTGTGCTGACGTGGCAACCAGCTTCTTCTCGACCTTCTCGATCCGTGCAATTGCCCTGCCATCCAATCGTCCACGCTACTGACGCTTGTCTGCGCACTACTTGACCAACCCCGAAATACACGCACGTTCGAGATCCTCGAGGGATTGCTTACCGTTACATCGCTCTTTAAGATGCGCTCCACAAGCCGCGAGGTCAAGATCAAACTGGTGGAATTTCTCTATTTCTACCTAATGCCGGAGACAGCTCCGCTGGGCCTCAACAAGAGCGCGCTTGCTACGCCGGTGGTCCAACGCACACCGAGCCGACTCGGCGGACTCAGCCGAAGCGCTAGCGGTGGTGCCCAACGCGACTTGGACGATACGAGGACAACGGAGCAAAAACAGGCCCTGCTGGGCAAATTTCTGAATAATGTCGAGGATCTCGTGGCCGACCTTCGAGACAACGCACCTTTTGAAGGAACGGTATACTAGCTTGATATGATGTTACGCATCACGAAAATGATTCTGGGACGCCAACGACGCATCTCCGACGCGAAATTGGGATGGTTCAGCATGCCTCGAATATGAGGGGATAAGGGGACACTTTTATTGTCCCAAGTACTTTTCTTCTTTTCTTTTCTTTTCTCTCTTTTCCTTCTCTTCTATTGTTGCCCTTTTCGTTCTCCTTTCACACTTTCTATCTCTTTCCTTCTCTTTTCTGTCTGCTATTGAAAGCTCAATCATCCTGCAATTTGGCGCGGCGTCCTGGGAGCGTCTATAATTTTCTGGGCAAGGTGCTCGGTGAAACTTGCGCAAGGACTAAGAGAAAATGGATCAAGGTCGGAGTTCCTCATCGACGTTACGGCGTAATGAAATAATGCACTTTGGATTTGCTGTACTCTTGCTAGCATATGATATTTGATTTGACTTGACGTTGTCATACCACATAGTACTTTCTAGCTTCTGTGTACTGTCTAAGTGATATACGACAAAAATTAACGGCGTAAAAATCTGGGTTCAATAATATGCTTTCGTATTCGAACCGCTATTCTATCAACCCGTTAGTAAACTTGTTGGCCAGCTCACCGCCTTACCTGAGTGATATATACCGGGAAGACTAAAACCCCGAATCAGCCATTCCATCAAAACAACTTTTTACTACGCTAAGTAAAGATCATCACTTAGGTATATGACGGCTCTTTATCTAACGGCTTGTCGTACCAAACTTTCTAGTTCCCTTTAAGTCTCGGAGTATGCTACAACGGGAAGCTCAATGCTCATGCACTATGCTTCTCTGTTTCTAGGTACTTATAACCAGCAATATTTGGGAATCTACGGCATTCTCACTCGCCCAATTAAGGGCCATCACCTGTTGTACTGTCAAGTATCCCCTCTGTTTATCGAGAAAGCTCAATGGTGCATAACCAAATGACTCACCAATCTTAGCGACATCTTACTGTCTCTCCTACTGTTGATCACGTTGATTTTATGTACGTCTTCATATTTCCAGCTCTCAATTACAATTATTTTTCTCGGTTTCTTTTTATTCCAAACTTTGAACAATTTCTGCATCAATTCCAAGTCTCTCAACTCGTTGCTTTGACACAATATTGATGCTCAAAATTGTAGCGTGGGGATCCGAAGCTCTTTCGGTTTAAGATATTTTTCCGTGAACATATCGAGAACGACATAAGCACATATTTCTCTTTTAGTAGCAATTAAGCACAAGTGTGTTTGTATTTGTTTTCTCACCCGACAAATACAACCTTCACAGAGCGAAAGAGGAAAAGACGACAAAAAATGACGAGGTCAGCAGATGATAATATGCAGCCATCGCAGCTCGATCAACAACTTCATCAACAACCACAGCAACGACCAGGACAACAAATGGAGTTTCTGCATCTCTCTGCTCAAGAAGCATATGATCAATGGGCGCCTGTAAGTTCAAACCCTAAACCTCTTTTAAACTCCCATTCTCTTGTCTTTTGGTTTTAGATGTTCTTCTTTATTCCCCTTTCAGCCTGCTCCAATGCTTCATCTTTCTTTCGTGTTTCTTTTTTCGCGGCCGTTTTCTCTTCTCCGTGTCCCTCTCCTCTTGCAAACAAGTTGACAACACGCCCCGGTGACATGCTTGCTCATAATTATACAAGTAAACGCACAGCCAATACTCACATACAATCCCAGACCTACGACACCATGCCAAACATTCTAGTCCGCACTGATAATCTAGCTATGATTTCTCTGCGGGAGCAATTCACATCACTTCTCCTTTCATCTTTACCTTCACCTTCTCCCTCCCTCTCTTCCTCTCCTTCTTCCGCCTGTTCTACCTCCTCCAGTCCACCGACAGCTCACAACGCAACACAAATCCCAGGACCGACCGTAATCGACCTTGGATGCGGCACAGGCCGCTGCACGCTTCCTCTACTGCGCATTCCAAACGCGCGTATCATGGGCCTGGATATATCACCGGGCATGCTCGCGATTGCCGAGTCTCGATGCACTGCTGCGTTGCGGGAACTGCAATTGCACTCCCACTGTGGCAGCGACGACGACATTCGTAGTACGACAAGACGTATAACAAATGACACGATTGGCAAATCTGATGGTGTCGGCGCTTCCCAGACCTCAATGGATGCTAGCAGTCCTACAAGATTTAACCATTTAGATGCTGGAAAAGCTGCGTATGCAAAAGACGTAGAGTTCCGATTATGGGATGGGACTACAACGTCAACATCAACATCAGGAACAAAGACGCCTGTTTCTACTTTTACGGAGCCGAACCTACAGCAAGAAGCAGAATATAGTCCCACTGCAGACGGAATAATATCCGCTCTCGTATTGGAGCATTTCCCGCTACACGACTTTTTCGCCGCGGCATATGACATGCTCGGCGGGGCTAAGCGCGACGGGACGAGGAGCAGTAGCAATAACACCGTCACCTTTACTCCTATTCCTGCTCCAAGCCGCAACAATGCTAGCCAGCACAGCAGAGGCTACCGCTACCGCTACCGCTACCTTCTTATCAGCAACATGCATCACGAGATGGGCGCGCGGACGGGTGCGGGATTCATTGACCCCGTGACGGGCAAACGCGTGCGGACAGTGACGTTTGTGCATACGGTAGACAGCGTCCTTGCGGAAGCGGCAAAATGGGGCTTCGAGCTTGTAGGTGACGTACATGAGAAAAAAGTTGACGCGGACTGGTTGGACGCGGTGAGTAGTAGTAGTATCGCCTATCGAAAGAGGAACAATATAGGTTCGAACGAGAACCGTAGGGAACGGGCAGAAAGAAAAACAAGATGTGCATCACCGAAAGGCGAAGAGAAAGACGATGATGAGGGTGAGCAGGACGATGATGAAAAAAAGGCAGAAGCTGAACGCAAATGGCGAGTTACTGCGCAAAAGTGGATAGGCGTTAATGTCTGGTTTGGAATGTTGTTCCGCTTGAGCGTCTAGTGGGGACGAAGCAGACGCTGTTTGGGACTGGGTAATGGATGGAGGAGATCAGATGCCATAATGATGACTCAGGGGAGCATTTTCCTGGGGTATTGGAGAATTTCAGGTATATGTGCATGTGAGAAAGAGGGGTTTTGAAGAAGGAGTTGAACAAGGAGTGGGAGACCCCACGTTGGGATTATACAGGAGCGTTCATCTTCTCCGTGTTTGATATCATATTCAATATTCAAATCTATAGAGTAATAGAATTAAATAATATCGTGACCGCCCTTGGGGCGAGGTTCGCAGACGTAGTGGGTAACGTGGAAACATTGAACCAAATGAATCGAGCCGATAAAGAAAACAAAAGCAGGCAATAAAAAGATACTAGTGACAGTCGCCGAGATGGTCTAAAAAAAGAAAGCTTGGGTAGAAAAGAAATTCGTGATTGGCGCCAAGAAAAAATTGTTGTCGCTTGCTCGCATTTTAAAGATTCGCACTTCTCTTCCTGCCCTTACCCTCGACAACAGCGCAGACGGACAACTCAACAGAGCTTGGCCGAACGATATGCTGAGGATGGGAATTATTTCCATGCAATCAGCTGGTGCTTTCCATCTGCATAAATTATTGGTGTAAAGGGATAAGCTCAGCGGGGCTCAGAGACGAGCCGCGGGAAGTGTACGTGGTATAGGCGATGTGGAAATCAAAGACCAGCAAGGCAATGCTTCATCCAGAAACTCGCTTCGCGCACCAGTGTATTCGTAGAGGTGAAACTGAAAAGCAATCGCTCAGCAACCCCCTGGTCATGTGTTGAGCCGGACATAGTTGCCTGATTATCATCTTGTGTAAGTAAATGAATTCTCCTTTTTTGGTCATGCTTCAGGCATTGAGTGAGACATACCTGGAAACTGCCCCTGCCGTCCATTCACTTTACCTGTCCACCATTCGTTCTCATTGGGTGTGCGGGTCAAAATCTCAATGGTTTCACCAGTGGTGAAGCTCAGGTCGCCCTCAGCTTGCGCCTCATAGTCGTATAGGGCCGTGCAAGTCTCAGGTGCAGGCACGCCAGACAAGCGCGACGGCTTGGGTTTTGGAGGTGGGGGTGCAGCGCCCTTTGCTTTGGCCGCTGCCCCCCAAGCGCCGCCCGTACTATTCGCGCGTCCTAGCGAAGAACCAGAATTCTGTGGTGACAGTGCCGATGCAGCGCTGTATGGCGGCGGCGGGCCTGAAGCGGAGTCGAGGGTCTGACGTCGAGCCGGCGAGCTCGACGACTTGTCCAAACCGAATTTGCTTCCAGCGCCGCCTAACCGGCCCGGTCGCTTGCCACCAGTCGTCTTGAAGTGCACAATGGTCAGAGCCTCGGCCTGCTCTTGAATGTTGCCCCGCTTCTTCTCAAAAGCGGCCTCAACGTCAAGGGTCAGATCAAAGTAGCCAATATTCATGCCTTGCATCTTCTCATGCAGAGTGTAGAAGACATTGAGCTGCATATAATAGAATGACTGGAAGAGCGGCCGGATAAATTCCCGCTCCAAAGCAAACAATTTGGGTAGCTCCTCTTTGAGAAGGTTGTTGAAGTACTCGTATTCTTGGGTGGACTGCTCCACGTCATTTTCCGCCTTGTACAGGGCCTTCTCGTCCTTGAGCGTCTTCTCTTTTTTGTCCTGCAGCTTCTTCAACGTTGCACGGTGTCGGTCATAGTCAAGCTGCTTGTGTTGGCGCTTAGTCGCAACTTTGCGGATAATCTTGATGATATCCAACAGCTCGTCTGCTGGCCGAACTACTCTCGTCTCGATCATCTCTAGCTCTGGCTGCAGCGTGGCAAGTAAGTCCCGGACGATAGCCTCATATTCTTCGCATGCGCGGATTCCCTCTGGGTTCCCTTCAATCTTCATCGAATCTGGGTCCGACATGCGCCCAGAGATAGGCTTGTAAAGTTCCGCAACGGCCTTAGAGAATTCTATCTGGTGGTTTAACATGCCTGAAAGATGCGTCAATTGGTACCAAGTTTTGCGAGTGTTCAAGTATATGCTCACCATTGATGGCGTCAAAATACCTATAACACCTATTTAGCAAAATATTCCGTGACTTTGCGCCCTGCGAAACTCACTTTTTGGACTCGTCATGGAGTTTCTTCGTCTCCTGTTTACGGTCGTTTCAGCGTTCTGTTTCCATATTTAACCTGGGTCGGAAGCTGATCGGACCCACCTTCTCGAGTTCCTCGAACCGTCTTTCCGCATCTATATATACTGCATCCTTGGTATGCTCGCCCTGGAGTTCTACCGGTCAGTCCTTGCTGCCTGCAAGACCCGTTACCCACTGCGGGGTATATCTAAGGTATGACCCCTTCTCCTGATGACAGAGTTAATGGTCATTTGGTCACAAGAAAAACGTACAAGGTTGAATTTTGCTTTGAAAGTTTGCGGAGCCTAACAAATTGTCAGTCATGGTCTTCAGAGGCTGTCACTCGTGAGCAGGCATAAGCATGTAAACGTACCCGAGTGAGACCCTTCTGGAAACCTTTCCAACTCATGGTGATCGGCAGCACTCAGTAACTACAGAATAATGTGTGAGACAAAGGGTTGAAGTTTGGATATTGAACAATAGGTCTGCGGGAAGGAAAAAGCGACCAGTGCACTAATCGGGGAGCGAATGCAGAGAGTGAAGAAGGAGAAGGAGAACGGTCGTCAACAGGGCATCCGATGCGGGCGTCGACTGGGGCTTTCGGTGTGAACCAAGCGGTGCACGATGACGAACGGAAGTGGCTTAGACTGCAGCTCTCGGTATTCGGTACCCAAACTTTTGCGTACGCCCTAGCAAGCCAAGAGTGCCCGGTACGATCTGCAGCTCACAAGGACCTCCATTTGATTATTCTCAGGTATTATTCACAGGTGAATTTCCTCACGCTCGCCCTATTTGATTATCAGTCTTTTTACGGAAGTATATTTTTTCTGGGAGCCAACTTATAGCTCATGTCCTGGGGGAAACGGTATTGGTCCTGGTGCACGTTTATGTTTGTCCCTTACCATTCCATATCATCTTCCTTAGTACGGAATATATTATTCTTTTCTCTCACTCTACCTACCATACTACTTCTCTTAATCTCAGGTTCTACAGGATAGCAGGAGTTACTCCGTGTGCTCCGTACTGATTATTCTCTAAACCCTGCAAGGAGCCTGTCAATGACGTCCATCCCGATCGGGAAAGATTCCAAAGAGCTGGCTTTGAGTTACATAATCCAAGACCGCTTCCAGCTGCATTGACCAATCACAATCTCACAGTTCTCGGGCCGGACTCACCGAACGCCGATAAGCGGGTAATAAGAGCACGTGATTTGACAGTCTCCACATCGTCATCTTTTCGCTTAGGTAATTGTTCATCAAATGGCCGCAATTAGTACGAAAGAGCTGTTCGTCCCAACCTCTTAGCTTTTCCCGCTTCGACTCTTCTACCCTTTTTTTTCCAATTTCTTTTTTCTCTTCTCTTTTCTCCTCTTCGTGGAGTGCAGGATGTCCTCCATCGCATCTTCCACCGCGAGGCAGGCCTCAAAGGTCTGTTTTCGCCGGTTTTCTACCCCTCGCGCCCGGCCTACTCCGGCTCGGGCTGCGGTGGCAAGTCTCTCTGTCAGACCCGGAAGGCGCTTCTACGTCTCCGAATCCAAGAAGGACGATGCGCAGGTCTCTGTCGAGACGGCCATCAAGGCAGACCAAAAATCTTTCATCGCACAGACGGGAAAGAAGCCTGAGGATGTAAAAGTCCCTGGCACCGGCGTCGATGCCGACGTAGTCATGAGCCCGGCTGCAGGTATGTGTCGGATGACATGAGCGTCTCAATCACGTCCATTTGATCAGTCATTGTTAAAAAATTCCATCTCAGGCATTCTGAAACAAGCCACCATCATGGACGAGGGAACTCGTCCTATCTATTTGGACATGCAAGCCACTACACCCTTGGATCCGCGGGTACTGGACGCCATGTTGCCCTTTATGACTGGCCTCTATGGTAACCCCCATTCGCGGACACATGCCTACGGTTGGGAAACCGAAAAGGCTGTCGAGCAGGCTCGAGAGCATGTTGCCAACCTGATTGGAGCCGATTCCAAGGAGATCATCTTCACCAGCGGTGCGACCGAAAGTAATAACATGAGTATCAAAGGTGTGGCTCGATTCTTCGGACGCTCAGGCAAGAAGAAGCACATCATCACCTGCCAGACTGAGCACAAGTGTGTGCTTGACAGCTGTCGGCATCTGCAGGATGAGGGCTTCGATGTGACTTATCTGCCAGTCCAGCCGAATGGCCTCATTAAGATGGAGGATCTCGAGGCAGCTATTCGTCCGGATACTGCCCTGGTGAGTATCATGACTGTCAACAATGAAATCGGTGTGGTCCAACCCGTCGAAGAGATTGGCAAACTCTGCCGCTCAAAGAAGGTGTTCTTCCACACCGACGGTGCTCAGGCAGTCGGCAAGATTCCTGTCGATGTTAACAAGTGGAATGTTGACCTCATGTCCATTTCTGGTCATAAGATTTATGGTCCTAAGGGCATTGGCGCCTGCTACGTGAGAAGACGGCCGCGTGTCCGCCTTGATCCCATCATCACCGGCGGAGGTCAAGAGCGTGGTCTTCGTAGTGGAACCATTTCCCCGCCACTTGTTGTTGGCATGGGCGAGGCTTGCCGACTCGCCAAAGAAGATTTGGAGGTAAGCTTTTCTTTTTTTCCTTTTTTTACTCAGCGACGCTTCTTTTATATGACGAAATGCTATAATTTTTAGACATGCATGGACTGAATCTGCCGGCTTTGCCGGTAGTTGTGATTGCATACAGCAGGGGTTCTGATTCTACTTATTTTTGCCCTCTTTGATATTGACGTTCAACTCAATTTGAGGCTCCTGGACTAACATAGTCAATAGTATGATCACAAGCGGATTTCTGCTCTGGCGCAGCGCCTTTTAAATGGTCTGCTTGCCATGGAGCACACTTCTCAAAACGGTGACCCTGAGCACCACTTTCCTGGGTGTGTCAACGTCTCGTTTGCATATGTTGAAGGCGAATCGCTTTTGATGGCTCTTAAAGACATTGCGCTTTCCTCTGGCAGTGCATGCACATCAGCCTCGTTGGAGCCTAGCTATGTCTTGCGAGCACTCGGAACTAGCGACGAGAGTGCTCACAGCAGCATTCGGTTCGGTATTGGTCGATTTACGACCGAGGGCGAAGTTGACTATGTTCTCAACGCCGTCAAGGAACGTGTGACCTTTTTGCGCGAGCTCAGTCCGCTCTGGGAGCTCGTCCAGGAGGGCATCGCTTTAGACAGTATCGAATGGAGCCAGCATTGAGTAGCCCGTAATTGGAAATTCGTTAGGCGATGGGCGGCGTGGCGTAGGCGTTTCAACCCCTGGACTGGACTCTTTTTGGCGTTTTCTATATGGATGAAGCACATTTCTCGTTCTCTATTCCATCTGAACCAGTCGCTGGGCGATGATTCATGAATTGAATCGCTAATTGTGAAAGTTGATGATATCATGAATTCGAAATAATTTTTCACATCTTGACAATATTCAAAAGTAATGAAATGGAATGTGCATGTAGAATTAATTGTCGCTTTGGCACAAAGTGAAACCAATAGAGGTTGTTCGGCGAGTAGCTTGTTAGCTTAGAATGACATCTTGCCCCACATGGACATCGGTTCTTGGCGTCGAACCCCGTGTCCCAAGCTCGAAACCTCCAGCCTTAAGCAACAAGTTCAAAGAACACTTGACGAAGTTGCGATAAGATATCCGTCGCTGAGACCCGTGATGACTCTTATGCGCTTAAGTTAGCATGTTGCCTGAAAGTGGATGATGCGGCACTATTCTGGCCGAAAGCGTCCCAACATTTCCCCGGACGAATATGGCGGCGGTCCCGCAGAAGGTCTTGAACTGGCTCTACAGTGTTTTGACAAGCGTGTGTTTTAAACCATGACTACAAACAAATCAAAATCGCTAATATCGAATATAATGTCAGGAATATCATGATGTGAATCGAACCTACGCAGACGTTGCTCGCACGCTCTCTTCTTATTCTTCACTGTCACCGAGAACGGATGTTTATAGTACGGAATTTCACAAGACCATTCGTTGGAGCTTTACTTGACTGACATTGAGCACTTTTCAAGCATACGAGAATGGCGCATCTGCTCTTCTCCTCCTCGTTAGTGGCACATTGCCGGTCACGTTTCGTGGTGCCGTCTATCGATTTCCCATATCACTTTGGATTCCGCACGCCTATCCAAGGCAGTCACCTATTGCCTACGTCACAGCGGCTCCAGGTATGATCATACGACCTGGCCAATACATAAGTGCAGAAGGGCGGATATATCATCCATATCTTGCTCAATGGGAGGGAATGTGGGACGTAAGTGCAACAAAAATTCTCATATGGAGGCCGAGACCTACCCGTGGCCAAGCTCAAACAAGTTGGAGTTTCTGAATTTGTAGCTGACGATCTCTTCCTCAGAGATCGACGCTTCTGGACTTCCTTGCGATTCTGAGAGATGCGTTTGCGAAAGAGCCCCCTCTTGTCTCGAGCCAACAGCATGCGCGCCCATTCTCGCAATCGCAGAACACACCGCCTCCTCTGCCGCCTCTGCCACCAGAATTTGGTTCCCCATCATCTTCACGACCTCCTTCTACAGCATCTACTCAAAGTCCCTCATCAGTACCTCCACCACCACCGCCAAAGTCACTTGAAATTCAAGGGGAAGCGACTGGCTCTCCCTCCCGCCAACCCGCAAATACGCAATCACAAAACCCGCCCACACACCCGCCCACACTTCCTAGGAAGCCGAACGAATATTATGGTCCTCCTCGCCAATTGATAAATGGTACAGTCACTACGACGCAGTCTCAAGGCCGTTACACTCCGCAACGATCGAGCAGCCTGAGAAATGAGAATGATCAGGTCTCTCTATCCTACCAGGGAAGGGAGCCGGTTCCGGCCACTGGAACTCGTCACGGAACTACGAGGATCCCTATCGGCCCAATAACTCCAACCGATGCTGCACCCCAGTATCGACCGATGCCGCCATTACCGCCTGTTCACAGTAATCTGCAAAGTCAACCATATCGTTCTGAGGGTGCCCTGCAGCCCGGATTCACTCCGCCCATGTCTCCCCGAGATCAGCAGCAATCTGTGCGCGGTCGACAGCCATTTACTGGACCAGACATAGCACCACAGTCTCGAGAAATACGACCAGTGCAAGATCTAATATCATCGCCACTGGAAATATCGTTATCTCACCAGACTAAGGATAGCCCTGCGCTTTCTGCGCCGCCTATTCCCCCTAATCCGGAAAAGGATGCTCTCCTCGCGGCTCTCTCAACGAAGCTTCGGGAGCAGCTTTTCCAGAGTACCGAGCAGGGACAATTTATTTTGCCGTCTTTGCACGCTCAACAGATGGCCCTTCAACAAGCTGCACAGGCATTGCAGATGGAGCTCGGTGCTCTTCAGTCCCTCGATAGCACACTTGCACAAAATGAGAAGATTCTTCATGACTCCATACGCGAGGCTGATCATGTCATCTCAAGCGCTGGTACTCGGGCTGTCCCTGGCGTTGACGATGTACTGGTTGCTCCTACTGTTGTCGGTGGCCAGCTCTACGAATTATGTGCCGAAGAAGGGGCTCTAGCGGATACGCTTTTTGTTCTTGGGAGGGCATTGGATAAAGGACGAATCGGCTGCGACACATTTATCAAGGTACGTTTATTGACCTGATTATATTTAAGATGTGGAAGCGGGCTGACGCAGATTGATATGAATCCAGCAAACACGGAGTTTAGCACGTGAGCAATTCATGAAAAAGGCTCTGATTAAGAAGATTGGCAAGGGAATGGGTTTGGATGATCCGCGACGATAGATGAAGCATAGATTATATACATGATATCTTGAATAATTTGTAAATTAGTACGATCCTTCAATAATTTCATCCAAATAACGGGATATCGTAATGCGTTGCTGCAACGGGACAATTATATTCCAACGTCGTTTCAACCCCACTTATGCGCCAACCGATATCACCTCAAAGGTGGGGGGGACGGTCGATTTATTGACTGATTGCGAACGGAAATAAATAGATCCAAATCCTCCCACATGGGGTTTGGTCTTTGTTCAGCTGAGATTTCATATGTGTTCATACAGACATCTACCCTCTCATTCAGCAATAATTATGACCGATATGCTGTGCAACCATTGGGAATACGCAAGTGGGGGAGAGGAGGAGGGATCGACAGTTTTCCAAATATGGAAGGCAGCGCAAAAGGCGTCGCCACCCCACGAAATTGCCCACATTCCTTTACGTCGCTGCCATCTCGTTTCCTTCTAACAGCGAAATCAATCTGTTTCTTTCTTCAACGATGGTCTTTTCTCCATGATTGAAGGCCCCATTGTCGTTCACATTCAATCTCGTTGTTGTCCTAAACCCAGGCCAAGGTTCCCATGTAGGATTTGGGAAGTCACTCACTAACAAATCTGATCTCGAAGAGAGAGCTCGGAATGGGCCAATTGAAGGCCCAGTTGTTGATCGAACTCCAACATAACAGACAGACAGGCCGCGATTCATTGTCCAGGCCTTCGTTATTATTACCACCTCTCGCGTATGGAGACAGGAATCGCTGTTGGTCAAACAACCCTCAAGGTGCCTTTTTTGGGCCGTTGCGAAACCGGCGACCTAATCCTACCTCTCCGGGAGGTCGACTGGCGCCTCAGGGATTAGAAGAGAGCGAAAGAGAGCGCTGCTAACTCTACGACGACTCAACAGAGTTCTGTTTAACTTAGTCTTTCACTGGCAGTCATTATTTGGGGCGAATTAGCTGAAGAAGACGACTATAATCAAAGGAGGATTGGATCATGTTGGCCACTCAACATGACCCTGTCATGTCATCATCGATCAAGCTGACTGTTATTACTCATCAGGGACCAAGATGGGAAGAAGAATGGTACGACGGGACTGGCAACATCATAGTCCTTCCGGTCGAGCGCATTTACTACCATTACAGGTTGCCAGAGCTAACGAGAATGAGCGGTTAAGGGAATTTAGGCGCTCCGATATATGGAGACTTGGGGCAAATACTGCAAAACGCGGGATGACGAATCCGGCTAGTCGCACCCGCGGAAAATTGTCCCTCCTGCCCCTCCAACTTGCTTTCTCAGCGCCATTAATTTACATATTTTTCGGGAGGCGTGGGATGATCCGGCAGGCTGGCCCTTAATTGACACCCTCTCGTCCCCAGCATCCGCTGCTCCGTCATTTTTTTTCCCATTACGCCTAATTGCAACCTTCCCATTATCTACTCTCAACTCTCCCGCCACGTTCAACGTATCAACTCCGTCAAATTTTTTATTGAATACATATTCCTCCAAATTATCTGGTGGTGACGCCACTTTCTCCTGGGCGTTGAGAGTCAGCCGGCGTTTGTGGGGTGATCTCGTGCCTGGGGCATTCTTGGATCCAGCGCAATGTTACCTTCAATTCCGGATATCAGGGATTACGATATCTCTCCCGAAAATGGATTCCTTCCTTCTCAGCCTCCATTGGAAATACTCCCGGACCCATATTATGCCAAATGGGAGAGCATTGTCGCAAATTTGCAAGGCTTATTATTAACCAAGCGGCTGCGTGGCGTCGTTGACCGACTACCCACTCTTTCAACAGATCGGCTGTGCACTGAAGAAGAGTGGCGCAGAGCACACCAGGTCCTGGCATTCCTGGTACATGGATATATTTGGGGTGGAATACGTCCAGCAGATGTATGTATAACCTTGGCAATCGTTTTAGTTTTGGAAGACCACATGAGAGAAGCCACCATATCAGATCGCTGACATCTACTTCCGTATAGCGAGTCCCGCCTTGCATTTCAATTCCCTTTTTGGAGACATGCGAGCATCTCGAGCTACCGCCCGTAGCAACTTATGCAGCCGTCGTGCTCTGGAATTTCAAGCCGCTCTTCCTCGATGAACCCTTTGATAGCTTAGAAAACCTCGCGACCCTCAACACCTTTACCGGCTCTCTCGACGAGTCGTGGTTCTTCCTCGTCTCCGCCGCGATCGAGGCGCGAGGGGCTCCTATCATCCCTGAGATGTTGACAGCCATCGCTGCTGCTCGGCGAGGCGACAGTGCCACAGTAACTGCTAACTTGCACTCTTTCGCCGAACGTCTCGATGAGCTTGGCGCTCTTCTACAACAAATGTACGACAATTGCGACCCGCGCGTGTTCTACCATAGGATTCGACCATTCCTGGCTGGAAGCAAGAACATGGCCGACGCCGGCTTACCCAATGGCGTCATCTTCGACGACGGCACTGGCAACGCAAATTATGTGCAGTATAGTGGCGGTAGCAATGCGCAGAGCTCCTTGATTCAGTTTTTTGATATTGCATTGGGAATCGAGCACCGGCCCACGGGCGAGAAGCGTACGGAAGGATCTGAGAGCGACGGATCCAGCGGGAATCGGCCCTCGTCGCACAATTTCATCCAGGAAATGCGCAAATACATGCCTGGGCCGCACCGGAGATTCCTTGAACGGGTTTCTGATGTGGCAAATATCCGAGAATATGTCGAATCGCACAAGTCTGACCGGGCTCTATGCATTGCGTATGATGCTTGTCTCGCCATGCTCCGATCTTTCCGGGATAAGCACATCCAAATTGTTTCTCGCTATATCATCATCCAGTCACGCGAGTCGCGATCACACTCACGTTCAATAAGCCCTAAGGTGACACGCACAGTGAACATTGCTTCGGCTGCACATTCAGCACAAGATGGTCGATCAACAAATCGCAAGCTACATGGCACAGGTGGCACTGCGCTGATTCCGTTCCTTAAGCAAGCGCGCGATGAAACTGGTGAGCCGGCAATTGACGCCTGGGCTCGACGACTTCTCAGCAACGGGCCGGCTGACAACAGCGCCTTTGCAACTCTCAATAAGATGGGTGAACACGCGGATGGGGCAATTGAGATTGTCGGTTTGGCAGGCACCTGGGCCATGGATGATAGCGAGGGAGGTATTTGTCACTGGTAGTGTTTAGGGCCTACCTTTGCTAGGGACCTCTATGCTCTCTTTTGTTGTTCCTTTATCACTATCGGCTTTTCGGCGCTTGACTTGCTTCCTAATGATCGAGGTCCGATGTTTGGTTTTCTATGTCACTTATTCCCCTATCATGAATGGCGTTTGGGTTGGGAACTATAAAACGGGATGGATGCATTTGGCTGTTAATTTAATTTCTGCGAATTACCTACTCTTGTTTCATTTGCAGCGGTTGATGTCAAGACTCGAGAGCATGATTACAAGTTTCTTATGTATGTGCTCTTTCACCAGAACTGTACAGTTTTTCATCTTTTGCTTGCGACATTTTCATTCCCCTTTTCCATAGAATCGCTATATTTGATCGCTGCATTGCTGTACAAAGTCACCTGAGCCTTACCAAGGGCGCCGCTTAATGTAATGAAGTTATAATCTTTTCATGAGATGGTAATTTTTCAAGTTTTTGGAATCGACTTTGGACAATGTCCTTCTTGCTTGGGGGGTGAAAAAGTCTGAAGCGACGCAGTGGCTTACAATTACTCATGTCCCAGTAGCAAACACGAACCCTGACGCAGTCTTGGGCGGGCCGAGCCTTCCGACGTCCTGTTTGCTCCAAGGTCCTAGTCAAGGATCATCGTAAACCCCCCTGGAATATCATATTCGTACCTCACATCACAATGGCATGATTGAATTCGGCTCAAATGAGAGGAGATTTGATATTTCAAGCGAATGGATACTGGCAGATCGCTCCAGCAGCAATGGCGTCAAAGATTCCGCACTAAGTGGGCTTCGGAGACTCCGACAACGAGGCCGCTCGCACAGAAACTCCAATGTGACTAAATTACGACTCAAATGAACGGCTCTTAATGACTACAGTGGGCTGATAATGATCCTAATCAGTGGAGATGAGGTAGAGACTTTGATATTAAATTCCTGAGCTTGGGCCCTCGTATCTACTCCGTACTGTACAAAACAATGCAAAGGGCCACATAGTCGGATTCAATCCAATTGGCGATCCCCTGGTCCTTAGTCACGAATAACTGACTCCAGCTGAATATCATTAGTATCGAGCGCTCTAATGCACTACTGACGCCTACTTGACTCGACTTGGAACCGACATTGATCAAATACGGTTTCTGATCCTGGGCAGGCGAACGGGGCATGTCGGCTGCTGATCGACATCAAGAACCGCGTCAACGCGGGTGTTGGGACGAAACCCTCTGCGCCTCTAATCAAATTGAAGGGTCCAGGTTCGATGGGGTCCGAGAGTACCAATCGCTTTGGCTCTTGACCGAAACCCCAACCCCCGGTCTGGATTGACTCCAGATCCGATCAGATCCTGGCTGTCACATTATTCAAATTTTGACGTCTTCGTTTGCTCGGCTTCAAATTCCCAGATACGGCGACAGCGGGAGCGACAGTAGCGGCACCTTGACTTGAATCAAATTGTCAACGTCCGTCTTTGAAGTACCTCGATGTTGGTGTTCGGGCAAATGGCCAGTGGAAACTAAAGCCGGACACTCCCATTGGGGTAGCAATCCATGCCTCTTCCACCACCATACCTATACCACCGGTCATAATATTAGTGCTGAGCAGGGAGCGTTTATTGTTGGCGAACACCAAAGATCTCCACGCCATGGAGACTACCATGACCGGTCGAATTTCGGACAGGAGACGATAACAAGGGCTCGACTTTCTTTTTGCGGTTCAGACATGGATTCCCTTGCTTTTTGCAATCAAGGTCTCCGTTTCCGCCGATTGCAAAATAAAATTGATCCTCGACTATGATGACCATGACTCCACCGCAGCTACTCACTTTTTCCGGGGAGCTTGGGTTAGATTGTCTCTGCTGTGCTCGAGCATCCTCGCATATACTTCAACAGTTATACCACGCGAACATACGTTTTGCTGCGCTCATTGCTTGCGCAAAGCACACGCGAGGGATGCAATGTCTGTCGCACATTGTCTCTCTTCAAGCACGCGAGATGGTGTCCTTTTTTATCAAACCTCCATCCACGCGAAGAGATCTTATGCTGTCGAGACGACACTAGGCCGGGGACGACATGGACGGCAACGACGGCAACGCTCGGGTATAATTCGGTCATGCAAGGAGGCAGCGCTTTACCAGATTACAAAACATCCCCCACCACATCAACTGTCCGCGAAACTCAAATCAAGGCATCAAATCGACTCAGTTTTCCTAGCCGGCCGCGCCGTTCCCGCCAATCATGCCACGCGTTCTGCGCTTCTCCGTTGCACACGCTTTGCTACTATCTATCTACCGGGCTTCCTCATATGGCAGCCAACCAGTCGCGTCTCGACGTTTGGACCATGTCGCCACGAAAGGCGTAGGAAGATGGGGGGGCAGGAGTTTCGAATTCAAGATGACCACCACTACTGCTTCATACTATACCGTGCGCTGATATCTTTGATCAACGCCATGGATGAAGCATGCATTGTGTGTTACAAAACTGCAGTACCAAAGAAGCTCCCTGGAAACCCCCATTACAAAAATGGCCTGGAAAGCTCGCGCACTCGACGGGGACCCCGGACTCTGTAGCACCATGGGTGTGGTAAAGACGGTGCCCGCCACCTGACCAGGATTCGATCGCCCCGCAAGCCTCCGATCTCAGCCTTAGTTATTTGTTGAAGGCCTGCTCCATATACGGGGACGAAATATCATATTACTCCCTTGTCAAGAGGCTAATGGCTTGGTCCGTGAACAATAATACCCAGATATAGTTGCTACCATGTTCGGCATCGCTCCCTTTGTGCTGCGCAGCGAGATCTGCAAGCTGCCGACGGTAGGAACCACCCTTTACGCTACCGCAGATTTGGTTATCTCATGGCGAGAGCCATGGGGGGCAATGCATGCGTTCACGGAATGGAGCAGACTCGGCGTGGGCCCTAGACTGCTTTTCTCCCCCCTCGCGTCTTTAGTCGGGATTCATGGAATTGTCCATGTATGCGAGGCCCACGAAACATCCATGTGGATAGCAAGCAAGTCACAGGTGGATGGGAAATTTTTTTACCCTCGTTCGAAGATTTGAAAACTAAAGGAGGGCTCGCAGGATGAGCAATTGGTGCATATCGTGGCCAATGATTGGTCAATTGATCGAGAGAGTCTCAGCTGTCCCCTCATTTAAGCCTTTACAAGAGATTAGAGGGTTGCCTGCCGGTGTCAATGCCAAAGCCCCGACAGATTTTCGAAGCCCAAGCGGGGGCGAACGGACGCGAGGTTCAAGTCAAAAAATTTCAAGGATGTGAAGCGTGTCCCCCTAGGGGAATCTCAACAATGAATGGTTAGAAGGACTAGGTCACGTAGAAGGATCCAGACCTGGTCCCTCCTTTTCTCCAACACGTGGACCACCCTTTTACCCCGTCATATTTGGCTGCTACAGACGCACAGGGACCTGAACTGTTGGTTACCGCACGCGGAAGGAAGGGTGGCTGGTAGCTGTTGATCTGTTTAAGCTTGATATCATATATAATAAGCCTGCCCCGTCTCCGTCAGTTTCGCCCCTCTGACTTGTGTATAACGCAATTTACAAAGATTTCGTGCCAGCAAACACAGAGGGCTTGGCTCTTCCCTGCATCACTTCTATCACAGTACTCTTTCATTTATTTTGTTTGTCGAATACTCAAGACAATCATCATGGACTCTGCCGACGTGGAAGCACTGCTTGTCAATGAACCTACTCCAGCTCCGGCGTTGCCTGACTATGTCCTGGATGCCGACGCCGTCTTGCGAGACACGGAAGCTGCTTGGAGATATGGTCGACCCCCAAACTATTCGAATACGAGAAAAGTATATGGGCAATGTAAGTACTCATTGTAGCTTTTCTGGCACCATTTGAGCTTTCATGAGTACTGTGGAATGAATACGGATAGCTGACAGATTGGCAGCCAAGAAGATGTCGCACGAGCCAGGCAGCCTTGAGTCTATAGTGGAAAACCTCGTCAAGAATTGGGAGATTGAGGCATCATTCAAGACCTCTCTGGCGGACTGGCGAACTATTGACCACAAGAATTACAGCTTCTCTGTCAACGGTGGCCGACCGCAGACTGGCGAAGAAATGCTCAAGTGTGGGACGTACAATGCCATCATCTCGCCGAATGAGTTTTACAGTCCTGAGCACTCCGACTTTACCACGAGCCATAAAACGTTCAAGCGAATGATGCCGACATTTGCGTGGGAGGTGCTCGAGGTCTACAGCGGACCGCCGCGAGTGGCGTTTAAGTGGCGGCACTGGGGAACTATGAAAAACGATTACGTTGGATTTAATAAGTACGTTTGTCTTTGCTATGAGCCCGTGTCCCCATTTGCTGGCTATCTGTTGCGCTTTTGTTCATTGGCTTTTGTCCTTTGTGGGAGCCGGCAAACCATCATCAGCACTCTGAGTCGTTCCATGAAATTCATTGTGCTAATTGGGTTCGGATTATCAGTAAGGGGGAGAAGGTTACGGTCAAGGCCCACGGCGGACCAATCGACATTGAAGGGATCACCGTTGCCAAGGTCACGGACGATCTCAAAGTACAGAATCTCGAGACATGGTTCGACCCAATGGACATGTTTCGCCAAATCGCCGTCAACGGCATTATCAACAAGGAAATCAACCCCATCCCCTCACGCTCTGAGACATCTTCTCCGACCGGTGAAGCCGACATAAATAGCTCCGTCAAGGACATTACTTTGCCTGGAACCATCAACGAAGACGGTAGCGCCGGGGTGGATGGCATCCGGGCGGATGCTTCTTCCGAGACAATTCAAGGGATGCTCAGCACAACAATCACAACGGCGGCGGCTTTGACCAATGATGAAGCAAAAGACAGTGTGCCTTCGTTGTCGTTGTCTCCTCATCCGGCTGAAGTACCTGCCACTCCTGAATATCTTCCGACTCTTGGTTCAGCGACGACCGAGACCGAGACTGATTCTGAGACTAAGACTGACAGTGCTGACATTATTAACATTGCGGGCGGGAGCGGGATCGGGAACGAGGCTGAAAACGGAAGTGTGATGGATGATGGGGGCGCTCGGGTCGCACAAGCGGCCGTTAGCACTGATGCCGCTACCACACACAGTCTTGCAGATGCAGATACACATACCTCTCCCTTGACAACAAGCGAAGAGACTCACAATAACGACCAGCACCTGCCGACTTCTCTCACCGACGCCCAACCAGGCGACGCTATTGCCGCACCGCCGGAAAGTCACGAGACCTTTCTCACTCATGAGGAACTTGGCTCGCTGACGCCCAGCATGTGCCCTTTTCTGAATAAGGAGTAACGGAGATATCAGGGTTTGGTATTCATGGGTTTTCGAATGAGGAAGCTTTGTATGCTGGATAGCCTGACGCAGTTTTTTTCTTTCTTTTTTTAATTCAGAGAAAACATGGCGATCGGAAAACGTGGAATGTGCATGGGTTAAGCGTGGAATGGAGGAAGAGGGTTGGGATTGTGTTAACATTGTCCGGGGGCTTCACAGGGCAAATTGCTGGCGTTCTGAGCGTCTTGGCGTCTATGAACGCGGAGGCTAGTTGTGTTCTCAGGAGCCCTTTTGTTTTCGTTTTCGTTTTTTTTTTTTTCTGATCCTCATTCTTTTTCGTATCTTCTTCACTAATAGACGTGCCTGAATGCGCACGAGAGGGCAAGTCTGATTCTGGAGCAGATTATGGCAATAATTTAAATCGTCACGTCTATAGTAGTATGCTGCATAAGCTGCTATTGAAATGACGTCCATCCATTCTCTCTACTACCTTTATTTACTTGTGAATTTCAATCTATATGGAGACATCTGCTCATCCACTGAGGATTTATCATTTGGATAAGCTACAATGACTACGGAGTACAAACACGATGAAGACCCTCATCTACACAAAAACTGTAACTTTTTCGCCCAGCATTTCTGCTCTCATATAAGTGTCCATGTAAAACAAGCCTGTTCCAGTGCCATGCGGCCATGCCGACCAGTGAACCTCGTTTCCCAGTGGGCTTTTTGTGTCGCTGCCTGGGGTACGTGCCTGACTGACTTAGGTTCTCTCCTCCATGGTAGAGATATTAATACTCCTTTTCAGGAACCGCAACAGCTAGCGCCTGCTTCAAATCATCCAAAAGGTCTTCTGCGCCTTCAATCCCGACGCTGATGCGGATCAAATCATCGTAAATCCCCGCAGCTTCCCTATCGGCTCTGGGCATGCCGGTATGTGTCATGCTCGCGGGGACTTCACACAGACTCTCGACTCCACCCAGACTTTCCGCTAGCGCAAAGAGCCTTGTCTGCGTGCAAAATGTCTCCGCTGCTTCCCTGCCGCCTTTGATGCGGAACGAAATCATACCTCCACCTAGACCCTCGCGGTGCTGTTTAATCGCCACTTGGCGCTGCGAGTGAGAGTCCAATCCAGGGTAATGCACCGCCACAACGCGAGGAGACGACTCGAGAGCCGATGCTAGAATCTTTGCATTTGCTGAAGCGGCATGAGCGCGAAGATGCAGTGTCTTCAGACCCCGATGCGCAAGCCAGCAGTCGAACGGGCTGGGTACGCCCCCGGCAGCGTTCTGGTAAAAGGAGAGTTTCCTTTTCAAGTCGTCGGAATTGAGCGCGAGTGCGCCCATAAGTACGTCCTATTTATTTATATATATATATATTATTATTATTATTATTAATTCACTATTTTAGCCTGAGGCTTTGCCCCTGGTAGGAAAAGGAAATATATATAGTGCTGTGGAGGGTTTTGGCCGAAGCCTGGGAAAAAGGATAACATGATATGATTGCAATTTTTGGAACTTCGAACTTACGCTGTGACCGTTAATGTATTTCGTGACGGAATGGAGCACGATATCTGCACCATGCTTGAGTGGGTTCTGGATATACGGCGACAGAAACGTATTGTCCACAACTACTAGGCAGCCATGTCGGTGTGCAACGCTGGCAACGGCCTCGATGTCGACCAGCCTAAGGAGAGGATTGCTCGGTGTTTCAATCCACACGAGAGAAGTGGTCTTGGGCTTGCTGTTGTTGCTGTTGCTGTTGCTGTTGTTTCTGTCGTTTTGGAGAATAATAAGCTGCTCAACCTCCGCCTCGATATTGTCAGTGTAGCTAACACTGATCCCATACGCGGGAGCGAGATGGCTCAGGTATCGATGCGTGCCGCCATACAGGCCCGCTATGGAGATGATGTGGGAGTTTGCTGCCAAAGTCTGCAGGACTGCTGCAGTTGCAGCGATCCCAGACGCATATGCAACTGCATATTTGGATGCCTCGAGGTCGGCAATGGCGCGCTCGAAACTCTCCCGGTTAGGGTTCGCAGAGCGGGAGTATACATAAGGTCCCTTGGGAACGCCAATTTGGTCTTGAGTGAAGGTTGTCGTGAGGTAGATCTGTGTAAGGAGCATCATGTTCTTTGTAAGAATATAGTCCACGTTTGCCCCAAGAAGGATTTGTGTGAAAAGTTGGATGATGCGATTGTAAGACGGTATGACATACTGGTTCAGATAGTGCTCCTGTACTAACATCTCGGGGCAGACCGGTATGGACAGCTCGTGTGGCAAAACTTGGGGATTTCGAACGACTCTGGTCCATTTTGACAACAGTGATAGTTTGCCAGCCGGGTTTTCCGATGAGTTTCGACTTTTTGGGACACTGGCAATTACGACGTGATGAGTTGTACTTGATGTTCTTTCTTGCGTGACAGCTTCAAGGTAATAGGGGCATCTTCTTGAGAATTCAGGATTTAAAGGATTCTAATATGACGGGTTCACAGGAGTAGACTTTTGTTTCTCATTGGACCCTGCAACGAACATCCCTGGAATTTTTGAACTAGTATTTTATGCAAATTCTCAAAAAGGAAATAATAAGGGCGCATGATAAGCTTGCATCCGGTGGATACCGAGCAGTCATTTGATTAAGAATAGCACCAGAAACGGAACACAGAAGGGCGTGCACCAGAAGTGAATAACAAGCAGGTCGATTAAAGGTTTCGATATAAGCTGCAACGGGAAAAGAGGTAAGAGATGGTGAAACCCATTTGAGCATTGCTAGATAATATCATTAGTTTAACCATGAGGTCCCTCCCGGTTGAAATTTTACATATTGTTGCCAGTGTATGTTTTCCGCATTTCCCTTATATAATTTTATCACCGTATTTTTTCTTAACTCTGACAGACTTCAGTTTTGTGATAAAAATGAATTACTCCAACTTCGACGGGTCTCTCGGAAGCTCGACGAAATATGCCTCTCATTTCTTTACAATTTTCTGGTCTAAGATATTCTCCTTGGACGCTGTTTCCACCTCCACCGGGCTGTTCAGATCTGTCTCGAAATCGCCATAGAGCGATTGATCAAGTGGGGAGGACCCGTGATGCAGCTTGATTCCATTGGGGAGACGGCTTTGCATATTGCCGCGCGAAACAACTGCGTCCTTGGCGCTCGAAGACTGCTGTTGGCTCAAGCGGATGTCAATGCACAAACAAATCACGGTTGGACTCCGTTGCAGCTAGCAGCGAGGCATGGACATAGCGCGATGGTCTCTGTCCTGCTCCATCATGGTGCGAATTGTCATTTGCACGGCTTTCATGGATACACGGCGATGCATTATGCTGCTCGCTCGGGGCATCACACGGTGGTGAAACAGCTGATTGAGTCTGGGGCTTGTGCTGAAGCACTTGATAATGATAAAAAGACGCCGGTAGATGAGGCCTGGCGATTTCAATACCAAAATACTTTGGAGATTCTTTTGCGTAACGTTAGTAAATAGCATTATAACTTCACTTTCGCCAATAAATGGTTCTCTGATGTTTTGCTCTTTTCTCTGGCTCTGGATTTCGAATTAAGATCTCGATTTAAAAACTCCCATTAACAATGGTCTACTTTCGAATATAGATACCCACCATGTCCGTCCCTTTCCCATTCTCGTATGATCGAGGTGGTTTTGTATGCTGGGATCTTATGAATTGGCCAGGGAGCTGTTCCGGACTACCAGCCTCTGCTGCCTTTGTGATATTTGCAACCCCGTCGCCGCCCCGGACCAATAGATCCCAGTAGACTCCATTCAAACCCCAAGGGGGACCAGTGAGTGCTGGATCCTTGAACAGAGGAAATTCAAGGCAGACTAGGTATCCATCTGATCGTGTAAGCTGGCCCATACGGTTTGCCCATTGTGGGCGTGAGCACGGGTGCAAAGCGCAGAGAAACTAGATTCACCGTCGTGATCATCATCAGTATTATTCCACGCAGCCATTGAATACCATGAAACAGTGGACAACATCTCGCGGCACGCACCGTGTAATCGTAGACGAGATCGAACTTTTCAGCCCCGTTGTTCGTCAATGGATCAGACCAATCCGATTTGAAAAAGTCGCCTTGGAAAAACGTAACACGACCTACGCCATCTGGCTGAGATATAATACTATTTTCGGGTCCAAAATTATAATCTTGTGGGTTTTGCAGTTCGGCTGAAGCGTAGCGGTTTGCAGTTGCCACAGCAGTCTCAGAAATCTCCAATCCGTAGGCATCAAACCCATGCAAAGCTAGCATCACCACATCATAACCTCTTCCACAGCCCTAGAAAGACACCGAATATTCATGTTAGCACGTGGGGACTACGCTTCAGGTCATAAATAGAGCGAGCCATCATACCGGCACCAGTGCTTTCTTTCGACGTCCATTCTCTGCTATTGGCCGCAATAGTTCGGACTGTTGCTCAATAAGGTCGATCAGCGCAGGTGAAGGTTTCCCGCGATCCCAGAGGTCACTGTCGTCCGAGTCCCAAAGGGCTGACCAAGCGGAACCATGATCATCCGTAGGTCTATTCGAAGTTAGTTTCTTCCAAGAAACATGGGAATGCATGTATGGCTGGAAATCTATTTAGCAGCGGAAACACACGTCTTTGAAAAATGATTGATGAGTGGGGTTGGCCCATCAGGGTTTTTTATGTCGCCAGCCATCATGTGTGAACAGGAATCTCACGAGGGATTATACAGCTTTCGGGTCTTGCAGGCTTTCCTGGACAATAATCTCAATTTAAGACATTTGATCGGCGATATAAAATCCAATGAGTCAGTCAATACCTATAATTAAGTCTGTGACAAATTCTGCCATTTTTGCAAGTTTTCGGCGGAATTGAATAAAAGGGTGGTGCAACTAAAACATGGGAAGTTTTTCGCGCCTTTCTCATTTCCGTTTTGGGAGGTTATCAACGCTTTTACTGGATTGTGGCCTGTCCACCCGCAAAACCTGCGCCTTAATGTTCTTTAATCAGACCTTACGGAAAATGGAGCTGCGAATAGCAAACCCTTTCAAGGATCTTCTCGAAGATGCCAGTCTGGTGCTGTATCTGGAAATTACAAGGGCGCCACGCCGGAAAGCCCCTCGGCGTCCCTGAGACCCCTATCTTGTAATAAAGGGAAATACTGACAATGATTAATTCCTCGCACTTCCTCTTCAATTCTTTCAAATAAATATTTCTTGTCACAGTGTGCCTTTTTTTGGTACAAACTTGGTTTCAAGATGGGAGAGATTAAACCAACCGCCGCTCCCTTTTTGGGCCAGTTGAAGAGTGATTCGGTGGCCGACCACATCGGCGCGACGCCTCTTGTGCGTTTGAATCGTGTACCTGAAAGTCTCGGAATCAAAGCCCAGATATATGCAAAGCTGGAATACTTCAACGCAGGCGGCTCCGTCAAAGACCGGATTGCAAAGCGAATGGTTGAGAAGGCCGAGCAAGATGGACTTATTAAGCCTGGTGATACGTTGATTGAGGCTTCAAGTAGGAACACGTGAGTCTCTACAAGAAGTGATTTTGCAAACACTGATCTGGAGGCTAATTATATGAATGCTTTGTGATATAGAGGAATCGCAATTGCTCTGATGGCTGCAATCAAAGGCTACATATGTATCATTACTTTGTCTGAGAAAATGTCCTTGGAAAAGGAGCAAATATTACAAGCACTGGGAGCCAAAGCCGTGCGTACACCGGCCGAAGTGCCCATCGAGTCGCCAGACTCCATAATCAGCGTTGCACGACGCTTGCAAAAGGAGATTCCCAACTCGTGGATCCTGGATCAGTACAACAACCCGGAAAATTCTGCTGCTCATGAATTTGGCACGGCGGAGGAGCTGTGGCATCAGACGGAGGGAAAATTGGACGTTGTGATCAGTGGTGCAGGCACTGGAGGCACTGTCACAGGCATATCGAGGGGTTTGAAAAAGCATGACCCTGGATTGCTTGTTGTCGGTGTGGACCCGGTGGGATCAGTGCTCGCACAGCCCGATACTCTCAATCAGATTAAGAGTGAGTACAAAGTGGAAGGAATTGGGTACGACTTTGTGCCGGCTGTCTTGGATCAGTCCGCTCCTGATATGTGGATCAAAACCACGGATAAAGATTCTTTTCAATTCGCACGTCGACTGGCGCGAGACGAAGGACTACTTTGTGGTGGTTCTGCGGGAGCGATGATTGCTGCGCTGGTCCAGTTTGTCGACCAGCATCCTGAATACAATGAACAGGACAAGGTCGTTGTAGTGATATTACCAGATGGCCTTCGGAACTATCTGACTAAATTTGCAAGCGATGACTGGATGGAGCAGAATGGATATCAAGTAGATGTAGGATCTGAGGAACGGAAAGGATAGCTATGTATAGTTCTTTAGAAAACAATCAGTAATGAATCAATTGATCCTCTCGTTCTAATATGACTGAGTCGTCTTGATTCGCCTTTAGATTGCCTATCATCTTGAAAATGTACGAGCGTAATTAGCTATTGCAATGACCGAAGTTAAATATTTAGCGTCCCTTATGCATGGAGTGTTAATCCAAGGACTTGGCATTCTCCTTTGCCGGTGTACACGGTCCAGAACTATGATTTTGCCTGCGAAATTCCACGAGACATTCAGGGGTATGCCAGGACCATGGCATCCAAGGGTCGATTATATTTGCAGGATCTGAAATGGAAGGCGCGTCCTCTACCCATGAAGCTGTGTCCACCGACCACGGAAGAGGAAAAACAGAGCTGGGCGGCATATCTGAAGTGTTAATTGTTGAAAGTTGATCAGGGTGAATAATGGAATAAGTTGAATCTAAACCCATCCCTTCTCGGAATAACTTTAGCCAATCCTGATTATCTGCAGCAGTTTGATTCCAAGGATCATCGTCCCCAAACACAAAGCAGCGCGCCTCTTCCTGTATGTTTTCATCTGTTAAAGAGATCCCAGCGGCTTGTGCCTTTTTCACAAACTGTATCAAATGTTTAGTAAGCTTCTCGAAAGGCGTTGGGACCGTGGAGCTTGTTCTATCTTCGCCCTGGTTCGTTTCAATTCCAGAAACTGGCCAAGCCCTAGACTTAGCATCTTCATCACAGCGTGAAGCCCTAAAGGGATTCATGCTGGTAGATTCCATGCCTATTAGATATGGGGGCATGGCATTCTCCACTGCCAAGGCAACCGCGGGATCGAGGCCTCGACAGCCTTTCCAGTCCTTCATTTTCAAACCATTCCGGAAATGTGCCGCAAGGTGATCATTACGCTCTGGCCATTGAATAAATGTCTTTTCACAGAATCCACAACGGGAGTTAACCTGAGTCACCTTGGACTTCCACGTCTTCACCCGTAGACTTGATTTTCTTACCCCGTGGACGAGACGCATGTGCTGGTCGAGGTGGTCTTTCCGATAAAATGTCCGCAGTGTAGCGGGCTTATCCTGACATTCCTGAAACCGATGGGACTGGATGTGGCTTTCGGACGGGTTCACGATATCGCAGAAGGTGCATTTCTGTTCGCTGCAGGTTTCGTCCTGGTAGGTCGGCCCAAAGGGCGCGCACATCCAGCTTTCTAACGATAAGTGTAAGGTTCTCTCATGCCGAGTCCAGTCATATTTCGATTTGAAAGTGTCAGTACAGAACGTGCACTGATATGGTCGCCGATCGGTCTTCGGTCTGTTTCGATCATTTGCTAAAGGGGATTTTCTCCGACGTCGCCGACGTCGGCGGCCCGTCGGTTCGCTGGCATAAAAGCAGCCGAAGGAGCCATGTGAGCCCACACTGCCGGCTGAAGAAGCAGAGCTGCTAGAGACGCTGGAACCCGCTGACTCGGAAGTTGCGGCCGACGCTGTCAACTTGTGAACACGTTGACCATGGGGCTGGGAATATGTCGAACTGAGAGCATCTTTCGTCGTATTGGATGGACCAGGCTCGGTACTATTCGCAACGGACTCCATAATGTCCAACAGTGGAGCGGGTTCGAGTTCTGGGGGAGAATGCTTCCAGCGATCCAACGGAGTCATCATTGACCAGTTTTCAGTATGTGCCGCAGAAATCGTCATAGAATGCACGCCTTGCAGGTCATGGCCCTCTGAAAATGACAATGACGGTTTGCTGAGTGGTATAGCTGAATGTTTTAGACCGATTCCTGTCGATTCCTCCAACCCAGAGCCAGAAATGGAGGAGGTTTCTGAATATACAGGCAGAGGTCCAAAGTCAAGGGCATCATTGCTTTTGATTGTTTGATTACTTAAGTCGTCCCATAATCCAGGGACTTCATAATCTGGCCTCTCGGAATGAATCTGGCTAGTATCATTATCTGCCTGTTCCGTCGGCATGAAAGACGTGGCCATGGGGTCACTTGTGCGTTTAGTCTCTTTCTCATGCAATTCAATTTTATTTAAAGGAGGTCATTTACCTTATTGTATACATATCTGCATCTGGTCCCAAAAAGTCAAACGGAGGAAAAACCAAAGATTGGCTGAAAGATTGCTGATCATTATTAGAGTCTTTTTGCTGGTCATCATGTGTAGGGTGGTCCCAAAGAGATTTTTCATCCATAATATCAGGAAAGGAATTTTGCTGATTTTGCCGATTGATAGAAGAAGGATGTTTTGCCTCTGTATTTCACTATGAATTGGAGGCCCGAAAGAAGGCTGGATGAAAATTTGGAAAGAAAAAACATAAACTTAGGTCCAGACAGTTCGTGGTCATGTCATGGCAAGGGATATCATTGTGGGGGCGACTATCGGCGCCCTATCCATTACCCTTTTCAGTAAGCCCCAAATACTATAATACAAATAGTCATACGGGTCAACCGTAGTATTCTTCTTTAAATATAGATTGTTAAACATTTTATAAATTCAATCAAGAACCATATCTGATGTTAATAGTTGACCATCTAAATAATCCAAAAATACCCTTCATATTACAATAATTCAAGGTCCTGTTTGAAGGGGAAAAAAAGGCTATCAATGCCTTTTTACTATTGATTCTCTATGTGTACTTCATAATTTTCAGAAGCCATCAAGACAGTTATACAGAGCATGATTGCAGTTATGGTATAAAATATCGAAGCGGTACATATAGCAAATTTTTCGTTGAGAGCCGACGCTAACTTGGGTATCTTGTAGCCCAGAGATAATCAACGGCACCTGCATATCTACCTAGGCATCACTATAACTTAGGTAGTAATTTGTTAGAAAAGTCCACGGATCTAAAGTACCTTGCTATCAAGCCCTGGCTGAGCTTCGTAACGTCAATAATTTCGCCTTTTTAAATTCACACTCCGAGAATAATACTCTTATGTTCAATTGTTGTATCCTATAGAGGTACGAGAAAATGTAGAGCCGGGGCCTTTTCAGACTGCTGTGTCTTCTCAGATGTCTTTCACAGCTGTTACGACGGGAATTCAGAAGGGGCTAATCCACCGGTTCATTGAGACACATTTCAGCGGGCAATAGCATTACCGGAGGAGATGCAGTAGCAAATAATCGAAAGGGGGGCATTTATAAAGACTCTCGTCCCTAACAGTAGATCTGCACTTCTATTGATTTCCAAATAATCTATAATTGTCGTCAAAGCGATGTAGACAAGTATGCTTGCAGCGGATGGTGGCCGAATGATCGATGACGTCAGTTGTCGCCGGGAAAACTGGTTTGTTTGCATCGTCGGATTCGTCATTCCCTTGCCAATCCCTCATTCCCAGCTTCACCTACCATTTTCCGGATATATAGAGCTCTCTGTTCCCCCTTCTCTCGCTCTCTTCTCTCCAATACCTCCCTCATCACAATTAAATTATCAGCCTCGCTACGAATCACGACTGTTCTTACGAACTCTTCTAACAGCAAACCTCATTTCACATCTTATTCGTTTCATAGTACAATACAACCAAAATGTCTTCCGGTCAGGACAACACCTCTACTCTCCAATCCTACGTGGATAAGGCCTCAGGATATGCTCAGTCTGCTCTGGGCGCTGTGACTGGCAGCAACGCCGACAAGGTAAGCTATACTACAAGTTCAGCTCCATTGAATCGGCTTTGGCCAAACAATCCTTCAGTTTATTCTTGATTCTTACATGTATGAATGCAGAATGCCGGTCAAGATAAGAAAGACAAGGCTGAGCTCGAAAACGACCTTTCGCACACCACCGCCAAGGCCGGCCCATACACCGTCTCTGCCTCTGGTGGTGTCGCCAAGGACGACCCTAACCGTGCTGCGGGCAGCTGGAACCAGACCATCGGCTCGGGCAAGGAAATGGTCGGCAACTTCGTTGGTGCTGAGGGTCTGCGCAAGGAGGGTATTGAGCAGAACCGTCAGGGCAAGGGCCAGGAGGCTCAGGGTCAACTGAGCGACCTTGGCAGCGGCTTTGGTGAGTGATTTGCTGTTGCGATTCAAGAAAGATCAATCGTGCTAACATGATATACAGTTGATCGTGCTCAGGGAGCCATTGGTGGCGCCGCTGCCGGTTTTACTGGAAACAAGGCCGAAGAGGAAAAGCGTCAAGCCCAGCACGATGCGGGCAAGGCTCAGCAGCGTGGCGCCGAGGCCGATATTCAGAAGCAGGCATAAATTATGGCTAAACCCGTTGAGATTTTGTTTAAAATGTCGGGTTTTTGCTCCCAGCGGCTATGATTGCATTGAATGGCTTAGACCTATGGCGTCATTGGTAATTCGGGGAAATACCCTTGTATGATAGCAGAAGATTCAAGCTAGTCGTGGACAAGCACTTTACTTGCTCACGAGTAACGAATATTCATTGATTGGGATTGATTTTACCTTGTTGCGAGAACCCTAAAATAAACGGAAAGTAGTAGTCTTTAAAGATGATGCAGTAGAGGGGCCTGTCTGGTAGGTCGGATGGGCTCCCAATTGTGTCCCACAACTTTGTTTCGCCGGTCCCGACAGTTACCGACCACCGACATGCCGACTAAGATTCAGATAACTACAACCAAATCGTAAAGCTTCATTTTGATTTCTATCCTCTGTATTGTCTCGTTGAAATTTGCCCCCATCAATCCAATCCATTGCGCCTGCGTAATGGAAGAGATTGCTATATCTGAAAATGCCCCAGAATGCCGATAATATGAGTCAGGGCTCCAAGGAGCCACTACCATCCACCAACACATTTGCTAAACCCGCCTCTCCATCAACAACCACTTCTCCCTCCGACGCATCACTCCACTCTTCAATCCCTCCTACGTCTACAGATGCACACAGTATACAAGACCGGCGCGCTACTCGTCCGCAGGAATCTTCATTTTTCACTATTCCAGCGCCGCTGCGCCGCCTGTTCGACCGCTTCCCTCTTGTCACATATCCGGAGAATGAACTCCCATCGCGGTCGCCCCGTGCGGTGCTTAGGTCGCGAATAAAAAACGGAATCAAGGGTGAAAGGGATACTTTTGCTGCAGACGGGAAGCAAAATGTGTTGTATGTCTTCACGACGGAGGAGGAAGCGAGATTGAGAAAAGCCTCGTTCAACCCGGGGTGTCTGAAGTGGCAGGTCAGTGATTGGTTTTGTTTAGCTCGAGGACGAATTTCTTTGATCCGTCATTCTTCCTCTCATGAAATTCATATAAATGGAATCATATGACACTAAACTCCGGAACAGGCTTACCTCAAGTTCTGCAACGTCTCCTTCGCAACGCTGCCATCGAGCAACCATGCATCTCCCACGGGCGTCCTCCCATTTCTACTCCCATCTTTACCCGCCGCGGCGACAGAACGCGAATCGGCTTCATTGTCATCGACATACACCGTTCTAAATGAACACCTTCCCATCCCAACAAGCAAACTCCAAGATTGGGCAAGTTCTCAGCCTGGCGCATCGATTCCCGAGGAATCCAACAATATCCGCTACGATGCTTACATGTCTCTCCTTGACTTTCGGATCCGGCATGCATGGGTATGTTGCCTGCCCTTTTCATTTATACATACATATCTATATGGTTCTTTTCGGCCCTTATTACCGAAATTCGTCCAGCTTCTGCCTGCCTTTCCTGACACACCCTGTTGACTTTACCTCTCCTTGCTAGCTCTACAATCTTTACCTCGAGCCCCTAAACTTCTCTACCGTCGCATACCCTCTATATATCTCCCCCGTGTCCAGCAACCCGGCTGTGCGAGCGACAGTTGCGTCCCAACTCACGCGCGCCGCGGCACATGAGCTTCTCACACATCAAGCCTCGTCCGGCTCCTCGGGCTGTGTCGCCGACCTCAACTCCTCCTCGTGGAGTATTCTAGGCAATAACAGCGCGCTTGCGGCATCGTATGTTGATGTCGACGATCTATATAGCGAGGCTGAGAACGCATTTGATGCGTTAGAAAAGCTGCTTGGTGACGAGGACGAGTGGTTCTTTGGACAAGCGCAGCCTGGAATGTTTGATGCCAGTGTGTTTGCTTATACCGCATTGTTGTTGCGGTTCGATGACGATGTCGGAGTAAGCGATGCGGTTGAGCATGAACAGGGATCGGACAAGGTTGTGTGGCAGGAAAAACGCCTAGTCAAGGCGTTGAAACGGAGAAGAAACCTCGTAAGGCATTGTCGCAGGATCGAGGAACTGTATTTTTAGACAGATGTGGATGGGATCACGGGTAGTATGAGAAAGAAGAAAGAAGAAGATCTATCCCTGGGTAGGAACCTTGGACTGTATATAGAATAGAAAATCACCGACCCTACTTTTTAACATCTAGAATTTATATAGTCGATTCACTGGGAGATAATCATCTCGCTCCGTCGCCTCCTATCCGGCCTTCCAGGCCTATCACTGTGGCTTTTAAATCCGCCGGTACAGGTGGATCTGATAGCGCATATTCTCCAACTGAATCGGATATCTCAACCCCGCTGAGCCTCCAGCGCTACTGCTACTGCTACTGCCGCTGTTACTGTCAGTTGGGAGTCTGAACCATCGCGAATCATCCGAGACGAGCTTCTCCCAGTGTGTGCCTTTGTTCGGCTCATCGCCCGAGGCGCCGCGAAGCAGCGTAAGGTCAAGAAGGTATTTCATCGGATAGGCTTTTGTTTCCTTTCCTCCTTCTGCTCCCTCTCCTTCCTCTGATATAGTGCTGGCCCCAGCATTTTTGGACTTCGTCTTCTTGGCCAAGGACAAGGTGGAGTAACTTCCAGGACTGTCCACGACGAGGAATAACGTGCCTGGGCGCAGATTATGCGTCAGGGTCATGAGCAGTTCCGTGGCTTTGGGAATGGATGCCGAGTAGAGCTCGTTGAGCGTGAACATGAGTGTGACGAGGTGCGTATCCTGCGTGATGAAGTTGAAGCGCGCGGATTGGGCGCGTGAGTAGCTGTAGGTGTCTTTGGCGCGGATCTGGCTGGTTTCAGATGTTGTCGCTGCTGTCGTTGCTGTTGTTTGTGGTGGTGGTGGTGGTGGTGGTGCTGTGGTCGTTGTAGTGGGTATTTCTGAAGACTTGGATAAGGAAGCGGCGCTTCCGGACAATGGAGAGGAAGATGAAGAAGAAGGAGAAGAAGAAGGGGGCTGGGCTGTCCGAGCAGAGTGGTCAAGAACGTCTTGCTGTTTGAATGTTATCCGGAATTGCTCGTTTCCTTTGGATTGATTGGTTGATATCAGCGGGACGGCAGCGGCGCGAGCGGCCGCCGAGGCGTACTGCGAGAGCTTTGGCGGGCTAGTGATTGATTGCTCAAGACGATCTAGTATTGCTCCCCAATCGGCAATGTCCACGGCTTTGATGTGTATTTGGAGATTCTCCATGTTCGTCTGCTCTTCTGATTCTTCTCGGTGATCGTTGGCCCCGTGCAGATTGATTTCTTCTTGATCCCCGTCTTCGTTGTCTTCTTCTACTTGCTTTTCCAGAAACGCGGAGCTGGTGCTATTCTGGCTGTAATTTGTGCGCAGATACTTATGATATCCTGCGAGTCCGACGACCTCTGCGCCGGCACCTCCTCCAAGACATGATATCCTGAGACTTGGAGTCTTTCTTCTTTTCCTCTGGCTGTCAACAGTAGAACTCTCTGGCTCATTTTTCTTGGGCTGAGTCTCTGAAATGCTCAGTCCCGCAGTTTGGGATTCTAGACTCGACGACGCTTCAGAAGCAGGTTCATCATTACCATTGACTGTCAGTGCCAAGGGAACCAAAAACTCTGATAGGTCTGCAAAAATAGTGCAGTATGCCAATGCACGGCTTGGGCTCCATCGTGCAGCGTAAGCTTCGAGATTTTCAGCCGGTCCAAACGCTTTGGCAAAATCACGGTTGTAGAGATGCTGTTTGACCGCCTGGAGCCGGGCCGGCAGCTCCTCGGTGAATCGGTCCGTGAAGGTGTCTCGGAAGATATTCAGCAGTTGTTGCTGAAGCTCTGGAGGGACAGCAGCTGTTGATGCACCACTTCCGTCTGATGTTTCTGCTGATATTCCCCTGAATGGAATTGGTCTGTTGCTGTTCGACCTGGATCCTATTTTTGAAACTTGTTTTTTGTCTTTGGACCCCGTTTTGGTTCGTTTTGTGTTACCCCGGGAGGACATTTTGGGCTAATGGATATCAATGCTTTTGCTGAAGCATTAGGTTATTCCAGACTTCAGCTCTCAGGTGTCTGATTTTATTGCATCAAAGCCTTTCTTGACCTGGATTTGTCGACACAATATTTCAAAATTTCGGAAATGCCTATTTGGATTTTCCCAAATATTTTTTGTCGAATATTCAATTCTGATAAAAGTGTGTCATGTGACTTCAACAATGGCAACAGTTTTATTTTCGAATTCTCATCACGATTCTCCACATGGACACATCTGACCGGACTTTGCTCCTGAGGTTGGCTAGTTCAACATAGGTAAATCCGTTGCCTCAATGGCACGCAGGGCGAACAGGGCATGCGCAAGTTTGCAGCCGTAACCGAAAGAGGTAAGAAATGTGGCTCAGCAGGGCCCACGCAGGGCATCACCCGTGATCACGCGGGAAGTTTAATCCATTGGCTTTGGCGTTTTTTAACACCAAGAATAAATCGACCTTGGGTAGGCAAAACAGGATCCTGATCGACCACGAATTCGCCGACGTCGAGCTGGACATATGCATAGCCATGTTTTGGCTGCTCCATCACGTCCATTTCTGAACGGAACGAACTGCTGGTCCATTGGGGCCTTAGATGAGGCGTCCAATACTCTTGCAGCAGTATCAATTAATTATGATGCCATTGATTCACTTGTCAGTCGATCAAAAGCTTGGTAAATTAAGCTCCACTACTCCGGAGTACGTGTTGGTACACTTGTAAGATTGTTTAGAGGAGACTGTATCCCTCGAGTGTGGCGTATATGACGTAACAAGTGTGGCTGGTAAGTGAGAAGCGCAGAAGCCGGTTCTAGGGTCAGTGGGGGAAATGATCAGATGAGCGTCATCTTGCAGGGGACTGTCTTTGGCTTTCAAATCGGCTCTTTCGGAAATTAAATGAGAGCTACATATTGCAATGAAGCAGCCGACTTGGGCGGGAAGAACAAAAGGGAGAAAAAAAATCCAAAATATGCTGAGGGACAGTCGTAGAGTGTACGCTGTAGAAGTGAATGGAAACGTAAATTATCTCAGAGCCAATTGGGCTGGAATTGGCTCTGAAATCAGAAAAAGGCGTTCGGTTTCTGATCCCAAAGGGCGAAGTGGTGCGGGTGACGTGAGACCCCCGAATCAGGGAGAACGGCTTGTTAGGATAGAATGGGTACCTGATTGAGCACCTGGAAATACCTCTATCTACGCACGGACTAGCCTAGCACTATCGGTACCCAAAAGCTCCAAATAAAGTATCTCATCATCGGCATCATCATCACCCAGTCAGCCAGGCCAGCTCGTACCCAGTTTACCCGCGCGCCTTGTAGGCTATTCATCCCCCATAAATAAACCTCGTCACCCAACTCTTCCCTCTTCCCTCCCCCCCAGCCTCCCGTCATCATCCAGACTTTCTTCAACCTCCCATCTTCAAAAGGCACAACAATCTTCGGACCCCCTCAGAGTAGATCTCTTTCTTTCTCTCCCATCGTAAAAATGGTTACCGCAAGGTGAGTCGCATTCCTGAATCGTCTTTATTCCATTTCCTCTCTTCATCTCGGTCTGCTGCATCAGTGGCTGCACTGAGCTGTTTCCTTGCAGCTGTCCATGCTTGACAATCATCAATCGGCTCCATAGCAGTAATGCTATTGCCGCGATGATCGTCATTTGTGTTGAGAGCCTGGAATTTTCCTTCCAGATGGTCTTTCTGGCGCTAACATTTCTACAGCGAGCTCTGCGATATCATCGTCGCCATCTTCATCCCCCCTCTTGGTGTCTTCCTCAAGCGTGGTTGCGGTGCTGATCTGCTGATCAACATTTGCTTGTCCATCCTGGGTTATGTGCCGGGTATAATTCACGCATTGTAAGTTGCTGGCTTTCCAGCTTGATAATGACTTTTGGATCTATGGCTAACGTGCGTTACAGGTACATTATCATGGCAACGTGATCCCACCTCAAAAGTCACAGCCACCACTCGATGAATTGACTCGTCTTATTTTTCTGTTGATATAAGACCAGCAACATCTCGACGCCATGCTTTTCCTCGATACCACCTCGATTTCCATCTTGTTAATTATGTGTCTCTGATAACTCTATTTTTGTTCCTGGGCGCTATGATTCCTTGTTTCGCATGGTCCGCAAAAGACGATGACATTGAGGGGCGGGACTCCAGATCCAAGGCCCGCGAGCTTTGATACTCAAGCGTCTCTTGATTCGGAACAGCTGGGGAGGAGTTTTACGCTTTTATAGTAGTTATCTTTAATCAATTCACATTACTACCTCTAAAATTTGAGTACACCATTGTGTTGCAACTTTGAGCTCTGTACCTTGTGATTACATTCCCGTACTCTTTTACAGTCATGGAAACTAGATCAGCTTAAAGTGATTCTGTGAGATGAAGTATGGATGAAATTTGTATATACGGTTATCAATGGTAAATAGCTATGATATGATGATGATGATGATGAGGTGCGGTGATGATGCCAATGGAGAGTCCCAATAAAGAGATAATCAAATAGAACAACGAGAACATATGCCGATGCACATTAAACGTATTGAGAAGGATAGCGGGTAAGCTCAAAGGGAACTCAACGTGACAACCAACACCGGCCACCAAATCGAAAAAAAAAATGGATAACGATCTAAAGCGTGATAGATGAAAAAGGAAGGGTAGCAACTAAGTCCGAGGAGAGGAAAGAGAAAGAAAAGAAAATAACATCAGAAGACTAGACAAATACTCCAGACATTTCCGTTTGAAATTGAGCCCAGTCTAGTTACGGTCAAGTCTTCGTCGCAGGTTACGTGTCCGGCGCATGAGTTTCTTGTACTTGTGCTTCTTCATCTTCAATTTTCGCTGGCGCTTCACACTGATAGCCTCCATATCCAGAGCCTCAGTAGGCTCCATGATGATCTGCTCAGGCATGGATGCCTCGTCAATCACCACGCTGGTGCTGCCGTTGTCCCGGCGGGAATCTTCCCAGCGCTCCTGGCGAAGCCACATACGGTCAAGGAAGCGGCGAGCGGGGGGAGTGTTCTCGTCGGCGACGAACGGTGTCGTGCGGGCCGTATAGGTCTTGGCGCCATCGGGCATAGTGGACTCGAGGATAGTCAGGACCGTCGAGTACGACTTCTGCTTCGTCGGCGCCGAAGTTGCAGCCTCGGCTTCTTCAGCGACTGCAGCAGCCTCCTCGGCATTCGCGGCGGGCTTCATAGGGCGCGGAGCAGGCGGAGGAGAAAAGGGCTTGAATTTGCCCGTAAGAAGGTGGCCAGGGAACTGGAGCGACGAGGGAGCAGGCGCTCCATCAAGATGCTTCACATCTAGACTTTGTGCTTGCGCTAAAGCGGCCCGCAGTTCGGCTTCCTCGCTGGTATAACCTGTCTGCTGCTGAGAGCCCGCTGCGGCTTCAAGGCTGTCGACGGCGGAGGATAAAGTGGAAATGACCTCCGAATGTTGCCGGTTGTTCTTCGTGCGAGGCTCAAAGATGGTATTGAAGGAGGCGGATGTGGAGCCAGCTGGGACTGAAGAGGTGATGGAAATAGGACGGTGAAGGGAAAAGAATGCTGATACGGCGACGTCTATTATATGATTAGAATTTGATAGGAAAGTTTTGAAAAGGTATACCCCAGAAAAGGCTTGTCTTCTATTGAAAAACAAAAAGAAGAAGTGAAACGTACCAGAAGGGTGAAGATGAGGTGTCGAAGGAACGCTGGGAAGATTCACGAAAGCCTCATGTTTCCCTTTGTGTGTCGCCTCTGCGGCAGCGTCTTTGGCTTTGCGCCGATTGAGGCGGTTGGCGTTTCGTTTTGAGCCATCCACCCGAGACTCAGAAGAGCCGTTGCTAGGCGTCTGTTGCTGAGCATCGATTCCTTCTGATCCATCTGGCGGACTTGATGGCTTCGAAGAAGAATAGCGCCGCTGGTGTCTGCGAACGGAGATTGATCGGGTTGAGGCAGCGGCTGCCATTGAGGCGGGAGAAGCTCGCGCTGTGACCGCAGACGACACCGATAACGTGCTCGGTGTCGCCCGGGCCACCCGGCCAAGGGCTGAAGAGAACATCTTGAACAGTCCTCTTCAAAAATGCCTTAAAAGAAGTACCCAATAGAGGGTAAGGTGGGGAAATTCGATGTTGGCAGTGATGGTGGCTCACTTGCTGCGAAGACGGTGAGAATTGACGACACTTCGGATCAGCAGACAGAGGTATGATGACTAAGCGTGCCCGGTATCCGAGTTCGCCGCAGTTGGCTTGGCTTGGAATCCCATCTCGGGAGACACAAAGAAGACTCACAGACGAGATTATTTCTGATCTTTTTGCAGATTAAACGATTCCTTGATATGGTTTGCAATCTTTTGGTAGAATTATTATCTTAAAATACATATCCAGGCGTGATAATGCGCTATGATAGTCCATCCCCCTCCTTTCTTCATACTTCGAGTCAATTAGATCAATTATGCTCATTACCAGAGGGAGCGTCGCAGTTTGCCTTGAAAATCGGCAGTACTGACTGAGAGAACTTTCCTCGGTTGATATAGATTGCGGATCTTTGGCAACAACGAATTCTTCGGAAATGGAAAAGTGGTATCCAAAATCCAAACTTATATACTTGGATGAAAGAGTATCCAAGTTCAAAACTCCGAACCACATGTCGATGGGTGATCCCGTACAATAGTGATATGCTCATGCAATACAGCCGCCAGAAAAGCCGAGATTAGAAATTTCGGCCACAGAAACAAAGGCTATCATTGCCGGGCAATGCGTGTATCAGGAAAACAAACTTTTGAAACGCCTCATCAACTCCTTCGTGACATTGACAACCCCGCTAACGTGGAAAACTTGATGCCTTCAAAGAAGAAGGTTGGAGATATTGCGCTGCAAAATCATATCTTGAACAGAGGTCATCGTGATCTTTAGGAGATTGGTGTCAGTTGCATTCGTGAAGTGAACGTAAATCTCGCGAGTCGGCGATCGATTCAAGTGGATGAACTTGTTAGCGAAGAACTTCTTTGCCGCTTCATAATCCTCGTCATCCGCCTGGAAGTCTGGAAAGTAACGACGAATTGAACTAGTAGCCAGCTTCGCTTTGAAGAGGTCAACTTTGTTGAGGAAAAGAATCATGGCAGATTGCTTGAACCAAGGCGAATTCACAATGGAGTCGAAGAGCATAAGCGCCTCGTACATTTGATTCTAGAAAAAGAAAGAAATAAGTAATTGACGAAGACGTGGTGATTTGCAAGCCGAGGGACTTACGCTGCGTCTGTCTTCGATAAGACACTGGTCGTAGCCGGACACGGCAGCGAGGAAGAGGAGGCAATTAACGCCTTCGAAGCAATGGATCCACTTTTTGCGTTCGGAGCGTTGTCCACCAACGTCGTACATGTGATAGGTCACGCTGCCAAGGTCAAAGGTGGTCTCTGTGATACCAGTGGTTCGAAGACGGGAGCGAAGGATGTCTTGATCGTTCGGGAGGTAATCATCGGCAAATAGACGCTGAATGTTGCTGAAGAAACTAATAATGTGCTTTAGTTAAAAGCTCCTGACATCAGAATCGAATAAAGGAGGATATACTAATTAATGTTATCATGAAGGGCATACTCGTGACCCTTCTGGATGCCGCTTTTGAAGTTGGGGTCGTCCCACAGAGTGAGGCAAACATCTAAATATTCTCGGGGATACTTCTGCTCGGCGTGGACCTCTGGGTCTGCCAAAATCATGCCGGCACATCTCTATACGACGATTCAGAAGTAAATAAGCCTGCGTTCTTTGGCCAAGCCGATAAAATTTCAACTTACTATACTCTCTTCATTCTCCAATTTTAAACCATACTCGTCCATATTTTCCAAGACAACCTTGAATGCGGAGACCAGATTTGTGAAGATGACGGGTCTCCAGAAATCCTTACGCTCGGATTTTGAGAAGCCGTCAGCATTTATGAGCTTCATTTGCTTGAGGACGGTAGATTTGCCGCTCTCGCCGGCACCTTTCAGCCCGTTAGCTTCAAAAAGGAAAATATGCCGATGGTTAGGGGGACGCCTACCCAAAAGCAGGAGCTTGATTCGAGTCTGATTCCTTTTCTGATCCTGTCGGATCATACGATCTATTTCTTGAGAGCGAGCCTTTTTCTCGTCCATTTTCTCTTTGCGAGATGTCAAACACATGCTGAAGAGCGGCATGTGGGCGAAAGAGGTTAATTGAAGGCGCTAAACTGTATTTGTCTATCGACAGTGCAGAAAAACAGCAAAGTAGACTATGAGAAATAAGCACCGGAGGGCAGTCGAGACTGATATGGTTTGGATGATGTTATGAAAACAACAAGCATCGAAGTGCGGTTCTCAGAAGGTTCAGCGTGCGGTCCGTGCGATTGTTGGATCCATGCAACGAAAGGCCCTCGCGGCCAGAGTATGTTTCAAAAGCTGAAAGCAGAGGTTCTAGGAAATTATAACAGTAACGAAATAAACGCAGGCACTCGAAATTTAGAACGAGGTCGCTTGACCGAGCTTTGGGAAGTTCAACGAGTCAAACTCGCAAAAAGTGCAAACACTTGGGATTGACAGAATCCCAAATAAGGGGGTCCAGTAGTGGCTAAAGTCGAGTCTTGGAGGGATTTAACAGGGCCGATAAGGCTCGAAGCTTCGTCCTGCGCAGCTCAAGCAGTCGGGTATACTTTGTACAATCGCATGGGTATTTGGAGCTTTTATCACCATCAGTACACGCTTGGGAACCTTCCCCAGTCTTCGTCAGGTTTTGCAAGCGGGAATGAACCACGGTATATGAAACTACTGATAGAGAACGGGACCACAAAGCGCCATGTTGAGCGATCACTCGCGTGGGAGTACTAGTCGGCGACAATCCGCTCTCTCCAGCTCGGATCAGGCTAAACACCACGGGACAATTGACCATCCCTCGTGGACCCACTCTAATTTTCACCATCCTTTGGTGCGGTTTTCCAGCTTAGCAAGAGCCAGTAGTCGCCATGCGTCTCAAACATGGTATTATAGGTTGAAAGTGTTGCGGTCATTGATCCTGTTCTCTCACCAATCGTGGGCTTCATGCCTTTCACGTTCCAAGGCCGGGCAAAAACAATGCTAGGCAACTCAACTCCTGCGCGGCAATTTGTGTTGACCCATTACTTGCGAGATCGGTGCGTCTACCGTGGCGCAAAGTCTCGTCATGCCACTCACTTCATGCCGGTCACCCATCCTTGAGCAACTTCAGGCAATGTTATTACCGTCGTCTGGAAACGGGGGCTTGGCCCGGAAAGCAAAGGATCGCCGGAGTGCCCAACTATAAGGAGAGGCCAGGGTTTGCACGGAAAAACGTGGCCCCCTGGTTTCGGGCCCGAGGCGGCTCTAGCGCACTGCCGAACTGTACCGGCTGTTTGGAGATTGATTTAAGCCAAATAAGTCGCTCCTTCGATTAAACCATTTATCTGCGTAAAGAACCTATAATACCTATACTACAGTTAAGTTATACTAAGGTTTGTGCCCCCCTCATGAGCGAGAGCTAACTGGGCGCGATACCAGCTCTTATGTCCTCCAAAGGCCGCGCATCCCTGTTTGACTATTGATAATGCAAGCATGAGTATTTCTTGCAGAGGATTTAGACGCGACAAAAGAAATCATGAAATTGCTTAGGCAATGTCAGCACTAAATCATCGTCCCAATGCGACCCAGGTAGGAGGCGTTTTGCATTTGGTCGTAGGAGGGAGCCAATGAGACAAAATAACCTCTGTAATGTGTCAATTGATCAACCGAGGGAGTGAGCCCAAGCTAAATTGTTTGCGACTATCTTGGCCGTGTGGGCGGCCTCGGGGATTAAATCGACAGACAGACTGGTCTCATTATTATGTTTGATAAAGCGTATCCGCTGCGGATCTTCAAGAAGAACATGCCTTGCCCTTCTTGCCCTTGTTGGCTGGAGGAGTTTTCCTTCATGCTGTACCTTCTCTTACTTGTGGGTCGTCGATTCAAGCCATCGCATGCAGCCCTACTGCAAGATTCTGCCTGCAGAATACATTACTAACCTTGCTCAACGTGATCAAACTTTGTCAAGCTTGAGGTTCGGGTTCCACAATCTATTGTACTTTGGTAGTGCAGTACAGTCATATCTCTCTCCAAGCCGTAGTAGCGGCTTCTCAATTACTGTATATTCTCTGATAGACCTATAGTCTGGTAAAGCAGGGTAGTCCATTCTGGTTGAGTTATCGGCATCATAAGTGAGGCTGAAGGTGCTTAGCTGGCTTGCTCTCAGTCCTTGAAGATGAGGCCGCGTAGTTTTACTGGAAGTGACTAGATTGGAGAGTATTCTGATGCAGCGTATTTTGGTAACTTTAGAACAAGCCTACCTACATTCGTGCCGGGAAAATGTAATGTTTTGGATATACAATTAATGTTGACCTTTAATTCACTTCATTTATTGAAATTTTTATAATATCAAAAATTTTTACTCCCTTCGAAAAAAAAGAAAAGCGTCGAGATAAAAAAAAAAAAAAAACGACTTTCAGCAGGAGAAGCAAGAAGGCGATTATATGATGGAGCTGTAAATTGATCTATGTTGGTCTCCAGCTCCAGCAAAGGTTACCAGTGTTGAGCAAGAACCATCCATCTCAGGACTATTAAGATAAGCTGCGAATGGTTCACAGATGACAAGCAAGAGATAGCAAAAAAATGGTGAAAATTATACCTGATAGCATAAATTGAATAAATCCCAAAATTTATACCTGGATGGATATAACGAGAGGGGACTGTTCAGCCCAGCTAGGAAGGCGCAACCGTGGGAGATGCGATAGCCGAGAGAGGAAGGGACCCCCGCCGGAGCAAAACTCTCCCACCACCGAGAACGGAAAATTCTCAAAGAGCTCCACCTGAAATCTTTGGATCCGCCAATATTCCTTTGGTCGTCAACCTTTTCTCCTTCCACACTGTTCTTGACCAGGAGTATATTTCAAGTGTGCCGTACTTCAAGGCCACGATCAATTACCAGCCTTCCATTTCTCTGTCACCAATCTCCCTCATTCAAATCTAGAAAGATGAGCCAGATCACTCACCCCACTATCCAGGGTATGAATTTATTCACCCCACCTAACCCTTCCTTTCTCAATCATTTTGAGCAATACCGGCTAATACCTATTCTTTGAATTCTGCAGATGGCTGGTTCCGCGAGATCTCCGACATGTGGCCTGGCCAGGCCATGACCCTCAAGGTCAACCAGGTCCTTCACCACGAGAAGAGCAAGTACCAGGACGTGCTTGTCTTCGAGTCCAGCGACTACGGCACCGTTCTCGTCCTGGACAATGTCATCCAGTGCACTGAGCGCGATGAGTTCTCGTATGTCTGATCTGCTCCCAGATTTCACAACAAATGATAAGAGCCCGCTGGTTGACAATCGTTGTGTGCTAGCTACCAGGAGATGATCACCCACCTGGCCATGAACTCTCACCCCAACCCCAAGAAGGTTCTTGTCATTGGCGGTGGTGACGGTGGTGTCCTTCGTGAGGTTGTCAAGCACGAGACCGTCGAGGAGGCCATTCTCTGCGACATTGACGAGGTGAGCAACAACACGTTACGGCTTCTAGCCTCCAACATGCTCTAACAGCTATTTCTCCCCTTCAGGCTGTCATCCGTCTCTCTAAGAAGTACCTCCCTGGCATGGCCGTTGGCTTCCAGCACCCTAACGTCAAGACCCACATCGGCGACGGATTCAAGTTCCTTGAGGACCGCAAGAACGAGTTCGACGTCATCATCACCGACTCCAGCGACCCCGAGGGTCCCGCTGAGTCCCTCTTCCAGAAGCCTTACTTTGAGCTTCTCAACGGTGCCCTGAGAGAGGGCGGCGTCATCACCACGCAAGGTTGTATGCTCTTCTATTTCTTTGCGATGCCCTTTGTTATTGTTTGTGGTGTTCGCTGCAATTCTTGCCGCGGTCACGGCGAACTGTTAAGCTTGCTCTTGAGTTTTTTATTTTTATTTTTTTGGCCCACAGCATCTCTCCCCCTTCCAATCAACCTCTATCAACAATCCGTTTCGTCAATTTCAATCTTTGACCATCTTCTAAAATATTGTATCCTTTTGATTTGAACCACCCATTGTATGCGGCTACAGCTGACAGTTCTTTTTTTTACTCCGTAGCCGAAAACCAATTCCTCCACCTCAGCCTCATTGCCAACCTCAAGAAGGCCTGCAAGGAAGTCTTCCCCACCGTCGAGTACGCCTATACCACTATCCCCACTTACCCCTCTGGCCAGATTGGTTTCATGGTCTGCTGCAAGGACGCCAAGCGTGACCTCACCAAGCCCCTCCGCAGCTGGTCCACCGAGGAGGAGGAGAAGCTCTGCCGCTACTACAACAAGGAGATTCACTCTGCTGCCTTTGTCTTGCCCAGCTTCGCCCGCAAGGCTCTCCGGTAAAGCAGTCAAGGAATCCTGGTGCGATCTTCGTCTTTTTACGTTCAATGTTTTGTCTGCGCCATGCCGCAGTCTCAAAACTTCTTTAATCACCATGCAACGCTACAAAAGCATGCATGTTCTTGCTTTGATGGTCTTAAAATACATTTGGACCATCTATTTTCCATATATATCGCAGTCTTCACCTCTCTAGGACGATGACGCTCACTTTGTCTCATGTCGTTACGATAGATGCCATTGGAGATCAATAAATCAATGAATACTTGTTCTCTTTCATATTTGCCATACCTGAAAGCTATTTGCACGACTAGAGTCGAATTGCTTGTACTGTTTTCCAATTGCTGCATCCCACAGAAGCATACCACACCAATGATTATATTGTTACTTGCTGCATTATTTGAGATAAAACCTCATGTCAACATTGAATTGCACTGAGAATGACAGGGAATCACATGGACATCTTCATCAACAATTCACGGCGTGGAAGCAAAGGTCAACAGTAAGATGCTTTAGGAACCATCTCGTTTATATGTATAGTTACTTTCCTATTCTACCCGAAATAGGATGCGCAGAAGGCAAGAGCCTTCCGAACAACATAATTATAAAAAGAAAAGGCTCACTAAACGCGCCAATGACTACCATAGCAATATACTCTTTCGCTATCTTTAGAAAGCCACTGTACGCAACATAATAAGATTCCCGTTTCCACATGACTTCGTTGATGATAAAAGATCTGAAAATATGGATCTCGTGAGAAGGAAAAATTCTTTCATGGTCAGTTTAGACCACATCGTCATCGTTGCCTTCCTCGCCGACAAGTCTACTCTGTAATCTGTCGACGAGCCCCGCACGTGACCTTGAAGGGAGTCTAAAACACGATAGACGTCGTTATCGCATTTAGATGAGCTGCTGGAAGGCACGGTTGATGGGGGAACGGGGCTTGGTGCCCTTGTAGAAGTCGATGGTGGCAAGAGCGCGCTTGGCGATGCCCTCGGGAGTGAACTCGAATTTCTGAAAAGTAGCGAATTAGCTTGGATATAAGATGAAAAAGATTAGGTGGTGATCATACCTTGTACACGTCCTTGTAAGCACCAGAAGCACCGAAGCGGTTGAGGCCGAACTGCTCGTGGGAGTACCGCTCCCAGCCGAGGGTGGACATGACCTCGACGGAGAGCGAGGGGATACCATCGGGCAGAACGGAAAGGCGGTACTCCTTGCTCTGGGCATCGAAAACCTCGAAGCAGGGCAGGGAGACAACACGAGCAGTGACGCCGTGCTTCTCCTTGAGCTCCTTGACAGTGTCAATGACCAAGCTGACCTCGGAACCGGTGGCAAGAAGGGTGATGTCAGCGTTGGGGTTCTCCACCGCGACGTAACCACCCTTGATGGCGTTCTCGATGGTGGAGTTCTCCAACTGAGGAAGGTTCTGACGGGTAAGGGCCAGAATGGAGGGAGTGTGCTTGGAGGTCAGGGCAATGTAGTAAGCAGCGCTGGTCTCGTTGCCGTCGGCAGGACGCCAGACCATACAGTTGGGGAGGGCACGGAAGTGGGCAAGAGTCTCAATGGGCTGGTGAGTAGGACCGTCCTCACCCAGACCGATTGAGTCGTGGGTAGCAACGTAGATGACGCGGTCGTGGGAGATAGCCGACAGACGGACGGCACCAGCGGCGTAAGAGACGAAGTTAAGGAAAGTACCACCGAAGGGGATCAAAGTGCCGTAGGCGCAGATACCGTTCATGATGGCGGCCATGGAGTGCTCACGCACACCATAGCGGATGTAGCGACCAGCCCAGTCGCCAATGCCCAAGACGGGGGGCTGGAAGTCGACGGCGTTACTCCAGCGGGTGTTGTTGGAGCCGGTCAAGTCGGCAGAACCACCAATGAGCTCAGGAACAACATCGTGGATGGCCTCGAGGACGGCCTCCGACAGCTTACGGGAGGCAATGGCAGCGTCAGTGGGCTTGTAGGTGGGAAGCTTCTTCTCCCATCCCTCGGGAAGCAGACCACTGAGACGACGGGAAAGGTCGGCGTGCTCGGCCTTGTACTCCTTGCCGTACTTCTCGAAAAGCTGGTTCCACTCAGCTTCGAGAGCGGCACCCTCAGCGGCGTGTTTGTGGTAAGAGTCATAGACCTCCTGAGGAACGACGAAGAACTGCTCGGGGTCGAAGCCGAACTTGGCCTTGACGGCCTTGCAGTCGTCCTCCTTCAGAGGGTTACCGTGGACACCACCAGTACCCTGGAGCTTGGAGCCGAAACCAATGGTGGTGGTGAGCTTGATGACTGAGGGCTTGTCCTTGACTTCTCTGGCCTTGGCGATAGCAGCCTCGATACCTTCGAGGTCGTGGTCACCGTCCTTGACCCACTGGGTGTGCCAGCCGTAAGCCTCGAAGCGCTTCAAGACATCCTCAGTGAAAGCCACCTTGGTGTCACCGTCTGAGGATAAACTGTTAGCCATCTGGTGCACACTTCATTGCTTGATTCTACTTACCAATGGAAATGTGGTTGTCGTCATAGATGGCGATGAGGTTACCGAGCTGCAGATGACCAGCAGTGCTAGCAGCTTCGCAGGCAACACCCTCCATGGCGCATCCGTCACCAAAGAAGGTGTAGGTGTAGTTGTCAACGAGGTTGTAACCGGGCTTGTTGAAGGTGGCAGCAGTGTTGGCCTGCGCAATGGCAAGACCAACGGCGTTGGCGAAACCTTGACCGAGAGGGCCAGTGGTAACCTCAACACCGGGGGTATCGTTAGCCTCAGGGTGACCAGGAGTCCGGCTGTCGATTTTCTGTCAAGAATACAGTCAGCATCGATCCAACATGCCCGAAAATCTGTCGTAAAACTTACCCGGAACTCCTCGAGATCCTTAATGGTGACATCATAGCCAAAGAGGTGGAGAAGAGCATATTGGAGCATGCATCCGTGGCCGTTGCTGTCGGAGCAAGTTAGTGACATGCACATTTCAATGAAATGGGAGACCCGTAAGAGCAAACGCCTCCAAATCTGCACATGGCAGATAGGGAGGCTGAACGGTACTCGAAGATTGGGTTTTGACACAATCAAAGTGGAGAACTTACGAGAGAACAAATCTGTCACGGTTCAACCACTTAGGGTTCTTGGGGTTGAACTTCATGAATTTGTTGAAGAGAACGTGAGAAACGGGGGCCATGCCCATAGGGGCACCGGGGTGACCCGAGTTTGCCTTGAAAGTAGCATCAACCTGTAGATTGTCAGAAGACGGCTTCTAATTGCTGATGACGATGTTGCCAAAGGCAATCAGAGTTTCGTGGAACTCAATCATCATTCAATTGTGGGATGAAAAATGGGTTTGTTGGGAAAGGCTTCAGAAGCAGGGAACTTACGGCAAGAACACGGATCGTGTTAATGGCCAATTGATCAAGGTGTCCGTAAGTCATGATGATAGATGTCTAAGGAACCTGATGAATGAAGATGGGGAAAGAAAGGAATCTCGAAGGACGGGGAGGTGAGGGTAGAAAAAGGGAAGAGAGAGGCGTGACGTGGGGGGAGGGTGTGGGAAGAAAAGGACGGTGGGAGCGATAGGTCATCAAAATGGTGGGGCTATGATGTACGAAGGTACTCAAGCTGTAATCTGCTATCGGACCTACTTGGCCGAATGATTGGATCGCTTAACAAGTCTAGTGAATAATAATCGCCCGAAGGAGGGAGGGGCACACTCATGACATCGTTTCCCCTTGCGACGAGACGACCCAAAGGAGTCCACTATTGTATGAACCAAACACACGGCAGATGCGTTTTACGTGCGTGGGGTGTCCAAGGCGTGCGATGGAGACGAACAGGCACCACGACCTAATCCAGACGTAGCTGTATCCACCAACTGCGAAATTGTTTCGTTCCCCTTGTCCCTGGCTGTCTGTGGTGACGGCTATCGAGCCACCAATTGCCGCCGCCGCCTCATTGATCTCAAGTGGATCCGCCTATAGGAGAAAGGTGCCCCATTTCTCCCTTCTCCTCTCCTCGTCTTCCCGCTGTGAGAGAGTACCATTGAGACGGGCTCCACGTAAGCAGACGGTTCTCGACACAATCGGTGTGCCACTCATAATTCAACAGAATCTGGCACGTCGAGAATTTGGTTCAAAGAGCGCTATCACTGCATTACCTACGAGTTGTAAAGAAACCTTGTGTCCAATTCCACAACGTGGGAACAGTGGCGACTTGCTAGCTAGTAAAACAGCCAAGAGCTCTCCAAAAATTTAATGAAAATGAGCCGCAAAATTACATCACTGGCAAGGATAATAAGGTGCTGTCACGTGATGATGTGATCTTCCGTCACACTTTCCTCATGGCGAGTGGGATCTGTCCCAGCTCGGTCGACGGGACCGAGTCTGCCATCTCGATAAAGCTAGTCCTCTTGAGCTTATTTTGAATTTGCATCTGGCAGAAGACGGAAAGGACAGGCAAACGTTGGGGTGCTGCAGACGAGGCTTCCGGGGTCCGTGTCGATCTTCACGGAAGGCGGGCCTGGTTAAGTGTTCCAAGAGGAAGTAATATGGATGATCTATCCAAACAGACACTTGGGACTGTCGCATCAACAGATACAAAGCGATTCGCCCCGAGAAAATGGCATTGATTAATTCAAATGCCTCATGTAAGAAATTCGAGAAAAGTATCACAAGTCCGTGGCTGGGCTTCGGAGAGGCCGCGCTAGCTCCCGGAAGACGGGGCCCATTGTATGAGTTTACCATGATGTAACCTACCTAAAATTAAAATGCCATGGCTACCGTTGATATTGTAGGTCGTGGAAACATGGCTCTTGTCCAGTAACGTCGACAAGCAATTCCTCCTCGCTACAGGCAGGGTACACTCAACGCCACATCACTGATTTCCCCGCCCTTATTATCTGAAAAGGCCCTTTAGCCACCATTGTCATTGACTAGTTTCACGTAGGAAAAAGTTCTGGAGTTGGGGATATGAATTCAATCGCTTTTCCACATAAATTTAGCTCTGAGCCTTATCAATACTCTATGGAAAATATCTGAAATGAGAAAATTTCAAACCTATGCAGGAAAATAGGAAGAAGAACAAAGCCTTTTGGGTAACAAAGATGATGAATGGAGAAGGTAATCGACATGGCTCGGTAAAGGTCCATTTTCGTCAAATATTTTAGTGTAGGTATCGCGGCGTCGTAAGGATAGCAGGGAAACGGAGATGGAAAAGGAACGGTAATGAGCATCAGCGCTATTGGGGGACGTTTAGGCATCCATTTTCATGTTCGCGCCTGCTCGTGAGCTTTTGATCACACGTTTCACAGTCTCCTCGACCAGATCCCAGTCGCTGGTATCCACCTTCGTGAGCGAAATGTTGAAGTATCGCGCAATCTCATCCAGACGTCTCCAGCTGGTCTTGTCGGAGACAAAAGAGATGGCTACACCGACACGGCCGAACCGTCCAGTACGACCGATACGGTGGAGATAGGTTTGCGGGTCACCTTGACCGTTGGGAAGCTCCGGGACGTCCTAGATAGACCCATGTTAGCAATCCGACTAGCAAGTCATGCCATGGAGCGACCTACATAATTAACAACCATAGAGACGGACTGAACATCGATACCACGGGCAAGGACGTTCGTAGTTATAAGAACCTTCGCCTGGCCAGTGCGGAACAATTCGAAAATTTCATCACGTTTGGTTCCCTCGAAAGCACCAGTCAAACAAGCAACTTTGTGTCCCTCGGCCGTCATGCGACGCTCGATTTCCAGTGCAGTATCACGGCGCTGAAAATGCATTAGTAAAGAAAGTGACTATAGATCAAGGATGCCTGTTCTCACCTTGACAAAGATGATTGAAGAACCAATGGTCATCAGACCGTAAAGTTTGACAAGCACATCGTACTTGTCTTGATCGTTATTGCAGTCGAGGTACAGTTGCTTGATACCCTCGACGGTGAGCTCTTCATGACGGAGAGTAATCTGGTTAGCATTCGGAGCAAATTTGGTGGCGTACTGGACGACGACATCAGGGAATGTAGCGGAGAAGAGGACGACTTGAGCAGATTTGGGCAACATGCTGCAGTGATAAATTGTCAGCGCACTTCGCATTCGGAGAGGTCGCGAGAAATCCTTCACTCACTGCTTCACTCGGATACACTGGTCGCCAAGACCTTGCTGATCAAGCATGTTGTCGGCTTCATCAAGCACAAGGACTTTGAGATTTCTTGGGTCCAAAAGTTTCCGTCGAACCATATCCATAACCGTGCCAGGAGTTCCAACAATGATCTGGGCATCTACCTTCTTGCCTCGCTGCGCAGCTTCCATTGGAATGGCAGCGGCAGTGGTCAAACCCGGAACAAAGCTTCCCATTGTCTGCACAACTCCAAGGATCTGACGGGCAAGCTCGCGGCTCGGTGCCAGGCAGAGTGCTTGCGGTGCCTGTAGCGATAGATCCGTTCGAGAGAGCATGTTCAAGACGAAGGCGGCAGTCTTGCCAGTACCAGACTGGGACTGGCCGATCAGGTTTTGGGCAGGGTTTCCCAGCAGCAAAGGAAGGGCACGCTCTTGAATCTTGGAAGGCTTAGTGAAGCGCATACTGTAAATGCCCTTGAGGATCTCGGGGGACCTAGGGTTTGGAAACATCGCTGTTAGAAATGAAGACCGGATATGATGCAAGTGAAGGAAAATGACGTACAACCCAAGCTGCTCGAAGCTTTTGATAGAATAGAGAGGATTGTTGGGGTCGGCTTGCATGTCGCTCAACTTTATCTCAACATCGTACTCTGGCTCTTGAAGATCCGAGCCTCCCCGGCCCTCAGTGGCACCATCGACTTGGGACTGTTCCACATTGTTCTCGTCGGCCTTCTTCTCCTCCTCCTTTGCGGGGGCCGTAGCTGTAGGCTCGGCAGTCTCATCTGCCCAGGAACCTATGCTCGAACTTTGTCCAGGCACGAAAGCTTCTGCTGACGGGTTAGTGCCGTTGGAGGTTGTTTCAGGCTTGCTGATGCGCGATTCGAGAGAAGCGGAGGTGGGCGCTTCGGCGGGGGTTTCGGAGGACATAATGAATATGCGGCTGGTAAATATAGGTGGATAAAATAAGAATGAAAGCGATAATCAAGTGACGTTGGCAGAAGAAGGAATGAGGTTGGCCCAGAATGTGTTGATCGTCCGAGCTTTTGGAGTTGATGAAAGAAACTTGGGAAATAATGAGAGCGACCCTTTCTCTAACTCGAAAAAGGGAGATTTTTATCTCTCTAGCCCTTCTAAGATTGAATAGGAGAAGGTTGGGTAATTGAACAGGTGGTTGAGAAACCCTTGAAGATAATCAAAGGAATCCACAGCGGGCGATTTTTCGCGATGGCGGAGAGGCTCTGTATAGTTTAGGCCCTACGATGGTGGGGGACTTTTTGATGGTCTGGGGGGGTATGTTCGGGCTGCCATACAAATTTCCGGAATACGTCAAAGGTTCCTGTTCAAGCCAAGTTTCCCTTGTAAAGGGAAGACCTGGAACTTACCCTTAAGTTCTCCCGGGGTACATCAACGACACCTTCTCTACCAGGTTAAGCACGTTGGGTACAGCTGGTCTCTAAAGAGTACCTCAAATCTCCCCTAAGCAACGAACACGCGACAAGTACCGGAGTAGTCTTCCCCCACTGCCCCGTACAATAATAACGTCCAATTCGTCGCATCACATCAGCTGTATGACTTATGTAGATATCATCTCATCGCATTCTTGTTTAATATTCGCGCCCTGTGATTTCTCCCGAGGCCCTCTGCTGAATGCATCCCTTCTGGAAGTACATATCGTCTGTCATACATATATCTATTAATGGCGGAGCTTGCGGGGGCGGCCCAGTTCGGGGCCGAGCTGAAGGTAACTTGATCCCTCCATACGCCGGCTCTTGGTCACGGAATACAATACTGATCTGAATGACTTGTTCGCTAGGATGGCTTCAAACCTGTTAATGCCTGGGTATGTTATAACGAAACGTCGCTGTCAATGCTATAACTCCAGGTTATCTACGACAGCGCTTTCCCGCAAGTGCTAATCAAGACTGCTTGATTAGGTGTCGAACGGCATCGCATGGCTTGAGGAGATTCAGCAATTCTATCGCGAACGAAGTGCAATCGAGAAGGAATACAGTGCGAAACTCAATGCTTTGGCAAAGCGATATTATGAGAAAAAGTCGAAGAAAATCAGCAGCTTGAGCGTCGGAGATACCCCGACCATGACCCCAGGCTCTCTGGAGAGGTACGGGGCTTCTTTATTTTGAAGAATTGCTGAGATTGATTTCTGATAAAACTGTGTGAATGTAGCGCTTCCCTGACCACCTGGACGACACAGCTTTCCACGGTGGAAGCCCGAGCGGCTGAGCACGACCGCTTTGCTTCCGACCTCGTTTCTCAAGTGGCGGAGCCCATCAAGCTCCTTGCCTACCGACATGACGAAATACGGAAGCGTCATGCCGAACATGCTGCAAAGCTGGAAAAAGAGAGGGATGTGTCATATGCCGATCTACGAAAGTCCAAGGGTGCGTATGATGCTGCCTGCCAGGAAGTCGAGAACAGGCGAAAGAAGACCGAGTCTTCATTTGATCATAGCAAGACGAAGGCGCAGAATTCTTACCAACAACAACTCTTGAACATGAACAATGTCAAGGTATGACAAAAAACATAGATCCATCAAACCGGCCACTGACCACATCAGAACACGTATCTCATCGCCATCAATGTCACCAACAAACAAAAAGAGATGTACTATCACGAGTACATTCCAAATCTCCTTGACGTAAGCCATCCATCTTCAGCTTTTCCGGAGCCGAGAAAGCTAATCATTGTGGATAGAGTTTACAAGACCTCTCCGAAACTCGCGTGACAACGATGAATGGACTCTGGGCGCTTGCTGCCGAGCTCGAAGCCGCGACACTTACAAGGAGTCGACAACATATGGACCATCTTTGCGAGGAGATACCACGCAATGATCCCGCCTTGGACTCGCTGATGTTCGCTAGGCACAATATTGCCAGCTGGCAAGAGCCTGGAAACATGGGATTTGAGCCGAGTCCAGTCTGGCACGATGACGATGCCATGGTAGTGGATGACCACGCCAAAACATTTTTACGGAACCTTCTGAGCAAGAGCAAAGGGCAGCTGTCAGAACTAAGACGGGAGGGCGATAGAATTGGCCGAGAAGTCGAAGCTCTGAAGCGTATCCGGCAAAATATCAGGGAGGGCAAGGACAAGCGGGATGAGATTGAGATGGTGCGAAACCTGTTCGCTATGCAAGAACAATTGAACCAGATTGATCACAAGCGCATAACCGCGGAAGTGGAAGTGGCAACTATTACCGCCGTGGTGGGTGACCTCACACTGGGCGCGAGCAGCCACAATTTCAAGTCTCAGACATTCAAGATACCAACCAATTGCGACCTTTGCGGGGAGCGCATCTGGGGTCTTTCAGCAAAGGGTTTTGATTGTCGGGACTGCGGTTACACCTGTCATAGCAAGTGTGAGATGAAGGTTCCCGCCGACTGTCCCGGAGAGCAGAGCAAGGAAGAACGGAAAAAGTTAAAGAATGAGCGGCAAGAAGCTGCTCGGGCGTCACACGTGGAGATACCAGCGAGCGCCGACGGTGGCGAGGGGCCCAAGCTTAGTCGTACGAACACCATGAACTCGCTCAGCTCAGGATATGCATCAAGCCCGCATCGATCTATGTCCGGGGCATGGACACCCACTGAGGAATCAGTGCCAGAGCGAAGTGGCACTATCAAGCCGACCATCACGCAATCCAATACGGTACGCAAGCACCGAGTCCTTGCACCACCTCCTACACAATATGTCGGTAGCACGGGCGACGAAGCTGGCACCGATGCTCTTCAGCCCGGCGAGCAGCGCGGAAAGATGCTCTATACTTATCAGGCCAACGGTGAAGGTGAAATCACTGTAGAGGAGGATGAAGCTATTACGGCGGTGGAACCTGACGGTAAGCGATATCAGTTAAATAATGAGACACCAAATTCATGTTGGCGCACGCTGACGTTTGCTTGCAGATGGCTCGGGTTGGATGCGAGTGCGACATAGCGCCCAGGTAGGGCTGGTGCCTGCCTCTTATGTTGAGCTGCAATCTGCAACAACACTTTCTGTCGATCGACCGGCTTCCAACTTTTCGGATTCGTCTACTTCTCTTGCTGGCAGCTTCGTGGCCCCGGGTAAGAAAAAGGGACCGGCCGTAGCACCCAAGCGAGGCGCCAAGAAGCTCAAATATGTAGAGGCAATATACGACTACGAAGCGCGCAGCGACGCGGAGTGGAATATGTCTGAGGGTGATCGCTTCGTCTGCATCACACGCGATGCAGGTGATGGATGGGCAGAGGTGGAGCGAGGAGGACAAGTCAGGAGCGTGCCGGCGAACTATATCCAAGACGTACCTTGATTATTTTTTTTTGTGGGCTGGTTTTGGCTTGTTGCGCTTTTATCCATGGTATCTGATCTGCATAGTGTCATGGCAGTGAGCGATTGGAGTTTGGCGGCGTTTTTGCCCGAGTCGTTGTCAGGACCAAACCTTTTGCGCGCGCAAGGAGCGAAGCGTGTCGCTGTACAGAAATATACTCTATTGGCTTTCAGACGACAGCATCCCCTCAATAAGATGACATGCTGAACAGATCTTCGGAACAGGTCTTCTTTGAATCTGTTTCAAATCTTGCTTGTTCTTTTCCCCTTCTCAGCAAATACCCGTAAATGCTGCTCTAGGGTACCGCATCACGGATCATCTCCGTCATTCTGGAATGGAGTGTTGATGGTTTCACATTTGGCCCCACATACCTGGGGTTCCCATTCGGCTGAGAACGTGTTACTTCGGCATGTCTCACACTCTCAAAACGGTTGCGGCGTGCGTGGCTGGGGCATGGGGTGTTTTTGGCTGCGAAGGAATGCATGGCAGCCACCTCGAGAAGATTGTTCTAGACGAAAACCCGAAAACCCCGTGCATATACCCCCAATCTACAAAGGTACCTTATGTATCGCAATCATCTTGATGTTGAAAGACGTTCCCGTAATGAATATCTTATTTAGCAGAAACTCGGGCCAAGGACAGATTGACGACGTGCAATCTTCAACTCTTGGCACTCGTCTCGGAATCGGTCCATTTCTCAGAGTTTCCTTCGCACAAAGATGAGAAGAAAGAACATCAGAGGGTCAGGGTTGTCGAAGGAGCTAAATTTGGAAAGCGCCACTTTGCGGCTCGTACCAGAGAATACGGAATACGTACCGTACCTGGCGGCACACAGCCACCACCAAAACGCCCAACTTTGTCCTGTTCCTGAGTTGTCGTGGGAACGCTTTGCCCAGAAAAGGCAAGGCACCATCCAACCGACCTGTACCCTGTCAATTTCGCATTCGACTTGAACTTTTCAAATTAACTCAATACCCAGTAGCAGGTGCTTCTTTTCTGAAGTTAATTGCAAAAAAAATCTGTCCAGGACGCATGCACCAACATCTGACGTACTTGGTATTCATACGTCCTCAAATATGTGGTAGATCTTGGCGGGTAGCCTGGGCCAGTGTAGGTGGGGTGTAGTCAAAATACGTTATGTCAGTCCATGCTTGAGAGCGATCGACACAAATAGATCCTTATGGCAGGTCAAAGAGAACTCGGAGGAGTACTCCGTCCCCTCGTGAAGTACCTATATGTTGAATCATCCTCCTGACACATGCTTCATCTCGTTAATGCGGGCAACACCATACGATGAGAAGTACGGGGTTGGGTGGCCACGATTTGGAGAGAAGCAATTCTCCCAGCTTAGGGTGGGTCGACAGGGCGGGAAAAGATGCATCAAGAGTGTTTGAGATCCAGGAGTATAATTCTGATCTGCCAACGGGAAAAGCGCATTCAGAGCGACTACTGTTAGTGCCCTTGGCGGGTGAGGAAGAGCGAGAGTGATTTGAGGATCAATTTCCCCCCTAATCCATACAGTAGCGTCAGGGTGCGTTCGCTCTTTCCCCATCGTCCCATCGTTCTTTCCTAATTCGTCGCCTACCCGGCCAATCCTCCCACCCCAAGACGCACGAACGCGCGGTTCCTGGCCGCTAACAGTCCTAACCCGTATCTCCTCCCACATCTTATGCTCTCTAGCTTGACCCTTTTTCTTGCCCAAAATCTCCCTCTCCTCCTCTTTCTCCTTCTTCTTCTGTTCTTTCCTCATCTTCTCTTTTCTCCTCTTCTTCATTCCTCCCACAATTCTCCTCTCGCTCGAGCAACCATCACTCGTTTGTGGTTGATTTTCTTTTTGTTCTTTATTTTGACCGAAACACATTTTCTTGATTGCACACCTCGTCGGTGCTTTCCAACAGCAGTCTCTCACTCTTTCGAGACTCTTCCACTTTTACTTCGTCAATCGTTCGCAAGCCCGCCTAATAACAAATTTTAAATCTTCTTTCCATTTTTGGCTCCCAACTTTGCATTTCTCCAAGATGAAGACTGTCTCAGCGTTGGCTGCTGCCCTTTCCGTTGCTTCCACCGCCTTGGCGGCTGTCACTCCCCTGGCTCCCAGAGACAGCCAGTTGCAGTCTGTTAGCGTCAAGGGCAACGGTACGCTCTATTCCGACGAGCAAAAAAAATTAGAGAATTGAAGACAGACGGCTAACTCCATTTTTCCAGCCTTCTTCGCCGGCAACGACCGTTTCTACATCCGCGGTGTTGATTATCAACCTGGTAAGGAAATAGCTTACCCTAGTCCATCCATCCGAAAAGTTCCGCTGATTGGTTGTCTTTAGGTGGCTCTTCTCAGGTCGCCGACCCCATTGCCGACGCTGATAGCTGCAAGCGTGACATTGCTGAATTCACAAAGCTTGGCATCAACACCGTCCGTGTTTACACTGTCGACAACACTGCCGATCATGATGACTGCATGAACCAGCTTGCTCAGGCAGGCATTTACCTCGTCCTTGACGTCAACACGCCTAAGTACTCTCTTAACCGTGCTTCACCCAAGGAGTCGTACAACGATGTCTATCTGCAAAGCGTCTTCGCGACCATTGACGCCTTCGCAAAGTACAACAACACGCTTGCCTTCTTCTCCGGAAATGAAGTCATCAACAGCGACAACACTACTACTGCTGCTCCCTACGTCAAAGCTGTCACCCGTGACATGAGACAATATATTGGCAGCCGCGGCTACCGTCAGATCCCCGTCGGTTATTCCGCTGCTGACGTTGAGTCGAACCGTTATGAAATGGCAGCGTACATGAACTGCGGTACCGATGACGAGCGCAGCGACTTCTTTGCCTTCAACGACTACTCCTGGTGTGACCCTTCCTCATTCACCACCTCTGGTTGGAACATCAAGGTTCAAAAGTTCAGCAACTACAGCTTGCCAATTTTGTAAGTCAGCCCCTAAACTTCCTTTGCAAACAACCCATCTCTCCTTCTTCTCCCTTCTCAGAAAACCCCAAATAAATCACATAATCCCCTCAGTTTCTATCTTGTGTGTGTGGGACAGAGTCCACTAACGAAGCGGAAACTTAGCCTCTCTGAGTACGGTTGCATCACCAACAAGCGTCAATTCCAGGAAGTTGCCGCCCTCTACAACACGGAGATGACCAGCGTCTACTCCGGTGGTCTGGTCTATGAGTACGCTGAGGAAGATAACGGCTACGGTCTGGTCACGATTAGTGGAAACCAAATCACTGAGAAGGACGACTTCACTGCTCTTAAGAACGCTTTTGCCAACACCACCAACCCCAGCGGCGATGGTGGCTACAAGAGCAGCGGCTCCGCCAGCCAGTGCCCCTCCAAGTCATCCACTTGGGACGTTGACAATAATGATCTTCCCGCCATCCCCGCGCCGGCCAAGAAGTACATGACCAATGGTGCTGGCAAAGGCCCCGGTCTTGATGGCTCTGGCTCTCAGTGGGCTGGTACCCAGAGCAGCGGCACCGCCACTGCTGGCTCTGGCAAGGTCACTGCTGTCGCTACCGGCACTTCCAAGAATGCCTCTGCAAGCGGCAGCAGCAGCTCTACCCCAAAGAGCGCTGCTGCTTCTCTACGGGCTCCCGAGTCGAACTTTGCTCCTCTCGTCTGCGGTCTGGTCGTCTTGGCCTCGACCTTCTTTGGTGCTACTCTGTTGTAGATGTAAAAAGTTTCAAAGAATATCGGAGCGTTGTAAGGATTTGCGTATAATCAGCATGGCATAGAATTCAAGCCCTGGAGTTGGGGCTCTCATTGTGGTTCCCCCCTTTTTTTCTCTTATTCTCGCATTTTGGAATACATAACGTTCCGCCCTTTTTTCTTCTCTCACGCATTGCACTTATGTTGTCTAGTCATCACCGTACATTAGACGTGCAATTTTAATTTTGAAAAGATCTATGTTTCCTGGTTACCTGTAAGGTGTGCTGTCTCTGTTCCATGTCATTATAACATATCCATTCACTCATATTCATATGTCTATCCGCCTCTTTACCCGTTGATAAATTACCCTACACTTACGCTATTCATCCTTCGTGGTTAAGGAGGAAGATTGACTGCGGAATATTCGCTCTTGTGAATTCAAATATTAGCCGGTTGATCGTGAAGGACAAACCCACCATGCAGGGCAAGCAGCAAGATGTATAAATATCTCTTTCTCTCCCGTTTTCTCTTTCTTGACTTGGGTTCTTTTGAAGCAGCCCATTGATCAAACCAATGGCGGACAATACAGACTTATCATTGATAAAGGGAACAACTACATGCACTATTAACTCTCCTCAAAGAAATCAAGGACGAAGAATACAAGAACATCTGGACTGTCTATAATATCCTCGCCTTTTAAAATACCCAAGAGTTTTTATCATCAGCTACACATATATCACACTTTACCCTTCGCTGTTTCTCTTCCGTGGACTCAATTTAAAATGGCAAGATTGACTTGAAAAAGATAAAATTCATAACCATCCGATATAGACGTGGAAGAGAGCAAGATATATTGCTTACCAGCTATTTAGCAAGTTGTTACATCTCTATCGTCATCATTCGAATGCACGACGAGCCTTTTCCCTACAGGTCAAACGCTTCGCCATGAACGCGGTCGTTTCTTGCATATTGGATACTCCGCTGTCAGCAATTTATGTCTTGACACGAGCATCAAAACTTTTCGATCCAATCACTTGAAACATAATCAGGACGGCAAGAGGCCTGTCATAGGAGTGATATCTTTTACTTTTGTCCGACTGCGCCATTGGTCTAATTTGCACCATAGGAGTGATGCAGAGCCTGCGCATCCCGGATTAGGTCTGTTGCAAGGCGTCTGCTTCCGTTAGCAGATACAAAAGCTATCGCGATCCTAGAAACGAGTTAGCTTGTGGGACGAGTTTAATTTACAGAGAGAGTGTCTGAGCATCGTTATCTACAGTCAACTTTCTTCTGTTCAGATCTTGTTCGCCTCTCAACTACTAGAAAAATTTCCTTGGTTAGCTGAAAGCGTTCGCTTTCAAAACGGTTTTGACTGTCCGTTGGGTTGGGTTTTAATATGGAAATAAGTTGATGTAAGAGACTATTTTCAATCTCGAACTTTGCTTGGATCTCTCTCTGTGGTAGGAGTCTCACAGGTGAATAATTTGATCCATGGACCGACAAGTGGATGTTGAAACTCACCGTTGGTGGCTCTTCCTTGTCAATGAGGAGTGGATAGAGCCTGAAATAAGGAGAGAACATTAGGGAGTAGAAGTATCTGTTCTGTATGAACTCTTTGAGATTTTTATATCATTTTATCTGGGAAGGATGTTGTACCTCGCAGGAAGACTTTGGGATCCATGTACCTGATTTGACATACTATTTTTTTTATAGCTTATTGGATATCCAAACTGAAGAACAACTTTTTTGAAAATAACTGGAAACTTGGTATTTTTTCTGCGAAATAAAAACATCAAACTGAAACATCCCTGCATTGTTCCTGACTGCAGTGACAAACTCCTTTTCTTCGCCTCGACACTCCCACAAACCCTTTCCTGGTATCACTCATATACAGAATGCGCAAAGCTAGACTTTGAAGCTATCCCACCAGCAGGTTTGGTCAAGCAGCATACCATCCTTGTCGAATTGTACACCTTCAGACTGCAACAGGTTGAGTTTCTTGTTCTGGTTCTGTCCGCTCGGTGCATCTTGCCAGTCACCCTGAAAGCCGCCGATAAACTATTCCAAAGTTTAGAGATGCTATTCACGCAAAGATGCCAGCATCAGTAACTTACGCCCGTTGACGCAATGCACCTGTGACATGGGACTTCCGGAGCAAATGGATTCCGACGAAGAGCGCCACCCACAGCTCGTGGTGACGAATCCAATGCTTTCGCCAATGCGGCATAAGAGCTCACTTTTCCAGATGGGATCTGGGAAAGCAGAGTATAGACCCGCTGTATCTTATTAGTAGGAAAGATCAAAGCTTATGGATCAGGCAGAAGTAATTCACCTCCTGGTACGGAGTGACTGCCATTTCTGTTTTCTGATATTTGGATAGACGAGCGGATATGGTTCACGTTGACTCAAATTTCAGCTTAGAGCTTTTGCAACGAGCAAACAGTAAGTGATTCTCAAGTGATCTGGGAAGACAAAAGGGAGGAATGAGTGCTAATAAATATTGAACCCCGCGCGACTTTGCTTCCAAATTCTGTTTCTCACGCGCCCTGCGACGTGACTCAGGCGCGATGTCATGTGACAGAGCTAAACCCCAAAATGGTAGTATTAGGGGGAAGGGTTTGCTAAGAAGGGAGATGGAGGCTGAGATTTCCTTGGGTCCCGAATCCATCTAGGTTACGAGTAAATCCATGTCGTAAGCGCTAGATAAGTAGAGAAGAAACGTAAAATCCCAACTTTACAGGGATAGGTCGAATTTTCACATATGGCATTTTAAAACTATGCATTAAACTTTTTGATTTGGAATCCTTCCAATGATTATTACCTCCTCCTTAGTTTTCAAAAGAATGAACATTATGTCTCGATAGATGATAGTAGACCCGAGACTGTTTTTGATGTTCTCAACGCTTGGTTGCTTGGAAGCTATCAGACCGTCGATGAGCTTTGACGATCACGTGACGGGTAGTGTCCGAAGTCTGCTCTTCGCTTCCAACATCAACCTTCCCCCGTCGTCACCAATCTCTCCATAGCCAGGCTCCAACTGCTTCAAGCTTCATCAACCCGTTCGCGCGCTTTAGCTAGCCCAATCCGCCGCATCCACTCAAGTCGTCAGCGTCGTCCTCGAGCTGTTAATATCTTCAAAGTCATCAAAATGGCCACCGATCTCTGGTTAGTGACCTCACACCTCGCCCCAATCTGGATCAGTCGTGTCAAGATAAGCTCTGAATTTCGATGCACCTTGGGAGCTCAAAATCAGGCTCAGGCCTTCTTCGCGTATATGTTGCTAACTCGAGATAATTCCATATAGCCCCGTTTATGCCGTTAGTATTCCCTTCAGAGAACAATTCATTGCGATCCTTGGCGGACGCGGCTCTCGATTCAATTCGGCAGCTTTTCCAATGCCACACATCCTCCAGATGGAACAGCACATGAACTGACTATTTGTATTTCAGCCCTTTTTCGGTGCGATGGGCTGCACATCAGCCATCGTCTTCACCTGCTTCGGCGCCGCCTATGGTACTGCCAAGTCTGGTGTCGGTATCTCGGCCATGGGTGTCCTCCGACCTGACCTGATCGTCAAGAGTACGTTTTGATATATCCTTATCAAGGCTTCCGCCGAGGCCTTTTCTCAACTTGCTTGGTATTGACGCATAACGTAGACATTGTCCCCGTTATCATGGCTGGTATCATTGCCATTTATGGTTTGGTCGTGTCTGTGCTGGTCTCGGGTAATCTTAAGCAGCAGCTGTCGCTATACACTGCTTTTATCCAGCTCGGTGCTGGATTGAGTGTCGGTCTGGCTGGTCTTGCCGCTGGGTAAGTTTTCCATGCTTTTATCATTCTTCCGCAAATGCAGGAGTTGCGCTTTATCCTGCGCAAATATGCAATGCTTGTTGATGACGACCATTCTAATCGCTCTTATAGCTTCGCCATTGGCATTGTTGGTGATGCTGGTGTCCGTGGAACTGCCCAACAACCCCGTCTCTTCGTCGGCATGATTTTGATTCTCATTTTCGCCGAAGTCTTGGGTCTGTACGGCCTCATTGTCGCCCTGCTCATGAACTCCAAGGCGTCGCTCGACACCGTCTGCTAAACAGCTTACAATGTTGGGACGATTTGCTTGAGGCTTGTATAAGCAATATCACGGTATTACGAGAAGCTGAGGACGAATAATAACTGATGGGACCATCGCCAATTTACCTACCATCCAAACAGTCATGTATTACAAAGGGGGAGTGTGACTCCTCGACACGTCATTGTCAAAGAAAGAGCCGATGTTATGTGGAAGGGGCAGAAGGGAAATGTAGTCAAACGAGCATCAATGTTGTCATATCATAATCATCATGGGAACATGCTTTCCTCCGTTTTCTACCTCGGATTTTATGTTTTATATATTTTCTTTTTCTTCTCCGTTTGCAGCGCGCTTTGTATTCGTAGGGAACGTTTGCCAGTACAATGCAGGGAAGGGATCAAGTGTGGTAGATAAAATCATCTCTTGCGTGTTGTATCTTTCTATCGTGGTCAAAGTGCATAAAGTATATGTGTCCGTGTCTAGTCCAAACGGCCGTGTCAGTGTCCTAACGATTGTCCCGCCAAAAGATGAAGGTTTGACTGCCACTCAATACTGTTGGCCGCTTGCGGTTCCGGTACGAAAATCATCAAAGTTGAGGCGAGGCGGCGAACTGAGATTGTCAATGTAAATGACTGTAGCGTAATGTATAGTATGATTGAAGAATCAACTATTTCAATCATGACAAAGATGTTCGAAAATGTCCAGAGGAGCAATTTGACATTGCCGTACCTCTCCCTCAACTCGAAGCCACAATGCACATGATTGCAATGGCAACATTGATCGCTAGTCTCGTTTCCCAGCAAATCTCACGACATGATATTGTCCTTCTGCGGGCTGTGATGGGTATGGCATAGATGATAGATGCTGCTATATCAGCACATGCATAGAAGTGAGACCTATTCCTTGCCAATCGATTCTGTAAGAATTCGTGATAAGTAGGACCAAGATCACATGTGTATGTGTTTTCTTTTGGGGGGTTGGGGGTGGGGGCGAGAGGACGAGGTTGAGGAGGAGGAGGAGGAGGAGGAGGAGGAGGAGGATGAAGGATCAAATAAAGAGTCCATGTCAAGGAAGACACGGATGAGAGAGACAGCGTTCAAGCTGCGTAGTCTTAAATGCACAAGCCCAGAAAGGTTAATTCTGCAGTGAAAGCCATGGAGTGCAGTAGTCCACGGCCCCGAACTGAACCAGAATAAAGCGGCGTCAAGAGAGATAAGAAGTAACCAATAAGAAGACATTGACTCGAGTGGCCAAAAATGAATACAACATCAAGAGTTCAGCTGCGTGTCTGAGGCCGGAGGACATGATAGTCAATAGAGTCTTGACACGAGATAAGGCAAATGAATGTGTCTCTTTTCGGACGAGAAAAATGGGAAATGGATAAACTAAACGTGAAGACAAACCTGGATGGATGCTCGCCACATTGATCAAGTGCTTCAGGTCTCCGTGCATGAAAGAGCTGTACGAGGTGAGCTGAGCTTAGGTTAGCTGCTGGGGGATTAGTGGCTCTCTACACCTGGAAATGAAATGAATGAGGATGATCTCGAGTATGAAAAAACATACTGAGCATCTAGTAGTATCACGAGGAAATACTGAGACTCTAAGAGTATGATGAGAGAGCGAGGAGGAGACTCGGAGAAGAAAAACGGACGTCCACGTGTGAGCTAGAGTCGGAGCTTTGAAGTATCATGACATCAACTGCAAAGAATGCGTGCATAAGTAGTAGATACGGGGTCGTGGGGAAAAAACCATAGAAGGTGCTTTGCCAAGAAGAAATGCAAAGTGTTAGGGGTCGATGGGTGCAGGATCTCGGGCTTTTCTGAGAGACGGCCGAGGTTTCTGGGTCAAGGAATTGCTTTCGTATTCCGCGATTTTTCCCGCCCCGTTGATCCGGCGATGCCCGATGATACGATATGCGTGAGTCAGTGACGATGCCGCTATACACAGAGTTACTAGAGTACTGTGAGCGCAAAATGTGGAGATGTCCGTCAGGCCGTGCTATGCTGTAGACGGCATTGCACCGCCCCGTCCCCCAAGGACCCCGTAGCATGCAAAGGGCGTAGGAGAAAAAACAACGTTAAAATCCATGCATCTTGCAAGGTGGGGAAGAAAATGGAGAGTGGAGAGGACTGAAGTGGGGTTGAAGAATGCAAGAGAAGCAAGACGCAAATGACGGGGACCAGGGCGTGGAGTTGTTGTGCACACAGTACAGGGCAGTACAGTACAATAATCCGGCTGGAGGACCCAGAATTTGGCCGAATCTAATCAAACCAGCCATACAGAATGCAGGTTCAAGCAACCAAAGTGTGCCGTTCTCAGGGTGTTAACCTCTTCTGTGTGAAAGAGTAAATTAGGTAAGGTACCTTAGGTATGTAATGCTAAGATGGCTGGAGACAGAGAGAGAGAGAGAGAGAGAGAGAGAGAGAGATGGTAGATCGGATCAATGGGGGCCCCGCAATAGCCCCGCAACTCATGGAAGAGTTACGTACGGAGAAACTGTGATGGAACAAATTGGATTAGAGAAGGCCCACAATTGTTGTCACAGTGTTCGCCCAAGTAGCGGAGTCTGTTCCGACTCAATGGACGCGCAACACTGGGGAGAAAGTCGTTACGAGAAGTTCCCCCCCCACAAAGGCAAACAGGACATTTTCTCTGCCTTTTCAGTAGTAGCGTTCAATGTTGTAATTCAGAAGAATATTGTCACGATTTTACTGGACCAGCCGGCATGAATTTCGGTCGAGGGAATTTATTTTTTTTTTTCTTTTTCTTTCCCCCTTGTGTCGAAGCGTATTTGCTGGATGTGGCTTAGCCAGTTTAGTTTAGTTCCATATGATTCTGACGAATGCCGTGTGTTCTATCGAAAAGGGAAATATTAATGATGCATTATTGTGTTCGATTATGTGATTGCGGTATATTTGCGTCGAGGCTGTTTCAAATTATGCCAGCAATGAAAGGAATGAAACCTTATGTGATGTCGTAAAGAGTTTGTTTCTGTCGTGGAAGATATCAGCAGAGCGGGAAATAGCGGGGTAAGAGACAATATTTTTTATGCAACGCGGGTAGGCAATTGACAAGAGAACCTTGCACTGCCGACCAGCTGGAAACGTGCAGATTTCCCCATGGGGTGATTATGCGGGGATGAAAAGGACGTTTTTTTTTAGAGAGATAGAGAAAGCACAGCTGGAGACTCGAGGGATGAGGGATGAGGCTTATGTGACGGTGTCTGATGTTGCATTGTTCAAGGATTATTCTTCTTCCTGCATAAGACGCAATGATGAAGTTGACTAAGATGATTTAATCATATTTTATGCATGCCGCAACAACTTGGGATGACGCCTGTCCCGTCTTTGCGCCTTTTCAGCACCGTCATCAAACAACGGGAGCTGTACATGATTATAGTGGCGCTTCAAGCGCCCTCTCGGATAATTCGTTATAATTGCCCAAGATATAGCTCGTGCTGAATTGGTTGGATATTTTGCATGTGCTTTTTTGATATGAGATGAGATGAAACAAGGGCGCACTTTCATTTAATCTTACCGATGATCGACACGATGCAAGCCCACTGCAGCCACGGGGCTCGAGCCCAGACATCAAAACTTGGCATGCATCGCTCGTCACCCAAACCTCTTTTGGGCCAGAGGCGCGGACCTGCAGGCAAACGCTTGGCCCGCTTTGCTGACCCGATTATGTGACTGGAAATGGCAATTACTCTCATTTGGGATGCGATTCATCAAGCTATTCTTGTTCCTTGGCTCGCCAGGCGTGTCCCGGAAAGCATGTGAATTTTGTCCAAACGGATTTCATTCTGATATCAAGCGATTCATAGGCACTACTGGGCCTATGAAGTTTCTTTCTCAGTATGCAATCAACTGCTTCATCACGGTGAGTTTTTGCTTCAATGGTTTGCTATCATGATGGCAGTCTTCTGCATGAGGACATGCGTTTGTTTGCCTGGCTGAGAGGCTGCATTTATGATGTCAATCCGCAGTGAAATTGGACGAGCCCTTGGGGCTAGTCGTACAGGTGTTATCTGCAAGACACGCGGGTTTCCGTGAGAGAAGTCCAAGAGGCTGTATGGACTAGTGATAAGGGTTTTCCCATTTCAGCCCGCTGCTGCCCTGCCGGAGGGTGCCGTAGTTGGGACCAGGGTTTCATGTGGTAAAAAAGTGAAAAGTTGTGGACAGTACATGTGTGCTTGGGAGTGTATCTTGGCGTCAGCGGCGACTCGCAAGCTCACCTAAATGTTACATATTGACAGGAACAGAGGGACCAGGGACCAGGGTTCTCCAAGTAAAGTCAAAAGACCCTGCGCTCCATCCTTGACGCAATGGTTGAGTTCGAAGCTAAAGAAGAGTTTCTGCTGGGGAAAATTAGCTTTTTGGCCTTTGCTCTGAGTTACATGCAAACGCTCTCCGCGCTCTCCGCATTCCCCAGCCGGAGCTCCTCCAGAGAATGATCGGCACATCCTGGTGTCCGTGAATTGCCGGAACAAATGAACGATCAATGGAGAATTGCTCCGCAAAGAAAAGAGGGAAATGAAGTTAACTAAAGATGGGGTAGCGCGGGGTGGACGAAAGAGGTTAGCCGTCCATTGAGGGACTGGATAAGCCCCACGGTCGTTGGTGATTGCAGCCAATCACTGGTCAAGGTTCCAACAGGCGGCCCCTCCGAACCGTCTCGTTGTGAAAGATATTGCGCGTCTCCATTAGGTCTATGAGGGTTCTGGCTCCTCAACCAAAATGACCGGACGACTGCGGTATGAGAGTCATCGATTTTTGTCCCGTGTCAACGTTCGCGGACATACATTGCCAAGAGAGTTGCCACGACGAAAGTACCGCAGACGGTTACGCAACGGTGGGAGGTACCTGGTACGTGTCGATGTGATTGGTAGATTTGCTGATGGGAGAATTGTCCGAATCAGCATCATTGGTAGGCGCGGGGAAGTAGGAAATCTAGAATTTCCCATTGATCTCATTGATACGGTGAAGGGGGCGATAGGAGTGTGGAGAAGTCCGACGCAAGAAAATTTTGCGGGCGCCTGATCGGAGCAAGTGAGGCTCAGTTATCCATTATCTGCGGACACGCATGAAGAGAACCACTTTTTCCAAAGGGAGTTGAAAGCATCGACGAACCATTGTCCTGTAATCGATCTCGTGGCTGGAGTGTGGGCAAGCGGTGGACTGATAGAGTGTGGCACCTTGCGAGTTTCTGGGCACACACCATACGTACTTTGCAGTAGGTACCTGCCTTAAAGGTATGTTGACGAGAGTGTTGCGCAACTGTATCTGTTGTCCGTATAATGGTGGCTGTGGTAGCGGCCAGCCAGGATGACATCAGTAGGCAGCAGAGACGGTACTCCGTATGAGTGACGTTGTGTACCATGTACCACACTCTAATCACGCACGGGAACCAGGGGCAATGCCATGATTATCGAGTACTGCTCCTCGTGCAACTTGATCGAAAGTCGCGGACTCCACTCCGAAAACCCCTGGCAATAATGAAGGTTGGTTTTCCTGTCCATCCTCATTAAAAAACATGTACAAAGTAACCCGTCAGAATGAAGAAACAGTGGGAAGTTGGACGGGTCCCTGATTTGTGGTCCCCTAACTTGCTTCACCATCCATCTGGCCAACAGCGGGTCCACAGGGGACTGGGAGGTACCGACCTTACCTTACCTAGTCTGTAGGCGAACATTGGGGTATCAAAAGCCGGGGGAATAAACAGGAACAAGGAACAACCGTTGTGATGGGTACCTTTACAGCATAATTTTGGTGCACGAATACTTTGTACAGTCTGTAGTACAGATACTTCGGTTCGGCTCTGGTCCCATTCGATGCAGATACTCTGTACTCTGTACCTTTGGCGCTTAAGGGAAAAATCCCCCACGTCTTCTACTCTGTTCGCTCAAACGAAACCAAAAATTTCATTGTTGTCATCCATTTCTTTATCAGACTTTTCTAACCCTTTTTTTCGGGCCCTTTGGTGGCTTTCCGTGCCTTTCCTCGGGGTAGACAGCGGCAAGTGCTTAGTGTGATTATGGTGGGCGGCGGTGAAATTTGGTTCGAGGCCGAGGCAACATTTTGCACTTGTGTAGTTCATCGTGCTGACGTCGTTTCCGTCGTTTAGGGCGATTCTGCCATTATTGTTACTCTCTGCCCCTCCATCACCCTCCAACCCGCCCCGCCCCGCACCTTTCCTTGACTTTCCATTCATCATTTTCTGCATGGTGCGCTTGTGGTAATTCAATTTCGCCCCAACTCCGGACTTCTACTTTCGTTTAGTCTCAGCTCGCAACATCGGGCCTTTCAGGACCCCTGGCCCGAAAAGGATGACATCGATGCACCCCGTCTTGAACCGGTTTAACCTTGCCCTTGAGGTTGTCGGTTCCAGCCAATCACAATGGTTGTGTCTTGAGGAAATCCGTCCTTCCTGCGACTTCCTGTCGGACTGGTCTCCACCCCCATTTATCTATCATCCTCGAGAGATTATTATATATATATATATATATGCCCTTCCCGTTCACTCAATGAATCTTTTCCTTATTCTACATTCTCCATCTTCATACCATTCCCCATCTTGATACCCATTCCCACTCAGGCCTCTTCCCCGCCTTTTCTATATTGTGCGCTGGAAATATAGATTTCTATCTTTTGTATAGATTTCCCTCTTGATTGTTCCATCCAATTGCTCAGATTACTGTTTCTCCTTGTCCACCAGACCAATCCTCCATCATGGCGGCCAGATTACAGAGACCGGCTATCAACCGCATCAACTCCGGAAATGCCACTCGTGCCGACTTCAAGGTGGGAGGCCCAAATTTGGCCGTCCCTGCCAAGCACTTGATGGCCCCTTCGTCTGCCAATGAGACCGCCTCTGCTTTTGAATTGGCCAGACATCACATCGACGACCACAGCACCTCAGAGCCGCCCACTCCCCCGGACACCAGAGTCACTGACTCCTACGCCTACGCGTTTGATATTGATGGTGTCTTGATCCGGGGCGGTAGACCCATTCCTGAGGCCATTCAAGCTATGAAGGTTCTCAACGGCGACAATGAGTATGGCATCAAAGTGTAAGTTCTGCGTTCATCAATGACTCGTTCTTCTAAAGACACGGACTCCTAACATCCCCGCCAGTCCCTACATCTTTGTTACCAATGGTGGTGGCAAGTCCGAGCAGGAGCGTTGCATCGACCTCAGCAAGCAGCTCGACATTGAGGTTTCGCCCGGTCAATTCATTTGCGGCCATACCCCTATGCAGGAGATGGCCGAGAAATTCGGCACTGTCCTTGTTGTCGGTGGTGAGGGTGAGAAATGTCGTATCGTCGCTGAGAGCTACGGCTTCAAAGACGTGGTCACTCCAGGCGACATCATCAAGACCAATGAGGACACGACTCCTTTCCGTAAACTTACCGATGAAGAGAAGGCCAACTCTCGCGTACGCGACTTCAACACGATGAGAATCGAAGCCATTTTCGTCTTCGCAGACAGCCGCGACTGGGCTGGCGACCAGCAAATCATTCTTGACGTCCTCATGTCCGAGAATGGCCGCTTGGGCACCGTCTCCAAGACCTTTGACGAGGGCCCGCCCATCTTCTTCTCTCACAACGATGTCGTCTGGTCCGCTTCGCACGAGCTGAACCGTCTTGGCATGGGCGCTCTGCGCTGCTCGCTCGAGGCCATGTTCAAGGCCGTCACCGGCAAGGAGCTCAAGACCACTGCCTTTGGCAAACCTCAGATTGGCACCTTCCAATTCGCTACCCGTCTCCTTCAGCGCTGGCGCAAGGACACCCACGGCATAGACTCCCCCGTCGAGACGGTTTACTTTGTTGGCGATACGCCCGAGTCTGACATTCGTGGCACCAATGAGTACAACAAGACTACCGGTATGAACTGGTACTCCATTCTCGTCCGTACTGGTGTCTACCAGACTGGCACTCAGCCTCGCTTCCAGCCCCGTCACATTGCCGACAACGTCCTTGAGGCCGTCAAGCACGGTATGCACCTCGAGTACATGAAAAAGCTCCAGGTTGAGCAGAACCGTCTCAACGACAAGGCAATCGAGCAGGGCAACCTTGACTACGCTAAGCCCGAGTCGGAACAAAAGGTTCTCTAAGCCTTTTCCTTTTCAACTTCCTTTTTCCACTTGTTATTCTTATACCAATTTTTTCTCTTCTTTTCCTGTTTTTATATCCATGACACATGTCTTCTGTTAATGTCCCTTCACGATACGCCATTTCACGCCATGAACGAGCAAAAGGATAGCAAAAAAAAAAAAATCAAATACTGTCCTTTATGTTTCATGGTTGCCCGCCAGCGGGCTGTACGGGCGTCTCTGGGATTCTGGTACTGGTATCTGGAATAGTGGCGTCCCCTATTTTTCTTCTTCCTATTCTTTTCACATTTTGGAGCATTCCATTGGTCGGTTACTCGGATGAAATCAATGCGCAACTGGTTTTGTTTTTACTGTGTGCATATATCATCCACACTGCTGCCACTCTTTTCTTCTCTTTCTCTTGTTCTTTGGTCTTATTTTCCCTACACACTGAGACGAAATGGATCAAAAGACATGTATAGATATAGATGTTTTCTATACAGGGGATTGGACGATAGACTCTAGATTTTAGAGTTTTGCTTTTTTTTATTTCCTGCCGTTTTACTTTTCTAGACAGCAGAGAAATATAAAATATTTTCTAACAAGTAATTTCTCAAACGGGCTGATAAATTGTGATTTTCATGCATTTCATCGTAAAAGCTACGCTACCAGAATTGGAAAATGAGGTAAAAGGAAAAAAGAAATTTCATGATTCATTTACACTAACTCGACGCTGATGATGCACAGGCTTGCGCTTGACCAGCCTAATCCAGCGCCGCCGTCGCCATTCTCCCCGCTTATGTGGGTTATTCATGGTCGCTGTTGTCGATGATGAGGATAATGATGATGGTACAGAAGTGCCTCCTCGGTTGTTCTCTGTTGCTGCAGTTGCAGCTGCACCGCTACCATTGTTGCTGTTACCGCTGCCCCCACGACCAAAATCAACTGCATCAGATCCATTCCCTTTGGAACCCTTTTGCTGTTTTTTGCTCTTCTTGTCCTCTTTGGCCTGTTCTTTTTTCGCAGCGAGTTTTTCTTTCTCGTTAGACACTTTGGACGAGATTGAATGTTTACCATTCGTGCTGTTTGACGAGGGAGCAGCGCTTGCTGAGGTTGCCGTTGTATTGACACTGGTAGTGCTGGCGTTGTGACTGCTCGGGTTGGTATTTTTGATAATGCTCGGGCTTAAGCTAGTCGTGCTTGCGTTAACGCTGGTGGTTCCGCTCGGAAGGGGCCCACCGGTCAGGTATGAAGAGGTTGATGCGGACGATGACAAGGAATGATTGGTATCATCTTGACGATCGTTTTTCTTCTGGTTCTTCTTTTTTGACGACCCGTTATTGTTGTTGTTGTTGTTATTGGAGGAAGGAGATGAAGAATGAGAGGAAGGTGAGGCAGAGGAGGCCCAGCTCGCACTCGTACTCGTTGGCTCATCGAGATCGTATACCCATCGCTCACCCTCCGTTTCAATCTCCACGCCCGTAATCATTCTCTCTTCGACCCACTCGCGGCTCAGCAGATCCAGAGCCCACTTCTTGTCGCTCCATTCCCAGCCATGCGGGGGCTCGACGTCGACAAAGAATCGTGCCCCGCGTGGACGATCGCCCGAAATGCGCGTCGGCGAGAGCGGGTCGTACGGCGAAGGACTGAATACCCAGCCTTCCCACTCGTCGCTGGCCCCGCTGGCGTCCCGACGCTGGAGTTCAAAAATCTCAACCTCGCGCGTCTCGGGGGCAGAGTCGAGAACAATGTCCCGGGTAATCCATTGGTCGAGCCATCCCTGAATCTGTTTCTCGCGTGACACGACGTGGTCTTCCTTGCGCAGGGATTCGATGGCGTCTTGCACAGACGGATGACCGAGACAGGTCCCTACCCAGCCGGCTACGAGGAAAATTGTTCGCCAGGGAACAAGATGGGAGGTAATGAAGAGTAGGGAGGCCGTTGCAAAGAGACCAAGAAAGAGCGCAGAAGAGAGTGGTTCGTTGGAAAAGTTGGTTCGGGGCGCTACGAGGGCAATTGTCTTGTCGTGAACCTGAGAGAAGTCTTCCATGCAGTTCTGTAGGTCGCGCATATTGCGGAAAAAGTCACGGCTCATCTCGCTTGCGGGTTTGACCTGCTGCGGGGGTGCTAATGGAGGGCCGTCCATGGAATATGCAGCGTCAGTGGGTAGACGGATCGGTGGAGGCGGGTGTCGAACGATGAATGCGGGGACCATGATGAAGAAGAGGACGACCACGATGGGCAATGTGGCGAGGAGTGTTGGCTCCAAGCAGAAAAATGTGTACACGAAGAGGAAGGATAAGGTATGCGTTGGTGTTTTCCAGGAGAGAAGCTGAATGACTCGGTTTTGAAAGACGAAGACGACACCGATTCGAGCGTTGAAGCGCCTGAAATTACTCGTCATGAGCGGTAGGCTGAAGCCCGGTCGGTTTTCATATGAAGAGGAAGACGAGGGCGTCTTGCGCCCCGGAGTCTCGAATATATCATCCTGGATCTCGTCCGAGGGTATTATTTGCTTCATTAACCTGTGCGGGGTCACGGCGTTAGTGCAAGGAAGTAGATTTTTGGGTTAGAGAATGATGATGGTGCTCACATGGAGAATAGTCTGTCCTGCAGACTGTTTCGAGTTTTACTCTTCTTGTTCGAGGGTGTAGATGATGCTGTATCTTCATCCAAGGCCCGATCGTCAGCTCCCGTCGTGGCTGTAGCAGGAGCATCTTGAGAGCTTGTATTCTTGTCTGATGCTCTGGCACCGTTCCCGCCCGCAACGACGGGAATGGGCTCGTCCCTGTTGGAAAAGGCCTCGGCCCTGTATTCGTCCATTGTGGAGCATTACATTTGGAAGGGAAATACGAGATTGAACTGAGAGGACGTGCAGCGCAGTTTGAGGACGACTACGCTGCTCCACGGTTTGCCTATGTGATGCTACAAAATGCTATGGCGGTATTGTATGACAGGGCAGCCCGTGACGATGACGGAGGTCGGGCCGACAGGGCTGGACCGAGGTCCACCCTGTACTGTATTGGCATTAAACTTTAAGCGAACAGCGCTCCGCCAAACAGAGAGGCTTAACTGTATCTTAACTGTATTTACCTTGCCCTTGGTGATTGAAATCGATCAAAACATATTGGCTGTCTAATGGAAGATCGGTATCGCTGTACTAACGGCGTAACTTATTTGGAGCATAAACGTTTCTTTTCTACTCAGAGGTATTGGCTAACTTTATCCAAAGTGCTGTTCGCCCTTACATCTTCTATCTGGGATGAATGAACAAATGAAGGAATGAGATTCTGGCTCGTGTACAGAGTACTATGCACGAGGTGCAGGATGTGAAACGCCAGTCATATCATAGAACTACAAGCGTTCATGTATCATGCCACGTGACCATTTGAAATGCATTCCTTGCATGCTCAACAAGATGCTTAACTACCTTACCTACTGACGCAGTAAGTTAACTTATCATCTCATTTACTTTTTGCTGGTGATTAATTTCATTGACATGCGGACCCCTCTGTTTTGGTCTAGTGGAATGGTCTAAGCACTAAATGTTCCTATCAAACGCGCCCTTTACTGAATGCGTCGGTCGGAATCATGAGAGGAAAAAAAGGGCCCAATTTTGCTTTCATTTATTTAAGCCGTCGTTGCCAGACTCGACTAACCTGCTCGAGTATAATTCCCGCTTTCGTACATTGGATACGATGGGAATACGTTCAAGTTTACTGATACTGATCAGCAGTTGCACGGTGTGTGTGTAGTCAATGAAATTCAGGGTCAAAAAGTTATGTAGCAATTTCTCTGTTAGAGAAGCAGCAGAGTGGAGCAGGAGAAGCAAGAAGAGTAAAGTTATCGCGCCCTCTCGTGCCGGAGACAAGAAGGGGTCCGTTCAAACGCTCCTACTGGAGACGGACACACCACAACAACAACAAGCGCTACTTTATATACAAGTACTTTTTGCCCCCAATAACGTGAGAAAAATACTCCCGTATCTGGTACTTCACGCTTCCTCCCCCCCCCTAACGGAGTACACACTCAAACTTACCCTTAACCTCCCTCTCAAAGGTGAGCGAGAAACCTACGCCGTGTCTCGTCTTGTTGTTGTGTGTGTGAATGAAACCCCCCCCCACGACTTCCTTCATTTCTCGTTTTCTACAATGAACCACCATTCGTGATTATAGATCCACCCAAATTCAATCCAAAGCAATACCCATCATTTGTGGACGGCTGCATCAACTCTTGGCAAGTCCTTTGCTTCGAGGATACTTCGACCTACTGGTAACGGTGCAAGCATCTCCTGAGATGAGGTTACATGATTCTCCTCGCCGCTCCTAAGAGCGACTGATTGCTGGGCCAGCTCTTCTGGAGAGTTCAGTGCCCGGTCACGTCCCTTGTCCGTGACTGCTCCACGGCCAAATAACAACTAGAAACTTTGCTTTAAAGCTCGATCTTTCCAGACACCTGAGGCGTGGGCTGGCACCTGCGTCCATTTAGCCATGGCCGCCAGCATCAGCCTCGCGTCCCATCCACCGGCGACCGCTGGGACACCTCTTGGACGACCATCAACAAGTTCTAGGGCAGAAGAGCTGAGTGCAGAAAACCTTGGTACGTGGCATTGCAATGTAGTCAAAATCAATCGACCAATCATGCCATTTTTGCTTGGGTGCACGACAAAATCTCTGACCGCAATGACAACAAACAGATGGCCGTGCACGAAAGCGAATACAACATGGCGGCAGCGACCCCTTAGGGTATCCACGCCGACGTCCCAGCGCTTCTATATCATCCTCAAGAAGCTTTGCTGAGCCAACGTCAAGCTCTACCAGTCGACAAAGATCAGTGAGGGAACACAAGGCGCCATTGGGTCCTCGGCCACAAGAGTTTTCTCCCTCAAAACGGTATGATTGAAGTTGTGACCATTATCCGTTGACTTGCCATGTCGGTTCTGACAATGTTGCGCCAGAGTTGTCAGCGACAATATCACCACCTCAGGACGTCCTGCTCTCCCCATTTCCACGAGCGTCCCTTTATTTGGACAGCCATCGGCAGCGCGCAAAGCCGAGTTCAACTTTGCTCCTTTTCCACATCAAAAGGAGGATGTGGAGAACGCGACCACGGGTGCGTCAGCGGAGTTTCTGCCGTCGATCAGCTTTGATGAGCTCCATAACAATCTCACATACAACAATCTCTCTACAGGCCTTCTGCACGCATCCTCGGCCGGCGGACCAACTACCGGGGTCAGAAGCAGAGGTGATGGGGTGACTTTGCCTTCCACTACTGGTCACCCTGGACCGTACAGATCGTACCCTGCCGCTCCACGGCCCGGACGCAGTGACTCCACGGTGCGGTCTCGGCACGTTTCTGCTGGCCACGGCGCCACACCCGTAACTTTTACTACCGGTGGTGATCAGAGCGGTGGTCTTGCCGGCGCATCGCTTCCCATCAGGACTCGCCGCCAGAGCCTGCTCCCACCGACTGCTGCAAACAATTCCGGACGTCGATTTCCGCGAAAATCTGTCGGCTCTGGCACTTCGGCACCCACAGCAGCCAAGGATGCTTTGGCTCCGCAACCTCAGGCAAATCTCATTCCTCACAATAATGGCGTCTCTCTGGGCGCTGGCCCTGACCAACCTTTGGTCAACCGACTGAGCGTGGCAAACAATCAGAATGTTGTTCGGAGAGAACCTCGCCTCTCGACTGCAGCACGCAGTCTCAAAGCCAAATCCCTACAGCCCCAGTCACGACCGACGCCTGGCTATCTTTCGACGCCGTCAAAGGCCACCATTGATCACTCGTGGCACACGCCCGGCTCCGCCGTCGGTCGCTCACCGGGGAGGCGTTTGAACACTCCCTCCTCCTCCAACTCAAGCAACCGAATGTCCACCATGCCCGCTCATGCCACGGGCCTCGGTGCCCGCACCATCAGTCCCACCGATACCCGAAGAATGAAGCGCCTGTCGATGGCGACCGGTCATCCCGGCCTACCGACAACGCCCCCAACTCCTCAGCCCTATTTCGTTTCGCGCCCGCGATCTAGCAATCGCTCTCCAGCTGCCCTTTCAAGGAAGAGTGTTACTCCTTCGTCCTCTCGCACGACCCCGGAGCACAATCGAAAATCGTATAGCTCTGGTATCTCAATCTCTTCGAGTACCAGCTACAATTCCACACGAACTTCTTCGGGCTCGCTCCAGCCTCGAACATCTCAGACTCTGTCCACTTCGAGGCTGCCCACGCCAAAAGCACGAAATATTCATAGCTCTGCTGCTGGCGAGGAAGAGGTGCCTCCGGTCCCTGCGATACCGAAGGCCTATGAATCTCCCAAGGACCTCACCGATCAACCATTCTTCACGCCTCGCAAATCAAGCCTGCCATTCGAGGTGGATAACGGCAATGGCGAATCGGCCAATGAAGCTTCGACTGGTAAAGGTGTAGCCAAGGAGAGTACAATGGCCGGCCCCGCCACCGCGAACACGCCAAAGCCGACTCCTGCGCCTGTGCATGCCAGCGAGACAGATTCAGGTAATGGGTCTCGGTTGGGCAAGAAGAACTTGCAGCCAATCCGAGTACCTCCCATCAATCTCCTCCCGTTAGATGGTGCTGCTGCAGACAAGCCGGGCATTCTCCCACCCACCTCTGACAAGTTTGACGGGCAAGCAACACCTCCGCCGAAGCGCGGGGCAGCAAAGACACCTAGCACACCCTTGACTGCTTCCAAAGCCGGGTTTTTCCAAAAGTCTGTCAATAATGCCATAACTACTCCCGTCACCCATTTGCGGAGTGCCAGCTCCCAGCATATCACTACCGGAAGAACATCGACCGTTCGGGCGCCGAGCAGGTCCAGCCTGGAGATGCTCGAAGCGTCAACTGCCGCAGCTGAGCGACGAGCCCTTTCACCTTTTATATCGGCTACCATGCCAAGGCGAATCAGCGATCTCCATCAGCAGAATTCCAAGAAACATGGTGACTATCACACTATCAACTTTGGCTCAGAGCTTCGCTTGGGCCGTGTCGGCGGACCCCGGGCTCAAACTTCGGCCAAGCCTGAGCGCGACGAAGTTTCATCCAATGACCCTGGTTCTGTTGGCGAAGAGACTCCGACGGCGAATGTCAGCTCGAGGCGCAAGATAAGCTTGAATTGGAGGAAACCGTCGTTCAAATCATTCCATTCGAGCAATGAAAAGAATGAGCCGTCGCCAGAACTACAACTTCCATCTTATGCCGATTTACCTCCTCCAAAGCTTCCCTCATCAACCACATGGTCTGGTCATATGAACATGAGTCCGAGCCCAGCCTTGAAGGCGGCATTTCATCATGGGCCTGTCCGGAAGAGTTCTTCATCTAGCATCACGTTGCTCAGTCACCGACAAGGTCTACCTGTTGAAAGCCAACCACAGGTTATCGGCGAAACAACGAAGCAGTCTGGCCTTCGCCTGGGTCCCTCGCAAAATGCAATTGCTGCTGCGCGGACGGCTCCGTCGATTCTACCGCCTTTACAGCGGACAGTGACTCCAAAGACCTCTAGCAGCTCACTGGGAGCCCGGAATGCCCAACAACTCGACCGTGATGACCAGGTTGCTGAAGAAGAGATGAAGAAGTTCGCAAATAAGCGCAAGGACGTCGAAATCGCTGCACGAGAGGTGGATGATTTACGAAGGCGAGCAACTCCCAAGGACAGAGTCTCACCCACCCAGGCATTACGGTCGGCTCACCTCAATATCTTTGAGCGAGGTGAGATTGTCGACTACAAGGAAGTGTTCTTTTGCGGTCTCCAGAATGCGAAGAAGCAGGTCGGAGATTTGAGCACAACCGCTGCCAATTTCGGTTACGACGATGACCGAGGCGATTATAAGATTGTTGAGGGTGACCATCTTGCCTACCGATATGAGGTTGTTAATCTCCTCGGAAAGGGAAGTTTTGGCCAAGTGGTAAGATGCATTGACCACAAGACCGGCAGTTTGGTTGCCATCAAGATTATCCGAAATAAAAAGAGGTTTCATCAGCAAGCTTTGGTCGAGGTCAATATCTTGCAGAAACTTCGCGAATGGGTAAGTTGGCAGGATCGTGTTGGGCGCAACGAGAAGCTTTTTCTGACCTTGATATCTAGGACCCTCAAGATAAGAACAGCATGGTCAGCTTCACCCAAAGCTTTTACTTCCGTGGTCATCTCTGCATCTCGACCGAACTTCTTGGAATGAATTTGTATGAATTTATCAAAGTCAACGATTTCCGTGGGTTTTCGTTGAAGCTTATTCGGCGCTTCACGAAGCAAATGCTCAGCTGTCTGGTGTTACTGAGAAGCCGTCGTGTTATACATTGTGACCTTAAACCCGAAAATATTCTGCTCGCTCACCCCGCGCATTCGGAGATCAAAGTTATAGATTTTGGCTCCAGCTGTTTCGAGAAGGAAAAAGTCTATACATATATTCAGTCGCGTTTTTACCGGTCTCCAGAGGTGATTCTTGGTATGACGTATGGACTTCCCATTGACATGTGGAGCTTGGGGTGTATTTTGGCGGAACTCTACACTGGCTATCCCATCTTTCCCGGTGAGAATGAACAAGAGCAACTCGCTTGCATCATGGAGATTTTTGGTCCCCCGGAGAAGCATCTCATCGAGAAGAGCACCCGCAAAAAGCTCTTTTTCGACTCCGTGGGCAAGCCACGCCTAACTGTCTCATCCAAGGGTCGTCGACGAAGACCAAGTTCCAAGACCTTACAGCAAGCTCTCAAGTGCGACGATGATGCCTTTCTCGACTTCATTACACGTTGTTTGCGATGGGATCCTGACAGGCGTCTTCGCCCGGACGATGCCTTGCGCCACGATTTTATCACTGGCATCCGGAAGTCGGCTAGAGGTCGTATCTTCTCTTCAGCAAATGAGGCAAGCGGCTCCCTCAAAAGAATGAATACTGTTTCTTCCTCGGCTCGACCTTTACCAGATCCTCCTGCCACGAGCTTGAAACATGGCACTCTGGTGAAGAGTGCTACCGCTGGCAACCTCTCACCAACTAAGGTACCATCGACGAAGAAGACTACTTCCATGACTGGCGCACCGTCCGTATCGAGCAGCATCGGCGTGAAACGGAACTCTACTGGAGCTGCCGTCGCTTCAAATCTGCCTAAAGCGCCGCAGAGAAGTGTATCTGGGAAGACGGATTTGGCTTCTGCTGCCGCTGCAGTTAGTCTGGTAAGTATCGTTTTCATAGAATTGAAACAAGTTACTCGTTACTAATTTTTTTCTATCACAGAAGTCCCATTAAACCTGCGTTAAATATGCATGCAGATCAACAACATCTCATTTCAGCATAGTCCAAGGGTCTCGCCTGCCATTTACCCCTTGTTTTCAGCTTCCATTCGTGCTTCCTTGGCGGCATTTTAGATTCAGACCAAAGAATGAGAAGAAACGATTGCATTTCCCACGTCTGCTTTGCTTTTCTACTTGTTCTAGTTGCCATTAGCGCTTATCGTCGAGTGTCCGTTCTTATACCCAGGGCCATTCTCGGCTTCACTCAGACCGGCATGTTCGGTCACTATTTCTACATATCTTGTTTTCCTTTCGTGCGTGCTTGGATATTTTCTATACACAGATTTAGAGCGGGAGATGTTGAATGATGTTTCTAAACCGGCTTTGCGAGCGAGGGTACTATGAGGCGAGGCAACCAAGAACCACAATTCCGTGGGGCACTTGCTCGGACAGCGCCGGAGACGGGTTGGTTCTATATTTGGCTTGACAGTTTTGCAACACCTATTTTCCTTCAGATTTCATCATTCATTTCATTACCGGTAGTCTCTTTTAATCCTATATTGGCTCTTTTCTCGTTGGTACGCATCTCTATACCGCAATATTCCCTTAAAAAGACTCGAAGGCGGAAAGCCGACACTTGTCCGGTCTCAGGGCGATGAGGCTGCCTGCAATGCATCGAAGACTGTTGCAGAATATCAACCTTTAGAAAGGGAGCATTACTTCGCTACTTGGTTACATGGCATCGGGCAGGCGTTCAAGTGGTGCGGTTACATTAAGTTCTGTTCCATTCCGTGGAAAGAAGGCTGCATCTCTACTAGAGCCTTCCCGCAACGACCAATATTTCTTACACTAGAACACAAAAATCTATACTCTTTGCCATGAAAAATTGCCTTAAATTTTCTTTTTCGCGTAGTTGACTAGCCAAGCACTTTGGATCTTGTGGTAGTGCTGCCAAATGCCCGGTTTCTTTAGTTTTCGGCTGGAGATCATCATTTCGGTCAGTTTACCAACCGTTTCTCTTCCTGCCATATCCATCTCTTTCGGTGCCGTGGAATTAGGGCTGTCAATATCTCGACCACCCCTGACTGTCTCCATGAGATCCATTTAGGGAATTGGACGTCCACCACATAGAACAGATTATAGATCACGTGATAAGATTGTATACCATCACGGATTAAGTTATGTTATGAATTACTGGAATCAGCAGAATCAACAGCTAACACAATAGCTGTCGCATAATCACCGTCATGGCTTATACTCAGTTGTGCAATTTGGTCGCAGTCTGAATTGCTGGAGGCAGTGTTGGAAGATACTACAAGCAGAGGTGCCCCGGAAGCATTGGACTGTATAGTCACATCATGCCATTGGAGGCGCCGCGAGCGGACTGCTTTGAAAGCTGCTTCTTTCGCGGCGAATCTGTGTTTGACATTGCAGAAGTTAGGCTTTTTGGACCAGTCATAATTGAGTGTTCACCAAAGGCTTGTTACCTTCCTGCCATCCATTGAGCTAAAGGCGTGAATGGATCTTCGGGGAAATTTGTGCGACATGCAGCCAGCTTGCTCTCAAATGAGAGCTGCTCAATGGGATTGAAAATGCGTCGCGCCAAACGTGACAGACGTTGGCCATTGTCATTCCTGGCAATCAATGCCCGCACGCGGGAGATCTGGCAGATATCGATGCCGACGTTGAGCGGGAATGGAAAAGGTCGAGGTGGCATTTGACTGATGCGGTCCTTTACGCGATCAAAAAAGAGGGACGGAGAAAGTGATTGTTTAAGAATCGGGGTAAGATCAAGCTCTGCATAACTAATGGAGAACGACTTTGTTTTTGCAAGGGACAAAACCCACCGAGTAAGTATTGAGACAAAGATTGACGCCCGGCTTGATCGCGGCTCGCCAAATGCGCTTAATCTACTACGGAGTACAACATCGACAATGGGATTACTTGCATGCATATGCTCACAACTAAAAGTATACTACGACTAGATTGAGTCATGGTAAATTGAATTCATCAAAAATCTTCTTGCCTCGATTTCGACGTTTTGGACTGGTCGTTTGACGATGAATTGCTGTCAAAAGAGCAATAATAGAAGCAATCACATCCGTCTTGCCTTGACGTTTCCGGCACACGTTCATTTGTCTCTTGCAGATCATGGACTTGCGCAGTCTCAATACCGCTTCATGACGTCGCCAGAAGACCAGACCAGGACCGGCATCGCAGCTCTCGCTTTCTCAGAGCAGAGCCCAGCCGGCCATCAACTTGAGGACATTACCAGTTGGTACGGTGAAAAGTGGAGAAGAATAGTGTAGCTAATGCTAAAGTGAATACTGTACAACACGGATTAGGAAGTTAGGAAGTTGAGGCGTACCCCCGTCTGGAACCTTTTCTCGCCAGTCGCAAACCGACGGAATGGGATTAAGGTTGCCGAGCGATTTCCCAGCAAGTCCCCAAGGGGAGCAACAGTGGCAACGGCTCCACCAATGCCATCGCGGAGAACTGTGGAGCCGAGAGCAACCCTTCGACATGGCGTCGGCTCGTCAATCTCCATACGACATGGTCGATTTGAAACGCTCCTGACGCTACATCGCGTGCGGCAAGACCCAACACTGTCTTCGCGTCGCATGCCATCTGCGCACCACCAGAGGAAAAGAAGACAGGACGTTGAGGTTTGGGGGATTGCGAATAACGCTGCGTGGCAATTGTGCATGTGCTGCAAAGCGGAGATGAGGTTGCGCGTGGCCTTGCGCGATGGTGAGCGTGAGTCTTCGGCTTTTGACAGCTACTGTTATTTGTCCAATTAATTGACTTGGAAAGCAAGGCTATATTGAAAGTGAAGAATCCAAAATGATCTTAACAAAAAATTCTCCGATATTTGCAGGGGCCATAAGCCTTATCGGTGGCCTGTGTTCGCACGGGGATCCCGCTTGGCTGAACCGAGCAATGCATTCCAGTCCCTACCCTCCCACCATCGTCACTCAACGCCCCTGACCCGCCAGGGCGAACCGTGTGGGCGCAAGGCTACCAAACCGACTTTCCACGCCGTCTGGAGGAAGTTGGCCAATCAATTCATGGCCAATGGATATTTTCCCTGGTTATCTGCTCCCGGACAGGAGGAATCAACGGAACGGGCATGCAGTTACGGTTCTCGAATGCCCAAGTCCCCGCGAATGGCGCAATCCCCGGATTTGGGCAAGGATTGCCTGAAGCTGCCCTGATCCAACTGCAAGCGTCGTCAGCTTTTCCAAGGCTCTATATCGACTAACTCGCCAAAGTTTTCTGCTGCTATGGCTGCCAAATCTTCGATGCGCCAGGAGAAGCTCGGCCAGATGTACCGCAATCGAGATGGCCTCGACAAACTCTTCATGGACATCATACCTTGAATGGCATCGTGCCGTGGATCCGTCGATGCGAATTATCCCAACACCAAACCTGACCCGGCGCTCGCCGCTAGAGACAGCCTTGGAGAGATCGGATAGTCCGCAATGTTCCAATGGAACCGTTCACTTGTCAAGTCTTCTATAAGACTACCATGAAACTGCCTGGCATCCCACCTCCTTCGAATCATTCCTCAACACACTCGCTCACACTTGCGTACGCTTTGTTGTGCGCAGAGACACTCGTTCATCTCTGTCTTCTTAAAGATAGATCTTTTGTGTTCATCGTTGATTTCCCTTCAATTCCAATTCATTTGGTAACGGTCAAATCTCCTTTTACAAAAGAGAAACCCCCCAATACCAATCCATTGCAAAATGAAGTTTTCTACCGCTGCTGTGGCTTTGCTCGCCACCACTGTCCTCGCCGCTCCCGGTGGCTTCAGGTACGTCTTTCTCATGCGGTTCACTTTCTCAGATATTCCGTGAAGGGAGGAGCAGAAGTCTAATCTTCAAGTTTTAGTGAAAGCAAAGAGGCCCCTGTGCAGACATCTGAGAGCTATGGCCAGGAGACCTCCCACGCTGAGTCTTCGTGGGCCCAAGAGTCTAGCAAGCCTGCTGAGACCTCGTGGGCTCAAGAATCCAGCAAGCCCGCCGAGACCTCTTGGGCTCAGGAATCCAGCAAGCATGTTGAGTCTTCATGGGCCACTTCTGAGGCCAAGCCTACCTACTCCAGCGAGGAGAAGCCCATCTATTCCAGCAAGGAGGAGAAGACTACCTGGTCCAGCCAGGAAGTGAAGCCCACTTACTCCTCTAAGAAGGAGGAAGTCTCTTCCTTTTCGACCCCGCCACCTCAGCCAATTCCCACCAGCAAGAACGAGAGCTCGACCCCACCGCCTCAGCCAATTCCCACCAGCAAGAATGTGAGCTCCTCTATCCCGCCACCTCAGCCAATTCCCACCAGCAAGAACGAGAGCTCGACCCCGCCTCCTCAGCCAATTCCCACGAGCAAAAACGAGAGCTCCTCCATCCCGCCGCCACTTCCTGTCCCTACCAGCAACCAGAGCACGCCCGTTGCGCCCGTTGCGCCAACTGCTCCTTTCCGGAATGAGACCTCCACCATTGAAGTGACTACCACACCAAGGACCACAGTGACGCCTCTCACCACCGTCACCGAGAGCACTCCCTCGTCCGCTGTCGCCCCGGTTGCTCCTTCGTCTGCCGTGGCCCCAGTTGCTCCCTCATCTGCAGTTGCTCCGGTTGCTCCTTCGTCTGCCGTGGCCCCGGTTGCTCCCTCGTCTGCTGTGGCTCCGGTTGCCCCCTCATCTGCCGTGGCTCCGGTTGCTCCCTCGTCCGCTGTGGCCCCTGTTGCGCCAACTTCCGCGTCATCTCTCGTCGCGCCTGTTGCCCCAACTTCGGCTTCTTCGCTTGTGGCTCCCGTTGCCCCCAGCCGATCGCCCAGTGGTACTCTCGTTTCTCCGGCTCAATTCACTGGTGGTGCCGCCGTCCAGAAAGCCGGTAGCTACCTTGCTGCTGTTGGTATTGCTGCTTTTGCATTCTTGTAAAAATGCAGAGGCGTGAGGTTGCTGTACTTTGATCTTTTGTTTTATTTGTCGTTTGTCATTTCTTGATTTTCTATGTTTTCAAATTGTTTTCCTCAAACTGAGAAACTTTAATGAAATACGCATGGCCAGAGGGGGTGTGAGGTATTCAGAATGGATCCAGAAATCATGTGGTATGGAATTAATGTTGAAAGATTGTTTTGATTCAAATGTTTATTGTTTTTAAGCTAATACATGGCTATCGCGTTTTGTTCAATGCACTTGCGTCACAATCACAAAAAATATAATCTTAATTGCTAATACTTTTTGCTCTCTCGTGTGTGAGAAATAACTATTTGGTTGAAAAGCACTGCTCTCTAGGAATCGAGAACATGTCATAATTGCAGTCAACTCTATTACATGAGTAGATGGATAGGATGAGAGGCAGGCATAGAAGGGGAAAAGATCCATTGGAGGACTCTCTGATATGAATATTTATTTTTTTTGGAATCTGTAATCCTCTTTTGAGGAACATGATCTCTAAACTTGGGGTTGATGTTTTAATGTTCCTCAGGTCCCTTGACGTCTGGCGCAACTCCAGCGGCGGCACTCGATCCCTGTACGCGCTAAATTGGCGCGGAGGATGCCGCTCCGCCCTGCGAGACCTCCGGAGCTTCAACAGGTGTCCTTTCGCCGCACGGGACATATTGTTGATCCACAAATTGCTTCCGACGCCTCGTCCATTGACTCCATCACAACTTCAAGGATGGAGTAGACTCTCTTTTTAGAGGCTGCTACACAGTGGACGGAAACCACATCACTTGTCCTCCTCTTTAGCTTGGGGGGAAAACATCAAATTCTCTATCTGGCGCCTCAAAGCTATATCAGTCCCCAAGGTCGCCTGTCGTAAGTTTTATGGTCTAGACCTGGGACTGCAGCAAGGGTAATACCAAATACCAATTGCACGAAATTCTTGTCGCCGAAAGTTATTCATACATGATGAACGGCTTCGCCGACCGGGACCTGGACGAGTCTAACTTTGGCGTCTCTCAATCGTCCAACCCCAAAGACGTGCTTCGAACATTCGACGCATTCCCCAAAACAAAAGCCACCTATACAACACGATCGTCACGCGGAGGTCAATGGACCATAGTTCTGCTCGTTATTGTGGCCCTGCTCTCTCTGTCTGAAACCCGGCGATGGTATGCCGGCCACGAGACACATCAGTTTAGCGTCGAAAAGGGGGTCTCACACGGCCTCCAGATCAACCTGGACATGGTTGTCGCAATGCGCTGCCAAGACTTGCACGTCAATGTCCAGGATGCCTCGGGTGATCATATTCTCGCGGGAGAGCGGGTGCGCAGAGACCCGACCAATTGGTCACAATGGGTCGACGCCAAGGGCGTTCACAGACTAGGCCGCGGCCGGCGACGCAGACGGGAGCGCGGAGGTCCTGGTATGAGCGGGAGCAGCAATAGCTATGGTGACAGCGGTGATGCAGCGGGACAGAATGCCATGGACCCTTTGAAGCCGGAAGAGCTCGACGATGAGCACGTAGGCGACGTCATGGGCCGCGCGCACTGGAAGAAGAAGTTCCCCCGAACGCCCCGCCTCAAAGGCGAGCCTACCGCGTGCAGAATCTACGGAAGTATAGAGGGGAATAAAGTCCAGGGAGACTTTCACATTACCGCCCGAGGACACGGTTATATTGAGTATGGCACAGAGCATCTCGATCACAAGTGTATGTACATAGTTTACCTACCTCTCCTCATTTCCCCTCTTTTTCTTTGCTCTCTCTCCCTCATCCGCTCTTTATTAGTTCATTTATATACCACGAGGCTAACAACTCTGTTGTAGCATTCAACTTCAGCCACATCACCAACGAACTCTCATTCGGACCATACTATCCTTCTCTCGTCAACCCTCTGGACTCGACTCTTGCGACGACCGACTCTCACTTTTACAAATTCCAATACTATCTCTCCGTCGTGCCAACCATATACACGCGGTCGTTGAAGAAACTCGCCAAACTGGAATCCCAACTGGCGCAACAATTCCACAAAGCCCAAGCTCAACTGTCCTCTTCATCCTCTTCGTCTTCCTCATTCTTCAAGTCGTCGTCGTCGTCCCAGCAGCAACAGCCCATCTTGCAACCCCGCACGCTCGCGGATCTTCCTGCGTCCTACAAGACCCGCGACGTCGTCATGACGAACCAGTACGCCGTGACCGAGCAGTCCCTTCTTGTCGGCGAGCGTTCTGTGCCCGGCATCTTTTTCAAATTCGACATTGAACCCATCCTCCTCACCATTGCCGAGGAGCGAGGCAGCATGCTCGCCCTCCTCGTCAGACTGGTCAATGTCATCAGCGGCGTCCTCGTCGCAGGCGGCTGGTGCTACCAGCTCGGTGGCTGGGCCATCGATGTGCTTGGCGGCAAAAGATTCAAGAGAAAATGGCTCGGCGCAGGCACACGGCGAGAGAGCGAGGGTGTCTTGCACGGCAAGATGGAAGCGGATGAAGAGTAAGAGACGGCTTCAGTCGGCTTTTCTTTTCTTTAAACGATTCATTTTTATTCCTATTTGCTTTCTCCTTTTGGCGTTTGGAAACATGTTTTTACAGTTGAAAAATTCTCTGCCATATGGGTCTGCTAGCATATCTGGCGAAATTCCCCCTTTTTCTTTGCTCTTAACCACGTTGGTTCTCTTCGCCTCAGGTATCAATTATCAACCATCAACCACGGATGACACATCCCTCATCTCACCAGCCAGATGTATATACTCTATTCATCCAATACCAACCAATAAATACCCACGTGTGACATTGCGAGCGAGTGATATCAAGTTGAAAGAAAGAAAAAAAGATAATTGTATTTTCTCTAAAAAGCGCATTGACGCGGCCCATTGCCATTCACGCTATTGCTCTGACAGGACAGCCACAAAATACCTAACGCCATTGACACTGGAAATAAGTTTATTTCACCCGCACTTGGACATACGTCTCTTTTTGCTCCGCCTTCAAAACCGCATGTGACAAAGGTAGGAGAGTAAGAAAAGCGGATATTTAGCAAAGAATGAAGAATCGAAGGCATTGGATATCACTCCATCGCTCGCGGGATAGGGAAATAGAAGAGAGAGAGCCTCGAGGATCTGTTTTAGAACTCGTACGTACTAAGAAACGTCAAACTCAAACGTCAAAGACTTCGCCGATACCGCCTGATCCGCCACGACTCTCGACAAGGTCCAATCTCCACCCTTCCCAGTCTTTGAGACCTCTCTTGACTTCCCTGACGCGTTCGATTCGCTTGCGGCCTTCTTCCTCCTGTGCGGCACGGAACGCATCTTCGTCAAAGTCCATCTCATCGAAATCAGCCAGTCCAGAATCACCAGCTGGGACTGCGCTTCTGCCAGTACCAGCAGCACCGGTGATTGCGCTGAAACCACTACTGAGGACATTGGACAAACCACCGGCGCCGCCAGCGCGAGGGCTAGACAAGCGCTGTACGCCACCAGGTTGGCCGCCACCGCCTAGATCAATGTCTTGGAATCGCTGGGGACTGCTTGTTCGTCGCCCAATAGCGGTCCCGCCTGTGAGTTCTTCTTCGATGTCTTGGCGTTTGCTGCGCCACGCGGCGCGGCGGAGATCGAATACTTCAGACTCGAGTTCGCGCACGCGGACTTCGAGTTTTCGGCGTGCCTCCTCAACGAGGTCATCGATGCTGTCGCCGTCACCGTCAGTTGAGCCGCCTTGTTCGGTCTTGCGTCGTTGTTGCTCTTCGCGGAGACGCAGATTGAGATTTTCGTTCTCGCCCTCGAGGCTGGCGAGACGGGATCGGAGGTCTGCAGTCTCGCGCTGAAGGTGTTCGCGGTCATCCTCGCGGGCTTGTACTCGTGCATCTGATTCTCTGCGGAGAGTTGTAAGTGTTTCAATCTTCTTCGTTAGACTTTCGGATTTCTTCGTCATTTCTTCAGCATGTGCTTTTGCTTCCTCAGCTTCGCGTTCCAGGTTGCGGATCTGTGTCTCGGCGGAGGTGCGTGAAGTGCCTTCTTTGACGGCGCGTTCGCTCGCCCGATCGAGGTTCTTCTTCACGTCTGAGAGCTCACGTTGGGTATGTTCACAGAGCTTCTCCGAGCGCTGCAACTTGTCTTCCAAAGCAGCAATTTGTTGGGTTTGCGCCGATATGGTGGTGTTTTGCTTGTCCAATTGTGCGCGGAGATTGGAAATTTCGAGTTCCATAGACTCGATGGTGGCTGATTTTGAAGCAAGTTGTGCCTCGAGATCGGAGGAGGCCTCCCCCGTGGGAGCGGACACGCTTGGTGAAGATCCATGTCTGTTTGACCGGTTGCTTTGAGATTGGAGCTGGGAGTTTTGCCGCTGCAGAGAGGCAACTTCGGTTTTCTGAAGATTGAAGTCCCCATCAGTATCAACAGAAATGGACGGGAAGACAGGGCAGAAAACGAACCAGTTTTTCAACCTCCTCTTCAACGACCTTCGCCTTTTGCACACGAGCTTTCAAGTCCGCAACATCACTGTTGGACTCCCGAGCCTGCTCCAGCTCGTCTTCCGTCTTTTTCCATCGCTCTTGATGTTCCTTGGATTCCTTTTCGAGCTTTTTATTCAAAGACTCGAGCTCTTCGATTCGTGATGCTTGTTTACGATATATTTCTGAGGCACCGCCCTCTGGATCAAATGGCGGGAGATTTGATTTGCCGGTCGTGGGCGAGCTAGGTACTTGTGTAAGTGACGTTCGGCGGAAAGAGGAAGAGCGCATCCGCGATTGAGATGATAATGAGGATTGTCGGTCCCTGCCGGAAGGCGCGGGAGGAGAGGGCGAAGCCTGCTTTTCGTCCGATGTTTTCTCTTCTGGTTGTTTTTCTTCTGCAACTTCATCCTTAGCTTCTTCCTCCGGCTCTCCTTGCCTTTTATTTTGCTTCTTTTTCTTCTTCTTTTTGCCCTCTCCGGCCTTCTCTCCTTCGGTCTTTCCGGGCTCAAGTTCAGGCTCACCAGCTTTTTCGTCGGCTTGTGCGCCTTTGTTTTCTTCCTTTTCGACCTCCTCTGGTTTCTCATCTACTGACGGGGTTCCCGGCACAGAAGCTTCAGCCTCGGAATCAGTCGCAACCTTCTCCTCTTTCTTCTTCGCTCCGCCCGCAGCCTTTTTGGCTTTCTGTTTCTTCAATTGCTCAAACTATAACCCCAGTATATTTAGCTATCCAATGATACAGTAGATTCATGGTATGCAAATGTCGAAACGGATAGTTCATAAAGACTCATGGCATACGTACTCTCTTCTTAGCTGCTGCGAGCTTCTCCGCCTTTTCCCTCTCTTCCGCATCCGCCATATTAGTTAGGTTGATAAAAGGTTATATTCAAGTCAATATCAATAGTAAGAGAGCTTCAAAATCAGAAAGAATTTGCACTACTCTTTCGTATACCAAAGCTTCACCGTTAAGCCATCCCTTCAACGGAGTTGTTGACAGCTGGAGGTCCCTCTCGGTCCCTGTACGCTCATCGGCATTTACCGTCATTGAACCTCCGATGGATGAGCTGGGGTGATTATGTCAGCAAGACCGGGGGACTGCACAATGACGCGGGAGAGTCCTCTTACCTAATGGAAATAGCCTTCATTTTGATATCCGAATTGCAGCTCAAGTCAATCAATGGGGAAAGCTATTCGAGACAAGCATACAGCATATATTCGCCTTCGAATACCTAAGGCTCCTCTCTGCATCTCTCCTCTGTCGATAAACCAGCGCTTAGACTTCCCGTGAACAGCTCCGCATTTGCGCAATCTCTCCTCGCTCGACATTTTGGCGCCTACGGAGTACTCTTATCTCCTCAACATCAATAGCGACAAGCTGTCAACCAGCCACGTCGTTTTCTCACACCTTTCCCTTACATCCGACGGCTTAATATCGTCTCTTCACTCCAGTTCAACACGTAAGGAATAAGCATCTCCACTCTGGTCTCGACATATCCGCACCTTCAACACAGTCGAGCCTCATCGCGTTGCGTCGCGCAACATCACCATACAAGCTTTCCACCATGGGCTCCCCATCTCCTCTCGAAGCCCATCCGACACTCACACTACATCTTGCCGACACAACTCTATATCCATTAACAAGCACAAATGATGTATCTTCAGAGACAGCCTCGTCTGCGCTCAACGATCTAACAAGCGCATATCTCACAACTCACGAAACCACGCCAAGGTTCAATATCGGACAGGCGCTCCGTATCAGCGCCGAACTTGCGCAAAATGGGCCAGCTTCGGTGCAAACATATCTCGTACCCGGCGATGCGCGCCGAGTAAAGGCCGGACTACCGATAGAAAGCGAGAGCATGCTATCAAAAGGCAAACAACCCCTACCTTCTGCGGGCGACGCAGAGTTTCTCGAAGGCCCACCCCGCCATTTGATTGAGCATAGTGCAGCAGAAGAGGCGGTATCAGCCGAAACACCAGGGCCGGCGGGCCCGCCAGCGCTGGTCGCAACGGTTGTGGCGCCGGGGAGAAAGAGCCTGCAAGAGGCGAGGGATGCGGCGCGTCAATTGGAGACGATTGGTCGAGCGGTACAGATGGAGTGGTTGGCGAATGAAACCGACGGCGTGAATACGGCGGGAGTAGTTGAAAATGGGTCTACTTAGATCATATCTGATCTCATGCGAGTCGGCAGGTTCATAACTCAACATACTGAACTTGTTGACTATTTGGACTCGGTACCGTCGCCTCGTTGTACGACAATCTCTTCAACTTTCTTATCTTGGAGAGGCAAAGGTTTAGAAGGGAGAGGAAAGGTCTATTTCCATTACCATGTACTAAGCCAGCAGCTGTATTATATACCTTCTGACATTTTTCATAGCTTAGCATCATTAACACAGCATTGCCAGGCGTATTGGGCTTCGTTTAAGACGATAATCTAATTGAAATTAAGACAATTTTTTTGATCCCGTAACTGACTCTCTCGCTCTTTCTACCAAATCCCCTAACCCTAAGTTATGGAAGGCCTTATTAACTCAGCGTTCATACTATCACCATGTGTGTCTGTGCTGGTGTGAAAGAGGATACCCAGATAAAAGAAGCGGCACATGGCATTGTTGAAGCCAGACCGACATTACTAGATTATATATATTCAGATATACAAAGTACCAAAATGAGGAGTCAACATATACGTTGATATCCACCAATATCCAAGATGGAAAAACGTCAAGATCAAACACAAGTGGGTAATATAAACAAAGAAGAGCACACAGAATAAGATAACAAGAAGCGAAGAAGCAAAAAGCAAAGACTCCACGCTTATACATGTCATATTCCCACTGACGCCGCTCTCACCGGCCATTAAACGGCATCGCCCCACGCTTGTCAATCCAATGCCGCCGAAACGCGAACGTGAACACAAAAAGCACATGAAACCTAATCGAAACGCCGCTTTCAACCCCAGCCTCACAAGCTCCGCTGCACTCGCCCGGAGCACGATACCCTGCCACCACCTATAATGCCAGCATTATGTTGAAATTGGGGGGAGATAAGAGAAATGGAAGGATCACGCTTAGAGAAAAAGCAAAGCAAAAAGAGAAAAGAAATTAAACTTCCATCGACTCTGCAATGTCTTCGCTGACACCCCGGACCACACTTCTTCTGCGCTGCTCCGCACGCAATTCCTCCGCTTCCTCTTCTTCCTCTTCCATCTCGTAATCATCCAGCTCGTCACCATCATCGAGAACATAATCCGCATCAACCACGCTATCATCCCAATCATCAATCTCATCCTCGTCGGCATCATCTCGAACTTTGGATCCCCGCCTCTCCGCGCGGTCCCCAAGCCAATAAGAGGCGCGCTTGCTTGCTCCACGGTCATCGGGACTGCTTGATCGGGCACGGGAATCACGTCTTCGTCTCACTTGAGCAGGGCTGTGGCTGATGACGCTCAATCCGCGGAGGTAGAGGTAGCACACTCGCTTCCGTGCCTTGTTGAAGAAGAAATAGTTGAGAGACCAGATAGCGCCGTCTTCACCGTCGTATGGATCCTCTTCGGGGGAATAGCAAAAAATGCCGCAATCCTTGAGGTCCATTTCTTTGTCAATCAGTCTCCACATTCTCGGGCCCCAGACTTGACTGCCTCCGGGCGTTGTAGATCCTGAGGCGGGTGCGGTCGCCGAGTATGGAGAGGACATGCCAAGCGGCCCGGCAGGACGGGGGTGCAAATTATAGAGCGTGGTGTCGATGGTGTTCATGACCGACTTTAAGGATCGTTCTCTTCGAAAGTCTGACGGCCGCAGAATGTAAGAGAAGTCGTAGTCGGGATGGCTGGCATTTAGGGTCGCGATGAGGTATGCAAAGGTGCGTCGACTGGATATTTGGCTAAGAGGGCCGAACGGACTTGAGCGCGAGAGGTTCAGCGACCCGGCTGCATCTATGGCGTGAGGCGGAGATAGTGACGCAGAAAGACGAAGGAGCGATTCATATTGTGATTCCAATGAGTTTTCGATGGATTTGTATAGTTTCTTGTCCGAGCCTGCGGCCTTTGTTGTATAAAGATCACAACCACCAATGACGTGGCAGTCGGGTGTATTGAAGTTCAAAGCGCTCGTAACATCTTCAAAATCGCGCAACGATAGAAACTAGACGGGCAGTCCTGTCAGTATGTTGAGGGGATCAAAGGAGCGATTTGAGACCCGATGCGTGACGCGTCACCTGAGCAACGAAGTAACGACACGCGGATACGGTGGGCAAAGATGCGGACTAACCTTCATTGTGGCTTGGCAATGAGGGATTCCAAGCACTGCAATGTCTCAAGGTTCGCCAGGGCAATGAAAGGAGGGCAGACTGCAACCGTTGACTGTTCTCAGAGAAGGGCCGTTGAGGTTGCGCCAGTCCGCCGATTGCCGAAAAGATTCGCGGAGTCGCAGCGAGGAACTCAGATCCTCCGAATATATGCAAAATTACTGAGGCGGGTGTAGCTGCGAGTAGCTGCGAGTAGCTGTTGGTCCAGGTCGAGCGCGTTGGCGGCGGATAGGTATGGATGAGTGAGCGGGTCCGCGATAGGTACGGGGGGGTTTGACTCGTATGGGTGAGGTATAATAAATAAGATCACAATGAATTGAACGATAAAGATTGCTGTAATTCGAGCGAGCCGAGCAGACGTATGGACTGACAATTTCTATACGCCTGAGATGCGGACTCAGTGAGCTTAAGTTGTTGACATGGAGAGAAGCGGGTGCGATGGTGTGATGATGATAATAGTAACCGACGGGGTGGTGATGATGACTGTACGAGCACCGTATCGACCATGACCTCTTTCGGGGGCTCTCGGGGGGGAAACCTGAGTGGGAGGGGAGGGAGTGGAGCTGCGGTCAGCCAGATCTGGGCGTTATCCGGCTTTGGGGGATCTGATAGAATCCGGCCTAGTGAGCGATAAGTCAGAGCAGCACAACCACAATCATGATTAGTCATCCGTACCTCATCCCTCAGCCAAGGGGTTCGGCTGCCTCTCCCGCCAACCCGACCCGATCGAGATGTTGCTATCGTCCACTCAGGACCACCAGAAACCCCACATGGAGTGACTTTCCATGTTGATGTGCCAGGACACTGCTTCCCCACGTGTGCTTCCCATTTGCATCGAATGGAAGGCAACAGACGGAGCGGCAATCGACGGAGATTCCATTGCAGGAATGTTAAATGCCGAGCTTGTTTGTTAGTTTGGTCGTGAACGCGTATAGCCTCTGTCCTCCTCGCGCTCTAACTGCTTCGCTTCAACTACAAACAGGCTTCAAACATGGGCAGCACTGGCCGGCACAGAGGCACAGAGCATCGTCATCATCGAGTGCAAAATCAATTGACCATTAATCCCTGCCTAAGGCGAGGGTAACTCAGAAAAGCTGAGCCACGAGATCAAATTATTAAGTCTTGCGCCCTAACACATGTGCGCCTGATGCTATGCTAGCCATGTTCCAACCAAAAAGAAAAACAACTCCCCTGCACTGGTCGTAAATATTCGTGATTATCCTCATCTTCTCTTTCAAGACAGACCGAGTTCGCGTAGTCGAGCAACATCTTCTTCTTGAGACTGTAAAAAGACATGATGTGGTTAATTGGGGTAAAAATTGAAGAAGATGCAACGGATATGATGATGCGTATATAGTATCCCTTCCAAACCAGAGCGCCGCCCGATGAGAAGCTGTAATAGGAGAAAAGTGTATAGGGATTATATATCGTCTCATCCAATCTTGGTGACGCCGTCGTCTTCGACCTGGGCACATCGAAGCGTCAGCCTCGGGATATGGCATATTTCAATGATGCAATATTGCAGAGATGCAAATAAATAAATAAAAATAAATAAATAAAAAAAGCGGGGGTGGGGGATGCAATGAGATTGATAATAAAATCGGGCTTACCTCCATATCCTCAAGGCTGTCTTGCTGGCTGATGCATCGGAGAAGGTTCTTCTTGCTGCTTTCCTGCATCTCGCCAGCTAGTAACAGCTCATCAAGAATAAAGTATGCCTTTTGGAAGTTGAAGATGATGTCCAGCTCGCACACATTGCCATAATATTTGTCCATCTGCTCGACGTAGCGGTGAACAATCTCTAGGGTGAGCAGCTCGTTGTCGGTCGATGAGCAGCCAGCGATGAAGAAAAGGGAGGCGTATCGTCGGTAGACGACCTTGGTGTCTATTGTTGGCGAGGCTTGTTAGCAGGGTGGGGGACGAGGCGAGGACAGCGTGCAAATAGATGCCGCACCTTTATACTCGAGGAAATTGCACATCCGGGTTCTTCTTGAAAGGACAAGCTGAGTGACATCTTTGATAATCTTGGCCTTATCCTTGGGCGAAAGAGTAGTGAACCATTTGGCCAGACGCTGCACTTGCGTATTAGCTGGAAGCTTTCAATTGGGGGGAGTAGGAGAGTCACGAACCACTTTGCCCTGCCGCGACAGCAGGATCAGGTAGCTAGACTTGAAGTCAGAATTTTAATTTTTCTGGAGGGGAATTTATCCTCTCGAGCTCACTTGATAGCCATTGCTCAACCAGATGTAACGTATGAGATGATGTCGATGCCGTCAAGTTGTGCGTGTGTGGGTGATGATGAGAGGTGGTAGCGAATTCAGTCCCCAGGGTAGCTTTGTCACTTTTGTGCTCTCCCTTTCGCTTGCACAAAATCAACACTAAACTATTGACATGGCGACATAAAAATTGCCCCACCATGACTTGGTGACCCGAACCTCCCCGCCGTGGGGTTATCGCGTGGTATATCCTCCTGGGCCTCTCCTCCATAGGGGCTTTCAAGTCGTCTACCAGCTTTTCACTTCTCTCATTTCCATTCTACACGGCGGATGATATCCTTCTAGCGCAGAAAACTTCAATAAAATTTGTATCCTCACCGAGCTACTCCGGAGCCTTAATTTTTTTCACCATGACCAAACTCATACTATCCACCTCGTAAGTCTTTGCCAGGCCCTTCGTTTGTCAGTGACTCATACTGATTGCCATTACAGCAACATCATAAATGACAATCCGCTTATTGGCCGCCCGAGCCAGAAATCCAATACGGAACTGACCAATTCACTGCGCGCCAACTTCCAACACTCGCAACATCAACAAGCGTTTACCCCTCCTCATGCCGAGCAAAACGGCACATCCTCTGAGCCCTCCGCATCCGATTCCAGCAACGGAGTCTCTATATCTCCATCTTCCTCTCAGGTCTCCATCAGCACTTGGACTACACGCGATGACGACAATGGAATCATCTACGTTCCTTCCATTGACTTTTCACAGTCCGGCCTTGCCGAAGAGCGCGCCCAGTACGACATTACCGTTAAACTATTCTATCTTCCCGGAATCCCCGTCTCAGAGCGCTGCAAACACACCAGGGAAGCCATTGATCTCGTTCTGAAAGAGTTGGGCGTCTCGTCGATTGATCTTCTTATCGTATCATTCCCGGGTATCGCGTTTGACGCCGAAGACGCCGGCGATGAGTCAAACTCTGATGATGTTGACGAAGCCGACGTATCCGGCGCGGCCAGTGGCGTCGGGATAGAAGACATTTCCAGCATGATCACGACATGGCGCGTCCTGGAAGAACTGCATGCCGAAGGATTGATTCTGCGTCTGGGCCTTGCAGAATTCGGCAGCCAGCGTCTGACAAAGTTTCTGGCACAGACTCGCGTGCGGCCATCGGTCGACCAGATCAATGTGCGGGACTGCTGCGTTGTGCCGAAACCGTTGATTTTGCTGGCGAGGCAGGAAAAGATTGAGCTTCTGACGCACAATGATTGCATGAATATTCTTCCAAGTGGCACGTTGAGAGAGTTACTGGGACCGGAGGAGAAGGGAGGTGTTGGACTCTTGCCAGGCTCCGCGAATGAAGAGCGTGACAGGTTCACGGGAGACTTGGCGCCACAGTGGGTCGTCAAGTATACTGCTGTGGTCAAGGATCGGGGCGTTGTCGAAAACAAGGGATACTTCGCCGTTGCTGAGCTGCAAAGTGCGTCGCAGTAGACCAAATTCTTGCTGGGTGATTGGTGAGTTGGCAGAGATATAGAGACCGATACATTCAGCGCATTTTATTTCTTGTAATACCCAACTTGTCATTTTTCTATCTTTCAGCGTTTACGGCCCCTTGGATTGGACAACAGCATTTAGGGCGTTCCACAGCGAGAGCGAATCGGTAGTCATAGTTATTGTTAGTGAATTACGCAGCCGTGCAAATTGTAGGACCCGAAGAACCCATTTTGTGTTGTGATCTTCTCATATCCCGCAATAGTTTGCTCAAAAAAAGGATAAGACACCGAGATTGAAAACACCCCCGAGCCCGTATGTTACAGAAAACTTTCAAATAGCATTTTCATCATCATCACGCGGCTATCAATGCTGGTATTTATTCTTTTCTAATCGCTGGACATACAAGCCAGCTTTCTCGATTGTAACCTGTTAGGGTCGTCGCTTCATAGTTCTGCCATAAAGGCGTACGCGAACCTGAAGAGGTGGCAGCTCTAATTTAAGGGGAGCGGAATTGAGAAAAAATAAATAAAAAGCAAAGGAACAAAAACTAGTAAAGAACCGCACAGTATCCAGGCCACAAACAAAATTAGGTGGCGAGGAAGGGCCCGAGGTTCACAATGAAAGACAGCATCATCTTTCACTAGGGAAACTTCACGCTCTTTCCACAGGTCAAATACTGCGCATCTTCGATCGAGAACCACGGCGCCCACTTATCCGTTCTTGCAGGTTTGGGCGTTGCATCTGGGCCAGAAGCAGTACAAGCACGCGGCGTTGCCGACTCTTCGTCCATGAGATCATCCTCGGCTTCAGAGGCACTCGCATATCCAACGGCAATGTTATCGGCAGGAACACCACCACTATTACCAACAATATCGCCCATATCGGTAATGTTGCTAGGGCCGCCACCAAGATTGAGATTGGCAGCGACAGGGAATACCTCAGGAACCGTCGGCGAGTGACTTTCGTTCTCTGGTCTCTCTTCAAACTTTGGCATGTTTGTTTCAGCCGATTCAGCGTTTGCACAAGACTCAGTCTCATTCAAATCCAGCTCGGACATGGACTTCGTCGTATCGCTAACGTCGGAACTTAGAGACCCAGTCGAGTCTGTCATATCTTGACTCCTTGTCATGTGAGATCCGGTAACTGTATTCGCCGGCGAGTGTCGCTCATCAGATGACTCCCAGCATGTCATATAATCGGTGGCAGATGCGTCGGAAAATTCGAAAGGAATATCATCGATGTGAACGAGATTTCCGTCAGGATCAAAGAGGTGGTCAGCTGGCACATGGCATGGAATGCTCCAGGTAAGTACTGCCAACCTCTGTGCGGCTGTAGGATACTCTGAGGTTTTCTTCGTCGGTGTGATGTCACCGGTTGGGGTAATCGACCCTGGGGTAGTAGCACCCGGTTCGGTGGTTTCTGATGATGCATTCCGCTGATCCGTTGAGTCTTGAAAGAGATCGAGAGATTCCAGTGACTGAGTCATCTGGTGATGTTCTTTTCTTTTCTTCTTGGAAGCAGAAGAAGGATTAGGTTCGTCGCTACTGTCGCTACTCAAAATGTCGTTGAAATCTTCGGGGCTCGCAAGGTAGTCAGAATCACTGGGGGTTTCTGAAGTCGCTCTCTTGCGCTTGAATTGTTCAGATTCAGGAGTAGCGTTGGGTGTATTGATACTGTCCGCTACCCAAGCCGCCAGGTTTGTTGCATCATAATTCGCGCTTCCTTTGGGCTCGCTGCTGGGACCGGCTTTCCCTGGGCGCCCAACCTGAGAGGTAGCCTTGCCTTTGCCAAACCGGCCACCTCGTTTCGATTTCCATTCCACCGAACGCAGTCCAGGGAAACAAATGTTCGGGTCGAAACTAATGAGCGTGATTTGCGACGAGGGAATCGAATTCTTGTAAGAAAGGGATTGCGGTGGACCAATGATGAGAACGACACTTCTCTCATCTGCAAAAGTTTCTAATATTTTGACAGCTGCACTGGGGTTGAGCAGGCGAAACATTCTATCAGGAGCCTCGTTCGGAGGCCACAGTGCTATTCCTCTGTCAATAAATCCCTCTTCCATGCCTTCAAGTCGTCTTTTTGTTATGGGATGTAAGAATGGTTTGACCAGAATGCCATATCTGTCAACCTTTGGCGGAGCGAGAACACGGGAGCCAACGCGGATGCGCATGCGTGGTACCGGACGCCATCCACTAGTTTCAGAAGCGGGCAATTCGTCATTGACGACGTCGAGATATGCTCTGCTGGCCGGGTTGTAGGTACAAAATGCAGTTTTTCCTTTGATAAAGGGGGCATCTGGCTTGACTGATTGTGGAGTGTTACTCGGACCATCACCAGGATGCACATGCCGTGGAAGACGCATCCGTAGTTTTTGAAATTTTAGCTTCTCCTTGCCAGGTGATGTGCCCATGGCAGGACCAGTCTGCACAGGATGCGCAGTGTCAGCTGGTATTAGTTCAGGACTCTGCGAAGGAAAAGCGTAGAAGCCTTCAAGATCTGAGCCGTCAATGTCTTCGGTATCTGACTTTGAATCGGTGTTTCTCCAACGTATTGGTAACATAAAATGTACTCGTTGATTGTATTGGGGGATGTTCGGACTCTCTCGACGAGTTTCAATAATCATCAACTCTCCTGTCTCCTCATTTGGACAGAGCGAAATAGTGGTCCAGTGGTTCAAAATGACGCCCTCAGCATCATTGCGCCTCCAAATCGTATAATCTTCTTCGAATGTGTCCTCGGATAACTTGCAAAGTGGAAAGCGGAACAAGTGGTAGCAAGAATGATGTGCCTCTTCTGGATCATAGTCCTCCTCTGGAAATTCGTTTGACACTCCATACAAATAGCCGTTGTAAACCTCAAAGGCGACAGATACGAGCATTTCATCCCCAAAAAAGTTGTGCAGCTGAAACGGATCAGAAGTCGGGTTTTCCGCGCCACGCAATGACCATCCACTTAGGATCCATTCTGCGGTTTCGCTGAGAACTCCTTCTCCTGTGCGAGTTCCATAGTAGAGATAGTCTGAGTCATTTCGGACAAAATATTGGTCGCAGCGGATGACAGATTCACAGAGCAGTAGCTTGCCTGGCTCCGAGCTGGCGGTATCGACGTCGATTGCCAACAATTGTACATAATGGGATTTTGGAGAGCGCTCGTGTAAGCATACCAAGACGCCGTCGCTGTAGTGGACAGGCTTCACCAACCCCTTTTTCAGTCTCCGCTGTTTAAAGGCACCCCAGCAGAGAGAGCTGATCTCAATTACCCGCTCATATGATTGTGGAACATGTATGCTTAGAATGCGGATCGAAGCCTCAGTTGAATAGGCCAACATTCCTTGCCTGTAGACAAACACGGCGCCATATCCTAGGGTTGACAGAGAAAACGGCCGTGCTGTAGCGTAGGATTCACGTCTGCCATATGTGCGAAGCAGAGCCCGTTCGTAAGTTATCATGCCACGTTGGGCGAAGTTGCATTCTTCTGCATAGGGTATTTGTTTCTATCAGATTTCTCATTAGCCTATTTGCAGCGCCCAATGATGGGCGAGCCGGCTGTAAGCCTTGCATCAACAGATATTGTACCTTTACAACCCTTCGGCAGAGTGTTTCATCAAGCAGAGATAATCGCATGCGTTTGCTCACGTGGGCGAGATGGACAAAATCCTCTAATGGGAGTGCAGATGCGATTTGGAAAAGAATATCAAATGGAAGTTGCTCTAAACTGCAAGCCATCTTTATTCCCACCGTGCACGCCATAAAGGTAGCGCTGCCAAGTGGTCCAAGAGAGTGAGTAAATGCAAAATTGTGAAGATGATTGTTGGTGGAATTGCCATAGGGCAGCTTTATTAGAAGTAAACAAATGAATCCTTGGACCATTGAGAAAGTGCGCGTAAAAACGAAAGAGGAAGGAGTATTGGCTCCTCTCCAATCAAGAAAGAACAACTTAACAGTGAATCAAGAAAATTGTTCATTCAATCACGAGATGCGAGCATCATAATAGAACATGGAAGTGAATGATTGTCCTTTCCAGAGCAGAAAGGTTGGCCAGAAAACAAGCAGATGATTTGACGACGGGAGAGACATGGTTAGAGCTTTGACTAACTGTCAAGGCTGAGAATCCCGAGCCTCCCTGGCACAATATACCATGCATTTGCACACTGCGACCCTAATGTTGTTAGTACTCTAGAGCCGGATACCTGCACAAGGCTGTCATTTCACAGCTACATTGCGAGCCCCCCAAGTGGCGATTAGTATCGACTCAATCCCGCAATTTCCTTGAACGGCGGTTCGAGACAAATATACAGCAGTGGAAGTTGGCGGAGGATATTCCATAAAGGATGAGCTCATTGGTTTCATGAACGGCATATCTGTCACTTTGCTGGCTCCCTTTTGGTCTTTGAAGCTCAGGGGGGCTGTTGCTGAGACTGGGATCTTATTACTTCAAGCAGCATTTGATTTAATGGTCAGCAACAAGTAAATTCTCCTTCGCAAAAGGCTTTGCCGCATACTAGTGGGTTTCAGACGGTATTGTCTAAGCGCGAAAAGCCGAATCCACGTATGAGGGCGCTGGACGCGAAAGGTCGGCTGCCGTCGAACTGAATCGATTGAGGCTCTGTGGGGATGGGGTGCGGCGTAGACTGTCCCATCATCAACAACGCCAATAGCCCATGTAACCTGAAGTTTTTCAGCGCAAGATTATTCATGATTTCAGCGGAAGGCGCATTCCGAGATATTTGACGGTTGCCTCAGCTCTGCTTGGAAGCACAAGTGCCCTCGTCTCCTGCCTCGGCTCGTTCCGGCAAGCTGCATGAGGCTGAAATCATCACCACCATTAATACAAAACACCCATAATAAAAGCAATACGGAAAGATATGATCTATTTGCACAGAAATCAAGGGCTACTAGTCTCGACAAAATGATCTCGCACAGGCACTTTGAATAAGCATGTTCAAATTTTGTCAGGTGAATAAATATTTATTTCACTGGTCGTAAATCGTTTCATTTTATTATCGGCCAACAAAAGAGACCGAGAGAGCTGCCCTTTTCCCACCCAGGCGAATTAAAGGATATAATAACTTAAAGAATAAAAATATTCAAAACTCAAAAAGAACGAAGGAAATCGATACCCAATGGAAGTCACGGACTTCAGACACAAGATTTCTTGTGGGTTTTTGTTGGGGAGTAAAAATGCGAAAATGGTCACCCATGGTAACCATATGGCAATAGGGACAGAAGCAAAGCAAAAGATGCATCGTCTCGAACGAATGATCTCGTGATGGATGAAGTGAAAAGGTGTAAAGAATAGTAGGGCAACGCCAGCCCGCGTGATCGTGTGCGTTTACTATGATAATTGCCGAACGGATATCGGATCATGGAGCTCGTTTCTCGTTTGGTCCTCCAATGTTATTCCCTCATCGTTCCAAATTTATCCTTGTTCGTCCTCGCCACACGAGGATTCTATATATTGCGATAGTGCCATAATTCGTTTGCAAAAGGATTACAGTGCCCTGTGGTCTACGGGGCTTGTCATGTTTCGTCTATTGAGTGCGATCGTTTCATGAGAGAGAGACGCCTTCGAGGTCGCGCATAACGACGGCCATTTGTGCGCGTTTTGCTGCCTCAGCTACCAAGTTGAAATCTCGGAGAAATGGGAGTGTCGCCGAGGGACCTGCAGTCGCTGACGGTTGCTGCTGGGTATCATATGCCGATGCATGAGGTGCTTCGGGTACGGCTGATGCTGAAGCCGGAGGTTGCTGGGACCAAGTCCGGGCAACGGCTGGGTGGTGAAATGGCGCCTGGCCTCGAGGGCCTGTTGTCTGCGGGGCCGAGGGCATAAATGGAGAGGAGCCCATCGACTGCGAAGGAGCTAACGAAGGAGCAGCAGCCATGTCGGTGGTAAAGGTCGAAGCAAACTCAGCAGTGGGTGAGGCCGGCCGGGAGAGATTTGCTGCACAACTCTGATAGTACAGCGAATTGGACGTGGTATGATACGCAGCGGCACCGAAGGATCGTGATGAGTGTGAAGTGGTCAAAGCTTGTGGATGTCTGCTGATATTGGAGGTTGTGCTCATGTCGGAGAACACGAGCAATAAAGAGGGCGAAGGCCAAGTAATGCAACGCACAGGATGAGTTCTCTCAAAGTGCGACGTCACGTTCCGTTCCCACTGTCGTAATACTGCGAGCGACACAGCCGAGGTTGACTGGGGGGGAACCTTGAAGACGTGAGGGTAATCTCCCCGCCCTTTTCCTTTGGAATACGGGGAAAAAGAAGGTTCAAGCGTCGAATTGAAAAAGGTCAAATTTGTGTCGATCGAGCGGCCTGCGGCGCACAATGATGCAAACGACTGGCCGGGAAATGCTTATGGGGTGGCTTTTCGCGACGTCGTCCGCAATTTCAGGTGGTCGGCAAGGATGTGTGTAACACTCGCAAGGTGCCAGCCGGGTTGGACATAGAATTGTAGAGAGTCTGAGCAGATACCTCTGTACCCAAAACGAGATTAAGGTTCGCAAAGGGAGTGAAGAGAAGGAGCAATGTATGAAGGCTTGTTCAGAGAGGGGGGATGATAGACGGGAAGGGGAAGTATATGAGAGGGGGGACTCCCAAGGCAGAAAAAAGGCCACTACAGATTAGTTTAACCTGCAGACACGGAGGAGAGAGAGAACAGAGAGAAGGAAGGAGAGAGATTATGATCATCCAAATGGGAAGGAGCCAACGGCGCATCTTGCGGAGACGCGGGGGAATGTCCGATGCAAGTCACTTTTCCACATGGAGTGATTTGATGTGCGTGTGCCTGTACTTTATTTAGGCTGGCATTGCTCACGGCATAATATGTATCGACTACTTGGCTCGTGTTAAATTGTACCCGCTGAAATACCCCACCGGGGCCCCCAATAAATACGCTGACTGAGCGAACGAACGAGACCCAAGAAGCAAAAACCCACCAAAGAAGACTCTAACCATTGGTGGGTACGTACCTTAACTGTGTCGAACAGGCCCTTCCTCTGTTCAACCGCTGTTCCCTGCACGCGAAAAGGATTTATCTCGGAAATAATTTGGTAATTGATGGCCTTCAATGTTGGTTAGATATCCACCCAGTACAACGCTGGAGGAAAAGGATGATTTTGTGCTCGACTCTTAATAGGATCTGCAATGTAACACCCACACGACTCGATTGTAAACGCTCCTAAGAATTGCAAGTTGGACGCCGTCAGCAGCGTCGTCCTCGTAGTTGCGGTGGTTGCCGTTAAAATCGTTATGTCCGAGAGCGGAACAATAGCGGAGTAGACGTCGTTGACGTTGGCTGGCTCATACGATTGATGAGTTTTCATTTCTCCGTAGCACAAGACAAGCAGTTTCATTTGCCTATGGCCAGATTTAGGTGGGACCCTGTGCATGATGCTTGATCTGTGCGGGTCCGCTTTAATCGATATTCGCCTTTGCCGCCGGAGCCTCGTTGGCGCCCCCAGGCCGGAATAATCGGCACTCCGCCCTCGGCTCTTTTGCGGCGAGATTTTCCCTCACCTTGCTTTTTTCTATTCTCAGACGGCTCTCTCGATGTCCCTACATTGAGTACGGCCATGTCTCATCTCATTTCACCAATTGATGCTTAGCGATTTGGGGCGATCATAGCACTGTGGGACCTCAGTAGTCACTTCTCAAAGATGATCCGTATCTGTAAAGGATCGAGTTCAAGGAGTCCAGCCCAAAATGAAACACAGCATCTTCAACGTAAATCTCGCTGAAAGCCATGTCAAGACTCTGCTTAATCCTGTCTGGGATATAATATGAAGATAATATCGCTTTTCAATTTTATTTTGAATGGTTCCAGTGCTTCATTAGTCACAAATGTTCACACAACGGTACCGAGGGTCAACATAACCATGGTTCAAATCTGTCGTACTCAGGGTCTCTACGACTACAAATTACAATTAAGGATTTTCCACCCATGCCACTAGGCGCAAAGAATGGAAATTATTAATAGAGCATGGTGCGAATCATGTTTTAAGAGGGGAAGACTATTTAATAACTAGTCAATTATTTTTAAGTAAGAGTAGGAAATTAAAAAATCTTCTCGAAGAATATGATCTGAATAAACGGGGAAAATAAAATAAAATTGTAACATCTAAAGTTTGAAAGACTTCGCTTGCTCGACGCATGGAACTCCGCCCAAGTTCCTTGTTTACATTGAGAATGGTGTGTACAGAGGAAAAAGTAGGCTGCCCCGCTCCCATGTTCATGATCAAATGCTGTCACTCGCCATGCTGAATCTCCGCTCCACCCTGATAGCACCGTCCTCGGTGTGCGCGTTATGCTGAGCTTCGACATCTCGCTCCACATGGCTAGACAGGCCAAGATGTTTGCTGCCAATGCTGGGGGAAGTCTGATGAGAAAGATGACCGCTCGAAAATGAGGACATTCCGAGTGGCGACGAATGATGATGACGTGAAGAACGCGGGGGTTGATGAGGACTCGAGCTTCTACCGTCACTGAATGGCGTTCTCGAAGACTCCGACGTGAAGCTACTCATTAATTTTTGTCTTGCAGAGGGCTCGCTGGATGCCGAGGATTGCCCGTAAGTGGAGGACGTGGCCCACATCGAAGACAGGGGAAGGAAAATCGATACAACTGTAAGAACGTTGGAACCCATTTCCGGGACGTTTGTGAAATACTGGAGGATGGAAAAGATGGCTACCGATTCGTCAGTGACTTGTAATTGAGCGATATAAATGTAGAGACAACACAAAGTACTGACCAGGAATAATCAGCGTCTGGCACCCCATGATAAAAATGACCTGCATGGGTCCAAACTGGCACAGTCCGAGCTTCCGTCGCTGATGCAACGCCACGCCCAATTTTGTCACGAAGACGCCGCTAAAATAGCAGATGCTGATAGACAAGGTGATATTGCACGTGCTGGCTAGCCATTTGAAGGGAGTGAAGCTCTCTAATTTGACGATATACTCTGCGTTTTTGATCATCAGAGCGAAGCGGAAACTAATGGCCAGAGAAGCAATAATTATGGACGATGCCGCAATGCAATTTCGATGCGTACGCTTCAATGTCACGCAAACCACGCGTGTCTGCAGAATGAGAGATATCTCTGCGCACGTAAGGAGGAGGAACGTGAGGACGATACCAGCAACGGAAACTGCGTACTGATGCCGAGGTACTCGTGAATAGTCTCCCGCGAAAAAGGCATATGCTTTGTAAAAAGGACCGGTGAAATAGAGAGTCTGCAAGAGAGAACGAATGGTATTGAGAGCCAAAGAGATGACATTCAGGTGGAAAATAGGAGACCTCCACTTTTCTCCTTTGGTGAGCAAGAGCAGGATAAGAAGAAGCACCGCCGAGGCGGCCATTTGTACGCTGTAATTGATGCATATATCCACTCCATAACTGTAGTAGGCATCCAGTTCCTGAATGGATACATCAAAGGGCGTCTTGTCCGGCAAGAGCAGGGTGAAAGATTGATTGAACGCATCGAAAGGTGCTGACGCAGACATGACTGCTTCTCGCTGTTCCTTCAAATGACTGACAAGAAATGCGAGGACAGATAGTATCTGATGAGTTTCTTGGACAGATACTATCTGATGATTTGCTTGGACAACACCGGGAGAAGTTCTGGAGAGAACAGGATGCGTAACAAAGCTGGAAAAAATAGATAAGCGCTATTTAAAAAAAAAAGTCGAAATCTCTCGCAGATTAAAGAGAGGGAGATATTTTGGAAATGAGGATCTTAAAAAGAACTGTGTCCCTTGAAAAGGCAGACAAGCCATATATTGTAGTCCCCAAGACTGTTAGAATATTGTAGTGAGCTATCAACATAGCGAACTTCAGATTGGGTCGTTATGCATTGTCAACAATATTGTTGACGGGATGGAAAAATAAAATATTGTACTGATTTCCGCTTCGTGAGACAATATCAAACATATCAACCACTCATTAACTTTAGAATTTTGAAGCTGAAAATAGACATCAAATAAAATTGCCCAGCTCGCGGAAATGCCGGAGAGTGAGGTTGACAAGATGTATCTCGCGGAGGAGAGAACAATGAAAAGACAATCCAGCTGCTCTTAGGCGATTGAACAGCGAAATAAGAAGCATGCCGCTGGAAAAGTATGGACAATACTTGATCCTCACATAGTCCAACCGTTTTCATGTAGCAGCCTTGAGAGAGGTCCAAATTCTTCTGAATGGACCCAATTGTATCATGAACAATATCAAGGTACGGATTGGGGTGCACGAAAGTTGATATTGTTCTCCCAAAGGGGATTAGTCAAACACGGGTAGGTACGGCGATCCCGCTGCGGAAACACCACACAAGCAGCACCGCGACTCTACAATATCTGGACGGTTCGTACACTTTATGGTTTCGAAGTGAATAAAAAACCCAGTCATAACCTCGCAGCCAAGCCAAGTAGAAGTGCCAGATATGAGTGAATATTCACTTCGTAGTTCCGATGAGGTCTCTCGCCTCACTTCAAACCCAGTTCTATCACACCAATCTTTGTTACTCAGAAGCCGGCCAACCTATTCCGAGTCTCCTGAGTTCTCAAGATGAATACTCAGAAGATTGTTATTCGGGAGCTTGGTCAAGAAGGTCAGAGTTTGTGGGGTCGGGTATTTCAGACTGAGGATGGTGCTGAGCCCGTCTCTTACTCTATTTACGACAATAAAGCCTCGCCTGGAGGATGGGTTCGTGTCTTTCGCTACCCTGAACCGGGCCAACAGAGCTCTGAAGATGACTTGATGGCTTGTATTTGGCAGAATAATTCATACCTGAGTCAGAGGGACTCCTTTTCCTCATGTATCGTGCTAATTCTATTCCAGACATGGTCTCCGAGAAAATGATGATTAGTGTCGTCCTAAAAACATTGCAGCACGGGGTCTCAGTCGTGCCAACCATTGATGGACAAATGCCGCTTCTTGGTCTGCGCATCCAATCCTCTATGCCTACTGGGGGAGTTACTATCCAGTTGAGGCACATGGACATGATCGTATTCGGCACTAAAAAGCTCTTAATTCTTTTAAATCCAGAGACTAACGGAGGAACCGGCGCGACTAATCCTGCTCTGCCCGCCGTCATTACTTCTGGAGTTATTGCCAGTGAGGCTGAGGCTCCTGAAAACGAGTCTCTCATTGAGGCAGGGGATGGTGACGGACGTCATTCTGAGGGATACGATAATCAGGACGCTCAAGGGGGGCCCTCAGAGCGGTTTATATCACGCAATAAACTCTCCAAATAACTGGTGCGGCCGCTGCGTCTACCAGTTTCAGAAAGCCCCGAGCAGTGGGTTCGTTTGCGAGACGCGTGCAGGATGTGTGTGTTGCATTCGCTGTCAACGTGGAAGACATCATTGCGTTCGCGTCAGTACTCGTAGACCTTGAAGGTGGTGATCATGCAATAGGATGCTAATATTGCTGCTAGGTTCCTAAGAAATTCTCAAAAAAGCTTCAAGGCCTACTAGATTTAGCCAAAGATCTGCGCGCAGGTAAAATTGAAGCAAATTTAGTCATAGAGGCTTCAAAGTCACTTTGCCTCGCGTTACGCCATGATAGTATGGTGAAGAACGGGACTGCATCCCAAAACTCAGGCAAAAGACGTCAAAACAAGGAATCTCCGGATGGCGCCCTTTCTCAAATGGCACTTTTGACAGAAGCCGTAAGAGAGGTGGCCAAACAGTTGGCTTTGAACGGTGGCCGGGTAGGTTCCTCTTCAAATTTCCAGCTTCGGTCACACTAATAGCCTTTTAGTCACCTCCTGTCTGGTCCGATGATCTTTTATTTGGTTTGGAGGGAGGTGATGAGTAGATGGATTGAGAAGCAGAGCTGCAGGAATGCAAGGAAAGGATGGGACCGAACCTCGCTCTTCCATTATCGCTCCAGCGAACACGATCATATTCATATATGATTGACGCGTTCAATCAATAACGAGGCTAAAAACTTCAATATTCCAGACTGACGTGTGGAAACGTGCGTAGTAAATGCCTTCCTTTCGACTGGATTCTCTAAAGCACGATGTATAGATAAGATAAAAAGATCCCGAGATCTAATGCCTACCGAGCCGTCGTGGAGTCAACTTACCCGTTAGCTTTTGTACTAAGGGCCCAATCCGTATTTCCACCAGACAAACACACAACATGCCCGAGTCATGACCAGGCAGCAGGGCCAAAAGAATATCCGTATCGATGCCAAGGCATTATTATTAATATGACTACTTCAAGATGTGGATTCTCCGCTCATCTGTCTGTTAACGTCGAATTTGGGAAGTGGTCTGACTCGGCTTCCCACTTCCCGTCCGGAGCCAAGCCATGATTTCGTCTCTTCTTTGTTCCAAGGTGTCAAACCCTTGGGACTCTCACCCATTATACCACAGTGACCCTACCCTTCAATGGGGTGGAATTATCTAGTATTCTGAACGAATACAAAAAAGGGAGACATGGCTTGGCTATTTGCACACCTTATTGATATTCTACGTCACGGGGTATAGGGCATGTACCACCGCCTGCGAGAGCGTGTATTGACTGTTGACAAAACTTCTTTCATTTCTCAGTCTCTTGTGTTTCCTCTCTCCACCCTACATACGCCATGCTGTCCCTTGTTGAAGCCAGTGTCTATGCAGCTGTAGGCGTGCTGGTGTTGGTTGGTCTGAATCTTACCCGTCAGGTTTTCTTTCAGAACAAGTCCGAACCGCCACTTGTTTTTCACTGGATCCCATTCTTGGGCAATACAATTAGTTATGGATTGGATCCCTACGCTTTTTTTTCTTCTTGCAGACAAAAAGTCAGTCGATTGTCGTTGGCAGCTATTTCCGTCATATATCAGAGCCATTGCTGACACCGTTTGGTAAAAGTACGGTGACATCTTTACATTCGTGCTTCTCGGCCGGAAAACCACAGTCTATCTAGGCATCAAGGGAAATGAATTCATTCTTAATGGCAGACTACAAGATGTGAACGCTGAAGAGGTCTACAGCCCTCTCACGACGCCCGTCTTCGGCTCGGACGTTGTTTACGATTGCCCCAATTCCAAGTTGATGGAGCAGAAGAAGTTTATCCAATTCGGCCTCACTCAGCGTGCACTCGAATCACATGTGCAGCTGATCGAGAAAGAAGTCCTTGACTACATCAAATCATCGCCCAACCTCAAAGGTCCCTCGGGCGTTGTCGATATCTCTGCAGCAATGGCAGAAATCACCATCTTCACTGCCGGCCGTGCCCTACAGGGCGAGGAGGTGCGCAAGAAGCTGACTGCCGAATTCGCCGATTTATATCATGACTTGGATAAAGGCTTCACTCCAATCAATTTCATGCTTCCGTCGGCTCCACTGCCGCAGAACCGAAAGCGAGATGCTGCACATGGACGCATGAGAGCCATCTACATGGATATCATCAATGAACGTCGCAAAAATCCTAGCCGGGAGAGTTCCGACATGATTTGGAACCTCATGCGGTGCACTTATAAAGACGGACGACCGGTTCCAGACAAGGAGATTGCTCACATGATGATTACCCTCTTAATGGCCGGGCAGCACTCCTCCTCGTCCATTGGCTCGTGGATTATGCTGCGGCTGGCGTCACAGCCAGAGATTATCGAAGAGCTATATCAGGAGCAGGTCAGCAACCTCGCCAATGACAGTGGCAGCCTTCCATCTCTGCAGTATCAGCACCTAGAGCGGCTCCCGCTCCACCAAAATGTGATCAAAGAAACTCTGCGTTTGCACTCGTCCATCCACTCGATCATGCGCAAGGTCAAAAATCCCCTCCCGGTTCCAGACACGCCGTATGTCGTCCCGACAAACAATGTTCTCCTAGCCTCACCTGTCGTGACTGCCCTCAGCGACGAGTATTTCCCTAACGCTGCTCGTTGGGATCCGCATCGCTGGGAAAATCACGAGGACGAAGGAGGATACGGGGACATGATTGATTATGGCTATGGAACAGTTTCGAAGGGAACTGCCAGTCCCTATCTCCCTTTCGGCGCAGGTCGTCATCGCTGCATTGGAGAGAAATTTGCCTATGTCAACTTGACAGTGATTGTGGCAACCCTGGTGCGGCACATGAAATTTTTCAATCTTGATGGAAGGAAAGACGTCCCTGACACTGACTATTCATCTCTCTTCTCCGGACCCAAGAAGCCCGCGACCATTGGTTGGGAAAGAAGGATACCCCAAGATTCATAACACATTGTATGTTCAATTCTTCACGCGCTGGCCTCCAAGACGTCTTCTAGCAGAAAAGAATGAGGTATTGGAGGGTTAATTTGTGCTGTAAGAAGGAGGATCAATTTCTGATATCAGACATCTATACCAAAGTAGGATGGGAGACCTATAGCTTCCATCAGGGCTTCATAGACTGGAAGTTCCCTCCCTATCGTTGAATGGGTTACCAAAAAGAAAGAAAGAAAAAATAGCAGAAAACGTAACAGGCAATCGTTGGACTACGAGTAGATTCAGATCAACTCCACATACTTGATTTACCGCCTCGTCCATTGCCCCAATGTGACTCATCACATAGTGCTCAAAAAGAAATGATAAATGTTGCTTCGAATTGCGAGCTGAGCCAGGGATTCATGTTGACCTCTTTGCGCAGATTGTAAGTCGGATAACTGGCAGCATCATGTTGGGTCAATGCATTGAGCCAAAAAAAAAAAAAAAAAAAAAAAATTGAGAGAAGACATGGGCCGGTTTGCAACGCAGGTGAAAACTTTGCCAGGAAGACCATTTGCAATCAACCTAGCCCAAGAACCTCATGTCCATGTGACAGAGAATCGGAAGAGATTGTGATGGACAATGATTGTATGCGTGTGTGAAATCTGGCCCCTCCCCCACCACACGCCTCACAGCATGCCGTGCTCCCTTCATGGAATGCTTCACCGCATTACATATGCGGGTAGTGCTTGTTTCGAGACACGAAAAGAGCGGGGAGCAGGCGGTGTGATCAAAACTGTACATTAGTACGTCAAATACCAGGTTGGTAGCCATATAATAGTGAGAGTGGGGGCGGGAAAAGGTGTTGAGCGAAAAAGCAAATACTGGAGGCAGGCCCCTCATATCCGTTGTTTGGCTTGATTGTCCGGACCCTAGTCGTCGGCACTCCGATGCTGGACTCAAGACGCGATCAAACACAAACAAACAAAGGCGTTCAAAGTTGTGGGTCATGAGAGAGGGGGTGTGAAGCATAAGCACGGGTACATAGATCGACTGAAACGCATGGCAAGGTTCTGCAGGAGGTTCTTATTCCGTGGCAAGGGTCCGCATGGTCTATCAAACTGATATGTAGTTGTCATGAAGAGTAGAATGAAAGGCTGCAGGTAAGTGTGGGAATGGAAATGCATTGTCTTAGAATGAGCCAAAAGGAAGCCGAGGAATGAAAGACAAAAGACGAGTGAGTGAGGCTTCTATGGCAAATGGTGACGTAGAACATTGCTGGATTGAAATTCATGGAGGGACAGAGGCTGAAGTTTTCCTCTTTGATAGAAAAGCGCTCTTCTTCTGAGGCATGAAAAATGTTTGAAGAAAGTAGGGCCGCTTTGGAATTGTGTAACCTGCGAGCCAGCAAGCTTGGCAACAGACATGCTTGACGCCCAAGGGACTCAGGAAAGTCTTCCGATAACGCACGGTCATCTCCAAGGATCAAGGATTGTTTCCAGACGACAATGTCTTTGAGTCCGTGAGTCGGATGGACTCAAACCAACAGGATGGAAATTTTCGTCCCAAGGATGTATTATCAGATGACCATAGAGGCCTCCGGTGAGCCCCATGCCAGGACGATGGGACCAAAGAAGTTTTCTCCTGAGCATCGATCGTGGCCATGGACCTTGAGACGACCCTGGGACGCACGAAGACTGATCGGTCGACGGAATTGGCCGAGAGCCTCGAGCGAGGCGGTCTTGTTTCATGTTCTCGGCACTCAGGAAAAGAGGGCCACCGAAAGGAGAAGGGAGATTACGTAGCATGCAGTTCTGTGGGTCAGTACGGACTGTTAGTAGTGGTCTGGATCTGTCTTTCGGTCCGCAAGTCTTGCATTTCCTCCATTCAGGCCCGTAGGACATTGCAAACCTGACGGCTTGGGAGTCACCCGAGAGAGGGGAAAGAAGGGCGCGAGCCCTCGATTCCTACGATCGAGTTCTTATCGTGGGAGGCGGACTGCTCACGGAATTGTGTATTCAGGGTAACACGGGCACGCCTCCTTGAACAGGGAGACGTTGCAGAGGAACGCTGCCTCTAGTTACCGAGAAGGAGGAGGAACAAACAAAAAGAGTGAGGGGTCGGAAGAAAAGCAATCGCGATAAGCCAGGATAAGCAGAGGTGGCAAAAAGCCTCAGGCAAATATGTACACACAACTCGGCTTGGAGACGTGAGACATGTATTCGATTTGGGATATGCGCCGACAAAAAACCACGTGCGCCTCCGACAGATCCCATCGTTGATACATTGTCGATCCCCGCAGGAAGCAGAGCGTACTGCAGTCTCAACTAACGGTGCTTTCCTCGTCACTGCTGCTAGGAACACTTGAGCCGACGTCAGGGCATCTCGTAGGCTGATGAGGGCGTTTTAGTGATCTGTAAAAAGGATCAAAAGGAAATCTTTTTGATCCATCAAAGGCCCTATCAGCCTGGTCCCTTACGTGTAAATGTACTGGACACCTAATGGATCCGAATATAATGTACACCCAGCAGGCGCGGCACCAGTGAACGAAATTTCTGGCATCTAGCCGACAGTGAAAGAAGGTTTGTCGATGATCGAACGCCACTCGCGACCACATCAATCGTCACCAGTAAAGAAAAAGCGGACCAGGAGGGGCAGCTTATGGAATAGCTCTCTGAGGAGGTCATTCTCAAAGGATAAATCGGGTAGTCCTGATCGACTGCGGCGCCCCATGTCCACTATCAGCTGCACGGTTTTCCACGATGGACCAGTTGAATTGTGGTGGCGTCGCTTGGGCCGCCAGCTCCCGTAACCCTGCTCTCAGAGCCCACAACATCGTCTATTGCCAGTCAATTTACCCTCTCAGAGCCGCCGGTAATTACTGGAATAAATTGTTGTTATTACCGCTGCGGCCAAGGCGCGCGGCTCAGCTTCTGACTTAGACTGACTGCCGGAAATGAAAGATGCATGACTTGAAATTGCATGTTGAACGCTCCACGAGTCGGATGCCTCGCCGCTTCAAGGATATTCTCGGCAAGACGAGAGAAAGAATGGGAAGACCAGTCTCAGCAACAGAGCTTTGAGTCTCAGTCAAAGGCATCCACACTGGCCCGAAATAGGTGGATCAGGCATCGTGGGTCTCATAAGGAGCAAGAGCAGAACAAAAGGGAGAAAGACAGGGCGGAGAACAACAGTGTAGCTTTTTTGCATGGGTTTAATCCTCTGAACGCGTGGGTAGTGGAGCTTCAGAATCAAAGCGAAGCTGCTTGACCTTTTTTGATGGACTCCGAACACCAAAGGATCGGACGGAGGGGGTCTGGTCAGTGCGACCTTCTGATGGAGGCATACTTGGGAGACTACCGTACAAAAGTACGTACACAGTATTAGGTTCAACGTGAAATGGGATTCCTTCCAAACGTCGCTCCGACCGCATCGGGTGTCGGTGCCGTTACTCGGTGCAATTAGATCATCAGCTAAGGCAAGAATGGCCGTACGTGGAAGGAGTGGCGTCCACGATAGCCGTCGCCTTGGTTTGATCAGCGTGTCGGCAGCTCCATTTCTTGGATTCAATAATCGAAGATGCAGCTTTTTTGTCCCCAGAGACGTTAACAATCATGAGGACGAAATGATAATAATAGCGGACGTTTGTAATTTCCGTTTTTGAAGCTTTCTGTTTCCTGGCCTTTTTGCCTGTCTGCTATGACAGATTGGCAGGTAGGTACTATTAGCGATGGGGAGGGGAAATCGACCCAACCAGACATCGAGAAAGACGCCTCCCCCCCTGGGCGATGCGCCGATGGCGTTGGTTGCGAGTAAGAGAGACCACTTCGATTGGTGTCGAGCCTGTTTACCAGGGGGGTGGAGCCGATGAGAGATTGCAGGGGACATGCATCGCAGTCCACGCGAAGCCAAGACCGAAGGAGACGGTGAGCATCAATCACAAAGTTGAAGCATCGCAGACAAAGTGCAAGGACTACGGAGTAAATTTGAGCAATTAACCGTTTGAAACTACCTGAGAGAGTATGATGCTAGGCCGATGTGTCGAGGAGAATGTGAATTTTGGACAATGGGATCTCTATAACGCCGGAGGAATGGATCCCTATTACGGAGTACTACCTTAGGTACCTGGCTAATTCAATAATGATTCCAATAAATTGTTTTCAAGTCAATAAGATGATCGGTACAGGGAAAGAAGGGAGGGGTTCAGAAGGGGCCGAGACGTGGGACGTGTACTGGATACTTGACCGACTGCTGCAAAGAGTATGGTGACTGTGGGTCGTGGGCACCACACGGGTACATCAGACACGGGAAGCCTTGGACCGATCAACGGCACCACCGACGGGCGTACCTGCAGAATCGCAAGGTTGACTCGGGCCATCAACGGAGAGACACACATGTTTCGCTACAACGGACCCATGAGACAAGAAGATTGTCGGCCATTTTTACATGTTTCAATCCTCAATGACGGAAAGGAAAGGTGATAGTGATGATAATCATCTCCATCAACATCACCAGTTGAGGAAAAACCTACCTAGGATCAAGTCAGTGGATTCGCGAATTAAGTCACCGGTCCATCCATTGTTTCGGGAAGGTACCGAAGGTATTTCGGCGACGTGTTTGCCATCGCTCCTTCTGTTTCTGTCAGGAACAGGAAGGTTTTACAATGGGGGGTCCTTAAGCGAACCAAACAAACTCAATGTGAACGACATCAACACAATGACCTCCGTTGACCAGTGGAAACTCACAGATTTTCTACTTTGCCAAATCAACACTCACAGCTCAACGTGACGCATCAAGCATGATCAATTGATGTCATTATTTTTAATCTACCGCTCTTTGTTCATTTTCGTCTTTGACGCCTCATCGAATAATTTTTTTGCGATGAATAGACGTTGTGCAACCGCTTGCAGGGATGGACCCACGTCGACCCTCACCTCCACGCTCGGCCGCCTCACGCTTAATTCCCATAGGGTCGGATCATCCAACATGGGCCGCCTTTTGCACATCTGAAACGACTGGGAGCCGCCTTATTTCTCTTCTCTCCCGATGATGGTCCCGCTTTAGCTTCACGCCCCCTTAGGTTTCCCTTTCATTCCCTTTCTCCCGCTCTGTTTCTTCTCTTTTTTTGCTTTTGCATCCCAGTCTTTTAGTCACAGACCCTGGTTTCGTCCCCACACACACCTGATCCACGGTTTTTGCCTTCTAGCTCCTCCTCGCCTGGTCGGTGCACGCCTGCGTTCGGTGGCTTTCTGTTTCTGCCTCCATTTCCGAGAGACGGCCCATGTCTCCAATATTTCTCCCATCCCTTCTGATACCCATGTGCAGCTGTCGCGCATCTTATGTCGCTTGCATTTGGCGTGCAGGGATCTCCCGATATGATGGCGTACGCTTGAATGAATAATTGTGGACGGGTAAGGAGTAAGTGCTCATTTAGCTTGATCCGCATCGTTGCTCATAGCTTCGCTCGAAACTACTTGAATGCCTTCCTCCCCATCATTATCCGCTCTCTTCCCTTTGCCTCTTTTCTCTTCAACCCGTTTCTGTTCTTTCTCTTGCAAGCGCACTCTCGTTCTTCATTTACTTTCTGCGTCGACGAGTCCGAGACTCGACCACGCACCCCACAATCCTTTGCAAAATTTATTCGTGCTTTTGTTGATTCAACTTCACCCCCGGTGACCGATCTTGACCGACCTGCCACCGTCTTTTACTTTCGACCATTTTAAAAGTTTTCCAAGCTCTGACCAGGCCTTGTCTTCACTTGTGTCTTCTTGCTTTTACAAGCCCACCAACAACACTCGCTCACGATGCATTCCAACATGTTCAGTGCCCTGACCCTTGGTCTAGCAGCCTCGTTGGCAAGTCCAGCCATGGCCTTTTGGCGTATGCCTTGCCCTGGCAACCTTATCCACGAGCGTGCAGACCCCATTGTCTCGCCAGGCCAAATTTCTGGCCACGTCCACACCATTATGGGTGGCAACGGATTCGGTTTCGACATGACCTACCAGCAGGCGCGGAACTCGCAATGCTCCTCTTGCCCCATCACCAAGGACATGTCCAACTACTGGGTGCCCACTTTGTACTACCATGCCCAAAATGGTAGCTTCATCAGTGTTCCTCAGGTTGGCGGTGCCACTGTCTACTATGAGTAAGTGAAGCTTTGGCGAAGGACATGGGCCAAAGAAGACTGATCATATCCTGCAGACAGCGTGGTGGACCGAACAACGACCAATTGTTGGCCTTCCCTGAGGGCTTCCGCATGCTTGCCGGCAATCCTTTCCTGCACACTTACAACGACACTTTTGAGCAACAGGCGGTCAGCTATGCGTGCTTGAACTATAACGGTCCCGCAACCGCTGAGACTCACGCATTTCCCAACAACAACTGCCCGGACGGTCTCCGTGCTCAGGTTTACTTCCCCTCGTGCTGGGATGGTGTGAACCTTGACTCGCCTGATCACAAGTCGCATGTCGCGTACCCCGAGAGTGTTGCGTACAACGATGGCCCTTGCCCGGCCTCGCACCCTAAGCACCTCATCTCTCTGTTCTACGAAGTCATCTGGGATGTGAACCAATTTGCCAACGACTGGTACGGCGATGAGCAGCCTTTTGTCTGGTCTAGCGGTGATGCCACTGGCTATGGCTACCACGGTGACTTTGTATGTTCTGTCATCACCCACGAATTTTTGGTGCATTGGCACAGGCTAACCCATGCTAGGTTAATGGATGGGACGTTCCCACCCTCCAGAATGCAGTGGACACTTGCCTTGCCGACTCAGGTGCTTTGACCGACTGCCCTGTTTTCGAGCTCTACGATGACTCCTTCTGCCAGAGCTGCAAGATCCCTCCCTCCGTTGACGAACAGGTTGATGGTGTGCTCGAGTTCCTTCCTGGATGCAACGCTTATAACGATGGCAAGACCGTGGGCTCAACACAGGGATGCGTCAACAATGCTAAGATTGGTCAGCCCGAGACTTTCTACACTGACCTCACCCACTCCATGGGCTGGGAGTACGCTGGATGTGCTAGCGATAACTACTTCACGCGCACCTTGAACGGCTACTCATTCTCCGACGATGCGATGACCGTTGAGAAGTGTGTCCAGGGCTGTTCTGCCAAGGGCTACACCTATGCCGGCACAGAGTATGCTAGCCAATGCTACTGCGACAACAGCGTTCTTTCAGGCCGAGCTCCTATTCCCGGCGTCATGGGACAATGCACCGTAAGAGCCCCCTTTCTTTTCTTTTCTCGCGTTGCTTTTTGAAGTGGCTAACATTCGCGATAGATGAAGTGCAATGGTGACGATGGCGAGTACTGCGGTGGAAGCGGTGCTCTCTCTCTCTACCAGAAATGTGGCGGCTCCTGCCAGAATGCACAATATGGTGTGGTCGGTAACTCAACCTCGACTACTTCTGCCACCTCCTCCGGCACCTCCTCCGTTCCATTGTCCACTGGCACCACCGGAGCAACCTCCCGTCGCGCTGTCCACCGCCGTGCCCGTCACGGTAACCGCTGGGACATGTAAAAGCGTCCTTGAGCGGACGAATGTGGTGCATAATTGACGGAAAGTTTACCGGACTGAAGGTGTCGTCATGCATAAAACTCTATTCATGAGTTTTCTTCTGCCTCGCAAGACCTGGTGTCTTGGCTTGGAATCACCTGGTTGACACAGATTCGTCGCTCTTTAGCACTACCAACAAAAACACCATTTCGGGTTCCTCTTCATCTACATTCCTTTGGTTTTTCTCCACTTCTCTCTCACACATACACTCGTTTTTTTGTACTTATGACATGACTTGCTGGGATCGAGTCAGAATTATTTTACTTAGTGGCATTTGCCACGGCCCTTTCGTTTGTCTGCCAACACCTTCCCACTGGATGGCATCGCCTTGTCCAGCTTGGAATCTACTACGCTAGGAAGGTAGACAGAAATGCGTCAGGTCACGTCATACCCACACTCGTTTGATACGATGGACTATGCACGGGGCAAGCTTGCTGCCTCTTTTCCCTTTCTTTTCTTTCTTGTGGGAGAGATGTCGGTTTTCGATTCTTAGAATAGGGGGTAGCAAATGGAAAGAAGAACGCAAAGCTAAAAATATTCAGAGATTCTCAGTTCGGCCTGGTGGTTGATGGGATGCAAGTTGATTTATGACGAAGATGGCAAGGTTGTTAATGATGATGACGACTATGACGATGTGATGAGGATCTGAGTTGAGTTGTCTTGTTCTTGCATAGATGAGATGTTCTGACCGCAGTAGGCGGCAGTCTTGAACGCAGCACAGCGATGGGCAAGCAGTGGTAGTATCGCGGAGGAGATTTAGCTGATAGGTGATAGAATGAAATGTGTATCTATACTAGATTCTTCTTCGTGCTTCTGCTTGCTTTTTGCCCGCATGCACTGTTTCTAAATACTTGGTTCATGACTGTGGCGGGAGATAGATGAACGTCGGTTCATGAACAATAAAGATAATATTGGAGCGAGAAAACGCAAGTTTTCATGCTATTTTAATCTGGCGCTCCGTCTTTTTTTCTCATTTCTGTAATTTTGTACAGCACTTTTATCGCCCTGCTCAAGGAGAATCCAAAAGGCTGTTCTATAAGCTGTTCCGGATAAACCAAATCTGTCCATGTATGTCGATATGATTGACAGACATCATATGTCGGGAAAAAGGGACACCTCTAATTTATTCTGACCACGAAATTCTACAGTTTGCGCTAATTAGTAAACGAGAATTACGCACTTTAAAGCGGATGATCAACGTACCCAAGCATGATACCAGCTCCAGCGGCCATGGCAATAAATTGTAACAAAGTCTTGCGGAACTCGGCCCCTCGGTTCGGGCCAGTCTCCAACAATTCCGGAATCACAGAGACGGTGCCGACATAAAGGAAAGTGCCTGCAGTGAAGGGCAAAAGCATGTCGCCCCATTGGAGACTTGTGCCAAAGATTCCTGCGCTTGAAGAAGTAGAAGACACAGCATCAGAAAAGACGTTTTTCGAGCCGGTATCCTTGCCGAGCTCCTGGATAGCAATGCCGATGAATGTTCCTAAGAACGCGCCGGCTGCAGTGATAAACTGTGCGCCCATGGCAGCACGCTTGGAAAAGCCGGACTGGACCAAGAGGGCAAAGTCGCCTACCTCGTGGGGGATCTCGTGGAAGAAGACAGCAACAGTGGTAGTCGCACCGATTGTTGGAGAGGCGTAGAATGAAGAAGAAAGGGCCAAGCCGTCGGTGATGTTGTGGGTGAAGTCGGCAATGAGGTTAAGCAGACCACCCAGCTTCATGGAGGTGTTAGTGTCTTTCTCCTTTTCAGGAGCGGACACTTGGCTGTCTTTTTCAGCAACGGGAGCTTTGCGCTGCCGAGCATCACTGTTTTCCGCGCCTGTCGAGGCTCCGGACGAGATCGCCTTGGAATCGTCTCCGGACTTTTGGTGCGTATGGCCATGCACGTGTCCGTGATCATGCCCACCTTCGCCACCAGTAGCAATGCGTAAACCTTTGTCCATGGCTACAAACGTGACGAATCCAACGAGGATACCGAGTCCGAGTAGGAGGTTCTTGTTGGGCTCGACCATGACAAAGCGGACGTGCTCGGGACTGTCTTCACCAATGAAAATTTCGGGAAGGAGGTGGAAAAGCGTATCACCTAAAAGGCCGCCGACGGCAAATGCGACCATGATAGAGAGCGAAGAGGGGTCGATGTTCGGGGGGCATAGCGCGAGGAGAAAGTCTACGTAAAGGTCAGTCTTGAACGAATTAAGAAATGATGCACGTGGAAGTAAAATTGGAGCTTACTAGGTGGTCCGGAGATGTAGAGAGTCGCAAGCAGAGCATTGACAGCGGGGCTGCCAGGGAATAGAAAGGCGAATATCCGGGAAGTAAGACTTGATGTTTGAGGGTTGCTCGCCGCCTTATGCTCGTTGAGAGATTGAACCAGAGGGCAGTCCTGGAGAAAGTCAGTATTTCCTCGTTATGAAAACTAGCTCTGGGATACGAAGAGATTTACCTGCAACTTATCCTCTATCTCTGGCACACTGAGCTCAGATACAGAGCTCCCGAGCTTCTCCGCAGTAGCCTGCACTGCGAAGAAGCAAAGAATTGCAGCCAACGGGACCAGCCACGACCGCATCCTCAGCATTCTAGTGCTGTTGGTATGAAAGAGTCTAGAAGACATTGTCGTCAAGATTGATGCACAATGAACAATCTCTGAGTCCGACAACGAAAGGATAACAAAGGCCAGTGCTAGCTGGTAGTGTGACCGTCAATAGAGTCGAGGTTCGATTAGGGGGAAAGATGATCTGATTATATTAGATAATACGCCAATCTGATAAGCGGGAAACAAACAAATGCAAACACAAATTTGGGACTCGGAAAAAGTATCTCGGTGTGCACCTCACTGAAAATTGCCGGTTGTGAACGCCGCAAAAACTAAAACACTTGCAGTACTGTGCTTCATTGCGCATACTAGATAACCATGGGAAGAGAACTTCAAAAGAAGAAGAATCGCTCGTCGATCAGCAAAGTTCGACAGAAGCCAAAGTCCAAGAAGCTGAACATCAAGTCGAACCCGATCATCGCCGCCAACTGGTAAGAAAGCTTCTTTTATCGCACCACATGTTTTTGAGGTCAAAGCTAAGGCTTGTGCAACAGGAGACAAGATGAGACGCTATCGCAAAACTATAGACGTCTTGGTCTGACTGCAAAATTGAACCGCTCGACGGGTGGAACAGAGAAGGATCCCGTCACAGGAAAGCAAGCAAACGATTTCGCCATTCGAAACGCACGCTCTGATACGTTACAGCCAAAGGAGGCACAGGTTGAGCGTGATCCTGAGACTGGCGCAATTCTGCGCGTGATTCCTCCGGCTGATGAAAAGCCAAACCCTTTGAAGGATCCATTGAACGAACTTGAAGATGAAGATGAGCAGTTGGGAATCCAGGAAGGCCCCAACCGTAACCAGCGGTCCTCCAATTCGGTCATTGCAGCGTTGGAGGAGCAGGCCGCGCATGGAATCAAGAAAGAGCCTCGCAAGCAGAGTTCGCGGGAAGAGGAGTGGATAGAGAAGCTGGTGCAAAAGTACGGCGACGACTGTGAGAAGATGTTCTGGGATCGCAAATTGAACCCTATGCAGCAGTCTGTGGGTGACCTCAAAAAGAGAGTCAAGAAGTGGAAGCAGACGCATGGAAAGGAGTAGTTTTTCTCTACTCGATCTATGATTTGCTCTTGGGTTCTACATGGCATAAACTTGGCGTCCTTTGGAGTTTCCGGTCTGGAATTGGTGAAAAAGAGGGTTCTTCTTTAGATCTGGTTTGAGATGGGCTTGTGCAGATATACTTTCGACCCAAAATACAAGCAACCCATCGTTCAATTATGAACATATATACAGTTAATCGCTGTTTGCCTATTATCTATTTGGTAGATTGATATATCGGGGATTATATATACATGAGTGATAGCGCTCCGTAGAGATAATACAAAAAGTTGATGGCAGATTGAGCCCTGCACTTGAACAATAAAAGTTTCATATCACTGCCAAAAAGTAATTCGTCAAATCTACTATTTCCCATAGTTCGTGCAAATGTTGAAAGGCTGAGATTCACGATCCTCCCACATTCTTTGCCCACGGCGAACGGCACATCCCGCATGTCTTCTTCTCAACCCCACTATCACTTCACAAAACAATCGACGCTCAACTACCGTACTACTTCGTCTCTGAGTGCTCTCTCACAAAGTCATTGATCAAAATGGCGGCCGCGACGGATAATCCTCCTGCCGATATCACGGAAAATCTGCCTGATCTCCCGCCATCCACACTTCTCCCGCCGCTCTTCAACAACACCAACCCTCCTCCGGAACTCTTGACTCAAGGTGCTGAAGCGCTTCTTTATCGCACAACCTACCTAGTGCCCTCTATTCCATGCGCGCTCAAGCACAGGCCATCAAAACCATACCGCCATCCAATTCTTGATGCGCGACTCACCAAGCAGCGTATCCTTGCTGAAGCCCGAGTTCTTGCGAAATGCCGCCGAGAAGGTGTCAACGTACCAGCCGTTTACGCACTTGACTGGGAAAAGGGCTGGCTTCTGATGGAATGGATTGAGGGCGGCACTGTTCGGAGTATCCTAGACCGCTGGCTGCACAGTACTCCAGTTGGCGTTGACGCAAGCAAGCGCGAGTCAGAGCTCAAGGATCTCATGAGTCGCGTGGGACAAACTGTTGGAGAATTGCACCGTGCGGGTGTGGTGCATGGTGATCTGACGACAAGTAATCTGATGTTGAAGCCTGTTTCTACTGCTGATGACACGCTCGCGTCATCTCATGAAGAGGAGGGGAAACAGCACCAAGAGCAACGAGAGCAGCATTTGCAGGGAGAGGTCGTTGTGATTGATTTTGGACTGGCCATGCAGAGTGTCCAGGACGAAGACAGAGCTGTGGATCTCTATGTTCTAGAACGAGCATTTGGCAGCACTCATCCTCGAGCGGAAAACTTGTTCCAAGAGGTTCTAAGAGCATATGGGGAGAGTTTTAAGGGCGCCAAGGTGGTTCTGAGGAGGCTTGAGGATGTGAGGATGCGGGGAAGAAAGAAGAGCATGATTGGATGAAGATTTGATCTTAGGCACAATTATACCCTTTGCATGAGAGCAAGAAGGAGGTGTAGAAGATATATTTCAACGTTTCTCTCCTTAGAGAGGATGAATTGCAACAAAAGAACGTATGAAGGGTAGAGAATGAAAAGCATAGCATGGCGAGTGGCGTTTGGGGATTGCTCTTGACTAGATAGCATGTCACAGCAGACATTATATGGAAATTCAAATGAAGAGAACCTGATCGTTGAATGTTTTATCAGAAGGTGACATTTAGGACGCATCTCAACGTTTCAGACGCTGTGGCGTGATTCTTCACCACAGGACAGCCCCAAGAGCGAACGCGAAAACGTCAATCAATGATGGATATCCATGCGGGCAGAAAGTCGGCCATCGTTTCAATTGACTTACATTACATATAATCTGCCAAGAATACAATGCTTTTTCATGTCAAAAATCACAATTTGCCCCCATGGCTGGCAATATGAACACTACTCAAGGGCTGGGACATGTAGACTTCAGATTTACAACACTATATCACCATATTCAAGAGTATTTAGACTTATTATGCACTCCTTAGGTCGTCTTTGGACAAGATATAACTTTTATTATTCTCTATCAATGTGTTACGACTGAAAGGGAATAATTTACTCCTCGTCCTCCTCGGCCTCGTCGTTGACGACGTTGAAGAAGCGGAGCTCGTAGACGTTGCGGGAGGTGGAGACCACGCGGAGCCAGTCACGGAGCTGCTGCTTCTTGAGGTACTTCTTGGTCCTGTGGAAATTGTTATTGATCTATCCTTAGCACACGCAATGTGTAAAGACAAAGCTTACAAGTACTTGAGGTAGCGGCCGGAGAAGTTGATGTGGGCAATAACCTCAAGCTTGCCGTCACCCGACTGGGAGATCTCGACCTTGTCACCGAGGTTGGAGGTCAGGCCGTCGACCTTGATCTTGTCGTGGAGGAACTTCTCAAAGGCGGAGACATCGAAGATCTTGTCGCTGGCGGGCTGCGAGCAGTTGATGATGAACTAGGAGGAATTAGTATCAAACTGAATGCTGCATATTACCGAGTCCAGAGTCGCTCGCCCGACGCAATTGGGATAGGTAGTTTGCGAAAGCCGGAAAAAGTATTGCGAGCTCGTCGAAAAAAGAAAATTTGGGAGATAATTTCGGGCATTGAATGGCAGACGTCGATCTCTGAACTCGATGGTAGTGGTTGTACACACCTTCTTCGTAATCTTCTGCTTGCTAGCCTTGGGGCCTCCCTTGAGACCACCGGCGCCGTGGGGGTGCTTCTGTATAACGGAAAATCCACCGTTTAGCCTACTGTTCATGATATCGCTGCCGGGATAGGTAATCCGCAGACTGAGGTTGTCGTGCGCCTATCCCGACGAACAGCAAAGCATCAAGTGTTGTAAGTGGGTGAACATACAGGACCTTGAACCATCTTGACTGATGTCTTTTTGAGAAGTTTGAGAGTTGGTCGCAAAGAAGTGAGTATCCTGCGCCTCGGTCGATCGACTGCTCACGATAATACTCCTGGGGGAATTTGGAGATTTGTGATCGCTAGTTGTGTGGCCCGTGCGCTCGCCTGAGGGCTTAGGGTTTCGCGCCGGAGGCAGCGACAACGTCGACAGCATCGCCAACGAGGAGTCAAACAATGGCAATCGTCTAATTTCTTGAAGCAGAAAGTTTACACTTTTTATTCAAATTGTGCATTCATTTTGATTGGTTTTTTTCGAAACCTGTCTTGTGCCTCTGTCCAATATGAAGCCCGTGTTCTGCGCTTACTAGAACGCAGTAAATGAGACAAGTATTAATTACTTCCACTGAGTTGCCGAATTTCGTGGTTTCCCGCCCTCGCCTTTGTAATATCGAATTACCGTGATTCATCTTTTGTGTAACAGGTGTTAAAGCACAGCATCTCATTTACAAATTTGTACAAAGTATGGAAGTCTGAATGTGGCTCACGAGATCATGTGATGAAGAAAGCCTGCGAATCGTCCTGCGTATGAAAAGGTACCGACGCTACGTAGTAGTAGAAATAGCATCAGGGCAATGCTTTCCAGGTGTTTGCAGTAAAATCAAGGATAGATGGATGTGAATTACTAGGTACGGAGTGTTGTGTTTGTATGCTGGATAATAAGTAAAGAGCCATACAACTCTGGGCGCAACTCACTGTCACTAGAAGCAAGCAGTTTCGCGAGCAATCCGCTACCTGAACATCGACACTTTTTGAGTCTCACATTTTCGACCTATCCACAAACATTGTTCACTATGGCGGAACCAGTGCCGGCACAGATGATCGACCCTGCTATCTTTGAGCAGTTACAAGCTAAAATTGATGAAGATTCACAAGTCCGAGAGGTCTGAAACTCTTCTGGTAACTTTATGAGAGCGAGATCTGATGCTAGCCCAGGATATTCGTGAAATCTTGCAAACCTTGGAAAGACAAGGTAAATCAAGCCCACATTATTGCCTCGTGGGGAAATGATACTAATGATCTTGAAGGACGCACTGTTCAGTCTATTCTGTCAAGAGCACATGCCACACGCTCCCAGAATCGTAAGTAGTTTTCACTCACTGTCGTTGCACATCTTGCAGACTAACTGAATTTTAAGTCTCACCGGTTGTCGAGGCCGCTGAAAATGCTATAAGAGAGCAAGTCGGCACGATTAACAAGCTCGCTGAGGTTGCTTCGAAATACCCTTACTACAAGTACAATTTCATGTGGACCAGAGACATCCAAAATGCCGTAAGTCAAACTAATTATTGATCACGTGCAATTTGTCCAAACGTTGGATTTATCTGATTTACTTGATTCTATCTCAGTGCTTTGCCATTCTGCTCTGCGGCTGGTTAGGTGGTTTCAATGCCCCGGGCAATCAATTCCAGCAAGGCCGTCTCTTGACAATTGAGGAGACAGGCGCAATTCTGAACGGTGGGCCTATGAGCGCAAGTCCTCCCACTCGGGCATGACGGGCTGACATGTCTTATATAGTTCCTGTAAATCTCAAAGACAGAGATGCATTTCATTTGGCCATTGAGGAATATCTTCATGCGCTCATTTCTTTGATCGAAGAGCTGGTATGTTCCAAAACCGCTCGCCGCAACGCGCCGCAACGCGCCGCGATTACTCTCAAAGATGAAGCTAACAATCCTGCAGGCTCGCCTTGCAGTCAACTCCGTCACGCTGGGAGATTATGAGCGGCCTCCTCAGATAAGCCGTTTTGTCAAGGATCTGCATGCTGGATTTCAGATTTTAAATCTGAAAAACGATGCCCTGAGAAGACGTAGTGATGCTATCAAGTATAGCGTAAGTACCCGTCTCTGTTGGGTCTTTTCCATATCATGGAATTCTTTGTATTAACATAAATTTACAGATCAAGAAAATTGAAGACGTAGTGTATGACTTGTCGTTGCGGAATCTACTTCCGGTGCAGTAGACGTAAACAAGACGTCCTGAAGCTGCACTTTCACAGTAGCTTAAAAGTTTGCTAAAGAATATTTACAAGGGAAAAGAAAATGCTATTTTTTTTTTATATCGAATCATTTTTCCCGACCAAACACATTCTTAGACATATGCATTGAGTTATTGTATTAATGAAACCTTAGTCATGGGCCATGAGCCATTTTAGCATTCTGATTAATTCCCCGGCTCAGGAGCGGAATGATAAAAGTGTCTCGCTCAGATCAACGGAACATGCCGCCAGGAACAACCACCCGCGGCACTCCCGGGAGCTATTCCATACAGTGCTTCCGTGAGTTTTACCTCTAAGCTTCATTTCTCACGTCAATTTTATTCTGTATGAAGCTTCAGTCAAGCTCAAATTCAATCGTGTCTATTTTCTGACCCAGAAACAAAGATCTACTAATTAGCTTCGTCACTTCTTTCGCAATGCTTGACGCTTAAACAGCTGAACCTCGCTCTCCTTGACGACCCTCATCCTCACAAATGTCAGCTTCTACCACTCCGCCCGCGGGCTCCGTCCCTCTTGCCGCTGCAGCGGTGCAGAAACACCTGCAGCCTTCAACAACTTCGCCCATTGAGGTTCTTCCTGGCAGCACCTCTCAAGCATACACGCACATTCATACCGCACTTCTTCTGGTGTTCTATTACCTCCGCTTCAACGACCTAGTCGCAGACCCGGTCCCTACCCTTCTAGACACGCTCCTCCCGCTCGCCGTCCTACAAATCAGCTACGCAGCGATATGTTTGCCTGCTGGCACCGGAGCTGGAGCAGCAACCTCGCTGAGCAAGGCATCTAAGAGCGCTGGCGCGAGCACGGGAAACACCCGTCGGAAAACTCAGCAAGGGAGCAAGAGCGATGGACGTGGTTTAGGCACACGGATTTCGGTGCGTATTTTCTTGTCGTCTAGCTATACGCCTCTTTACCCCCCATGCAAAACAATGTCCATAGCAGATTATCCTGCCAATCTTCCAAGCAACATCTTCAAATGTTGCCCAGGGCGAAAGAGGAAAGGGCTTAGAGGGGTATGAATTTTATGTAAAGCTAACATTGCAACAAATAGACATCGCTCCTCGCTACAATTTTATCACTCGCCCTCGGCACTCCCCTGTTGACAATTATCTTGGTCTTTTTTGGAGCGCCGGTGACGACGCATTCGGCTCACACGCTGCTTTGCGCGGCGCATATGGCGCTACTGGCAGGTATTCCGCTCGTGCATGCGCATGGGGTGGATACAGGGGCCTGGCGCGACGTGGCGGCTGCATTGATGACGCTTGACGAGCCATTTGGTGGAGCCGTCGGTGTTGCGGTCGGCGCCTGGCTCGGGGCCGTGCCGATCCCGCTGGACTGGTAAGTGACAGATTTTATTTTCCTTATCTGCGACCTATACTGCTGGGTCAGTGTTCATTTCATGTGACTGATTTGTTGTCTCATATCTAGGGACCGAGAATGGCAAAAGTGGCCGGTCACTATCCTCACTGGAGCGTATATTGGATATGCCGTTGGCAAGGCGGCAGGCGGGTATATATTCAGAGGAAAGAGAATCCAATTCGACTAAACATGGATCGTTTATCAAGTATAGATTTCGTTCAAAGACCATGATTAAAAAAAAACGCGGTATATAGGCTACTCCGCGTACCACCACGTCAACTTGAACTGTGTATAGATTTATCCAAGATTGAATTCGTTCACTAGAAAAAAGTATTCAGGAATATTCCAAAACTATCTATGCTGAGCTGATCAAAAAAACAAACCCCCGAAGAAGGCGGGATAGAGAGGACAAACAGGCTTGCTAAACCAACAGGAGATTGAAAGGACGGCCGAATTGAGATATCGTGAAATGGTGCAAGGAGATTATGTTACAGTCGAAGAAGATCGCGAAATTGGACGGGATCCCAGAGATTTGGAAAGAGAAAACAGCAAAGGGCGCTTTCGGACGAAATCAGATGCCTTTGATAGCCATTGTTCGCTCCGAATTTAGCTTGTTTGCATTCTGCTCATGCGATTGTTTTTTGCACTGTGACAGTGACTGTTAGCAACTGGAGTCCATGTGAGCGGGAGGAAAAGGGGAAGGCTGAGCCCAACTTACGTCTTCCAAACCGGAACAGTCGTGGCTTTCTAACATGCGATGCGTTGTGCAAAAGTGGCCGTTGCAGAAGCCGCAGTCGCCCACTATCCGCGGTGCCAAAGACTTGCAGTTCTTGTAATTGCAGTAGACCTTGGGCGGCTTGCCTCCCCTCAAGGGCACAGCAACGTGCAGTGTGCTTTCGCGGGAGATGGAATAGTCGGAAAGAGTGGAGCTGGAGTCGCTCAGGTGCTTTCCTGCAAAGACGAGACGAAGTTCTGACGCCGGGAGAGATGTGCGCAAGGAGAGGAGAGATTTGAGCGTTGATACGGAAGCGTCTTGAGGAACAGTAAGAGGGATGGCTATTAAGGTTTCAAGGTTAGCATATATGGCCGAGTACAGGAAAGCCGTGCGAGCGCAAGCGGATATCATCGCTCTGATGATATCCAGACCACATAGCAAAGGGGGCAGACAAAGAGAACATACTTTCGCCAGTGACGCTCTTGACAAAGACTTGCATTGTGTCTTCCACCTCAGGCGTCGAGCGGTTGGACGAGGTCAGAGACAGAGGGCTTGAAGGACGCATGATTAAATATGAAATATATCGTCTGATAGAAGTGAAACTCGAATGTCGAGAAGTAGTGGCGTATCAGGCGCTGAGGAAAGCTTGAGGCGGTTGACGGTAATATGCTCGTATTTGGTATCAGGGGATCGAGAGATAAGGCACGCGATAGAGCCGGAAAGACGAGGAAGCAGGCCGTAAGAGGTATATTGCTTTAGATTAATATAGGTATGTTTGTATGTATCAGGGAATCCAAGGCGGGTTTATGTATAGTGAAAGAGGAGAAGGAAAGCGAGGAGAACGGAAGAGAAGGAGGAGGACGAGATGGAAATTGGTCGAGGTGGAAATGCGGCGGGTGGTTATGGTAATATACGGACGGAGTCTCCCCAAGGTCGGTGAGTAATGTGATGAGTGAGTGAGTGACCGGGCCCTGGGCCTGGCGGCGACCCTCTATGGGGGGCAAGCCACCAAACAGTTTGACTGGCACGGGTGACTCCATGAGTGAGGCGGCGGCGACGGCGGCGACTACTCGGAGGTTCACTACGATGGGGGAGGGTTTTTTTGGCTAACGACCTAGGTAGGTAGCAGCAGTAGACAAGTAGTAGTAGGAGCAGCAGCAGTTCCCAGCAGCAGCAGCAACAACAACGCATACGCATCATCATCATCGGGGGGGACGGACGGCGCATTCGGGTAGCTGAGGCGAGTTGGCGAGCAACTAAAATGTCCCCAGCAAGTCACTTGGATTGGCCTGGTTCGGTCACGGCAACAGCGAACCCCAGGTACTCCCCACTTCAGTCATGCATGCATCTCGGGTGGCGGCAGATGTAGGCAGTACCTGAGACGACACCTCGTCCCCATCCTGACGTCTACCATCCTTCTACCATGTTCCGTGGTGGCCGACTATCAGAGATACGCAGTGGAAGGTATACCCAAGTCTTTTCGCCTTAGCCAAGTATCAGTGAACAAAGTTTTCATATCACACACCCTCCCCAAAAAAAGGTCCCTGAATTCTTATTCATCAGCCAACCGTAGAGACAAAAAAGGCTCTTGCTGGGTTCATGTGGTCCCAGACTAGGTCGTCCCGACCGAAAATAAAATCAGCCACCCAAGTCACAGTCGGAGGCTGCACCGATACGTACCTGCGGTAATCTATCCTTCTCCAGGAAGTCTGCTTGCCCTTTTGAGTAGTTGCACCTGCTGGTTACTTCCAATCTGGTCGACACTGATCTCTGGTCTTGGGTCCCACCGGGCGAACCCAGAGCCCCCTTCCCAAAAAAAAAAGGTCCGAGAAGCAACAAGGAGGAGAGCGAGCGTAATTACGAGCTCCTCCCATCCTCGCATGCAAGCAGCACTACGGGCAAGGGGACTAAGGAGTACAAGGCCTGCCGAGTCCAGGACATCGGACCTTTTCTCACTAGAGTAGGTAGACTATGAGCAACTCGCAGGACACGTCTGGACCCGCCCAGGCCAGTACTGCTCCCGTACGGATACACCCATCCGCCAATTGACAAAGCCCCCATGTCTCGCAATTCCTGGCCTGACCAGACCCTTTTATCATGATAAATCAACAACTTCGTGCAACGCATCTATCCATGATGAATCGTAATACACAGAGTGGAGTGCCTTTGACCATTTCCAATTTGACTTTGAATCGATTGCAAATCCATATGGGTATTTCTGCTTCTGCTTTGTAAATGTATGGCCTTTTGAGGCGTAACGGAGCCCCAAGAACAGACATCGTCACATGAAAGCATGGTGTTGAATCTGATACCAGATATGCATCCATTGACCATCTGGTCGATATTGCATAGTGTAACGTCAGCCACCAATGCGCCACGCATGGTGCATATCTGAGCGTGATGAGCGGGGTTAAAACAGACGTTCTTTGTCCGTGTATTGAGCCATGCATGTCCCTTGGATGTGGGCGTGCAGCAAGCTGAAGGTGATGGGATCAATAATAAAGGGAAGCAGTGCTTATGTCTGTCGTCAAAGGATCTTAAAGCCTGTCACATGTTGTGTTGGCATTCCGTTCATCTGGTAGCCAGCTTCTTCTATCATTTTGCATCTTTTCTCATCCTGTCGTAAGGTGAGTCCACGATAAAGCTCCCCTCGAGAGCTGGTGAAGGACCGATATCAAATCTTCAAACTTTCTTCATCGACACATAACGTGTCATCATTGATCAGCCAAGCGGATAGAAGCTACCGGAATAACTATCTGCAAACCACGGAACAACCAGGAGTGAACAACACATAAAGTGCAAGAGAGATGATGATCGTCTCCTTCGATATTGTACCATAATGATCCGCAATGGGCGAAAGGGTCCAGTCCCCTAACTAGTTAACAGTCTCCACTGTCTTATCGGCAACGACTGATAACTGATAGTCCCCCTAATACGGCGTGCAGCCGCTGCCCCCCCCCCTCGTCATTTACTGCTATTGTGCCTTTTGATAGACAAAGTGCTAATCTCAAGCAAAAATAAGCTCCAAGTAACTTTTCGGTGAGGCCATTGTACTGATACCAAAAAGCGACTGCAGCATTCGCCGAAATGTGTAACTTTCCGCAATTCCACCGTCATTGAATAACAAGTGGCGCCCCAACACCCAACGATCGGAAATTCGGCCCTTGACAAGCTCATCCAAATGGCGAAATCTGATCGGCAGACCCCAAGACATCACGGAGTCTCGGGAAGGTTTATTGTTTCTTGGTAAGCGATATTCAACTCGCTCCGAGTAACCTGATGACTCCCTTATGATGATTCTTTGAGTCGGCGTTACTCGTGTTCGCTCACTATTACCATCAGCGAAGGCCATTTGTCACAAATCGGCAAGCCATCCATACAATTGCTTTTGCTGGAAAAACGCTGCCGGGAGTGATCAAAGACATGATTCACAAAGGCTTCGAATTTGTAATGAAAACAAGATTAGTGGTGCCATGTACCTGCATTAGAAAGACTCACTCCGCTCGCTCCCTATGGAAAATGCTTGTCAAGGCAATTGCTCTCGTGCCTCGTTAGGCCGGGAACGGCGTCCCGACCGCCTCAGCCTTTCCTTATTCGAGCCCAACTCCTCAAAATGAGGTTGTCTCTGTCCCAATTGAAACTGGGACTGGATCTGAACAAACTCGGCCTGAACAACTAGAAGATTTCAACGTTCTTCACTACTATTTTGTCTTGGGAACCCTTTGCCTTGGAAGAGAATGGAGAGAGCAATCTAAAATTCCCATCGCTAACCTTAGCCTTCCAAGAGAATCAGGTCTGGAGGAGGTCCAATTGGCAATGCGCCGGGCCCCAAGGCCATGGATGGTTCGAAAACATGTGGAGTGCGCGTGTGACCCATCAATGGGCCCGGAGCGGACCGTTCTTCCTCAAGAATCTGGTTTTCTTCTTTTTCTGGACTTGCTACAGAATAATAACGTGACGTGACGCTCTTATTGTGGTCAAGGGCAGGCATTACGTTCAATATGAGTGCCATTCAATAGTCCAAAGAGGCCCCTCACTCACCGGAAGACCTCCGCAAGAAGTGTTTTGCTGATATGCAGGCGATAACCCCATCGATTCACCTCAGATGTTCGTGTTAAAAGACAAATGAAATATCGAGATCGATGGTCTTGATTATCTTCTCTGATCACCCTAGCTTGCTGTGGCGGGTATTAAAAGCCGCTTCGACTTGCTCCATGTTTCTCTAGCAAAGATTTGCTTTGATCTGGAATTGTCTGTTAAGTTAACTTTATATTCACATCGTCTGTAATTGAACTTTATCTTGTAGCTGGATGTTCACAAAGAAGCTTTGGATGGAATCATCTTTCGGTGACGAAATTACGAAGATCTTATAATCCTCTCCGTTATTATAAGCCCTGCTCTTAATGTTTTCGAGCTAGGCAGGGTCATCAACCGAGACGCATATTAACTCCGCGCGACAAAGGATCTCCGCCGGTGACGTACGTGGAGATCAACATCGTTGGAGCTAAACGTCAATGGTTTCTAGTCATTCAATTGAGTGTTCGAGAAAGGGGCTTTATCGCGGTATTGTCATCCTGTGAGAGCACCTCCAAGCGCCATGGCCGATCAGCGACAAGCTGGGAGCAGCGGAGGTGCTACACAAATAATGAGAACATCCGATTTTTAAGAGAGCTGCATATGGAGATAAGAAAATTATAAGTTTCATCAATCATAATCTATTTGCGCCAAAAATAAATATTCCCATACCACAACTGCAAGTTTTGCGCCTATTGCGAAATAATGCCATTCAAGTTCGGATTTACTGTAGCTCAGCTCATTCCCCAAGGCCTTCCTTTCCAGCATCAGGGTCCAAATAATCAATCCCCTCCGCTGCTTCATACTCGGCTATCAGGTCGTGGACTACAGCTCGAGCTTCGTCAAATTCCCCAAGACCTTCAGCAAATGGTGCCTCCTTCTTGTACTGCTCCAGGAACGCATTCCGCTTCCGTAGTCGGTCGTACTGAGCGACAATCCGCTTGAAAAGTGCAGCGATGCCAGTGTGGTTGGCAAGCATGAGTCCACTGACCCGATGTGACATGGGAATATAAGGTGACTTCTTGGTCAGTGCAACCTGGATGCTGGCCGGGCCCCAGGGGATAAATGTAGCGAGTCGACGTTCGCGAATGCGTAGAAGGGATTTGTGCACCTTGATGGCATTCAGAATTTGCATGCATTGATTTCAAGTCAGGAATTGGAGATCTTACATCCGTGGGGTCGGCCTCGCCTTGAATGACATTGAGGATAGAAATATAACAACTATTCTTTCCAGGGTTTGTGGAAACCATGCGATTTTTTGGCTGCAAAAGCCGCCGCATCACATCCAGTACAGTGGTCTTCCGTACAGTCTTGGCTTGCTCCACGTTTTCCCCGGTAAACGGCGTGTAGGAAGTCATGAGGAAATGGCATCGAGGGGTTGGTATCAAAGAAGCTATAATGCCCACAAGATCATTGTGCATGTAACCAGGATACCGTAGCGGGGCCGTGCTAGCTGACATGACCGTAGAGACCTGCGCACGGTTTTAGCAATGGTGCCGTCAAGACATTGGTAAGCTCGCAACGTACAAGTTGGTTTGTCTGTTGAAAAGATGGCTCCGAGGTATGTAGTCTATCCGCTGCGATGCGAGAGAGCGCGCCGTTGTCCAAAACTGTCTATTTAGAAAATCAGATGTGATTCCATAATTCGTCTGAAACACCATCGAGCAATTACCACAGCGTCTGCATTTTGGGCCAGTCGTCTCATCGCCAATAAGCTATTATAAGGATGCACAACAACGTCTCCTCCGCTCTGGGAATCTGGGAAAACGGAATACGTCTGGATGAGCTTCTTGGGAAATCTGTCATTGAGCTTTTCCAGAAGGAAACTGCCAAGTCCAGATCCGGTCCCGCCTGCAATCGAATGTAAAAGCATGAATCCCTGAGAACAATTTAGCTTGATGACGAAACGGCGCAAATAATATGAGCCAGACCTCCAAGGAGTCGCTGCCGTCTGCCTCTCGATCAATCATCTCCATGATCTCCTCGTGAACCGTCTCACCCGTAGCGTAGCCTGCAGCCCAGTTGTTTCCTGCTCCAACGCCATCTTTGCCAACGTAGAAATTCTCGGGATTATAGATGTTCTTATATGAGCCAGTCTGGATACCGTGGATGACCTTGATAAGTCGTTAGAATCTGTTGCCCAAAGCAATAGAAAGAGCCTGCACCCACCCTTGGTTCGAAATCTAGCAATATCGCTCGAGGAATATATCTCGTATCGTCGGACTATCGAGTTTAGCGGCCAAAGCAACCCCCCTGGGCGGTGCAATGTAAGACGAACCTGGTAGAAGAAGACGTCTTTTCTATCACCGCCCTCTGTCGCGAAGTCTTCCAGATTGCCATCTTGACTTATGCCATGTTCCTGACAAAGTTGTTGCCAGAATTGGCTCCCCACTATACCCGACGAATTAGACAAAAGTTCGACAATGAGAGGACGCGTCTAACGTACCGCTGTTGCCGCACTGGCCAGCTTGAAGAGTGATTATCTCTCTATTTGCAAGTTAATTCCTCGGTCGCCATGTGGAAACGTCCTTGAGCAGCTTACCTAGGCATCTTCGTGTTGACATGGCCTGAATTCCGCTCGGCGACGTGTTCGGGTGAAACGCGTAGCTCCGCAATGCCTAAGATCTTTCGCGTAGCTACTTACATATGCACAACTGGTGTTCCCGGGTTAAGCAGCCCAAACAACAAAGCTAATGCACGGCGATGCGTGCTTGCCAAAATTAAATGCATACAATTCTTGTGGTTCTCTTATTTTTATTATATCTTAATTTTATTTGTGCTTATTTATGCTCAAAGTATGAAGGATGGAGAAAATTATAACAATAAATTAGTCTCGAAAACGTGCAACCCTTTTCCGACTCCTATCAGATGCGGCGGAATGCCCATTCTTTAATGCTTCTGGTCTATGGTCTGGTCCTTCCTGTCTATGCCATCAAGCAATCCGAACCGCCATTGAAAGATGAAACTCAATAAGTATGCCAAGAAATTTACCCGGAGGATGTTCAAAAGAGCTAGTATTGAAAACCCTTTGGATTCCTCAGTGCCGCTACTGAATCGCTTGCGAACCTCCATATACTTGTCTATGTCATCAGTCAATACTCCATCGAGTTCATTTTTGATACACCATTTCATCTCTTCCTCGGAGTTAATAGTCCAGGCGAAGAGTTCGCGATTGTGTGATCTGACATCTCGTATGAAACGTTTCCCTCTTGGGCCCATAAGGATTTTACCAAGCATGCTGAATGCAACGTTCGGGGTAGCGAAGAATTGCCGAGCATAGGGTATTGAAAATCCGATATGTGCAATGAGGAAATGCGGAAGATAAAGATCGCGAAGAGGAATGTATTTCGTCTGATAAATTATTCAGCGCGCTCTTCTTCCAATGATGGAAGCGGAGATGAATTCTACGACTTACCGCCCAGCAACCGAGGACGACGCGCTGGTTCCAGGGCTTCGTACCCGGCGGGACAGCCTCTATCGTCGATGCGATAAGCTTCATGACTTGCTCTGTATCATTGTCAAGCTGCAAGATGCAAAATGAGCTTCGGAGCCCGATAATCAGAACGTTGAGAATTATCACCTTGATATCTAGTATGACCCAAATGTCTTCCAGTCCAGGCAATGTTAGGTATTCTAGCAGATCTTGCAACCTAGGCATGTGCACATGTGGAGCTTCGGTCGTGTGAAGGGTCCTCAAAAAGCTCCAATCACAGTCTATAACCTTCTTATCTATAGAGAAGCAGCGTTTGAGAGTCGCATCCTGTGCAATAATATCCAGCATGTCAACAGTGGCGCGCGTCAAGAAGGCTCTGGCTTACATGTGCTAAAACAACAACACCATCTCTGGATAAATGAATGTCGGTTTCCAGAGCGTTCGCTCCAGCCTTCACAGCACCCTCGAACGCGACCATGGTGTTTTCTGGATATTTCATCTTATAGCCACGATGAGCAATAGCTTGTGGGAAACATTTTCCAGAATCATCAGGCCGGGACTTGGTAAATGTGACTATAAAAAGAATTAGCGGTCATGTTCGGTCATGCAAAGTGCATATGCATTTACCCAGCGGGGACTCTGGTTTTCCCATTGATGATAGTCGTTCTGGCAATCTCTCGTAATCATAGTTGCTAATGAGCGGAGGTCCAATGCCGTGAAGCAAAGGAGTTGTTGCTGTTGCATTTCCGGTCATTGTGAATGAATCGGTTTAAAGGTCAGGCCAGGATGTGACAAGATATTTTTAAAAGTAAAAATATTGCGGCGGGAAAGTTTCTAGCTCCTTAAACCCCATATATCGAATGTATGGAACATGATGCTTGGGAAAGAAGCAGATACGTTGTATTTAGTTCGCTCCGATTCTCCGAGGAATGAGCTCACGCAACTATAAGGCATGATGCATCGATGCTGGGAATTCGGTTGCATTAGTTTCTCTTTCGGCTTCCCAGTTGGCGCAAAACCCACTAAGAGTACGATGCGTCAGCGTGGACAGGAATAAAACAGAGGAGTGGAGCTGTAGGGGTCCAAGGAAGCCATTCGGGAATGTTTGTATCCGTCATAGAGTACCAGTACAGTAAGGTATGGGAGTTTGAGCCGGCGGGAACCTAATTCATCCGGTTCCTGCTCAGCCGACGATGGCAGCCGAACTCGGCACAGCGAAGGCGAAACCCCGGCCGCATTTTATATAGATTTGTTATGTACTACTATGGCCACGCCGGCCACGCGGCGTCTTTTTATGATTTGTAGCCTGCCGTGGACAGTCCGCAGCTCATTCGATGCTTGCTACACAGTTACAATCTCTCTATCTACGTTTATCTACAAGCAAAAGATACTAATGCTGTGGGAACCTAGTCTCAGCCATCATGAAGTGTTTGAGAAGTTCGAAAGTGCATTTGTACCACCTGGAAAGCCCGATGAGCAAATGAGGGAATTCATTCATTATCAATACTATCAATGCTCCATCAAAGCAGAACTCAGTTTTGCAAAAATTGCAAATCTGTCATGATTGTTACAGCTCTTGGGCGGGGCTGTCTGGATCGGACTCATGAAATGTGCTTGGTGTAGCGGAGTGTATAATTTTACTGCTGTTTTTGTCACAACTATTCTGAGAAATAGGAAGGCGAAGGCGCGCCCTACGATTCCCCGAGCTAGAAAACTATAGTAAGGTAGGTGGTGGATCAGATGCACCCAATTTCAACCCAGGCCGACATCGATGGACCCTCGTGCAGTATTATAGCAATTTAATAATCCCATTTTTATAATTCAAAGAATCCCAATTCAAGTACTTGTGGCTCTCTGTCCGCTCTATCGTTCTCGATGGCCCAAGTATGAATGCTGGCATGGAGGGTCAAGTTTGGATTTTCATATAGACGCCTTCGACGATTCGATTGATTGAGTACCTGCCATGCATTGCATTATTGTTTGGCCCTAGAGACGGCGCGTCCAAGCAGGGACGCTATGTGACTCATCTGGATCACAAGAGGAATATATAAGAGCCAACACTGACGGCTTTTTCGTAATGAGTCTTGCTGAATTGCAGTTCAAACATCTTCGTAATAATTTTGATTGCCATATCGCGTTAATAATTAGATTGACACCCCGGTGAGCTTTGCCGCCAGCGCAAAAGCTCCAGCTATACTCCGTACTTTTTAATTTTTCATCCGATAATAAACCAGCCTTAATCCTCGCGCATGTTCACAACGCACCGGATGCAGTCTCCTTGCTTCATGGCACCAAAGGCACTGTTAATGGCCTTCAAAGGCTCTCTGTGAGTGATGAACTCGTCCACCTTGAGCTTCCCCGTCAAGTAATCGTCCACGAGATCAGGCAGCTGCGAACGACCCTTAATACCACCAAAGGCGCAGCCCTTCCATACCCGTCCCGTCACAAGTTGGAAAGCTATTTGAAGATTGTTAGCAAAAGAGCATCTTGAAATCACGAATAGGTGGACTTACGTCTCGTGGAAATCTCTTGGCCAGCCGCAGCGACGCCGATAATGATACTCTCACCCCAGCCCTTGTGGCATGCCTCCAAGGCAGCCCGCATGACTCCAACGTTACCAGTGCAGTCAAAGGTGTAGTCGCAACCGCCGTCGGTCATCTCGATGAGCTTCTCTTGGATGCTTGTGCCGCCGAGCTTGGTTGGGTTCACGAAGTCAGTGGCGCCGAACTTCATTGACCAAGCCTCCTTTGAATCGTTGACATCGACGACGATGATTCTGCTGGCACCGTTCTTGACAGCACCCTGAATAACTGACAAGCCAACGCAACCAGCGCCAAAGATGGCAACGTTGGAACCCTTCTCAACATTTGCCGTTACAACGGCAGCGCCATATCCAGTGGTGATACCGCAACCAAGCAGGCAGGTACGGTCCATCGGAGCCTTGGGGGTAATGGGGACGACCGAAATGTCGGCGACGACGGTATACTGGGAGAAGGTCGATGTGCCCATGAAATGGAGCAAGTCCTTGCCCTTGCACTTGAATCGGGAAGTGCCATCGGGCATCACGCCCCGGCCCTGGGTTGCGCGAATCTTACCGCACAGGTTGGTCTTGCCCGATTTGCAAAACTTGCATTCCCGGCATTCAGGAGTGCTTTTGGAGAAGAAGTCAGCCTTGCGGTAACATGGGGAAAGAAGGCAAACAACAACGCACTAGAGAGCAACCACATGGTCGCCAGGCTTGACTGAGGTCACTCCCTCGCCAACAGATTCCACAATTCCAGCTCCCTCATGTCCAAGGACAATGGGGAAAGCTCCTTCGGGGTCCTTTCCTGATAAGGTATATGCGTCTTTTGTAGAGGTCAGTTCTGCAGGCTTGGCAAAGCGTGTATGAAGTTTATGAGAGTACGCACCTGTGTGGCAGACACCGGTATAGTAGATCTCGATCCGAACCTCGTTAGCTCTGGGGGCAGCAACTTCAATGTCCTCAATGGAGAGATCTTTGCCGGCCTCCCATGCGACAGCGGCCTGCAGTTCTAAATTAGGTCAAGAAACGTAGCTCGCTGAGCTCCCGTACGCACCTTGCAGGTTATCGTCTATAAGGTCAATCTCAGTTAGTGCGTCATCGACCACGACCGGGGGAACACCATTTAGATCTTCGTACCTTTCCAACGGTGTCTGCAGACATTATGTATGTATTTTATGAAAAATGAAAATAACTGAACAGCGTAACAATGCAATTGACTGCAGCAGTAGCAAATTTTGGCGAAAGACAAAAGCTATATAACTTGTCACTTTTGAGCGATCGCAGTTGGATTTCTCTTAAATGGTTGGATGTGGGGCAGATGACAGAATTCCCGAAGAGGCCGAAGGGGCCCCCTTATCGTAAGTTACCCCTCCATCGGAGGACGAGCACCTAGCGCGGTAGACGTGACTGTACTGGACTGTAGCTACGGAGTACACTTGCCCTTGCGAATCGGATTGCTCAAACAGGCCAAAAGTCCCGTTCAACCGTTAAGATTTGCCCTTTTGAATCGAAGCCCCTCTCCTTGCAAGCAAATCGTCAATTCAGGAAGAGAATTCCGTTATCAACTCCCACAATCTATACCTAGTTCCGAACATACCGCAGAAACAGCAGTAAATACCAAGAAAAAAATTAGTGCAGTTTATTTACTACGCTTTATCCCCGCATCCAGTCATCGGGTAGAAAAGGTTTTATACGGAGTAAAGGAACTTGGTCTGCTTATGACCTTCACTTGCCGACATACTAGCTCTTTTCTCTTACGGAGTATACCTCGACTGTGTGATGAAATGTGAATCTTTGGGTTTTTTCTTTTCCCTCTCCCCAAACTTTGCGAGTATAAACAATTGCGAAAATACGTTTTTGGGCCGCAGAAGAATCTGCTTTTGGGAGACAATTCAAGACAAACCCGTGTTCGACTACAAGATAATCAAATATAACAGGTGTTCATCGGCATTGAGCACGCTGCAGGTCAAGGCCAACCTTTGAGACTAGAATGCTCAGTCGGTGATCTGATTGTTGACACTGAGTCTTGTCTTGTCTTGAGCCTGTTGCATATTTCCGTAAATAATATCTTTATTTGTTATTGTCGCAATCCGCGTCAAAGATGAGTGTATTTTCCATGGCAGGAGCTCTCAGATGAAATTGAGCGATGAATATAGCATGAGACTTCAAGCAAGAGGATCAGCATTTGCATATACCCAGGGTGTCTGCAAGCTTCTGGAACTTCTATAATCGATTTAGCAAGAGGTCCGAGTAGATCACCCGAAACGCCTTTACTGAATCTTTCGCAGATGACCCCAGTTCCGCAGCAGCGCAGTCAGATTTAGGGTTGTTGCCTTGCTAGGCGCTGACGCAGGTGCCATGTGGCCAATTTCAACTTGAGATCGTCTTATCGGCGAAGAGCCGGGGCGAATTTTCGAGAATACTGTGATGACTTCACCATTTTTCAAAAGCCGGCCTCAATCATCCAACGCACGGGCTTCAACATGATATCTAGACTGGCGCATGAAAAGATTGCTCAAAAATGGCATCTATGTACCGAAATTGGCAAATTGAAATTATGCCTAAGAATTATTTTGACTGACCATGCATCAAAAAATCCCCCACGCCGATATTGTACATTATTTTTCAGACGCAAACCCTGCTCCTATTCTGTGATCAAGCATTTTACCGTCCTGGCATCTGACCCTGCATCATGGCGGCATTCTGCTCTTGGAAGCGCTGGCCTAACCGCTCGGAGCCCTTGAGGTATTTGTCAACGCAACGCATCACACAGCCTTCCTCCTTCGAGTGGAGAGACTTTGTGGTAAAATCGTTGACACAATCGTCAAAGCATCGCTGAACTAGCTTGGAGTACATCTATTCGGCCGAGGGAAGTGTTAGCGGAGGAGGTTTCTCCTGTGGGAAGTCGAAGCACGCGATGCAGCGTCATTTTAAAAGGGGTCGGAGAACATGGCTCTTGCGGATCTGGAATGACGAGACTCACGGTCATAAATTCCTTCATCTGCTTTCGCTCCATTCGAGACTGCAGCTCACGCTGCTCGGAAGCGTTAAGACTGCAAAAACTAGTCAGAAAAAGTTCCTGAAAATTGGAGATTTGGAGCTTCTCCTGATGCTTCACCTACCCGTCCATGTTGCAATTTCAGATGATCAAGATCCTTGTGTTTCGAGGACTGATGTGCGATATAATTTGAGATATAAAATCAGGTGCACAAGTGAAGGTCTTGAGGCTGATGCTGGAAAAGTATGCCAAGCATCGCTTTGATGTGCCAGGAGTGCAAGGTTGGCAGGAACTGATGACACTAGCGAGTCCACCAGAAGCCAATGGCAAAGCTCATGAACTACGGAGTACCTCTCTACCTTCGTACGGTATGCGAGTCACGCTCGAGCATCAAAAAGACATGAGCAGGATCATAGTTCAGCCGCCCGAGATTTACGAACTTAGGTAGACAAGTAGCTAAATACAGCTACATCATGTGCCTCTATCAATCTTGAATTTGAGGCCTTTCTTTCTCCTAATTCCCATAACCAACGGGGGGTCTGCTGCCTGCTAGGGAAAGTACCGTCCAGACTGCAGAAGAGCGCGGTCGAGAAGTTACGACTACCGCGTCTGGACAGTCAGCCGCTCAGGCTAGAAGAGTACCGGAAACCCATGCCGCCGCACTACTTCCGTACCCGTAGTACTTCTACTCCTCGTACGGATAGGTGGGAATGACCTTGGGTACCTCCACTCTCCGCAAAAATAGCTTGACACCAAGGACACGAAAGAAGAAAAGACTTTTTTTAAGGATAGCGAGACGAAGAAGCGAAGCGTGACACCCGTTTCGGGACATTCACCTCTCCATTTGCATGAAAAAAGAGCTCCATCGACCGCTTGATTCGTAGTAGTAGTCTTCTCAATAGAAAGCATTTTAAAAGGACACTGGACCTGCTTTGTTTCGCTACCTTTCCAGGTCCGAATGAACACCGTGTAAGAAGTCTCAGTCGAGTTTGAAAAGAGTCGGTGCATCAGTGTCCTCTACCTCGAAATCCCGGGGCAGCTCGGTTTGCTGCGCCTAAAAATTGCAGAGGACGCCCCGAGGCCGTTCCTGCTTTACCTTTATTTAGAGACCCGACCCTACCCCGGCCAACTTCAATCGCCCCCAGCCTGGGTAGCTCACTCTGCGAGACCGGTACAAGGACCCTCGCACCCACCGATCCGCCTTTTGTCAAACTGACTTGCTTGACATCATCCCACTCATTGCGACAGCATCCACGTCGATCCTCCAGTGCTCCGTTCGACCAAATACCTGAGGAAAATCTTTCGCTGTGCATCTTGTCGAGAAGCGACAAAAAGGTTCTACACCTCAGACCTCACGTTCCGCTTGATCGCGTCGTGGTCCGCATTCGCGAATCCCACGTTTCACCAGCTGAGAGTACATGCAACCGCAACGGCTTCTTTCCACGACTTGAGATATAAGATAGCTTTGAACCTCTTCGGCCCCGAGGCAAATTTTGTTAAAATCGAATCCGTGGAGATAGTTTGCTATCTCTGCCATCGGCCTTGCGTCGAGCTGAGAGCACCTTCGCTTTTGCTTGGATTGCAGGTCGGTGCAGAGTAGTGCCGCATCGTCATCGCACAACAGAGAGCACCAAATTGTTGGAATAACGTTCTTCAACCCTGACCAAGGTCCTGACAAGGCCTTTTCTGCTGCCTATCATGGCGACAAAAAACCAACCTCCTCCGTCAGCACGGCATAATTTGCCTCCAACTCATGCTCCTGCTCAACCATCTTCCCAAGCCGCGTCTCCGCCATCAAAAAGAGATTTAATTTCATGGTGGAGACAGTTTAAAAAGAACGCAAAGAGGGAGGAGGATAAAGGTAAGTCCAAGAATTTTGCCCTCGCGACCAGTTCACATGAGCAAGTGTGCTTTTGTTTTTGTTTCTTCTCCTCTCCGTTTTTTTGTTCCACCTCATTCCTTCGTAACACTGCGCAATGTCTGTTTCAGTCAACATGTATAGGGCGTCTGAGACTCCAAACATTTTTCAATGGCCGTCAAAGAAACATGTTACGATCTCGGAGGCACAATTTCTGTCCTCCATCAATTTGGTCTCGCTTTCCGCTCAGGCTTAGCCGAACTATATATGCTTTGATCGCCTGCGCTTGGTTACCCTGTATTTTCAACTAACAAGGGAAACCGTTTAGTGGAAGCTCCGACGGGCATCTTTGGCGTTCCGCTTCAAGTCAGCATCCGTTACGCCAATGTTGCCATCTCTCTCACCGACGGAAACGGGCAAAGCTTCATTTACGGATATGTGCCCATCATTGTTGCAAAATGCGGTGTGTATCTGAAGGAAAAAGGTATGTTGACATTCTTCTTAGATTTCAAATAGGCTCTAACCACAAATTTAATGCTTTAGCTACGACGGTTGAGGGTATCTTCCGTTTGAGTGGCTCCGCAAAGCGCATCAAAGATCTGCAAACTCTTTTTGACTCACCGGATCGTTACGGAAAGGGCTTGGACTGGAGCGGTTACACGGTGCACGATGCCGCCAACATCCTTAGACGATATCTGAACCAGCTCCCGGAACCGATAATCCCTCTGGAGTTTTATGACCGGTTTCGCGAGCCTTTGCGCACTCATCAAACGCAGGCTGTTGGAGATCTAGAGGCTCAAAACCAGGACTCGGGAGATTTCGATTACGATGCGGCTATTAAAGAGTATCAACAATTGATCACCGAGCTCCCCCCACTCAATCGACAGCTGCTTCTCTACATACTTGATTTACTGGCCGTTTTTGCCTCAAAATCTGACATCAACCGGATGACAGCGGCCAACCTAGCAGCTATTTTCCAGCCAGGCATGCTTTCGCATCCACAGCACGATATGGCGCCGCCAGAGTACCGCTTGTGTCAGAATGTTCTGGTCTTTTTGATTGAAAATCAGGACAACTTCCTGATAGGCATGAGCGGCACAGCTGCAGATGAAAAGACTGTCAAGGAAGTGCAAAGCGGTCCCGCAACACCTCAACCCGGAACGCCATCTACACCGCGACCAGGACAAGCTAAGGCCCCAGTTGTTCGGACGGCATCCAATGCTAGTGCCGGTGCCGACAGTGTTCGACGATTCGGTGGCGTTCGCAGAAACGTGTCCGTCTCGTCCCGCAATTCAAAGCAGTCTACCACCTCACCTAGCCCGGCAAGTCCTGCATATGGCATAGGTGGCGGTAGCGGCGTCCATCGAAGCAATACTGTCCCGTCGAAGCGGTCGCCTGCTCTGGCCTCCCACCGATTCAATCGACACGGAGAGAATGCTCAGCCAGAGCGCGCTATAAGCCGTTCACCCGTGGCAGCCGTTGCACAGCCTCCGGCGATTGCAAGAGAGCAGATCATAGAGCCACCAACCAAGCCGGATCAACATGTTCAGGCCCCGTCGACATCTTTGGCCAAGGCAGAACCCGCAAATGTGGCCAGTGTTCCATTTGCCGCTGAAAAGGATGGAACCCAAGAGTCGGCTGGCACATCTGACCAACAGCAGACTGAACTCAGTCCACCGCCTGTTCTGGGCCAACACGCCGGCACTACTCCTATCAAGGAACGGGGATTTGCGAGCATCTTTTCCAAGTCTCCGTCAAGTGATACAGAGAGAAAGGAGCCGCGACCGCCAAATAAATTGCGGAAGAAACGTGCTCCCGGGAGTGCAAACCCAAGCGCTCAAAGCTCCACGAACTCTTTGCATGGCAACTTTGCCGCGAGCGAGCCTGTCATTCCACCAGGCCCCGTTCCTGAGCTGCCATCGCATCCCAGAGAAGACACGCCTCATCGCGACTCCGGTTTCTCGCCGCCTGTACTTTCAAATACGCAACCCACACCGCCTGGTGAAGAATCTCTCCAATTGAATGACAGCGCCATGCAACATTCACTGCAGGCTCCAAACGATTCCTCTATGCATCAAGCTTCCGGTGCCACCCTGCGGCCGGCGGTCTCCCCTACTTTATCGTATCATTCGCATTCCTCTATTACCGATCACTCGGATATGGAACAATCCGACGACCCAAACTCTGTGGAACAAAGAGAAAAACGCCGTAGATGGAGATTGTCTTTCTCTCCCAAGAGCGAACAACAGCGCCTTGGGTCCGGACACAGCGGCTCCCAACTGGGCTCACAGGCAGGAGCGGAACATAGCACGAGTACTGTAGGAAGCTATAGTCGAGCCCGGAGGAGCTTGGCGGTTGAAAATCAGTCTGCACAGGAAACCCTTCCAAGTGGTCTCTCAGATGCTCCGCAGTCCAATATTGAAACCGCTTCATCGAGTACCATTACTGCTACGGCACCCAAGGAGAGCGAAAAGAAGGGCCCGATTGATTGGTTTCGGGGCAAGTTGCAAGAGAGAAAAGAGCGAGAAGCGGAGAAGGAGCGTGCTAAAAGTCCACCCCCTGATCCGTCTGAACGTGGATCCCGAAAGAGCTTGGCTGCCGCCGTCGATCCCGCCGCTCCCCGGCAAAAGTCTCTCGAAGACGTGACCGAGGAAGGTCAAGTGAACGCTAGCACCCCGCCAACCTCATCAAGGTCAGATCGTCCACAGACTCAACGAGGAGAGGGATCATAAATGCAAGTGACTTATGTTCATCGTACTCTTATCAATTTGTCCTTTGGCTCTCGAGGGGTTTTGGAGTTGGTTGGGTTGTGCCGATACCCCTTGATGGATGTAGGCGGTCGACTTCCTTGATAGCTCAGGCTTTTCCTCGAACGGTTTTTTAGTTGTACTATATGGATTTTCTCTAGCTTGACTCCATATGAAAAAATATCATTTGATGCTCTTCTTCTCAAATTGATTTCTCGCTACGTTTTTGGGTATTTCTCTTCTGAAGTCGACTTGACCACTGAAAATTATTGACCTGTGCAAGAGAAAGAATTCACACGATGTGGCTGATAAGACGATAGAGAACGTCTTGGTAAGAGAAATTCTAGGTACCTTTGGTAGGCGTCACTAGCCACGCTCTCGGCGTGCTGAGCCGTTGCACCAGCTCTCTGACTCTCTAAAAATAGCTTTAAGCGAAGACGGTGGTAGGACTACCTCTCACTTGGCTGATATCATGTGATGACAAAAGTAGCGAGACATACTAGGTATCCTAGGTAGGTAGACCTGGTTGGTAGCAACCACCGCTGAAGGGTAACTCCGGTCGCAGGGATAACTTTCGTTAAAGAGTTGCCTGCGGGATCGCTTCTTGGCAGACCTCGTATCGTGAAGTCACTCTCTACTCTTTTCCTAAATGATCTTCTTTTTTACTTGTCAAGCCATCCTCATTCGAGGCTTGGAATTCTGCTGAAGAAAGTCCGATTCTCGCACAGTAGCATCTTTTGCAGTATCAGCGGCATGTTCAGTATTCACGAAGATCATACCCCCATTTTTCGCCGTTTCAAGAAGCGCTCTCTACTCCAACATAGGTGGCATTATACTACGAATTTCTCAGATCGTCTCTGTCCATTGATATTCAAGTCTGTACAGTATTCTCGTTTTACGTCGATCAAATGAACTCTGGAACTATTTGGAACGGAATCTAAATTTTATTTTATCTGAGAACTCTATTTATTTTTTCATGATCAGGATCCGTCTACAGCATCAAGCAATGGCTGTTGATCATGTGTGATATACCGATGCTCCACGTGAAGAGACCGCGGATCATTTCTTTCGAAAGCGAAATTCCACAAATTTTGCGTCACTATAGTGTTATGCTTTGACTTTTGCTCGTTGGCGCTTCCCTTGGAGCTCTTAATCCCCACATGTTGAAAAACACTGGGGGTCAATGCCCATCTGGTTTCTTCGTGCCGATTGGCGAATTCTTCCGTGAGCATGTCTATAAAACCAAGCTGTTTTGATTCGTACCAAGCCAGTAGCTCAGGAACCCTGGCCTGTGGGTAAACTAATGCCTGTGAACAGCACCCGAAGGCAGGCATTTCATTTACGCCAGTCGGCAAAGGCAACACCGTTACTCTTCCTGCTGCGAAGAAGAGCAAAATGCATAATGGCATGCAAACCCCACATATCACCAAGATTGTTTTGTTGCAAAGTAGCCGTCGAGTGTACGAAAAGTGTTGACGCATGCTTAGCAGGATAACGACCATTGATGTGACCAGGACGACAGATGAGAGAAGGTATACTGGCCACTCTTCACTGTTCCATCCAAGAAACTCCTCAGTATAGAATAATCGCAAATATAGCCCTACCATTCATCCTCGGAGTCAACATTATATTTCAAACAAGTGCAACTGAGGCGTTTCTTACATTTGTTTGAGCCCTTTGCGTGAGTCTTTTCTTCTGCAGTCTTCAACGCTTTTTGCACACGATGGAACCAGCCATCCAGCGCAAGAGTATCATCCTCTAGCATGGCAACGTATGGTGCGCCAACATCATAACATGCCTTCAGAAGATATCTATAATCGAAAAGTCCTTTTTCTCTCATGAGACCCTTCTCAGCCTCCAGCTTCTTCAAGTGTGCAATCTGCTCATCGTCGAAATCATATAAAAGAATTTGATCAGCGAGTGTGCTGAGCCAACCTTCCGAGTATGCCGGGTGAGCATGCGGATCTGTCTGTGCAATTAAGACGATGAGATGAATTTGCTCTCTTTCTTCTTCAGTCAGGTCACCCAATAAGGACCCAATCAGCGGACGGAGGTATCGAGCACCCTTTCGCGGCACGGAGCTGATCCCCACGCAGAGATTCGGACCTTGGCTGGTTCCATTGGCTCCTTTCGATGTTTGCCGGGCTGCTGAATCTAGAGGCAGCTTATCGATAAACTGGTTTGCTTGGTCGGTCCGAAATGACGAATAAGCAGGACGATAGCCCTCAGCAGGGTCAAAAAACCATGAAGTGGGATCTCTTGCGCAATGGATACGCACAAAATGCACAGCTAGAAGAAATAGGAAGAGGAACACAAGGAGCACATAGATTGAAGTAGAGCGGATTGATAGATTTGAATTTGTCCTTTTTCCGAACACCCCAAAGAGCATGATGAATTTTATTCCGCTCTACGCCTCCAGCATTGAAAGGAACCCTCGGAGGATTGGCCGATGGAGATTTGCGCACCCGTTTGGTGTCATGACCCCATAAAAGAGATAGGTGGAGCATCGACTTGCACGTACGGTACTCCCATGATCAAAGCTTGCTCTCGGAGTGCTCGTATAATCCTTGATGGTGGGGTGGAGCATGTGGAGAAGAATCGTTGCCCAAAGATGAATTAATGGCTGTGCATCAAGATGAGATCAGCCCCAGACCCTGTTTAATCAAAAAAAGTCTTCCGGGCCAAGGAAAGCAATGCCATCCTTGACTAAAATGAGCATATATCGAAGTACTCTAATAGCTTTTTAGTCACGGGAGAAAAAGAGGGGTTCGGACCGTTCATACCTCCGTACAGAAATCATCTCTCTTCTTTTCTTAATCTGGCTGCGTATGCCACAAAACTTTTTTGAAAACTGATGAGCTACGGAGTACAGATCACACGGGCTATTGGAGTATCACGTTGACCGCTGGGGTGGACTGACTAGAGCGTAGCTAAGGACGCGCAAGAAAACCGAATGACATAAGTAAATCCCCATGCGATCCACTTGGCGGCTTAAGCGCTGCCCTTTAACCGCTCTCAGAAGTAGTTGGAGAAAAAACCGGAGAAGCGCCAATTAATTCTTAACTACAATTCCGCGGTGTTTGTTTCACCAGAGGCACCCGGTTGGCTGAATCTACTTGAGAACTGTGACCGCCCCACCTGTGCCACATCCTGGATTTACAGCCCAAAGCTTTCTACAGGGAAGATGTTTGTTACTTGAATATTTTACACGACCGTAGAAGTAAAGTACTCCGCACTCTGAGCTCGACACGGGCACTTGGCCACGCAACTTCACTGCTAGAGCTCCCACATTTCAGAGGATGGCAAGATGAGGGTATTCGTGCTCATGTCTCAAGGTCATTTATACACCCCACCTCTGCAACGACGTAGTGTTTCTTCCGCCTCGCAAAAATCGAGCTAATGCAATCACCTACCATGAGATCGTTCCAGAGGATGATACAGAGTATACCTGCCTGAAAAACACACAAGGCTACTAAGATTCAGCAACAGTTAATTCAGGCGGCACATGAACCAGCAGAGGAACAGGGTTCTAAGCCCAGGCCAATTGTGGGTGGAATCGAGGGTGGGGCTAAAAAGGACGTCGGTGGTGATGGTCGGTACATTGAAACGTCATCTAATGCTGCTGCTAAGGCACAGACATCTGGAGAGAAAGACCAGATTCTGGAAGTTGTCGCAATGGGGCTTTCAAGGGCAGAAGGAAGGGGAGTCCAGTCATTGAATGATGAAGATCTAAGGAGGCTAGATCTTGATCCCAGAAATATCGAGTATCTACGCAAGGAGCTTCAGGAACTTGCGGGCGATAAGGCATGGCGATTGGAGGTGATTGACCTGGCCGACGGCGTTCGTCGCATTCGTGGCGTGCTCGATGTAAATGAAGCGGATGAAGAATATGACGGAGAGTATAATAGCGAAGAATACCCAGGGAGGAATGGAGATCAGGAACGCGAGGGGGCCGAATGATAAACGCGATGAAGATAACAAGGGGTGGACGTTCAAGGAAGAGTTATGACGATAGTTGACCCTTTGCTGTGATGCTCGTGTCGATTCTTTTTCAGATGCTCTGGATATTTTCTATCGAAAAATCAAGACTTAGTATACCACTCTTCAGCCTGTATAACAGCTTGAACCCTATGAGGCATAGTATCTTTGTTTATAAGTGCTCCCAGTCTTTCTAGCCCCTATAATCTCTGTCTGCTGAAGAGGTGAGAGCTCAAGGCCCCGTTTTCGTGGCGCAATCGCGGGCGGCACTTGTTGTTTTGGTGGTTGGAACGCGATTGCAAGGCGAAAAGGGTACGTATTAGTGACCCCCCACAATACCATTCTACCAAATGGGAAAGCTTTATTATTGCGTATCAAAGATTGCAGAGTCTGCTTTCGAATACTATTAGGAAGCGTGGTGAGCTACAGTGATAAGAGTTGGTAATTCCGAGTTTGGATATTACTCATTTACCGCAGTACTTCCGTCATTTTGGTCTGGCAGTATCTTGATCTACAAGAATTGCGGAGCTTGACCGTGGGGGCCTTCTCCCGGGGGGTTGCTTAGAGGGGTGGGGCGGAAATGACAGGCTAATTTGGAGCAGGAAGAGGGGCGGAGATGGCGCGCGCAGAGCCACTATGCAAGCCATGTGAATTCAGGGGTTTCCCTTTATTTACTTCGGTCCGGAGTATGGCCTTGTTATGAGATAAGTGTATGGATAGATACCGCTCATTGCTCCACAGCCCCAGCAATTGTCCAGTTGTGGAGTTGCTCGAGCAAAATCTCTCCTCCATCTTGGGCGGAAGTGGTCCTTAGTCCTCCAATTTTGCGCCAACAGGGTCAAAGTCTGAACAAGCGGAAGCTATGATCTACAAGTTGCGCTTTTGAACACTGGAGGATATGGCAGTGCATTATTTCAAATATCAATTTCTAATCACCTTCTGATAAAGACTTGGTTGAAATGGGGAATAGTCAATCTCACTTGCTGTAAAGTAGTGTCAAGGGTCATCAAACCCATCGGACCCTCCAGGGACTCCAGTGTCCACAAAGAGGCCATGAAGCATTTATTGCAACTATCATGCATAGAAATGCTACGCAGGTCTGAGAAAGCTGCACATATCATCTTTACAGGCTCCTGTATAACAGAGGGACCTGGACTGATAGGACCGTTGTGAAATGGAGATTTGGTGTGGATATTGCAAATATTCTAGCATTTGATTTTAATTAGCCTATTTTCTCTTTGGATTACGTGTCTTTGGAAATGTTTTGTCTATTAAAGGGGGCTTTAAATCGTTATTTCTATTTTGTTTTGTTAAATTCTGTTCTTATTATTCAATCCGTTTAGATAACCAACTGGCAGCGGGAGCTCCGAACTCTTTCCCCGCCTCCGTCCCTGCTTCTCCCTAGTAACAGACGCTAATTATTTGCCAAGAAAATGGCTCGACATACCGCTGTAGTCTGCAAGCGGTTTGCGAGTAGACAGGCTTCTGAGCAGGGCCCGAGGCAAAAAATTAAAAGGCTCCAGCCTCCAGCTGATCCACATCGCCACACTACCTACAAAGGCCCTGACGGCAACTTGGCCTCTGCAAGGTTCGATGTTGGAATCGAATCTGACAAATTCATTATTAATCCATTGGACAAACTACAATAATTATCGTGATTCTCCACCTGAGCATCTCCACCATGCGGCACAGTCAAGTCATTTTCGTTGCCTGGTCCCTAATTCCGCGCCGAAAGATAGTATTTGTTATGGCTTAGCATAATTCCCTACATTGTGTCAACCCGAGAGAGGAGACCTGCGGAATGCTTTTCCAATCTACCACCTGCCTTACACTTCTCGATGTGGATCAAACTGAGCTGGGAATCGGATCATGGTATCACCATTGGCCCAGCACAAACAATTGGGCTAGACAACTAGGATACTAACTAGAGTCTCTAGATATGTTTTGGCAGAAACGGCCCCCATTCATATCGAGATGCATCATGAGCAGAAATTGCGATCGCCCGTATCGAAGCTTTTCACAATGCAAGAAACGTATGACAACTTCAAGCAACCCATGCTAGTGACGTGAATGCTCATGCAAGGATATTGTCAGAATCTGAGAATCCTAGGACAAACAGGCAATATAAATACTGCCCTTGAATCTCCCTTTTGTTTGCATTATATTCTATTCTACATCAAAGTACGATAGCATTGGATATTTCAAGAAACTATTGCATCTCTGTAAGTCAATATCTTGTTTGCCGGTCTCATTTTTATTACTGTCATTATTATTATTTGTTTATTTTTTATTTTTTTTATTTTTATTTTTCTTTTAGAAAAACATGCTAATCTAATATACCAATTCCGCAGTCATCAATCAATCCAAAATGAAGTTTGGTCTCTTGTCCAGCCTTCTCATCGGCTTGCCGTTCGCCTCTCAGCTTGTCTCGGCCTGGAGTGACGGAACGGGCGGCATTGCCTCGGGCTACTTTTCGATCAAGGTCCCGCAAGTAGGCAAAGGTTCTTATGAGCCATACGAATATGTCCACGCTATGGTCTACACCGAAGGAAACAGTGATGGCTATCTGTTCAAATGTGTCTGTGCGGCAGACAACGAGAATTGGTGCTACTTTACTGCACCAGACCTGCCATATGGCGTGAGCCTTCACCCGGGAGATCGCTGCTTTTCAGATGACGACAACGGTGTGCAAATCAAGTATGGTGCACAGTATCTCGATGCTCCCAAGGATTCTCGCTGCAGCAAGATCGACTATGGTGGATTTACAAACACTGCAGCACGTTGCATCATTCCTGTAGGTGGATAGAGTATTGATGCAATGATCCAATAGCACCAGCCGACTTTGTGCGTTGAACCATGGGGAGCAGTGGGGAGGGGCAAAGCTTTTCTGCTTCTAGAGCAGGAGGTTCATTTTGGGGATTTCGGTCAATTATACAACCTTGGTCAAAACTGTATTTAGAACTCAAATGTGCCAAAGAAGACAACCATCATATACACGCTTTTCATATACTAGCTTGCAAGTGGAGCTGAATTATTGAATAGCTAGTATAATTTTGTTGACCAGCATGGTTCATGTGTTGGAATTGCAAGTGATAAGAGTTATACTTGATACACACGGAGAACGAAATAATGGGCAGACAGTCCCAAGGCCGTCTAGTCTATGGAACTGACTTGTTGACAAGCAAACCCTTGAATCATCTAGCACCGTCATCTTCAATGAATCTGTTTACTCTAAATAATCGATATACAGTCGGCACATTTCTTCAAAATTATTGTGATAAGTAGTACAGATGCTGCTAGGCAGAAGAGAAACTGCAATAGACGCAAAATTCTCAAATGATGTGTGTTTATTCCCTCTGGTTGTTACGTTAAGCTTTTAAGCAGGATAGAATTTCTGAACTGCACGAGGCGAACGAAGCAGATCCAACACCGAAGAGATCGGACTAGCCGTATGATCCTTTCTGGTCCGGGGAGGTTTACAGCACATGATCACAACCTAAATAAAGAGGACTTTTAAACTGCAAGTGCTTGAGTGAATCTATCATTATCACCAGCCTCCAGGAAAATCCCGAACTAAAGGTTTGCAAGGATCTGTGCATCCATTTCCTGACTTAAAATTACGACGTGGACTGTCTAAAGTGATACATATGTGTCGTGACCTCTGACATGACTTGCAAGAAGGAAAATTATAAATTCATGTACTATTCGAAAGCTTTCGTCATGATATCCGCCACTGGAAAGATGTGGGAATTCAATGCAGAGATATGTACAGTGAGACACAAATGCAACAAGGGAACAGCTAAAAGGAAGACGGCTGTGTACAGTACATATTACCCATGGACTAATTGATAAAGTTAAATGCTGAATGAGCTGTAGAGAAACGTCAAAAACTAGCAGTGGAAAACTTACCCAATCTGCAAATCTAGGCGCAACGTGGACTGAATCTCATGGCTTAGGCACGGAAAAGGATAGCAAAGCCGCTCCTCAGTCGGTACTTATTATGGCGAACCCGACTCTAGTTGATTTTGAGGAGTAAAAACCAAATGGATTTTGAGGTGCTGTAAATTGTTAGCAAGGTAAAGCATTACCTATCGCTACATTAAGAAATAGTTAAAAGAAATAATCTAACAAATCTTATATATATTACAAGAGAAATGTCTCGCTATTAGCAAGCATTCTACTTTGAATCATAAGACCTTTAGCTATCACTTATATATTTAAACATATTTTCCAACCGACCCGGCCAGGCAGATTTCCATTATAATACGAGAAATGTATTTTTACAAGATTTATACCTCAATAAAAATGTGTTGTTTTTAGTTAAAATTAGGTGTCTTGATTCCCTTAGGGTAGATCTATGTATAATAATCATTTTAAATATTTTTGGATTGTTTTGCATTTTATTTCTCGAATTATATACTTGATACTAAAAATAGTATATAGATTTTTTTCGAAATGGAAAATATTGAGCAAACTTCCTATAAACAATCTAGCTAGCAGACATAGTCTTCTAGTCCCCATGGTAGAAATATTCATTTAATTTTACAATAATTATTGAAATATAATTATATTTTTTGTATAGAATTCTGTCTGGCCACGTTGCTTGGGAAATACATTACTAAGGTATATATTAGCTAGTATATATCAATAGTAGTTACTATCTACTCAGGCATAGGAGCCTTATCACAAGAGTATATTGAGCGAATCTGTGAGGCAATCAGGGCCGGATTGCTAGATGAGTTGCTCAATTATTTAGGATTTACCTATGCTGGAGTATTGCCAGAATGTCATAAACACAAATGGTAGCTACTTCTTGAAGTGGTGAAATTTCACAGACGGTATGATTTAGCTTACTAATCCAAATTGTAAGTGTCCCTTTAACGAAAGATATCCCTGCGACCAGAAGTACCGGAGTAAGGTAGCTTCGGGTTTATCCGAGTTTGGATGAGTTTTCATCTTTCCCCAATCCCATTGCCTCGTGGATGGACCTCGTATCTGACGAATTGGCACCCCCACCTTCAGATTGCTGCGGATACGAGACGTGGTACACAAGAAGCTTACATGTGGTTGTCTGCTGATTGCAAGCGCACTGTGACCGATATCAATGCAGGCTATGTATTATCCTTTGGAAAGCCCAAGGCTGGACACTTCTGGCACGGCAGCGACGTGGGGATTTGGACGTAGCTTCCCTGGTATGAAAACTTGGCAAAAGAGTCGCATCTCCAAAGGCCAAGCAGCATTGACATACCGAAATAGCTTTGTACCGAGGGCGGGAATGCTTGAATGATCGACTTGGCAGAGAGGGTCCACAACCCGCGGTGGTGCCAGACCCGGAACGTCATATGGGATCATGAGGTTTTGTAGGCTTTGCCTAGTTGGGGTTTCGAGCAGCCTGTGATCCCTGTCATCCTTTCCCAATTAGCTCAGAGGAAGAGCATTACAGTACAGCGGTACAGCAAGCTAAACTCACCTTGGCCCTAGCGAAGAGCCGAGCCGTTCTGCATGGCTCAATTAACGATGGGACTAGCATGAACGCAGAGTGACGGTTGAGATGGGCGGGCCAGTCTCGTCGTGGTGGTGATTCTTCCAATTGGAAAAATGTGGTAGAAGTAGACCTGGCTGAGCACGATCCTTGTTGTATAAGTTATGCAGGCATTCGCGGCCACCCGCCGCTTACTCGTAGACTCAATTTCATCGTAGTCGCGAAGTCTTTTTTTATCCAGCTCGTCACTGATCTTCAAAATCATCATACTCTGACCCTTTCCAAGTTCAACGGGCAACAATTCCATACAATCGATCTCCTAGACAGGCCCAGTAGGAGAAATTCCTCTTAAGCAGGAGATTCGCAGTCGCTCCCATTCTTGGTCGGATACCTGCATACTCCCCTGCACGAGTGGCATCCCCACCAAATCTCTCTGCACAACTCTCAATTACCGACTCACATAAGAATTGTACACGGCGCCCATTATTGTGTTTGTGGCGTTCCCGTCTAGCGACAATCTGCATTTATCCGTATTCATCGCTCTGCTCGACGCTTCTGGTAAGCTGACACGGATTTCTTTATGCTCAGCAACAAAGAAGGCAAGGTAGGATTGAGGCTGACAAGACGGAAAGGTTGACCACCCATCGTTACTTGAACGACATTTTGTGTCGCCCGGAGAGAGAATACTTCGCCTCCCAGAAACAGCACTCCCGACAGCACCAGACTGTTCGGTCGTTTTTCCACTGCAACGGCATCAACATGCGCTTCATTCGCGATTTCTGCCTTCTGGCAGTTGCATCTTCATGTCTGAATGCCGTCGTACTAGCCGATTCCAAGGTGAATGACGGCGGTGAGGATAAGGATGATGTTCAGACCTTCCAGCAGCTTCTGGATAGCGTTCCTCAAGGGGATATTCACGCAGCTCTGCATGCGTATTCGCCGATAAAATATCAACATGGCGTTTTTCAAGAGGATCGTACTGCCATGGAAGCCGTACACAACGATAACCCAGCTGTGGCTACTAAGTTGTTGATGTCCATGGTTCGCCGACAAGCACCCACACGCAACACCACCGAGAGCTCCACCCAGACGACAAGTCATGAATCGTCGACCTCCACCGAACGCAGCACTACTCCTAGTTCCACTGAAGCATCCACGACGAAGACTGAGCAGTCGAGCACCTCAAGTACGCGAGAGAGCCCGACTTCTGAGAGCCCGACTTCTGAAAGCCAGGCTTCTACTTCCACCTCAGCATCTGCTAACTCTTCCCCAGCGTCGAGCACACCTGCATCGAGCGCTGCAGCGACGAGTAGCGTTGCCTCCTCCACGAGTGCTACTAGCTCTAGCTCCGGCGCCACATCTTCAACTTCCAGTTCGGCCTCCGGCAGCTCTACCTCCTCTTCCACAAGCGCAAGTAGTAGCAGTTCAAGCAGCAGTCCCAGCTCAAGTTCGTCGAGCTCCTCGTCCTCAAAAAGGGTATCTTCAAGGACTTCGACTTTGCTGCACACCACCACGCTTCCTAACGGAAGCAGAAGCACTGTCACCGCCGTAACTGTCGTTGGGGGCGAAGCAGCTGCCTCCTCTACCACCGGAGGTGCCGCTGCCACCACATCTAGCGCAACGACCTCAGCTCCTGGTCTCCAGACTAATGCTGCCGCGATCCGCGGTGCTGATATCCTTGCTATGATGGGTGGAGCCGCTGTCGTGGCGATGGCTTTATAAAATCCCCTATTTATTCCTTGCTTTGGGACAATGATCGCTTTGAGTGTCTTTATCCCATATCGCTCGTCCGCCGAGGATTTTTCCTTTGGGAACTTTCCATGATACAATGCACATTGGCTTGACATTTTCTTTTTTTTTTTGCAGATAAGGAGTTCTGCTTTGCTTGTGCTTCAACACAATTCACCCTTCTTACATGGCATTGGCCGCAAAGGCCCAGGAGTTTTACGCGCCGTTTTCTCTGGATTCATTCATCAACGCTCTTCTACGTGTACATGCATTCATTTTATCGGAAGCGAGATGACTCGGACATGGCATCCATATTTCATTAGCACATAATTTCTCTTTTCATGTAATTCCATTCTAATAGTCAGTATTCCAATTCAATAGCTTTCTTGAACAGTCATTATTCATAAACATATATCCACCGACTGAGCAGCTACTTTGACGCTCTTGACCGTAACCCTCGACTTCGTAAACTTCGACGTGGATGACCCAGATCTTCAATGTCTTCAACCTTGACCTCACGCTCCTCTTGGCCAATGTCCAATTCCACCTTCAAAAGCTTCTCTTCTCGCCCCTCTGAGCCTTTTCCTTCCGCCGCGCCCTTGCCACTTGCTATGACCTTTTCCCGTTCGATTTTGTTCTCGACTGTCTTACTCACCACTGCACTCGGGCACAACCCTTGCTCAGCAAGCGCACATTCGCCGCATTTCCTCCCAACAGGCAAACATATTGTCTGTCCGAATCCTACCAGCATGTGATTAATCTCATGCCATCGGTCTTTCGGCAACCAGCTTTCCAGCGCCATGCGCGTCTCTTCCGGATTGCGCGTCTTGTGCCATCCCCAGAGATTCGTGATCCGGTGGACATGCACGTCTACTCCAATACCAACAACTTTATCCCATGCAGCTGCCAGGCATAGATATGCCATTTTAGGTCCTACACCTGGTAGCGACATGAGTCCTTCCGGAGTGTCAGGTATGTCTCCGTTGTATGAATCGCGTAAGATTTCCGCAGTTCGCTTGATGTAGGTCGTTTTGTTATTGTGAAAGCCTACCTGGCGGATCAATGCGTTGAGCTCGGTTGGAGAAACGGCCAGGATATTGGATAATGTGAGCCCAGGCGGGGGCAGTTGTGTCTGCATCCCCCGGACCGCAGCTGCAGTTGCCGTATCCTTAGTTTGGGAGGAGAGCATTAGAGAGATAAGGGTCTGGAAGCGCTGGTCCTGATTTCATGCCACATGAGCTTTAAAAGCATAATTAATTTTCCGGGACGCTATGGGTTGGATACCTTTGGCGACGCTTCGCGCTCAGCTAGCCTTTCACAGCCCATCGTATCCACAGGTGCAATTATCTTTCGCCGCATTTCCCGAGTCAGGTCGTAAACCTTTGCCCAATTTGGCGGCGGATGAATTGTAACTTCGCCATCGCCGGCGACTTCTTTCTTCGCTGGACGTCGTCGTGCCTTCGGCGCTGGCTTTGCTGTTGACACATGCTCAGAGGGAGGTGCGGATTTGAAGGACGTAATTTCAGTGATGGTTTCGGTTTTTATGGGACGCTTTGCATTCTCATGAGCTACGCTTTGCCGCTTTCTCTTCTTAGGCACTGCCGTAGGTTCGCGTTGCTCGTTCTCTATATCGCTGCCTATAGGAGAGGCGGGCAACGAAAGCGACGAGCTGGAGTCGCTGTCTTGCCCTGTCTCAGCTTCCAAAGTGGAAATTCTCTCTTGCTCTACCGGCAGGCGAGGGTCTGAATTCAGTGTATAGCCGCGAATCGCACTGGCAAATCTATCTCTTGCCTCCGAAGGCGTGCTTGTTGCCGCTGGCTGCCGGGAGCTCGCGGTGAGAGCGGCGAGTTTGGATGTCTCGCGCGCCAGGCGCGAGGTTCGCATGCTTATTTGCAGAATTCGGAAAGTACAGTATTATAAGACTTTCTAAACGAGATTTAGTAAGAGAAGGTGCTCACGTTTCTTCCACTTGAACAGTATGTCCCCGTAATCGCAGAGTTTAGGAATGTTGATACTGAGTCCTGAGGAGCATTGAATCGACCAATCAGCTCTCAGCAATTTCACCAGCGGGACATGGACAGGCTCGGAACGGAGGATCTATTTTCCCCGACCTTTTGACGTATAGTCCAGGCTCCAAAGCTCCAGTGCACTCACTGAGAGTCCACGCAGTATTTACTGCTCACCCTCATCGCACATGGGGAATCAGGTAGTATTCCGATAATAAATATGGGCAAGGACGAATACGCCACAACTGGTGGGTCACTCAAGCTTAAAGGGGTGCAGGGTGGAAAAGTGGAAAAGAAAAAGAAGAAGAAGCCGAAGCCTCCGTCCGCCGAAGCTACCGACGCCTCGAAAGAGATCGAGCGCAAAGACTCTCCTGCAAGAGAGAAAGAGGAGAGAAGTGATACGGCGACTGCAGAACAATCGGGAAATGACAGTGAAAACAGAGATGGATTCGCTCACGAGAGCAAGACTGCAGCGGAGAAGAAATATCTGGAGATGAGGCGCAAGCGGGTATATTATCCCCTGGCATATTTTCTGTTGTTTGAATCCCTTTACTAACCCTTGCACAGTTAAATGAAAGGCTCCAGAGAGAAGGCGTCAAGACACACAAGGAGAGAGTGGAGGAGCTGAACAAGTATCTTTCCAACCTGAGCGAGCACCATGACATGTGAGTTCTAGATTTAATCATTTGTACTGGTCAGATTGCTAACATTAAAACCCTACAGGCCTCGTATTGGACCTGGATAACACTTTTTCTCTGGCACTGCTTCTGCCATTCACTACATCATATTGGCGTTTTGGTTCGTCCTGGGGGACTTGATGAGCGCGGGGTTTGCCATATCGTTTGAGGAACTTGTCTGTCGCGTTTTTATATAAGGTGTCTCTGCATCGCTTCGGCTCCAGTCCTTGTAGCAAATCAACAAAAATTAATGAAACTCATTTGAATAACAAATTTCTTTTCGTGCAGTAAACTCAATTGTATCATATAAGGCTGAGCTAACTTAGTATCTACCCACTGTTTATATAACTAAGGTATGTGCTATAAGCGAACGGTTGCAGTTGAGGATTAGCAGCTTTCAAGAACAAGATTCATCAGACAAGGGAAGGTCTAGAGTGTCAACTCATGACGAAATTTGTTTTTTCTTTAGGTCATCACTATTAGAGTCTCTTCAAACAATATGGCACCGACAGACATTTCATCCTTTGCTACAACACAGCTTGCACTTTTGGACGAAGAGTTGCAGGCGGAGCTTGCCGAAACGTCATTACTAGCATCTCAGTCAACACCTACTGCTCTGCAGCGTGCTGGCGTTGCGGTACTCAATCTTGCTGTAGATTCTCAGAGAACGGGCCTTGGTGGCAAGACGGTGATTGACCTTGGACTTGACCCGGCCGTTGGCGGAGGAGATCTCCCTGAACATGGCATCCGCACGGGAGATATTGTTAGCGTCCAGGAGCAACCTTCTGGTTCCGCAAAGAAAAAAGAGAAAACTGATCTGAAGAAGAATGGAGTTGACGGTGTGGTGGTAAAAGTCACGGCCTCAAGCATTGCTGTCGCTTTAGATAATGAAGATGCCGATGCTCCGGCCGGCAAGCTTTGGGTGTAAGTAAATACATTTGCTGCCACATTTATGGGCGAGTGCTGAGCAGATTTTATAGTATCAAGCTTGCCAATGATATTACGTACAAACGGTAGGTATAGTCCGAAGCGTATTGCAAGTGCTGTCTTCTGACGAAGTTATGCCTGGCCGCAGGATGAATCAGACCATGACTCGTCTTGAGAGGTTTTCTGAGCCAGAATATACTAATCTCATTCGAGTGCTCTTTGGTCAATCCTCACCTACTCCGGTGTCTGCAGAGGATATAGCTGCATTGACTGGAGGAGAATCCATTCAATTCATCGATCCGAGTTTGAACGACTCCCAAAAAGAAGCCATTAGATTTGCCATAGCATCTCGAGAGATTGCGCTTATACACGGCCCGCCTGGAGTAAGTTTAGTCTTTCTCTCGCAGTAATAAATGCCCTTCTACTAATGATTCTGTATAGACTGGGAAAACTCATACGCTTATTGAGCTTATTTTACAGCTTTTAAAGCAAAAGCTACGGCTACTTGTCTGTGGACCCTCAAACATATCCGTGGATAACATTGTAGAACGACTCTCTCCTCACAAAGTGCCAATGGTCAGACTCGGCCACCCCGCACGACTCCTTCCATCTGTGCTGGATCATTCTCTGGATGTTCTTACCCAAACTTCAGACGCTGCAGAAATTGTCCGTGACATCAGGCAAGAAATGGACTCTAAGCAGGCAAGCATACGGAAGACCAGGAATGGCCGAGAAAGGAAGGCGATCTATGGCGACCTTAGGGAACTTCGAAAGGAATTTAGAGAGCGAGAACGCAGATGCGTAGGCAACCTTGTTAGCGAAAGCAAAGTTGTACTGGCGACGCTTCATGGTGCTGGCGGCTTTCAGCTGAGAAACGAAGAATTCGACATTGTCATTATTGATGAAGCTAGTCAAGCATTGGAGGCTCAATGTTGGGTTCCGTTGCTGACGGCAAAGAAAGCTATTCTAGCAGGCGATCATTTACAATTGCCACCTACGATCAAATCACTGAACAGCAAGACAAAAAAAACAAAGCTTGACGATACTGACTTAGTTGGAAAGGCTACACTGGAAACAACACTTTTCGACCGTCTTTTAATGCTATATGGCTCCTCGATCAAAAAGATGCTGACAACGCAATACCGAATGCATGAGAAAATAATGCAATTCCCTTCTGACAGCTTATATGAATCTCGATTGGTGGCTGCTGAGTCGGTAAAATCTCGTTTGCTCAAAGATCTCCCTTATGGTGTCGATGAAACAGAAGATACATCCTTTCCTGTTGTTTTCTGGGACACTCAAGGGGGAGACTTCCAAGAAAAGACGGAAGATGAAGAAATAGGAAAGAAGGCGGGCAAAGGCATGAATATTGGCGAAAGCAAGAGCAATGAATCCGAGGCCATCTTGGTCAAATTCCATGTGAAAGCTCTGGCTGATGCTGGTCTAAAGCCTGAAGATATTGCTGTAGTTACGCCATATAACGCACAGGTCAGTTGCCGCATACCTGATCTAAGTCGTGGTTCTCTATTGACAGAAATAGCTTGCACTGCTATCACAAAGTCTTAAGGAGTCATTTCCAGGGATAGAGTTGGGTAGTGTCGACGGCTTCCAAGGGCGAGAGAAGGAAGCGATAGTGGTAAGCCTTGTACGGAGTAATGATAAACATGAGGTCGGATTTCTCGGGGAGAAGCGTCGGTTGAATGGTGAGCATAGCCAGGGAGAACAAAGCATACAGACTATTGACAATTCTGGCAGTTGCCATGACGAGACCCCGAAGACATCTTTGCGTTATTGGCGATTCTGAGACGGTCAGCCAGTAAGTGCACTACGTTGCGTGATACGCAAACAGAACTCGCTAATCATATCCGGGTATAGTGGCAGTAAATTCTTGAAGGACTGGATGGAGTTCCTTGAAGAAAACGCCGATCTTCGATATCCAAACTTGGCAGATTTACAGGAGATATAGTTCTCTACCAGGTAACGATCGCGAATCTCAATCTTCGCAACCTCGACCTTTTTGGGAAATCTAAAGACAGTGGCAATTATGGCTTTCTGCGGGCTCACTGTCAACACATTAATGCATGAATTGTGGCAAGGGCCAAATTCGACATGAAACTCCAATCTGTGATCGTGGGTCGAGAGTATACACGGTACATCCAGGCCTTGCTAGTGTGATCGCTAAGGAGTCTACTGAACCCATTCTGATACGATAATTGGATCCTATTTACAGTTAAAAGTTAGTTATCGATCAGTGGCCCTTTACCTGGTCGGCTATTCTGCCCTCGCCAAAGATCATCGGTTTCCACAATTATCAAGGATCGTGCATTAGCTTCGCTACTTGGACCATTTGGATACCGCTCATTTCACCTGCTTCTTGTGAGAGATCGTGACGATCAGAAGGCGGTGCCCTCCAATGCGAACCGGACGCGGTAGTAACTTTTCCATTGTCTATCCTTACCGCATGCCAAGCTTCTTCTGATGCAATTACGTTCAGCTTGAGCGCGCCGCGGGTCAAAGTGTGGCTCAGACGTTCGCCACCGCTGACTTAATGCACACAATGTCCACCTTCGGCGTCGCCGCTCAACACAGAACATGGAACTTCCGGCCTTGAATTCGGTACATTTACCTTTTTGAGAGACAGGTTCATCGGCATGGGCCGAAAATGTCCCCAATTCAACAGTTACCGCGTGGCTCTTGCGGAATTTTTTTTGGCGCCATCTTCCAGTCATTCTCCCTGAGGGTTCGCGGCTTTTTCGAGACTGGGGATGGCCAGGGCCTTCAAACGGCCCTAATGGTCTCTATTTTGAGCACTCCCTGAGTAATTGATAGAAGCTTTAAATTAATTATGGAGACACCTGCTGTGCCAATGGAATGTATTGGATGAAACGAGCATATCCGTCTTTCGATTTATCTTGCTCTCATGCCCAGCCATTTTCTTGATTTTCTGCAATTGATGGCAAATGCTTGCTCAGACTCTATTTCCAGATTCAGCTCCCCGAAGATACCCTCATGATTGCTAGGTTTTGAGCGTGCTGATCGACTCTGGCCTTGCATCACTTCTTTCATCTCTTCATACTCACCTCAACTCTCTTTCATGACATTGTCATACTTGCCCGGCGGATCCAGAAATTGTCTGGATATCCAACTTTCCTCTCGGCCTTAGCTTTCCTCCTGGTCGAAAACTCTTTGTACCCCATCGTCAGCCATTATCTCAGCTTCACACCAATGGCGTCCAGGCAACATCGCTCAATGCCGCGACTTAATCGAAAGCGTTCCTTGTCAGCGATGCGCCAATTCAGCGATGCTTGTGACGCATCTATGCAGGAAGCTCGCCCATTGAGCGCAGCTCCCAATTGCAATACTATCATTCATTCCGGACCGGCTCCATCCCCCATTGGGCAAATTTCGAAGCAGGACTCGATCAAGGATATGGTTCGGTCATTCTTCAGACGCCGGCCAACTAATGAAAGCCGCGAGAGTGACTATAAATATCGGTCAAATCCCAACACACGGTGGGACTCGGGGGATGATTCCCGTATTATCTATACGAATTCCCCCGGAGTCATCGAGAGCCATGACTCTCGACCTATTCGGACATCATCATCAACCGGCGAATTGGGTCCAATCCACCATCACATTAGGCATTCTAGGATATCTCACCACCCTACATCTAGAATGAGAAGTACTGGCAATGTTTTCCGGCTAGATGTGTCGCCTGACTCTCTTTTGCCTCAGCCTGACGGTGCGAGCGTCTCAGAATCCTATACAGATGTTCATGGTCCATCGACAAGTACCGGCCTTACACCGCGTCCGAGCAGTGCGCAACAGAGTAAGGTCATTTACCCTCTCATAGTAGGCTCGACACAGGGAGAAACTATCGATGGATCGTCGTTTTATTACAGAAATCCGCAAGAGGTGGTGCGAGAAGCATCTACTGACCGACCATTTGACAATTCCAGTGGTGTTGGCGAACCAGGGAAAATGACATCGCAAGTAAATGATCCTCGGTCACAGTCTGCCTCGTTTGTAGGCATTGATTCGGCTCCTGTTGGCTCTGAGGCTGAACCAAATCAGTTCGAATACAGACAAGATTCAACAGACAATCATAAGGACATAGACTATGTCGTTCTAGAAGGACGATTCAAAGACCTGGAAAAAAGAATGAGAACATTAGAGAGGACCGTTCTTCGGATTTACCGGCAGGTCCGCGGGCCATATATGGCTGGCGCAAAATCTGTGGACGCAGTGTCTCAAACCTTTGGTGACCCTCTCACGAACTTGACCAATTCAACATCGGAACACTCAATCTCTCCAGAAACTGTGGGCCTGGTAGACCTTCCGCTTTCAGGAGTTTCTCACTACCGAATGGGCACTTTCGGTGGGTCTTCCCCATCTTTGTCTTCGAAGTCAGGATCTAGCCCGGCGGCAATCCTTTCTGTTCCGGGTTCAAGATTCCCTGATATTTCCTCGGCGCAACTGGGCAGAAAGCCCTTAATCCCAGGGTCAGACACACCACTTGTATATGGTCAAACTCCGAATCAACATCAGCTCCATGACGGCTGTCAACAATATGAGGCATTGGCTGCTCTAGTAGAGAAGGAAAGGGTTGCCAGAAAGGGTATGAAAGTCCATATCATGTCGCTTCAACGAGAAGTACAGGAACTCAAGTCTAAGCGTCACGATGATATTCCCGTCTTCAAAGGGAGCAACAGGTCTCGTTCAGGCTCACCGGCACTGCAACAGAGCAAATTCAGTGTCTCTGAAGACGACTTTCAGATGCGCGATGATAATGGCTTTTATGATGCTCACGATCACAGTGTATATTCTAATGATGATTTATGCAGCAACGAACAGTTTCAGACCCCTTTAGAAGTGAATTACCCCGCAAACTTTCTTGATGTCCAAACTATAGCTGCGATGGATGACGGTCAAACATCAAAGAGTTCAACCTTGCCCTTAACCTCAAGTCGACTTGCTCATCCTGAGGGATTTATATAATTCATATCTTTTCATCGGCCACACACGGTGTGAACATATCGGCAAGGCTCGACATTATGGTTTTCCTTGGGCAATAGAGTACAATCCATTCCCCCGATCACGATAGATGTACACATTTTCATCGGTGCCTTCTCACTTCAGATAGATTTTTCAATTCAATCAGTAAAATTAAATTCGTACAAGTTTGAAAGGGCACCTATTCGCCATGAGAAGGACGCTGTATGTTTGAGGAGCTGAGACAAACATGCCATGACAGACCATTCCAGCGTAAGGGCAAGGTTGGCAAAAATGACCATTGCGTAGATCGCGTCGAGAGTGGCGAAGATTAATGGTATACTTTGTCTTATGTATCATCATTTTCTCTTTGACAATTATTCGAACTCTTCAGCAACGGCATATAAGCGTTACAAAACGTGAGGATATTGTGTTATCAGACACTCCGAGCGCTGCCCGTAACTGCGCCTAACTGTAAGTATAACTACCGAGTTCCGAGGCCACCTCTTTCAAATCGGCAAAATTGATGCTCCGACACCGCCTTCCGGCAACGATGACGCTATCTATTCACCTGCCATCCCACCAATTTCCCACCAGGGTCTAATTAGGGATCGAGTCGTCGCAAGCAAGGAAGTTTTCTATTGCTTTAATCCCCACCCAATATATTTACTCGACAGCAGATAGATGCAAGCATCACGATCTTTGTTCCAAGCAGCAATTCGCACACCAATCTCTCGGTCCACCGGAGCGCCTGGCATTAAGAAGTCTTACCCATTCTTGAACGTTTGGTCATATTCTCCCTCGCCCACTAGAACCGGTATTACTTCCGCTCATACTCGCACCATGGCATCAGCTACGAGTTTCTATGATTTCAAACCTTTAGATAGTAAGTTCCCTACGCGCATATCTGATGCAGTGTCATCTCCGTGCACGACTTGTGCCAATCTAGCTGGTCTTTAATGTGCAACCGTCGACATACAAAGATATGCGAGAATTATATCCCTAGAAGTAAATCATCCTTTTGAACATCTGCTAATGACCCATTGCAGAAAAGGGCCAGCCTTTTCCTCTTTCAAAGCTCGAGGGCAAAGTAGTGCTTGTCGTCAACACTGCTTCGAAATGCGGCTTCACGCCACAATTCGCCGGCCTTGAGAAGCTCTACCAGACAATCAAGGCCCGTCACCCGGACTCGTTCGAGATCCTCGGTTTCCCCTGCAATCAATTCATGAACCAGGATCCAGGCAATAACGATGACATTCAGAGCTTTTGCCAGGTTAACTATGGCGTGAGCTTCCCCGTACTGGCCAAGACAGATGTCAACGGTGACAAGTCCGAGCCCGTTTGGGAATGGCTGAAGGCGAAGCAGCCTGGTGTCATGGGCTTGAAGCGCGTCAAGTGGAACTTTGAGAAGTTTCTCATTGGAGCCGACGGCGTTGTCAAGGGTCGTTGGGCTAGCACCACCAAGCCTGAATCTCTGGAAAGCGTCATCGAGTCAGAGTTTGCCGTGGAAATCTTCAATGAAGGCAAATCCGGTGATAAAACTAGGCACCAGCTTGCAACGACGGCCGCTGAGGAAGCTGAGACTAAGGCGTGAAGGCTCCGAGGACTGACCACTAGCGAATTGATTTAATTTTAGATTGATATCTTTTCCTTGTCAGCTGTAATATTTGATAAGCTGGGAATTCATGTCGCGTTGTCTTGTTTGTTTCTTTATTGTTCTGCGTGGCAATGTATGGTCTTAGTAGCTGTATCTACTGCCCTGTATTGTAATACTAGCCTGTGTCGATAGTAACAAGCTCATGCCCCTTGACTACTTACAGCAGTGCTGGTTCATCCTACTATCTAGAATACTCGCCTCCAATGAGGCTCCATCCTCCGTAAACCGTAAAAGTACTCGAAACACTTCTCCTATGACCCAACTTCTCGCTGCCCTTTGCTTTGAGGTAGCGCTCACGACGTATGATGCACAAGCCAATGTCATCACCTTTTTAAGTACACAAGAAATCGACGACTGGTTTCATTATTTAAGCTCCTATGCATAACTAACTCCAACTTCACTATCCAAGAAGGCAGGTATAAAAATAGCATTGGTATATATTTTGTATTTTCGATTATAAATCCAACAACAAGCATTCTTAGCACAGTTGGTCAAGACGATTCGCCTACGAATCGTACCATCTTCCTTGGTCTAGTGGCTATGATTTCCGCTTGTCAATTCCGCTTAATACGGAATCGCAAGCGCGGGAGACCGGGGTTCGATTCCCCGAGGGAGAGATTCTTTTTTTCGAGTTTATTCCGATCAATCACAGGTCGAAGTTTTTTTTTTTTTTTTTGCACGGAGAAGAGAAGCTCCGTGATCAGTACGTGCTGCAGAAAAATTTTTACCTCCTTTACTCGAGCGCTGTTTGAGGGGCTCATAAAGTCGGATGAAGGAGCTCGCTCGATGGCTCTCAGAGGGTTTGCGACAACATCCGTCATATTGAAAAATACTAGAGCTTATAACTCGCCTGTTTCACGTCTAATTAAGATGATTTGCGATTGAAAATGTAGCTGAGCGATAGAAGAATCTTGTGAGCGATTTGCACTGCCAGAATTATCGCTCGTCGTGGAGGAATTAATTTACTTCCTTCATCGCGCGAGTCGCCAACACTGCCAGTTTCGCAATGGACTCCAGAGATTGCGACCGTGATAGACGTCCGACGATAATTCAAAGGCACATCCCGATCCGGAAAGGCGAGTTTCGATTGCGATTATCATCCGTCCAATGAAAACGATGAGGGGAATGTGGGGAGTGGGGAGGAAGAAGGAGAGTGAATGCGGTGTAATGAATGAGAAGAGTGCGAACGAACGTACTCTGTATCCTGGCATCGAGCTTTAAACAAGGTAGACATAAGGTAGACATGTGGAGTAGATACAGCCTACCTAGACGTATAGAGCCAATTGAACTGAAAAGCGCAGGAAATTGTCCGCATGCTTTTGCGAGATATCAAGCATTTGATTATGGATGGGGGGTAGGAATCTATCGTCGGGGGTGGGGGGAAGTTTGTGGGATACGAAAAAAAGAGAGGAAAATGGATGGAGAGGAACTGCAACGATTAACGTAGATATATCTTGCATTTCTCACCGCCGTGCCGAGCAAAGAGTTGATGTTGATCCAAAGCAGAGTAAAGAGTACTATAACGTTGAATTGCGAAAGGTGAGAGAGGATAGGGCGTTCAAAAAGGTAGATATGTAGAGTTTTGAATAAAATTATGAATAGTGTACAGATTGAAGAAGAGCGGCAACACGGTCATGGCAGGCGGACCGATGGTGAAAAGTGCAGTCCCAAGGGGAGAACCAAGACTGGATGAAACGAGATGGAGAGAAGTAAAGTAGAATAAGACAGTAGAATGTCCAAACAAAGTGGTATTTCAACGACTAAGAGACATCGACTCCAGTTCCTCGAGAAGAAAAGAGGGAAAAAGAGATGTCGAGGATCGAACATATACCTCTCCCTCTCCCAATTAGATAAGGTAATGGCTCCAAAAAAAAAGTCAAAATGATATAGATATAAACAAAAAATGAGTAGGTGAAAAAGAATCAAACAAGAAAGTTTGGACAGGATCCAGCACATGGGATATAAAGCAGACTCAGCTCTCAAAAGCATGCGGGGCGACGGCAAGAATTACGACCAAGCTTGCGACAATGAGGGCGCCAGCGATAAAGGCAACGAGGGCAATGCTGACGCGACTAGCTGGAAACTTGCCGCGAATGATCCAATGCTGGCTCTCAAAGTAGCGATGAAAGCCAACAAAGAGAATGACAATTGAAATTGCAAGAAACGTTGCACCAAGTGGCTTGCCGACTTGGCGGAGAGATGAGGCGCCCTCGGCACCGCCGTTCTTGCTTATAGTCGTATTGAGCCGAAAGAGCTGGGTCACGGCAATGCCAATACTAGCAAAGGAGAGCGATGTCCGAAGCCATGCGAGAAAAGTCCGTTCTGAAAGAAGAAATATGTTAGCCAGGCCGATTCATTTCACTGTGGTCGTTGTGCTGAAGCTTCCATGTAACGTAGTCAATGGCAACTTCAAGCATTGCCGTTCTGACGAATGAACTTTACGTACCAAGCGCCAAGTGGTCTCTGGCAACGCTTCCCTTGTTATCCAACTCTATGGCGCCAAACTTGTCCAGAAAATGTCTCCACCATGAAAGTTCCGACGTCTCTTCATCAGGAACATCATCACCAGCATTTTGTCCTCGACGCTCATCGGCATTTGTTTGTGTCAAATCGCTGGGAGTGGCCGTCGAAGGTGACGGTTTCTTTCCCTTGCCCGCCGCAGTGTTCCTCAAGCCTTTGTCAAAGCTTTGGTAGTCCTTGTTGCGCGAATTTCCCCGTTCCGCGCCGATTATAGCCGTCATCTCATCGTCATCATTATACTCAATGTTTCGACGGTCAAGTGTGCGTGAGGAGGAGGTAGTGGTTAGAGGTGTTGCTGTGCCACTGGAGATAGCGTGTTGGTTTTCGTCGCCTGGACTAATCACTGAAGATGGAGATCGAGTGCCTTTCGGGTCGCTCTTTTTATCACGGTTCCTGCTTTCACTGTCGCTGCGAGCGCGGACCGGCGATGTTGATGCGGTTGTGGTGGAGAGGTCAGAGAATCGGACGCTAGGCCGCCGGTCCACCTCAAGAGATGGCGGTAGTTGTTGGGCTTCAGCGGAACGAGCCGCCGCAGACGAAGCTGCAAACTGCTCGACTGCCAGTTCACCAGATGATCCTGTGCCCACATCCATTGGACTATTTTCCTCTTCGAGACTCAAGGTAATGAAGCCAAGAGATCAAATTCCAATAGAGCACCATAGAATCGTCGAAAATTTGAATGGTTTCGCGGAGCGTTCGCCTGGAGCTTTCCCATCCAATCTTTCCCAACTAACCTCCAGGCTTGTGAGCAGACAGAGACCAGAAAAGGGTTGTTAATGGGCGGATGTTTGGAGCGCCTAAGTCAAAGCTCTCTTAGATATAGTTTTCTCCTGAAGAAGAATTGGTGAAGAAAAACGATGCTGATATGTGTTTGCTGAATACTAGATGGTGAGTTCAGCAGTGTCTGATATCGACACGGCTTCTCATGGCATCATCGAACTTTGTAGAGCATTAATTAATGCTAAGAAGTGATGCAGATCTAGGATCAAGAGAAAAAGGGCAGCTAATAGAGCCAGCAAAGGAAAAAGAAACGGATTAAAAAGAGGTTACACTTTTCCCATGTGCACCCCATTATTATCATTATGCCAGCGCCTTTGGGAGCTGCATCGATAGTAATTACGAGATAAATGCCTAACTGAGTAAAGTCCAAGGATGCTTGTGTAGTGACCAATTTTTGGCGTGGTTGACGTGCTTGTGTTTCTAAAAGCGACAGGAAGGGTACATTCCGTACAGCTACGACAGGAGTGTGGGGTCAGTTGCTTCCTTATCCCCCACCTGACGGGAAATGTTTCAAGGTATTATCGGAGAAACTGGTCAGTGTCACGAAGCGCAAACGGCTGGCGCTTGGATCAAACCATGTCCTCAATTTCAAGAAATGGTCTGGTGATATATACTCTGGTAGTGTGTAAATGCGCCTTCAAATTTACTTTTCGGAACGGCAGCAAAATGAACAAACCCTAACCAGGTACTGCAAAGGAGAAGGACACGGTAATATGCCGCTCGGGATGTGGAGCGCACAAGTGTCTTCTCCTCTTGAGCTTATCATCAAACGAATGAGAGGAATGCTGAGAACGTAGTTCGCTAACCAGACGTAGAAGTCCCGGCGAGCTGGATTACATTGAACCGACGCAAGCGTAAATGGGAAAAAATCGAGCTCGGGATGCACCTCAGAGAACGTGCAGCACTTTCACTTTACAGCAATCAACTCTCCTTCGACACATCAAAATAACAACACATCCGATAAAGGAAGAAAAGGTGTCAAAATTCAAAAAGACAGTTAAAATTTACTAGAGAATATCAATCAACTATATGTATGCATATACCCTCGCAGAAGGGAAATGGCTGTCGACGAGATCGGATAAACCACGCCGTGGGAATGATCTGTGCGACGAGCAGAGTTGGAGAGCCAAACGCGCGCCGCGCGTAATAAGACGGATTCGAAACTTTGAGCGCTCAGCGATAAATTGTACAAGAATATGTTCGGCAGCTTCACAATCTCTATCCACGCACATCATCCCCAAACACCAAATGGCGGAAAATATGTTTCAACCATGAAGAAACGAAATGCATTAATATGCAAGGCGGAGAGAGGAAAAAAAAAGTGTTGACCGCCATAGATCAAGACGGGGTATAGATAAGGTGCATCTATGAAAAGACATAGTAGGCATTGCCCGACATGACTTGGACCTACAAAAAGGTTTAGTTTCTCATTCATTGAAAGCAGGATCATAAAGGACATTATTAGACTTACGGTGCATCCAGAGTCGTTCGAGCCAGTGGCGCTGTAGAACTGGCCGTTGGAGTACTTGCACGAGCCACCGAGGTTGTCTCCCTGGATCTCGATGTCGAAGTCGAGCTTCGCGTTGGTGGTGGGGGAGTTTTGCATAATGGAGATCCAGGTCGCGCCATCCTTCTGGCCAACGCCAAGGTTCTAGCAAAGAAAAGTCAGTTTCGGTACTTGATGTTTAGACATGTGAGGGAAAGGGAGAACTAACGATAGGAGCCCAGTTGCCATAGTCCTCGTCAGAGCTGCCCCAGGTGCAGGCCTTGTCCTCCGAAACACCCTTGGGGTTGACATAGTACTGAGCAGAGGTAGCAGCTCCGTTCCACTTGAAGTAGGTGTTGCCGTTGGGGCAGGTAAGCTCGTATTCCTGGCCAGCCAGAGTGTTCATGGGGACGGTCTCTCCCTCAGTACCAGGATAGTCGGTACGGCAAACAGCGACGTTGGTGTTGAGCTTGTTCTGGACCTTGACGTTTCCAGTACCAGGAATGCAAATCTGCTTGGACAAGTCGGAGTTGGTGAGTCTCAGCTTGCCGTTAGAGCAGAGGAGACCGCCAACGGACTGGCCGGTAGAACCCTGAGAAGTCGGCCACTGCGACTTCTGGTAGCCAGCAGGGCAGGCATAAGAGCAATAGGAGCCTTCGGTGCAGCCAGAGCCCGAGACGGCAGTATCAATGTTGGTAACAGCGGACTTGTCGGCATTGTAGGTAGGTTCCTGCACACCGGTCCAGCCGCCGAGACCCATCCACCAGACGTTGACCGCACCATAGTCCGAAGGGAAGTGAGAGCAGTCAAGCTCGCCGTCGGGGAAATCCTGGTCAACACCGGAGCTAGAAGACGAGGAAGACGTGGCGGCAGCCGCGGCAGAAGAAGTGGAGGAAGCAGCCGAAGAGCTGGGCGCAGCACTACTGGAGGTCGCGGAGGCCGAGGAGCTGGGAGCCTGGCTGCTAGAAGGAGCAGCAGACGAGCTAGATGCGACGAAGAATTGGGCGGCAGCAACGCTGGAACTTGAGCTTGCGGAGCTGGAGCTGGAGCTGGAGCTAGAGCTAGGGGCCACGCTGCTTGAAGAGGACGGGGTCGGAGTGGGCGAGGCGGTGGTAGAGGGAGCATCGGCATTCACCTCAATGTACTTTCCATCCTTCAAATCCTGGGGAGAAATGGTCTGGCCCGCCTGGTCGACATAGATGACGGTGGTGGCACCAATGTCGCGCTTCTCGGCATGGTGGTGCTGGTGGTGTCTGTGGGGCTGAGCGGCCACCAACGAGCCGGCCGCGGCCAAAGTCCAAGCAATGGTGGAAAACTTCATTGCGCCGAAATCAATTCAAAGCGTCGGAAATTGTCAAGTAATGATTGGCGTGGAGTCTCTCGAAGATCTCCTAAACGAATATCGCACAAGGAGTGTTGATTGTTGTGCTGTGATAGCTTGTCGGTGCCAAAAGGTCCTGGACCTGACTGAGGGAATTGTATGTTAGCCGCTGTCACCACCGGGGTTCAATGCCAGCTCAGCTGGAGCGATGCTATTCGAAGCACTTCAACGAAACGTCGAGGACGAATGTAAAAACGGGTGACAACAAAACAAACACAGGGGTGATGTTGAGCGCGCGTGAAAACAAAAACCCCTTGGCGGTTAAGAACGCGACGAGCGCGACGTACAAATTCGGGACGCTCCAAAAATTGACTAGAATCTGGCCAAAAAGGAAAAGTTGATGCGCAGTGGATATGGGAAGGAAACGCGGAGTCGAAAGGCTAGCTGCGCTGAAACAGGAAATTGATGTTCGTAAAAAGGATCCAAAAGAATGTGATAGGAAGGTAAACTTCCAGGTCGGATGAGTGCGAACGAAAGGTTGAAAGAGGGGATGCAGCAGCGGCAGCAGCGACGACGTGTATTGGTAGTGGTGATGATGAGAAAAAAGAAGAAAGGGAAGAAAGGGAACGAGAGGGAACGAGACAAGAGGAAAGGGGCGGACGACGACAGGTGATTAGGACTAGCCAGGGGGGGGGGAGAGGAAGAGAAGAGAGCGGATGTGTGGTGGGTGAGCGAGTAACAATAGTAGGCGTGGCAATCGGGGGAAGTACGTGTTTGGTACCTGAGCTAGCGACCAGGGACAAGGGAGAAGATGGGTGGCCACAAGACAAGGAAACAAGAGGAACAGGCAAGTCCACTTGATAGTTCAGGTACCCGACACGGCAGGGAAATTGGGGTCATGAGCCGCTGGCGTGTGCGAGTGCCTGGACTTGTGTTGTCTCTGGTGGGGACTTGCAGGGGTCTCTGGCGAGTCAGAAGCTCAAGCGAGACTGACTGCGCAATCGATCCTCTTTGAGCCGTTCCCCGGGCCACTGTGCTCTCAAAGAGCAAGAGAGAGTAGGAAAGAAAAAAAGAAAAAAAGAAAAAAGGAGACCGAGAGTCGTCTGAGAAAGTCCGTCAACCGGCTCTCAGCCAGAGTCCCTGTTTTTGTTTATTTCTCTCTCTCGCGCTTTCTCTCGCGCTTTCTCTCTCGGCCGTCTTCTCCCTGCCATCGCCTTGTCGCTCAAGGGATGCCTGCACTCCCACCAAGCCCCCAAATTGAAACAAAGGGCATAGCCAATCATGTTGGCCGATTTGGGGTGAAAAATGGGAAATGAGAATGAAAGGTTGTCCACGTCGTCCTTGGTTGTGATTGGAAGAAGAATGACGCCTGTGGCACCATCCGTGCTCAGGTCTCTCTCACGTACCTAATTCTTTGGTTGTCGTAGATCGTTAAAGGCTATTCTGTCGCAGACAGATCAATCACGACAGAACTTGCTGTCGTTGTGGGATGCGTAGAGACGAAAGGAGCGTAAGGGACCTCGTGAGTGCAAGATGTTGCAGAGGTGAAGTCGTAAATGACAGTTAAGGTCGTGAGGTCGTAAACAACCGATCGCTAGCGAACAGTCGTTCAAAAGGAATGTATGGCGCCTGGTGCCTCTGTCGTGATGCTGAAAGGGAGCAGAAAAGAAGAAGTTTACGGATGGGGGGATGCGGGGGTTTTCTACTCTGGGGAGCATAAGCGTTGGAAGACGATTATTCACTGCAGGCACGATCATCACCTCGTGGATGAACCACTTATTGCTCCACACGCACACACATCCGCATCCACACTTTCAATTTTTTTGATCTTATCCAAGTTACTCCGTACATGGCAGGGTTTTTGCAACCTTCTTCTCATTACTACGTAGAGGTGGGCTTCTAGGCGTGGGAAGGCTTCGGACAGAAAAAAAATTTGCAAGGAAGAGAGGCGGGAGAGGTTACGAGTGTTGATCTGTGGGCGCCGACGCTGGGCCGATTGAAAGGTGACGAGAATCAATCATCGTCAGCCATGTGCCTTGGTTGCCGCGTCGGCGCACCGGGCTCGGACATTCCTACGGTTGACTAGGCGGCTCTTCTTCTGCCCGCTAACTGAACTTGGCACCCTATCCAACGAATCATGGCCCATTCCAAGCAACGCGGTGCCTGACTACCGTTTTGGCGCGAGCCACGAAAGGAATATTGTTGCCCTGCCGTTTTCTACTCGTAGCCAGAGGTGGAGGGATCTGCAGCCATGCATCGGACTAGATTGCGCAAACCTCACGGTTTTTGGCCATTCGATGACCGAGGGAAGTCCCACTCTGCAACGTCGCGGAAGCCAACGCATCATACAAACGAAAGAGCAAGCATTGTATTATTGAGCGATTCAAATGTTTGTTGCAACCTGCTGTGAGAAAATGAGTGCATACTTTGTTTCGGAGGTGCGCACAGGAGTACGCTGTACAATATGACGAGACACAGCAAAGCGCTGGTACATTTCTTTTTTCCCCATAGTCCGCTTTTGCATCGATTAATCTGGAAAGTATACCGCATTGACGGTCCATCGGTGTATGTGACTTTCCTTCTGATGATATCAATTTCTCACTGGTCTGGACGAACGTCGAATGTTCTGGACAACTTGAATAGATTTCAAAATCTTTTTGACATGGAAATTTTTCTTCGCCCTAATGCAAAGTATGCCAACTCTATCAGCGATAATTTCGCAGTGCAGTCACTATCTTTTATCGATTCAACCAACACGACGGGATCTAGTCTTACAACGAGGAGACTTTGCTGTGTGATGGTATGAAGGTCCCTAGAAAATGCCTCAGCCTAGACTGACGATCCCTGTCAACCATAGGGTAAAGGGCTGCTAGGCATGCGTCGTGAGTACCACACAATAGTTGACCGCCAAATTCTCCACTTCTTCTTTTGTAATCTTCGGGCAGCAGCCGAAAGTGGCGAAGACTTTTGGGAAAAGAAAAGATGACCCAAAAGTGCGTTGAAGTTGGACGCACTTAGAGTGTTCCCTATGGACAGTAGGCTATACAGTATCCACAACACTAAATTTTTCCTTGTAAGCGATCTTTACGCCAATCCAGAAAGCTGGGCCCACCACTTGACTTAGCGAATTTAGAGGGCTGACTTTGAGCAAGATATCTCCGTTTGAACTCTTCCTAAAACTTCGTATCTGCAGAGACAAAAATTTTAAAATTAAATTTCAATTCTGACAGGCAAATATTTGAGCTAACCAGAGATTCGTCGGTGGGTGTTCCCGCCATATCAACCGTGGTTGGGGTCCGGTGCTACTTTCCCGATTGAGTTTGGAGATGAGAGCGGTCGTGCCTGTCAAAGGGCAAAAGTAGATTCTGTAATGTCACCCACCAACCAAAGAACGGCCGAGCTTTCGCTTAGACCCACTTTTACGCGGAAGATCTTCGCCGCCAAGAGAATTTTCACCAGGAACAAGGGACGAAGGGAAAAAAAAATCTCCCACGCACAGAGCGACCGACCGTTCGGTCCAAAAAGGTCGAAAGAGGGGAAGGCGGGGTTTCTCAACACTACAGGTTCCTCTCATCAAGAAGAATAGTAGAACGTTGCACAGATGACTGCACTCAACATCCACTTGGGGAATTAGAGCGCGTATAACAGTGATAAGCTATTATCGCCCTGGCCTGGTGCATTGTTACCTTCCCGGTTTTTGACGACGGCGCAGGTCCTCCCGGCCAGCCCCGCAGCCCCAATCTAATGATCGAGAAAGGCTAATATATCCTCATTTGCTTGTATGGCGGGATTTCCTCGTTGCATTTGAAATTCTGAACTTGCTTATATGCGCTTTAAAAATCCTGAACCAGGACCAACGCGTCCCTGTTAGATGTTCCGAGTGTCATCTCAGATAATCTGTGCCAATTCAGCTGGTCTGGTTCAGAATGCCTCACCCAAAGTCACTAGAAACGTGACAGGCAGTGTGACCACGGGTCGTCCATTCTGGCTGTTCATAGGACAGGCACGTAGCGCTCATCTGGTATGAACCTAACAACTTTGCACACGTGTTCGAGATATCCAGTATTGAACTTCCTGCATAAATCTGTTCAATTGATGCTTTTAGCACCTTTGCATTACACAATACGACGGCTTCTTTGGGCATCATCCTTGTTTCCTGTGCCGCCCTTGCTTCATCTTCGCATTAATGTACACCCAGCTATTGCTTGGATCAAGTAACTTGATTATGATTAGAGAAGTCATTTGCTGGAGCCGGTTTGTGCAACTTGCATCGGACACTGCCCAGGACGAACGTTTCTTGTGGAGAGATTGATGATTCCTATGGCACGCGTACAACGACCACGAGGGGAAATGTGCCCTTTCACTATAGGCAGCAGCCTTATTCTGCACATCAAGGCAACATGTACAAAGTAGAAGACGCCAGCCTTCAGCTCGGGTCAATCCCCACCTCATGCCAAGAAATCGTAGAAACCATGGTAAGGGCTGTTCTTCCGGGTCCTTTCCCCCTCGCACCCATCTTGGTGAAGAAACGTTTCCATTCTCAGGGTGAGAAAATTGAATCAGGGGGAGAAAGAACGTTGAACTGATCAAAGCTCATGCGGGCCGTCCCGATTTCTGGCAAATTCCTGACAGAAAGCTTAAATACCTAGGGTCAGGACTGTTTAAGTAAAGCAAGGGCCATTTGAGCGAGATAAACCACGCGCTTGTAGATTACCGCGATCCAAGCATCTGTCGCCCATACCCAACAGCGAAATCATTGTCCCTGCGGCTCGACGAAGGTAGATTACATTCTTGTTTCGGTCGTGTCGCCTCTATATCTTCCCAAGTGAGGGCCCTTCAGAGGCACCCCTGTGCTTGTGCGTGGCCGAACCTGTCGTTCTTGCAAGCAGATGATCTGTAGTCCACGAGGACGAATTAGGACCAGGTTCTCAAACATGTGTCCTATGTATCGCAAGTGTGAGTTAACTGACAGGCAGCATTGAGGAGCAATGCTGGCAACGGTCACAAACGATGGCATCCATAAAAGCTTTTCCAGTTCAAAATGCGAAGCTGCGAAGCTGCACAGCCAAACAAACCTATTGAACTGTTCGTATGCCAAGTCAAAAATAAGCAACGCAAGCACGTGCAACATCATCAAGTCCGACTGTGGGCAGGTCTCTGCTGAGCTATTTGCGTGATATGCAGCATGTGCCCTGGCAAGGAGGCCAAATGAGGCGTCAATAATTCTAGATGAGAGCTCTCATGTTGCATGCGGCTGTTGTGGAGCCTGTGTCTCACTTGTCAGTTGAGCTTTAGGCTGTTCTTTCAAAGAGGTAATATCAACGACTGGGCTGTTAATCGTTCCATACAAACTCATTGTGCGCGCTTCTGCGTTCTAACGGCCATGAATTTGGAGCGTCAAATGATCAGCTTATATTTACCCTGGCCGGAGCGGAAAGGATACCAAAAGCATGATCAAGTTGTGTCTGTAATACAGTCTCTATATTGTCCTAAAGAGGGTCAAGATCATTTAGTATCAGATAAATGACCATGTTCAGCGTCGGGCATGCATGAGGCGGCGTCTAATAGCGGTTGTCCAGGCGCGAGAAGCAGTCAACGCATTATAAATAAAGTTGCGAAGAACATGATTCTTTGACAGTGCCAGAAATCCATCTTTTTCTTTTGCTCAACAATATTCTGATAGCAAGGCGAGAACAATGTCATGGGACATTCTGCCCCTGGGCATAGCGGTAATGAAGGAAGAGAAACTGCTCGTCTGTACTTGGAGATGCTCATTTGCAAGAATTAGTCGGCCAGACGATGCCCCAAGGATCATACCTGAGAGAGCAAAAGGTCAGGTGAGAAAAGAGAATAGCTTCTTGGGTAAAAGAGAAAAAGAAAAACAGAAACCGGAAAAAGATGGATCAAAAAGGAAAGGAAAACTGGAGGAGGAGAAAGAAATTGGCATAGCTTCTGCACAGCAGGTTTACCGTTTGGAGACTTTTTTTTTCCTCGCAGCGATCTCAAGTATATGATATTCCAAGCATCGAAATGCTCACAATATAAGAGCGTAGAGAAGCAGAACAATCCAACCAAATGGCAAATTAACTAGACGAACTCAAAAATTAAATGAAGAAACGTTAAATAAAAATTAAAATGACACTGCAAAGCAACCGAAAAAATAAAAACATAAGATAAAATAAAATAAAAATAATTATAAATTTTTATAAGGGATGGCGGAATAATGAAGTTTCACTCAATAAAACTGAATTCTTAGAAAGTCTCAACGGCAGAAACCAATACCAAGCATTGCGTCTCTCTCGTTTCTCATTCTGCAAGGCCAACAACTTCGAAATGCTGACAAGTGTTGCACCACCATAACGCCCCAGAGGACGGTCCGTTATCGGAAAATTACGCGCTCAATAGGGAAGGCGAGAGACAATGAGGCGGTGAAGCAGACCCTGAGGAACATCAAAATATCGGAATAATAGTACCCCTGTAGAATTAAAGGTTTCGAGACTCAAGCTTCAATTCGGATTGTCTAGATCTTCGACTTGAGACAATCATTTCAGTCAATATTGAGTCAGAGCGGAATTATCCATGAACACAAAACATCTTCGGCCGCGTCATTGTATTAGGCGTCCATTTTCGACCTCAAGCTAAAATCTAGATGGCAGTCAACTCGCCCCAGAATTAAATTAAGTGGTGTGAGGTCCTCGAAAATCGCCGGGAAAGACGCGCCTAGTTGGCGACGCACAGAGCGTGCAATCGGTAGGAATAGTGACGGCTCGAGTTCCGCGCCCCGAGATATCGCCGCGGCTCGCCGACGCCGGTCATGCGCTGTCAACGCTTTCGACCCTGGGAAATCCCCAACGAAGACGGTCCTGGGCGCACTTGCTCTTTTCTCCAATTGCAAATCCTAGACTCTGTTGACGCCAACAAAACAATTCCCGTCTCTCCCGGTGTTATCGTGACTCAGTTAATATTTCAAGCCGACAATAATGGTAGACAGTGGCAGATGTCAACCGAATGAGCTGATCAAAAGTCTTTTGGAACACTATCGGTTATAGCTTTCGGTTCACACCTCTCGGCAGCACTTACCGACAAGGCTAACTGAATCATGGACGTTGCCTCGGTGCAAGAAACTCACAAACTAGAGAGTCAGCGTTGACGGTAAATCAAGACCAACTTCCCGCCAAAATGCAATTTGCTCTATCGGAGTACAGAGACTACGCCAGACCCACTTCAGTCATTCGGACATGTGGAAAAGGGTCCCAAACGTTTCAGAATGGAAGGGAATAAACATTTACACCCGTGGACCCATGTTGACCTTTGTCAATTGTGATATCCTAGCTAGCCAGCGGTCCTCGGGCCCTCTATGAAAAGAAAACCGATGAGATTTCTTTGGGCAGATGTGCCGAGAGAAGGTTTTCATCTCTTTGACCCAATTGCTTGGCCACGTGTATCTGACCCGCAGCCAAGAAGCTCGAGAACTGCCTCATCTTAGGTAAAAGATTATCATATGACGCCGTAAGCCAAGCGGCTAGATAACCAAATATGTTTCGTCACTCCGACGTTGAAGCTCATTGCTGCTCTAGGAATGGCAAAACGCTGTCGTATAGCAGGAAATAGCTTACGGCGAAGAAAAGCTTCCGTAATCTCGTTACCTAAGCTGAATGCACATGCTAGTTAGGTAGACCCTTTTTTCGAACCAATGGCGTCAATACGGAGGATATTCACGTTACAGGCTTGCTTTCTTGCAGGAGGGGCGCGCCTGTGCCGTTTCGGTGCCGTGATATCCATACTTACCCAGTTCAAACCGTCTCTGCCGTTTTGCTTCAATGTATTTCTTGACAATCTTTTGCCGTCCGGACCGGTTAATTGCGGTCCCGGGAAAGCAGAGGATGCGTCGGCCCTGTCTACCGATCTATCCACGACCTCGCAAAGTGTGGACCTCCTCCGGGGTTGCACTGGCGCTGACGGGGTTGGATCAGGATCATCAGCGCTACAAGTCCCTATCCACAATTCGGGTATCGTTTGTTGTTGCCATTGAGAGCCTGTGTATCTTTCACATGCTTCGGGACTTGGTTGTGGTGAGGATGACGACTGCTGTACTCAGCGTAGAGAATTCAGCATTCGATGCAAGCTTAGGGCAGTTGTCGTGTCACTTGCAGTCTTTGTCTCGTACGGATACCTGCCAATGAGAACATGAATAGTTGCAGTATTGTAATGTGCTGTAGTGCAGTGCACTGCACCAAAAAGAATGACGCATGAATATGATTCGTTATTATATGGCCACTTGCGTCAGCGCGCATGAAAGAGTTGATAGTCATTGCCTCCCATCCCAGCAACCTGAACTGAGGACATTTCCCATTGCAATTAAGAAAAGGAAGACTTTATACGACAATGAGTTTTTATTGCCAAGTATCTGAATTGCTGGTTGGAAGTAGTGGGGCCCTAGGTTTTAGCTTGCATGAATCCCTTCAAGACCGTGGGGAGGAGTTGTGCGGGGAAAAAGGGTGAGACTAGACATAAAGAATGTTACCATTACTCCCATCGGCAACAACAATGCTACACTCATTATCGGTAAATGATCAAAGTTTTGTCTCAAAATATGATGAGGCTGTCTCAAGTGGTTAGAGGTTAAATGCATCACCAAATTGCTAAAAACTGAAATATTCCACCTATAAGTTTTACAGTGGAATTAAGAGATATAGCTTGATTGATGAGCTTCGGTAGATTGACATTAAGGGTAAAAAAAAGAAATTCGAGACCTGTGGTTTCGGCAAATATCTGCCATAATGTATAATGATGAGAATGATTCAGAAAACGAGAGAATGAATAGCAAACTGGTATCATAGTAAAAGATGCAATCAAAGCGAGTGGACCGACAAGAATGTCAAGAGAACGCTGAATGTTTAAAAACCAAAACGAACGACGTGTTGAAAGGAAATAAGGATTATAAGACAAAAGAAAAAAAGAAAATTGGCTTATGCCAGAGCAGTTTAGCTGCATGCTCCTGCCAGAGACTCCGTATGCCGAACCAGATGAAACGCACTCCCAAGGGAGCCGTCTAGAAGAGGTATATATTTCTTCCATTTGACCCATAAATTGATAAGCCTGGATACACCCTGAAAATGCCAAATTTTGGTTGAGCCGCTACTCGTCGCCATGTTTCTATTCGGTAACGGTGTTTGTGCACGGTACGAGGTCTATCGTTGTCTTTCGCGAGTGGTTTCCTGGCATATCAAGCGCTCAACGAGTTCTCTTTGAGCTGCCTCGTCACAAACGCCACGAGCCACTGAAGTTGCCCCTGCTATGAAATAGCCACCCTCCTCTTCTAACATCAACGGCGTGACTGGGCCTGGGCTTCCAAGCGGTACCAGCTTTGGACTGGCAGGCTTTGTGCCAACCTGCCTGACGGGATCCCGTGTAGCAAATGTGTGACCCATCAATTCTCGCTGATAAGCGTATAGCTGCCGTTGGGCCTCGGAAATTTGTCTCTGCGCGTGAGCGTGAGGAGTGCTAAGTTCTGAAGCCGGAGTGTTTGAAGCGCTCGTGCTAGGTGATTGGTATACCGCGGGGTGAAATCGTGGCAGCGAAGGCAGCCGCAGAGGATTTGAAGGAGCCTTGCGCTTCGCGCGAGATGATGTCGAAAACATTGCAGAATTCATATGGCTCGTAGAATGTGGTGAGGTTGGACCGATGATTGGCGATGCGCGGTCACGATGCATTCCGTGGCCGAGGACAGAGGTGACGGTCGATCTGCCCCAGAGGCTAAATTTGAATTTATCCGATGAAAGAAAATTCGAGTGGTCTCGCGAGAAGAATCAAGAGGATGGAAATGTCACAAATCGCTTTTCCAAAGTCGCTTTTCGTGCTTGAAGCCGAAGATTGAAAAAAGTGGGTTTGCGTCTCGGTTTGAGATCTACCGGTGTGGAGAAGGGACAAAGAAAATCGCTTGTCGGAAGGGACGTCAGTCGGGATTACAGAGGTGGCTGCGGGGTACCGGCAGTCCCTGAGAGTGAGCAGCGGAAATGGCTGCGAGAGGCGTCACACCAAAATTTGCAGAGAGTTTTGCGTGAGGATATGGAGCCACTGCGGGAAGATGGGGGAATATATTGGTCGCTGGATTTTTAATATGTTTTGAAAGATGGAAGTATTTCAGAGAAATATGTCAATTGAAGGGTAAATCAATGGGCACAAGACGAGATCGTGAACCAGAAGACGAGAGATTGAAAGGGCGAGGGTTTTCACCTGCTCTCCGCTTTGAAACGGGTCTTAGCGACACATCCGAACGAGGGAAGGAGGCAAAGACAATCCCCTCGTTCGCCGCAAATGGATTCGCGTCCCCACCCTACGTAGTATCTTCGCACAAAAGTAAAACTACGAAAAGCCATGTGAGGGCAAAAGGTACAAGTCAGGCGGGTTAAGCTCTGCTCGTGTAAGGGACATTTGATTATCTCAGACATTTCTCCTTCAGACATAGGGGCAGATTCTCCTTTTTCAATTGGCCAGAGACATGTCAGCTGTGCCCTATTACGAGTACAGAACAGACTCTACACGAACTCGAAATCACGCCCCCTTCAACGACGGGCCAGGGCGGATATTCCACGCTGATCATTTCGTTATCAAACTCGTGGCATTCCAAGTCAACGATCGCAAGGGGGGGGTTTTTTTTTATCCTCATTCTCCGGGAGAATCCGACTACGAGAGCGTATGGAGAAGGCCAATGGGACGATTTCGAGTTCAGTGGGTAGGTGCTGTTCTCGATACGTGCTGGACATCAGCTGCGCAATGAATTCGTTTTGAAGAGTATCATAGTATCCGCACAAAGCACCCTAACTAACCCGTGCCTCAGGCACTCCAGCATAGCTACGCTATAGTTCGAAATTAAACGCGACAACTCTTCTGTGAGATCCTGGCTGGGTTGCTAGTGTCAACGATTGAGAAGGTATCCAAGTGCTTCTCCGACCAAGCGAGAATCTCCATGACTTAAGGGTACGCTGGCGTCACTTCTGGCGCTGCGCCACGCATTTAACCCAGCGTGGCCCCCGGTCGAGTCGAAGAACTCAGCCTCGACGTGAATTCAAGCCTCCCCATGTGACGAGTAGAAGTTCAGAAGTCATTTCATACCTGATCTAACCCAAAACGTCCCCTTGGCCATATCTCTTTTCTTTTTGTGCCCTGCGAAGCTTGCCACGGATCGAACTTTTTGAATTCTCCATTTCCGTCGTGCTGGCATTTCCAGATCCGCGGTAAGATAAGGGAGGTAGAATGAAAAGTTCACTCGCGAATACCCGTAACGTAAAAATCCCGTGGACTTTGTCCATTGTTGCCGTACCAGAACCTTAACAGCTGTCATCGAAATCACAACGAGGGCTTCATGCGAGCAGCACAATGAATTATGTTTGATAGCCACTTTATCACAGCTGAACGGCACACTTCAGTTGGCTAGACTAAACGCGTAACCTCTGGCCGGCGCACATGCTTGTACTATGTTCAGGAACACTGGGATGCGTTGAAAAGAGGGGGGTTAGTACTCTAACAGCTTGGAGATCATCGATTCAAAAGAACCCTGGGAATACTTTGTAAGGAGTTCGATAGATTTGTCATTGGCCTCCAACGAGCGACTTGCTTGCGTGCAATTTCAGCCGACGCGGTATGAGAACATATTGGCTGAGGAGAGGAATAGACGCCAAGAGCGATCGGGACTGGAATTGATAGATTGACGCATCGCTCATCACAGTATGGAGTACTACGTAGTGACGAGGACAGCAAAAAAGTTGGGACGCTTGATACGGAGTAACTACAGAATTCGTACACGTAAATCAATCATAGCAGGGGAGTAGGGATGGTGAAAGCAGTGGGGCGGATAGAGTTAGTTGCCTTAGTCATCTGGGGCGCCACAACGTTTGAAGACGGTGAGGTCTTGATTGAATGGAATCATGATGAAAGCTGGAATTCTGCAGAAGGGGCTTCAACGAGAATGCCACGACGAAAACGCTCGGCAAACGGCAGCAGAAATTTTTCACTGGACCCTTATTACATTACTCTATTGCTTTCTCGTGACGGGTCTTGTCGCGGTGACGGATAAAATGGGCTCCGAATTGCACCGTGGGAGGGTTTTCATACGAAAAAGGATTTGGTGCCTTACGGAAAGAATTGGGGGAGGTGAAAGGAGAAGGCGATGGGGACGGTCGTACGATAAATCACCCGACTTTTCTTGATCCAAGTTCCCTTCCCAAGGCGAGGTTCGCCTAAGGTTCCTCCCGCCCCCGAACCAACACCATTGGGTAGGACCGAAAGGTGGTGATGTACTGTAGTGTCGAGACCAGCATAGTTGCGGCGCACAACGAACCCTCAGCGACTCGCTGGTACCCTCGTTCAACTCACTTTCTTCAGGGTACTCCGTAGAGGAAAAAATGACCTTATCTGGCATCATCAGAAGAGAAGGCTTGGGCCCTGGTATAGCTCCGTGTAGTTGTAACGACCTAAAAAACTCTGACGACCCATTTATTCTGCGGCTCTTGGAAGAAACGAAATTTTTTTTTCTTCTGTTCCTTTTCCCCTTCTCTTTGGTCCTTTTCCTTTTCTCTCTCCTCCCCCACTCCTAATTCGACCGGTAAGGTACATTATTCCTGAGGAGGGGTGTTCCATGCCAAACATTGTTTCCTTCGCCTTTGTGCAGCCTCCGCCCGTTTAGGAAGCACCTATACCTACTTGGTAGAAACCGAGCAGCTTCCTAACGCAAAAAAGAAGTAGTTGGCCAAGGCACCAAGGCATTCATTCGGCCGGAACCTCGTCCTCCGCTCGGGTGCGTTCCACCATCCATCAGAAGGCCCTTTCTCTTCCCCCCCCCTCCCCTAAACGCCCCGAAAAGTCCAAAGGAAATTTACCCACAATTTCCCTAACGCCTAGTTAGCTATTACTCACAAGCACAAGCTCCAAAAGAACCCACAGGCGATCGCCGTCCGGCTCTAAAGTTATCGCTTACTGTGCACTCCCCCGGTCACGAAACCACGCGGTGCCCATCCCGCCCGGGGGCCCTTCTCGCCTGTCAATCGTTGAGGCTCCGACTTTCCTATCGCGCCCATCCGCTTCCCGAGCTGGCCCCTGCGAGTCCCCGTCTCAGAAACTCTGACCCCCGAAGAGGATAAAATGTCAATGTGCTCTCTGAGCCACATATCCCAGCCTCTATCTGCATGGTAAGGAGCGCCAAAAAAGAAAGCCCAATACTTCCCCCCTCCTTTCATATTCTCCTCTCTTTATTATCATCCCATTGTCAAGCTTTTACTACTACTGCCCACTGCACCTTACGATTCAAAACAACCAACCAACCAACCAACCAAACAAACCTTGTCTCATCCTCCTCCTTATCACTCACACTTTTACCTCATTACCGCCTCGTCTTCAGTACGTCTACCGGACAAAAAAAGTAGATCACCTCAGACAAGCACCCTCGATCCCCAATGGATCCTAATGAGGCTGATCTTCAGAGCTGTCTGGGCATCCTGGCGGACCTTGACCAAGTGGCCGTATGTCCTTGATGGCTCAGCCCACTTTTCATTTGTTCCTATTGAGTCTGGAGCGTTTATCATCATTCGAGGACTGCGTCACGCTAACGCGTTAATCGCATGGTGTTCAGGTCGGACCCTATTGTCTCTTCAACGAATACGACTCTCCACCTCTAGATACTACCGCCTCTCCCCCGTCCTTATCGACACCCCGCAGCTCTTCTCTTGAGGCGGATCACTCGCCCATGTCCATGGACCCGCCGCCCAACTCGCGGCGTCTGTCCAACTCGTGGACTGCTTTAACCGCTGAAGCCCTGGCTGGCGATAACCAAGCCCAAAACCCTTTTCCCTACGGCAACTGGGAAGAGTGGATGCGGTGGGACGGTACAGCTCAGACCGTCTCGCCCAAACAATTCAATAAGCCCTCCCCTCAGCAATTCATCAAAGAAGAACATATCTCCCCTGTCATGGGCCGACAAGAAAGCCCCCAAGCACAGCCGACGACGACTGATCAGCCGTCGGCCTTTACTCAGATGCGCTCCCCGGTCGATATGACCGCTCTGCCAACCATGGATGGCAGCTCCTTCACCTTTGGTGAGGACAGAAACAATGACGCTCAGTTTCAGTTCGATGACCCTCTATCGACAACATCCGGAAGCACCCCCGCCCAGCAAAGCAGCAGCTTCTACTCCGATCCCCTCGCTTGGGCCCAAGTGCCCCAGAATACCCCTACTGTTGCCGGTACCGTGTCTCCCTTGACACTGGAGCAACAGCAACACCTTCGAAACATTGCGTTTACACCCTATGCTGCAGCCGCCTTTCAACAGAGTCCGGACTCAGCTACCGGTACGAGGCGAAGCTCAACATCGTCTCCCGAGCCGTCGCGAAATACTGCAGCATCCAGCAGCACTAATACCCCCAACACCAACAACAACCGTAAGCGAAAGTCATCTGCCGATGATGACAATATAGAGTCCCCAACGGAGGCCAAACCGGCCAAGCAACCGCCTGTCAAGAAGACAGCGCATAATATGATTGAAAAGCGATATCGGACAAACCTCAATGACAAGATTGCCGCGTTGCGGGACAGTGTCCCCAGTTTGCGTGTCATGTCACGAGCTACTCAGGGCAACGGCGACGAAGACGACGACCCGGAGGATCTCGAGGGCTTGACACCAGCTCATAAGCTGAACAAGGCCACTGTCCTCTCCAAGGCAACCGAGTACATTCGGCATCTCGAGAAGCGTAATAAGCGCCTCTCGGATGAGAATGTTGCTTTGAAGGTTCGTCTGAACGCTTTTGAAAAGCTTGCCATGACTGGCTCGATTGGCATGAACCCCGGCATGGGCGGCACGCCGAGTGGCCTCCGCTACCCGGGCGATCCGTTTGCCGAGTCTGCCTCTCACGCGCAAACAGGTACGCAAGGCGTTCCACAAGGTCTGATTCAAGTCCCTGAAAGTATGCGGAGGCTCCACGCAGGTCAGCTTCAACAACACTACACAACCCACCAAGCCGGGTACCCCACCTACCAAAATATGCCAGGCCAGCCAGGAGATGGAGGAAACGCCCAAGGCTCTCAAGGAAGAGGCGGAGGAGGTCTGATGAGTAAGTTGATGGTCGGGTCATTGGCGGGATTGATGATTATGGAAGGGTTTAGTGAGAAGGAGCAGCGCGGAGACCAGCCAAATGGACGTGGCCTCTTCGCGTTGCCCATGGAGTTGTTGGGTTACGGAGTTGGTCAGAGTAGTATGCAAGGAATTTTGGGCCAAAGACTGTTGGGAACCTCTTCTTTCCAAGGGCTTCTTCCTCTATTCAAGATCCTGCTGGTCGTCGGCGCGCTCATTTATGTTTTGTCACCGTCGTTTTTCGATTCGAAGCCGAAACACAACAAGAAGTCCGTTACCGCTGGACTTTCCGCTGCGCCCTCTCTCGCATCACCTCTCGAAGTTCGACGAAAGGCATGGCTTACCGCCATCCAGACTGTTTGGGTGCCTCGCCATAATTTCCTGCTTGAGGTGGCAGCGTTGGCCCTTAAAATGGCCAAGCTCAGCATCCGCAACATGATTGGCTGGCGAGGATACGCTTTACTGACGGGCGCCACCGAGGAACACGAAATTGCAAGAATCAAGGCTTGGGAAATTGCTCTCGATGCACAGCTTGCCGGTGGCGATGAAGAAATCAGCAAGAGCCGCTTGATTCTTACGCTCATGGCCTCGGCCACGTTGCCAGACACCCCGGCCCGGCTCATGCTCAGAGCTCTTCACATCCGTGTCCTGCTCTGGGAGATGGGCAGCGGTTCCGGTGGCTGGAATCTCTTTGATGAGTTGGCTGCCAAGCTTGCTCGTTACCAGTGGAATTTGGCGCGCAATCTCCAAGGTGCGCTTGCTAACAGCAAGTTCAAAGATGTGGATGGCACCGAAATCCTTCCCGATCACCTGGCTGAGCTCCTCCAGATGGCTCCTGAAGAGGTCATGACTCGGGACGTTATCCAGCGGGTATACAATCTGGCTTGGAATCGCGCCACCAGTGAGGGAACGGAAGGCGGAAACGACTACATGGACAGTGTGGTGGAGGACTTCGCCATTAGATCCCCTCTTGACGCGCTTTCCGCCTGGTCATCCACTTCCATCCTCAACAAGGCTATTACCACCACTCTGGGCAGAAGCACTTTTAGTGTCGACGACATCAAGCCTGGACTCGACCGGGCCTACCAAATTGCGCCGCCACTTTCGGTCGCACAGACTCGAGCTCTTTTGACCAAGGCCATTCTCGAAAAGTCTGACCGCAATGAAAATATCTCTGCAGTCGTGCAGGCCATGTACTCGGATGCTGCTGCATCTCTTTCGAAAGACAATTCCTCTCTTCTAATGGACAATCCCACCTCTGCACATGCTACCGTTGATATCCGAGTCGCTGTCTGCTCTGCCATGGCCCTCGCTCATCTTCGCAATGCCAATTCTTCGGCAAATATGCCTCTTCGTGCGACCAGCATCTTCAACGACCTGTACCTGCACCCATCAAAGCTTAGCTTGATTGGTTTCTTGGCGGCCTACCGGCTCCTGAGAATCTTTGCGAGCCACGAGGGGCTTGCCAATGATACCAAGCAAGGCCTCGAGCACGTTGCAGGTACCCTTCGCGTCTGGATTGGAAGTGATGCCGCCAAGAAGAGCGGACTCAGCAAAAAGACCAGGACCAGAATTGTCGAGGAATGTTTGGAAGTTAGTCGAAAAGTTGTGGGTATGCAGGAATCGGTAGAGGAGGGCGATGCGGGATACGCGTCCCTTAGCGAGGGTGAGGATAAGTGCTGAAGTATCCAACGACTAGGGAAAAAGAAATAAAAAAAAAAAAGAGACAAAAGAAAAGCGAATAATTTTTTCTCCGCTGGAATGGAGGTTCTTGATTGGGGTTTTTTTTGGGCTTGAATGAGGAACGAGGGATTTTAAATGTCTATTGGGTGAAAGGCGCAGTATCAGCTGGTACTTTTACGACTGCCTCTATTTTTTAACATATGGCGTTCTTTTTTAGCGACGGAGCTATTCATGATTGGGGCATATAGAATTGGTTCCCACTATGAGGTATCTGCATTGTTACCTAATTTTTTATAGCTTTAGCTGCAGTGTTTGCACAAGACCCTCTCCGCATCCAGGAAATGACAAACCATGTCACAAGTTGGCAGGAATCTTTCACTTCACATCAAGCTGTTCTTCTAAAAAGCTTTTCCTTCTATATAGATGTTACTTTTCCGGGGGCTGAGACAGCTTAGCGTGTACAAGTCTAGCAACGAACATTCTCATTGCTTTATCAAAACTGTCTACCAATCGCAGCTCTTTGCCAAAAGTGCAGCCAACCTTTCCAGTGATGCTTTGTCAGTCTCATCAAATCCGTTCTTTACCGCGCAATCAACATCAATGATTGCAACGACCTGGATTCAGTTCTACATCAGCCAAGTCTTCTTTCATCATCCGTGTCGTTCTCCAAACCCTCAGGTGTAAAACGCATCATTACGTTCCCAGCATAAAGGGGCTAGACAAGACACTATCCAGACTAAAGCCATACTAGGCGCCGGAGGAAACTGACGAACACGACGAACTGCGAGGCATCCCACGGACCCTGGCAAGTAGACGAGCGAAAAGGAGAAACTGAACTTACCTTCCCATTCGCGGCCACAATAGGCACAACAATCTCGCTCTGACTCGCAGAGTCGCAGGCAATATGGCCCGGGAAAGCCTCCACATCGGCAACTAACTGTGTCTCCGCTGTTGCTGCTGCCGTCCCGCATACGCCGCGGCCAAAAAGTATTGTTTGGCATGCGACTTTCCCCTGAAAGGGGCCGAGGATTAATTGCTTTTTCTGCGTACTGCTTCGGTCGAGAACATAAAAGCCTAGGCGCGGCGCAAAGTTAAAATGTTAAATATTTTGATTGGAATATTGGTGGCAACAATTGGATTCAAAAAGTCTTACAACGAGGAGAGGAAGGAGGAGTTGAAAAAGAAAAACAAAAAATTTCCAAAGGGGAGGGGGGTGGGGTGGGGTGCCTACCTGCCCAGTTCACTTCATTGCTTGGTGCCCCGAGGGAATGATACGCATGCCATAATAGCGACGCGGCGTTGGCGGTGTTACTGTGTTGGAGATTACTGTTTAGTAGGTGTATTCTCTCAAGTAGGGGAGAAAGCGGAAATGATAATGATAATGATAATGATGATGATGATGATGATGATGATGATGATGATGATGATGGCCAGAGAAGAGGAGAATGGGGCGAGGGGAAGTCGATGAGAGGCTGTGACGTACCAGACCTAGAAATAAGAAGAAAATGTTAGACAGGATAAGCAAGTAAGTGCAGTTGAATCCTTAATCAGTTCGTTTTGTGTATGTGCTGTTTGTGGTGGAGATACATGAGAGGTCAAGCTGGTGCTTCTTCTTGGTCCTTTGTCTCCAGCATCATGTGATGTGGATAATCATTAATGGACATGAATGATCCACAGGGGAAGAAAGGGAAAAGCAAATATAGCAAAAAGGAAGAATGCCAGTTTAAGGTATGAATAGAAAACAGAAACCATATATGTCGTCTCAGTGCGATGATTATAAAGCAAAAAGGCCCCGTGCGTCCGCTGAATTGTTTGAAAAACATGCTTAAAAACATGATAAAACAAGGGACTCTCAACAATGATGCTAGCTTACCCAGTTTCGTTGTCCATCAAAAAGAGCCTCAGCTTGAGCGAGAACTTGCTCATACGCCTCGCTCTTCGAAACGCCAGCGGCGAAAGTAGACGCCTCCGCGTGTACCTACGTTGCGTTAGAACAATCGGATATTCCTCAGGATGTATAAATCGTAAGAAGCAAGAGAAAATTTTACCATTATGTGTGATTTGTGAGACAATCCGACCGACCGGGTTCAATGATATGTACAAATTCGGTGACAGCGTAAGTTTATGTTAAAGAGTACAGAGGTAGAAAAGAACAATTTGAAAGGGTGAAATGACGATATTGCTCCCCTGCTAAATGTCATCGGAACATTCGGAGGGTTGGTTCCGGCGGGGTGTTTCCTCCCCCACCGAGCGAACTTTGGAGGGGCACCACCACTACTATTTTACCACAAACAACGCGTTTTACAAAATTGACAGTGTAAATCAATGCAATGTGTGCACTCGTATAGGAAATCAGATTGAGTGAAGGATCGAGGAGGGTTTAGAAGCTAGGGGAAGGCTCTTTGGCTCTTTTGAGATATCCGGTTGGTGTCCGCAAGAAATATGAAGAAAAAAAGTCCTGCATTTGCTGGCTTCACAAGGTAGGCTACGTGCTGGATGTGAAGAAAGTTTGATTTTGGCCAAGCTGGCCACGATAACTTTTGTTGACAGGAGCGCTAACTGCGTGAAAACGTACAGCTCGGAACACATTGGGATATCGTACATAGAAAATCTACGCGCAAATGCCTTTACTTTACTTTTAGAAGCCGTCGTTGATGCCCTGAGCCTTTTCATGCTCGAGTCTTTCCAAATTGATCTTCCACCACCACTTATGCGTCTCATCTGATTCTTGGCCGGGAACTTCGTCCCAGGGTTTGGGATTGAGCAGCAAGTGCAGATTCTTGACCTTCTCATCTCTCCATATCGGCGCGTGCACGCGATCCCATCGAATGGTCTTGAGCGCATTGTAAATATAGGGTAATGCCACCCAACGGCCAGGAAAGAGGTCCGACAATAATGACTGATCAGCAAATTCGTAGGTCTCGACCGAGGCTGGTGTCACTAATTTCTGGAGGATGCGGTCGTAGATGTCGGCAGAAGGGTTCACCACTTGCAGGCCGCCATTGGGCATGCCTAGGCCAATGGTGGGCGGCGCGCCTTCCTTTTGTGCAGCATCGGGTGTTGAATGTTGCGACGTGTAGGCGCAGTTTTTCGGGATCCTATAAAGCAGTTGTCAGAAATCTATGGGCTAATTGCTTTACGGCCGGACGTTGAGCATAAGTGAAATATATGGGCCTGACGTACCAGTTTTTGGGATAATGCGGCTTTGAAAGAGGGTTGCAAACACAGGCATGGCCTGCTGCAAAGACCTTGTCCCCTTTACCTCCCAGCTCCGGCGGATCAAGCTCCATCTCCATGAGTTCGTCCATGTTTTGCAGCACAATCATGTCGCTGTCCAGTTGAACGACGCGATCATACTCAACCAGAGAGAACGGCGTCAACTTGCTCCAACAATCGTAGAAACGCGTGTCGTTGCTATAGTCCTTGTGAACCGAGGGCAATAGGTAGCTGACCCTCTTCTTTGCGATTCCCCGCGCGTCGAGCGCTGCATGTCCCTCTGGTGGGAAAGAATCCGTATAGAGTGCGACGAGCGGGTAGGCCGACTTGTGCTTCTTTAACGAATAATCAAGCGCCAGTAGACCAGAGAGGTATGCCGTATTCGTGATTAGAGTCGTCCATACTGTATTTCATTGCAACCACAGTCAGCGTCTCAGGAATCATCCGCAGGGTACACTTTCCGAGTTCGCAAAGATGTGAAAGTAGAAAAAAGAAAGTTTGGGGAACTGAAGAAATTCGGGACTGCACCTTTCTTTGAATCTACCACCCGAATGGGGTCTGGATTGCAAGCAGCAACGGCGCCGTTAGTGGCGACCATTTTTTGAAAGGGAGAAAACCAAGCCGAATAGCTGTTCTTGATTACCTTGCCCTTTTCTGCCTCAAAAATTTGAGGAGAAGAGAGAAAGGTGCGATATCGATGGTTGGTAATCCATCAGCAAGTGTTTAGGGCGGTAGGAGCCGGGTCTTGTTCGTCATGACGGCCGACGAGCACGAAGAGCCGGAGAAGCACAGACCAATTTCTGGCATTCCCCATCCTTAACTGAGTTAAGACTCCTTTTCTCGGCGAATACGTGCTTGGAGCTTTATCTCGCCGATTATCAATTCTCAATGGTTCGATAATACATCGTATGCTCTACGATAATCGCTTTTGAAGTGGGGACAGGAGATCACGACGGGGAGATCAGCCATCAATGCAAGAACCTGCCGAAGCTGCACGGGCAGATCATCCAGTGTGTACTCCGTACATGGACAGTCAAGCTGGGTTCAGGATACTATAGCTTATTATTACCATTAAATACTTACTTTCAAACCCAGATTCACAATGTCAAATTAGGAAACCGATGCTGTCTGGGCCCAATCAGCCGTCAATTGACATGAAACCCTCTCCCAGTCAGAGATACCAGGGCTGGTTTTTTTGTTGGGCACATTACTGCTAGCATCTCTGCGACACGTGTTGAACGAGCGAAATCATGGGTACAGATCCAGAATGATCCAGGAGAGTTCCAAAGATCCATCTCAATCAATGGCCGGGACCATTTATATTGCCAGAATTTGGAAATGTTATGTTTTCCAATTCTTGGCGTCAGTGTGGCACCAGAGACACTGCATACTTACAGAGTACGGTGGAGAGCGCTCTCTTAGGGTACAGAGGTACTTGTGTGTTGAAATCATCACTTTTGGCAGTCAAGGGCGGTGTCCAAAGCGCCGGAGCCAACGATTTACCGGAAAGGCAGCTTGCAATGATCGCGATGTGCCTGTACCCGGCCATGATTTGTCACTGATGCAGTCCCGTGGGGCAGCAATCTCTTCATTGGTTCTATGATTGACCTTTGCCCCAAACAGGCTTCAGAGCTGGCCGGAAGACTAACTCGGCGGTTGCCCAGGAACGACGTGGTCCAACCACGTTTATCAACACGAGCAGCACCAAACATGCGTTGTTGTTGCGAACAAGCATCGTCATGCCTCTTCTCAGACAGTGGACAGCTCGGAAAGCCTTGCAGATTATTCTGGTGGGACAGTGCAGATTGAGACTCGATTTCTTCGACAGGAACATCAAGGTCTACGTAGTATTACGTCTAGGAAATGGACAATTTTAATCAAGAAACAGAAAACGAGTGGGTGCGGAAAGGCGGGTGGGCGAGCGGGTGGAGACGAGAAGCCATCCAGGGGGTCGCGAGGTCCCCCCAGTAAAGTGTGAAATTGCAACTTGTAAACAAACCGACCTTGACAGCTGGTACAGTAACGGAGAAAGTAACTAATATTGACATGCTTTTGTGCACCCCCAGTCTTATGAGCGGGGAAATAATGCCTACAAGCCCGTTATTATCTTGAGACATTTCCCACCTTTCGCGCGCGTGCACCTGCAGGGCTTTGTACCATTGTATTCTCCGTTTGTGTGGCTCGTGGAAATCCAATCTCGAGGGCGCTTGTGCAAGGCAGCTACGAGAGGTCCACACGCGCGCACACACACATACTCTCTCTCTTCTGACGAGGCTGGATCTTCAACCTACTCCCTCTCTAAGACACTCCCAACCTCATCATCCTCAGCGCATCTGACTCACTCTCAGAAATTCAGCACAGGCAATATCCGCCCTCAAGCTTTTCAATTCCATAATATCTTGACCACAATTGCTACCATATTGGCGCCATAATTACAACCGCCCGCAAAGGGCAGTGGGCACACCTGTCATCCCCACAATTTCTGCGACAGCATTCTGTGCAGACTGAGACAAGATCTTGCCCCCCCCAATCAGACATGGAAAAGCAGTAAGTGATGCATCGAATTATGACACTGGTCATTTCTGTGCATGTCATGTTCACATTCGCGCAATTTTGACCGCACGACCCGATTCTCACAAATATCTTAGATGACAACGCCGAATCGCGCACATCACGTCCAGGAACAGTGAGCTTGTTGGTTGTCGCATACGATAGAGCTGGCCTGAAGCTATTACGGATGATTCTGAATGGATCCACCACCACCCCCTCCACCGCCACATGGCGCAAATCCCCGTTCCACCGGTTCTTCAGGGCTGCCCCCGGGCAATTACGATATTTTTATCATTCCACCTCACTCCTCTGGCTCGGGCTTTCTCTATCTACCCTCATTACAACCCCACCGCAACAGCTTTCTCGCCGGGGTTTTTAGTACGCTACTTGCTCTGGGAATATGGACAATTGTGGCGCCCGTCTTGCGGGAATGGTTCTCCAGGACCGTGGCATCTGGAGGAGCAGGGGTCGTAGTCTTGCTGATTGCCGTCGGAGTTGCGGGATGGGCCTGGGGCAAAACACAAATGGAAAAGGTTGGGGGATCTGCTCGCACGTCAGGAAATGAAGGAGGCCCAGGAGCAAGCGGACCGTCACCTGGAGCTTCCGCTCCGCCTCCCAATGCAGGACCACCTCCTTTCAATGGACCGCCGCCTCACAGTGCCGGACCTTCTCCGGGCGCAGGCCCAGGTCCAGGTCCCGGGCCTAGTGCAGGTACAGGACCTCGTCCGGGCTGGCAGCGTCAGCAAGGGCCCACCCCCGGCGCAAGTGAGGCACGTCAAGCATGGGAAAAGGCTCGGCAAGAGACGAAGAGAAAAGAAGAGGAACGCAAGAGGCGTGAAGAGGCGGAAAAAAAGGCGGAAGCGGAACGCAAGAAGAAGGAGGAGGAGACTCGGAGACAAGAGGAAGAACGCAGGCGCAAGGAAGATGAAGAGCGGCGAAGACAAGACGACGAGCGAAGACGGAAAGAAGACGAAGAGAGAAGAAAGGAGGATGAGCGCCGAAAAAAGGAGGAAGAAGAAATGAGGCGAGAGGTTGAACGCTTGCGCGAAGAAGCAGAGAAAAAGGCACGAGAGGCAGCCGAAAAGGAAAAGTGGGAGAAGGCTCGTAAGGACGAGCGTGAAGCTAGGCTGAAGCAAGCTCGAGAAAGACGTGAAAAGGAAACAAAAGAGAAGGAAGCAAAGGAACGCGAGACGAAGGAGAAGGAAGCCCGTGAACAGGCAGCTCGGGAGAAAGAAGAGAAGGAAGCCAAGGAAAAGGAGGCCAAGGAAGCTAAAGAGAAGGCTGACAAGGAGGCCAGAGAGGCACGACTACGAGAACTTCGTGAGCGGAGGGAGAAGGAGAAGCGAGAGAAAGAGGCACGGGAAGCACGAGAAAAGGAGAAGGAAAAAGAGGCAGCATGGACAGCGCCCTCGACATACGCAGCTTCAATTCTCTCCGACCGCGAACGTACCCCTTACCACGTTTCCAGTCCATCCTCCTCCACGATTGGCAAGGAACCTCGGACTCCGTCTCCCAAGAAGCAAGCCGCTGCCAAGTCAGAGGTTGGGTCCGAAGACGCTTACTCGTATCGGCCCTACGACAAACCAAAGCGCCCTGTCTACAAGCAACCTTCGCACTCGTCCTTTTATTCCGAAAGTTCCTATGCGCCATCTCAATCCACTGCTCGAACCACGCCGCCGCCGTCCAACCGTGGCCCATATTTTACCAAAGACCCAGACAAGATCATGATCCAAGCCGTCTACCTGTTTAGCGACACCTTTCCGAAGCAACCACTTGCGGAGTTGGTTTCTGGTATCGGCAGCGTTACCGATGGGTTGATTCTCAAAATCACGACGGAAGGGTTGTTCATTGACGATGATGTCCGCCACGTGCCGCAGCGTGAATGGGATTTGAAGGCGTGGACGATGAAATTAGTCGAGGTATGGTGCCCTCATTTTAAGAAAGGTCCTGCTTCAGCATCTGCTGCTCAGCGTCGCGCGCAGAACCCCATGCGCACACTTTTTGGCGACGGAAAACCCCCTCCCCCAACCAGTGAAGAAACCGACCTCCTCATTGAGAATTTGCTTCGCACTTGCAAATCGAATTGCCACATTCCTGGATCAGATGGACCTAATGGTTATTCCTCCTCACAGACTGGCGACTTCAAAGGTGTACACGTCCTTCGCGCGAGCATTCGAGACCAGGAAGGCAAAAAGTACATTTTTGTCATCCAACAGGAAGAAGGCTGGAAAGTCGCCATTGGCCTTCAGCGATTACGACGTGGTACCCAAGTGCGCGCACTTGGTGTCAGTGGCATGACAGTGAACGAGACACGTGCTCTTCTCAACAATATCGACTGGGTCATGTAAAGCAGAGAGTAGTACCTCTGTTCGAGTCCTTTTCAACCATCTTTTGCTTGACTTTTTCATGCAATGTGGTTTTACCATTTCACTCCCGATCCGATTATACTTTTTCTTTTACTTGCACATTTTTCTTTGCATTTCTTCTTTTTCTCCGTCATGCTTAGCGCCATTGCTTTCAGCAGCATCTGTCCACTGCATCAATTGCATAGTGCATCATCATTGCAGGGAGTTTTTCATTTCTGTTGCGTATTCGCTCTTTTCACGTTTCATACCCCATGACGTTTGCCAGAAAAGCTTGCGCCTTCTTGACGATGCATTTCCAGTGTGTACAAAAGAGTGTCTGATTTGCTGGCCGATAATTCCTTTTTCCCCTTGACATTTACCTACGATTCTATGGAGGTTTTCGCAATTTATTCATGATCATGTCAATAACTCGACGGACGATGGTACAATGTTGCGTACCTATACTTAATATGGACCTTCAGACACAAGATCTTATAATATCAACTCCCCGAACTTGGAATCTTCGGATCCGCTTTAGAGCCCTGGACATGTTTGTGAAAACCGATTTTATGGAAGTGATGCAGCTTAGTAGGTGACGAAACAACACAACCTAATTGCGTAAGCTCTTTCGCAGTTGGTCCAGGCAACAGTTTTTTTTTGAATTTGCAGTGCTTATGGTTAACTTTTTTTTTCTATGCCGGAATTTCTGCAACCCGCTTTTCCCCCCGAAAGAGCATGGCTTGACAGGGATTCCTGCAGCAAGATAAGGAGGTAATAGGCCAGTTGTGCTAAGATGTCCATTGTCCTTCCTATAACGCAATAAGGGTAATCTGTGGCGTGAAAACGACGTGTCAGCCTTGAGTGTTGATAAGTTTTCCCACCTTCCCCAGACAATTCAATTGGCATGTTAGTTAGTGAGGTGCTAGTCAGAGATGGAGTAGCGTGATTCGTCCTCAACCATGTCAAAGCATCAAAGCACTTTCGCCACGAGATAGCTAAACCATTATCTAAGTGATGCGTAGCTACAACTTCACCAGCCAGGAGCATACGTCTGATCCATGATTTTGTACAGAATAGCAGGGGTCAGTGCAATGTTTTCAACTCGCAATTAAGTTTCATCTGCGAATTGAATATAAGCAGTATAAATTACATTCATCAATGGCGGATCTTTGTAGAATATGAGGAATATGAGGAATAACAAACATAGCGACCGTTGCCGCAGCCTCCGACGGGAGGACGCCGATAGCCGATGGATGATGGGCATCTTTAACTAAACTTTTGACTGATTCGGGTACATTATCGCACTGTAAAGTTACCTTAGCGACACAGAATCAGCTAATTTTCCCCTTTTACTTATCACTGCTCTCGTTGTCTCCAGTTTAATTAATTTAGGACGAAGATATCCGTACTTCGTATTGAGCTGTGGAAACACCAAGTCACCTAACGTCACTTTCAAATTGCCCTGTGAAAAGTCCCTGGCACTGCCCTGCCCGGCAGGCCGGAGCCACAGAGACCCGAGGACGGCTCCTCTTGGCAACCCATCTCGTTACCTGATTGATTCCAAGCTTGAACGAGGTCAGCCATGTGAAGGCCCCACGCCCACAAGCCAATGGGCAGCGACGAATACAAGGCCAACGAGGTACGTAGTAAAGGCGCTGCGGATGATGAGTCTGCCAATGATTCTGCCATGTCGTATGACGGGACTGGGATCAGCATTGAGGGAGGACTAAGAAGGTTTAAAAAAGTGACAATCCGTTCCACACTCCCATCCCAGCCCAAGCGACACACTTGGCTAGGCAGCAGTCATTATTATACGAGCAATTGCAACGAAACGGGGAGACGCTGCAACTGTGGTCCTTTATAGAGAAATCTTTTAATTAAGAACATTACGTCGGCCTCGCTCAGTATTTAGGCCCGTTTCTCACTTTCTACCGGTGTTGAATGACACTTGATTCCATGTTATTATACCATTGACCGGCGAGATCACCCGCAGAAACACATGGCTTCCCACGACATCAAGTCTGAGGACCGGCAGGCTCTGCTTCCGGCAGACTACGAGAAGCAGGACTATATAGAGGAGGGTCGTCCCATTGAGGGCGACATTCATCAATGCGCATGGCACCGCTGGACACGAGGCCGGAATTTCACTACCAAGGCCGCCATTGCATTGCGATGGATGCTTGCTTTCATCGTGTTTAGTCTGGGCTTCAAGTATATTTTCGACATGGCTAGTCATCTGGGCACAAAGAAGGTGAATTGCCTCGAACGTTCTCATCTGCGTCCCTCGATTTCCCCCTAATCCTCTTCTACCGAATCCTAGTCATATTTACTTTTATTCTTTTAAGCAAAGAAAATCAAATGCTGACTAGATTTCCAGCGCCACCACCCCAGCTTCCCCTCTTACTCAGGCTCTAGCCCCTTCAATATTCCTGTGCAGGATATCTGCCATTCCCTCCCAGTAACCGACCATGTCAGCTTCGATTTTAACACGGCCGAGAGCTCCGGCTTTGGCGTATACCAAATCGTCAATACCACCGGCAGCAGCAAACCTCCCTATGGAGTCCCACTTCACACAAGCGGTCAAGTCCGCGTGAAGCGCCACGAGCCTGCCAACCCGGAGGAGCTCATCGCCAGTCCTATTCGCGCCGAAATAGAACTGTCTTATTCCGACCCTGCCTTGCGAGGTCTCGTTGACATTGAAGGTTTACCCAAAGCGCTGACCATCTCCGTTCCACCAACTGTGCCCGTTTCCAAAGATGGCTGTGCCTTTGACCCCTCTGCTGCAGCAAGCCGCCCGCCGTTTTGCATCAGTGTCAATGTCGATTTGTTGGTTGCGCCAGACGCCACGTTCAGCGATTTTGCCATTGTGTCCTCGTTCCTGGACCAGATCTTCCTCCCGGGTCTCAACCTGAACGTCTCGAATTCCACCTTTTTCAGCAGCATTAGCGGCTCGATCCTTGTGCCCCCTGCTTCCTCCTCTTCTTCCCACTCCTCCTCCATGGCCCCCTGTCATTCTTCCTCCTCATCCTCCTCTTCCGGCATAGCTGCCCGCACAGACGACGACAGCACTACCTTGTTTGACTCGCGACGCACCATCATCACCACCACGAGCGGCAGCATCGAAGGTGCCTTCAAGCTCCTCGACCTTCTCTCGCTCCAGACCCACTCGGGCTCCATCAAAGTAGACGTCTCCCCTCAAGACGCCGCCCCTGCTCCGGAACTGCCCAAACCTGCCGCCTTCTCCGCCAGCTCTTTATCTGGCTCCGTCGAGGTGCGCTACCCCATCAGAGCACTAGGCTCTGAAGTGCCAGCACGCAACTACACCGTGCACGCCGAGTCCATCAGCGGCTCTGTCAGCGGCACCTTTTTCCACGGAGAATATACATCTCTGAAATCGAAAAGCGGACATGTAGAAGCATCACTGTTGCCCGTCATTGTGACCGAGGGCAAGAAGTCGTTTTTGAGGACCCAAACCGTGTCTGGCTCGACCGAGATTGATATCCATGACCCGCTGTATTTGCTTCCTGATAGCGACACTACTACGAATGATGTCTCTGATGTCTCTGATGATGATGATAAGGGAAAGTTCAATGGTGAGCACGCGACTGTTTCGGGCTCCCTCAAACTGCGCTATCCGGGCGAGTGGGAAGGCACGATCACGGGCAGTTCCACCTCTGGCAGCCTGGACGTGCGTGGCAAAGGAGTCGAGGTGCAGAAGAAGACGGACCTGCCGTGGAGCCACCAGCTGGTGGCGAAAAAGGGTGATGGAAACAGCCATATTGGCTTCCACACGACGAGCGGATCGGTAGACCTTCTTGTCGGCGAGGAGGTATAGAACATTCAAGCAAGAGTTGCATGTGGGAGAAAAGGATGAAGAGAAAATTGGATTGAAAGAGGACAAACGGGGTAAGAGGTCAGAAACGGGAAATTGTATACTTATGATTCCTTTTGCCCCCGCACATTCATTTACCTGTTACTCAACCGAAAACAATGACGACGTCACGAAATTTTGACTAGTTTTTCATTTGCACATGCAACAAGTATTAGTTCAGAAAGAATGCAATGCAATGCAATTAATGCTATCGACATGATATTTTGTAGGAGCAACATCAGCAGTCGCTAGTTTGGGTACTATGGCTTGACATGACATGGTATGATATAGTGATATAACGGCGCAGAGCCACCGCCGAGAGCGGCAGCTTAGAAAGAGACATTTACAGCATATGACTTGAGAGGGATGCAGCGGGAGAAGAATTGCCAAGCGAGAAATTGCAAATCAACCACTCCAAAATAGAAAAAATTGAGCCAAAGCTTCAAAAGGTATAATGAGCGAAAAGGAGCGAAGAGAATTAAAAAGAAATTAGTAGGATCCAGCTAGCAGCCAACAATTATTCACCTGATTTTCCTCGCCTTCCGGCCGTTTGCACCAGCAAACTCCAGTCCTCTACAGCGTCTGCGACAAGGGGAGCTTCCTTGACGAGCTTCCAACGTAAACAGTCTTGGTGTAGTTTGTGATGACCCAATTCTGAGATGCGGAATCCCAATTCGACAAATCTCTTCGGAGCAGATCGGCATGGAAGGTCGTCGACTGGCCTGGTTGAATCGACAAACGTTCAAAGCCACGAAGCACGACCTTGGGATCATTAGGACCGCCAAGGGAAACATACTAAATGACAGCGTTAGAACTCACGCATGACAAAAAAAAAAAACTTGGCATCCACAATATTGAACTTACCAGCTGGGGTACCTCTTCTCCTGCAACTGTGCCAGTGTTGGTGATGGTAGCCTCGACAGAATACAAAACGTCGTATAGGCCCGGATTGCCTCCTGGCGCACCTCCAGCGGGCACAATAGGCTGTGGAGAGCCGTCCTGTGCACCGGGCGGAATGTAAGAGGTTCCCTGGTTGCCATAGTCATTCCAGCCGTAAGATGCCGAAGCATTGGTCGAGTTGACATAGGGGTAGATGTAGAGAGGAACACGATCAATATCCGATGGGAAGAGGTAGTCCGAAAGGTTAGTGCTGTAGTTTCCCAATACAGGTGCAGCAGCGCTCTGACCGCTGGCTGGGGTATATCCGCCAGCGTTAGCCTTCGTAACAGTGAGATCAGAATAGTTGAACGTCGTGTAGCTGAGACCAAATCCAAACTCGAAAATTGGATCGATACCGGCCTTGTCAAACGCACGATAGTCGATAAAGACGCCCTCTGTAAAGTCCTGCTGAGGGGCGTCGACGCCATTGTTAGGTTCGTACATCAAGTCCGTCCCATAATCTTCTCGGTTGCGACCAAGAGTGAAAGGCAGTTTGGCACCAGGATTGAAACGGCCGTAGAGCACGTCCGCGATTGAGTTACCCGACTCCTGGCCCGGCAGACCAGCCCACAGAATAGCAGTCACGTTAGGATTGTCCACAAATGACTCAATCAGCACTGGACCGACGGTGTGCAAGACAACAATGGTATTGTTGCACCACGCTGTAACATTCTGAATAAGGTCATCACCACCTTGCCAGAGTGTAAGATTCTTGCGGTCACCCTCGTTGCCATCTATATTGATGTATCCTTCACCGCTGTCCGCATTGACAAAGACAAGAGCGACACTGGCCTGTTTGGCCAAAGCCTGAATCTGAGTATATGCGTAGTTATCCGTAACCGACTGGATGCTACCGTAATTTGAAGCAACCTCATTTTGGATCGCCGTCAATGGTGAAATCAGGTAAGGGTAGTCTGCTGTTCCACTTCCCCAGCCCATCGCCAAGGTTCCATTGTCACAACCGTGGTCGCCGCAGCCGTTCGGGCCATACGGGTTGTCTCCAGCATCATCACCGAAGACGGCGGTCAGCTTCTCCTTCCCAGTCAATGGCAAAGTCCCATTCACGTTCTTTAACAGAACCGTGGATTTTGAGCCGAGGTATCGAATAAGTGATCCATGACCCTCTCGGACGTCAACGTGTTCGTTGATCACACCGTAACCGTAGCCCACAGCTGGATGGAGGTAGCCGTACGTGTCTTTGGACCATGAATTGAAGTTAACAGGAACTTGTGTCTTGTCCCGTCCAACCTTGTACCAGGCTGCGATGATTCGGGTGACCATGTCGTCAAGGCGCCACTCCGGAATGGTACCATTCACCACGGCCAAAGTGAGATTGGAGCCCCAGAACGACGTGCCGGTATCGAAGAGGACATCACCAGGCATACTCATGTCCAGGCCTGCCAGAGCATCTCCAACGCCGGACTTGTGCGCTTGCCAATCACTCATGATAAATCCCTGAAAGTCCAGCTCGGACTTGAGCAGGTAATTCATCGTATAGCTATTGGAGCAGCCATAGCTATTGTTAATCTGATTGTAAGAGCACATGACTGCGCCGACTCCAGCACGGACAGCGTCCGCAAAAGGCCTGCAAAGAATATCAGCCTCCGATCTCTCAATTTTCAGGCGAAAATGAAGCAAAAGTGATTTACATACCATAGATAAAGTTCGTGCATGGTGACATCATCGACGTTGGAACTCAGAGCCTCCGTAATGTTGAAGCCATAGCCCTTGGCTTCTCCAACCTGGCGGAAATGCTCCTGCTCGTTGACGATAAAGTGCTTGGCACAAGCAATCACGCCGGCATCCTGGATGCCTTGAATGGTATTCGCAATGCCGATACCAGTCAAGACGGGATCGGGGCTGAATCCTATATGAACGTCATTAGCTGGCTGACAAATATAAACAATTCCAACTTTTCCGTACCTTCCCAATTTCGACCACCCTCTGGCGCGCGTCCAAGAGGCCCAGCTACGGGTCCAAGCTGGACATCCACGCCCTTTTTACGGTGTTCAGTGCCCATAGCGTAGCCACGTGCATACATAGCCCCGCGATCGAATGTAGCTGCAATATTAACACCGCCAGGAAACGCGGAAACGTAGTCCGCTATCAGCTGCGTCAGTAAAATATTACCTCAACGCCATTGGTGATGACTGACCGAAACGAATGCCCACAGGAGAGTCTTGCATGCACAAGCTGCGGAACCCAAGACGTGGAACCGACCCTACTGCTCCGACACATGCCTCTTCCAACCAGCTGTCGTTCAGGTCAGTGACATATCTCCTAACCCTAATATAAAACTACTAACCCGACACCCGTTGTGATATTAACCTTTTCCAGCAGTGTCAATTGGCTGACAAAGTCCCTGGCTTTGGCATACGCCTCTGCCCAATCGCCTGAACCCGATCCCCATGGCGAAGGATAAAATGGAGGGGAAGTCACCAAGTTATCACCTGAACTGGAGGTGTTTGAATACGTCGGTTGATTTGGGCCCTATTGAAGACGTCAATGCCGTGTTTAATTCAGCAGGCTTATTGGATTATTTTTTTTTTCCGGAGGTGAAAAAACGCTCATACCTGAGCCAAGCCCAACCTCGCAGCGGCCAAAAGCCATACGGCTGTCCCAATTCCTGACCACATGGTCACAGCAATTAAGGACTTGACCTGAGCTTGCGCTTTGAAGGATTTCCCTTCTTAGCTTGACCTTCCCGTATGACAATGAGTTATCGTGGAGTTAGAATAGATAGCAGCTGGGGAGAGAAAAGGAGAGGACAGAGAGGAAACGAAGAGGAAGCTTAATCGGGGCGAGTGAAGTGAGGGAAGGGGAAAGAACAAGCAACGATGTGCTCGAGGGCGGAAGGAACCGTTGGGAGCGGATGTGGTTGAATTGTGACGAATTGTCGTCTCCCAGCCCAAAGTCCGGGGAAGGAAGGGGCGAAAGGGAAAAAAGAAAGGACGAGAAGGGAGCTATATGTTCATCGACGCGTCATTACGAACAATGAATACTCCATGTGGGGAAAATTGATGACTTGGTTCCTGTTCCTGACTTGTCCAGGTCGCGGGGTCCGAGGGTCTGAGGGTTGCCCTTGCCTGGCTAGGAATGACATTGTGGTGTCTTGATGAGATGGAGGGGGAGCAAAATGGTGTGGGCATGACAGATGCGGGAAAGGGAAGGAAGGAAGAGCAGGTGGGAGGACCCTTGGTTCCCAGTGAGCGTCGATGCCATCACGATGTTGACCGTGCCCTTAGCCTGCATGCGAACCAAAAGAATAGCACGGTTAGCGGCCCCATCGCTAGACTACCCGTATCATTTACCAGTTCAGATGGGGAAACAGCATTATGAATCCATCCAATGCGTCCGTCAAAGGTGACAGACAGACACTGGGTCCGGGGGAGGTGTGGTGGTGGGACCCTGGAGCTGCTAATTACTCGTTCGTTCTCATCAAAAAATACTCCCCGGCGCTGCGGGTGCAGAAGAGAGGAAAAGGACAAAATGGGTACAAAATTGATAATGTGAGCAAAAAGGCGATGGCGTGTGTGGATTGTGGGAAGCGAATGCGGAGCAGAGGGGGGAAGCCGGTAAAGCTACGAGTAGCGAATCTGGGGAAAAGCAGATGGAAACAACCACTAAAAAAGAAACAAAACGCATTTTGGCTGATGACGGCATCTCCGGCACGATTGCGGGTACCGTTACTATCGGTTGGCTTCCGAAGGGGTCGGCTGCTGTATCGGTACGTCTCCCTCGTATTCCTCAGCCATCTCCAATATTGTAGCTCGATACAGCCCTTCCCCTCCGCAATAATTGCCTTAGTCGGTGTTGTTGGGTCCCAATCAAACCTCCTATCCCATTCTCCCTAGTAAACACTTTGATGCTCATTGCTCCCACATATCACCAATCACGATGATGGCGTTCAATATTTCAGTCATTTTGCCTTTTCAAATATAAAAATAAAGGAGTTGACCTTCATGACCAATGCTCATGAAGAACAAGAATGCCAGTCAGGTGTATTGCCGAATCATGAGGTGGGTTAAGAGGTCCCGAAGAAAGAGTCGAACGAGCATGTTCCCTGGCGTGAAGGGGTCCCCATCTCCCGACTAGGCCGATTGCAGCCATGACTCGCCGGGATCTGACGTCCCCGTCCGGCTGGCTCTTGGAAGCGTAAAACTTTCAAGCAAAGATCTTCGTCACATAAGAGCTGACGACGGTCGCGATCAAAACGAAGAATCCTGACTTCGCAGCGTCGCATCGTACTGCTTTACCCCGCAGTCATCAAGGCGTCGCAAGATGAAAGATCTCAGGTACGTAACTGACCGGGTGCTTTCGGCGATACAACAAGGTACCTACACAGGAGACGGTTTCCAAGTCCTTAATTGCTTCCGGGGTTTTGTTCAACACTTTCCCTCTTGACCAACAGGCTTTTCGTCTCGGTAGTAGTACCTTAGGAATGCCCCTCGAAGGGTTGCAAAGGTCATGCTACGATGCTCCAAGAGAGACATCTACCACACTCCCCGTTCCACTTCTGAGCTGCGTTGCCCGTAAAATTCTCCAATCATGCCTCGACGCGCACAATAGACACAGAGCAGTTGGCACGAGTAAAAGGACACCATCAACTGTCATCCGCAAGTGGCACGCGCACTGAGACCTGCGCAAGTCGACTCCATGGCCTTCTCGAGGGTGACGAGCTCAGCCGTTGGTGTGTGTTTACTGTCATTTTTCATACATTGTGCCAGGCTACTTGGCAGAGCCGTGGCGTTCATGTAGGCAGTACAGGTGATCACGATCGAGCCACGGATGAAGGCATTGTATTTCGTACCGTGACTGCGCCTCTCAAACAGGTTTATACTTCTGCTGCTGGTGTAAGAAATGATTAGATCGAGGGAAGTAAATAACATGAGAGCCGTAAGCCTCGCTTGGCAGTTCAATAGCGCGGCATTTGGGGGCGTGTGTGGCGCGCCAGCCAGCAATTAGGTCGTCGCGTCAAGGCGGAGGCGGAGAGAAGGAAAGGCGGGGGGAATAGTGGACTACCGTTGGTGGCCCACCCAGCGATCCCGGTCTCGCTCCGCTGGGGACGCTTGGAGCTTCTTTCGACACATCTTTCCACGACTCTGTAGGATGCCTTTTTCCGCGCATATCTGGACACCCTCTCTCTTTCCCTCTCATAATTTGTTGATTGGTGACCCCGCAACCTGTCGCGCTGCACGAAGCCCGGTCCGGATTGTCGGTGCGGGGGTAAAGGCTACAGAATGTCCGTCACATCATCTTCGAGAGCACGTAGATCGGGGGCAAAAAGCACGCACATGACATGAGCCAGGGCCCTCTGCCTTTTGTCATTGACCCCGCAACGGGGAAGGTAGGACAAAAGTGTCATTGGCAAAAAGGTCCACTTTTGATAACTTCAACTTTGACCTCTCGCTAAATATGACATTTCTTTCGTTCAACCTTTCAATTCTGATTTTGGCTTTCTGTTGCAGTTCGATGTCTAGCGTCCCAGCTTCGAATGGGCCAGGCCAGACGCAGTCTGAGCAATACGGGAAGGAATCGGGAACTTGTTTTGACCGTTGATTCATCGGGATTCGGAATCTCTGACTCTCACGGCAACGTGGGCAGCGCGATTAGCGATGCCTTGCTCAACGTGAGATTGACGAACCTGCGTGCAGGATGAGAATTTAGAAACTGACATTGACCCCGCTTTTACATTCTGTCATTTTCTTCCGCCCTTCTGCTCCCTCAAAATACTATCGTTATCGCGGCTGACGGGGCACATGACGGTAATTGATCCTTTTTATCATGCAGAGTGACTGTATTTTGCATCTTGCTCCGAAAATGAATATCCTAAGAGCAAGTCGGGGAAGGTCCAGGCTCAATCTCAGCTGATAAACAGCTTGCTTGCTGCGTTCCTAAACCCAATTCAGACACGAATCAAAATTAAAGCTGAACAGCAACTTCCTGCAACAGCCACAGATCAGTCAACGTCAATTCCCGAAGACTGAATGATATTCGTTGGAGTCGACGATTTGAGATCGCAATCGCTTGTTGTCAATTGACGAAAGAGACACTAAGGTCTATGTTGACATGATGCTGGGATAGGAACAACCGCAACCCCGGTACTTTTACATATATACTTACCTACCTTCCTACCTAGTGTGCGGCTAAATAGCATAGATGGTGTCTATAGTGACTTCACTTTATGCATGCATCCTAGACATATTACCCCCTTAAGCTTTGCGGCAGACGCGTAGCCCTATTAAACTGCCGACTAAATTATCAACGTTTTGCCTTGCAGCACATAACATCTTTCAATGCAGGGACCATTATCCCAATGACCTCTAAATATCGACCATGAAATGTGAATGGCGCTGAGCATTGAAGGCATGAAATCAAAGCAAGTAATCGGAGAGAACATATCGCAAAAAAGGAAATGTTGCAAAAATATGCAATATGCAAGTCAACACAATGGTATTTCTCTTCTCGCGCAACGTAATAAATACACCCACATGGCTTATTCTTAGACGTCGGAAACTCTCTCTCGATAGTTGAACGAAATTGAGATATCTCGTGGGAAGAGGGGTTTTCTTTGAGATCATAGCAGCACGTTCTCAGGAAGAATGATCTTATTAACTATGCCCCACCAACCTTTATCATCTTCCCTAGTGGCCAACGTTGGTAATGACACGACGCATATTTGGCATGCTTCGGTCATTGATTTGTTCTCGATAAGGTATGAGCAGAGGATCCTGCGTTAGTACTTGAGTCCTGATTCTTATTCTCGCCAGCATTCGGAATATTTGACCTTTTTGCTGCTGTAGGTGACGCGCTCGCCAGGCTTTTGGAACTACCCGTCCCGGTCTGCTGAGGAGACGTTCTCGGTCCCTGGCTGCTGAGGCTGAACCTTCGAGACCTTCCTTCGCTTTTGAGACTGCTGGCGGCACTATCTCCAGATCTTTCACTTAGGTCCGATTGTAGACCTCGGAGCACATCTCGCCCACCTCCTTCAAATTTACCGAGGCGAGCTGCAAGTATAGTGTTTTCGCGCTGCAGTTCAGCCACCTGAAGGGCAAAAAGCTCACGTTCGCGCATGCAGACTTCAAGTTGGGCACGTAGATCATCTCTCTCATGACTCAAACGGGCCTTCTCGTCGCGTTCCTGAAGTTTTCTTTGTTTTTCTTCAACCTTGCGCATTTCTTTAGCGCGCTTTGACTCGAGCTTCTCCATCTCCCGACGGAATTTCTCCTCTTGGCGTTTTATCTCTCGAGCATGTTTCTCTTCTGAACGCTTAGCATTGCGCGATTCCTTGGATGTGAGTTCCTCGTGGTCCTTCATGTCTTTTTCCCGTTTTTTGGCCATCTTCTCTTCGAGTTGAATGCGCCGCTCATTGAGCTTGGCGAGTTCCTTTTGATGATGCTGAATAATATTATTTTCTATTTGTTCTCCGGGGCGGTCTTTCTCGACACGGCCGGAAGTTGGAGACTGGGAGTCGGAAGTTTCCTGTTCGTCGGTAAGCTGCTCCTCGGCGCTGGCAAAGCTACCGATGCTCGTCACCGTAGATTTTCTAGAAAGCGCATTCTCCTGAGCAAGTGCAAAATCAGATGTGTCCTCATTATCTTGTAAATTTCCTCTTGTCTCTGAATCGAGGCCGTTCTCGGCTGAGAGGTATCCCGGCCAGCGGTTGATGACCGCTGCTGGAGCATAAGCAGATATGGCTCCAGCTACCGTCGATAAAATGCCACCGCCACTCGTAGTAGATAAAGGACGTGAATCTAAAGGCTCCGCCTTTTCCTTTCCATGGTATGCTTCGGACTGGCTAGATTCTTCTTCATGAGTGTTTAGACTAGGATTATCAGACACAATCGGATGGCCGTTCGCTTTCGCCGCAGTGTAATCTTCGGGCGTCTCGTCGGCGCCATCACCTCCTTTCCCACTCTCATATTGGGTAGAGCTCTCCATTAGAAGCGGCTCCGCATTCACTGCCCATTGAACAAATTTGCTTGCATCTGATACAATACTTGCGGGTGTCCCCCGCTCGACCATGAAACGTGGAACATTACCTCCTGGGTCACTGCGAGTGATCATAATCCACTCTACTGGATTTGGCTCAGGCTCTTCGTCTTCGTCCATTGCAGTCTGTGTATCGACTTGCTCCTCCTTGGCTTCCGCCCCTCGTGATTCCGTAAGCGATACCGTATTTCCACGCTTTCTTTTCTCTGCAGGATCCGACTGTAGCTTCTCTGGAGTATTCTCATTTGACTCTTTTGCATCTCTGTTCGACGGGTCTGAATTTGACCGCCGCACGTTTCGTATTTTTGCTTCGTTCCCAGTTGAGGAGGCACCCTCTGGAATCTCCTCTTCACTGGAAAGGTTTGTCGAAGGGGCTGCTTTTCTCTTCAATGGTATTTCTCGGATGAACTCGACGGATTCATACTCTCCCCGAACGTAGTGCTCTCTAGGAGGACATTCAGGGTGGTAACATGGCTTCGATATGACCATGTAATGGCGAGGAGGTTTGACATGCTCCTCAGAAGATGAGGAAGCCGGGGAATTCCCGGTGTCTGTACTCTCCGAAGTTAGGTCGCTCAAGGCAGAGTCCGATGTTAAAAGGAGAGTAACAAAATCACGTGGCGCGGTAGGGCCCGGAAATTGAGCGGACAGGTGATATACTGCTAGGAATTAGAGACGATTCATTGCACCAAAGAGACTAACGGGTTGGTTTCTAGAATTTACCTTCAAGGTTTCCCACGCCTTCTACTACCATCGATTCCACTCTTCTCTCGCCTCCGATGCCCCTAATATTGCCCTCCCCTGGCCCTCCCCGAGACTTCATCGTTTCTGGGAATTCTTGTTGCATTGCCCGCTTCCATTTGGAGAAGTCCATGCCGACGTGTATACTTCTTCTTGCGAACCAAGCTCCTCGACCGTCCTTTCCCCCTAGTTTATATACTGAGATTCCATGGGGATTGTCTTTCGCAGAGAGCTTCAAAGGCTTTCCCCATGCTGAGCAGAGAGCTGCCTGGGCAGAGGAAATTGACGGAGAGCAGGTTGATGGCTCTACTATATCTGAAGCATTCGAAAGGACGGAAGAGGACGTGTTTGAGCGGAGGCGTGAGGAGCGATCGGAAGTGACGGGAGGAAATGGAACCGAATCTACCAAAACTTGGCCGTCTCTGAAGGCGCTTCGTAGATATGAATGCAGGTCATCCTGCGGTATTGATGAGAACTCGCAAGGCGCAAGTGTTTGAAGCGCTGACTGGAGCTCAGCCATGGTCGAATTCTACCTTTGTGCAGAGACCAACCAGCCTTATTTGGATGTCTTTGGAGCGAAACTGATGTTCTCTTGCTTGCAAGTATAACTGCCAAAATGGGGCTCCTTGGCGTTCCAAGCATAGAGCTGCAGCCTAGTCGCTATGTAGAAACTTATTCACTGTATAGGTCAAGTTTATTTCGTCGCAAGCTGCGCCTTGAAAGAAGGGTCTGATTAAGAGAGAAGCGAATAACAATGAGACAACCAGGTATTAATTATATTTCTAATGACGCTAATGATATAAGGCTAGTGCAAAATTCGATAGGAATTATCTGATATCTTCCAAAGAGACATTAATCGAAGGAAAAAGCAGGTTAATTTGATGGTGGATCAATAATTGTGTAGTGCTCACATCATGAGAACGATTAGAGTGACGTCGAGCCCATAATGTTCTCGCTAGTTCTGACCCTCGGGTCCTCGGCTCTCCCCGGACTTGCTGGCGCACTTGGCATAGAACTCCAAAACTTGTTTGGTCACAATATAACCTACATGAACATAATTGTAATAGCTTAGATATGTATACATGTGCGTGTTGCTCAGGGGGAATAAGCATAGACATATTTGATAGTATATGTCATGACGTGGTATTACTTCCAAATTAAAATGCAGGATTGTGACCATGCAGCTTATAGACCGAACCCTTACAAGTTACAACTATACATTAAGACCTTTAATAGCCATTACAGAAAGGCATTCTTTGATTGTAGGCTTGGCAATTTAATAAAAGGTTCATGATTCTACAATGGTTGTATAAGATATATAATGGTCTAAAGGAGGCACCAGCCTCTTTCAATAATTGACAAAAGCTTATCCTTATACTTTGGGATTTCCAAGGCTGAGAAATGGATGTTCCATCAACTCACGAGCTGTCTTTCTATCTTCTGGGAGCCAGGTAAGCATATGACTAATAAAAGACAAGAAAGCTACCCTCTCCTTCTCTGCTAAAGATGGAATTGTATCTTCAAGTCTTCGGGCTGGAACCAGATCAGTGTATAGAAATTGGCCTACCATAACAAACAAGTTAGCAAAAGAGCAGCAGATAGAATATTTATTAATCTACCTTCTTCATCAAAAAAAGGCCCACCAAAAAATTCTCGTGCATTGCTACAGAGCTCGCCTGCATCATCTTCCAAAGCGTCAGGCCACTTGTACTGTGCCATAGCACCTGATTTTGCGAGGAATTCCTTAGGAGGCGGGCCAAGCAGAGCAATCATTTCTGCTAGATGTGTTTTCGCATCATAACGACCTTGAGTATCATGCACGTTACGGAATAATGCTGTGTGCTCAATGATATCCCATGACTGTTGTTTGCAGATTGAGTTAGCTGTTTTCACGGATACCCTGAATCATGACTCGGTCCAATTGTGTATGAAGAGGTATTCTGAAGAAAAGTGGATTTTGCTTTAGGCCATGCCACAAGCAAGAATACCGGAAAGTTAGAATGTTCTTACCAGGGCACCAAAATTCCATATATCTGCACTAAAATCCCAACCGCAGCCAAGAATAACTTCCGGAGCACGATAGTGATCCGGCTGTATAGGATGAAGACCAATTTCTCTCTTCCCCTCTTGCCCTTCCAGACTGTCACAGTGGAGTCGCGTCGCCAATCCAAGATCACTAATTTTTGGTATCATCTTTTTCAGCTCCCTCCAGTTCAGGGGTCCGAAGTCGTTGTGGCAGCGATAGACGGTTTGCCCGGTGGTTGGATCGGTCTTAAATTGCATGGGCAGGTTAGCAATCTGCTCTTTAACAAAATTAGAGAGGGTGCTATCGTTTTCGAAGGTCATTAGGATATTTTCAAGCTTTAAGTCTGAAGACGTACACAGGTATTAGTGCTTTATTTCTCAAAGAGAAGGGGCTTTAATAGAGAGAACAAGTCACTTGCCAGTATGAACAACTCTACATTCCATGTGCAAATAGTCGAGACCAGCAAGAAGAATGAAAATATATGCTTTCGCAACCGAGAGGGGGAGTTTTTGGTCCACAAATCGTTTCTGGAGAATCCAAATTGGCTCTCGCATCGGTTCATATGCCAAACAAAGATGATTCCCTTCCGGACCAGCCACCTCGAAACTTCCAAGGCAAGTTCGGATGATCCCATAGCCGCGATGTGAGGGATTTTGTCGTGCAATGTATTTCTCGATGTCACGCTCATGATGGGCATCTGTGGAACTGTGTGTATTTATTATTTTCAGTGTAACCAACCGCTCCGACTGCCATCTGTATCTAAATCAATGCCATTTTCAGTCAGTAGCTTACATTCCAACCGGGGCTGGTAAGCAAGAACATAGTACTTGCCTTGTCATATCCCGTGCGAGCCATACTGTTGAACGCGTTCCCCAACCAATCTTCACCAGCAATTGATAGCAATTGGAAAGTATCTCTCCAGCTTTAGCTGGATAGAACCATTTGGGGTTGTATCCTGGACAAAGCTCTTCATCGACGAGCTCGTTTTGTGGGATGCGAGACGCAGAGGCAGCAGGAAGCTGGGCCAGTTTGGCGCGGAGTGAGAAGGACATGCATTTCGTCATACGGCTCAGCAACCGCAGTCCAGTCATAGAGATGAGGAAATACTTTCACACTCCCCTGTGGTTTGTTCTCAGAAGAATATGTATGAATTTAACACTAGGACGCAAAACTCAGCGATTCGTTGGATGAATGACCAATGCCTGGAAAGGCGGTCGAGGTTTGATCAACAGGTTACAAAGAGCATTCAAGATGTCGAGTAACTACATTAAAGCAAGGTAGAGTGTTCTTAAGACCTTCGCTTTCAATATCGGATGGAAACAGAATTCAAGCGCTGGAGGGGAATTTTGGGGAAGAAAGGGAGATGTGCGGCGGTAGGATGGAAGAGTAGAGGTACCGAAGTCGCGACAGTGGCTAGAATTGGAACGGCCTCCAAGTCTACCTTTATTTTCAGCCAAGCTGCAAGGGTTCTTAGCGGCATGGCTAGAAATTGCATCTCTATATCAAGGATGAGATTCATCGTTGTTGCTCCAAGGTCTGTCAGAGATCATTGCGTGGATTCACGAAACATCTTTAAAGGCCGAGGGCGTAACTAACGTGATTGGCGGTCTCAGCTAGCGAACCCCGGCTTTGCCGGAAGCCTCGACAATTTATATCGGCAGGAAATTTGACAACTTGGAAGCTTGCAGACAAATAATCACACTTAATAGTGTCTCTTCTTGTTATTGTATGACAATCAGAATGGGGAACGAGTAAGCAAGAGAGCTGTTTCAGCAGCTGCAGAACTTAGACGCGATATCAAGTTCTAGGTAGTTCGTCCACGGCAATCAAGACGAAAGGTGTTTAATCGACATGATAAAAATTTTATAATATTGTAATAGTTATCGACAGGACGGAAGTGTACCAAAGGGGAAGTCTAGCTTCACGTTGTCCAAAGCCAGCATATTTTTCCACTCAATCAATGAGGGAACGCCTCCCAAGGGGTACCCAGCCCCGGGAAAGAGGAGATGAACCAAACGTCTGCGCTAGAGCAGAAGAGAACCTCAGAATAAAAATCAAAGCAACTGAATATCTGTGACGACGCTGTCGTCAGTATTGGCTGTTGCCACAGGCAAGAGACCAACTTCAGACCCCAGTAACTCGCTTGATTTTCATCCTCAAGGCAACTGTATGACCAGCATGCATGTAAAAGTACCAAAACCGAAAACTCCACATCCCAGATGTGTCGAGTAACCCGCGGTTGGATGATTTTTGTCGACGCTTTCCCTCCACTATACAATCCAGCCGATATCCAATATCAGAGTGTAGGGAAAGTGTGATCGGCCATGAACAAATCGGGGGTCTCGCCGGCCCGAGGTGTGTCTATGACTATCGGATCACAGCGACGAATAGAATACAAAGAAGATAGAAGAACGAACCCCACGAAGACTCTCCAGCCGCGAGGCTGCAACCATATATTTAAGTAATTGCCCGACTTGCAAACCATCCCGGCCCAACGAAGAGGAGCCTATGGGAGGTAGTTTGGGGGAGGAAACGCCGACCAGCCAGTGGTGGTAATGCGAGTGGAATGGAATAGCAAAACAAACATCAACGCTCGCTAGAAGAACTCGACACAATACAACGTCAGACAAGATTCGAAGTCATGCAAGTTGGAACCCGCCAAACAGATCAAACGCCATCATGATGCTCGCTCCAAAAACATTATAGATAACGCTACATTGCGTAGCGCCGCCGATGCTGATAGATATAGATCATCGCGCTGTGCTCGTAGCTTCTGAACGGTGCCTGCACCATGGCGTCCTGCGCCAGCCGACCTGGGTACAAGTCAAGTCTGGGATTGATTTTTACATGGTGGTCGCATAGGGAAGCGCGTACTCCTGGTATCGGTCCCATGCGAATCCACCGTAGCCGACACTGGTGCTGCATTGTTGTTGCATCAGGACGCTCGGCAATGGCAGCTGGGGAATCGGTGCGATGACCTGAAGAGCACTTGAGTATTGGCCAGAAGTGCTAAAAGGCGGACTATAGGCAGCCGGTGGTGAAGAAACCTGAGATTCGGTCATGGCCATGCTAGCCCACATAGCCGGGTTCGAATCGGCCGAGGAAGCCGGACTCGGGCTCGAAGGGAGGACTTTCCAGGACTCTACAGGCACCGGGTGCGGAGGGGAAATGGAGGACTGTTGCCACCAATTTCCGGCTCCGGGAGAACTGGGAAGGATGGGAGCCGGCCGGACCACGTCAACGATCCTTGGGGGCGGCGGGAGTAAAGGAATGAACATGGCCATAACAGCGTTCTTCACTTCTTCGCTCCTGCCACAGAGCAGCTCTCCAGCCCCATCTTCTTCGAGCCCTTCCAATGCGATAGCAGGCGCCAAGTAAACAAACTTGTTCACAGCTTGGACGAATTCTTCCTGCAGCCTTTTGAGCTGGATGGCCTTTTCCGACCAGTTCCAAGTGTTGGCGGCAATGTCCACCGAATAGATATCGGTATGGTATTCGACAAGGGAATCTATCGTTTCCGGTGTGAGCTTAAAGGCTACTTCGTTCTGCGAGACCATGTCGACATGCACCACGTAAGCCTCGATGTGGACCGTTTGATAGTTGAACAGCCCCTCGACGAGGGGATTCGGATCCTTGCGGAGCTCCGATTCTGGTGCCTTGGGTAGCATGAGCGAGCACAGAGTCCAAATCGCGGATTGGGATGAAAGAGTCTCAGTGAGGCATCGCTGATGCTGGGGTGCGCTGTTCAATGGTCTCTTGATGCGGTTGATCCGCTTCAAAGTCGCTGTGAGCCATGGATCTACCTTGGTGTTGAGGACCACGTTGGGTGATGCGCGGGGTGCAAAAGCGGCAGCTGAAGCTGGCAGCAGAGTTGTCGGCATTTCGGGTTTGATTTATCTGAAAAGGGATTTTCTTGCAATTATCGGAGAATTGAATTGATGTCTTTTGTTGCACCGGTTTGAATTCAAACTTTGGGGGGAAAGAAACAAAAAAAAATTATTAGAATAAAAAATCAAAAAAGTAATATCTCAGGCGGTGGCTCAATGAATATATTAATTTGTGAGCGTGAAATGAGAGACAATGAATAGAAGAAAGTAAAGATCGTAGAAGGGGAGTAGGCAGAGGGCACCCAGCGAGTCGGATATATGGCGGGGGATGGGCGACTATCTTTATAACGCGAGGTGAGCGAGGCGGTGCGTGCAGTTGTGGAAACACTAACTAAAAGTTAGGTTGGCGTAGAAGGGGCAGAGGGTCAGTTCGCCGGGGGGCGGATGCAGCAACCTGCAGCCAGATTTCACCCAGAAGTCGACATCGGTACTTGGGTAGTGGCAGAGGGCCAGGGCGGCCAACGTCGAGTCTTATGCGACCGCCTGGAAAGCCCGCATGCTTCTCGAAACATTTTCGTCGTAATAGCTGTCTGCAATCATGCATCTCACGCGACGACCGATTAGTTCACCCCCTGGTCAGCAAAGGTTGTGTGGCTTCAAAATGTCATCCACTTTCAGATAGTCGATTAAGGCAGCTCTTGGTGGCGGAAGAAACTCTATCAATTCCGCCGCCGAGGCGTCCAAGAGAAATTAGCATTGTGTAAATAAGATCCTGGATCAAACGTTCGCCGAAGCAAGGGCATAATCGAATCGTTATAGCCAAAAGCAATCCCCACACCTGATACGGTAGAGAAATGGATGAATCGCGTTGCATAACATCTTCTTGGTTTGCTTTCCCATATCAAAGCAAGAAATGACCTCGTAAACTCAAAGGATGCGTGACGATCATTGGGGCTGCGCAGGCTCCTAGCCCGTCACACAATTTTCACGCGGCAACTATAGGATCAGTGGACGTGCACATGGGGAATCTTCAACATCTCGCCTGCTGAGAAACATAATGACAATGATTATGACTCTGGACATCAAGACTGCCGCAGATTACCACAGCCCAGCGTCCTTTCGCAGGATGCCGGGCAACGCGTGGCCTCTGTCGCCATTCCCTGTGCTCATCCAGGTCAGGGCTCGTTCCTCGCTGGGCTCGCACCGCATCGGGCTTGCTGCTTCATCGAGGTAACGGTGGCACGCACGGGCAAGCGATGGTCCACGCCCAGGTTTCCCTCGAGTTCGACTAAGATGTCTTCGCCGGGCGAGCCGAACGGGGTCTGAAGCAGAGTCGAGACTAGTCGTGGGTTTGGCAAAGTGTGGTAACCAGTCGATGCGACGTTTGCTCGAGACGATCCATGTTAGCTGGGCAAGTTCAGCTGACGGATGTCAAGTCTTGGAGGTCCTTTGCACTGAGATTCGCCGCTCACCTTCGGCGCCGGCGGGAGGAAGAGATGGTGGCATCCCTGCTTTGCTCTCCTATTGGTCGTTACTGTCGACCATAGTGCCAGTACCTATCGTCAACCATTTGCAGCGTTCCAACCGAAGACGCACGATGCCTCACAAAAAACCTGGTACAGTGCTCGGGTGGTCTCGCAACAGTATACAGTTATGCATTATTACACTTAATACTCCGTCCTGTCGGGCGCGAAATGGAACACAGGAGGCTCATGACCTTCTTGCCTCCTGCCTGCGCGCCAATTGAGTAGTCTTTCAAATGACGTAAAACTTGAACACTGGGGGGCCGTATCGACCATTTTGACTATTCATCACGAGCAATAATAGCTGATGGCTTTCTTTTCGCTCTTGGGTTTAGGGCGTCTGTTGGCGTGCTATCATCAAGATTTTTAACCAGCAAGTTATTATCACAGGACCCTTAAGTTGCCGTCTAGCCTTGTACGGGAAAGCTATAACCACGCTTAACTGAGGCTACCTAGGTGGGTAAGTCAACCAAGGCAAGTTTCAGCTATCAACGTTCGTCCTCGGTCCCTGTCGTATGTCGCTTTCCCTCGCTCAGACTCTCGGCTCACATGTCGATCTTGACACATGTATTCCCGACTGTGGCGAACTATTTTGCCTCTGCATGCACCGCCACGATCAACGTCTATCCCAATTGCCACATGAAGCTCTCCCTTCGAATAAACTTCCTCGATGCTATCTAAAAATAAGAGGATTATTTTATCAGCTTAGGTAAACAGGCATTTGGCTTTTTACTATCCCGGCACTCGGCTTGCGCCGAACTCTTTGTTTCTATTTTGAAATGGGTACACGGTTGATCACCTTGGCTAAGCTTTTCCTCAGCTGTTATTCTACGAGCTGCGCGGAGTTGGGCTTCGTTATCGATACGGCCTGATCCTTTGCACAGTCTTCAAGCAATCCAGCCCAAATTACGCGCACGGTGACAGAAGTGTACCTAAGGTGAAACCAGCGCCGGATACCCTCGGCATTTTCAACTTTCAGAACCTGTCCATCGTCTACGTTAACGACGCAGATGCACACGTGACGCTTTTGTTTCATCGCTCCAAGCCCGAGTCTGTGCAGTGTTTGAATCCACAATGACGCAACATGTCTAGAGAGCTGTACCTGAAATTACCATTGCCCTCAAACTTATTGCCGTCATATACCTTTGTACGGCTGACGTAAATCAGAAGGCCAGATGTTGCAGAAACGAGGCTCCTACTACTTTGATCCTGCGGCGAAGTGGGCCTGCGTTGCAGGTACCCATCTTTTCCCTTCAGCTGGACAGGGATCCGAGGCGACAGTCTTCCTTGTTCTGGAATGTCTTCCGTTGCGGGTACGGCTGATTCAGCCGGCTACGTCCGCTGCTACTCTCCTAGTGCCACGAGTGCGTGAAATTGCCCAGTGACTCGTGATTGACCATTTTTATTACAAGCAGTAAAGATATCGGAGACTGTTCGCATTTGAATATGCCCTTGATAAAATTTGAGGATATGTAATTCTCGTATAGAGCCTTATTTTTCAGGTGACGTCTCGTCATTCTCCATTACGGTTTTTTTGTTTTTTTTTTTCTTGATTAAAAATCCGTTTTTTGACTGCTGATTTTTATCTGACGTATTCTTCTCGATTTTTTCTACCGTTCATTAAGTGAAATTTAAAAGGATAATAAGAGTAAGTTTGTGTGATCAAGCTTGTCATATGCTTTGCATCACTTATGAACACAGTATAACAAGACGTGGAGATGCCAATCTACAGCACCGAAGCTCGGTAAAGATTTAGGCTGACTATACCAAAATCCCGAGGTCATTTTAGCCATGCTTAACTGCAAACCCTTCACTTTCTCATATACAGTTTCCTATGTTCAATTTGCTCTTCCGGCCTCAGATCTTCACTGACCCGCCTTGAGTGACTTGAAGGATTCCGTGGTTTGCTTGATCGCCATCTCGACCGGCAATCGTTCCATGCTGCTCGCCCCATAGAAGCCTTGAACACCTTTTGTCCGACTCAAGACATATTCGGCATCCTGAACTTCAGCAATGGGACCACCATGACAGAGGACAATGATTTCAGGATTGATCTTGACCGCTTCATCTCTGATATCCTGGATTAACTTGACACAGTCATCCAATGATGAAGCTGTCGTCGCGCCGATTGAGCCGGCTGTCGTGAGCCCCATATGAGCCACAAGGAGGTCAGCCCCAGCGTGTGCCATACGCTTGGCTTCATCAACATTGAAAACGTAAGGAGTAGTCAACAGGCCCAGTTCATGAGCAAGTTTGACCATCTTGACTTCCTCATCGTAACCCATGCCCGTCTCTTCGAGGTTCTGTCTAAACTTGCCATCGATCAGACCGACGGTTGGAAAATTCTGGACGCCACAAAAGCCGAGTTCTTTGAGCTGTTTGAGGAAATGAGGCATCGAGCGGAACGGATCACTCGCGCATACTCCAGCAAGAACTGGAGCATTCTGTACAATTGGCAGCACTTCTCCGGCCTGCGCAAAGTTCGCTCGTTAGAAGGTCCTAATACTAACTGGAAGATGATAATATTCACCATTTCAAGAACTACACCATTCGCATCTCCGTACGGCATCAAGCCCGCCAGCGATCCACGCCCCGCCATACGATACCGACCTGAGTTATAGACAATTATCAAATCCGCTCCACCCTTTTCGATGAACTTGGCAGACAAGCCAATTCCTGTGAAAGTGTCAGCGGAGGACCGCGTGCAGCTTCTCTGCCTCTGTTCCGACCTGCACCAGCACCAACAATGACTTTGCCCTCTGCAATTGTTCGCTTCAATTTATCGAGAACATCTTTACGGTCCGTTGGTCGCGGCATGTTGACGATCTTCACCTCACTGTATAGGCGGAAATTGGTAGACCAAGATAATTATTTGGGAAAGGAGTTATCCAGAAATTGTATTGTATAAGTCAGAAGCGTTTCTTCAATCTCTCAAACTGCATGAGAAGAAATTTAATACTACGCTAATCAGCGGGCCATCAAATTAATTAGTGTCTATGGTGTAAGGTTCTCATAAGTGGAAGAATTTCCCCTCCTCTGTGATGTAAACGATCTGGCAACCATGGGTGCTGGTGGGGGCTTCTCTTCCGGACGGGAACCCCCAGTTCGCTTGACTCCGTCCCATAGGCGCTTCGGGTATGGTTTACCCGTACTTTAGCAACCCACCGAGGCCACCACGGCAAAGTCTCCGTCAAAGTGATGCACACTGCAAGGATATGATTCACGCTGGTCCAATGATGACCGCCATGCATCTGCTCGAAAAACCCCGCTCGTGCCTTCTCTTCATGATCAAGACTTGAACATCGATCTGCGGTATCATGTAGGTGATCGATTTGCCTGTGTTTCTGGCATGATGGGTCTTTGCTCTGGTCTCTATCCACCGATCACCACGATCGTATCCAGGGTGTAAACTGTGTCCAACTAGATCCATGATCCTCAGGTGTGTTGGATGAATATAAGTTGGTATCAATTTTTTGAAGTTTGTTATACCACTTATGTTCCATTTCATGTGCAGCTCTCTCTCCCAAACCAACTCGTGCTTGTCCCATCATGGCTCATACAACAGTTGCCCTGCTCGGCACTTGCGATACCAAATTAGAGGAGCTTCTTTACCTCCGCTCCGAAATTCTTCGAAGCCAGAATCTGAGGGTGATACTAATTGACGTTGGAAATAAATCGTGTGAGCATTCTGCTATTAACATCAGTCATGGCGATCTCATCTCTCGCTACTCAACTTCAGCGGAGGCAGGCTTCACTAAGAAGCCGGAAGACAACACACGCGCAGACATGGTCAGGCTGATCTCCACCTGTGCATCATCTTGCGTCAGAGAGCTCTTCCATTCTTCCTCCATCTCTGGCATCATATCGATTGGAGGATCTAGCGGAACATCTTTGGTGGCGACTGTTATGCGGGACAGCCTCCCAATCGGCTTCCCAAAGCTAATTGTCTCAACGATGGCCAGTGGGGATATCAGTACCTTTGTCGGCGAAACAGATATCTCTATGATGTACAGTGTTGTTGATATCGCTGGCTCGAATTCGATTCTTCACAAAATTTTGTCAAATGCCGCCGGAGCTATTACCGGCATGTCGCTGAGTTACCAAGCTCACAAGGAGGGTAACAACACCGGCGTCAAAGAGAAAAAGAAAGTCCGGGTTGGTGTGACCATGTTCGGTGTAACGACACCCTGTGTTGATGAAATACGACGTCATCTTGAAGCTCATCATGGCTATGAAGTTTACGTCTTCCATGCCACGGGCGCTGGTGGCAGAGCAATGGAACGCCTGGTTAGAGAGAACCTATTAGACGCCATTCTCGACCTTACCACGAGCGAAATACCGGATGAGATTGTCGGTGGCGTACTCACTGCTGGTCCAAATCGTCTCGAAGCGGCAGCCAAAGCCGGGATCCCACAGGTTGTGAGCGTAGGAGCCTGTGATATGGTCAATTTTGGTCCCAGAGGGAGCCTTCCACAGCGATTTGCTCATCGTAATATCTATGAGCATAATCCTTCAGTCACCCTGGTTAGGACTTCTGAGGATGAGTGCAGAAAAATTGGAGCTTTTATTTCGGAAAAGCTGAGGGAAAATGTGAAATCACCCCAACTGGTGCAGGTATGGCTTCCGACCGGTGGTATAAGCATGATAGAGAGTCCTGGAGGGCCTTATCATGACAGCGCTGCCGATGAGGCACTGTTCACTGCCATTGAGAAGGGCCTAGAAGAAAGCGGTATTGGGGTGAAAAGGGATCAAAGATATATCAACGACCCATCTTTTGCTGTGGATATAGCGGAACAGCTGGTAGAATTTGTGAAACGTTCCGAAGGAAGGCAGTAATTCCTTGGAAGAAAATTATCTGTCGTCGGGAGGAAAGAAGTCTCGAAGACTTCGACATTTTGCGATGGTATTTTTTAGTGGCAGCAGAAATTCTCTTACTTGCCAGCCTCACAACGCATGTCCGAAAGGAAAAGCAACAAGCAAATGGAACTGTTGCGGTCGATTGGTACGGATACCAGCCTGAAGCTTATCGTGTATATACGGCTCTGGCCACCCAGAAAGCAATGAAGTTATTCCACTGATCTCTATACTCGATGACAGCAAACAGACATCATGCCATAGTTAGTCCCATCCGCATAATTTAATCATGTACGTCCAAGTCTATCGGTCCATCGCCATATATGTCTTTTATCTGCTTCTTACAGCAGCATTCGCCATTAAGGTGTGTCACTCGTCCGTTATTTTTCAATGCTAGATCGAGCTTTCAATCGTTGCTGACTATGGTTTCTGAAACGAGTACCAAATCTCTAAGGGCCTAGCAAGGATGCTCTCGCTTTCACTTTGCTGGTAATATTTGTCCTGCTGATCTGAGAGCAATGATAATATTGTAGACAGCTAGTTGGTGTAATGGTCCTTCTTTTATATTCCGAGCTTGAGTCCTTGCCTCTGCCGGAAGGGTATCTTTCAGTGGCCTGAGCTAAACTGGTTTTATCTTGCACAAAAGGACACTTAACGATTTCTACTGAAGAGGCTGCTCAATTGGCTGTACTGGCGGATACCAGCCAAAAGTATCTCGGAAATATCTCGTGCTTCCTCATTTCGAGAGTCAAATGAAAGACTCTGCGGTGGGTCGGGGACCCCAGCATCAAACTCATGGGTACCCGGCCATCAGTGATAGATTGTATCTGGTGTTCACTTCATATTTCGAACATGATATGTTTCTTATCCATACGATGTTATTGCTCAATAATCATATCAGATTCCCAAGTCCCTAGAGATTACCCAGCTGCTCCTTGATCTTCAGTCTTAACCGATTGTTTTTCTGGTTTGTTGTCTTTTATGCCCTCTTGTTTTCTTCTCCTTCCCTGCATTTGTTTTGTCTTGGTAATCTTCCCAATTTTCTCACTCCGCTGAATCATCTCCTGTTCTTTGTGCTTATCAGTACCATCTTGTCTTAAGACACTTTGCTTTCTACTGAACACCCTCTCAGTATCGTTACTGCTACATTAATGGCATCCTCAAGCACTTTCTCGAGCGCCGCTCTTGAGCGTGCTCAGGCTCGCTTGATCCGCATAAAACAGATCCTCTCCTCTATGGAGGTGAGTAGGACTTGTCCTTCTGCATCCTCAGCTCTTCTAATATATATCAGCTGCCTTCGTTCCCGGTCCATCTTAAATCCAATCCTCGGAAATCCTACGGGCGTCGCAATGCCGTGTCCCACATGGCACGACCATTGGTAAGGGATATTAAATCCGGTCCTGCAATTGTAAATGAGACTGAGCTCTTCTAGGATAGTGTAGAAAGGTGCCTTGAGAGAGCTCGTCGACTTCTTGAGCTACTCTCAAACTCACCTAAAACTACTGCTCCGGTTTGACTTCTTTCAAAAATTCGCAGGATGACCGCTAGACTAATATTCGAAATAGACAAAGATCAATACGACTATTCTGAACACCGCAGATAAAGATCGAAAGACCAGCGAGCAATACACGGGGACTCGTCGTGTCCTCAGGACCAGATTAAATGAGCCAGTCAAAGTAAGGACGACATCATCTAAGGCGGCGTGGATTGGCTCTAATTACTCCTTAGGCATTTTGGGATTCTACTCGACCAACTCGGCCTCCAGCTTTTAAGGATTCGCAAGCACTGGTGAGTCCTCATTGAACCCTGAGCTTTAATCCCTACTTTTCCGAGGCAGGCTTTACTGATTCCGTTCTTGTTGATAGGCCAGATGGCAAACGAGTGATGCGCTTCTTAGGAGGTGCCGGGAAATTCAGACAAGGGACTACGGATCACGCACTCGATGCCGGCCATCTAAGGAGATACGCCCCTTGACCACCAGATGTCTCGGAGCAATCAACCCGTTTCAGGGACTCTTGCCCTCATCACCTCCCTCATCGCGTCCAGCTTTGCGCAGTTGCCTGAAAAAGACAATTGTCGTTCAGTCTACTGGAGAGCTGGGTAAAAGAGGAGGTGTGGTAAAGAGTGTAAAGACTTCATCCCCATTAACATCTTATTGTTCTATCTAACCTTGAATTACAGGTTACATTTGCCGAAATGGAGCAAGTCCGCTGGTTTTACAAAGCAGGACGCGCGAATGGATACATTCCCAGGGACAATGCGGCATAGCCAGATGTTGCTCGTGTCTATGTGGGGAGCAAGAAATTTACGGATAGTATCATATCGCAACCACATGTTCTTCACCAGATAGCCGACGCTAAATATCTCATCGAAGATTCAGAAGGTTATTTAGGTGCGATGAGGCTTTAAAGTTGGCCAACAGCATAGACTTGAAAGAAGGAAAGACCAAATCTGAAAAATCTGAAAGTGGGCCAAAAGGAAGAGAAGGAGGTTACATTGTAAATGAAATTGGAAATCTTAAGCGTTGGTTTGACTTATTCGTTTTATGTTTTTTGTTTTATTTTATTTTCTCTTTGGCCATTGGATTGATGGAGAATTAAAAGCGAAAGGAATTTCGGAAATTGCCTCGCATAAACGCTTTTTCTGAAATAAGAGACGTTCTGCATAGATTGACCCCTGAGGCGAGGGCGCTTTTGTATCTAGGTGATAATAGACTCGAAAAATAGTATTAACCATTTCTATCAAGCTATGGCACATGCTCCAGGGAGAATGTTGGGCTGTTAAAACCACATCCAACTTGATTTTGGCATCACTCGGCTGGTACCCTTTTATTATAGTATCCGCGATATTAATTTAAAATACATCGATTGATAGTTCCTCTAGGACCCTATGGGCCTTGTGACTATCACGTCTTCGTCCTTTTCACGTGTCCGTCTAAAGTCCCTTGTCCGTGTTCCTTTCTCTTCCTACCCACCGGCGAATGGTCCTTTTCGTGAAGACCTTCATGGCCTTCCGCATCATGCACAAACTCGCCGTGGGCATCAGCATCATGCATCGCCTCAACATCTGCCGTGCTCGTCGGCCCTTCGGCTTCATCGGGAAACAGGTCTCTCCACGTCCCGTCTAGGACCTTTTGATCATTCCCGTAGAGCCCAACCCGATACGCATTCTTCAGCGCATTGATGCACGTCGTTCTGCGGCTAGGGAAGTCAAACATGGGCTTTGGGTAAATATTCATAGACTCCTTCTCCTTCTTCTCGTCGCCATTTTGGGCGCCATTCGCTTCGTGCTTTTCGGCTACTATTTCCTTTTTCCACGGAGACAAATCCAGCTCTCCATCTTCTCCCTCCTCGTCGATGCTCTTGATCAGGCATCCCGCGGCTTTCTGGTCCGCTATGGGAGCCTTCCACGGCTCATAGATATACTTTGCCGGGAAATTTGCCAACTCGGGAACATATTTCCGCACGAAGGCGCCGTCTTTGTCCCATTTCTGCGGAAAGCTAATTGGGGAATAACACCGATAAAACTGCGCATAGAATGCCGTGCACGACAGCCATTGCCAGTTCCCAATATTACATGCGGGTTCATGGTCAATGAGCCATTCCTCGAATACTGCAGCGCCGCGCTCCCAATCGACGTAGCATCCGCCCCGCGTCAGGAAACAGGCCACTGCGTGTCGTCCGAGGTGGTGGATCCACCCTTCCTGCCGCAACTGGCGCATCAATGCATCGATCCAAGGGAAGCCCGTGCATCCGTACTTCCATCGCTGAAACCAAGTCTCTGCTGTGCTGGAGTCGATGCTGTACTCGACTCCTCCGCCACCGCCGCCGTCGCGGACGACAAGTCCCGTGTCCTCGTTGACTTTGGATGGCAAGTGCCACGGCACGGACCGACAAGAAGGGTTCCCGTACGCTTGTCCGAATTTGTGTCCCAGCGCGGCTTGCGCGCCAAAATACATGTCTCGGAATAATAACTGTCCCGTGAGACTCGTAGGTGGATGGCTTGCCGTGCCCTGCTTGAAGTTGTCTACGACGTCCTGCGCGCGCCAGTAGAATTCGCGACAACTGAGTGATCCAAAGTGTAAATGGGGACTTAGCAGAGTCGTTGATTGCGGTTCGAACGCGGTCGGCGCGGTTGATGGCTTTTCAAATGTCGCTGTGTATTTTGTGTTGGAAATGATCTTGTCCAGCGCTGCCAGCGCGGCGGTCTCTCCGCCATGGTGCGGCGTGGTTGAGGGTTTGAGACCAAGTTCGTCGTATGTAGGCACGGAGAAATCGCCCTGAGGTCCTGCAAGATGGGCGTAGGATTGGTCCGAGCTGTTGCGCTGCGGGGCGTTGATGTCGGGCTCAGAGGAAGGATGGTCCTGCTTGAAGTTAAGGCTGGTGTCGCCTGGGTCGGGGAGGGACGCAGGTGCGGGAATGGGGCGTGGGATTTGTCCAATTTGCTCGCCAGCCTGGAATGGGATGCAATAATTAGTATATGAGATGCATGGTGGTTTGAGAAGTAAATAGGACAAGGTAGGAAGAGAAAGAAGTTGGACAAAGAGATGAATAAACTGGAGAAAAAGAGAGAAGCGAACCTTTATAACTTGAGAAATAGACATGGTTGGTTTACCATGATTTTGCTTGACAAGCTCATCTGGATCATACAGCGTGCGGCCAACTTTTGTGATGACTTGGACGCCGGCCTTCTTGGCTATTTCCGTGACTTCGTTGTCGCGGTCCCGAGCGTACGCATCGGTATCTTTTTCGAATACGAGATGAGAGATATTCCATGCTTTGAAAAGCTTGGGGAATAGTGTTGTAGGACTTTCTCGTATGACGAAAAGCTTGGACTTTTTATTCAGCTTTGTAATTGATGCTGAAAGATCAGACTGACAGTCCAGTCTATGAGATTGTTAGAAGTGTGTCAGAAAGAGGAGAGTATACTCTTCAACAGAGCAGGAAATACAAGAAATCTATGTGTCTGTGCTTAATACAGACTTCAATATACACTGGGGAGAAGAAACAGCAGACGAGAAAGAGCAGGGGTGATATGTTTTCCCAATATCGTCATGAAGTAGCACCAATAGCAGATCGTACTTGGTTCAGGATCTTTCTGATTTAAAAAGAGAAAAGTACGCGACACATATAAAACTTAAGAGACAGCAATGAAGAATAACCACAGCGGAGCAATGCCCTAGATAAAATACAGACGCAGGAAGAAAGACGAGAAGCCGTAACACGACAACCAGGATATATCAAAACTTACAAAAACTGCCATCGATTCGGGCCTACTCGTGCCCGGTACACATAATGCGGATCCCAAGTCCAGATGGGATACAGACATTCTGGCTCAAGATCCAGCGCGGCCTTGAGGGCCGGAGAGTCATGAAGACGCAAATCAGTTCGGAACCAATATATAACGCGAGGCTTAGGCTTAGTCATAGTGGCTGCGGTATCGGTAGAGAAATTGGAGTTTTTTTTTGGACATAAAATATAACAAATTTCATGTATCCTCCCTTGGATTCGCCAGTAGGATATATCTCAAAATTGGCAGTCCGGAGCAAGTAAAGAGAGTCAAGAAAGCCGTGTGCGTTGAGTAATCTGTCCTTTCGAAGCAGTCCCAACTAGAACTTGGTATTAGAAATTCAACAAAATTCGGGTCTCCTGCTCACGAAAAAAACACAAGGACATTAGATTGATGGGAAGTCAAGAAAAGTTGGAGGTCGTATGGTTGCAGTCGAGCTTAGGGTCATTATATATATTTTTGTCCCGGCGCCGAGTCCTGTTTACAAAATGCATAGCCATGACGACCTATACGTGTAGAAAGATTACGAGAAGAGTTTAACGCTTGATCTCGGGATAGGTCGTCCTAGGAAATCATCACATCGCCCTGCCGTAGAGTCTAACAGTATTGATGATGTCGTCGATTTCCGGCCCGAAACCTTGCCAAAACGTCCTGCGCTACTCGAACCCATCCGCATACGGACTAGTCGCATCTCCGCCTAGAGCACGGAAGCTAAACCACAGATCGCGGAGCCCTTGTCACGTAATTGAACCCTAGCGCCAGAAAAGTTATTGATGATACAGATACAAATCATGTTAAAGGCACTCTGGTAGAATTATCCATGCCCTATTTTTCATAGTACTTGACTCGCGCTATATAGGAGGTGACGAATTATAGTCTATACGCTTCACCAAAGGATCGTGGGAAATATCAAGCCAAAACGCCACTATCAACCGCCCATGCCAAAATAAACATTATGATTGATTCAGTCTATTCGTCCCACTCCTCGTCCAATTGGTCAATCAGTCGATTCTCATCGTCTGTTCGGCCAGCCCTGCCTCGCGCATTACCGTTTGATACGCGGCTGTACCTTCGTCGCTTGGGCATGAAGCGGAGACAGGAAGAGAAGAGAATGACGAACATGTCCTGTTACGAAATAAACGTTAGAATCATGTAATAATACAGGCATTGAACTCGGTGGGCGCCTAGGCTTACCTTGATGAAGCTTGCAATGCCAGCCCACATGGAATAATTGGGCAGCTGTCGCCAGCCTCTTTGGTGCATCACCGTTCTCTGGTATACACATCCACCAACCAGATAGACTAAAACTGCGATGAGAACACTGCAAATGGCCATATTAGTCGCGTCATCTTCTCAAATGCGGTAATGTTGAATAATGCGGAGCACAGAGGTGCTGTCTCGTACGAGGGGCTGCTTACATTACTCCAAACACGCCGCCAGGACCCAAAGTCTGCTGCGCGTCGTTGACACCAGCGCATGCTGCTTGGGAGCGAACCTCAAAGAAATAAGCACAGTCGTCGGGCGAACCGACAAACGATACAACAGCTTTAGGAGCCAGCGGGTCTCGATCGCAGAGGAACGAGATTACAGTCGACTTTCTCCGAACATCTTTTGAAATATTGTCATCATCATCATCATCCTTCAACTTTCGCTTAGTGTCTTTGTCGAGAGTGCTGAGTGAATGAGAGAGACGCGGCGCCGGGCACGGGGATCCATCGGTATAATTCAGAACAAGCTTTCGGCCTCTGAAAATGGGGCTGGAGGACTGCTGGCTGCAGAAAACGTCAGTCATTGAGACATTGATATTGAGACCTGGGAGACTGCTTCAATGAATGAGAAAGCCGGCATACGTACCCAATGGAATAGGTCTTCCCATCCATCTTGTAAAACGCACTGACGTTCCTCCACAATGATTTCTCCACGCCAATAACATCCTTGAGGCCCTCCATTACGGGGGCGCAAACGTTCAGAGTGAAGTTAGCAGGATAATCGTAGCCCTTGGCATGCCAGCTTTCCGTTCTGTCATCCTTCTTCAATTTCTTTCCTGCCTTTGGCGGATACAATGATATGGGAGTCAGGTCGAAAAAAGAACCGCTGGTCGGCGACAGAACGGTACATGGCTTAATTGGCTTAGCCTTCTTCTCTTCAGAAGCGCCCCAGACTGTCGCATCGAAGGCAAACAGAGTCAGAGCGCAGATCTGGAGAAGACGCATTGTCCTAAGCTCTGAACCGGAGAGCGAGGCGGGACCGGACAGGGAAGCTCCCGAAGGCTACCAAATGGGATGAACCGTTTCCCGATCGGCAGTTTCAGGGGAGCTACGATATGAGTATTACGAAGCTCGCGGGTCGACTCGGTAGACGCGACGATCAGAACTCCACAAAAGCTCCAAGGCGCCAAGGAAATGTTCAGAGGGTGAAAATGAAGGTATTGACAAATAGATGCGACGTTGCGTTTTCACACCGGCGGGGGGGATGAAAGGCGACCGGGTTGATTGAATCCGAGCGTGTTTAAGGTTCCATGCAGGTCAGTCAGGGCAGCTCGACTGCCTGAGCCGAATCGATAAGTTAGGAGTAACTAGGAGTTGTGTACTGCATAAGTTAAGCACTACCATTTCACAATTTATGCAGTGCATAATTATCAGATTTTATGTCATGCTCATTTGTGCATTGCCTGCATTCAGTCCAAAGCAAACCACAAAGGTATCTCATTGCTCCAAATTAGTCCGAATTTTTTCATGGACGGAGATTCCGTTAGATTTGTAGGATCATGTTCCTGTTCCTCTGAAATAACATGTCACGGATGCACGTCATCACTGCTTCAGTACCGTACTAATCCGTAGATGACCCTTCCATTTGCTCCCTGCATCCACACCAATTGGTACAGCATCATATTTCGCGCTGAGGTGGCCGAAGATATATAAAAAAAGGATTTCTGCGATGCGCACAGAAGCAGATATCTCTTTGCTTCTACTTTTCCTTTTTATTTAATTCATAGTTTCGAAATTGCTCTGTTTAAGCTCTCAATAGTCATATGCGACGGCTTGAACTTCCTTCCCCACATCGTCTCCGTCAAGCCAATAGACGCTTACGCAAAGTGTCCGACCATTTCTGCCCGGCTGGGCCCTGGCCTACCTCGTCCCTACCGGACTGCCATCCTCCGACCCAGCGTTCATATCGTCTGATTATTTGAGAACACATTCTATTTTTTATTTTCGTGCACTATATATCTCCAGAAAATTTAAGGCAGGGAAAAGGGAAAGAGTCCCAGCAGGTACTTACCTACGTAGTACTTGGTCTGGTGCTGGAGAACCTAAGCTCAGGCGAGACGAAGATATAATTTCGCCTATTTTTTGTCTCCTATAGCCTCACGCGTTTTAAACGTGTCGTTGCTGTCAACAACATTAATATCAGCCATGCCGAGTCCTAAATCCAAAAGTACGGCTACGCCAGCCGCTTCGGCTTCTTCTCATGGTTATGAATTTGGTGGCCCGTGAGTTCAACTTTCCTAACGATGTCCTATTTTTTTTTTAGCTGATAATCTGATCTTGTGATATTAGGCTCGGGGCCTTCGGTATAACCTTTGGTTTGCCTATTTTATGTTATGCCATGTCCTTTTTATGTAACGATGTATCCGGCTGCCCTGTACCGTCACTCCTCCATCCTTCCACCTTGACCTGGGCGAAGCTCAAGGACGAAATTGGTTGGCCTCGAGGAGGCGTCTTCGCATTAGCGAGCGCCAAAGGGACGCTCGCCGTCCTTGGCTACTATTTCGCCCTCATCGTTCTGCAAGCTGTGCTGCCAGGCCAGGTCGCTGAAGGTGTCCAGTTGAGTTCTGGAGGTCGGCTGAAGTACAGGCTCAATGGTAGACACATCCAACTCATGTTCCCACGTTGCCGCGCTAACGCAGAAACCTCCCAGCTTTTACTTCGGTCATGGCTATTATTGCCGTGGCTGCCGTTGGTACCCTCAAGCAAGGTTCCAACTTTGTTCTCTGGACTTTCATCTGGGACAACTACCGAGCCCTGCTGACAGCCAATATTGCCATTTCTTATGCGCTAGCATGGTTTGTCTACATACGCAGCTTCTCCATTAAGCGCGGCAATCCAGAGCACCGCGAGCTTGCCAATGGTGGCAAGACTGGAAACCTACTTTACGATTGGTTCATCGGGCGCGAGTTGAACCCGCGCGTGACAATCCCAGTCCTAGGCACCGTCGACATCAAGGAGTTTTGCGAACTTCGACCCGGATTGCTTGGTTGGATCCTGCTCGATTTGGCCTTCATCGCGCAACAATACAGGCGATATGGTTTCGCGACGGACAGCATTTTCTTGATCACGGGTTTCCAAGCTCTCTACGTTTTCGACGCCCTCTGGATGGAACCGGCTGTACTTACGACCATGGATATCACCACGGACGGTTTTGGATTTATGCTTGCCTTTGGTGACTTGGTCTGGGTTCCATTCATCTATTCTCTTCAATGCCGTTACTTGGCTGTACATCCTGTTCAGCTGGGCCTCTGGGGCACGCTGGGTGTGCTTGCTGTTCAGGGACTTGGCTATTCCATCTTCCGTGGCGCCAACAACGAGAAGAATCGTTTCCGCACCGATCCTAAAGATCCGAAAGTGGCCCATTTAAAATACATGGAGACCAAATCTGGCAGCAAACTCCTCATATCCGGTTGGTGGGGCGTTGCTCGTCACATCAATTATTTTGGTGACTGGGTGATGGCGTGGGCATGGTGTTTGCCGACGGGCATCGCTGGATACATGATCCAGAAAACGTCTGGGGATCCGCTCTCTGCCGGCAGCTCCGCGGCGGAAGGGTCCATCATCGGGGGCCAGCCGATCGGTGCGCAAGTGGTCCAGGGTGAAGCGCGGGGGTGGGGCATGATCGTGACCTACTTTTACGTCGCGTACTTTGGGGTGCTTCTTGTGCATCGCGAGATGCGTGATGAACAAAAGTGTAGACGGAAATACGGCAACGATTGGGACGAATATCGGAAAAAGGTCCCGTGGCGGATGATTCCCGGCGTGTACTGAGCTGAGAAGCAGTCACCGCCAGGAGGCGCTACACGCATATTATCTTGCGATATTTTGCCCGGCAACGTCACTGAAGAAACAAAGTCTTCGCCGCCGTGAGATGAACGGATTATTTTTGTCAAGCGGTCCACCCCAATATGACAAAACGTTGAGACTGGGGACCCCACAAAATACCTTGGACTCAAAGATTTTGGAGTGACATGGTTTTCGATTAAAATTCATATATAATTATCCAATTAGGCAATCAATAATTTGAATCAGGAGCGACTAAAAGTTTCTCAATGCTAACGTCAAGCTACTGCTCCTGTTCTCCGTACACTGGTAGATTTTGATGGCCATACTAAACGCATGCCAGCCCTTTTCTCTACAGGGCTCACAGAGGCGCCGCATGCTCCGAAGGGGAAATTGCGGCTTTCACAGGATCTGAAAGGCGGCCTTTTTTCCACCTGGTTCCTTTTTTTCTTCTTTCTTTGTGCCAGCTTCCGGGGTCGACGGGGGATCCTGGTTCGCTCAAATGGCAATCGGACGTCCCGATTGGGAAGACTGTTGTTTGCCACAGCAGGGCCGAGGCCAACAAAAGTAACGACGAAATGGGGGAGTCGGGCCAAAGGGCTTCTCCTTCTGGACGAAGTGTGGGTGCTCGGGCAAATTAAACAGAACTCTCTCCTTTTCCCCATCTCTGTCAGCGACGACGGTGTTTTGCTGGACCCACTTTATTGCCGCACGCCGCCAATTCCGGCAAACTGTCAGGTGTACAGTACTTCTCTGGGTACCTCGGCCAGGCATCACTTTTAGCCGAGACGAGCAAGTCTTTGGTCTCTACGCTTGCATGTATAAAGTACCTGTCGCTTTGAGCGTTTCATTATTCTCTTTTGGGTATGACGGCGGATGGAGAGGCTGGAGTAGACTGGTCGGGCCTATCTCGCAATTTTCTCTTCGACAGAAAGTACGTACTCCGACTCCTATTGGAGGCCGAAGGAAAGATTACTGTGTGGGATGGAAGTATCTCTTTGTCTCGACGTCCCTGGGTCGAGACGTCAAACAGGTATTGTAGAGGTAAGAAAGCCGTAGTGGATACTGTTGCCCGGGCGAGGAATCAATGTTCGGAAAAAGTCACGAAAACCCCGTCAAGACTTTCGCCGTCAGCGAGACGATTATGATGACAAGTCCTGATTGGTCAATGGTACACGAAGAGCCAAACCCCCTTGACGAAGATAAACCGGGCCTAGCCAGCCTTTTCCACCAATAAGAAGGGGTAATCCTGCACTAGTGGCCCTCCGTTCTCTCGTTGCTTGGGGCTGCTCCTTCCTTTTCTTCCTTCCGCGACCCGTCCCGGTTCACATCTTTTTCTTCTCTTCTTCATCCATCCTGTCCGACTCTTCAGTCCGACATCTTTTAAAAAGACTCCCTCGTCAGTCGTCTCAGACCTGACCCTATCAATTTCTTCTCCCCTCAATTCCTTTATTCTTCGTTCCGTCGAAGCACCATCGTCACAATGGCGCAGCAGGAAGGAGAGGTCGTTCAGGCCAAGAAGACCGTCCTGGGCATGCCCGTAAGTCAATTCGCTCATCCGCTTTACCCATCCGCATCGAATCGTTGAACCAATTACTACGCTCAACTTCATCTGCATCCATCTCATTGATTCTCTTCATTCGTCATTACTCAAACGTGATGGCCGAAATGAACTGGTTCATGGGTTGGGGAGATAGGAGACTGCTTTGAGTTTGTAGTGGACGTTGCGATCGCGGCGGAATTCATCTCGGTTGGATCGCTTGACTAACGAAATGATTCTCTAGGGATTCGTGGTCGACTTCATGAGTACGTCTTCATTTGCACCATGAGCGTTGGAATTTGCTCTCGTCCGCCTCTTGTCGGCAAAGACGAATTTGCATGCCTGGCGCCCGTGGCTGAGTCTGACAAGGCAAAATTTTTCGGTTACTGACTTATATTCGCAGTGGGTGGTGTTTCCGCCGCCGTCTCGAAGACCGCTGCCGCCCCCATTGAGCGTATTAAGCTCTTGGTCCAGAACCAGGTAAGAACACGACTCCATTCCCTTCCATTCGGATCCGATTGCATCTGCATGCATGGAAACTGCCGGATACCATTTATGTACTTTTGGCATCAAATTCCCTTTGAAAACGCTGCAAATTACCTCTACATGAAGAAGCTGTTTTGGGTTTTCCTTTTGGCCGGCCCAAAACCTCCTTTCGGTCGCTTAAATTGGATTCGCACCTCCCAAATGCCCGCAACACCGCTGACTGATGAATCTATATAGGATGAGATGATCAGGGCCGGTCGTCTCGACCGCAAGTACAACGGTATCGTCGACTGCTTCCGTCGTACTATTGCCGACGAGGGTCTCGTTTCCCTCTGGCGAGGCAACACTGCCAACGTCATCCGTTACTTCCCCACCCAGGCTCTTAACTTTGCCTTCCGTGACACCTACAAGTCCATGTTCGCTTACAAGAAGGAGCGTGATGGATACACCAAGTGGATGATGGGTAACCTTGCCTCTGGTGGTGTAAGTATCTGTTGCTCCGATTAAGTTTTGACCTGGAGCTCGAAGCTCACAATTTTACTTAGGCTGCTGGTGCCACTTCCCTCCTCTTCGTCTACTCTCTCGACTACGCCCGTACCCGTCTTGCCAACGACGCCAAGTCCGCCAAGGGTGGTGGTGACCGTCAGTTCAACGGTCTCGTCGACGTTTACAAGAAGACCCTCGCTTCCGACGGTATTGCCGGTCTCTACCGTGGTTTCGGTCCCTCCGTCCTTGGTATCGTCGTCTACCGTGGTCTCTACTTCGGTATCTACGACTCCGTCAAGCCCGTTGTTCTCGTTGGTCCTCTTGAGGGTAACTTCCTTGCCTCCTTCTTGCTCGGCTGGACTGTCACCACTGGTGCCGGTATCGCCTCCTACCCTCTTGACACCATCCGTCGTCGTATGATGATGACCTCTGGTGAGGTAAGTAACGAATATATGGTTCCATTCCTTTTCGTGTGACCCCAAGCTAACGCATCGGGATAATAGGCTGTCAAGTACAAGGGCTCTCTCGACGCTGCCCGCCAGATCATCGCCCAGGAGGGTACTGCTTCCCTCTTCAAGGGTGCTGGTGCTAACATCCTCCGTGGTGTCGCTGGTGCTGGTGTCCTGTCCATCTACGACCAGGTTCAGCTCCTGCTCTTCGGCAAGGCCTACAAGGGTGGCTCCGGATAAACGGTTCCATTTCTGTGATGGTCTAGCTGTGGAGGGTTTAGAAGGTGGTGTTGGTGGAGATGTAATTGTGGACAACACCAAGGATCGGGCAAGTCAAGAAATTGACGTGCTCGTGGATCCTTGTGATTGCTCTCTGTACTTTAGTAGCACCTTGAGCAAGAATTTTTCTTATTTCCTTTACTCCTTCAACCCCCCAGATGTATTTTTGTTGGCTTTGATGCAAATGGTACAACTGGTGTTTTGTTCAGACGGTCTGTCTATTACAAAAAGATTGCTTCCTCGTGATTTGGTGATTTTGATAATTGTGATGTCTTGTGTCATATCGTGTTCTCGTTTGCAATTGTGTCTTGTCATTGTCAAGTCTCCCAATTTTCGCTTTTGCAAATGACAAAGTCTGCGGGATTGCCCAGAATATGTTGTCCATTTACTACTTGTATTGTCCAGAATAGCCGATGTTGATACTCATGTTGATATAGCAATCTCATCCAATATCATGACAAACGGTAGTATAATAACCCAAGAAGTAATATAATACGTTGTAATAGAAGTGTATAATACATGTCACAATTGTTTTACAGCCATGTATCATTTAATTTACATTTTCAATCTCCAACTTCTTCCCTCGTTTCTCCTTTCCCCACCCTATTTCCCCTTATCCTCTTCCCCCTTCTTTGAAGCATCCCCTGCAAGTAGATATTAATAAGGAAACATCTCGTGCAGACTGAGAAGATCCTTGCTTTTCTCCAGCGACAAGTTGGGGGGAAACGGGGAGGAAATAGGAAGAAAGTGCAAGAAGTAAAGTGAAATAATCAAAGAAAATTAGGGTAGAAGGGGAGGAAAAAAAATAAAAGTAAACTGGTTGCCCAACCAAGAAAGCTCAAAAAGGGCACCAAAGCCAAAAATGAAAGAAACTACCACCGGAGTAAGGCGGGAAGCATAAGAAGAAGATGAAAAAGACCCGGAAATAGGTAGACGCTGGCTTACCACCCGAAACTTAACAAAGAAGGAACAAATCCCAAACGCACAAAAACACTCCGTATGGAAGAACAAATCAAGGGGGGACAGATTAGGATAAAATAAAAAGTAAAAGTGGAAAATCAGACATTTGTCGCAGACTAAGGAGACACCGACTCGACTCTTTTGTACGCCTGCTCCGGACATGTCAAGATTGAATGTAAATATAATTCAACAGTAGATTGGCCGAATCACTGCATCGAAGGATAGTATTCGCATAAAGTATAGAGAGGAGAAATGTGAACAACGTAATCATTCATGAGATTGATGCAGAGCAGGAGGAGGATGTTGCTGGTCCATCAGAAACGGTAGCATCATGGCATAATTGGCCAACCCGCCAGCCGATGTACCGGTGATATCGGGACCATTGCTGATCCCCCCGCCGGCGCCGGCGCCACCCCCAGCAGCACCGTTGATGTCGGGCGGATCCAAGTTGAACGGACCGAACCACGTATTTGTCGCTTCGTTGAGGTATCCGTCGTTAAGTGCGTTGACGTCCATGCCCCAGATGCTGACATCGGAAAGGCTGCCAAGGCCTGCGGTCGGCCCCGCGGCGCTCAAGGGATCAAAGCTTCCCCCGTAACTTGTGTAGCTTAAGCTGGGTGGTAAGCTCGGCTGCGGCTGCGAAGGCGGCGGCGGTTGCTGACTTGCATGAGGGGGAGGCTGTTGATGGTGTAGGTGATGCTGAAGCTGAGTGGAGATGTCTGGCTGGTGATGATAATTATTTTGTTGGAATATGTGTGGCTGCGACGGATGCCGGGGGGAAGGAAGTTGAGGCTGAGGCTCAGATTGGTACAGCTGTGGCGGAAGGGTGGTTTGCAGGGCAGTAGAACCAGAAACGGGCTGCGGCGCTGAGTATCGAGAAACCATGTCTGACACATTGTCGACCGGTTTCGGTAAGAGACCGCGGGTTGCGTGGGGTGGAGGAGGGGGCTCATGCTGTCCTCTGCTTGAGTCTCTGGGTGGTTGTTGTATTGAGGATGACGCCGATGCTTGTGCTTGCGCCTTTGGCGGCTGTAATTGCTGCTGCCGTGCCTTTCCTGTAGCTGCAGTTGCAGATCCGGCAGTCTTACTAGTTCTTTTACTTGATTTTCGTGCTCCTTGCTCGTTCGTTGATGTCTTCCGGGACTGTTCGCCTTTGGCGCCTGGAGGAGATACGCCGGCAAAGAAATCCTCAACCGTCTGAAGGCCAGGCCGTTGGCTAAGCACGCTGTCATCAACTTCTTTTTTGACATCCGGTGCAGGATTCTCAAAGGCAATTTCAGACACTCCATGAGGGTACCTATCGAACCAATCTCCATACTGGAAAACGCTTGAAGAATATGGCCTAGGCGAAGTACCCGCTCCTTTGTTCTTAAACGCCGCGTCTGCGTGCTGTTGATAGATATCCTTGAGGCTGTCAATCATGAAATAGAATACGCCCCAGTACCTTTTCATCTTGGATAAGTACTGCACATTGTGCGCAAGGTTCTCCTTTGACGAAGCTTCGAGCTGCTGATTCCGCGAGAAGACGCCGAGAATATGAATGGTGCTAGAGAAAAATGCAGCATATCCAACAAAGGGTGCAACAACATTATAGTCCATGGCTTCGTGGATCAGTGCTGAGACCTGGTTTGCGGCGGCAACCACACAACGCCCAATGTCATTCAAAAACCATTGCGGAGTGTCTTTAGGTGGCATGCCTCCAGTTGCCGCGGTCACGGCCGAGCGATTGACAAACAGTGCAGCCTGGTGTGAAATGATATGCATAAATATGAACTGATTCGCCAAACGCTCAGTGACATGTTTGTGGAGATTCTCAGGCGTATAATGCAACGATTGCGGTAGTGAGCGTTGGAAGTCTTCCACTCTAGCTTTGAGTACGTAAAACTTTGACTGGGGAGACCATGGAGGAAAAGGATCTACTTGCTTGCCGCCAAGGTTGACATATTGAATAACCTGGCCCCATATAGCGATAACACGGACAAGGTACGCAGCGACGCCCATACACTCGCCAAGGTTAATCTCAGTATTTTTACGTCCGTCGGACAACTTCGACTCAGTTGATGATCCATCTAGGGTTTCAGCCTGACCGGGTATTTCCATTTGATAGAGATTTTCCTTGATTGGAAGAGCAATTTTGAGGCAGTCCTCGTTGATAAACATTGGTCGTTCAGTGCCAGAGGAGTTGAATCGATCCATGACGAAACAAGCCCACATCGCTCGCCTTCGAGTCTCGCGTTCAGTGAGAGACAACTTGACCTTTGGACCTTGCTTGCGAGTTGGGTCATGATCCAAATCATGATGTAGCTGCAAGGCAAATGCCATTCTCTGGGCCATTCCACCCAGCATCCAGCTGCGACCGCCGTGGCAAGTACCAAATTCATGCAATCCTAGGATGATGTAGACTAAGAGGATCACAATGTTTGGCTCGTCGTATTGGCTTAGGCTGATTCTTCGTGCAACCTTGGCCCATTCGTCCCCTCGAAGAAAGGCTGGCTCCGAGTTTATTGAGGGATGCGTGGAGAATCTGGCAGATACGGCACAGACAGCAAGAACCAAAACGGGAGGCAGCGATCCAGCGCTAATTGTGTTAGTCAGTCATCAGATTGGAAGATTCGCCAGAAAAATAAGGAAAGAAAAATAAATCGAAATAGATACGAACCGGAGCTGGCGCATGTAGCTAGGCTTATGCAAGAGATAATAGGATTGACCATAGACAAAATCAAAGAATACCTCTGCCAGATGTTCCTGAATTTCCTTTGATGGAAGGTGTTCAGCTCCTTCAGAAAGAAGCCCAGAATCCTCAGAGTCTGCTCCCTTAGGCTGTGGACGTGACTGCGCAGTCGACAATGCCACAATACCATCGACTGGCTTTTGCGACGGATGAGGCCACGCGGCTAATTCGTCCTCAAAGGCTTCCTCGGCCGGTCGCTTCTTTCCTGCTGTGAGTCTGGATTGACCTCCGGGTAGCGGCCCCTTCAAGACTGCTCTTCCAATGCCTGACATTGCTCGAAACTCCTCTTTTGGAATGGTTTTAATCACTCGCTCCTCCATGCGCTTCAATCTCTTGTCCAGCATAGCCATGTAATCTGTACGCGGGGCTGCCTTGCGTGTGGTGACTTTATATACACAAGGAATGCGAGATCGCAAGCAGTGTTTGCACGCCGGCTTTTCGCCAGAGCAGCGAATCTTCTTGCGTCGACATGCGATGCATGCTAATGGTAGTCGTTTTCTATCTTTTCCAGCTTTCGTCTTCAATTCGCTCCACGGCGGGATAGTCGAAGATTTGTCGTCCTGATGGTCTACTGGTTTAGTCTGGTCGTTGCTGGACCGCGCGCCAATGCTTCCACCCGGTGACCTGGGGTGTTCTCCAGGCTGCCCTCCTCCTTCACCCCCTCCCGGATCCGCCGTCATCTTCCATCTATCGTGATCGCGCACACTAACAGGACTTCCTATGCCAGACGCGTCCGTACTCTCTGTCATATTTGCCTGGCCTGGCACGTTGATTATATTGCGCCGCTGTACATCGATTCCTTCCCAGCCACGTTTATTCCCGTCTTCCATGTGAACCGTCATTGGACCTTTTCCAAAAAGACCTGGACGCGCATGAAAAGCCTCCGACGAAGTATTAATTGTACCACTGAGGCTTGGAATCGCGAGCGGACTGTTGGGAAACGACATTGAAAAGTCCGAATGAGTAGAGCCAGTGCTCGGCGTGAGCGCATTTATCACATTTGTCGCTGGTAAATGCGGCGCCGTGTTCTCCGTCGCCGGTATGGGCTGACGATAGTCTGAAGCCATAATGGTGAGGTCATGGAGACGGTGCGGCGAAAACAATGAAGTCCGGTGCTGTTTTGGCAGTGAATCGTACCTGGCGGGAGTTGTTTTGGTCAATCTTGCTGTGCCCTCTCCTCATCGCCCCAGATTTGTGAACTATCTCGTTCTTTCTCTTCTGCTACCCCAAAGTTTGAGTGTAGGCGACAAATTGGCATCAGAGAGTGGCCTATGAAACCAAGCCCACGTTAGGCGGTCACAGTGGGAAACTGATAAAGTGCAATGACGTCCACTGGCGGAAGCGCGGTCCGAGGAGCCCCTCTAAGAGTTCTACGGCCGCAGGGTCTTCCACAGTTTCTTGCGCTCAGTTAACAAAAGCAATTACTGCCGCATGCAGTGGACATTTCGCATCAATCTGGATCACGTTTGAAATGATGAGTACTGGCTGTAGTGGGAGGTCATCAAGGCTCGCAATGCTAATCAGGACCAGCCCAGCAGTGCGACCAGCACGCACGAGGGCGGACTATTTTCCTAATGGGGAAACGGTACGCTTGCGATGAGAGACGGTCTCCTCTCGTGGTCACGAAGATCTAGATTTTGTGGAATAAACATTTTGGCCACATGGCTGACCACCTTGTTTCTTGCTGTTTCCGACTATTCTCCCCTGGCCACAATAACGGACTTGATTCGATCTTTTCGTAGCCTAGGGTCATCAATTCCAGGGTCAGCATCTGCATCAGGGTCGTGTCCCGCCGAACCAAGGGAGTAGTACAGAGGAATGGCGGGGAAGGGTTTACCGATGGAGATCAACTAAAGTCTGCTTCAACGTCCCCTAACGCCGCTTGGCCCTCTTTAAGCTCCTCTCGCGCGTCCTGCCGTTCAATGACCAAAGAGTCAGAGGCGCAGGCCGAGACGACTTCGAGTCCTAACAAGAGGACCCTAGAGATATCGACCTACCCACATCCGCACGGGATGGGACAAATAAGTCGTGAACATCTGGACGAGTCAAATTGATTTCACGCATTTTCCATGATCAACATGGAAAATAATATGTTCTACCTTCAAGTTATAAGAGCTTTCCTTCTTCCCGTGGCTGCCCGCGTCGTAGCTGGAGACTTGGGGTGGGAAAACGTCCGGCGACGAGGTAAATCGTTGCCTAAGCGAAGCTGCCCCTACAGTAGTACAGTGCTCGACGTGTCGGGATCATCATCGTCGTCGTCATCAGGTAAAATTATAAAAGGCATCATGCTAATGGTTCCTGAATAACCTGCGTGACTCTTTCTGCAGGATTTATACCGCCATGACATCCTGATAGATTCAGTGCAAGTGTGGGAACATCTGGCTAAGTTTGACCAGTCTTCTTATGGGCATCGATGCAGCTTTGGTCTCCCTTGTCGATACACAGATACTCTTCATTACTCTCAGCTTATCCTGAGCATAAACTTTGCAAATTTCTGATATATACCTTCATTCTAGCCTACCAGGCTCCAGATATTTAAACATTTGTCCATCTCTTAAATTTAGACTGCTCCCTTCATGGATATACAAGCATTAACCCGCTAATCAACGCTCGAGGCCTAAAAACAAATATATACGCTGATATCATATACAAAACGTGCGATAGAAATGTGCAAGATTATATAAACAGGAATCGAGACTAATGGAACGCGAGCACGTAATGTGCCAGCATTTAGAAGATGGAGCAACGAGAAGACGGCTGCTTATCCCGGGACGAGATGAGGTCGCCCCGTTACCATGGCAGTGTGCTCTTGGCGACAGCTGTCGCAATATTCACGATGCAACTGTCGAATCTCGTCAAGGCCCTCGACATCGAGGCTTTGCAGAGTTGACGCTTGTCCATCCTGGACAGTCAATCCGTGAACGTGGTCGGTGATATTCTCGCGCAAAAGGACATCGACTTGCGCGCACCTTGCCATTTCATCGACCAACCAATTCTCCCACTCTGCACGTATCATCTCCCGCTCGACATTATTAACCACTCTCAGCGCCACGAGGAGATCGTGGCGGTAAGTGCCCAGGTTTTGACGCGTACGTCTGAGACGACGAGCGGTAGCCTTCGTCGAGGTCAATGAGAAGGGAGTACCCGCTGAAGTATATGGGGCGTCCATATCGGTGAGGCTGACAATCTCCTGGAATGATGCCACGCTGCTGTCAAGTTAGCCATTTATGTGAACATCAAGCCAAAATACATAAAAAGAGACATTTAGCTTACCACTGGCTACTTGAATTGAATGAAGCCGTTGTTTCGTTCAAGTTCAACGTATCAAGATCCTTCAGGTAAATGGCTTTGCTGATCATAGTATTTGGTCCAACGCCCAGGCGTGTCATGAATTTAGTTGCCCTACGGTCGGTCCACCAGTCCAGTGACTTTTGAGTTGATAAGAAGAGGTTTGCGACGCAGCTGAAGAGCAAGAGGCTCAGGATGACGGCGTGAGAATTCCAAAATTTCCAAATGGCTCGAAGGCCAGCAAAAATCCAGACGAGTACAGTTGACATTACGCTGCAGGCCACAGAGACGAAAAGATGGAAGAGTAACCCAGCCAGTGTTTGTCTCTTTACAGGACGTCGAGATTTGGTGGCCCGCAAATCATTTGTTGGGAATTGTATGACTTCAGAATTCTGGCCGACCTGGCCAAATATCTTGATGGCCTTCTTGGTTCGACTCTGCGGACCGAGCCGTCGTACCTGATCACTGATCACATCAGCAAGGTCGAGGGCGTCCTGGTGAAGTTCTTCAAGAGCAGTTTTTTCGATGATGCCTACTTTCCATTAGTACGATTGCCAACACTGGAGCAAGCAATTCAAACCTTTAATCAATGCAGGAGGCCTGGACCACTCCACCTTGGTGTAAATGGCAAGCTTGCATTTCGATTTGGCAACATGAGTTATGACTATTTTGCTTACGAGCATATAATCGCTCTGGTGTGGAAGATGCCACGGCGTCTTCTTGTCAACCACGACGTAACAAAGGTGGTCATTCAAAACCTCAATGACTTGGTAGTCCATGACATTTGTGCGTCGAGAGCGACCAAACAGGTCCGTAGACTCAATCTGGTAGTCAAAGTTCCTTCTCAAGTGTACCTCCCCAGAGTTGATCCACGGGCCTTGTCTGATAGCTTGGGCTCGACGCTCATGAAACTGCATTTGAAAAACGGCACTCTTATCCCCAAACATAACGTGAAACAGGGCTTTAGGGCTGATATCATACTCCTTTTCAACCGCAGTGCGTTGAATGCCCGGGGGTACATACAAGACCGGATTGGGTGGAAGCTTGAACTTTGCAATATCCTTTCCTTCGCCAAATTTATTGGGATCTCCGTAGAGACCTCGGTCCACGCGCACTTGTGCTTTGAGTTCATGAGCGCGTCGTCGCGATCTCTGTCCTGAGAATGGGTATTCGTCTAGAGGAGTTGCTATCGACACATCTTCCCAACTGTCCATACTTGGACTCCTAACCAATGTCTCCTGTTCCAGAGTGAGCAGCTCCTTGAGCACGTCTTCAATGCCAGCTGGAGTCTCCGAGTTGGCATTCTGGACGAGGAAGTTCAGCCTTCGCTCGAGGAGTCGGAGGGGCTCGAGGAAAGTCTTGATGGTAACTCGAGAAGCTTGGCCGTTTCCTTGACTAAGATGAAGAAAGAGAAAATCGCAATCGCGACCCGTTGCGGCTGTCACTTCGCTAATCCTCGTCAGGCTGACACCGTAAATCAGTACGAGCCCGAGATGATTGCTGTAGAAATACACCTCCTTCGCAGTGACATAAACTCTTCCAGGAAATTCTTGCAAATCATTGGGATTCCAAGTGGCCCTGAATACAAGCAGCACCTTTTCATCGCGGGGAACATTAGGGAATAGCATCCGGAACTGATAATCTTGCGCCTTCAGCGGGAGAGGGTAGTAATTTGGAAACTCGTCCAAAGACACCAATGCCCTTGCCGAATGTTCAGCGTCTCCGCTGAGACTCATACTTCGTTGCCGCTTCGAGGGAGACGAGTCTCTGGAACTCTCCCCAGAGGCTGCGGGGCGTTCTCCTGAGGATGATGACTCTAACAAAGTCTGAGATACTTCTGACTTCTGTCCTTGACTGCGCGATGGAAGGGTTTTTGGGCTCGGATAGGTCGACGAACGGCGACGATCTTGTAGAGGCTTGAGTTCGCCGCGTTCTAGACGATTGATATATCCCCAATTGGTACTTCCCCATAGATTTGCCATCAGACCATTCGGTACGCCACGGGTTAAATCATTTCGCCCAACACCAATTCCCCGCTCACCACTAACCATAACAGCTAACTTGCTCATATTCGTTGGCGCCGGAGGGTTTGCAAGCGTAGATGGCGCAAGCGTGCTGGAGGGTAATGGTTTGGCGGCTGCAGTGTCGGAGCTCGGCTGAGAAGGCACTCCAGGACCCACGGGGAGGATGTTGTGGCTGGCCGAGATGAGGCTAGCTATACCGCCGCCGGTAAATCCGGGGGTTGGTGAGGCAGATCCGGCAGCGGCGTTCCCTGCAAGTTGCGAGCCCGCTGTCGTTTTCCGATGCAAGTCCAGCTTCTGTATAATCCTAGCGGCATGGTCTCGAGTACCTTCAACATCTCGATCACCTACCGTGGAACGCCGAGGACTGCCGATATCAAAGCTACCTCGGCTTGCCAGACCATCGCGGTCCGGAACCGTGAGCGTTGCTGCTCGATCGAATCCAAGGGCAGACGACTCGTCGCTCCCATGGGTGATATGAAGCTCTGCGGTTTTCGATGCGAATTCTGGCGCACTTGGTGGATTGATAGCAAAGGCTGCCTCTTGGGCCCGAGATCCACTCGCGCTACCCGAATCAGTGCTGGCTGGATCTTCCAAAGCCTTGCGTTTTGCCAAATCAAACGCCTCCAGCCATTCGACGAGTTCCCTCTGAGTTTCAGCCTGTAACATGATAGTAGTATCTTTGGTCATGACCTCGAAACAGAAACGCCTCTCCTCTTGAGCAGCGGGTTTCACGTTGCAAAGCAAGACGCCAATCCTCTCGCTCTCCTCAACGCCTCCTGAGCGGGAGCCCTGGACAAGCCAACCAAAGATACCATTTTTGACGAAGAACCAACGGCGCGTCCAGACCGTTCTAGCTGGCTTCCCAGTTAATGTCCTGAGGAATAGCCAGCCCTGCTTCTCGGCCAGACCTGGGGCCCTTCCAGATTGTTGTAGCCGAGCTGCAGGTCCCTTGGCGCCTAGATGAGGCACGGTAGATACAGAATAATCCTCGAGCTCTCGTGACGGACGAGCTGTTATCTCTACATTTTCTTCGATTTGTTTTCTTGCCTCCTGAATCTCGTGTTTGAACGCCTTCTCCCCACTTTGCATTTCCCGTCCCCAGCCTCTCACTCTGTCCATGTCGTTTCCCCACTTGGCAAAAGAGCTTTGCATGAGCTCGCGGGCACTTCTCATCTCTCGCCATAACTCCGAGAAGAGTTTTACTAGCAGCTTGTCCAATGTCGAGCAGATATCCGGCGCTTGAACTGAAAATTCAAGTGACGCTTTGAGGTATGATTTGCGAGCTTCGTGCAATTGAAAAGCATCCTCTCGGAGGGCGGACGGTTCTTTCGTCTTAGCTTGCGCAGCATACCTCGAGAGGAGGTTGTCGAAATACTTTTGCGAATGTTCTAAAGAGCGACGAGCGTCCTATTAAAGCGACAGTGGATGAGCGTCGGATCAAACAAGTATTCGGAGATATGCAGACACTGCAAGACCTTTACGTACTTTAAAATTCCGCAATTCTCCGTGTAGAAATGCCTTTATCGGATCAATTACGGTTGCCTGCATTTTCTTCCCGGCAGAGAGAGTGTTTGCGAAATATTCTCTGGCGCCCTCACCGTACCTCCTGACAGCCAATAGCGTATAGTCATGATCGAGGACAGCTTCCGAAATATTTTGTGGGGGAGTCGACTGTGTAAGAAAATTATTCACGTAGCCCTCCAATGAAAGGACTTCGTGAGAAAGCTTCGTTGCAGCCTTGACATAGCTATCCAGCCATTTCTCTAGCATCTCAATCTGATCAGAGTAGTGGATGGCGGTAGCCCGAAATGTTGGCGAATCAAGAGCGGCCTCTTTTAGGCCTACAGGACTATGAAGCAGTAAGTATCACATAATAAAAGTCGAAACATTATAATAGGCAAAAAATACTTACATGAGGTTCAAAGGCTTGCCCGCAGGCAGTAGCACAGCCTGTTCCTCAACTTCCTCCACCATGACGCCGGGATTTTGGCTGAATGTCAAAGAATATTAAGACAAGCAATCTCTAACATGTCAATTAAGAGATGTAAATCCTATGGTCAAAACAAAGCGTCATCACTTCATCAGTAAAATTTAAGTTGCATTCATCCTGCTGGGGACCAGCCACAGAAAGTCGAACAATAAGTTATTCGATCGATGACGCCGGGCGCAGCGCATTCAGCTCGCGAGACCCAACAATCAACCAACCAAATCGAGACAAACTAGCGAGCATCCGGTTAAACCTCGGGTGAATCCACGTGCATGGATTAACGGCAGATTCCACGACACTTTTTTAATTCCTGGGCCAAACACAGTTGCTTCCCTCGGACAAATATTCTGTCTAACTATACTGTCTACGATCCGATATTTATTCTTGCTACACTCCATCTGCTAATTGACTGCTTGAAAGTCAATTTCGTCGTCATCATGGCGAAGAAGTCGGACAAAGTATCAGCCGCCACCAAGCATGCGCCGAAAGACGAGAAATCTACCAATGGCGCAAAGGACAACACTCGACCCACAAAACGAGCCAAGCTGCTGGATGATGATTCCAGCGACAATAGTGACTCTGAAGAGGCCGGAGGTGTCATCTTGAGCAAAGATGATGATGATAAAGATGAAGCAGGTTTCAAGATCAACAAGGAGTATGCACGGAGATTTGAACACAACAAGAAGCGAGAAGAAATGCATAGATGTGAGTGTGATTTATCCTTTGGAGATATAGAATGCTACGTTTACTGACACATAAAAAAATTTAGTGGAGGAAAAGTACGGTAAAGACAATGCTTCCAAGAAGCGAAAGGCTTCGGACGGTGAGGGTTCCGACGAGGAATCGGACTCCGAATCTGAGTCGGAGGACGACGATGCTCTTCTAGCAACGGAGGCTTTGGACCAAGAAATCAACGCCACGCTTCAAGCAATCCGTGCCAAGGATCCGCGGGTCTATGACAAGGATGTCACATTTTACAGCGAATTCAACCCGGATTCGGAACAGGCAACTTCCGAAAAGAAGGAGAAGCCTATGTTTCTGCAAGACTATCACCGGAAGAATCTCCTTGAAGGCAAAGTTGGCGCTGAGGGCGAAGAAGACGAAGATGCGCCGCCCAGGACGTATGCCCAGGAGCAGGACGACTTGAAGAAGAGTATCCTCAAGGAAATGCATGCCGCTGCTGATAGTGAGAAGGAGGCCAGCGATGACGACCAGGAGGACGAGGATGGTGACTTCCTGATCCGCAAGGGTCCCAGCCATGAACAACTGGCCAAGGAAATGGCTGCAGAAGCCGCAAAGAAGCCTGTCGCGCTGGACGTTGCCAGTGCGGACCAGGACCCCGAAAAATACTTGTCCAACTTTATGACCGCTAGGGCCTGGCTGCCAAGTGGTGGGTCCAAATGGCAAGCTTTTGAATCTGACGATGAAGACGACGAGCGCCGCGCCGATGAATTCGAACAAGCTTATAACCTCCGGTTCGAAGACCCACAAGCCGCAAACGAGAAGCTCATCTCCCATGCTCGTGATGCTACAAACAAATACTCTGTGCGACGTGAGGAGATAAGCGGGCGCAAGAAGGCCCGTGAGGCTGAGCGGGTCAAGAAGGAAGCTGAAAAGGCCGAGCGCACTGCGGACAAGGCCCGGCTGCGGAAACTCAAGATTGAACAAATGGAGGAGAAGGTCAAGAAGATCAAGGAAGCCGCTGGAGTCAAGGGCCAGGCTCTCGGTGAGGACGACTGGGCAGAGTTCCTTGAGGAAGGCTGGGAGGGAGACAAATGGGAAGAGGCGATGAAGAAGCGGTTCGGCGAGGACTACTATGCCGAGCAAGATGCCGCATCCTCATCCGAAGGCGACGCTGGCGCCGATGGAGGCGAGAAGCAGAAAAAGAAGAAGCCCAAGAAGCCTACTTGGGACGACGACATTGATATCAAAGACCTCGTGCCGGACTTTGAAGATGAGGAATCCGGGAAGAAGCCCGACATTACCTTGTCTGATGATGACGACGAAAACAACAATGGCGAAGATGCCGCTCAGGCGATCGCCAACGCCGCAAACGAGGACGAGGACGAAGACGGCGACGTTGACATGGATGATGCCGACGCCGATGGCGAAGCCACCAAGGCCAAAGGCAAGACCAAGAAGGACCGCCTGCGGGAACGCGAGGAAGCCAAACGCTCCGCCCGCCGTGAGCGCCGCAAGATTGAACAGTTCGTTGACTCAAAGATGGACATGGAAGACGCGCTGGCCATGCCAGGCGCTTCCAAGGCCGCCTCTGGTCGGTTCAGGTATCGCGAGACTTCGCCCACCGCGTACGGTCTCACCCCACGCGACATTCTTATGGCTTCGGACACACAACTTAACCAATTCGCTGGTCTGAAGAAACTCGCTGCCTTCCGTGACGCCGAGAAGAAGCGCAAGGACAAGAAGAAGCTCGGCAAGAAGGCTCGTCTGCGGCAATGGCGTAAAGAAACTTTTGGCGATGAGGACGGCCCTACATTGGAGCTGCGTGAGTATCTCGCTCGCGAGGCGGGCGTGCCTATCGAGAGCCTAGGAAAGGGTGAAGGCTTTGCGCGTCCAGGCGCTGCCGCGTCTCAAGGCAACGAGGACGAAGGAGGTGTGGACATCCGCGAAGGTGGAAAGAAGAAGAAGAGACGGTCGAGAAAGAACAAGCAGCCCCAAGGCGAAAATGAGATTGCTGCGTAAATGGCCTGGTGACGATCATTGACAAATATAGTGAGGGATTTCGAATAAAAGCTGCATTATTTTTTTGATTGTGATATTTCAATATAATTAGTCTGGGCTAGGTTATTAGGCTACGAGTTTTTATTCTCATCGGAAAAGGGTGCGGGCGTATATAGTAGATAAAATGAATAAGCAGAAATTTTGGCAGGAATAATAATAGCCAGCAGGCAGAAGTAGTCTGCTAATATGGATACAGAACGTGTCTTGTTGAATGTGGACCTTAATTCAGGGGCCAGTAGCAAATTTATATCAGGCAGTTACCCAGCTTTACGAGAATTGCTTGCTTTTAATTTTGTGGAGAATGGCCGTCGTAATGCAGGTCAAGCGGGACAAGTAGTAAGCAAAGTATTAAATATCTAGAGTGCCTAGGCGCCGAGGTACGCAGGCTCAACATACAAAAGGTTCTTTAATCTCTGCTGCAGGACTAGCTCGTCTCGAAAATCAAGAAGATCATTTAAAAAAAGTAGCTTACGTGTGCAACATATATCAGGAAAAGAACGATTAACATTCAAAAAAAAAAAAAAAAAAAAAAGGTCAAATGATATGTTCAATGACGGACGAAAAGATAGGAAGAGAAAGAGCGGAAAGAGGTATCTACTGAACTGAAAAAGGGTGACCGCAAATCTCCATAATTATGAGTGTGAGAGTGAATTGATGAGCATTGAAGGACAGATGGTGGGCGCTTTATCACTACAACCCTCGAACTAACAAGCGCAGCCCTCCTTGGCGCCGACATCTTTCCTTGGACCATTAAGATTAACCCTAGAGGGATCAGCATCGCCACGAGCGCCAAGCGCGCCTTGTGCAGCGGCAGCTGCGCCCCGTCCTCCTTTCAGGGTGTGCTCAGGAATGGCATTGGCAATAGCCGTAAATACATCGGTCACGTTGGTGCCAGTCTTTGCACTGGTCTCGAAGAATAATAGACCTTCTTCATCGGCATAGGCCTTACCCTCGGCCGTCGATATCTTTCTTGCATCGTGAGTCTCCTCGTCATCGGCGTCAGCGTCGGCATCCGCTTCTGCGTGATTTTCTTCACTTTCCCCAGCAGCATCTTCTGATCCCGCAAAATTTGCGCTAGCTCCTGTGGATGACGAGGTTTCGTTCGTCAGGTCGAGCTTATTGCCCACAAGAGCAATGACAATACCCGGCGAAGCTTGCCGCTGCAACTCAGCAACCCAGTGTTTGGCCTTAGTTAAGGAAGTAGGCTTCGTAAGATCATAAACGACAAGCGCAGATTGTGCGTTTCGGTAGTACATCGGTGCCAGGGAGGCGAAGCGTTCTTGGCCCGCAGTATCCCAGATTTCGAATTTAATTGTTCGCGTTGGAAGATTACATTTTTGAGTGAGGAATGCAGCTGTATTGCAAAGCATTAGATTCAAACAAAATGATAAATTTCGGGGAGTAAGAGCCGGACGAGACGAGCAGGATATTCGTGGATATCAATCCGAGGGCATGGCTAGGCAAGAATTTGGCGAGTAATTGACCTACCTCCAATTGTCGGTTCCTTGTTTTCCTGAAAATCATTATTGACGAATCGAAGAACCAATGATGACTGAGAGAAAATGGCAAAGTTAGTTAAAAGTCATGGAGGCAAGTTTGGAGTAGAAGGAAATAAATCATTCAGGATTATTAATGTGCTGCAAAGCCGATGCTAGCATGACTAAAGAGATGATACTGTCCCACCTTTCCCACCGCAGATTCACCCAGTAGAACTAGCTTAACACTGCTACTGGGTTTAGGTGCCGCTGACCCTCTTGAGTCCGCCATTTTATTAGTCGATATCCGCCGCCTGCGAAAAGCAGCTTTCTCTGGGGGAGGGCGTTGTGCAAGGTTGAATGGCCTGACAGGCACCGAATGCGAGAGTCAAACGAAATTAATCGTATCAGAGGCACAGGTGTTGTACCCAGGCGTAAGGCGATTCTTTCGTATACTTGATAGGGCTGATGGGCTGAGGTGGAAATGAGCACCAGATGATGTTGGTGATGGAGTCCAGTAGCCAGGGAAGCTATCCAACGTCGGAGCGCGGAAGGCGAGATGACGAGGGCTTCCCATATCCGGACTAGTTCCTATCATGGGCACAGCATATTTTATGCGTAAGTTATGCATCTATGCACCAAAGAACCCAGGAGCTCAGCAGCAACAACAATAACACGCTTTCAGATATGATAAAGGATATTTATGCTTTACAAATGATCTCCCTAAGTTATGCGGCTCACTCTAGGTCAAATTCAGGTTACTATTGCTCTTCATGATCAAAAATAAAAGTCACTCTCCCTGTCGTGGGATTCATTTCGATCCTAAACCAAACCTCCTGCTACTCCCGTCTCGGCGATCGTTCCTCTAAGGCTGGAGCGGGTTGTTACAGATAAGACCATGCCACGCGACGAAAACGAGAGCTCCGGGTCAAATTCCGCACCAAAAATACCCACTTAAGGTGGTTCTGGCAGGTGCTTCAATGTACATGGGTGATTCCTACCTATTGTTCCATGCTGATCGTGTCTATCATTTTTCTGCTATGCACCATATCCCCTTATGCGACGAACCAATTGCCGAGTCTTATCTGATGGTTTGAAGCTTTCCACGGCAATTATGTTGCAACTTACCCTTACGAAAGCATCAGGCTTGTCTTTGCTCACGGCAGTTGTGAGATAACGGCCCCCATATGGAAAGATTGAGGAATGGAAACGGGGTCGATCCATGCCCCGAACTTTATCAAGAGTAGCGGAAGTAAAAGAGGAATTGATCAGGTTATGCGGGAGATAGGGGCTGGACTAAGTCCACCTTCCGTGTCTAGGGAGTCCATCTACCTCATTTATCAAGCTGTTGAGTTGATCCACCGTATCATTCGTCATCCTGCCTCAGAATTATGTGGGCAATGTTCTTGCCTCCTGCAACACTGTATGGATGTCGTCTCCCTTGAAGACACAAGCCTACGACCCATCTGCTTATGTGGTCGGTAACCCATCATCTTTCAGACATGGAACTGTGAAAAGTTCTTCGCCTCATCCATCGTTTTAGCTCCTCAACATGTAACAATATAAAAGGGGCTCCAGAATAGAGTGTCTTCGCGTAATTACTGTCATACTGAGCCGTTCCTTTCTCGGGAGGCAGAGGTGCACATTGGCGAATGACGGATCTTTCCGGCCGTTCACCATTAGCCAAACATCGTCCACTACGGTACTCATCCTAACATGGTTGCGGTGGGGCCGGCAGAGCGTCCACGGATTGGTCATGCAATAGCTCAGGGGAAGGAAGTGGAGGGTCTATGCTGAAGAATGCGCAGTGCCTCGCTGTGAGACACTCTGCGGACATAGACTTTTCTATCGGCAAAGAGATGAAACGCTAGGATGGATGTCCGGTTCGCTGCTGGGGCTATCTTGTATATCATTCAAAAGGTCTCACTCATAGGTGGATCGCGAAAGATTTACATGTCCCGTAATGAAATGCCCCATCGAGAGAAGTAGTCTCTGCTAGAGCGAGAGATGGAGTCCCGCTCACATCCACCACGTGGGATTTTCCGGATCCAACGATCCTAGGCACCCAGCTCACATCGCTCCCGTCATGTCGGTATGAGAGGTGATGTATAGTATGGACTAAAAGGTAGCCACTCTGTAGCTAGTCATGCAGCTGCCGCGGTTACTGCCACTAGAGAAGCACCTTCGAGCCGGTTCTGCACTTCCGCGCCCTAGAAAGCAGCGTACTGAGAGATCACACATGGGAAAAGACATGATAAATTACTAGAAACTCGTTGGAAAACAAGAATAATGATGAAGGCAATGAAAGACACTTGATCGTTTCCGGCCAAGTGACCCCAATATATATACTCAGTCGCATACGAGAGACAGCCAAAAGTGGTTGCCATAGGCGGGTTGTACGCGCAGCCTTCAGACGCGATTCGATCATCACTCTGTGACGTCGCAATACTCACTTGGTCGATGATAGCCAGGCATCCCGTGAAAATCTCAGTCATCATCCAGTTTCATGTGTCTACATTAGATCAAGACGAGAGTGACTGTACCCTATAATAGCGGTTAGTAGGTAGGTAAGTAGGTAAATAGGTATGTGCTGCTGCTCTAAGATCGCAAATTGTTCTTTTGATGGGCATTCGTATATGCAAACTTGGATCGCCCCGTCCCAAGGTGCATCGGTACTGCAGTGAGCTCAATCCATGGAGTTTGGAATTTATTTTGAAACATCTGTGCGCTAGCTTTTTCAATTAAAAAAAAAAATATATTGTCAATCATCGTTCGCGATCCTGGCGAGCGGCAGCGCCAGGCTAGAAAGGACCAGTGCCGGAAACGATGCTACGCGCGGATTTGTGTCTATTCCTTGTATCTCCCAGACCGTTGGGTCCGCGCCATGATTTAAGCCAAGAAAAGCGTTCGAATGAATCCTCAAACTAGCGTTTGGTCTCTCGCGGAACCGCGATTCCTGTTTCCCCTAGCTTTGCGGCAAGGGCAGGTGAGCTAGGGTTCGCCGAACCGTTCTTGGCCCACTGGTTTGTATCGACTTCCACTTCAAGGGAAGCTTTGAGGTAAGCAGGGGTAGAGATGCCTGTCAATTAATTTGCCTGACTGTCTTGACGATTGGTGAGATAACAGGGGGCATCTCGGATGAGGACCCGTGGGGAGCAGAATCGATGGGGGCGGCCAGCATAAAAAGTGACCTTACATGTTGTCCTTTCCGGGGAAACCGCAATTACGGTTGAGCAACTGCATGTCTGGAAGCTAAAGCTGTTCTTCCCCGTTCGGGAGGAGCTCCCCGTGGTTGTCTGATGTCTGGTGCGACGTGATTAACCTTTGCGGCAATCGGGAGTGGCCTAGAATGCATAAGTGACCCATCGTTCTGCCAGGGGCCCTGTGCGCTGCAGAATCCGAATTAGGTTCAGTTGTCTTGTGTAGAAGAGATGAAGATTATTTGACGAAGAAGAAAACATTAGGAGATTGGAGCCAAGCCATAAGCCAAGGGGAGTGGCGCCCACCTGCGTAAAAGGGATATCGGCAATGTTGTAGGATCCAGATCAAGGGATCGGACGAACAGGCGCGCTGCAGCCCTGTGCCTAAGCGCCAATGGCATTCCAGCTTCGGCCAGGAAAGGGATGGCCGTCAAATTCGATATAATAATTTTCAAAATACCAAAAAAAATTTTCAATTGCATGAACTTTGCAAGCCTCCGATGTGGCTGGGATCACTTGATCATATCCAAAATGAATCATGAAAGACACGTCCAGGGTCAGCTTTAATCTGTCGTCAAACGATTCAGATATATCTCAATGCATGAAATGGCCAAATGAAATGAGAAATCACCCGACACAGTTCAACTTGTTGAGCACATCTCCAGACCCATGGGAAGGGAGCGCCACTATACCTAAGATTACCATGAACTTTGGTACCGAGCATCTTCGGTCCCGTCCCTTCCCAATGGTACGTTACCCTCTAGTGAGGCAGCCCAACCATCGATCGGTGTCGTCCCGAATTCAGAGAGCCTGCGGCCTCGGAAAGAGAAGCGGCCTAACTAAAGGAAACTACCTAATTAATTACCGTTGAAGCGCCGGCGCCAGTATCGCGCCGCCAGCAAAACTGCTTTCGGGGTAAATCTTGAACCCCTGAGCTACTGGGAGTAATTGATACTCGGTACCGAGGGAGATCAACGATCTGAGCGCTTCTGGAAAGAACTGCGAAAGCTGTGACGAAGCCATTTGACAACGGCTGGTCACCTACAGCGTTCGTACCCTAGATGATAAATCAGACGGCTTGGCAGGCATGGAAGTCGAAAGGAAGAGGGGCAAGCCGCGTTAGATTAAACGTCGTCAAGCTTGGTTGAGCTTCTCTCGGCCAAACTTGAAGGATCATCGCAGCTTGGTCCCTGTCGATCGTGGGTCTATTCCCACTTTTGAGAATCCGGAAACTCTGCGGATACCCGTCCGATGCGTTGGTGGCTTCTAGCTGAGTTCTAGCTTGCCACTGGCTACAAAGAACTGATCTGCAATTCCCGTTGCCCATCGTCCAATTGCTCTGCCGACGCGAATTTCTAGCAGTCCCGAACTCAATTAGCCTGCATGCGCGGGAGCCACTTTTGAAGAGTTGATCCAAAACAGCTACCTGGTAGCGATATCAGTCCCCTGATTATGTGGCGTTGACTCGTCAGCGTCCATGCAGCAGAAAATGCAGCCTAGTCTGCAGAAAGACCCAGGAAGAAGGATCTACTGAGATCAGATACCGAACGCTGGGGCTAATTGAAGCAGAATTCTTCATCATTCCATTCCGATCGTCTTGTTCCCAGGAGGACTCTCAAGGTGACAAATATATCAATGTGAACATGGATATACCCTTGACAAAAACGATTAATTAGCCCTCAGGCATTAGTGCTTTGAGTGCCTGTACTTGCAACCCATCCGAGGAGCTGGGAATAGAAGCGATGGGTGGCATATACTCTCCTATGACGCCGTCCAATGTGCAACGGACGTTGTGCCCACCATATAAAGTACCCCAGCGGGCGAAGTAGGGTACCAGCGTCTCGGCGAAGCGACCAGGCACATGAACCATGCCGACCGTTGTCAGGGAACCTGGGCCTAACAAAATGCTGCCTTTTCCCGCCTCCTTGGCCATTCACATCTCCCCAAAAATCAGCCGAGAGTGGTGTTTGATGCCCTACCAACGATAGCCCGCCCGACCAAACAGCTAAAGGACAGCCGGTTGGGACCCTGGACCCACAATACCCGAGCTTTCATCTTCCTTCACTCTCTTTCGGTGGTTCGCCTCTCTCAATTGGGCCTTTTCCGTCTTGGGTCGTGGCTAATTCCTTCCCGTCTGGGTGTAGAGAGGCACAAGGATCGATTGGGGCCTTCCAAAAGCCTCGTTAGCTGAGACCGAACGAACCATGGGTTCACGGCTGTCTGGAAATCTCTCGATAGATGGGGTCAGGGGTTTCCAAACGAGTTAAAGTCGTTCTTTGATTACTGCCGTGGCTTGACGCGCTGGGCCTTGCAGGTTCCTGCAGGTACACGCAAGGGTCCCAGTCGATGATCCCGAACCAGAAAAGGCCCAAAATTTTCAGAAAAGACAAAAAGTGACTATGGACAAGCAGAAAAAAGAAAAGGCGAGAGACTAACAGTGCTGAAGAAAAGCCATGGTGCAAGAATGGCTCCCTCTCTTTCCCTTAGCTGCAGTATCTCCACGGCTCTATTTCCCCTGTAAAGCTGGCTTTGACTCTGTGTGTCTCTCTGTTCTTTTGCTCCCCTACGGAGTACAAGCACAATTTCGTAGAGTAGTGGCGCCAAAGCTTGACGGCGATACGTAAAGAACAAAGTCCAAAAGCGGAATGATGGCGTAAATCCTTTTGAGATGAAACGCCTGGACACGAAGCATAAGTGTGATGATTTGAATAATGTATGGTGAAATGAGAGACTTTGTACCCCAAACCCAGGCAGAAACATTTCCTTCGTTCCCACCTTCTCGCCCTGGTGAATCCCGCACCTCAAGCAACCGACCACCCCCCCAGAGTTCAGACGGTTCCAATTTTTGGGTCTCCCCTTGGCCGTTCGGTCGTTGATGGACCCTGCCACACACTTGCAAAAAAAAGCAACCCCCCCGGTCGCTCGAACAGACACAGTCCTGCGTCATCTGTTCTTCCCGCGGCCCAGGCCGGCTCAGGAAACTTTCGTTTCTTTGAAGGAAAGGGATAATCTCATCGTTCCTTGTCTCGGCTATGAGCTTCCTAAGGGGCGTCGGCATGCTATATCAACCCTTCCGGCCCCAGCTTCCTGTCGCGCAGTCATATTTGGGGGAGCTACCATTGGCTGTGATAGCTCTGTTCTTGACCCCTGTGGCCCGGCTTCCTGCTCGATTGCTTGCTTCATTGAACTTTTTTTTGTGGCCCCTCTGTTGCGATTTGACCTGTCGCAGCCGTCAACGACACCACGTCGTGGAACCAAGCACCGCTCTGCGATCTCTATATATTGACGTCTGCCATCACCCATTGTCATTCATTATTACAATAATTACAATTTTTCAATTGCGAGCCTTCCTTTCGCAGACTTTTCAACACTACCTCGGCGTTTAAAAACTTGGTCCAAATTTGCAGCTTCCCTACATTAGACGAAGATCCTACACGGCAATCAATCAACAATTCCGCTGCAATCAGCTTACGGCGGAGACAACGCTGGCTACATTAGGTGCATACTCTCCTAGCAACAATTGTGAGTCAGCTCAGAGATGCTCACCCATGGTCCATCCGTGGAGCGATTTAAAAGCCGAGTTAGAGTTCCTTGATAGAAAGTGCTAATATACTGGGCAGTGCGAAGAACGCTTCTTCCTTCTTCAATGCTCGTCAGGGACGCTGCTATTTCAAACATGGGTCGCGGAGCATACGATACGACGGGTGTGCAAAAGCCCAATCAGCCCCCGCCAAAACGTTGATCGCGAATTTTACCCAATGGATTTCCACCACTTCGCCCTTCTTACCTTTCATTTCGGTCTTTGGAGATGCTGCGTATACATTTTTTCTTTGGTTCTTTTCGCATCGCGGGCGTGTTGGTTTTGACAGGTAAGATTTCCGTCTGCTAAAGCCGACGCGTCGCATCGCCTCATCGAATGTCCCAAAGCGCACCTTGCTAATGGATGCATTAGGCCCGACACCCCCGACAAACGTCTCCTCTATCCTTACCTCTATCCCTACACTCATGTCTTGTCGACTGCGCATCTCCATTGCATTAGACTTTTCGTCGGCATCATACCCAAAGGCGATCTTACCACTTATCAGCATTTAATACCCAAATCATCTTTTCAGCGATATATTCATAAGCACGAAGCGATTCGTTCTGAACCGGATTATCCCTTTTGCCGCATTGGATTTTCATTCGGTCTTGTCGTTTCCCACGTCCTTGCATCTTAGCGACGGATTTTCTTCATTCGATGTATTACTACCACTCTCGGCCATCACACAAAAGTTACTTGCTTTCTTTTCGGTTTTTGGCGTTGGACTAGACTACGGCCGCTTCGGGGCAATTTGGGACATGTTATTTTCCTTCTTTTCTTTGTGGAGGCTTTCGTCCATTTGTTACCGGTCTAGAAGTGACCTGTTCGGACGCGCCACCTCTGTTCTGCTTAGACATGGGTTCCCTATTCTGGAGGAGCGTTGAAGCGTCCGAGAGATACTCGCGCAGACATGGGGGCGTTCTGAGGAGGTCGCGCCCAATCTTCACTTGAAGGATGGACGGATTATTATCGGGGAAATTGGTATCACAAACCCAAACCCCAGGTCACATTTTAGACCTGGGGTTTAGCGCCGGGGAGGGCGATCCGGGCGGCGCTATCTTGCATTCTCGATCCGTTGCGGAGGTCCTCTCTTTCTCGGTGCAAGCGTTTTTTTGGAGTTGGGGGAGGGGGGTAACAGGCAAGGGAATCATCTGCAAATGCGCAGGGGCGGCGATCGGGGATCTGGGTCCGGCCCGCCACGGCGGCGCATCTGCGTCTGCAATCTGCAATCTGCACACATTTGCTTCTAACAGTGCGCATCTGGACGCTACAATTACTATGCAACTGGCTATATTTGGGACGGGAAATGGTCCGTCATTGTCTCGGCCGAGACGTATACGTATTATAAAAGTATTATCTATAATCATAATCATAATCCTAGCCTTAATCATACGCACGACGTGCACGATTTTCTTTCGTTTGAGATCCTCATTTGTCCAATATGATAAATTTCGCAGACATGTGAAACAGTTGAAAGATATCTCATGGTGAAGTGATATTTAATCGCTCCATTTCTTGTGACATTTCCAATTTCATTATCGACATGCCAGAATGCGTCAAATAGTGAGCCCTTGTAAGATTTCCGGTTATGTAGTCCCGTTATGGATCCGCGAAGGACCAGAGCAAAAGTTACCTACTACGCAAGGTATCTTAACTAGAGCTCCTTCGGATGCCTTCTCTTCTGCGTTCTGTTTAAGAGATGCTAGGCTCTACGGTGAAGAATAAAAGACTGGAGTGCTGCGCTAATGGTTTCCCAAGATTAGCGTACCGCGTCTCGTCCGAGGGGCATCATCCGCAGCTCACCTCCAAGCCAGGACACCAGGAAGCTTAAGCTGTCGTCCAGGCTCCAACCCAGTACGTCTTTGACGACTCTTCCTCCGTCTCAAGAAGTTCGATCAGGGAGTAATCTTCCCTCATACATAACACGGGCATCCAAACTACGCCTAGTCAACCCAGCATAGCCAATTCCGTCATAACAGCTTTCATTCCAAGCTTCATACGATATCCAACATGGCCTACGTTAATTATCGCACCATTGACGTCGATCGTTTGGACCCCGATTCCTCGATCAACTTCGATACCTCAACTCTTCTTCCGCCTTTGGTACCAGTCTCTGCTGCCGATGTGCAGAGCTTAGCTGGACAGATCAGACAGCTTCTTCGAGGTGGAGATGCAGAGGGCGCTCTGATCGGCGCGCTTCAGAATGCGCCATACGGTGGCGATGACAAAGCAAAGGTGATTAGACGTTCCTCACTTAATCCTGCCTCCATACCCCTCAGGGTAATCTTGCTCTAGCTCAGTATTGCTGATGATGTCCACGTAAACAGGAAGTCCATCTTGCTACCGTTATCGAGATTCTCCAGTCAATAAAGCAAGCAGAGATGTCCCCCATATTGACCCGCATATATCAATCCGAAGGCGGAAGTGAGACTCTGGATATTTTGATGAAATACCTGTAAGTCTCCGTGACCATAGCTTAGCTACACCTCTGCCTGAAAGGATGAGGACCATTACAGACTGTGAAGGTGCCTCTGTTCAAAATTTCTCATCTTTTTACCGCCTTCCATTCTCGCATTCGCGAACAATTAACCTGATGAGCGTGGCTTTCAGGTATAAGGGAATGTCATTAACGCAACCCTCGAGCGTTGCCGGCAAGCCAATTTCACCACAACCCACAGGGTTCTCGCAGATCACCTCTCGGGGTGGCGGAGAAGGCTCTGGCCAGGCCATGAGCGTTTTATTGAGCTGGCACGAAAAGGTAATACAATGATTTTCGCACAATGTCGTCTTGATTCACAGTTGTACCCATTGCTAACAAGGTCTCAACAGTTGGTCGAGATTGCGGGCCCTGGTAGTATCGTTCGTGTTATGACAGATCGGAGAACAGTATGAATTTGTAATGATTTGCGCTCTTCAAAGAATCTCACAGAATGATCTCTGCGCTCGGGCGAGGTGATACAGAGCCACCTTTTTCGCCATCGTCGTGGAAAGGAAAAGGATATTTAACTATGTCGGGCACCCAAACAAAGAATTTTGGCGCGTATATTTTTTCTTCACCGGCTGTTACAAACCCTCCCGAATATATACAGCATTTGCGCATCGACGCCTGTAGAAGATCAATCCAGCCCATACTATATTATCCAGCACCACAAGAGGAATATATCTAAATACATGATCTTTCGCAATACCAGAGAGTTACTCCATCTATTTCTTATCATTGCCTTCTAGGATATCTTTCATGTTCGTTTGTCCACTTCCCCTCTCCAAAGGCCCTTTTTGGCCCGGTCCTTCCTTCCATCCGATCATATAAATGAGCCGGAAGGTCGCCGGTAGCGTCCCGTCTTCATTCCCATGCAGTTCCCGATAGATTGGTTCGGCTGCCAGCAGGACGTCTCGTGGAATTGGACCTGGCTCCCTTCCCAGTACGGCATTACTTTCACCCATGGCTTGCAGATCTGTCATTAACGCAAATGAATCCGGATAATCCACAATAATATCATCCACGTCTACAGTCAACAGCTTGAAGCGAGCCCGCTGCAGTAAGCCTCCAACATCCCGCACATCAGCAAGGGGTGAGACGCGTGGGCTTACACCGCCCCGTCGCTCCATCTCAGCTAATTGCAAAGAGGTACGTAGCTCGTAAAGTGAGTCTCCGCCTAGCATAGCAGCCAAGAACGGGCCATCTGGCTTGAGTATCGATTCTACCTGCGCAAGGACGCTTGGCAGATCGTTGATCCAATGCAGTGAGAGACTGCTAAGCACAGCATCGAAAGTGTTCGGTTCCCAGGGGAGATGCTCTGGGTCATTAAGAACCTCCCGATGAATGTTCAAGTCATTGTTATAAGGCAGAGATGCATCGCGGTAGAGCATCGTTGGAGACGCATCCGCAGCAGTAAGTTTCTCGATTCGATTACACAGCGGCGGAGCTGGAGGCAAGGAAGGATCTGGATCTAGATTGGAAAGGGTCAAGATCCGTGAAATATGGCATGCATTGGCACCAAGGTCGAGGACATGAGGGAGCGATCTGTTAATGAACTAGAGAGGGCAGATTTACAATTAGTTATTCGAAGTCCCTTCCTTGAGAGGCAATGGAGTTAGGTATTAAGAGAAATAAGAGTGATTATGAAATGGCGAGAAGCACGTACAAGTAATCGCTCACATAACCTCGTTGCAACCTCATCTCGGAGGTAGTCTACCCTTCGGCTAGCTTCAGCGTTGGACGCTGCGCGTTCTTTCTGGAGGTATTTTGCATGCTTGTTGAATATTTCGAGAGTTGGAGCACCAGGGGCTTGAACAGCGTAATACCGACAGAAAATTGAATGCCCTGCTCGTGTCGATATAGTATGGCGGGAAGCAGTCAACGATAATGCGGAGATGCGGGGAACGGACTTCATCGCGGGTAACAAGGCTGCCTGCCCAGCAATGGGCAAAATTGATTGAGAAAAAGGCGCGATAGTTTCACATTAGTATACAATTTCTCTATGAAAATAATATTTATTTTGTGGATTTGTACTGGCCCACACAATTGCACGAGAATCGCTGATTGAGCTAAGAGCTCATTATTCTGGGGAAAGAAACACAGTGACGTTGAGAGTCAAGTCGGAGACCCTGAATTTGGGTAGACGAGATGTTCCTGAAACGCCATTTGATATTGAAAGCGAAACAAACAAGACAAACATCCCTTTACGTCCAACTATCAACAATTGTCGGAAACTGTCAATGCGGAATATCATTTCGAGATTTTGTACCAATTCTCTTTTCCCACAGCTCCTAGGGAGCTGGGCTCCTATATTACAGAATGGCATTGTCTTTTCCTTACCTTTACATATCCTGCCCCTGTGCGAGCGAAACAACACTGCCACCGGTATGGCCTTATTCGAACCGCTTGTCCCGCGAAAATGCGGAGGATGACGACGAGGAAGACGAGAAGACGTTTGACCCACGAAATCCCCGCGCGAATTATTCTTTATACCCTCTAGAGCATTTGTTGTTTTGCGAAGATTGTCGTCAAATCAGGTGTCCGCGATGCGCGCTGGAGGAGGTGCTCTGTTGGTACTGTCCGAGCTGTCTATTTGAGTCGCCCAGCAGTGCGGTCAAGACAGAGGGAAATAGGTATGAGTTTTCATCTCCTATTCTTAGCCACGCGTCTGGCAATGCGGCGAACCTACAGCGGATCAAAATGCATGAAAATCTAATCAAGAGGCAGATGCACTCGGAACTGTTTCCAATGTCCCATTTGCACATCCCCTTTGTCCGTCAACGCGCTCGAAAAGCCAGACCCTAGAGACTTATCCTGGATACTCTCCTGCCCTTATTGTGCATGGAGCTCACTCGATATCGGAATTCGATTTGACAGACCGTCTGCAATTGCTGGGCAACTATTGAGAATGCGAAATGGTGGACAGCCAACGCTGACACGGAAAGAGCGTGACGGAGAACGCGATCGCAGGAAGAGAGGAGATACCAATGATGCAGAGGAGGAAGATGATCATTCCTGGAAGCAGCATAAGGAAATTGAGGATGTGGATGACCACTTTTCAAATATAAGAGCATTTTACACAGACCAATTAGCGGAAACTTCTGCGTCATCCCCTTTCGGGGGAAATAACGAATTTGGATACGGATCACCAGGAGCGTTGTCACGGATAATGGGGCTATATTCTCGAGCAGGAAGACTCTCTTCACACAGGCCGAAGGACAAAATAAGGCCAATGCGTGAGGCTTTTGGTGAAGATGAAGGGGTTAAGCTATTTGATGCCAAAGGAGAGGATGAAATTATTGAGCGAATGAAAAGCGTAGGATGGGAGGGAAGTAAGTCGATCCATTATTCGTACACGCCAGTAGTAATGATAACTAATTTATTTTCTACAGCGGCAAAACTAGAGCAGCAATCCTGGCAAAACCGAGATGCGCGATTCCTGTCGTATGTACCACCCGTTGGTAAAACCTGACCCATTGATCATTTCGAAAATACTAACCACTCTGTTCCTGTGCAGTGACCTGCGGCCAGTCCCTACGCTTCTTCGTACGAAACGCGCCAGACGATGCCGAACGTGTCGGCACATTCTTACAAAACCGGAGAGTAAAGTCGCCAGCACGCGGTACCGTATTCGCCTTGTAGCACTGTAAGTTTCCATGCCCATCTCTTAGCTCCATCTCTTCTTTCTCTCCAATGATGTACACTATCATTATCCTCTATTCACCAGCTGACTCAACCGCGAACAGAAACTACGTACCTACAATGACCCTCAAGCCCCTTGTCCCTTCTCCTGCTCCTCCGTCCGCAGCTCCAGCGGTAACAGCTGCTCCTACTCCCCTTCCTCCAACTGCTCCCTCCATCAACCTCCAAGCCCTACCTTCTCTCATCCCCACCCAATTCCTCCTCACACTACACAACCCCCTCTTCGACCCTGTCCGCGTCACGCTTGCCACGCCGGCCCGCACGCCCGGCCGATTCGGATCCAAAGTCACCATTCTCTGCCCGCAATTCGACATTGGCGCTAACACAGACATGTGGGACGAAGCTCTCACAGACGTTGCTGCCGGCAGCAGCGGGAGCGAGCCTGGTCCTGGCGCAAAAAGCAGAGGAAGCGCAGCTGGAAATCAATCGCAACCGACGCCCGGCGCAGCTGCTGCTCTTGACGCAGCCAAACGCGCACGAGCAGCCGCCGACTTCGACGGACCTGTACAAGCAGAGGCTGGAAAGATCTGGGATTCGGGCCGCAACTGGACGACCATCGTGCTGGAAGTTGTCCCGGCAAACCTAGATGAAGAGTCTCCCTCTTCAAAGCCCAACAAGAGTGCGGCGACTAATAATCCTGGAAAACATGATTCCAATCCTGATGAGCCTCCTGGCGAGACAGGGCTGGAAGAGGATGAAGATGTTCTGGAAATACCCGTTTTCGTGAGAATCAACTACGAGGCGGACATATCGAGTGAAGACGAAGATGGGCCTGCTGCGGATGACGCTGTCATCGTTAGGAATAAGCGTGGGGAAAAGAAGGTGAAGAGAGAATTGGCATATTGGTGCGTATTGGGCGTAGGTCGGATATCAAAGATAGCTTGATGGGCTTTAAATGTAATGTTGTCATGTCGGTACGATCATAGATATAGAGTTATCTCGCAACATATGATCTGATTCAATCAAGGCGTAAGATAAGCGCATTGGGGTTATCACTCTAGGGGCACATGATAAAGTTTCGAATGATCGATTTAAAAGGGGGTTCCCAATATGGACGCAAGAATCACCGTGACTGAGAGATATGGCAAAGGGCGCTTAGAAAAGTCGACCGGGGAAAGTGGATGAATGATTTCGAATGCTATCATGTCGTGTGGGGAAATACAGGCTGGCTCCGTACGTATCACAGCAACCCAGAAGCCAGAATACACGTAGCAAAAGCCATGCAAAAGTTTAAACAAGAACCACAGCCAATAAAGGCCACAGTGGGTAATTTTTTGCCCTGTCCCGCCATTATCCCATAAGAGAAAAGAGTAGAGAAAAAGAACCGTGGAATATTTTTTCTTCTTCATCTATCTTCACACACTCGTCATCAAGACCAACCACTAACCCACTACCGACGAGCACGCCAACAAAGACGCAATGCCATCAGAGAGGAAAAAATCAACGCATTTAGAACTCAGCCGAGTTCTGGGGGAACTCGAAGTTGACGCCCTTGCCGGTCAACCGCTTGTAAACCTCAGAGTAGGTGTCAAGTCTGTAGTCGACGCCGCCCCGCTCCTTCTCGTCCAGGATGACCTTGGTCACCTTGCTGCCGTCCTCACGGGTACGGAGACGCTTGCCGACAATCTCAACGGGGAAGACGAGGTCGCCGAGGATAGCGTCGTGGACCGCGGTCAGAGTCCGGGACCGGGGACGCTTCTGGGTCTGGGAGGTCCGCGAGCGGGCAGAGCGCTTCTGGCGGGGAAGGATACGGCGAGAAGCAAGGACCAGGACGTGGCGGTCGGAGAACTTCTTCTCGAGCTCACGGGTCAGGCTAATTCAAAGACTATCCGTCAGCTTTCTATGTCCCCAGCGAAATCCGAAAGGCTTGTCTTTTGTTGCTCTCTGATGGGGAGGGTATTTCTCCTGATCGTAGGGAAGCGTTCTGAGGTAAGGGGAGATGGAGAGGGAAATGTACCGCTGCTGAACCTTGTGGAAGCCCTGGAGAAGGGGAACAGGGACGAAGATGACAATAGCCTTCTTGCCGTGGCCAACCTCGATCTATTCGTAAACGTTAGCAACAATCGCATAATTTCCGCTGACGCTCTAAATGTCGCTTTTAAGTCCTCCACGAAAAACTCGACGCGCAAGTCATTGGCTCGACCAGTTGTGATTCCTCCTCTTTGTTCGCTTCAGGGTCCGCGGCTCACTCAGAGCTCACGGAACCTTGCAAGATTCCTGATTCATCCTCCCATGACCTTGAAACCCGATTTCACGTTTCTTGACCGAGCCAATGCCTTTCGCGTTTTCCAACATCTGATTTTTTTTTTCGACGGCGACAAAGCGGGGATTTTGTAACAAAAAGCGGAACCGTACCTCACGGGCGGAGACGAACTGCAAAGGCCGCAGAGCAGTCTTCAGGTCCGGGATGTTGGACTCGAGGTCGTAGATGGCGTTGGCGATGCTGGTCTCCAGCTCGGACGGCTGAGCCCGCGAGGGGCTGTTGGGCGCAATCTTGTTAAGGGCGGCCATGATTGCGAGTGGGACGACGACGGGAGTCTCTGCCTGTCCTTTGCCGGTGTTGTGGTCGAGGGGGAGGGACAGAGCTGCGCAATTGTCGTGCTCGTGGATTTCGGTCGTTGAGGGTTCTCCCGGCAGAGGGCAAGACCTCGCTTAGCGCCAATTTGCTCGTTTCGGCACGTTTGTGTGTGGGCCAGTAATGTAAGCGAGTCCCTTTTTAGGGTTGCCCTAATCACGAACCCTGACGACGACTTGCCAAGTACTCACTGCAAAGTCAGTGAATAATATGAAATATTGATACGAGTATCAAGAGCGTCCAAATTACTAGGTATATACAGGTCATAGATTGACTTTTGTATCCTAGTCATTGTCAGTGTTGAACTGATAATATGCTGTCGCTTTCTGTCCAATTGTTGCATGATACACCAACTGCCTTAAAGGTGTATATCGAAATAAGTACCGCTTTATAGAAATCAAAGGTCTTCAAAGAAACAATTATCAGTTTCACTTGCACCATTTAATAGCGGTTCTTTAGCCTTCACAATTACTCTGTTCAGGCTACGAGTACTTCTTGATTCTGTCTAGATCCTCGTTTCTTGGGAAATCGATCTAATCATATCTAGATCTTGCTATCTTATAAATCTTGATTATCATCTCTCGGAGCTCCTCGGGAATCCCGCGGAGCTAACCTAGCTCCGAGTCGTCCGCGGATCGTCCGGGGGTGATACTGCTGACTGGCGGAGGGAACTGCTTATCCATGCTCTATCAACAATGGCTTTTGGGCTTCAAGTAGCTTATTTTTGGTGCATAAGTGACGTGGACACGATTTTAGAGGGGTCCCAACTCTTAGATATAAGAATGCAGTCAACTTCACTACCTCAGCGCCATCATCGAGCAAACTACTCAGATATACGAACAATCGGACTTGAAAAGGCTTCTCTAACCGCCGTTCCATAACTGCTTGTCAGAGGTCTTATATCTTCTTTGCGAATTTTATATCAATTTACTTCTCCCACTTCATCACAAATATGACTCGCTCCAATACCCTATCCATCGCTATTATTGGAGCTGGCCCTGCCGGTCTGACCTTGGCTCGACTTTTGCATGTCAATGGAGTCAAGACGACTATTTTTGAACGCGAAGCAAACTCCGAGGCGCGGCTCCAAGGCGGATCGCTTGATCTACACCCCGATGCTGGCCAGCGCGCGTTGAAGGAGTCAAATTTGTGGGACCAGTTCCTTCGTCACTCTCGGCCTGAAGGGGAAGCTCTCGTTATTGTAGACGCCAGCGGCGAGCGACAAATCGATTTCAAAGGCACCGGCGAACAACGCCCTGAAATTGATCGCAAGGTACTGCGCCAGATGCTGCTCGACTCACTGCCCGCGGAATATTTTCGCTGGGGAAGCAACGTGCGCCGAGTAGAGGGTAATGGGACTATTCATTTCGAAGACGGCGTGCAAACAGGATTCGACCTTATCGTTGGCGCAGACGGCGCCTGGTCGAAAGTCAGGCCGCTCGTATCGCCTGTGAAGCCGTTTTACTCAGGTATTGCTGGTGTGGAATGGACTTTCGAGAATGTAGAGGAAGACTACCCCGAAATTTCAAAGATGGTCGGTGATGGTAGCTACTTCATATATGGACCGAACAAAAGAATCGCGGCTCAGCGTAACGGCGAGGGTCGGATCAAAATGTACGCCTGTTTTCGCGCACCAGAGTCATGGGTCGCGGATGCTAGGATTGATCTAAAGGACACCGAGGAGGTGCGGGAATTGCTGCTTCAGACGTTCTCCGAGATCCAGTCCATTCATCTCGACCTCATTCGACTTGCCAAAGAGTACGTTGCCCGCCCGCTTTACATGCTCCCTGTTGAAGAGCAGTGGGACTCGCAGCCTGGTGTGACTCTTGTGGGCGATGCTGCTCATTTAATGACACCATTCGCCGGAAGGGGAGTCAACTTGGCCATGTGCGATTCATTGGATCTAGCGCATGCGATTTTGCAGACTATGGACGACATTCCAAAAGCCATCAAGTCGTATGAGAAGCTCATGCTTGAGCGCTCCACAAAGGAAAAAGCAGTGACGGTTGCGAGAATGAATATGCAGTTTGCAGATGATGCTCCAAGACCATTCGTGGAATCTGTCCGAGCTCGGATTGACGAGTACATGAAGAGATCAGCGAATGGAAAATAGGTGTTCAAAACCATGTTAGTCTCTTCTCTTCTGGGTTGGTTTTGAACTTTGGTAAATGCACTTTATCTTGGGATCGTTATTTGTCAGACTTTTCCAGACTTGTATTATCTCTAATAATATAATCCTTGACGTATGACATATTTCTAAATATGAACGGTGATATCGAATGAATACGAGTGGAGAACTCTAATCATGCCGTGACTGTATCCTGTTTGCTTCAAATAACGGAATGGATGGAAGATTTACCATTTCGAGAGCTGGATTTCTTGCGCTTAAAATTGGCAAAAGAGCTTGGCGACTTTTGAAAGAGAAAGAAACGAATACTTGGGGAGACATAATATATGGTCTCTCCGCATATTTGGGCAAAGTATCGCAATAAATGCTCAGCGACCAGATGCCCTCAAAGATACTTTGTGAAATTAAGCTGAGTTAAGAAACGATTTATGCTAGAAGAACGGAAGAGATGATAGTCTTCTTATACGCCGGGCATACCTATCACATTCCTCACGGCGGGTACAGCTCGAGGGAGGAAATAGACAGAAAATATGCCGAAAAAGGCGACCACAAGACCGGTAAACTGGTAGAGTTTATATTAGCATTATACGAAGGCATTATTCCAGGGGTCCAATCACAAACCTTTTCGAACCAAGTGTGGAAATAGGCCGCTGTCATAAGCAGCATCCACCACGATAGAGCAACAACCACAACGGCAGCTTTGACTCCGGTACTCGGATCTCCATGCGCGTGAGGTGCCGTTCCGATGCTCTCCACCTCAACCTCACGTCCAGATTCCCTGACCTCTCCGGCTGGGGTCTTGATAATACGATCTTCGCGAAGCCCCGCAGAGCGCAGAACAACCGGGAGTATCTCCAGCCATAGAAAAGCGCTTCCCAACACAAGCATGAACACATGCCCGCTAATGTCATAACCTCCCTTCCAACTTCCACCTGCGAGCTTGCAGGCAGTAGCGGACAGAATTTCGCGCGGAGCGCTCATATCTTCCCTTGCCTCAGGGTCGCGTACGAGCTCGCATTGTCCTCCAGTGAAGCGGAAGCTTCGGTCGATTAAAGGAGGTCCAAAAAACCATTGTGTCAAGACCATCCACCATAGTGTGACCGCTGTCCAGCGCAGAAAACCGCGCACTCGCCTCGGCGTTAAGACGGGATGGCGAGAAGGGCCGGTCGATGGATGAGTGAACAGAAAGATGAAATACGCTAGTGTTGTCCAGAACCATCCCTTCTTGACAAACCAGACGTTGAAAATGTTCTTTTTTTGCGCAAAATATGAGGGTGCGACTTCCGGTGGGTGTGACTGGAGGGTTGCGCTGTATGGAGCGACGCGGGCAGAGGGATCGATTAGGGAAAAGAGGGAGCCCAGAAGAAGTGTAGCAGGGTATATTGCGAGTAGGATTGATTCAAGGGGCGTAGGAAGATATGGTGGGCGCTGTTGGCCAGCTTGCGATGGTGTTGACGGCCGCGGAGCAGATCCATTCATTGTTTCTTGTGACTTGTCTCGCCTATCACGATGCGAGATGGTGGAAGATGAGGACATTTCTGCTCCTGAATACTACTGCATGAGCTGACGGTAGTGTTTTTCTTTCAGAATTAAATTGTGACGGGTGTATGTAAAAACTGCCCTGCAGAAAGTTGGACAAGGTCTGACGCTCTGATGCTGAGCTGGGATCTCCAAAAAGATCAACATGCCAGATGACGTTGTGACGTTACTCTCTTCTCGGCTAGACCCAGGTGTATCCCACAGGCAGCGCCACAGCCAGGCACGACCAACGACAAACTACACGTGGCTTATAAAATATCTACTTCGGGTATCGAAGGTTTTTTTTTTCTACTACGCCTCTGATATTTTTTCAATTCTGAGATTTTCCCCTCGACTCCAGCATTTTATCATTAGTAAAAATCTTTTAGAGTCTTCGAAGGAAGCTCGTCCGCCACAGTATCCTAACATTGGAAGGAAGAGTCCTACTTGGTTATGGAAGCATTTCACAAGCAATAAACGCTCGAAGACAATTTAAAGGCCGGAGAAACTCCCGCTGAAAGCCATGGGTTTTCATTCCCTTTATCCATCAAATTGCGATTGCTGATAGTGGGAAGAACGCACGTAAAATACCAAAATGCTGATAGACTTGTAAATTACCTCGATATGGCTGTGCAGCCGCTCGAGGTTCAAGGGGGCTGAAGATATGTCATATCAATATACGCTTCTCTCCAAATGACCGAAGAAATAGATTATCATTCTCACTCTTTTGTTTCATACAAACCGTCCGAACAAGTATGAAGTCTTGTTCTTAGTGGGAAGCCATTGATGGGTATAAAAAAAAGACTGTTTAGCAGAGTGGACGAAGGACATCGGTTTACACAGTTAAAACCGGAAGCGAGGGCCCAAAAAGAGCAAGACAAGCTGTTTGGAAAGACAAATTCAACTATGAGAGGCAGGTCGCTCGCAGGGCTTACTTGGTAGTCCAATGCCTCGAGTCAGGCAAGGGAGCCATGAAGAAAGATGACGGGGAAACACCATAAACATCGTTGGCGGGTGACGCACCTTTGTGGGATGGAAGCCGGCGAGATAGGTGAGGTGAGTAGAAACGTTGGCCGATTCGAGTGGTTGGGCTGTATAGGGGATGGTTTGTGGCAGTCGATGCTGAGAGCTGTGGCAGCCAATTGTAGATAATCAACCTCCAGTATATAAGATAGTTCTTCGAGATATCTTCTGGCCGGGATGATGGCAGAGTTGGTTTAACCGCCACCTCTCAGCCTGACCGGTCCCGTAAACCACGCTTTTCGACTTCTCCTATTCGCCAAATCCGCCGATATTCACCGTTCGATATTCACGACAATCCAGAAACCGAGTTCGAATCCCGACGATAGCAACATTCCCACGATTATTGTAGATCCCCACCAAAACCCAAGTTCGGCACTTAATTGTAGAGTAAAATCTTCGTACGGGGGGTTTTCGTAGGCAGCCGGTGGGGGCTGCTGAGCTTTTTGTATTTTTGCCAAAGCTAATATGATCGCCAAGCTTTTTTTCTCGATGTCTTTCTATCAACTGAGCTGTTACTCCTATGATAGCTGATTGAGGGAGCAACGTAATCATGGAATCTTCGAGGGCCTGGAACCATTGCGAGTCGATTACGGGACGTGACTTTGGGAAATGATTTCTCCACCGTTGGTCGTCAGATATTTTCCGTCAGAAGCCCGCGGTCAGAAGCCCGCTTGAAAGATTCTGAGACTTATGGTCATATCATTTTTTCTGAATGCAACCCATCACAATAGTTGTCGGTTTATGTCGGTGGGAAGATGACAGGCTCGTTCAAGGCACAAACGCTGTCGGGAAACTCAACATTTTTCAATGAGAAACTATGTCCTGAGCTGAATAGAGTTTGACGAAAGGATTACATAGCTTCAAGCAACGCACAGAATGCAAAAGAACGTAAATTGAGAGAAAGCTCTCGTGGATCCCGGCAAGCTTAGAAACTCTTCATCAACAGAAAAGGAAAATCATCACGCAAAAGTAACATCATTGAGATACAGTGGAGCGCAGACAAGCAAATTATGAAATATGAGTAATTTTCAAAGACATTCAGGAAGAAATTTAAGAACCAGTGATATATGGCATGCGTAATAACGGACATCAATAAAGAGTGTTCAATGTTTTCGTCATTGGGGTGGAACTATCTTGCTACGCACGTCGTTGATGAAGAACTGAAAGTGGAGATGTTCCCCGAAATAGGAAAGTGCGGTGGTTGATGGATCCGGGGAAGGTGCGAAAGGTGGGCGGGCTGGTTCGGGTATGGCGCTCCACTATATTTGTGTTACATCATGGCCATTGGAATGTTCAACTTCGCCTGTATCCCCCCGACCGCGCGCAGCCCGAATATATCACCATTTGCATGGCAGCCTTGGAGACGAAGAAGAAAAGGGAAATAAAAGAGGTGCGGTCAATCTACGCTGCACGGTCATCGCTCGGTCAATACTCCTCGGCGATCATTTCCCGAAGGATTCAAAACACTTCATCCTCATCTCCGTACACTATCTTGTCGCAACAATAGAGCGACGCGCTCAAAATGGTTTCCACGCGCAATCACCCAAAGAACTTCCCAGAGCCCACTCTTTCGCCAACAAAATCAACTCAATCGAAGTCAGTCGTGCGCTCATCTACACCCACTTCATCAACCTCGTCCACCTCCAAGAAATGGACCCATACGCCATCCAATTTAACATTGTTATGGCTTGCGATTGCGGTCCCGTTGGTGCTCTGGGATGCTGGTTATGTGTTTCTCCGACCACATACGATGCCTGGAGGATTTCTTCATAGCCCATTGTGGCTTCCTTACGTTTTTTATGGCTCGGTAGACTATGTATATGGCCTGCCAGCTTTTGAACAGAGCGACGGTTTCCCGGCTGCGCAGTCAGCGCTCAACTTGCTCGAGACGTTCCTTTATGTTGCATACTTGGCTATTGTTTTCAGATATGGCAAGGTGGTATCTGGTAGGGGTCGTGGTGCTCCAAAATCAAGGAAAGCCGGATGGTTGGGTCAACCAAGGGTTGTTTCCGGGCAGATGGCCGGCGCAGCTGTTCTGATCGGGTATGCAACCGCGGTGATGACGTTGAGCAAGACAGTACTCTACTGTAAGTTTGGCCGTTCATGGTTGAGTCAAGCATTTGAATTTCGTAGCTTAACCTTTATAGGGCTGAATGAGTATTACTCTGGATTCAAACATATTGGCCACAACGATGCCTTGACCTTGATCATCGCTTGGCTCATTCCCAAGTAAGTATCATACCCCTTTTGTTTGCCTTTGGGCTGAAAAATCCTAACGAAAGCTAGCGGTGCCTGGCTTGCATTCCCAAGCTATATGGCATATGTTTTCGGCCGGGAGATTCTTCAGGGGCTTGCGGTTGCAGCAAAGACCACTGGTAAACAGGAATAAAATCATCGATCGACACTTCTCAATGTCTCTCAAGATGAAGCGACTCTAGACTGTTCTGATACTCAACTGCTGCTGTCGGTATCATGAACATGTCTAATATTCGAATGGTCGCTTTGAATCCTCATAAGCCTGTCGAATTTCCCAGATTGCGTCATTGTCGACGAGCATCAGTCTTTCAATTTCATGCTGAATGATACCCTTCTATGCGGATTGCGGGTGGTTCAATTCAGTACAGTACAGTTTGCTCCTATGCTTTTTTGGAGATTGGATCATTAAATGAATCATGCAAACATACATAATGAGTCAAGCACGCTTGGGTCAATTTCTCTCTTACGGAAGACAGGCTTTTTGGTGCAACACCGACGCTGGGTAGCAGATTTAATTACAGAATCATATCCTATTGACGAAGTTGTGAAAATTGTTGGATAAAAGAACCGACGGTGGTCCCCTTTTTGCTCCCCATCTCGGGATAATTACCTCCGAGCGGTCTTTCGTAGCATCTGTACAATGTTTGCTAAGCAGCATTGAAATCCAAAAAGGTGTAGAGTACAGCACAAAACCTCCACCGCGAAAGGAAAAAAAGTGTTCAATCAACCACGCGCAATCACTCGGGCGTCATTTTTCGTTTTCCATGACTTATGATATGCTCTTGAGAAAGGCCCTGCCATCATATCAAGGCGAGTCTCCATGCCATCCCAAAAAAAACCTCCATTGAGCAACCCCCACTCAACCCCACTTGGTCCCCCACTCTATCGCGGGTTGAACTTCGGCTCGCTACCCCGGTTTATTTAGTCAAAGAGCCAACTGATCGACTACCGGCTTGAAGCTAGAGGAGTACCACAGTTCCCGCTGAAACAGCCGAGATGAACTATTCTGACCCAACACAAGACAGCCAAGGCGGGCGATTTCACTTATGCGAAACAAGCTTAGAGGAGACGTATTCGGGTCAGAATGCGCGAGCAAGCACGGAGGGGCTCGGTGGTTAGATCCAGGCTGAGCCCCGGCTCAGACCAGTTTCTAACGTCACCTCCACACTTTATGCGATAACAATCATGACTCCCCCCGTATATATATGGGCTGGAGTGGTCCTGACCTTTCTTCGCACTTGGAGAGCAGCTAAGGAGCCTTTTCAGAACAGCTGACAGGAAACATTACGTTTGCCACTTAAATTCATACTGTTATTAAAATCCTTAAGAACGGTAGGTTTTTGGTTTAGCACTACAGTTTACTTACATTAACAACTTCTATGCAGGCCTCATTGATAACTATCCCGAGCATTTACCTCTGCGCTCCGTAACAACACCCAAGTTGTCCGACATCCCTTGACCTTAGCTCACATCTTTCTACAATCCTCCTTCACAGCCAGTCTTTGTGGAATATCTCACAATTACATTTAAAATGGCACATACCAATGGCACACGTCATGTGCTCCTTCGACCAGGCATATACGCGCCGACCATGACTTTCTTTGATCCGGAAACGGAAGACCTAGATATTCCAACTATTCGGAAGCATGCTGTGCGATTGGCCAAAGCTGGACTTGTCGGACTCGTCACCATGGGTTCAAATGGAGAGGCGGTGCACCTAGACCGCAGCGAACGAATGCAAGTGACTCGCGCAACGCGAGAAGCTCTTGACGAAGCTGGCTTTCAAAATGTTCCTGTCATCGCCGGTGCCGCAGAGCAAAGCGTCAGAGGGACCTTGAGTCTCATCCGCGAAGCTGCCCAAGCTGGTGCTGACCATGTATTGCTCGTTCCGCCCAGCTATTTTCGCCCGGCTATGACAGATGATGTGCTCTACGACTACTACACCACCGTAGCAGATGCGTCACCATTGCCCATTCTACTATATAATTACCCGGGCGCAGTCGCTGGGATCGACATGAGTAGCGACCTGATTATCCGCATCTCCCGGCATTCCAACATCGTGGGCACAAAGTTTACCTGTGGTAATACAGGCAAACTTACCCGTGTTGCTGCCGCCCTGGATGCAGCTTCCGTCAAAAACGCAGGGTCGGGATACATGGCCTTTGGTGGCTTTGCCGATTTCACTGTACAGACCCTAGCCAGCGGCGGCTCTGGAATTATAGCAGGATGCGCCAATGTCTTTCCGAAGACGGCAGTGCGTGTCTGGAATCTTTGGTCGCAGGGTAAGATTGATGAAGCGATCAAGCTCCAGACATTAGTGTCTCAGGGCGACTGGATCACTACCAAGGGCGGGGTTGCCGGCACCAAGGCTGCCCTTCAACTATATTTTGGCTACGGTGGCTACCCGAGACGCCCGTTGGCGCGGTTGTCCGAAGAGAAGACGAAGCAGCTCGGCGAAGATCTGGCGGATATAATGAAGTATGAAGCGGGGTTGTGAGGTAAATTAATGATCGCATGCGCAGAGCTCTTGGCTCGATTTCAATGAGATATTATAAAATGGACAGATGATTTCTGAGCAATCGAAAATGTTAGGCAATTATGGTAGCAATTTACGTGGAGATGAATTGATTTTCCAATTTCAGCATAGATTTCCCAGACGAAATGATAATCACGACTGAGTATATAATAAGAACGTCAACAATTAAAATTTCTCTTCACAAAAAAAATATAGATATCATTCATACAAAGCATCATTAAGCAGATTAAAATACATTTTACGTATGAACTATTTAAAATTATCCAACAAGACGCTGCAAGACCTTTTATTGCCCAATATTCATGGCATCGGAGAAGGTTGGAATATGCAAGTAAGATATAGAGAAGTCATCATTGGTGAATAAAGCAGATTAACGCTGCAGCTCTCCAACGAGTAGTCGCGATGCCAGAGTGGTTAATGGGTGTGCCTGCTACTCCTCGGTTCTTCGGAATCGACTAGCGTTAGCACATGGCTTCGGCCGCGCAAGTTCGAATCTTGTTCGCGACGACTTTCTTTTTTGCCAAATTTTCTTAATTTTTTTTATTCCCTATATTCTGAAAGAAGTTGTCGATAGATACGGGACACCAAACTCTTCATCATTTTTAACTTGTCAAGTTGAAGGGGTTCCATGAGAGGCCTTCTTGAAGGATGTTATTCACGAGGCCTGCGTATTCAGAGGGGAGGAATTGACACTTATGGAAAATGAGAGAAGTAACTAGTCAAAGTTGCATTGAAGCTTATCATGCTATAATCCTGTATCTATGCGTGTAATCTCTCTCCAACAATCTAGGTATACTCGATTAAAATTCATGATGCAAAGAATGGCTCTCTTTTCGACCCCGCTTGCGCCTCATTACTCTCATATCATGCCTTGCCGACAAACTCCCCATCATGCTCCAGACCGTGTCTATACATCATCTCTGCTCATTAATACACATAATACTGACAGGTAGCTTTAATATAAGTCTGTCAGTCTAGTGACACGAAGTACATGCCAGCGCCAACTCTTTCATGGTGATACCAAATGCCCTCCAGTACTCTGTCAGTACGAAACGATACCGGACGTCATTATCATGCAGTCTCGTCACTATTGTTCATTAGTTTGCGGGCTTAATTTTTTCTCATCTTAGGCTCTTGTAAAATGAAAAAAGAAGTGTAAAGGGGGTTAAAGGTAATGCGCCATCAAAACTTACCAGCCAGCTTCAAGCCATCCTCCGAGATGGGTATCTCCTCGATCCACCCTTTGACTCCCTTATCCGCAGCCAACTGCAGCATCTCCAGCATTTCCTGGCGATTTCCAAGGTGACTGGCGCCCATAAGCACGCCGTTTCCGAGAAGCTGCTTGGCATGGATCTCGTTGCCCGATCCCTCTGGCAGTCCCACGCTAATGAACCGCTTGTGCACGTCAAGCAAGCTCAGATAGCGATTCAGGTCGAAGCCCTTTGACGAGTTCGCCGTATTCAGAACAAGGTCAAAAGTCATACGATGCGGCTCGTTCCATTCTTCTTCGCATGTAGCGATGAAGCCGTCCGCGCCTAATTTGCGTGCGTCTTCCTCCTTGGCGCGGGTCCGTGAGATGACCCAGACTTCGGCCCCGAGGGCCTTGGCAAACATGACGGCAAAGTGGCCGATGCCGCCGCTGGAATATCAATGTTAGCTGCGCGTGTTCTTCTTGTAGATCTGTCCGGTACTGTTCGCTGCTGAAGGCGGACGGACGGAAGGAAGGAGGAAAGAAAGAAAGAAAGAGGGAAGAAAGGGAAAAGAAAAAGGGACGTACAGTCCGACAATGCCGACTTTGCTCCCTGGCGCACAGCCATGGCGGACGAGAGGCGAGTACGCAGTGATTCCGGCGCATAACATGGGCGCGGCCTGCGCGGTGTCCAGCTTCTCTGGGATAGGAAAGACAAAGTACTCATGCGCGCGAATGTGCGATGCATAGCCCCCTTGAGTGGTGATGTCTGTGCCGGGGTATTTCTTGCCGTACGTCGAGACTTGTTTGAGGCAATAAACTTCGTTGCCGTTCTTGCATTGCTTGCATTCGAGACAGGAGAGGCATTGCGCGCCAACGCCCACGCGCTGGCCGTGCTCGATGAGAGTTACTTTGGGTCCAACTCGGATGGCCGTGCCAACGATTTCTAGAGGCAGATGTTTTGTTAGAGTATATTTTTTTTTACCCTATAAAATTGTACAAATCATGGTTTTCCTTGGCTGTTGCTAAGGAAAAGTAAAAGGCATACCATGGCCGACACATAGAGGGAAGGGACGCTCCCCCCATCCACCTACAATCCATTAGCTTGGTGCATTTTAAAATGGATAAGGTTTTGTGTAAATTTATTGGGAACATAAAACATGACTGAGGATTAAAATTGAAGTACATGGAGGATTGTACAGACCATTTATCGTGTGGATGTCACTGCTGCATACACCGCAGGCCGATATGCGGATCTCAACGTCGTAGTCACCAAACGGCTTGGGTTGAAACTACTTGTTCTGTTAGTCCAGTATCTTCTCACATGTAAAATTAATTCGATTTGTAGACACAACTCACCGGACGCTTCTGAAACTCTGTCCAAGTATCTGGACCATCAATCTGTTCGTTGAAAGGTCAGTCTTGCGATACAACTTATAAAAGGTTTTAATGCATTGTGGATACAGACCTGGAATCCTTCGAAAGTGTCAGGGTACACCATTGCGATGGTGGGGTTTGGCTTGTAATATAAACTGATTTATTTGTGAGTTTGTGAATTATATTATAATCGCTACGTGTGAAATGTTAATTTCTTTTTCGACTGGGAAATAACTTCATATTTTTGATAGGGGGGTTTTTCGAGGATTAAATATCCGCGCATGTTATCTAGATTCATGCCTCTCTCGGCCCGTCCATTATCGTTGTCGCTGCCAAGCGCCGGTCCGGCGTCTCGTTAGCTTCAGGACCGATGCGCACGCCCTCTCGGCTGATCTCACACCATACCGGAGTGCAGTATTATTGACCCCAACTTCGTGGAGAATCCCCATGTCAGGTTTGCAATGGAGATTCCATTGGCAAAAACGGAAGGCATGTGGTTGCGGCAGATTTATCATGTATTCTATTGTTTTCTTGGACTTTCCGGCTTCTTTATTTGCTGACAAAAGGAGCTTTTCGACAGAGATCGTTCAGGACAAATCGTTCGACCCATCAATGTCTTCTTCATCTTCTGCATTCTAGTTATTGTGGAGCATCTTAGAGAAAGTTTGATTAAACGAGATAGTCAAGTGTTACTGCGAGCTTGTGATAATAAATCGCAGAGTCCTTGATATCGGCATAAAAAAGCTTCCAACGGATCGACAGAATTGAGTGCCGTAGGCACATGAACATGAATGGCTTGTGAGATAGAAAAAGCGAAATCAGGTAAATTTTTGACATGTCAATCAGCCAATATCCACGTATTCAAATAACTCGAGTCATGCCAGACATTCCTTCTCCGAAGAAGCGTTCTAAGAGCGGCTTTTGAGACGCTAATCGTAGAAGAAGAGCAGGAGCAAAAGAGCTAAAAATTGGGTTTGAACTAAAAGACAGGTTTGGAGTTTGGAATGACGAAGTATAATATTGCAATCTTTGATTTTGTATAAATGTCAAGGAAGATGTCAGTTGAGGATTTGATGAAGCACAATATGCATTATTATTGTGAAAACTGCACAAGTGGGCCATGTTGAGGTGTAGCCTAACTGGGTTTAGCTCCTGTTATTGCTGATACGCGTCCCAGAGTGACCCCACCACGTCTCCTGGCCACATTTTAACCATATTTTCTGGCCAATGGTTATCTTTTGTACTCATTTACCTCGTGCTCGTGCCCTCATGCATTCGGCCTCGTGTCGTGCCTGTCTCGGCCCTTGTTGAGTCTCTCCCCTCTGATGACCTTATTGTATATAAGCTTCAGTAGGTCTGTTCCGATCGAACGTCCCATCAAGCCTTTTTCATCTCCCCGTAAGATATTCATGTTCTGAGCAAGCCATATATTTTACATAGATTCTTCGTTAGCTCATCTCGGGGCGCGTTGTGAACCTTGATAAACTCGCCTCGCCTCCTCGGCAGGTTCGCGTCATCGCGGCCCCCGGCAACCAACGGTAAACTGACCAGCAACGATCCGACTCCCGCCACCGCATTATTCTGTTATTGGTCTTGTTCGGCCAGCCAAGATCACTTCTGTATCATTGAAATACTGGTTATTAATAGAATCTACAACTGGACAGCCATCTCAAGATTCAAAAGAGAAAGCATTGCCTCTCGGAGAACGATTCTGTCATCTCGCCCGTCATATCAGCCGCAGTCGTTCCACATCTCACATTTGTTGACATTTATCTGGACTGCAAGGGTTCATTGTGTATATTCTCGTCCTCCTGAAAGTTTGTGCTCGGTCTTTACATTCAATTGCGAAACCGACGCCAAATTAATTGAGCTGCAACCCGCCTCCGTCTTCCTGCATTGTAGCCTGATCCGCTTTTCGACCGCGTCTCTCCATCGCTCAGGAGCACTGTTCCGTTTGCCCGCTACCATTTCACCCGGCGGGCTCTCGTTACCTGAAATCACCTTGATGCTGGTGTCTGAATGGTTTTCTGCGACGAGCTGGTGGGCTGTGCGCTTTTTTCAGAGTTGAAAACATGCCCGAGCCGTTACTCGAGCGTTCTCCGCGTGCCAGTACGAATATTCGCGCCAATGAACGAATTCTTCCGGCAATGAAATCTCCTATTGCCAAACAACTTGCCCCTTCTAAACCAATGCCGCCTACTTCGCCCACACGCGCTCGTGACCACAGAATGAGCAGCCCAAGGCCTGGTGACAATTCCAGGCCAATGCTCGACCCAAATGCATCAGCACTGGGGCCCAGACACAATGAAGACATCACATTGGTTCCCAACTCACAGGGCTCCTCGACAGAGGAAGTCTCAAGCCAAGAAGAGACTCATCCCCTGGCCAAGCCTGCACAGAAGGCCCAGTCGACGACCACGGACGGCCTGACACGTAACGTCACTCCCCCGGTCTCTGTAGAAGCTTCTGTTAGTCGACACCTCGCATTGGACACGACTCTTACCCAGCCACCAGCATCCCTTAACGCGCCGATCTCAGTCCGACCAAGGACGCCTGATTCGAAAGATATCACAATGACGGGTACTCGGACACCAGGAAGCACAAAAGCTCACCTTCCTGGCCGCGGAGTAATCATGTCACCACCTCATGCTTCAATGCTCGGGCAGAAGCGAACAGCTAGTGGACAGCTGAAGCAGGGAAGTGCAAGTCTTCCCGCCAGCCCTGAAGTCCGCCACACTGGCCCGAGAGGTCATGCTCGTCATTCGAGCCTTGCTTCTCCAGGAAATTCTATTGGCGAGGTGAGTCGTTGGATTCTCAAAAAGCAATCCGCTTCAAAGATGTATATATCTGCTAACACTTTCCTCAAAGCTCTCTGCTCAACTTCGAACGCGGCTTTCTTACGCCATGGTTAAAGTTCAAAATGGTTGGCAGTCGCGCACAATTGATGAAGTTGAGAATCTTGCTGCAAAAGATTCTTCGCCACGTTCTTCAAATTCGACCATATATGCAGATGTGGCGGCGCGTAGACCGAATGATTCTCATCCAGGTGCAAATAATCGGAGGAACAGCCATTGGCTCAAGAGTCCTTCGCAGAACGACACAGGGCGGCATTCTCGTTCGTCTTCTCACGTCTCGAACACTCCACCAGAAAGCACGCCGACTATCCGTCCTGGCGGTACAGCGTCTAATCCTAGCTATGTTGCCACCAATCAGAGCGCAACGCGCTTGGCTCCCCAGCTGCTTACGCCGCCTGAACAAACGAAGACTTATGAAGCGTTTTGGCGCTCTCATCAGTCCGCGAACCCCACCACCGCTGGCTCTTTCTCCAGCCAGGCACCCCATCTTCGCCAAGCTGACCATATAGCGTTGTCTTTGGGGTCTGCTCCAGCCCTGAGCTCTTCGCAACCTTCATTGGCACCTCCTGTAGATATTGTGTCCCGGCAACATCCGCGTCGCTCGAATCCCCCATTGCTCCAAACACCTCCTAAGCTACGAACGTCGGCAAGAAATCCTGACCCAACACAAGCAAGCACATCTTCTGCAAGTACTCCGACAAATCATCCTGCCATGGGATTAGCTACCCCGCCACGACTCCGACTTGGCCATATTTCTCTGCGCACGCCGAGTCACAACGCCGCCATGGAACAAGACGCCGTGGAGACACTACTTTTCATGTCAAGTCCGGTACATTCTGGATATCATCCGTCCACTGCGACTTCTTTGGGCTCGCCTCTTCGCACTGAAGCGGAACAGCCTCGGACGGACTCCCGACGGGTCGCATTTGCGCCCAATTACCCCTGCCTCGATGGGACGAGTAGCGACGAAGAGGCAGGGAGCATAGGATACCCTGGACCACGCACCCCGGCATCTGCAGCAGCGGCCGCTGCTGCACGACATGTACCTAGTCCGCGGACTGCAGGACATGGAAAAACAACCGAAGCCCACATTGACCAATTATTGGACGCTATGAGTGATGAAGCCAGTAGTAGTGATGGCGAGATTACTCTCCGCCACCTGAGCCAGGCTGCCTCGGTTTCGTGAGATGGCTCGAACAGCGGTCAACCTCTGCACATGATCCATGCCAAATAATTGATTTACGATGTCATGATCCATCTTACTATTTGGAAGGTTTTATTTGTTTTTGTTTTTGTTTTTATTTTTTTTAATGATGATGCGCTCTATTATTATGGAAGATATCTGATACCCTTCTTTGTCTATTGTATTACTATTGCATGATTTATTTATGTTTGGAGTCAATGACGTATGCAGAGTTAATTTTTTTGGTAGTTGTATTTATCTTAGCTTGCTTCCTTGGAACAGCATTGATAGCTGCTTCTTCTGCTCTGAGATTTCAATAAGAAGATGACGATTGTATGATAGTTTGCGTAAATGATGGGATTGGTAGGGAATATATAAGTAAACTGTGATGGTATATACTTCCACATGCGCACGTAGAAGCAAGCATGGCTCTTGTGCGTGTGCAAGGATTATTGTTATGCTTGCATGGATTCTTGGATGACCCTTGCCTTTGATTGCCCCTGTGCCGGTTTTGCCATGCATGCCATGAAGAGGGCCTGGCCGACGCCAAGCATTGGAGTCTGGGCTGGATCCATGAACACAAATAGGTTTGAACAGTTTTTATTAAAATACGACAGCAACCTCAATTGAGATTTTTTGATGCCTTTCTTTTTGTGCCTGCATTCCCTCCCATCGACAGTCACTCAGGTCGTCTACGGAGTTGTGTTATGGTGCTGAGTAAATGATCAGAGTTCAGTCAAGTCTCTCCCGTCTTGGCTCGGCTGCTGGACGGGCCGAGGCCGGTCCAGGGGTGGGGCCGGATCAAAGTCAGTTCGAGTTAACTCTTCCGGTAACCAGAGGGGAACGTTTTCCTGTTGGGTTGACAGGCCAATCGGATGTGTCAGAATGACCAAGAGGAAAGCAAGTGATGACCAAGGACGAATGATTTCTAGCTGAGCTGGATTAGTACAGTGCTTTGTAGTTGATACGAGTACAAATAACAGGATCGGAGATGACACCCGTCTCTGTCACCTCATCACCATAACTAACTTCGGGTTTCCCTCTTTTTATCTCATCCTTGGCTTTCCCTTTCTTTGAACTTATTGTGCGGGTCCTTCGCCGGCGAATTCGACAAGTCAATTCTCCGTCTCTCGCTCTCTCTCGTCTGGGTCCATCCTGCTCGCAATTGCACTTTGCCAACGAGACCGTTAACCTAACCATCTTTTCCCCCTTGCAAGCGACAGAGAGGCCAAAAGGCATCGGGGGGGTTTCCTTGCAATCGCATTAGCTAAGGTACCTACCTACCCCTGGCAACTCTTTTAGCATCAAATCCTTGAGCGGGGAAATAACAGGCCATCTCAGATATCTTACCTTACCTTACCTACCTAGTACTCGTCTGTACATACAGTACGTATCATACAAGCATAAACCCTCCCACTTTTCACCTTGACCAGGAAAACGAAGAGTCTCTTACCGTACGATCAGCGTGCCTTTGCATACACACAAATTAGTCCACTCACGTCCCGCCAAACGGCTACTGGACAATACGGAAGGTGGCGAAAATCCCTGCATTGCAACGAATTAGTATCTGCTCTAGGCGGGGCTCGAATTCTTCACGATAATACCACTCTTTTCTGTGAATATTGCGCTTTCGCCGCTGCATATATAGCCTCTTCGAACGATTAGAATTGCATACAACTCAGCGCCAAAGAAAAAAGTCGACAGGAAATCAAGAAAAGCAAAGTATCCTCGGATCGATAAATATCTAGAGCAAACGTAACGAAAAGCGCCCGTCAAAATGTCTGCACCTCAACAACAAGGAGCTGCTCCTCAGCAGCCGCACCATCACCCGGCTCCACAGACGACCGTTCCTCTGCAGGGAGCCGCCATTGAGGCCGAAGTATGTAACGTTACTCCCCTCCACGTGTGTGACGCTTGTCATGGAACTTGGCCACGCGGGAAATGAACAAAATGACTTCCTTCTTCAATTTATTTTGCATCTAAGCTTCCTGTGCTTTTCCGCTGTCTCGACGTTCTGGGTTCATCTCATCATCGTCATCGTAGTCGCGTTGCATAGCATATTGCTAACCCCTCCCAGAGCGAGGAAAATTCAGAAGTTGATTCCACTCTTGGAGAAAGGTACACAACCATCAAGGGCGTTCTCGTGTGACAGAATCAAGTTCCATAGGGCTAACCGATGGTATCACAGTGACGCCTCTTCTTTTACAACCTCGCTGGCATCCAGCGTGGTGGACTATCCGTGAGTTGTACTTGGATGCATCAAATATGCACCCCAAATAGGATTGACATGCTGACCAGTGCTTAGGTACGAGGTATGCTATCGCGATACGCCCCCATCAACACTATTCAACCAAGGAAATATCTGCTCACTTATCCCAGAATGGCAGAAGATACCATAAATTCCGAGAAGGCGAATACCTCTACGTCAGTCGCATCGTCTATTCTAGATGTTTCCCGCATCAGTTTCCTGACTCTATCTAGCCCAATGACGAACCCGAGCAAGACCGCCTTGACATGCTCCATCACATTTACCGGTTAATGCTGGGTGGCAGCCTTCACAAGGCGGCTCTTCCGCCGTCGCCTCAGCGCGTCATCGATCTTGGAACCGGTACCGGTATTTGGGCCTTGGATTTTGCCGAGTAAGTTGTCTGCTTGATTTCATTTGGCGTAGATGATTTTGCTAATATCATGTAGTGAATACCCTAGTGCTACAGTTGAGGGTACGGATTTACCTTAATTCTGGTCATCACCAAACTAACATGTCTGAACCATTGTTTAGGAGTTGACTTGAGTCCCATTCAACCCCGATGGTAAGTGCTCTTTCATCACTTCGCGCTCTGTCAATTTCACCCCATCTGTTTCTGGTTGACCCCTCTGACGTGACTTAGGATCCCTCCCAACTGCAAATTCATCGTCGACGACATTGAAGCCGAATGGCCCTATCCCACCGAGCAAGCCTTTGATTACATCCACCAGCGGAACATGGTGGGCAGTGTCGGCGATTGGGACCGCCTATATGAGCAAGCCTACAAACACACCAAACCAGGTGGATACATTGAGCTACAAGAATTCCGCGTCGATTTCTTGTCTCAGCAGGGTCCCCTCCCCGAGAACTCGGAGATCAACAAGTGGCAGAAGCAGATCAACGCAGGCACCGCCTCATTTGGCAAGCCCCTCAACGTTATCGAGGACCTGGCGAATAAGCTCAAGGCCGCAGGCTTTGTCGATGTCCACGAGGATATTCTCAAGGTATTCCCACACCTTTGTCTTTTAGCAATTGAAATTTCTAACACGGATTACGATTCTAGATTCCCATTGGCGCATGGCCCAAGGACAAAAACCTCAAGCTCATTGGCCAATTCATGCAACTCCACGCCATCGAGTCGGTGGAACCCCTCACCCTCGCCCTCTTCACCCGCGTCCTCGGCTGGACCGAACTCGAGTGCCAAGTCCTGATTGGCAAGGTCCAGGAAGAATTCAAGACCAGTCGCAAACAGCTCTTTGTCTACACGCACTTTATCACCGGCCGCAAGGCAGACCGCGCCCACTCGGAAGATTAAATCTAGTGTTGCATAACATGTTTTATGTGATTGCCATGCTTAGACTGTCTTTTGTGTCCGGGGGTTGGGTCGGTTTGTCTGGGTTGATATATTTTCTTCTTTTTCCTTCTCCCGCATGATCATATCTTCTACATATGGAATTCTTCTTCTTCTTCTTCTTCTTCTTCCTCTTTTCATTCTCAACTCCTCTGACCATCCTCTTTACATTTTGTCACACTTTTGTTCCCCCTGGTTCCATGCCCATTTGGAAGAAGTTGAACATTTTCGGCCATTTTTGTTTTATATCAGATAGGATAACGGCTTTTTGATATCTCACAACCTCAATACCGTGTGTGACTGAGTCGTTATGCATGGTGTGAGCAATACGTGCATACCATGTTTCGTCATGTTCACCATTTGTCAGAACACCATAAGCAATCTTGATACATGATGCGTGACGATTTGAGAAAAATTTTTTTTTTTTGGAAAAAAACAATAATTGCATCTCCACAAAAGAAATCATCACACGGTGATGGGTAAATGCTTCTTTTAAAAAAAGTAAGAGAAAGGTGAGACGTAGTCTATACTCGCTATTCTGGGGCTGCATGCGTCTTGGGCATAAGAGAGGAAAACAACGAAGACAAGGAAAAGGAAAAGGGACATTTTGGAACAACATGTGAAATACGGAGTTGTTGCAACAACCCGCAAAGTTCCCTCGTAGTACAGTTGGTGCAAGGGGGAACAAAGTAGACAGAGAGAAAAGAAAGAAAGAGAAAAAAAAGAAAAGGGGAAGAATGAACAAGAGACGGATGATGCCCAATGTAAGAAGAGGGGGAAAGGGGGGAATAAAAAGAACAAAAAAGGTAAAGGAAAGGAGGGAAGGGGGAAGGGAAGAAGTCTAGGTTCCATCTAAAAAGTCTCCAGATCCTCGTGCGCTTCAATTTCGCCCTCTGCTTCGGCGGGAATCTCGAATCCTTCCTGTTGGGTAGAGAGTAACTGGCGTTAGTAATTTGTTGTTTCGAGTTTGGGGAAGATAACAGAAGAAGAAAAGAGAGAAGAAAAATGGGAGGAAGAAGAAGAAGAAGAGGAAGAGGAGGGAAAACAAGAAGAAAAGGACAAGTTCAATTGCCGATTGCAATAAGTAGCAATTGGGGAGATGTGGTGTGGAGCAGTGGTGTCAATGGCAGTGATGGTCTTGGGAGGCCAGGGCCGTGGGGAGACAGGGACATGGGAACCGGTGGATTGATTGGCAAACGTGGACGCTTGGATTGCGGCTCATCATACCCATCACCACTTGGGCCCCTGCCTGATCAATAACCCACGAACTTTTTTTTTTGCTCCTTTGGTGGTAAATGAAGAGATACCATCTTTCGTTTCAATTCTTAGAAACCATGGCGGTGCCCTCCTTCACCACCATGGCCTTTCCGCGCAGGCCTGCCAGACCACCTGCCAGAGCTCCCTTGTGAGACCACCCCCTTCCAATGCTAGGAATTGCGACATTTCTTGGACTTGGACTTGGACTTGCAGGCCCCTGTTCTGCGTCTTCTTCCTCTTCTTCTTCTTCTGCAGCTTTATCGACAGCACTCACCTCAGTAGAGTACAAAATAGCCTGGACTTGCTTCACCAGACCGTCATCATGGTTCTCAATTTCAGGGTCGGCCTCAACTGCCGATTGCAGCAGGAGCTCAATGTCGCGGAGCTTGCTGAAATAGAAATCCCGCTCACGCTCAAGTCCGACGACCGTCTCCTTGAGCGTATTGTTCTCTTGCGTCAGCGCAACCGTTTGAGCCGAAGAGGCAGCTGGTCGGGCAGCTCGTGCGGCGCCAGCCGTGGGCGTCGAGCCGCGCGGGGCACGAGTAGCGGCCGCCGAGTTGACAGACCGGGTCGCTGCCGTGGTAGGCGGCGCGCCAGATCCCTTTCTCCGCGCAACCGGATCGTATTCTCCGCCGTGGTAGTACTGGTCCCAGAACCTCTTCGTCCATTGGAGGAATTCGAGATTATCCTGCATCTTGCACTTGACCAGAGCTTGCACGGGGACGGGTCGGTCGACTTGGTGCTTGGTGAAGGTATCTAGCGTAGGGGTTCAGATCAGCAATGTTCACCGAGACTAGTATGTATAGCAAATCCGCAGAGAGTTCAGAGACAAACTCAAGAAGAGAAATTGCGGGGGCGGGGTAGGTAGCTTACTCTGCAGGACCTTGAAGTTTTGTATGTAGGCATATTCGGTGTTGACGTTGAATTTGACCTTTGTCATGGGAACATCCACTGTATGAGAATGCTTGTCAGTCATTCGACTCTTCTGCCTACTGGCTTGGTCGAGATGGTATAGGAATTGGCAATGAGGGAAGACGTACGGAAGATGCTGTCGTAGATCTGGCATAGCGGAGCTCTAGAAGATGACCAGCACGTCAGCTCTGTCTGCAGGTCTTGACTTGCGTCGTTCTCCAACTTTCTTTCGCGTTGCCGACATTCGTGTTGACAACTGGTGGCCACTGCCGGAAGAGCGTGTCCAAGGGTGGAAATCTCGAACGTACCCTGTTCCGCATTGCTCAATCTTTGTCAGGTTCAACTGCAGCAGGCCATTCATCCATGCGAGCAGTTCTTGTCTGTAGCGCAAGTCTCGTCAGCACGGCCTCAATTCCTAGTTCCCCGACACAGCTATGCTGAGGGTAGGTTCACAGATCCAGACTGTCTCCATGCGGCGGCCCTAGATAAGAGACAGGGGCCCCGCCAAGAGCTGCAGATGTCGGTGCTCCAAAATGCAAGGAGAGGAGCTTAACAGACCTTGATTCACCCATTTCGTCTAGCTTTCGCAGAACGCGCGGGACGTGATGGACAGTTTCGGGAGAAAAGGAGCGAGATAGGCAGGTCAAAACAAACTAGAGCCGGGCCGCGAGGGTGCAAAGCTTCAAAAGCTCAAGCAACCACTGATAAGGAACAATGAGGGGTTCAAATGTCGAAATGAAGACACGAGGAGTGTGAAAAATGTGGGGGGGGAGGGGGGGGTAGAGGTAGGAGCACAGAGGATCTCCAACGCTAAATTTCACACGAATGCAGAGATGTTATGTTTGTTTCGGTGATGTTCCTGAACGGCACGGCGGAGTAGGAGAGCAACACGTAAATCGAACAAATAATAATTCGCGCTAAAACCCAACAGCCCACCCTTTGGCGAGACACACGAAAGAAAAACAACCCACACAACTTGGCCCATGACAACGGCCGTCAATAATAGAGGTGCATCATCGTCATTACTCTGTCCACCAGCTAAAATTTACAATAACGTGAGGCTTTCATGCGGGGAAAGCTTTGTACGCTGACACATTCTTGTTCACTGTGCACTTCAGAAACTTCTCTAAAAGAAAGACTTTCATTCCATGCATATCGTAACCTTCATTGACGCCGCCCTTCTAATAAAAAAAATGGTGCAAAATTCTTCCAGGATGTCAGAGCAGTATCCTAAAAACAATGAAAATCTAAATGTGGATGCTCTATTAAAACAACTTTGGTTTCAAGATTAGAATCAGGAAAGAAGGAGAAGAAGAAAGGTGTAGATGACTGGAATGCATGCACTCCTATAATGAAACGTCTGCCCTCATCTCAAGTAGACTTTTCGTCCTCAACGCCATCCAAAGATAATACACTCGTAAAAGAGTTGGTGAAGAAGTAAATGAAGTCAAAGAAACAAAGTCTATGTGACGATGGATCATGGGGGGAAAATATAGTCAAGAGAAATAATTGTAAACAGTGGGCGGCTGTCCAGCAGCTCAGCCCTCGAGCATGTGGATATCATCCAGCTGATATCCAAAATCAAGTATTAGTGCACGACCATCTTGACTCGTGCTCACCACGCGGCGATAGTCGGACTTGGCGCAAAGCATCCAACTCGTCGTCCATCCAGGAAACGACACAATCAGTTCACCCGTGTCATAATCAAACACTCTGATGCTCATGTCGTAGCTCCCGGTGACGACCCGGCGATTGGCATTATCGAGATGCAGTGATCGCACCAGGCCGGTGTGTCCTCGCATCGTAGTAACAAGCTCACCGCTGTTGACGTCAAACTTGTAGATGACTTGATCATTGCCGCCAGCAAGCAGGTATCGCGAATCTTCGCTAAACTCGACGCATGCCAATCCACGCTCCAAACTCCGGAATTCTTTGATGCAGAGACCCGAGTCAAGGTTCCATAGTTTGGCATAACAATCTCCACTGGCACTGGCAACGAGGTTCCCGCGAAGCTGAACTGCATTGACAGGACCCCGATGACCAAGTAATCGCTTGAGCAGCTTGCCAGTGTGACGGTCCCACACACAGATTGTGCTGTCCTTGGAACAGCTGACAATGTATCGCTCGTCAAAACACACATCTAAAACGCCAGCCGTATGCTGTTGGAGACGTCGAATTGGCTTGTAGTCGTTTTGAATATCCCACACAATGCAAGTGGAATCGGAGGAGCCCGTAACGAGAATCCGATCATCAAATTGTAGACAGAGAATTGAAGCCTTGTGGTAATCGCTCGGGGTTGTGCGCACAGGGTTTACGTTGAAGAAAGCTTGGATTGATTGCGAGGAATTGTCGTCACCCCGCGTTTTCACGGTCAAGGGGCCGGGCTGAAGAGGCGACGGCGGTGCGTCAACGGCGGCTGACGGGACAGGTGCGCCAATGACCTTGGTACACTCAAAAGTGTGGATGTCCCAGACACGAAGCGTTTGGTCTCGCGAACCTGTGATAATTTTGTCCCTGCGATAGAAAGGTTAGAAATGGGAGTCTAGTTCCGTGCGAAGGGGTTGATCGAAACGTACTCATCAAACTGTACACAGTATAAGCTGTCGGTGTGACCATTCAGATATATGGCCGCGGCGGTGCCGCTCTGCCAACGTGTCTCCAACGCCCGGCGGACCTTGAACATGCGCTTCCAATCCTGATCCGGAACCACTTTGCCAATGCCCTCACCGCCAAAGCGACGATGGATCGAATTAAGTGTTTGATCTGCGGGCCTGCGCCTATACTCTCGGTGGAATACTTCTCTCCAAACGTGATGCGACCTTGCCGCTCGGCGCCACGCGTAGGAAACACGTTCAGCCCGTGCCAGGGAGCAAACATCCAGATATGATAAGATATGTGCCGATATCTCGGTGGGGAAATGAGCGAGGAGATCTAAAACGACGAAAATTAGTCATTGTCAATCGTTGAGACGAAAGTGCAACATAATCACCTTTGCGCGGTATTTCTGGACTTGGCTCCAGCAAATCATCCAGCGGGGACCGAAGATCGACACCAATGCCACTCTCCGAATCTCGTGTGAACATTGCCTCGTCCTGAAGGTACTCAGATTTGAGGAGAGCCACGCGGCCAAAGTTAAGTAATTCGTTCTGCGCAGCAGCGGCAGCTCGGGCAGCGGCTCCTCGCGAAGGATCGTAAGGAAGCTTGGGCGGCTCTGACCCATTTCCCGGAACCGGCGACGAATCTTGATTGACCAACGTTGAGGAGATAGACAGCGAGCTTCCCTCAAGGGTAGTGTCGAGTGACGGGCTAGCCAGAGACTTGCGTTGATGATGAGAGACGCTGCCAGCACGCTGTAACCTACCCGACCCTTTCGAATACGTCGTGTCATTCGATTCTGCGTCCTGAGGGGGATTATGACCAGTCAAAGGCAGATGGCGAGTTCTGACAGAGAGGGACGTTCGGCGAACAGCAGAGCGAAAGCTGCTGGCAAAGGAACTCAAAGTCGACGAACTCCTCCTTCGCGGCCGAGGGCCACTCAGGCAAACATTCCCAGATTCTTGGGTACCATCACCCCCATTGGGAGTTTGAGTCCCCTGAGAGCACATCCGAGACCAGGCGTTTCCAACAGCTGAATCGGCCAGCTCAGGCCAGGCGGCCAAATCGGAGGAAGCAGGCCTTGGTGGTGCATCGTGGCCGCTAACGGAGGATGACTTGGGCCTTCTGATGGATTTGAAGGACCATCGACGGCGCGTAGATCCTTCAGCAAAGTTTTCGTGAGAGGCCATACTGAGTTGCTTCGCTTTCCAATTCCAGTTTCACACCAGCGCTGATATTATGTGTCTACTCTCGTGAGGCGTAAATTGTGTGTCAGTTATGGTGCTCTAAGAAGCCATCCGTTGGTGAGACGGTTCAGCAGTGGCCGAATCACGTCTCAAAAATGTCTCTCTGTCGCGTTGTATGTGAAAGTCGAGGTCGCGCAGAAGAAAAAAACCCGGTGTAAAGAATCACGTCGACTCAAAGTCGGGCTCAGAAAGGGATGACGAAATGAAAGACGGCCGATAAGAATGCTCCTTTTCCTAATCCCACGGAAGCAAAAGAAGGGAAAAGGATCCCCTGGTTCCTTAAAGAAAATGGTTGACCAAGAAGAAAAAGGTGAGGGAGAAATTAACAATTATCGGTCTCAGACCGTAACAAGAAAGGGAAATTATTGGGATGATAAGCTGAAAGGACTCTAGACATTCGAGGGGCTGGAGAAGCTGAATGATGATTGGTCGACACGAATTACGAGTGGCTGAAAGGAGAAATTTCAACTCTATTGCCACTCCTCGGGGGCTAAACCCCTTTAGGCCGTTCCTCTTCCCCGGATCTCGGCGGGATTTTCTTAGCCATTTTCCCCAGAAAAGGAAGAACCAGGAGACGAGGAAAAGAATCTTCCCTGGCTCTCAGGGGTATCGGCGTCATGCCCTAAACTCTATTCCTTCGCAACAAATGAAAAGGTGATAAAAATTCTTTAGGGCTTTCTGTCGCTTTTGCGCGGGCCGATTCCTCACCTTTTTCTGCAGCCCGCTGGTCATCCCCGGGTCACTACGACGCAGTAAGTAAGCCGCCACTACCTCAATCTACGTCACTGTGTATCTCTGCCCAGTAATGAAACCCTTGAGTTCTTCAAGAAATCGAAGAGTAAAAATTGTCTTCATTAGGCCACTGATCAGCAAACCGAAGAAATCATTGAACGTGGATGCACTCAAATGATAAGACGTACCTACTGATTCGCAAACGGCCCACTTCTAGCTAGGAGTATTTGGCTCTATCGATGCATGAAACACCATAGTAACAGTAATGGTTCTGAATCTTAAATAGCAGTTGTATGACAAGTTCATTGGAAGGAGCGACACGAGCAAATGGTGAACGTCGTTCCAGACCCTAAGTAGGCAAACCGGTAATATGCTGTGTTGATAGACGATGTTCCCACAGCTAGGTTGGTTCGATCAACGTCAATCCTATATCATTAGCACATCCATTGACGAGCCTCGACACGTTCGAAAGTTGAACACGAAAAGACATGGAGAGCGCCAGAGATTCGAAAGGGCTTCAATCTGCCCCAACCATAATCATAAGTGTACCGCGCGGAAATAGAAAATATATGCTATGAATGATGGGCTTTGAACTGCTCACTAGCTACGATTTGCGGATGAGAAAACGAAATTGAAACAGGCCATATGTAAACAAACGAGAAGATGCCAGAAGGAAGATGGAATATCTCATTCATGAAAGGGAATAACTAGCCAATCCAACGCCATCGCTAGATGTCAAGAATGCTAAAAGAAAACCCCCCAGAAAGTAGGGAATAGATCGAGTATGTTCACGCATTGTTCATCGAATCTTATTAACGCGCTTCTTAGCAATATCAATCTTTCCTTGCAACCTGTAAAATAGAGATATTAGCTTTCATCCCTTTCCAAGAAGCGGCCTGTGAGGTACAACACTCTGTGATACAGTTGAAGCATAGGATATGATGATTGATGAGAAACAAATGCAACGGGGAAAATGAATCGCCAACAAACCTCGTAACGTCTTCATCAGTCTGCTGAAGCAGCTCATTCTGCAGGACTAATTCCTCGTTAATCGCACCACCCATTTCTCTGAGTCTTCTCACCACCGAGCCCAACTGCTCAACATCCTCGTCCTGCTCACGCATCATTTGCTGCTGAAGCTGTAAAACTCCAACATTATCCAGTTCTCTGGTTCGCTCAGTCTCCCGAGGACCACCGAGTACTCTGCGGCTGACTCCGCTGACACCCCCACCTCCCCCATTGCCATTAGTTGAAGCTACTGAAGGGGCGTCGGCGAACAGGCCAGCCTTATCCTGCGCCGTTGCGGCTGCGGCACCAGCCTGCGTACCTCCAACGACCGACGTCTTCGATGACGATGTAGCAAGGGCGTTTAATAGTTTCTCTAAACCCTCCTTCTCTTTGCGCGCAGAGGCAATTAGATCGCGGCGTCGACGGAGTTCGCCCTCACCGAGCGTGGCGTTGTCCCTTGCCCAGTTCCCAGAATTGCTGCTACCGCCGCTATTCAGAGTGTTGGTCGCTTCGGCGATGGTCCTCAAGGCGCGGTCTAGAGCACCGATCGTGGCTCCGGCAAGGACTAAACACCGTTTCGCTTGCGCGCTGGCTTCATGCTGCCCTTGTGCAGTAGTCGCGGCATCTCTCCGTGAAAGGTGGAATCGAGCATCATGTAGACATGTTTTGAGTTCTCGATGAGCATCGAGCCACAAAGCCGGATCTGTAATAGGCGGTGCATCGCCAACACCTGCAACATTTGAATGTGCGACATTACCGATACTCCCGTTTCGGCTGTTGCTGCCGCTGTTGCTTCCAGGGAGGTTCAGAAAGCTTCGCCAGGCCGAAGTATTTCGCCATCGACTATCTGAGTCAGGAGAGTTGATACTTTGTAGATAGTTTTCGAGACCACGCCGTCTTTCTTCTGTCAGAGCCGGGTTATTGGTTGTGCTGCTGAACCATGATTTACCCGGAAGCGCCGTGGGAGGAGCAGACCCGGCTTGAGAGATGAGAGCGTCATGTAGCTTCGTAAAATCTGAGTAGCGCTTTTGTAGTGTGAACGAGCGGAGGGGAAGGCGGCAGTGGATGTTATAGATCGTATATGGCTTCGAGGTTGCGGATGTCTGGGTATCGGGAATAGTCAGATCGATGACTGAAGCAGCCATATTGATGTTGTTGCCCTCAGATTCGAACGGAGACAGTAACTTCTAGTGTCAAAGGAAAACTATATGACTGATCAAGAAATTTCGAGCGAGATCATAATTTGGTTGCTTTGATGCTTGCTGTGGGAAGAGATAACATGCATGAACCAAGCAGGGACCCTGCAGGCATGGCGGTGAGCGTGTCCGCATCAAGCCCTTTCCGTTACAGGAAAGTCTTTCTTCAATGACGACAGACTCTGATATCAGTCGCATGTGGCCACCCCAAGTAAACAAAGATTCACATTCAAGCCCACCTGTCGTGGCGATGTACAATATTACCTAGCAACAATTTACAATTAAAAATAAAATTAATCATTCAAAAAACAAAAAAAATGAATTTAGCAATTCAACTAGTGCTCTTTCAATGACTACCAATCGCAACATCACCACTCTTCGTATACTCAACAACCCTCTGTCACCAATCTGGAGTACCAGGAACAATTACACATATCTTAGTGCCAACGCTCAAAGTCTGAAATTTGCACAAACGCTCACGGAAGTCTGGGCAGTATATGTCTCACTAATTTACATCAACTTTGGAAAGTGAAGTCTGCTTTGTCGATAAGAGAATAATGCTTTAGACGTCAAACAATAGCCTTGAGTGCTTCAGGAATTTAAACAGAGCATTAATCGAACCATGGGTGTCTACTGCGAAGCCTTCAGCCTCTGCCTATTTCCCAGTCTCCTTCCTCATTCCACTCCAAAGGTCCACGGTGTGCTGGAAAATTTATGAGTTGGTGTCAAGACGGAGGATTTATCTTGTCTTTCCCTGCAACCGGTTGGCAATATCGCTGACATAGCTATTAGTAGCGCCCTTTCCGTCGCTCAAATTGCCTTCGTTAATTGAGCCCGAATTATATAGGCGAAGTGCCTTATAGATACAGTCGGCAGTGTCCTTGTCTCCTTCTTGCTTCAAATTTCCCTTGTAATGCTCGGTCCCTGCCATGACCATTGATGTAATTTGAGGCTTTTATTTCAACGGCGTTTGGATCAGTAAAATTGAAATTACCATGTAACATTTGTTCGGAGTTCTGAGGCCTACCTGAGTCAAATTATGTTGCCCCGGGAATCCCAGACTTTCCATACACTGCATCAGCCCAGCAGTGCCGTGGTGGTCTTGATTGGTAGTGGTTCCGACACCAACATTGCCGGTACTTTCTTGCATGATGATGCAGAAAATGATTCGTTCTTCAACGCCGTGCTTTTTTGCTGCTTCATTAACGGCGTTCCAGATGCGGCCGACATCGTTTGCGCTGTCACCGGTTTGGAGCATCTCGGGCTTGTTAATGTTGAAGATTTCCTCAAAGTGCTTCCAGGTGTGCTTTGGAGGGAAATTGGAAGCTGGACCGGAGTAGCTAGTAAAAGGCATTGTGATATTGTTCCAATTATATCGTATAGAGGTAATTCAAAGGATGAAAACCACTTTTATTTGATGTCTAGTTTGAGTGCCCGACAAAATTTCTGAACGGACAAAACAACAGTATTTATACTGCCATGTTCTATCAATGTCCGCCTTCCAGAAGCAATGCGGCTCATCCTGATGCTGCGGCAAGCCGCAACACTTGCCAATGAGAGACATATGGAACATGATTATTGAAGAAACGAGGATCTTGGAAAAGGTAGAAGCTGAATCAAGCTGAAGAATGCCAAGACGTTGGCATACGATAGCCAACGTGAGCTGGAATCCATTTTGATCTGGGAAATTCGAGCTCCCATAATTGGCAAGAATAGCATGCGGACAGCCTTGTGTTCATATGGGCTGACCATGTACAACACAACTAGAATCAAGCGTCAGCCAAAGATGAAACGAAAGCTGGCTTTGCTCCAAATTTCACGCTTGAGAAAAGGGGCAGACAGGGCTTATAGCGTGGGGTCGACACACTGCCCAATGGCAACCTTGTATGTTGACATATCTGAAGATTGCCCAGCTTGTCACAGCCGCGATTTTTCAGCCTTGGCACGTGAGAAACGTGCCGACAGCACAAGTACCACAGAGCATTACTGCCTCAGAGTGTGCTTGGTCATTGAAGTCGGATGTGCATTGACAACTTTGGCAACAGATGCTTGTCATAATAACATGAACATAGCCCAAGCGATACGGCCCCCATAAGCGCGCTGACGAATGGTCAGCAACCGGGCTTCTCGAGATCCGAACTCATCAATTTCTCCAACGGATGACGGGCTCACCATTAATAGCCGAACCTTTTGGGTCATTGGGTCAAATCGTTGGTAATGCAAATCCTTCATAAAAACGCCCTGATGCTTTAGGATAAGTGTAATTAGCCTGGTCAAATGTCTCCGTGTCCCGTGTATTGATGACTGTTTCAAGCGGAAGTGCGACTGGTGGTCATGTGCAAGACTACACACTTGTAATACATTCCTTAATGAGAGTTATGATAAAGGAGACGCGTCCCGCGGAGGCTTATTTCATGGTTCTATCGGTCATATTGGTTGGCGAAGCTCTTAGCAAATTTACTGCGGAACATATCATCTCTGACGATTACCAAACAAATAAATAAATAAAAAGATAAAAAATGAAAATGAAAATGAAATAAAATAAAATAAAATAAAATAAAATCAAAATCAAAATGAGGAATTACTAAAGCATAGAAGATATAGAGTGGCTTTTTAATCTAATCTTTTCGGATTCAATCTCTTTGTGGGGACTATTCAATCCGAGACTCCTGTGGAGGAGGTTTATATATGTTGATGATAGTGGCAAGGCGCAGAACCTCCCCTTGGGAGACAGTACATAACTCCTGAAGCTCCACTTTGATTAGAGTGCTGGTGAAGACAATTCTAAAACGTTTTCAGCGTAGCCGTGTGTGGGGTTTCCCGTCGATGGTGGCATTCGGTTGGAGTCGTGACTGTCTCATTGGACAATCCAGGCTTCCCTTCCGATCGTCCGAAGAGCAACTAAAGGTCAGGATGCCATCATCAACCGAACTCCCCGAATCTTCTCCGAGCAATTTGTCAAAACAAGCAATTCAATTCGTATCTTCCAAGCAATTGCATGGGGAATGATGCCCCGACTAGCTGCTAAATAATCAGACCCTTTCTGATTGCCCAATTGCTATATATCTCTCCCGACGTAAGTCCCTTGTCGAGCACCTCTTTCTCTACGGTATTTCATTCAACCCGTCGTTCCCTCCTCCCCTCCTCTCCGCTTCCTCTCTTCCCTCTCTCTCTCCTGTCGTCATTCTCCCCTCTCCACTCTACCTTTCCATCTCTTGTGAATCCTTTCTCCTCCCGACAAGATGTCAGTTTCAGCGCTTCTCAAAAGCCGCGTGCGGCGACCTTCAATGCTGAGCAAGCTCGCAAAGGCTGAGGAGCTCATTGATCTGTTCCCGAATGGTGCTTACGTCGGCTGGTCCGGCTTCACTGGCGTCGGGTATCCCAAGTACGTAGTAAAGTTGTCCAATGGAATGTTGCATCAATTGGCACGATTGACACTTCTCGTCATTGCGGCTGTAACCCGAAATTTCCACATCTCAGACTGGCTCCAGCGCCCAGCTATGGTGACGCTATATGCTTGCTAACATTTGGATTCAGAAAAGTCCCAACTGCATTGGCAGATCATGTCGAGAAGAACAACCTTCAAGGACAGCTGAAATATGCTTTATTTGTCGGTGCCTCAGCTGGCGCCGAGACGGAAAACCGATGGGCCAACCTGAATATGATTGAGCGGCGCAGTCCGCACCAAGTTGGCAAAGCCATTGCCAGTGGCATCAACAATGATCGGATTCGGTTCTTTGACAAGCACCTTAGCATGTTTCCGACCGATTTAGTCTACGTATGTGCTCAATGCCACGCCAAAACAGCCGAATCATGCCCGTCATTTTATTTGGCCAATGTCATAGCTGCTATTTCAGAGTATAGCTGACAATAAAATTGCAGGGCTGGTACACAAAAGACAAGCCAAACAACAAGCTAGATGTGGTAATTGTCGAGGCCACCGCAATCACTGAAGATGGCGGCATTATTCCTGGAGCGTCCGTGGGCGCATCACCCGAACTGATCCAAATGGCCGACAAGGTGTGTTTTCCCATTCCCCCCATCTTCTCCTTTGCTTTGCTCTAATCAAGTCGATAATGGTTAGATTATCATTGAAGTCAACACGCAAATGCCCTCCTTTGAAGGCCTTCACGACATCACTTTGACCGACCTACCCCCTCGTCGCAAGCCATACCTGATCATGGCGCCAGAGGACCGCATCGGCACGCCTCATATCCCCGTGGACCCCGAGAAAGTCGTTGCCATTGTGGAATCCAATTCACCAGATCAGACACAGCCCGTGACACCCGAAGATGAAGCGTCGAAAGCGATTGCCTCCAACCTGATTGAATTCCTCCAACACGAGGTTGACCACGGACGTCTGCCGAAGAGCCTCCTTCCTATCCAATCCGGCATCGGTAACATTGCCAACGCCGTGGTTGGAGGACTTGCGCACGGCAAGCAGTTCCACAATCTCAAAGTCTGGACCGAAGTGCTCCAGGATTCGTTCCTCGACCTGTTCGACAGCGGTCACTTGGACTTTGCAACGGCAACCTCGATCCGGTTGTCCCCCGACGGCTTCAAGCGATTCTACGACAACTGGGAACGCTACGCAGGCAAGCTCTTGCTGCGCTCGCAGCAGGTCTCTAACAACCCCGAAATCATCAAGCGCCTTGGTGTCATTGGCATGAACACTCCCGTCGAGGTGGACATGTATGCCCACGCCAACAGCACCTGCGTCATGGGCTCGCGGATGCTGAACGGCATTGGCGGTTCCGCAGATTTCCTCCGTAGCTCGAAATACAGCATCATGCATACCCCCAGTGTGCGGCCGACTAAGACGGATCCCACAGGCGTCAGCTGTATCGTGCCCATGTGCACTCATGTAGACCAGACAGAGCACGACTTGGACGTCATTGTGACTGAGCAGGTATATCTCTTCTCCGGCCCTGGAACCTCCCTGAAATCCTCTTCTTTGTTTCCCCTCCCCCAAGGGGAACACCTAGCATGATATGTCCCGGATAACTACACAAATCTTCTATCTATTCAAAAATATAATAGCTAACACACGCGCATCAGGGTCTCGCCGACGTCCGCGGCCTTTCGCCCCGCGAGCGCGCTCGTGTCATTATCAAGAAATGCGCTCACCCCGACTACCAGCCCATTCTGACCGACTATCTCGACCGCGCCGAGCACTACTGTCTCAAGAAGGGATGGGGCCACGAGCCGCATCTCTTGTGGCAATCTTTCAAGATGCATCAAAACCTGGATCAAAAGGGAACCATGAAGATTGACAGCTGGGAGTAAACACGTTCTGTCCACAGTCCTTGAAAAAAGATTTCTATCTTTGAAAGCTTAAAAGGTTGTCGAATAAACGTACCTTACCTTATATTTAGTCGCATTTTTTTTTTCCGTTTACCCCCTTTTTCCCTCTCCTAGTTACGGGGGAGCATTTGTAACGCGATGGGTAAACAATCGGAGTTTTGATACAGAAAGTTATAAAAGATTTTAGTGTCATGGCCAACAGAACACAAGAGTTTATAAACATTAATATACTACCTATATATCATCTGAAGTCTGTGAAGTCGGTTTCAGCAGTACAATGCACGCACGCAATGACAATGCTTATATACATTATCCAGACACTCCCATTCAATGCCTATAATTTCAGGAGCAGACAAAGTAAGACAGAAACTTTTAAGCGCAAGTGAAATCACAAAAAGATGAAAAATGCGCCGGTGATTCTTTTCCCATACAAAAAGCAAGGACCCTATGCAGCAATGGACAGACGGATTCGTCAAACGAAAACGAGGAACGGAAACAGAAGAGAAAAAAAAAATACAAAAAAAAAAACAAAAAAAAAACGCCAATAGTGCTACTCGCTTTTTCCGGCACCGCCTCACTTTCTCCTCTTTCCACCACCGCCGCCGCCACCATCCTCTCCACCAGCCTGATGGCGTCTCTTTTTGCCTTCTTTGCGCCAGTAATCGTCTCGTTCACGCTTTTCGCGCTCGCCGCGCTTTTCCTCATTCTCTGCGACCTTTTTGCGGTATACCTTTCTGCGCTCCTCCTGCGCGGCATGGCGCTTGGCAATCTTGTCGTTGCGCAGGGTCATGAGTTTCTGCATGAGGTCGCGGGCGCGTTTCTCTTCGCCGCCGAGCACGACGGCGCGTTTCTGGAGGTAGGTGTCTTTCTTCTGGGGCGCCATTTGGGCGATTTGCGACTTGAATGGCAAGTCGGCGGCGAGTTGGCGAGGGACGCGGAGCGGGTTGAAGTGGCGGGCTTGACGCTCGATGGGCTGGAATTTAAGTTAGCACTTAGCGCTTGGAGCAAAGAAATAAAAACAAAAGAAGGAAGGGGAAAACGTACTCTATACGCCGAGTTCTTCTCCAAGGGCGTCTCGATGCCTTCATCACGACGGACCTGGCCAGTCAAGCGCATGCCTTTCCATCCTTCGCCGTCATCCTTTTGGTCGCGGGACGAGACGGCGGTGTCGAGGAGGTTCGTGACGGGGTTATAGAAGCGGTGCGGACGCACGGGGTACCAGGCGCGGAGGAAGACAATGTCGCTCATGAGAATCTTGTCTTCAAAAGTCGCGCGGAAGTTACCCTCTGGTTTGCTGAGGGCGCGCTTGATCTGGCCTCGCACGCCGGAGACTGTGCGGATGCTTGCGCCTTCGAATTTGGCGATTTCAAGTGCGGTACTAAACATGTCTTTGATGAAGGCGGTGTTGCGGTAGATCTTGTACGGGTGACCGGTGAGTTTGAGTTTCTTGACGATTTCCGTGTTCTCGTCGACGCTTAGGACGACACCTGTAGCGGCAATGCGGAATCCGGGATTTTTATTCGAGAAGGACTGCACGCATGTGAAACCCGTGTTGGGGGCGATCAGAGGACCGTAAAAGGTTCCAAAACAATGCATGTGCTCTGGAGTATACTTGAGCATGCGGTTGCGCGTGCGCGAGTCGGAGATGCTGTAGATGGGGAGAGTTTGGAAGCGGCGCCATCCCAGAGAGAAGATCAACGGGTCGCCGCTCTTGAGAATCTTCTTGTGCCATCGGTGCCGCTTGATGCGGATCTGGACGAAGCCAAATCGGTCTTCGGTCGGGGTCAGGCCGCCAATGATGAGAGGTATGCGCGGGTTGAAGTTGTTGGAGAATTCGCAGGGGACTTGCTCGAGCACGATCCGCGCATATGTGCCTGCTCGGTAACCTTCGGCGCGAACGCGAGAGTGGGGGTCGAGTTGCTCGAATTCGGCGCGGTTCACGTCCAGCTGTTTTTGGATTTTGGCCTTTTGCGCGTCGTACCATTCGTCTTCGCCGAACTCGTCGCCATCGCCACCACCGCGTCGCTCGTCCGCCTTGTCGTTGGCAAAGCCCTCGCGGTCTTCTTCTTCAAAGCGCAGCCGGAGCTCCTCTTTGCGCCGAGCATTGCGCTCTCGTTCAGCTTCAAGGGACTCGGCTTCGCCGCCCGTGGGGGAACCCTCGGACGCATCGTCACCATCGTCTTCATTTGGAGTTGTTTTGTGGACTTCGCCGGTTTCCAGATCTTCGAATTCTCCATCACCCTCATCGTCGTCCTCGTCACTCAGTCCGGAGAAACCTTCACCGTCTTCGTCCTCATCCTCGTCATCCTCGTAATCGCTTCCACCCCGCGCACGCTTTTCTTTGAGCAAGTCGGCTGAAGCAAAGCGCCGGCGCAATGCCTCAATGTTCTCCGCGTTGCTCCATTTCTCTTGAAGTGCGTCGTAGTCGTACTTGGGCACGGCGCGGTCCTCGAGCGACTCGCCCTCGCCAGAGTTGTCTGCCTTCTTGAAGAAGTCGTCATCGTCTTCGTCTTGCGAAGCGTCCTCGTCCTCGTCAGCGTCGGCACCGCTCCATCGACGGAGCACTTCGGCCGGTGTGAGCGAGTCGTCATACATCATGCGCACAAGGTCTGTGGTGCGGAACCGAGGTTTGGTGCGATGAAGTTTCTTTGCATTCTCAGCGAGGTTCTCCTTCCAGCGGAGGTCACCCGTATCTTCTTCATCTTCCTCATCATCATAGTCTTCCTCATCGTCAAGCTCTTGATCCTCGATGGAAGATACTGAACCGAGATCTGAATCACTGTCCGCGAATGCAACCTCATTCTCATCGCCATTTGTGTCTTCCTCCGCATCAGAGCGGAAGCTGCGCCCTAATCGGCCAGATGGAACGCCTTCACTCTCAATGTATCCGTTGTCGTCTTCATATTCATCCTCGTTGCCGCCACTCACGAATCCTTCATCCTCGTCTTCTTCATCTTCATCGAAATCATCCATATTCTCATCACCCTCATCCCGCGCCGCAAGCCGGGCAGTTCGTTGCTTTTTACGCCCAGTGTCGTCTTCCTCGGCAACTTCGGCTTTGCTCATGGATTGACCATTGCCGAACAATCGAATCCCAGTGTCGGCTTCTCCAAGCAATTTCCTCTCTCCCTGTAGATCCACAACCATTTGCTCTCCAAAGCCTCGGTTGCCTTCGTCTTCCTCGGCATCCTTCTCAAAGTTGGAAGTTTTGACGTCAATGTAAACCGCGTCCTTGTCTACAAGTACACCACCGACGTCTGACATGGGTGCAAAAAGAAGCTTCTGCTTCTCTCCCAATTTGCGTCTGCCACCCTTGCCAGTGGCCTTTGCGACTGCCTGATCCATAAACGGCGTGGGGCAGGGGTCCGGCAGCGCTTCAATCGACCCAACACTCAGGTCGCCAACACCGGGAACATGCACCCTCGCGCCCTGAGCCGGGAAATTTGTTCCTCGCAAGTATCCGTAGAGCGCAATTGTTCTGTCACATTTCGGGTTCTCCTCCATGGCGGTGGGCGGCGTGACGTCCAGGAAGCGGTCTGCGAGACAGTAAGGATGTGAGTTTCGCCAAATGAGTGGTCGAGGATTCTTCATGACGGAGATGAACCGGGATAAGTTGTGAATTTCTCGATCGGGATATCGTCCGTTGATGACACCAGAAAGGTAAAAGAGCTTAGCGCCCTGGTAAAGTTCGCTCCAGAAACGATGCTTGAGGCGCTTCTTCGCAGCGGCCAGAGTGCTCTGCTTCTTGAACAAGTCGAGATGCGTCAAGATACCAAACACATTACCCGGCATACCACTTGACGATAGCACGTTGAGAAACTCCATAGTCTCCATTTCAAATCCAAAGTTGCCATCAATCATGAGAAGAACAATGTCGCAAATCTTGGAGATGTCAATCATGGCAGCGAGCGAGTCGGCAGGGCATTCTATGAATGTCAATCGTCGCCGCTTCGAAGTCACAACGGTGAGCGGGCCGGTGGGTGTCGAGAGGGTGTGCTTCGTGTAGCGCTTGATCAGAGACTTGATCAACGTAGACTTGCCAACCTATAGCAAATCAAATTAGCATTTTCAATTGAAGCGTTTCGAAATAGCTTTGCAATGGAATATTATTACCCCCGATGGTCCGACAACAGCAACGACAATGGGTGGTGCCTCCTCCGGGAGACGGTCCACGAGCGGGACGTGAAGCTTCTTCTCTTTGACCTGTGCCGTGTCAGTATTTTATAATCCCTTTTTCATCCTTCATATAATGCTAATCATACATCATGAGATCGAGCAGCCTGCTTCTGTAGCTTTCCGGGGTTGGCATAGGCAAAGGCCTTTGGGTTTTGTTGCCCTTCGCAAGTTAGCCACGCCCGCATATTTTCCGGAAGTGTATTGCAACTCGGGTCTATTCTTACCAGACTGTTGAGGCTGCTTCTTGTCCTTGGATTTGGACTTGCGATGAGGACGATTCGCCTGGTCCTCCATGATTGCGGGTGGAGCAGCGCTTCTGCTTCTTCTTCCCCTTGAGCGGCGTTGTTCACCTATACAGGTCTCGTGCACAGCGAAACTTTCCTACGGGAAGATTTTTGGGAAACAAGTGAGATCGGCATAAACATATTCCGGGCCGAGTTACTAACTGTTTTGGATGAAAGAATATGTACTAGCATCTATAGAGTTAGATCAAATCTCAAACCGACTAGTCCGTATTGGGGATTAGGTGCTGGACACCAAAGTTGTGTCATCGAGGGGCTGATGATGGTGACGACGCTTATCACTTATCAACCTGTCTGCCTTGGCAATTACTCCCCCCAACACCTAATTCTGCCGTATTTAACCCCTCTCACGCAGCATCGTTTTCACAAATAAACAACTGTCAATATTCTATTCAAATCTCTCAAAAACTCAAAGTACAAGTTTTTATATCTTTTCAGAAACCAAGTCAAAATGCCTAACGTGAACGTGAGCAAGAGCCATCTCCTCCTTGTCATCCCCGCCTTTCCTCTCCATCTTCAGCTCGAGATTACTCTCTGTTTGATCTGCGCCCCACATCCCTGCTCCATATGTTTCGTGCTATTCAAAGTCTAAAATCATATGCTCTGCGTTTCTTCTCGAAATTACTTCAAAAATACTGACCTAGATATTTCCATGATAGGTGACTCTCAAAGAGAACGCCAGCCCCGAGGAACTTGCCAAGTAAGTCATGTCCTTTTGACCCCATCTTTCAGGCCGTAAGTTTCGGACGAATGCCCAAATCGATAACTAACAACATCCACTTTACAGCGCCAAGAAAGTTGTCCAGGAACAAGGCGGCGAAATCATCAATGAATTCAAACTGATCAAGGGATTCACGTAAGTCTATTTTTGTCGTGTGACCTCTCATAGCACTTGCCCCCAGTCCTAAATTCCTATATAAATTGACCCAGGAAAATCTAACAAATGTGGAAATAAATAGCGCCAGCTTCCCCGCTGACAAAGTCTCTATTCTGGAATCCAACGAACACATTCATGTCGAGCCAGACGCGGAGGTTAAGACTCAGTAAATTCGTGGCTTCAGGCGTCGGATTACCAGATCCTGGACTCGTGCGAAGCATGGCTTAAGAAGAAGGGGAATTGCCAACATTTCATCTCTTTATGAAGTTACGCTATTGCATGGATACCCATCTAGCTCCCCCAATCGCATATATACTATGTCATGAATCAATGATTATAAATGCTTCAATATATTATACTAGTGCCAATTATTGACTGAAGGAGCCTTGGTTTGAAACCACAACCCAAATGCCTGCATTAATACCTTTTGTCGGAGAAAGGAAAATATAGATAATTGAATGCTATTTCAATACCATTTTGCACAATATAATAAAGTGTCTTTCTCCCATCCACAATACAACAGCAGATACGCAGGGGCCTAATTTTAAATAAATTAAATGGTATGCTTGTAAGAATTGGTGAAAACGTGCTTGTGGTGTAGTAAAGAGTCAGAAACGCCGTATTAATGCTCGCAGAAAGGAACTGGATGGTAAAATGGTCAAGGATTCAAGCAAGAAGAAGGAGTCCATAGTGTGCAACGGAATATATACCCTTTCAAAGAATGGGGTCACGGCTAAACATTAAATCCAAGGTACAATCACATATTTGCAAGCTCCGTATCAATTTGTCGATCGAGGAACGCGCGACGATCGGCACTGAGTTCAGTTTGCAATCTTTGCTCAACAAGAGCTCGAACTGCAAGGGGGAAAATAAACGTCAGCTAAATCACAATCGGATAACTGTTACCATGAGATGATTATTAACTCACCCTGTTTCTTTGTGACGGTATCGAGATCCACCTCTGCCAAGCAAGCGCGGACTGCATCAGCAATAGCAAAATCGTCTGGGCCGTTGCGAGCATTCTGAAAACCAAAGGTGCTCGTTGGTCTACTCTGGAAACCAAGCGGACTGCGACTCGGTCCTGGCGGCGGGGTGGACTGGAAACCAGCCAACTGATCGGTGCTGCGGATGCGGGGCGAAAGCTGGCCATGGCCATAAGGGTTATCTTGATACGCATCGCTCATATTGCCCATGGACATGAGACGCTGGTTCTGACCCAATTGATTATCACCGCCAAGGCGGGAAAAGTTGGAATAACTCGACTGCCGATGAGCCGCAAAGGGCGCAGGTGACGGAGGTGCCATGTACGCCGGGTTGTGATTGGGAAAGCCTGTGAGAATGGTGGATGCAGGCTTGACGGAAGAGTACATGGACTGCATGTCATCCATTTCATAGGCATTGTCATCATAGCTACCGTACGGGCCCTTCTCGTACACAGGAGCCATCACGTTGCGTCTGCCAGGCAGATTGTTGGCAGTGGCGTAGTCGTCCCAGCGTTGAAGTGGAATGCTACGAGGATCAAACTTCTCCTCTTCGACGGCGACGATTTGCTTGTTGCCCTTTTCTCCTATGACGATACGTGTACTACCCCACGAGAAGTCGTCTTGCTTCCAGAACGAGTAGAGCGGAAGAACGACTGAATAGATGGGGAAAGCAAGCATGTAGATAAGCATCCACCCAACGTGCTGCCACTGTCGCTTAATTATGAAGATGATTGCTTGTAGACCATAGACACCAGCAATCATAATGATTGTGATGACGGGAAACGCTCCCGTATGTGTACCAAGCCGGTAAAAGAGGAAGATCAGGTAACCGCAAGTGGAAGGAAGGATGATAGTACCAAAGAGATCCAAAAAGACAACGAAGCGCATACTGAAACAGCAGAAGCCACATAGATCTTTTAGGAAGACCAATTCAGCCAGGTTGTGAATAGTCGAATTGATCCAACGACGTCTTTGCGAGAGCAGCACACCCCAGGCATCTGGGGCAGCTGTCGCGGCATGAGCTCCTGGAACAAATTTAAAAGACATTTGCGGAAAGTACTTTGTCATCAACGTCGTCAGATATCGGTCTTCACCTAGAGATAACAAATTCTTTTTGTGCAGCGTGTCAACATTATTGTCGCTGTAATCTTCAATGACTTTGTCTGAGATGATGAGTGGTCGTCCTTTGTCAGCTGTACGGATGCGGTACATGCAGAAACTATAACACATGGTTAGTTTTATTTCAGCTCATTTTCACTGCACCGAAAAAAAAGCAAAAAAAAAAAAAAGAAAAAGATCTTGAAGTAGACTTACCATCCAGGTAAACAAGTGACACTTCCAAACAAGCTTTCAAACGATTTTGCCAAATGATGCGAGATGAAGTATTCGTATACTTGAATCATGGTCGTCCAGCTTTGCTCTTCATTTTGCAAACTCGTTTCACCGCAAATTCCGGCAATCTTATTATCGTTGGCACAGGCAGCGACTAGCCGATTGAGCGAGTCTTCCTTTAAACTCGTGTCAGCATCGACCATGAGCAAGTACTCGTACAACTCTGGATCCACGCCAATGATGTTGTTGATCTGATGAAACATTTCCAACTCGAGCGGAGACATTGGTGAACGATGATGGACGCGGTTTAGGAAGCTCATCAACAAAATTTGAGAGTCTCGTTTGCCACGGTTACCGGGTTTGGACTTGTTCTGTTCCGATTCTTTGCCGACCTTGACCACCACCATATAAGGAACGACATTGCCTTCGCATTCGTAGAGACCTGAATAGACCTTTCCATAGTTGAGTTGATCGCTACCTTGACCGACGGACTTGAACGGCAGCGCTGGCGGGTCGATCTTGGGATCAACACCCAGAATGTCAAGGACAATCTTTGGAGTTGGTCTATCGTTGCCGCCACCAACAATCATACCATCACAAATGACGCAAATGAGCTTCCTCTTGTTATCATATTGCAAGGCTGTCAGAGAATCCAGACCCTTTCGCAACTCATCCTCGCCTTCCGTGTATGCTGGCACTTGACAGATGACGAATTTGTCCTGGGGAGCCGGCCGTTTCTTGGAGCCGAGCTGCAAAGCAGCCAAGAATTTGACCACAATGACGGAACACATAATGGCGGCAAATCCAACAAGAATCCAGCCGTTGACCTGACATCTCGCAGAGTTTCTAAAATCTGGTTTGCCGGCGTAAAAGGCGTTGTTGAGGCATCGAAGATTTTCTCTGCTAGCAGTATCATTTAAGCTATTCGCCCACTGGTCCGAAATATCAGTGCCAGGATTGTTCGAGACCATGGTCTCGACTTGTGGATCAAGAAAACTATATGACGCGAGATTGTCCATCATTTTCTTGGTGTAGAAGTAATTGGTCAAGTCGTAAATATTACCGTTCAGAATGAACCACATGTGGTTATTATTTTGGCCGTCATTGTAAACCTTCTTCTTTTCCACAACCAATTCGCCCTTGTAGTAGTCGGTGATCCTTGGAATAAACTTGTACTTGTACCAAGTCATATCGTGGAGAGCCGTCTTCGGATTCGGTTGCTGATAAGGTCCCGAACTGTGCTTGGCGTTCGGATACAAGATGGTGTTGTTCGGCTGGAGCACGATGCTGGTATCTGTGACAAGATTTGGACACGCCACGGTCAGAGGAGGAGGGAAATAGTCATCCATATTCATGCCTTTGAAGGGGTCCATATTGTCCTTGGTAGTCTCGATAGCGGTATCACTGTGCTGCAACTTCCAGAATTTGGAGATGTCGTAGACTTTTCCATGGATGCTCACGTAAAAGTCGTTATCTCCCGTGTGGGTTGATACCTCCTTTGCATTCCACACCTTGTCGTAAGTCGGGCACAGCAGCCTTCCAAACTCGATAATCCAAAATAGCACGACGCCGTTGAAAAAGAGGATGATGTACATCAGCACGAGCTTTTCTCGCCATGCCATACGCACATCCGGCCGCTTCATCCGACCGATAAAGCGCAAAGCAAATGAAGGGATGAAAAAAGTGCAAGCCCAAACCGCTGCCACCCAGATCCTTCTTCCTGTGGAGATTGGCTGTGAGGTAACAACCTTGGATTCTGCGAGCTCGGGATCGAGCTCTCCCGTGTATTCACCAACCACGGGATTATAGTATCGATCGTCATTCCGTGGGTCATCACCCTTTTTTCCAAGACCATAGTCGCCACCGGTCACCGTATTGACTGTGCGGGCCAAAGTGGGAGCGATGGAGCGAGCGGCACCGGCGGGTGGTTGCTGGAGGAGATTGTCTCGACTTCCCTCTGGCGTCAAGTTGGTGCCAAAGAAGCCGCTGCCGTTCAAACCAGGGCCAGTGGTAGAGTAGCCACTTTCAAGACCACCGGCACCTACCATGCCACCGAGCATGCCGCCAAGCGCCGGAATAGACGGACGAGACATCATTGCTTCGGCCTGCTTGAGGTCGAGCATCGTCTCGGCCTCCCACCACGGGCCTTCATGAATCCAGACCCGCTCGTGGCCAATGACCACCTCACCGTTACTCCATCCGCGCTCCAAGACCCAGCTTTCCACACCGTCCTTGCCCTCTTTGCAACCAAGAGGGGCATATCGACTGTGAAATTCGTCAAAGTCAAAGTCGGCCGTAAAATCGAGGGCTCTACTGCGCCGATTCACCCATTCTGGCAGCCGCCAAGCACGGAGCTGCCTAGAGACCGTTCCTGCTGACCACGCCGAATTGGGTGCCGACAACCTGGCCAGATCCGAAGGGAGTTCATCCGTCGGGTGAAGCGCCAATTGATACCACGCTCGGCTCACGCTTATGGTGTGGGCAACGTCGACACGGTCTCGTTGGGTGACATTGAGACCTTGATCGCCTGCAGCAAAAAGAGCCGTCTTCAAAAAGCTATCCGCATCGGCTTCGTGGCCCACTCTTTCCAGCACCGTTTCTCGTCGGTCACGCTCCTGCGACCGTTCTCGTCGAGCCGGGCCGTCGTTGAGGCCTAAATCTGCCTCTGCATCGGCCAGCGCGCCGCGCATCTCGCGTACGACAGACGATCCCGGGGCGTCCACTTCGATGCCGTCCTCTCTCATTTCGGCATTGATGCCTGCCGAATCGTCAAAGACACTTCGAAGCGCAATGGCCTTGCCTAACCTTTCGTCAGGGACATCAAGGACGGTGATGCAGACAGTATCGCCATTCTCGTCGTCAGTGCGAGGCGTTCCCCTGCCTACACCATCGGTTTCGCTATCGGAACTGGATTCGGCGTCGTCCATTTCCCGAATCTTGTCCGCGATGGCCTTGTTGGCCCTGGAGATGACCCAGTCGACCAGAGACTCGTACAGCCCGCTGATAAGGACGGCACGATCATCGGTGCTACAGCGTGTCATCAGGACCTCGGCATCGATGCCAAGCAAGCCGCTTACGTCCTCGCACACATCCTCAAGCACGTCTTCGTCGACCAAGAAGCCCAGCGTATCGCCGAGTTTGAGAAGGGCAGCCAGAACCGAGAGAACTTGTCGTAATTCTGCCCCTTTGATGCCAATCTGTCGTAGCCCAGAGCGGAAATCGTCGGCCGAGGCAGCGTCATCTGCGGTCGGAAGATACTGAGGCGGATTGTAGGTGCCCGATCTATTCAGAAGCGCATATTCGGAGGGGTGCTTTAGATTGAGGAATTCTTTCTCGGCCTGGGTCGAGACTGAAGCAAGTAGATAGTAGAAGACATCGAAGGCGCGGTGACCGGGTTCCGACGGAACATTAAGCAGACCGTTGTTGGTGTCTATGCCCGACTTGGACAATGCCAAAGAAGCGGCGGTGAGCGTGCCAGATAAGCTGATCGAGAACTTGACGGCGAGCGTTGAATGTCGTGGCGTTGAGGGATTGTAAGGTGTTACGCTATGTATAAAGGGTCGAAGGACCGCGAGAGCAGTGTATAAGATTGGAGGCGTCTCGAAGGGGAGCGAGGAGATGAACGGGGCTAGGAGAGATGGAGTTGCTCGATGAAGAGACCTGCACGTAATTGAATCAATGTTTGCTCTCTATGCCAGCTTTGCTGCTCTTCCAGAGCCGTGATAGACTTACGCCAATACCACACAACCGTCTTCTGCCCGTCTTCTTGCGTGTTCCCATGCTCGCTTTGCAAGGTCGCCGTCAACAATACCTCCAGGATTTCCTGCCGCGTCTGTTCTTGCGGCATGCAACCAAGTATTCACGACAGCGCTCGAGCTAGCATCGAGGGGGTAGGGTTGAGAGGAAGAGTAAATGGTGTGAATGGCATTCAAGACGGTAGATGTCGAGACTTGAGCGGCATACTGTCCGGCTGCTCGAGGGTTCGCCATCGCTGATGAGCCATTTGAAGGCGCCGCCGCATGCGAAGAAGGATTGCTCATATTTTCAATGGGCTAATCAGCTCGAACGACGAGTCTTCTGTTGTTATGTGTACGCTGCCGTCAGCAAGTCGGGCAAGCCAGTGCTTCCCGGACCGCGTTAATGGGACGGCAGAGAGAAAGCCACACGTAGTTCAGTCCAGCGTTGTAGAGTAGCCCTTGCACGTGGGTAGAATGTTTTCCCTTCGCTGAAGAGAGTCAGGGCAAGGAATGTGAAATTTCCCTATTAGGATGCCAGAAACGAGCGGGACTGCACTTGATGCACTTTTTCAGAGTCAAACGACTGTGGAGGAATTAAAAAGTGGAAATTAACGATTGAATGGAGAAGATAGAAGTCGACGCCATACACGGTCGTGACTGACGGATGGCAAGAAAGAGAATTGGGGGATAGAGGGGAGGAATTGGTGGATTGGATTTCCCGACGATGTTGGTGAGGCTCTCTCTCTCTCTCTCCGTGTCGCTCTCGCTGTCGCTCTCACATAGCAGAGAGTGTCTCGTGTATTGTTTTAGGGGCCATTGGCGGGACCCTGTTGGGCTAAGAGCAAAGCAAAAGTATCGGTACTTGCGTTCAAGTACAGGCCGGACCTTCTTAGCTCCGACCAACCAAGCCATGACCTCTTTCAGGGGTATCGGCCTCTTTGCATCGCCGCTCTAACAAGTTGACTGGCTCTTGGGAGACGTTGAACGCGTGTCACATGCAATACCGGGTGACCAATTTCTAAAAGCGGCGAGATATAATACCTAAAAGAGCGATAGGCGGGGCGAACGGGAGGTCGACCACGGTAGGCACGAGTCGTCCCAGAGAGGCAAAAGGGGTCAACAAAGCCACTGCCATCAGTTGCCATTCGGCGGGAGCGATGACTGCTAGACCCCAGGACCCGCATAGAAAATTTTAGCACCACCAACCCCCGTATGATGCGGTGGATAGATGATGCTATTTGTAGAAACAGCTCTAGAAGAAGGAAAGAAAGCCCGCTACAAGCGTAGGAAAATACGAGAAGTCTCAAGATCATTAACGAGAGCTGCATTGTACGCTACTACCGTACTGATTAATCTTGCCTTGTTTCAACTGAGAGATTGAAACATCTCTGCCATCGTGAGGATAAATTGTCATGTACCAAGACTGTTCGTTGGGTGGAAACATGGGAAGATATCGAGATGGGCCGAATAGAAATGACGACAAAGGATGATCAGATTATTCCGTCTGCTCCCTCACGACCACAGTAATGAATAATCCCAATTTTTCCATTGAATGGGATGTGCTGCACAATACTCCCGTACAGAGGGTAGTGAGATGGAGAAGGGGAAAAAAAAAGAGTGGGGGAGTTACCTTTAGTGCCATGCCAAAAGTCCCCCTTTTCGGGCTGACGGACAGGTACAGTACGAGGCACCTTGGGTTGAGGTACCGCTACTGCTGACTCCCCTGTCGTCCGTCTCGCCTCGCTCCGTCCCATGTTCTCTTGTGTGGATGGATGGATGAATGGATGAATGTGAGAAGAACGTCCACCGAACCCTTTTCCTCCCACCCAATATCATCACCGTTGGTGCCGACGTCCTATTTTCTTACAATCGAACCTTCGCTTTGCGACTTGGAGGGAGTCTTTCACATTCGTTTGATCATACGTGACCTCTCACATCCTCAATAATTTTTCTCTTTCCCACGTCTGTCCATTCTTGGGTTCTGTTCACCTTGGGACCCGACTTCGTTTGACGCGACCACATAACTGTACATTCCAGGGAAATATCTCTCTCCCAAAAAGGACTCCTTGGCTCCCCGCGTCGCCAATTGTACACGAGCAATAGCTTCGCACACTCAACTCCTCTCATGGGGCTTCCATAATCTCAAATCTATCGTGTTCGGGTTGCATTTCTGAACGACAATACCTGGGGGTGATAGACCAGCCCAGAGAGGGTGTGCCCTCAATCTTTTCCCACTCGCCCGCTCCGCCTCGAGGAGCTTTCTCCAGTATAATCTAGACGGCGAGAATTTACCATGGCGCACTCGACAAATCTGGGCTCCAATGGGGCTCATTCACAGGCTTCACTGCCGTCTCTTCCGGCCCATCTGCAGTCGGATACGCACTTGACCGCACACTTGGCCAGTCGCTTTCACCTGTCTTTACCTACGGCTCAGCTTTCGTCCCAAGCCTTGGTTGCGCTGAACACCTACACGTCGTCGACTCAGGGACCGGATGGCGGCCCCGAAGGTAGTGCTATGGGAGCCGCCGATGACTTGGCCCAGAGAATGTTTGCTCGCCTCGGTGCGAGGGGAGAAAACCAGGCTGCAGTCTTCCTGTAAGTGACTAAACAAACTTTATTCTGCTCCCAAGCATCGTGTTGATAATTGCTATAGCGGCGAGTCCGGGTCCGGAAAGACGACCATTCGTTCCCACCTGCTCACCTCACTCTTGGGCCTCTCTTCCACTCCACTTTCCACGAAGCTCTCCTTTGCCGCATTCCTCTTCGACACGCTCACTACAACCAAATCGGTCACGGCACCGACCGCGTCAAAGGCTGGTCTTTTCTTTGAATTGCAGTATGACACGGCCTCCTCCGTGCACCCAACCTTGATTGGAGGAAAACTCTTGGACCACCGATTGGAGCGCACCAGAATATCCAAAGTTCCTACGGGCGAACGCAGCTTTCATGTGCTTTACTACCTTCTTGCCGGCACGAGTCCGGCGGAAAAGACTCATTTGGGATTGGACAGCGGCTCAACGGGAGGCCCTGGCCACCGAGCGTCGCTCTCGAATCAGAAACGATGGCGGTACCTGGGCCACCCCACTCAGCTCCGCGTTGGCATCAACGATGAGGAGGGCTTTCAGCAGTTCAAGACGGCCTTGCGGAAATTGGAGTTTCCTCGCACCGAGATTGCCGAGATCTGTCAGGTTCTAGCCACCATCCTCCATATCGGACAGCTCGAGTTCACTGCTAGCCAGGCCACTACCCCGGCGCCCGATCAGAGTGGAGGTTATTCGCATGAAGGAGGAGAGACTGTGACGACCGTCAAGAACAAGGACGTTCTTGCAATCGTGGCGGCGTTCTTGGGGATTAGCACGTCCGACATGGAACAATGTTTCAGTTACAAGACCAAGACGCTGCACCGAGAGCGAGTCACGGTCATGCTGGATCCTCAGGGCGCACGAGAGAATGCGGATGAGCTGGCACGAACCCTTTACTCGCTTCTGGTCGCATACGTCATGGAGAGTATCAATCGTCGGCTTTGTGCGGAAGAAGAAACGGTTGCCAACACCATTTCTGTAGTCGATTTCCCAGGCTTTGCCCAAGCAACCTCAACTGGCTCCGTCCTCGACCAGTTGCTGAATAATGCTGCGGCGGAGTCACTTTACAACTTTTGCTTGCAAAGCTTCTTCGACCGCAAGGCAGAGCTCCTCGACAGTGAAGAGGTTGGCGTTGCGGCGACCAGCTACTTTGACAATTCCGATGCCGTAAAGGGTCTGCTCAAAGCCAATAATGGCTTGCTCTCTATCCTTGATGACCAAACTCGCCGCGGCAGGACTGATTACCAGTTTCTCGAAAGTATCCGCCGGAGATTCCACGACAGAAATCCCGCGATTTCTGTTGCTGCCGGTACGACCACATTGCCGGGAAGCAATTTTGCCTCTCGGAACGCGGCCGCGTCTTTCACCGTCAGGCATTTTGCCGGCGAGGTTGAGTACCCTGTCAATGGACTGTTGGAGCAGAATGGCGAAGTGATCTCGGGCGACTTGATGAACCTGATCGGCTCGACGAGGAGCGATTTTGTTCGCGCCCTTTTTGGCCAGGACGCGCTGAATGCCGTTCGTCACCCGCAGGAGAATGCCGCGATCATGCAAGCCTCTGTCAGCTCGAAACCAACGCGAATGCCCAGCATGGCGAGACGAAAGGCTGGGGCACCGGGCAGGACGGGTACCCAGCGCTCCGTAAGGGAGGATATATACGAGGAGAGCGTCGAGTTGAACGCTGCGAGCAGCATGACCTCAAAGTCGAAAAAGAGCCGGGACGCTCTCGCTTTTGGTGAACAATGTGCCGCAGCTCAATTCCTCTCGTCCATTCAGAATATTCAGCGATCTCTCACTTCCTTGAATACGAACCCATATTTCGTGTTTTGTCTAAAGCCAAACGATCGACGTATTGCCAATCAATTTGATAGCAAATGTGTGCGGACACAGATGCAGACCTTTGGCATCGCTGAGATTAGCCAACGCCTTCGAAGCGCAGACTTTTCCGTCTTTTTGCCTTATGGCGAATTTTTGGGACTTGCAGAGGCAGAGGCAGTCGTTGTTGGCAGCGAGAGAGAAAAGGTTGAAATGGTTCTCGACGATAAAAAATGGCCCGAGAATGAAGCACGTGTCGGAAGCACTGGGGTCTTTCTCAGTGAGCGCTGCTGGGCTGAGCTGGCACGAGTCGATCTCAAAGGCCTTGAAGCGAGCCGCTATCCTGGTCCTCAAATTGGTGAAGATGGTGGCGATGGTCTTTTGACCCCCCATGATGCCTATCGGGACAATTTTGGTGAATCCAAGGTTCACCTCATCTCTCCCCAAGGCACAAATTCGCCGTCTGGAGGAAGCCCCTTTGCCGATCATCCCGCTGGTGGTTACTTTGGAAGTCGAGATATTGATGCTCGATCTGATGCTGGCGCTTCAGCCTTCAACTCTGGCGACATGTTCCGTAACTTTGAGACCCGCGATCAAATGGCGGAGAAAGGCAACGAAAGAAATATGGAAGAGGTAGATGATGTTCCCACCTCTGGTAGTCGGAAGCGGTGGCTCTTCCTCGTCTACTGCGTGACGTTCTTTATTCCCAACTTTCTCATTCGGTGGGTGGGCCGAATGAAGCGGAAGGATGTGCAGCTCGCTTGGCGTGAAAAGTTTGCCATTAATCTCTTGATTTGGCTTTCTTGTGGCGGTGTTATCTTCTTCATCGGTAAGCTGTCGCGTTACCCCTGAGCACCCCTCATATCTTGCTTCCCCGAGGCGCTAGCTGCGTGCATAAGATGAATAATTGACGAGATATTAGTATTTTTCCCGGGTCTTCTTTGCCCAACCCAGCATGTGTATTCTGCCGCTGAGCTGACTTCTCACGATGGCAAACATGGTCACAATTCTTTTGCCGCTATTCGTGGGCAGGTGTTTGACCTTGGCGCTTTTATTCCTCAGCATTATCCCACAATCGTGCCCGGTTCGGCGTTGCAAAAATATGCCGGCCTTGATGCGACGAGTCTTTTCCCCGTGCAGGTGTCCGCGCTGTGCAAGGGTAAATATGGATCGATTGATCCTAGCGTTCAGTTGGATTATACGCCTACAAACGCGTCTGGTGTGGCAAACACCATCAGCACAACGGACACGAACTGGCGCTACCACGACTTCCGGTCATTTACTGACGACCCTCGTCCAGACTGGTTTTACGAACAGATGCTTTATCTCAAGGCCAACTACAAAAAGGGAGAGATCGGTTACACCCCTGAATACTTGAAGACTATGGCAAAGAAGCAAAAGTCCATTGCGATATTGAATGGCAACATCTACGATTTTACAACCTACCTTCAAGGGGGTCGACCCAACAAAGTCGCTCCTGGACAGACCGTTCCGAACACCCCCAACGCAGATCCCAACTTCATGAATCAGCTTGTCGTCAATCTTTTTCAGCAAAAGGCTGGTACTGATGTTACTGAATATTGGAACAAGCTGGACCTTGATGCCGAGACCCGGTTTAACATGCAACGGTGTCTAGACAATCTATTCTATGTTGGCAAGAAGGACACCAGAAACTCTGCCCGCTGTCAATTTGCGCAGTATTTTATTCTCGCTGTCTCAATTTTCATGGCTTCTGTTGTCGGATTCAAATTCTTTGCTGCTTTGCAGTTTACGAGAAAAAACTTTCCGGAAAACTTGGATAAATTTGTCATTTGTCAGGTTCCAGTTTATACGGAAGATGAAGACTCCCTTCGAAGAGCAATTGATTCGTGCGCTCGCATGCGATATGATGACAAGCGCAAATTGCTCGTCGTCATTTGCGACGGAATGATTATTGGTCAAGGCAACGACAGGCCGACTCCACGGATTGTCCTGGACATTTTGGGCGTCTCGGAATCAGTTGATCCTGAACCGCTCAGCTTTGAGAGTTTGGGCGAGGGTCAGAAGCAACACAACATGGGCAAGATTTATTCTGGACTCTACGAAGTGCAAGGTCACATTGTTCCATTCCTGGTCATTGTCAAGGTTGGAAAGCCTTCTGAGGTATCAAGACCTGGTAATCGTGGCAAGCGTGACTCTCAGATGGTTATGATGCGCTTCTTGAACCGAGTACACTATAATTTGCCCATGGCTCCAATGGAACTAGAAATGTACCATCAGGTTCGGAACATCATTGGAGTCAACCCGACATTCTACGAGTATATGCTTCAAATTGATGCCGATACCGTCGTGGCGCAGGACTCGGCAACTCGCATGGTCTCGGCCTTCCTCAACGACACTCGTTTGATTGGTGTTTGCGGTGAGACTGCCTTGAGCAACGCCAAATCTTCTTTTGTCACCATGTTGCAGGTCTACGAGTACTATATTTCTCACAACCTCATCAAGGCATTTGAGAGCTTATTCGGCTCGGTGACATGCTTGCCCGGTTGCTTCACCATGTATCGTATTCGAGCTGCAGAGAGTGGCAAGCCATTGTTTGTCAGCAAGGATATTGTCCAAGATTATTCCGAGATTCGCGTGGATACGCTTCACATGAAAAACCTTCTTCACCTCGGTGAGGATCGGTACCTTACTACCTTACTGCTCAAGTACCATCCGACATTTAAGACCAAGTTCATATTCAAAGCCAATGCATGGACTATTGCGCCAGACACCTGGGCCGTCTTTTTGTCGCAAAGACGTCGTTGGATCAATTCGACGGTGCATAACCTGGTCGAGCTCATCCCGTTACAACAACTGTGTGGTTTCTGCTGTTTCAGTATGCGATTTGTCGTGTTCCTCGATCTTCTCAGTACCCTTGTTCAGCCTGTCACTTGCGCCTACCTGATTTATCTCATTGCTCGCATCATCCAAAAACCGACCGGTGTCCCTATTACGTCCTTTGTCCTTTTAGGTGCCATTTACGGTATGCAGGGAGTCATTTTCTTGCTTCGACGCAAGTGGGAAATGATTGGTTGGATGATTCTCTACATTCTCGGCATGCCAGTCTTTTCTTTCCTTCTTCCGCTGTACGCCTTCTGGCACATGGACGACTTCTCATGGGGTAACACGCGTCTTGTCACTGGAGAAAAGGGCCGCCAGGTAGTCATTTCCGATGAAGGGAAGTTTGATCCTGCTTCCATCCCGAAGCGCCGCTGGGAAGACTATCAGGCAGAGCTATGGGATGCCCAGACTGCCCGCGATGACTTGCAATCTGAAGTCTCTGGATACTCGTACGCAACGAATTCAAAGAGCTTCGTGGGTCTGCCAGCAGCTTCTCCCTCTGAAAATGGTGGCTGGTATCCTCCTTCTCGACCCATGTCGCAGTTGGAAGTCCCCCGCGTGGCGTCAAGGATGTCGTTTGCCCCGTCCGAGGTCATGTCTCGCAGCCCTGGTCTAGAAGGATACCAGGATGTTGAAATGGCCGATTTGACCAACCTCCCGAGTGACGACATGCTACTTGCGGAAATTCGAGAGGTTCTTCGAACCGCTGATCTCATGACGGTGACAAAGAAGAGTATCAAGAATGAATTGGAAAGACGATTTGGAGTCAATCTGGATCCAAAGAGGGCATATATTGGGTCTGGTAAGTGGTGCTTCCTTGACTGTTGTGCTTTGCCTCCTCCCATTAGACATTTGACTGACTTTTTGTCCTTTTTAGCCACGGAAGCCATTCTATCTGGCCAGCTCTGATTTACGCTCCCTTTTATCCGCCCTGATTCATTTCCACACCCGTACCGATCGTTTCCACATTCATCGTCATTCGTAGCATATCTTTTTTTTTTTTTTGACTCTTTCTTGAGTGGGTTGCCTTTTAGGAAGTTCTCAGCGGGTACAGTGTGTCCAATCATCCGGCGAAAGTCGAAATTTCCCATTACCGTTGAATCCTTGTCGCATGGCTGTATCTGCATTGACTTGTATCGAGTCGAATGGAATCACCATAAAACCAAATCGCATTTGCATAGGACATGGCGTTTCATCATTTTGTTTGCTGTTTTGTATTGTCATTTGCTTATTTTATTCATCTTTTTCTGTTCGTGATAGGGAGCGTTAAGTATGTGTATCGAGAGGCTGGATATGTTTAATTATTTGTTTCTACACTATTCATTAATTACTACAAACATTCTCATCATCGTTGTCCTTCACTACTCCCTGTTCACACTTGGTTTTGCCCTTGATGCTCGGTATCCTCGTCTTCTTCTTGTCCTTCGCTCTCACCTTCCTCATCTTCATCTTTATCGTCATCCTCCTCCTCCCCACCCTCGTGACTATTTGCACCTGCGTCTTCGTCTGCATCTTGGCTTGTGTCCCGATGTGCTTCCACTCCTAGATCCATATCCGTATCTGTGTCCTGGTCCTGGTCCTCCTCCCACGTGACTGTAGCAAATCCTTTCCTCGTACCGGAAGAGGGACGACGACCACGGCCCACTGAGGAAGTCGCACGCGCAGACGCAGACCTCGAAACACCCAAAGTCTTTGATCTTGCACGAAACGCCTCAGAGGGTACAGGCTTAGAGAAAACCTCCCAGGGACTAACATACTCGACGCGGTCTCGCCAGTCGAGTAGATCTTCGGGATTCTTCATGTTGCGCATAGGCGGATCGGGTAGTTCCATTTCTTCCGACTTGATTACAGTTGATGGACGGCATCCGATAACCTCCCAGAGCCGCTCTTCTTCAAGTAGTCCCGCTTTGCGATCGAATGCCTCGGCGTACTCGTCTTGCTGTTGCTCGAGGCGGAGGCGAGCGATCTCGCGCTGTCGACGGCGCGAATAAGGCAGTGGAGCGTCGGTGTCTTCTTCTTCTGCATCAGAGAAAATGAAGGTACTGGGAAGTGGAAGAGATTTTGGATTGGTAGTGGGCGTGTGGTGTTTTGTTTCAATTTCGGCTCCAGCACCTGATATGTCCGATATATCAGCCTCGTCGGGTTCGTCGGATTCTGATTCTGCGTCTGCTGCCTCGCCGTCGAAATTGTCTTTTTCCGCTTTAGAATAATGACATTCCTCGGCGTCTTCTACCTCCTCGCCCAGTTGTGCTTCTACTTCTGCGTAGGTCATGTACTTTGCACTCGGAGACCTGTCATGATCGTAGACGAGGATATTGTTCCTTCTAGCCGCGGTTGCCCAGAAGCGTTTGGAGTCCGGCTTCATCCCGAGCACTTTCAGTGCTGATTTGACGTCGCTGCGCTTGACCATGGGTTGGCGATTGGCCTTTCCTCTCCCTCTGGCTCGAAGCCGGGACATGGCTTGGAAAATAACCGTCTGGACGAGTCGCTGCGTGAGGCTGACTGCCAGAGTATAGAAGTCTGCAAAGGCAGTGGTTTGGATAGATGGGGTTTCGCTGTTGGTGTCGTTGCCGGGTGTAAGATTACGCCAGTTGTCCTCCTCTCGGGGCGCAGCAGGGTTCATGAATATCTCCTTGGATAGCTTCAGCCACGTGCTTGGACGGAATAGTGTCGCTGCAGGCAGAATACTGTGCACTTCTTGTCGTCCTTCGTCTCCTTCTGCCCAGCGCGTGTCTAGCCATTGCGCCACGTCTTGAGTCAGCAGGGGCACAGATGGCCACCGTTGCTTTTCGAGACGGGCTTCTGCTCGTTCCTGGTACTTGGAAACAGATGCGCTGAGATCGTCAAGGTGTGAACAGCATTCTTCGCCAATCTCATAGGCTGCAGGGAAATCTGTCATTGCTAGCCATTTTCTCTGATTGCTGTAGGTGTGGATTTCGAGAAACCCGGCATGGAGCAGTTGCAAGTAGGCCCGCACTTCGACTTCAGATTTTGTCTTGATGGCGGTTACGATGCCTCTGATGTTGTCCCGGCCTAGCCGTGCTAATGCATTGAAGAATGATTCTTTCTCTTCTGAGGTCCAAGATGTTGCTCCAATCTGGCCGGCGGGAAGATCTGAGCGTGGTTGATCATGATCAAGCAGAGAATATGAAGTGGCGTCTTCAATGACTGTGTTCAGAAGTTCTCTGTACTTGTCATTGTATGATAGTTTTCGCCTTTTGAGCCGCTGGTCTAGTGGAAAGACATCTGCTGGGTCATGTTCACCAGCGTCTTCAGCACCAGCATGTGGCTTTCGTTTGCTAGGCCTCTCCTCATTGGGAGGTGGCACTGGCTGTTCTTGCACTCTCTTCCGCTTAGACGGGGAAGCAGAGGCTATTGACGGGGCGTAGGAGGATGAAGAGTCTTCCGCATATGTATCAATGAAGCCATCCACGTCCACATCATTCATGTCAGCATCTTCCTCTTCCCTGGGAAGAGACTTTTTATCTTGCGCAAGGTCCATGCTCGCCGACATGGATGTAAGCTGCTAGATACAGCAACCATGTTAGAAACAACGCGAATATGTAATTGAAATGCAGAGAATTAAACTTTTCAACGTGAACAAAGAAAAAAACTAGCAGAGAAAATGTGCATAGGGGTATTTATGATGCAGATGGAAAAGGCATGATTGCTAAGACCCCATCTGCAGAAGGGTGTTTGAAGACAATGTAGGTTTCCGTAAATTTTTGGTCGAGATGCTACGGCAGACGGGGATACCACTTTACGCACATCCTCCGAAATCCGGGGAAGAGCAGTTCTCATGACGCATCTCTTGTAATCTACAGTATGGACATGGAGCATGCGGAAGTTGGTATCGTTGTTTGCATTGCCAATACGGCTATATCACCAGCCTCGATCGCCATGGTTGGTTAGAAGGCTCGCGACAGCTCCGCCAGCCAGCGGTGTCGAGACGCAACAGCTTCCTTCAAAGCCTTCAAGTATTCAGCTGCGCCAGTATCAGGAAGAATGCATTCAGTCGGTGCTTTCAGCTCTACAAAAAGGGCACAAACGGCTAGGCATCTCGCTGGCTACCGGTGGGGGCAAGACGGTAAGAATATGTCATTGGTTATTTTACAAAAGCTATTCATACATAGCTAATCGAAGTCCAGGTGATCTTCACTAGACTTATCGACAGGATACCACCGCCTCGTCCTCATGCTACCCAAACACTCATTCTTGTTCATCGGCGGGAGCTTGTCGAGCAAGCGGCCCGACATTGTATTGAGGCGTATCCTTCCAAAAGTGTGGAGATTGAAATGGCAAACTCCCATGCATCAGGGAGAGCAGATATCACCATTGCGTCGGTCCGGAGCATAATATCGAGCAATCGAATGGCGAAATTTGACCCGTCGCGGTTTAAATTGGTCCTCGTCGACGAAGCTCATCATATTGTGGCCCAGGGGTATATGAATACTCTAAACCATTTTGGACTGTTGAGTCCAACAAAAGATTCGCCAGCTCTCGTGGGCGTCTCAGCCACTCTATCGCGATTCGATGGACTACGGCTTGGTGCTGCGCTCGATCACATTGTTTATCACAAGTAAGAAGCTCTAGACCCTATTTAAATAGCTGCTTCAGCAGAGCCCTGACATTTTCTTTGGTAATTAGGAGCTATGTTGATATGATAGGGGAAAAGTGGTTGACAGACGTAATCTTTACAACTGTTGAGTCTAAAGCAGACATTTCCAAGGTGCGAAGTGGAGCCAATGGAGATTTCAGGTCTGGTGAGCTCTCCAAAGCTATCAACACTGAAAGGACCAATGAAATCACCGTTCGTGCATGGCTTGCGCGAGCTCGCGAGAGAAAATCTACCATTGTTTTCTGCGTCGACGTTAAGCACATTACCAGTTTGACTGCTACTTTTCGCCGACATGGAATAGATGCGCGCTTCATCACAGGCAGTACGCATAAGGCGGTTCGCGGACAAAGATTAGATGAGTTTCGAAATGGGGAGTTTCCTGTCCTCTTGAATTGCGGCGTCTTTACAGAGGGGACGGATATCCCTAATATAGACTGTGTGCTGCTCGCAAGGCCGACTAAATCGCGAAACTTGCTGGTACAGATGATTGGACGCGGTATGCGGCTTCATTCTGGGAAAACCAATTGCCACATCATTGATATGGTCTCGTCACTGTCTTCTGGCGTCGTGACGACTCCGACACTCTTCGGGTTGGATCCCTCTGAGATTGTCGATAGTGCAAGCCCTGCCGATATGAAGGAGCTTCAGAAAATGAGAGATGAACAATTAGAGGCAAATGGAAGTGTTGCTCTTGGAGACGCCGCTGCCGAACAGCCCTTTTATGGCAATGAGAAGATCTCATTTACAGACTACGATTCGGTTTATGACCTCGTTGATGACACGTCGGGCGAGCAGCACATTCGTGCCATTAGCCGTCTTGCGTGGGTTGAGGTTGGCCCCAATCGCTATGTTTTGTCGACTAAGAGCGGCGACTTTCTCATGATTGAGAAAACGGCTGCCGAACAGTTCCATGTGCGACATACTGCCAAAATCCCTTTGATATCTGGTCAAGGACGCAAGAGTCCATTTATGCGTCCGCGCGAGATCGCACAGGCCGAGACATTTTCAGACGCTGTACATGCAGCAGATACTTATGCTTCGGAGACGTTTCAGTGGCTGTTCATCTCCAAGGACCAAGCCTGGCGTAAGAAGCCTGCGTCAGAAGGACAAGTTGCATTTTTGAACAACTTTCGCGCCATGGATGACCAGCTCGGGCCTGAAGACATTACAAAAGGCAAGGCAGGGGATATGATTACCAAAATCAAGTTTGGTGCTCGTGGACGATATGGACGACTAGAAGCAGCTCGCCGACGTCAAGGCAGGGCCCAGGTAAAGCTTGCGCAAGAGGAAGAACTCAAACAGCGGGAGGATGTGAAGGTTGGGCCGGTCTCAGGCTAACACTGGAGAGAATTATTTCATCTTGGGAGCAGATGTTCCTCAGTCCAGGTCGCACGTGCTGCAAAGGTATCTTTAAACAATGGGGCACACAATATGTTCCCTTACCAAGGATTTTTCGTAGCGGGGATTGATTGCACATGCTTGGAACTCTTTCAAGTTTGGCGATGTAGCTTCATCTACCTTTTTCTCAACCCAAGCGATGTATAGTCCTCTTGCCCACTACTGGACAATGTCCACATCTTTTTACGTAGAAGTGCAGAATCGATCAATACACTAATGATTAGTGGAATTTATGGCTGCGACGCCACGAGAGAATTTCACAAGAACGAAGCCATGAGCCATTGGCCGCCAACTATAACCCACCCATGCAGGCCAAGCTTTTGGGGTGATAGCGCCAGAGGGTTGTTGGCGATGACGCCGATGCAGCATGGACACTTTTCACTGTCCCCAGCACTTTGTACCTGTCAATGCTCATCTCAATCTGTTGTACTATACCTCATTATTGCCAACCAGCAATAGGCAGAAACTGGAAATATCCCTTCTTACTTTACAAGGATCGAGGAATTGCTTTTCTTCCCCAGATGGCGCCATGACGAATTGAGGTGGTTAGTTACTACGCCGTGCAAGCGCAGGCTGGTTGACTGGGACCAAAGCGGGGTTCTCTCCTACGTTTCCCTCTTCTCTCTCCCAGCTTACCGGCTTCATCATCGATGCCCCAGGCCACAAAGCCATCACGGATCTTGCATGGGATAGTGCTTGAAACCAATCACTCAAGGACTGATAAGGCAGGTAGACTGAGACGTTCTCAGGTATCTTGACGCCACCCAGCCCTTATCGGCACTCAGTGACTACCTGAAAATTGAGCAGGAAACTTACGGAATACTATGCCTCTAACTCTGCTCGACAACTTCTGCCAAGTTTCCAACGCGGACTCCCCGCGTCTGGGCTACTCACCAAGCATACGCCGTCTTGCGAGCGATGCTACTTCTGCCCGGCGCTATCCAGGACCCGTCGAATATTGGTTCATGTGCACTAATCGATGCAAATGCAACGAGTGACTTTTGATTCTTGATTGAACGATGAAGAGATTGATGATAAGAGGTGAAATTTGCTCCAGCGTGCATTGAACAGTCGAATAAAAAGGCATTTACATTTATGTGAGAGAGACAGAGCGAACGAAAGAGAAAGCTTTCTTCGACTGTCCGCTCTAAAGGGGTCAATAGTTATACCTAGTTTTCCCGCCCCAAGCGCCTGGTTCGGAAAGTTGCGGTCATTTACCTGCTTGGATGCGACTTTCCGCCTGCACTCTAGGCTGTGCAGGGGATCAGAGGGAAAGGGAAACAGAAAGTACAAGTTCGACCGGTCTCCCACGGGCAGTCTGTACAGCCTCAATCGACCTGCCCCCGAGACTTTCCCGTGCATAGCCCTCTATACGCCCTATTATAACAGCGAAAACATTCTGTGATTTTCCTTTTCTTAGTCAGTCCCCCTTTTCTATGAGCACGGCCCCCCACTGAATTGTTTCAGGGACGAAAGTGATTGCGTTTTCTTTGCGTCGATCTCTGTTGGTTCATTTGAATTGGACTGGGCGAGGATAGACCCAGTGAGGTTGGGCTCGTCCGAAACGAGGGAATTGGTTCCATCGTTTTCAAACTGGTGTCTGGGGGCTTCCGGCGAAGAGACGGCAGGTATCAAACGGTACTCGGGCTGTCCCAGGCAGCAACTCTCTAGACGCAGATTTACCCCGGCATACCTGAAAGTACTGTACTGCTGCTGTCATCGACGCGACAACGAGTGACGACGACTGAATACTCGGTACCGTACCGGTACCTGCATCGGCCGTCGTCCGCCTTGGGACTGACCCTATTGCGAAAAACAGTCAATCCCTTCCGTCTGCAGTGCTCGCGACTCGTGCTTGAACCGCTAAAAATCCCCCCGTCACCGTTCTCCCTATTTTCCTCACAAACCCCCCATCGCTGCCAACTGTGAGGCTGCGTCGCTCCTGCCTGCCAGCGGTCGCGAGCTTAACGGGTGTTAAATGCGGAGACGCCCTTCAGCCTCGGCCGTTGAAGAGGAAGACGACAACAATAATAGCACGGACGTCACTGCCGACAACGACAATTCTGATTTGCGAGAGACGAGACCCTATCGAGATGTATCCCCGGCGCACCCGGACGTGAAGACTTTGATGATAGAACCCGCCGGCCCCCGACTCTCCGGGAGCCACGATCATAGTCACGAGGAGCAGCCTCGCGCTGACGCTCTCTCCAAATCAACGAATGCTTGGCCAACCAAACCTGCCGCTGAGTCGTCGCGAGAAAAAAGCGCTGGCGCGATGAGACGTCTCGGCCAAGATATCACCGCCGAAAGTAGCATGCCCGAGTCGCGAACTTGGCGGCGGCGCGCACGCTCAAGAAGTCCGTGGACCTGCTCGCCGTTGATTCTCAGCACCACGGTGCTTGCCGTCTTGCTCGTCTTTGCAATTGCGCAGTCTTTTGTGAAACGCCAACTCGACCCGAAAGGATGTCGCATGTCAATGATGAGGCCGGCGTTTGCCAAATTGGTAGACTTTGATACTGAACACACTCGTTTTGCCAGTAAATATTCATTGTACCTGTACAGAGAAGGCGGTATAGATGAGGATACCATGGTAGGTTGTTTCCACTCAATAGAGGGAAGGTTGGGATTCTGTGGCATGGCATCGCTAATATGACTTTTCAATCTGTTGTAGGTCAAGGGAGTCCCGGTCTTGTTCATTCCTGGAAATGCAGGCAGTTACAAACAAGTGCGGCCGCTGGGTGCAGAGGCTGCGCAGTATTTTCACGATGTGGTACAGCATGATACAGAAGCTGCTGGTCGCGGCACACGAAGTCTAGATTTCTTCACGGTTGATTTTAATGAGGACTTTACGGCCTTTCATGGGCAGACCCTGCTGGATCAGGCGGAATACCTGAATGAGGCCGTTGCATATATTCTCTCATTGTACCATGATCCTCGGCATTCTGCTCGCGATTCAAGCCTTCCAGATCCAAGCTCCGTCATTCTTGTGGGCCATTCAATGGGTGGCATTGTTGCTCGAACGATGCTCATCATGCCTAATTATCAGGCCAATTCCATCAACACCATTATAACCATGTCGACGCCGCACGCGCGACCGCCAGTGTCCTTCGACGCCGAATTGGTGCAAACCTACACTAAGATCAACAAATACTGGCGCCAGGCGTACTCTCAGAAGTGGGCCAACAACAATCCTTTGTGGCACGTCACTCTCATCTCCATTGCTGGAGGCGGGCTCGACACTGTTGTCCCTTCGGATTATACTAGCCTTTCATCTTTGGTTCCCGACACCCACGGATTTACAGTCTTCACCTCCTCGGTGCCCGATGTCTGGACGGGTATGGATCATTTGGCCATCCTTTGGTGCGACCAATTCCGCAAGATTATTGTGCGCGCCCTCATCGAGGTGGTTGATGCTCGGCGTGCAAGTCAGACGAAGCCACGGGCGGAGAGGATGCGTGTTTTCAAAAAATGGTTTCTCACGGGCATGGAGAGTGTGGCAGAAAGAACTCTTCCGCAGAAAGGTATGCAAAATTTTGGCAATCCGCGCCGAGTCTGATATCAAAGGCGGGACCTAACTGTTACAATATAGAACCAACGACACTGTTAACTCTCGAGGACAATTCCAATTCCATAATATCACAGGGCCAGCGACTGAGTCTTCGGCAACTTGGAAGTGCCGGTCGACCACGCGCATACCTGATGCCCGTGCCGCCCCAGGAGACACCTGGAGGCAAGAGATTTACACTTCTCTCGGACCAGAAACTGGATGCTCCCGGTGAGAATGGCAAACTAGAAGTGCTTTTTTGCAGTGTGTTTCCGCTCCATCCAGGCCAGTCCGCCACGCTTTTTTCGATGAACATGGACCTTTCAGGTGACAGCTCCGGATCGACTCGACTAGCCTGCAAGAATGCCGCTGCGGATACCATCCATCTTCCAGCATCTACACGCCTTTCTCAATTTGCATTCGAACCCACGGCACCATTTTCCTACCTTCAATATGAGCTTGAAGATTTGGCCGAGCACCAGTTCGTTGCAATCGTGGACAAGGCAGCCAATCCCACCCCTGGTTGGGTCATTGCAGAGTTCAGCGACAATGTAGACTCCATTCATTGGATGAATCAGCTAACGCTTCGTCAATTTCTTACCAATGGTTTACAGCTCAGCCTTGCTACAATTCGACCGATGGTAACAGAGATTAAGATCCCAGTTTTGCAATCAAGCTTGCTGGCTTATAAGTTACGCATTGGGACGCAGTCTTGCGGGAAAGGGTCAGAGCTGTTTACGCCGTTGTTACGGCAGTACATTACCGATCCGTTTGAATCCAAATTTTTTGTCAATGTTCAGGAGGCTAATATCAACCTGCACGGTGTGGCCCCCTATATTCCGCCACCGTTGAAGCCGAGGACCTCTGTGGACGGCTTGTCGCTGCAGCTATGGTCGGATCCGACATGCGATTCTGCTCTAGACGTTTCTCTCCAAGTTGATGTGCTTGGAAGTCTTGGGAAGCTTGTCATGCGTTATTCCACTGTTTTTGCTGCTTTCCCCTTGTTTGTTGTTGCTCTAGTTCTTCGCAAGCAATTTAAAGTGTATGATGAAAGAGGTAAGTTTTTTATATACCTATCCGTCCAAGTATGCATACTCGTAATCAGTCGAACAATTTGACTAACATTTGTTCCTAGGCATATTTATCAGCTTTTCCGAGAGTTTAGACCAGTGTTTGCGGGGCTCATTGCCCGTGCTATTCTTTGGACTATACTTTATCGCGCTGTCTGTTTCCCGGTCGAGCCCAGCGCAGACAAACCCGGCATCATATGGAATAATGGATTGGCAGAAGAACGGAACCGAGTCGGCATTGGACATGACGAAGAACGATCTCCTCATGGGATCTCAGGACCCGTTCTTTTGGTTTTTGGTGCCGTTGACTGGATTGATAACTGTCGGTGCTTGCGTGCTCGTCAATTACGCAGCTCTAGCTTTGATTCATGTCTTTTCCACGGCATACAGTCTCTTTGTCTCTGCATCTGTCCGAATAAAAAATGATGACAGAAGGTGAGCTTTTTCGAAGCCTTTCTCCTTTTACCGGACTCTCATTTGAACCGTAAAATGCTAATTGACGAAGACGCAGTTCCTCGCCCGCATTTGCTGCGATATCTCCTCGGCGAAGAGTCATCACCACTGCAATTCTCTTTCTTCTCGTTGCCACCTTTATTCCCTACCAGTTTGCGTACATGGTGGCCTGTCTTGTACAGATTGCCACATGTACGCGAGCGTTCCGGGTAGCCCGTGAAACTGTATGTTCACTTTTTATTGAGCTGTATATCGCCTTCCTCTTTCTTTTGCTTATAATCTTCCTATTGTTCCCCTTGCCCACATTGATCTCTTGCAAAAAGCAAAATCAACTAAACGCAAGCTGACACGTAATCCAACAGCGTTCCGGAAGCCATCTCAACTTTTACAACTACGCGCACTCTGTTCTTATTCTCATGCTTTGGGTACTTCCGATTAACCTTCCGATTCTTGTGGTCTGGCTACACAATCTCGCCGTCCATTGGCTTACACCCTTTTCCTCCCATCACAATGTCCTCTCAATTATGCCCTTGATCTTGCTCGTGGAAACACTCACCACGGGTACTATGATACCACGAGTCACGACGCGGTAAGTCCCTTTTATCCCTTCTGTCCCCCCCTTTTTTTTTGCTTTCTTGATTTTACAGTACATCAATCAACCTATCCGCGCCTCCCCCCTTTTTGCGTTTATATACCAGGTTTTACTGACAAATGTTTTGTTCCAAGATTTCGCTACGTCACCGACGGCCTACTCTTCCTCCTCGCCATCTACGCCGACGTATACGGCGTCTCGTATGCCTATTTCCTGCATCAGCTCGTCAACTTTGTCGCCGCCTGGTTAGTGGCGATCCATTTCTCGACGAGCAGCTTCTCTCTCTCCGCCCTCCTCCACTCGCTGCTCGAAGGCAGCAACATTAATGCTCCTCTTTCTTCGTCTTCTGGTGCCAATGGTAGTGGTAGCGGTAGTGGCAGCGCTGTTGGATCATCACGATCATCGGCATCCGGATTGTTTTCTGCAGCTTTTTTTTCTTCCTCCTCTAACAACCCTGCTCAACCCGGCAGCAGCAGCGGCAGCAGCAGCGGCGGCGGCGGCGGCGCTGGAAGTAATAGAATAAGTAATTCTAGTAGCAGTAGCAGCACGAGTAATGTTAAAAAGAGACCGTAAGGAATCGGGGTCTCTCTTTTTTCTTGTTTTATTTCTATCAGTTTTTTTTTTTTAAACCCAAGCCCCCTGGCGGCCACACATACTCTAAAGCGCTCCTTTTACCTGTTTAACACTTTCTCTCTCGTTCCCTTCTCTCTCCCCCTCCCTCCCCAGTAAAGTGGGGGGTGGGGGCTGTACTGTACATTAGACAGTAATTATTAATGTCTTATTCTCTGTACCTCTCTCTCTCTCTCTCTCTCTGTGTGTGTGTGTGTGTGCCCCCGTGTGCGCATGTTACATCTGTAAGGCAACATGTAAACCAGTAAGGCATGCCGAATAATACAACCTTTTCATCATAATGCCTGGAATTACTTATACTGCTACTGATATGGAAAGAGAAAGAAGTTCATTGTAATGACCACAGACCATTGTAGAAATCTTGCAAGGTAACATTGTAAGCTAAGTAAGCTAAGTAAGCTAGGCAGGTAATAGTAGTTAAGTAGGTAGGTAAAGTGGCTATCTGCTAGAGTGTTTGCAAAGGAATAATAAATCAAAGCACACAAAGCACAAACGGGCACCGGACAGTCGAACGTTGAAGAAAGTGGGTAAGAAAAGAGAAGAGAAATGAAGAAAAGAGTCTCGTTGAATTAGTATGAGACAGAACATTTCAGCCCACGTACAAAAAGAAACAATGAAAAGCACGAGATAACACGTAGCATGATACAAGCTCCGACGAAGGGAAAACAAAAAAAGCGGGCGGAAAGTAATATATGAAAAAAAAAAAAGAAAAAGAAAAAAGGGAGGGAAAAGACTCCATTTGAAATCTTTGTTTGCGCCGAATACGCCCACTTTAAGTTTTCTCACTGAATTATTCTGGATAGAAAGATGCTCCGCTGTTGTGAAGACCCTTACAGCTCAAAAGTCTTGCCTTGTCCGTCGGCGCTCAGTGGCTTGATCTCTTCGCCATTCGGGGCGTTATCTGAGCGAAATCCCAATTTCTCGCTCTGGGTGAATCCGCCGAGGGCCTCCTGGGCCATACGTGATCCTTCCTCGCCACCGCTCAAGCTAGCAGCGCGCAGGGTTTCCTGAACTTCGCGCACACGCTTCTTAAACGAGAGGCGGTCGAGGAAGAGCTGTTGGCGGCCGCGCTCGAGTTCGCGGCGCTCTGCCTGCAAGATGGCCTCCATTTCATTGAATTGTTGGAGTTTGAGCTCGAACTTTGACAGCGTCGCATTGACGGCGGCGGAGACGAGGCGCGTCATTTCGCGCTCCTCGTGGGACGCGAGTGCTGCAGCGCGCGCGGCTGATGCGGCAAGCGCGGTAGTGGCGAGGGGGTTGAGAGGTGCGGATGATGAGGATGCAGGGGCGGCGACGGGCTGTGGTGAGGAGGACGAAGCGCCAGGCTTTTCGGCGGTCGTGGGCGCAGGCGTGGATGATGTAGTAGGTTCGGTAGACTGGGCAGCCGATGTGCTGGCCGCCGCAGGAGCGGTGGGTTCGCGCGAGGTGTCCACGTCCATGGAGTCCTCGTCCTTGACGTGCTCTTTCTCCTGGCCAGGGCCCTTTTCGGTGCTGCCCGCAGCAGGCGTGGAAGGCTTTTCTTGCGTGCTGGCGGGCGCCGGAGCCTCGCCATCAGCGGCAGATTTCTCGTCCTTGCTCTTGCCGACTTGTGCCCGCAGGCCATCACGCAGTTCGCCAATGCTCTTGCCTGCCGCAGCGGCGGATACGCTAGGCGGGCTGAGACCCGCAAGGAAGGCAACGACAGACATGACGGGATTATCGCCCTGGCTGAAGGGAGCTCGGCCACCTCCGAGAAGGGCAGACATGCCGGCAGCGTTGCTGGTAGATTCCGTCTCCAGGTACTTGTCTTCGATCTCGAGCTGCAGGAATTTGAGCACACACTCTTCGCGCGTCCGAGTGCCCACATGATCGGCAATGGAGTTCCAGTTGTCATCAAACAGTTCCAGACCCTCAAGCAGCAGCAGAAGCTCCGCATCGGTCCAGGGAGAGTCACGGTCGGGGATCGTAGAGTACGAAGTGTCTTCGAGTTTGACAAAGTCGATTGCGTTGCTCGAGCTCGGGAACCGGCCTTCGAGATAACAGTTCGGGCAAAGGTCGTACTTCGCCTTGGGGGTGGCTGCGGCGCCAGGGGCTGCGCCAGCAGGGGGTTGAGTCGACTTGGCCGAGTGGTAGCGGACGCGGGTGCAGTCGACTCCGCAAGAAGAACAGTTGAACTGTCGCTTGGGTTCCTTGGCCAATTCCTCTAGGGATTTGGACGCACCTTCACCAGAAGCCGTGCCGTTAGTAGCTGCCTCACCATTGGCTTGAGTGTCCTTGGCCTCGGGCGTCGAGAGATCTTTACCATGCTGATCGTAAATGTTTCGACGAATTTCGAGGTTCAGGTCGGCCTTGGAGGCTGGAGTTGACGTAGCGGCACGCTCTGTGCCGGCAAAAGGCTTGCCAGGGACAACCGTGGGGTTGGGTCCGGGTTGAAAGCTCTGCAGGCCGCGGGGAGTGTCGGCCGTGATTCGGAAATGGCCGGTAAATGGGGGAGCAATGGCGGATGGTCTCGTATCAGGGTCAATCTAAGAAAGAGTTAAACATACTGAGCATATATTATAATGCTGTTGAAATTGAAAGAATAATGTACCTGATAGTTGATCAAGCCCCACTGCTCCAAAAAAGCGTGCACTCTCATGATGGCGCAGACATCTCCAGCGAGGTTTCGTCGGCACGCGGTCACCGTCAGGTATTCAGAAGGATTGAGGCGATAGGTGTTGATCATAAAATCTCGGTAGTCTTTATAAACGGCAGGGGTTTTGCTTCGATTCCGGTTGTTGAAGAATTCTGGAAGGGCCTTCTTCTCCAAAGTGTGAATCTTATGCATATCAAACCAGGTGCTGTAGCTTGGTAAAATGATGGCATGCGTCTGAGCAACGAGATGAGTGCGCGCCGATGCTTCGGAATTCAATCTTTGCGCCGCAGGCTGGCCATTGATAGTAGCTTCATCTGCACCTTCGGCAGGCTTCTGAGGGGTTGCGGCTGCATCTTTCTTGGCTTCGTCGCCTGTGCCAGTCATTTCTGCATCCTGCTGAGGCTCAGGCGCGGCTTCAGGTCGAGGTCCCTCAGGCGCATCAAGAGGGTTATCTGAAATTGGAGCCGGAGTCACACTTGATTCCGTTTGGGCGGGCTTCTCACCGCCGTTAGTGGGCGTTTCATCAGTCATTGAAACATCAGTCCCTGCCAAGCAATCGCCATCCCTTAGCATACAAACATTCAACAACAACGATGACACATTGTTCAAGACAAATCCCTTGATTTTGGGGTCTTTTACTTACCCTGCGCAGCTTCAACCGGAGGAGCAGTTTCTCCCGTAGAGGGTTGCTGCTGTGGCTGTTCCTGCTGTTCCGTGGTAGAAACGGGGTTCTCCTTTGGCTCTGCCGGTCTATCCTCCATGGTGCTGTGAAGTACTGAGTGCTGTACTGGGATTCAAATGATTTCGTGTCAATCTTCGCTGGTCAAGGGCGAATCGATTGACGCGCAATGACCACGAACTAGGAATCTCACAAACGGGCAAGTCAACGAGCCAAATCGTTGATGCTGCCGGTCAAAGGAAGTGTAATTGTATTGAACGAATGTGGAAGGCAGACCAAAGAGGTCAAGGAAGGTCGCGATATATTTCGCGTTTCTTTGGTGATGGCCCCAGCTTCTGTCTCTCTCGTCTTGTGTCTCTCGTCGCAAACCAAAACGTGAAGGTTCCGACGACACGGCTTAGTCATCAATGAATCAGTCACGTGCATCTGAAATGCTAGGAGGTAAGTTTACCCGAGGACCCTCGGCCCGGCAATCGGCGGGAGAAGTGAATGTGCAGGTAAGAAGAGGTGGGATAGAAGAGCAGTCCTGTACGGATATCCTTGGGCTCATTTTGCCGTCATTGGCCTCAGCTAGCTTCACCTCCTTTCAAATCCTGGTCTTGAAGTGAGCTTCTCGAGATTATTCGCCATGTTCTCCGTCGCAAGACAAGGCGCGCTGCGCCAGGCGCGGACATTTCTGCGCCCCAGCAAGCCTACCGTGACCTCCCCGGCTTCGGCCCTGGCCCGGTTACTGTCTACATTGGCATTGCTTGAACAGAGAGAAGGAAAGCTGAATCCTTCGTCTCTTAGCGCGGTCACTGCAGCTCAGAAGCTTGGAGGATCCATTACTGGTTTTGTCGCTGGCAGCGGCGTCAAAGCAGTTGCCGAGCAAGCGGCCAAGGTGGAAGGCCTGGAGAAGGTCATTGTGGTGGAGAATGGAGCATATGACAAGGTACTGAACTTGCATTTTAATGGATCATTATTAGAGTCTTTCAGGTTCAGAGGGCTAATAATCGAACAACAGGGTCTTCCCGAAAACTATGCTCCGTTGTTGGTCGAAAACATTAAAAAAGGCGGTTTCACACACGTTATTGCTGGTCACTCTGCCTTTGGCAAGAACTTGTTGCCTCGGGTAGCTGCTCTGCTAGATGTGCAGCAAATATCGGACATTACTAGCATTGAGAGTGAAGACAGTACGTTGTGGTTCTCTATCAAATAATTCAAGCGACAAGATTATGCTGATCCGTGGCATCGAAGCTTTTATCCGACCCATCTATGCCGGAAATGCAGTTCTGACGGTACAATCCACCGACCCCATCAAGCTCATCACAGCTCGAGGCACTGCTTTCCCTGCTGCCCCCGTGTCAGAGGGCAAAACCGCCGAGATTACTGAGGGCACAGACCCCAACGCACCCTCCCCAACCGAATGGGTTTCGGAGGATTTGGTTCAGAGCGCAAGACCGGATCTCAGCACTGCCAGCCGTGTAGTCTCTGGTGGCCGTGGTCTCAAGTCCAAGGAAGAGTTTGACCGCATCATCACCCCGCTCGCGGATGCTCTCGGCGCGGCCATTGGTGCGTCTCGGGCCGCCATCGACAGTGGCTTCGCCGACAACAGCCTGCAGGTCGGGCAAACCGGAAAGAACGTAGCTCCTGAGCTCTACTTGTGTGCAGGTATCTCGGGTGCTATCCAGCACTTGGCTGGTATGAAGGACAGCAAGGTCATTGCGGCTATCAACAAGGATCCTGATGCGCCCATCTTCCAGGTTGCCGACGTAGGATTGGTCGGTGACCTATTTGAGAAGGTGCCTGAATTGACGGAGAAGCTGAAGCAGGGATGAATCATACAAGATCGAAAATAAGTGAAGAAATTTCAACGTTTTGCCTTGCGGCAGACGGATGAGGGGGGATTGGGTTTCCCAGGAAGGCTATGTGCCGACACCCATGAAGATTCCTTTTGCGCATATGCTGTCCTCATCTACCATACTTGCGCTTTCTGAAAGCCTCAACGCATTGCTGGTATATAAATGAGAGCGTTTTTTGAAACTGGCCGCGCCGCCTGTGGCCATGGTGTTGGGATCAAGTATTTGTTTATTTTAATTTATTTTGCATGACTATGGTCATGTGTGTATAGTATTTAACTTGTGATGCATCTATTAAACACAAAAGAAATGCACAATTTACCCACCAATCAATTGATTTTTTATGCATTTTACGTATCCATATCTCTTCATTATTGTGCTGGGGGTCACTGATACGGGCCGGACGAATATGCTCGGACATGGGCAGGGCATCTTCCACACCTGAATATTCTAGCCATATCTGTCATGCCGGTGTGACAGTTTCGCACCCCTCGCATTGTACGTAACTGCTCTGTAAAATGATAGTAGAAAATTGATCAGAGTGATTGGTAACGCCCATGGTGATGCTGACAGAGCATCAATTTCCTCAGTCCCCACTCGGAACTTGAAACCTCCGTGTGCCGCGATTGACTCCATACTCCGGCAACCAGGTGCATGAACGAAAACAATCCCACGATTCGGAAAACAAATCCGCACAGTCTTTCCTTGACCAAAATTAATTAATTTCGGGAGCTAACGCGATTAACCTTAAGTGATGCTGAGCTGGCCTTCCCCCTTCCCGGTGCAAATTGATATCAACGCCAAGATCTCCGCCGAGGACGAAGGGAAAAGTGGCGCGACAACGTACAAACTCGATGCACAATCATTAGTTTCATTGGATGGGCTCCACATGACAAATGCTGAATGATACGATCTACAGGAGAGGAGGTGATAAACATTGGTCTATGCATTCGTGGGTGGTCGCGGCAGAGCATGAGATGGCATACGTCAACACGGGTCAGCATTGATCAGTACTAGGCATTGCCATGGCAAATATAAAATAGAGACACATTCCCCTCCTATTCGTTTCTTATTATCATCTTATCTTGATTTATTCTTCTATAAGAGCAAACAGTCCTTGCTTTAGACAAAGAAAAGCAGTTCAATCTCATCCTTCGCTCCTTGAAGACTTATTGAACCAGAATGACTCTCCAGACTATCACGCTCTATAGCCACAGTAAGTTTTTACGGATCGTCAAATCCTCGTAATTATTGCTTTTCATACGGCATGCGCAAGTGCATTTCTGTTACCTCTTTCTTTCCTCTGCTCGCTCAATTGCTTTGCCTGGTTGAGCAAGCGTCATCGCTAACAAACACTGTCTCTACAGGAACCGGCCCCAATCCATGGAAGGTCGTCATGATTCTCGAGGAGCTGTCGCTCTCATACAAGAATCACTTTTTCGAAGATTTGGCCGACTTGAAAAAGCCTGCCTACGAGAAGATCAATCCCAACGGACGCGTACGTATGCTCTTGATCTGCGAAATCGTTATCAGCGGATTTTGCACAAGATGCATCCCAGATGGCGTGCTTGGGAAATCCCCAATATTGACGTGCATACTTTAGGTTCCTGCTATCGAGGATCCCAATACGGGAATCACCCTCTGGGAGTCCGGTGCAATTATTGAATACCTCATTGACACGTACGACAAAGACAACAAGCTCAGCTTCACTTCTTTCCCGGAGAAGTACCTTACCAAGCAATGGCTATATTTCCAAGTTTCCGGTATGTGTCCATAACCAGCGCGGCACCTGTTTCTCGATAACACTTGATTTGATCTATTTCAATTTGGAAAAAAATACATATCTAACCGTTTGGCGTGTCTGCGATTCAGGCCAAGGTCCCTACTACGGGCAAGGCGGGTGGTTTTCCAACTTCCACCCAGAAAAATTGCCCTCGGCCATTGAGCGATACCAAAATGAAATCCAGCGAGTTCTGGGCGTGCTCGATCATGCTCTGGAAGGGAAGCAGTATCTTGTTGGCGAAAAATGCACATATGCAGATATTTCTTTTGTGAGCTGGAACTCGCTCTTGCCCTGGCTCTTGACTGGCGTCGAGGTGGATATTGCCAAGAAGTTCCCCAACTATCATGCATGGAACGAGCGCGTCACTAACCGACCGGCCGTGCAAAAGACCATTGAGGTGAAGAAGGTGGCCATGGCAGAGGGAAAGAAATGAATCAAAGCGCAACGAGTGACGATCTTGTGAGGATCAGACACAGCTGAGTCGACATCATCATTGAATACAGTAGCTAAGGGAGCTTTGTCGATGGAGTGCAACACTAGTTACTTTCTGCAATGCTGTTGAAATACAATCATGGTAGCGACAGAATGACCCAAGCTCTGTGAACGGACAATGAAAGTGGTACTTATCCTATATGTGTGAATAAAACCGCAGTGACTGAAAGCATTGACCTACCTCTATATACCTTGGAATCCGATCATCCCGTTCTAGAGCGTCTCCCCCAGAAAGCTTGTTTGGCTGACAACCCCACTCGATCCGCCCATACTGTATGCGGCCATCTGTTGCTGTCATCCTCTTCGGCAACCACGTTCCCCGACTCCGACTGACGATTTGTTGCCTCCTGCAGGTTGCTATGGAATTCTTGCGACAAAGCTTTCAGCGCTTTTGCGGACACGAATTTATCTACATATGAGACAACAGCCGGCCTTTGACACCTAATACCAGAGTACGCAGCTATACTTTTTCTTGGTTCACCGAACAAGAATCGCCGGGACGCCGCAGAAGCCGCCCTAACCGGCATTGTTGCCGATCGGGCTCCATACCAAAGAACCACAAAGGCGACAAACCCCCCCGAAAAGATACCGTAACGAAAACACTGTCGACAAGTATGATTGAAAGGTGACGGTACAATGGATGCGCGTGTTAAGCTAGGAGAGTCGTCGGAGGGCGTCGTGGCAACCGATCGTAAAGATTTTAGTGATGGCACTGAAACACAACCGGAGAGCTCAGGCGACCGTGACGCTCAGCAGCAAAGCTTCCAACATGATAACCCTAGTTCTCGCACCGGGCTGGAGGGGGCGAACATTCCAGCGGACTCATCCAAAGGAACCAGGCAGCTTGAAATCCACAATCCGAGTTCGACAGAAACGAGCGAGTCCCCGCCAACAACAGACTTGACGGACGGGCAGAGTCCTGACAAGTTAATTCCGTTGCGCAATTCCAGCAATCATTCTCGACGGATCCAATGGCCGCATTGGAAACTGCGGCCAGCAGATGATGACGAAGAACAGTGAGTTTTGGCCCTGCGCCCTTGGACTTGAATGACAAGCGGCATAGAGCAAGCGCAGCTGATATTCCTTCCTGCAGGAACTGGTGGTTTGCATCAACAGCTATTCCTTTGATCGCCGCTACAACCGGGCCATTGGCCAATGTTCTTTCCATTGCTGCGCTGGTCACAAAATGGAGAAATCATGTACCTATTGATGGTGGCCCAGAAATTCCCGATCCGCATTGGTAAATTTGTTCTCGCCCGATGGGCACCTGATAAGTTACATGCTCCAAATGCTAAGCCATCGTCATAGGTGTATTGCCCTCAATGGATGTTCTCTTGCATGTGGGTTTACGGGTAACTTGTTTCTTCTTTTCAACTTTGTATGTGCTTTCTCTCATACTTGTCGAATGTCAAACGCTAATCGTTTATTTACAGACTCGAAAAATTCGATATATTGTCGCCCTGCCAATGTCTATAATCTTCTGGTATTTTGCAACAGGGATCGTACGTCTTTCCTCCATCCACACTAGCCAATTCAGTTAAGCTAATGACCATCTTGTAGCTCATTGCAATTGAAGCATGCATGAACAAATATATCCCTCCGGCGGGGCCAGACCAAGTCTATTCGCAAGGCTTTTGGCATGCCGTTCTCGCCGCCATTTTTTATATGATTAGCTCAATGATCCTAATGATCAACATGCTAGGCTACTTCTTAGGCCACTACCCACAACATTTCACATTGACGGACCACCAACGCACCTTGATTCTGCAGACGATGATGTTCTTCATTTGGCTCGCGGGTGGAGCCGGTGTCTTTGCTCAAGTGTGTGACTGGTCATTTGTCGATGCTCTATACTTCTGCGACGTGACCATTCTCACTGTAGGCTTTGGAGACTATATTCCCGTGGACGATGCAGCAAGAGGTCTAGTCCTTCCATACTCTGTCGGGGGCATCATCATCCTCGGTCTCATGGTGAACAGCATCCGAAACTTCTCACTTGAGCTGAGCCGCGAAAAAATCATCAAGAGACACGTTGAGCGAAAACGAGCACGTACGATTGAAAAAGTGGTCACCACTTCGACCGAAATCCAACAACGTATGGCCACGCTCGAGCGCCGACCATCATTCATTTCCTCCCCGATGAGCCCGCGCGAAATTTTCGTCAAGATACCTGCGCCCCAAGCTGGACAGAAACCACTACATGTGGCTGCGCAGCGCTTCACCGACCGGCTTAACCAACACGAAGCCGAGAAAGAGAAGGAAGAGGAGGAGAAGGAGGAGGCCGCCAAGAAGGAGACCGAGGCTGAAATGGAAAAGGCTCGTCAAGCCCGTACACATCATCCTCATAACAACCATTCGCCGCATATTCCTGGCCAAAACTCAATACCTCTTCTCCGGCCCAAAGCCAAGCTCATCTTGCTACGCGCCGAAAAGGACCGATTCCTCGCGATGCGTAATATTCAGCGCTCCATGGCGCGCTTCAAGCGATGGTACGCACTCAGTCTCAGCGTCACTGCATTTGCGCTCCTTTGGTGTCTGGGAGCCGTTGTTTTCTGGCGCGCAGAAAGGGAGGTACAAGGCATGACATACTTTAAAGCATTGTACTTTTGCTACGTGTCTCTCTTGACGATTGGATACGGAGACCTCGCGCCAAAATCAAATGTCGGCAAACCCTTCTTCATCGTATGGAGTCTTATTGCTGTGCCCACCATGACCATCCTCGTCAGCGACATGGGCGACACAGTGATACACGGGTTCAACCGCGCTACCTTTGTTCTTGGCGACTGGACCATTTTGCCCAAGGCCGGGCTATGGAATTCCTTTCTCGAGAAGAATAAATGGGCCGTAGGGTGGTGGGGGAAATTTGTCGAATGGAGGGAACAGAAACAACTACGCCGCGAGCAGGAGAAACGCATTGCCGAAGGCTTTCCCATCGGCCCAGCCCCCGGTGAAGGTAGCGATGACTATGTTGCAGCGGACGACCCCGAAGCTGGGAGTGCGAGTCCGGATGTGCTCATGAGCTCCCGCGGCACAAGTAGGAACAACGCGCGGTCGCGGTCGAATGCAACCACCCGCGAGCAGTCTCGACCAACCCTCGAGACCCTTGCCACTGAGGAATTAGACGAACGTGCGCTCGCACGCAGACTCACCGCGGCCATTCGACGCGTCGCGGACGATCTGAAACTGGGCAGTACACGCAAATACGAATATGAAGAATGGGTCGAGTTTACCCGGCTGATTCGCTTTTCGGCATTGGTTGGAAGAAAGGGAAATCGCAGGGCCTCTCGAAGTGGTGGCCGCAGTGGTGTTGGTGGTGGTAGCGGTGGTGGCAGAAACAACAATGGCCAGGGTGCAGAAGGCGATGACAATGATGATGATAATGAGATGGAAGACGATATCGAACAAGAAGAGCAATCCCTTGGCTTGGTCGACTGGGACTGGATCGGCGAAGACAGTCCGATGCTCGCAGACCAGACGGAACCGGAATGGGTTCTGGATCGATTATGCGAGAGCCTGGACCGGTATTTCCGTCGCACTATCCCGCCGCCATCATCGTCGTCAAGACGTTCTCGGAGCAAACGGAAACGGACAAGGCAAGGCAGGACTCAACTGCGGTTTCATGACGAGCACGACAATGATGACGATGGAGATGGAGTTGGATCGTGATTGAGTTTGTTTTTGTGTCGGCTTAGTTGTTCCATTATATGTGTTCGCTTTGGTTGTTCCATTATACGTATTGGCCTTTTTGTTTTGATTATCAGTATATCTGTTTGATTATACGTGTATGTCAAAGGGCGTTCTTTTCCTGCTTATTGCGGGCGCAACGGTGCGCATCTTATAGTTGGAAGATTTCCAAGTACAAGGAGTTGGATACTGGTACCAGAGGGGTTACGGGATATACAGATACCCTTTTTTTGTCCAACGTTTTTGTTTTGTCTCACTTGTATGATACAGTACGTTTTTTTAGTATGTCTTTAGGGAAACAAAGAGTTCGGCTGCGCTTCAGTGGTTCCATACTAGATCGATATGCAGCCCGATATACAACAGAAATACCATATACTATATGATCTTTAGGGCGTTAAGCGGTAAACGGAAAGAGGTAGATAGAGCGAAGTATTATAAAGGGCGGGTATATTTGTATGAGATGGTATTGAGAAAGTAAGATCCGCATACTGTGAACCTCAATGACAATCCTCAAGTCCTTTCCTTGCATGCTATGATGGGTTTTCCCAAACTGAGCCCACCCACCTTTGACAGTTGGTGAATGACTCCGTCATCCACAATATTGTCAGAGAGCTCTTTGAATACCTTTTCTAGATTTTCTTCCGTCACATCCTGAGTCCTGTCTATATCGACGGTCGCCCAGACTTTGTACGAGTTCTCATCCGCAAGAACCCTCACGGACCATTATGGGCATGGACCAGGAACACAGGGATAAATGGTAAGCTGGCCACAAATCTGGGGTAGCGGACCCTGGCAGGTAAATATTTAGCAGCGGGTAGTCAGCCCAAGCGCCCTGGCGCGTCAGCTAAATAGCTGACTGGCTAGCGCCCGGGCTCTAGCGACGACAGAAGGGCGGTACCGCTATGGTAAGAGCTCCGCAGCATTAAGCTCTTGAACACCACATCTTAGCACAAATTCCACCAAGTGTCTCCAAAGAATACGATGACAGGGTGAATTGTAATGGTGTACACTGCTGCAGAGTCATGCAGTCCACCTTATCTCATATTTCCTTTTCCTTTCCACGTCCTTCCACAATTGGTAGCGTGAAAATAACATCACGTGCACTCTTAACTGTACCACCTCAGGTACGAGCATTGTCCGTGGCATCAATTGCAGCTTCAAGCTTCAGAGGTCAGGATCACTGCATCTGAAAATTCAGGCCTCTTACAACTGTGTTCTAGCTGTTCATTGGGATAACGACAATGGGTTTTACCATTATACCGGTGGCCGATGGCTGTTCAACGAGGCAGAGCAGTTCGCTGACAGACGCATTAACTTCAACATGGCAGAGTTGGTCAGAGTTGCAACTGCAAGTCTAGGTTGTGGCCCAGATTCATGCATTAGTGTCGAAAAGCTTCCGGAAGGTAACTATAATAAAGTATTTCTCATCAAGCTACATGATGGGCGACAAGTCGTTGCCAAAGTTCCTAATCCCAATGCTGGCCTGCCATTTTATACCACGGCCAGTGAGGCTGCGACGATGGAATTTGTAAGTTTAAGTCTCTTTCTGCTGTTCTGTATATGAAAAATGCGTTAGACTGAACTTCCGAGAGGTAAGGACTGTTGCTGGAATCCCATCGCCTAAGATTTATGCTTGGAATGCTCGTGCCGCAGAGAGTCCTGTCGGCGCCGAGTATATCATTATGGAGAAAGCTGATGGAGTTTTGCTTAGCTCCAAATGGCCTTTGATGAGCACAAAAGAGAAGCACCAGTTGACACAGAGTATCATTGCATTCGAGCGGAGCCTGCTTGCACATAAATTTGAAAATATTGGAAGCATTTATTATGAAAGAGACCTCGTCGACTCACAGGATAAGTTCCCCGCAACTGCTTACTCTGGATTCGTGGTCGGTCCCACTACCGACAGAAAATTTCTCGAAGACGGACGAAGGAAAGTCAAAACAGACAAAGGACCATGTATGTTTACCTTTTAATCGTCACCACTACTCTGACAATGAACATCTCAAATTCCTCTTTGCGCCTTTCTTCTGACACCTATGTCTATAGGGAATACTGCGAAAGAGTACATCCTCTCATCGGCCAGGCGCGAGAGAGCATGCATTCAGCAATCTATCAAATTCCCAAAGCCAGAAGGAATATTCGGTGGACCGAGATCCTACACGCCAACGGCCGCTGCAAAGCTTGCGGTGTTGGACGATTTTGAAAAGGTCGCTTCATATCTCCTTCCCAAGGACTCCGCTGTCCACATTCCTGTCCTATGGCATCCCGACCTGCACTACGACAATATATTTGTCGACTCTGCGAATCCGGCAAAAGTCCTTTCCATCATCGACTGGCAGTCTGTACATGTAGCACCACTCTTCCAGCAAGCCAGTACCCCGGCATTCTTGGAGTATCATGGTCCAAAGCCGCCAGAGGGCATATCGGCACCAACCTTACCAGACAATTTCAACGACCTGAGCCCCGTCGGAAAAGAACAAGCCGAAATCTTACTTGCGCAACAGTCTCTATACAAATTATACGAAATCCAATCTGCCCGACAAAATCCGCTTGTTTTCAAGGCACTACGCTACGCCAACACGCTTGGAAGCCAAATCATTTCTCTCGTTTCTCAGGTTTTCAATGATGGCGAACCGATTATCAAAGGCCAGCTGATCCAACTAGCGCATGAATGGGACCAGGTCGTCGGCAAGGACGGACCGCCTTGCCCGCTTAGGTTCACGCCGGCAGATATTGCTGCGCAAGATGCAGACCAGCAAAAGTGGGAAGAAGGCGTACAGCTCATGGAGGATGTCATTGACGCCCTTGGCGGTGCAGAAAACGGTTGGCAGGGCTGGGTGAGCCATGAGGAGTATGATCAGTTGAAGAAAAAGTTGGAAATTGTGAGAAAACAATTCGTGGAGCACATGGCGCAGAATGAGGAAGAGCGTGAGGTTTGGGATAGAGTATGGCCTTTTCAGGATACATAGTTTAGAACGGGGCCCCGAAGTATTGAGAGAGCGACGGGCATCATAGACGTATAAGACACGGCTTGCAAATCGATTCCGTCCCCGCCTTGCAAAGGACAATGTGAGCTAAAGAGCAGGACAGAAACAAGATTACTACCAAAAAACAAAGGGAAGCGCTCCATTAACGACAAGTGACACAAGTCCGTAAACATGACAACCTCTTCTCTCTCAAAACATTAGAATCTAGTAATTTCCTTCCGCCAGACTTTTCTGTTACTATATTTCAAAAGTTCTTCATTTCGCCAGCATCATTTATCCTTGTATCAATTCCCTATTATACAGTACAGTAACTCGTCCCCTTTGATGTGACGTTTCCGCTAAGTCCAGCAGCACGTTAAGGTAGTCCTCGTTACAATACAGTTGAGAAGCCCGCTGTAAGTCTTACCCAGCCGGCACTAACTACATTGTCCCATGGCTATAATAAACTTACTGTATGGGATAACCACAATTCAGTTCTACGGACAGCGGTAGATTGTACGTAGTATCCGTACCGGCCAGCCAATATCGTAGCTAAAAGCCAGGAGGCATGACGTAGCGCCAACGCCTGCACTAACAACCCACGCTAACTAAACGCTTGTTAACCCGCACTAAAAGCAACCCAAAAAAAAGTTGCCGAGAAGCGGAACCTCGGAAGTGGAAAAAAATGAGAATTGGACGGCCGCGAGCCGTCCGAGGACCGTTGGAGGACAAAAAAGATGACCTAACCAGGGGTCGAACCTGGAATCTCTTGATTCGTAGTCAAGCGCCTTGCCATTGGGCCATTAGGCCAATTGTTGAAATATGGGAATTTATAGTGATTTATGAACCATGAAAGTCCGCAGCAGCACAAAATGTTGCCTTTTAGCTGTGCTATAGGGCACGGAACATGATGCGTGACGGGTGCTAGAATGGAGTAAAGCAAGTATAAAGCAGAAAGTAAAGCAGAGGAGAAGAAATCATTTCAAGTGTGCCGCGAGTGAAGCTGTACGTGGAGTATTATCGGAAGTGATAGAAATTTTTTGCATTTGCACATCTCTATGCAGTCACGAATTTTAGGAATTTTGCAAGGGTTTATGGATCATGGTGGAGAATCGAGGTGGAATGGAGAAGAACCGAAAATAATTTATTTTGTGGAGGTTGGGGTTTCGAATAGAACTTGGACGAATTAGAGAGAGAGAGAGCGTGCGAAAGAAAAATACCTTCTGGGCTAAAAAATAAAAATAAAAATAAAGGATAAAGGAAAAGGATAAAGGAAAATCCAGAGAAAAGCTGCAAAATCTTGACATGATTCATAGCATCGTACATCGTGATGAATTAATATCGGGGATTTATACGTTCTGAAATGTTGCCTGTGCCACACATGGCGGTTTCGCGCCAGACCTTCTCGACGTGGCGATCCAGCTGGAATTTCCAAAACTCCAGATCCAGTTCCATGGGCGGTACTGTTTTTCTTCTGAAGACCACTTCAAAATCGGATGGTTCAAAACCACCATACCGCCGGTAAGTGGATGCCTCCAGCCTCAAAAATTGCAGCGATGGCATGCATGATGGCGACGAAGCTTTAGCAAGCGCGATTAAAAGTGGGTTTATGCGCTCTGGGATGGGCCGAAATCGAGATACGAAAACAGGTCTGTTCCCTATAATCTCTTCTTCAAGTTGTTCGTCATAATAGCCGGCTGTTTCCATGACCTGCATGCCATTCATTTCATGCATATTTTGCGGGTCGTTGTCCGCAACGTTGTTCTCAGCACCTCCAGCATTTCCAATAGGTTGGAGATTTTCAATACCTTGCACAAAATCGTCCGCATCATTCAGCATGTGAAACTCGGCAGGATCAACAAACACTCCCTCTTCAATTCCCTCCTCATCAATACCAAACTCCTGAGCAGTATATACCCGGTCAAGGTCGTGTTCAAAGTACCATTCACCATTCGGAGCAACTAAGCTAAACGTAATGTCCAATAGTTGAAGATTAGGCCAGAAGGGGACAGGCCCGGAGACCTCATTCTCGGGGTTTCTTGTTTCACTTGTTTTCTCAATCTGCGGCCAAAAGAGTGCTGGAGAAATGGCGATTAGACCCCCTAACTCAACTCTGACAAGGTTTGTAAGGCGATGAAAAGACCCGCGAAGAGATATGCTCAGATCATCTATGTTTGGGGTTTCTGGAAGCAAAGCACTTGGCGGAGAGAATTCGTGGTCCAGGGGATCCATGTAGCAGAAATTCATGCGCAAATGCTCCAAAGATGGCTGATTCAAGACTGCAAGTGACTCAGCCAGCCCTGAGTAGGTAACGGCCGCAGATTAGCGTTTGGATCTTTTAGGATCAATATCCCGGACAGGCTTGGAATACCAGCGCAAAACAACAGTCATTTGATGCTGAATGCAGAATATTGGCGCATATGAGTGGGAACATGAAATTTGTCAAAGGCGAAAGGGAAGGCAATGAAAGAGTCATACCGTATCGATTTCCAGCTCTTAAAACTGCAAACTTTTTCTCATTGTCATCGAGCCCAAAGGTGCATGATCACAGGTTTGGAAATATTGATGCGATTGCAACCATAGAGGCAGGCTCTATTTTACGGCTCGGAGAGTCGGTATAATTTCCAAAATGACGAACGCGATATATGCGTGGTAGCCGAGCAGGGTCCAATAATCGCAAAAAGGAGTGATCATAGCGGTGTTCGAAAAGGTCCGGCCGAAGGCCACGACTGTGTAGATGTCGATCGTCGCCTCGTTTCTCAACGTTTCGGTAAAACTCATCCATTGGAGAGTAGATTGTTCGAAGCGTCAAACTTAGAGATGGCAGTAGTGATCTATTCCCCTTTTCTAATTGTATAATCCTGGAAGATGCATCTTTTGCCTTGTTGCTCCAACGCTCATCGTTGGCTCCAATTCCGAATTTAGGCAGCTCCCATGACTCCAATATTTTGAGGGAGTCAGCATTGCATTTGAGAAAGCCTTGATATTTCGTGTCTTGTCCTCGTCAGTTTCATATTGGCCACAGGCCTCGTCGCTGTAGGTTGGCAGGACAATAATTAAAGATATTGTCTGCAAGGCATTTCTTCGATGCGCATGCCTCGGACCAAAAATCTTCTCAAAATCGGATAGAGAATCGGAGGATATTGTGACATTTGAAAAGGTGTGGCGCTCAATGGCGAATTGCCAGGAGCGAGAAATGGATGCATAGGATGCGAGCTGTAAACGCGACCCTTTTTTCCGACGATGTGAGAAAATACCCGTCGGGTAAAGAAAGAAAACAATGCGGGAGAGAAGTTCTGGCGGGAGATCGCTCAGAGAAGGGGGCATATCGTTTGTGACGCTGTCAATTGGATTCACTGATGCAGAAAGGTGACCATAGAAGAAGATGGAGGAAGGTGTTGAGAGATCGGTCAAATACATCACACGTTTACGTCGAATAGTTGGGAGTTGTTGCATACAGAGTACGTACCCCTCAATTACCCCCGTCTGATCTGCATTTGTGACGTACTGCTTCGTTGCATGCGTGTCTGATGGCGACTCAAATGCGTTTTCCTACAAGGCCATATCAGAGCTCTTCATTTGGAACCATGAAGTATTGATAACTCATCACAGAGAAGGTAGCATTATGTAGGGAAATTTGAACAAAATTATACAAGATCAAGGTTCACAGTAACCACTTATATCAGCCCGACTGAGGTGGCATAGATCCCCTCACAAACAATCGTCACCATTATGAAACAGTCAAGGAAAAAGACAACCACAACTCCTCATTGCTCGGGAAATATTCCGAGAGCTTTCCTGCATTTATCCGCCATTACAGAATCCGTTGACCGCAAATTAAAATGACCAAAAAGTAGACGAAGCCCAATGGGTATATCGAAGAAACGACAGACATGAAAGGTAATATATAATACGAAAGGGGACAATGTTCAAAGAATGTCTGGGTGAATAGAGGTTTTCTATTCCGTCGCGTCGCTCAATATGTTTGCATCGCTGGCCCTATGAGTGGTACAGCGATTAGCCCCGGACGTCATGAACAAATCAGAGAACCGTTCACAGACCCATCATCTATGTCGCTAACTTGAATAGAGCTAGAAAATCTAACTGACCTTTGCTTTCCCTTGTCCTTGCCTTTGGGACCTCTGCCTCTCACAATGCCGTTCACCTGCGTCTCCTTACTCTCACATGACGCGCCATTCTCATGCTCATGGTACTCGCAATCGCCGTCCTCAGTCGGATCTGCGAATAATTTACCGCCCGCCCCTTCTCGAATCGCATTTACCAAATCGACGGCAAAATCTGGATTCCCTTCGAAACAGCTCCGGTACGACTGAGCGTCTTTGTCCTGGTCAGGGTCCATAATCTGTCTCGCAGCAATGCGAATGACTAGTTTTCGGAATGGTGAGCCAGGAGCGGCTTTATCATAGATTGGCTTGATCTCCTCAGGATCTGGAACCAAGCCGGCTTGATGAATACCTTTCCGATATTGATCCATGGCAACATTCTTGAGCTGCGAAATATTGAACCTCTCACACAGCACATACAGCTTCTGACATGCTGTCGCGTAATCCCATTTGCGCTCAACCGGCATGTCTGATACATCGTCAATGCGGCCTTGGTAGAGCCACTTCACAAGTAACTCGAACCCGCCAGGATCGTCTTCAGGTAAATCGAGTTGGTGGCCAGACTTTTTCTTCGCATCTTCGGGAAAAACTTCGGCAAAGTAGTCACTGTGATGGCAAAGGAGGTTGCGATGCAGCGACCAGGACCGTTTGTTTTCGTCGGAACCGACGTGGATGTCGACGATCGGACCGGAGAGAAGTCTGGAGGGGAACATGACGAATGTCGTGGTTAGCTGGGAGAGTTAACTGAGTTTACACAACTTGAAATCGAGGGAAAACCGAGCGGCCAATAGCGTAGCAATGGGGACAAGTGGGTGAGACAAGACTCACTCAGCAAAGGTCTTGGCCGTGGCTTCGCTAATGTTAGGATTGGCCATGCGAAGACGTCGACTGTTTTGATAGGCAAAATCGCGATAGTGGATGCGCAGGTCGTACGCAGGGATGTGCATGCGATGAGATCGATCCAACGTCAGTCGCTAGCTAAGTTCGCAAATGTGGCGCAGGCGAGAGAGTTGAACGTATATTATCAGTTCACACGGCTCAATGATAATAGAAGCGCTGTCACAGGATGTTTGCACTGTTGCGCAGGGTAGACTAATTCAGTCATGAATGGTGGCGAGAATGATTCGATATTTCGCCTGCCAGGCATTGATTGCCATGATCTGGAGATGATCGACGCAGAAGGAGGTTGCAGGATTCAGGAACAGAAGAGGGTGGTCGCAGCATTACAAGGTGGCTGGTCACTCGAGCGGAGGCGAAGGCGGGGTGGAGGAAGCGGAGAATAAGCGATAAGGCTTGGCCCTCGCGTGGCTCGCTTGACGTCGCTTACGGTAACTGTCGTCAGAGTGGCATTAGTGGAGGAAACACGCAGTAAAATCATCAAAACAATCCAGCTTACTATATAAAGAAGAGGAAGAGGGAGCCGAGAAAGATCTGTATTTTGATGTAGTAAGTGACTATTACTCATGATTGCTATGCAACGCGAGTTTGCCGGTCTGAATCTGTATAGGGGTCCATCTCAGGTTGCGGTGCCAAAGTCCACGGACTCAAATACAAGCTAACCGGATATGGAACGCGTTTCATTCGAGACGCTATACCAGAAGTGGATAATGGCTAACGCGACAGGAGTCCCAGCGCGTCACGCGTCGTATATTGAACAGAAACCCTTATCGACGATCTCAATGAAGCATCGGACAGATTGGCGATACCCTGATATACGGATTATGGAGACTGCTTGGGCAACAATAGAGCCAATCACCATGGATTGACAGTCTTCGCCATGGATTTCTCTTCACCGCCGTCCTTTCCCTCCTCATTCGATCCCGCCGTTCATCTCCATTCAGAAGCAAACGACCCTCTACCAGCAATTGTACATCCATCCAGCGAAGCCGACCGTCTCGAGGCCATCCAACTTCAACGTGAGGAGGCGGCAGCACAGAAATCTCGCCAAGGAATCGTCATTCAGCACCGGGCCTGGAAATTAAAAGACGTGTTTAGGAGCGAGGACGACTACCTGCCAGGTCTACAATACCAACCCTAATTGGCCGCGAAAATATCATTTACTGATATTGGAGTTATTGCAGATACACCCATAAAGAAAAGACTTCGGCTTGATAACCCACTGCCATTTCTTTCATCTTCGTTGGATACGCCTCCGCCTTCCTCTCCGCGACAAGCCAACATGGCATTAATATCTTCTCCAGTTGCTTTCCCTCCAAGCTCTTCGCCCCCTCCGCAGCATCACAGACATGTGACCCAAGACAAGAGGCCATCAACGCAGACCACAACTGCACCGAAAACAATGGCCGGGTTCATTATTGACGATGAAGACGATGAGGATGGCTTTGAGGCTCTAAAAGAAATGGAAACGACAGATGTTTCTCGACCCAAAGACCAGGAACTGCAGCATAAATTGCACGACCATCCTACCCAAATAACCCCACCAAGTGAACCTGCCCGACCTGCCCCATTTGGCAGGTTCGAACAACGTCGGGACGCCCATAAACCTCAAACTACGCCATCATTCTTACCCAAACTTCCATCGTTGTCGTCCAGAACTACCATACCAATACGAACATGCTCTGGAAAGACGTACACGACGTTCCGCAAAGCTGCCACAAACCCAACGTCTTTCCAAGACATGGCTGCAGCAAGATCAACTACAGCGCCAGGTCGCGCAAAGAAGAGTTACTATGGCATCGACGTACATCGGTTGATTGATGAAAATACAGAAGAAGATAAGAGGTCTGCACAAGAGTCAGCAGCGGCGGAAAATAGCTCAGCGCGACCCTCGGTAGAGACGTCTCTTCCGCAACCTTCAACCGACAAAAGAGGCAGGACGATGATGTGGACCGAAAAATACCGCGCAAAGAAATTCACAGAACTTGTGGGAGACGAGAGAACACACCGGTCAGTGCTGTGGTGGTTAAAAAAATGGGACCCGATTGTCTTTCCGGGCTCAGCACGGCATAAGCCTATGTCAGCGAAAATGCAAGCTGCCGCGGAGGAACGTTCTCATCGGAAAATTCTGATGTTGACAGGCCCTCCAGGGCTGGGTAAAACTACCTTGGCCCATGTCTGCGCGAGACAAGCTGGGTATGAGGTTCTGGAAATCAATGCCAGCGACGACCGCAGTCGAGATGTGGTCCGGGGAAGAATTCGGGACAGCGTTGGCACGGAGAACGTGAAAGGGGTTGACGTGAAGACCGCATCAGGAAAGGAGCGGCGAGCAGGCCGCCCAGTCTGCGTAGTGGTGGATGAGGTGGACGGAGTTGTTGGCGGAAGCAGCGGCAGTGGAGGTGAGGGTGGTTTTGTCAAAGCTTTAATTGACCTGGTTCTTCTTGACCAGAAAAATAGCAACTCACTGGACCAATCGAGCTCCTCCGCGAATGGAAAAAAGAAAAAAGGAGACAGCTTCCGTCTGATGAGACCCCTTATACTCATCTGCAATGATGTGTATCATCCATCTCTACGCCCATTACGACAGTCAAGCCTAGCTGAGATTATCCATGTGCGCAAACCTCCTATCAATATGGTCATTCCTCGAGTGAAAACTATATTTGAGAAGGAAGGATTCCCATGTGACAGCGATGCAGTTCGCCGACTGTGCGAAGCTACGTGGGGACTCAGGAGTAGAAGAGAAGGCGGAGGACCTAATGACAGTGGCAGTGGTGAAGGCGATTTACGTGGTGTTCTGGTGGTTGCAGAATGGATCGCTCGAAAGCTCAAGTCTACAGCCGATCCTACACTGGTAGAGCCAATGCGCCTGACAAAGAAGTGGGTAGAGCGACATGTCATCAACGATCTTTCACATGGCGGTGGCAGCGCTCGGGGTCTCGGTCGGGGCGGGGCTAGAGAAGTTGTCGAACGAGTATTCCTCGAAGGTGCAGGGTTTCCAAAGCCTATTGATCCAGGCCACCCGAAGGAAGCCAAATCAGCACCTGGTGGGAAAGTAGGAGTGGCAGAAGTGGGCAAACGATACGCCATGGAGCGATTGCGCGATATGATTGATGCAAGCGGCGAATACGACCGCGTCATGACTGGTGGGTTCATCATTGCATTCATGTCAGATTGGCTGCCCGTTTGTGCTAATTGTCATCAGAGTGTTTCTCTGGTTACCCAACTCACCGCTTCCAGGACGACACCTTCCTTTCTAAGCCAAATTCAGCTTATGATTGGCTACAATTTCACGATATCATGTCTTCCAAAGTATATACTAGCCAAGAATGGGAGTTGAATCCGTACTTGAGCCAGTCGGCGCTTGCATTTCACTATCTTTTTGCCTCTCCCTTGCGAGACCAGTCCTGGGCAGACTCAAGCTACGAGCGTGGGGCACGTGGAGGTGACGATGAATTGGTCGAACCTACTCCGTTCACCGGCCTTCGCGCGGACTTTGAAGCGTACGAAGCAGAGAAGCACAACCGCTCCGTCTTGCTATCACTCCAATCGGCACTCTCCCTGCCTCTTTTACGTTCATTCCGGTCTCCGGAGTCAATATCTTCCGAGTTGCTTCCTTACTTAATGCAGCTACTAACTCCGGACGTCAAGCCAGTAGTGGTCGGCGGCAGCGGCGACCAAAAGAGCGTAGCCTCCGTTCGCAAACAGAGTGAAAAGGATATGGTTGACCGGGCAGTCGAAGTAATGGGCGGAGTAGGTGTTACATTTCACCGAAGTAGAGTTGAGACTGAACAGGGCGGTCATGGAGGGTTCATTTATCGAATGGAGCCGTAAGTAGTCTACTTGATCTTGTTTTACACCTGCCGCCCCGAGACTAACGGAATCTTTCAAGGCCAATCGATGCCCTTTGCTCTTTTGAGACAGCCTCTAGTTCGCTGCTTACTTCTGTCCCAACACGCTATGCTGTCCGGCAAGTCCTTGAGCAAGAATATCAGAAATACTTGGTCCGTCAAAACGCCGCGGCTCGACAAGCGCGATACAAACGCGGTGGCCATGACGACGACGAAGAACTTCCTTCAGAGTCGAAATCCAAATCCACCAAACATGCAAAAGACAAGTCCGCGGCTTTACTCAGCGAAGCTATCCAGAATACAAAAGAACTCAAACGGGACTTTTTCGGCCGGATCATCAACGAAGCGAGGAAGCACACAGGCGCTCTTGCTCCTGGTCTGAAAGGAATTGCTACCGATGGGGAAGATGAAGAGAATGCTTCAGGCACAGGTGCAGAGAATAGAAAGAAACGACGCAAGTCTAAGCATTCCGGAGAAGACGGTTCGCCTGCAGTTGCGGAAACACAGGAGAATAAAGTGTGGGTTAGTTTTCATGAAGGGTTCTCAAATGCGGTCAGAAAGCCAGTTACCCTGGCGGATTTGCTCAGTGAGTTATAGATGGTAGTTCAGTGCGGGCTATATCGCATATATAAAATTTAATAGATTTGCGGAGACCTATTCATTTTAAATATTCGCCTACTGGCATTACATTTGTTCCTGCGTTGTATGACCAGTCGCAGATACGGCGGTGAACATAGACATAGCAGTTGCAAAATATGGGATCGGAAAATAAATTGACCCTTCAACATTTGACTCCGTTGAATGCATGTTTGCTTAAGAGCAGGATTACCTTTGCGCCTCTGATAAATTTCAACATTCACAAGTCTTTGGCCCCTTCCCTTACTGATAAGTAAAACTTACACTTCACATGGCCATAGCATTCACATAGGATGGTCTATACAACTATGAAAAGACTTCCAGCGGTACATCTCCGCCCTATTTGTTCTGAACTTCTGATATATAATCCCTATACCCCCTTACTTGAACTACCCACGTGTGTTAAATATTAGGACTCAGGCACTGAAAAATTCATATGAAGATATGGTACTCCAATTGCGCAAATAGGGGTATATAGTTAAATAAAAGACAACAACATATCATATTGTCTAGACTCTCTACACTAAATTTGGGCGGCAGCAAGAGAGGAATCCAGTGGCACCATAGGTCTATTTATATGCCCTTGGGCTACTAACAGAGGCAATTATTCGGGTGGTACCCTCTTCTCAAATTGTTTTGATGAATTATAACAGCTGGAAGAATGAGTGTGTCTTTCATCAAACACTGCTCAATGTGGCCGGTTGTGAGTCACAATGTGATTGAAAAAGGAAATAAAGGTCGACTTAGGGAAAATAACTTTTGATGAACTATGTTCGACAACTGCATATAACCTACCTAAGATAAATTGCAGTCTTCGGTACCTTGACATACAGGTATTACACAACCACGGGGGAGAACGTCTTCGTATATAAAGCTAATGATGAATTCTCATACCGGAAGACCAAGCCAAAAATGCGATGCAGCAGCACCTTTTTTTAGAAAGCAAACAGATTCAAAGTTCTAAGAGATGCAGAAACTGCAGCTTACAGCGCTAGGGTTTAATTGTTGCTCATATGATAAAGTATAGGGTCGGCCGGTCATGGCCGCCTCGCTCCTTCCTCTTTGAATGATACATTAAATCGGCTCAAAAACAAACTCGTCTGATCAACTGACGTGAGGTGAGCACACGCTTCGGTCGTCACTCCAGAGATCATCGTTACTGATCCAACTATACCCCCCCGAAGTCAATCAGTTTATAAATGATGATCAGTCGGCTAATGACGATATCGGCAAGCTCTCTGATGAGCTCGATGAATACGACTATCAAATATCCAGATGATAAGAAGCATCCCACAGGACCGGTCATTTTACTATCAAAGAGGATGATATACAAAGCTGCCTAACAGTAGTATTGCATGGAACATCAAGCTCATGTGTCAGCTTATTGAAACGAATTACGCTAAACGGCGACGTCCACAACTTCAAAACAAGATGCTCATTGGGCCCTTGGTTTGGAACAGATGCCGGAGATTGTATGGAAGAAGAGACAAAGAAAAGAAGAAGTAAATTCTTGGTTTCCTGGAGACAGCGAACGGTCTAACAGTATCTAGAAGCTTGTCAGCCTGAAGAACCGTTCAAGATGGGATAATCCAGATGGGATACAAGCACAGTTTGCATTCAATAATCAACAATACCATGTACCAATCATCAAGCCTAAAAGGCTACCATCAGAATGACAGCGATTCAGATTCTACCGACTCGACAACTAAAACACACAGTACAAAGATCTGTAAGCTTGATGCAACAGGATATTGACTATATAAGTCCAATCACATAAACTTGCCCTTTGGCAGTTTAAAATTGGACATTATCAGTCCACGAATCCCCAAGCAAAGCACACCTGGAAGAAACCGGAGTCATTCATTGCGCGTTGCAATTGAGGATCTCTTACGGCAATTAATTCACACTTGATCTTGTGGTGTCTGCCACTGCAGACGCTCACCATCTTCGCTGAAGAAAATTCATGGCTCACCCATATGTCTGTCTAGAGCACTTCAGAGTTGCAATCAGATCTCCATGTTATAAGTATTTCAGCAGAACATCGAAGCCCCACATACCGTCTGCCAACTGCAGTGCAAGTCAAAACAGGATTTGAATGGATTTCACTTTTCCAAGAGCATGATGAAAGAAATCGGAGACAAGCACCGACAGACCGTGGCTAGTTCGGAATTTTAAAGGAGTTAACTAGTAAGTACATCTTCTTCATATAGTAAAGTTTTAGCTAATAGTTTTACTATAGCCAATGTATTTTACAATGGCATAGGTACTTCTCACGGGAATGATATTCTACACATAGCCAAGATTCATCCAGCACATACAGCCAGCCTTGTCCTTGGAGATAAACAGCTCAGAACCCGACTCATTAATGCCATAGATCAGTACTTTCAACCTGCTAGAGATCCACACTCTATCTACAGAAAGAGGGTTCTAGCAAGCACCAGTGGAGGCAGTGCATTTTACCATCCTCTTACTGTCACTCGATATATCAGAGGGTCTTTCATCAAAGTGTACAGAAAGACAGCCCAAGGAGTGTTTGTGGGAACAGAAGAAGTAGATCAGATGGTGCAGATGGGATTGATAGAGCCACCTCCTCCATCTACTCGGCCTGTCCAGAAGAGAAACATACCAGTCCATGCATTTGCCTTGGAGAGTCGCTCAGCTTCTAAGAAGCATGATGGGTATTGTTATTCTGTCATTCAATTTGCCACCGTTCATTCCATACCTCTTTTGCCTGTTTTCGTTTTACCCGCTTTTCTGGCGTCGTGGACAAGATTCCGGTCTTGGACAGCTTCGACTATTGACTTCTCTGAGCTTTTGGGCTTTAATGATAATATTTGGGCACACTGTGGTTAGTTGACGGAGAGGAAATCTCCATTTAGCACCGATTGGGGACGTCGACGTCATCCTCTTGGGTCCAATTTGTCTATTTTGTCCGTTTCCTCCGGCTTTTTCATTAAGGTATCATTTACTACTATGGGTCTTGCTTTCCCCGAACCTCGTCGTCTTGTTACAGTCCAACTCAACCCCATCTTTCAAAACATGGAATTGAAGGCCTTGCCGGTGGTAGCGTCTACGGGTCACACCCTCACACCCACGGAAGTCAGGACTGCCGAATACCCTGATGTCATCTTCGATGGGAACTCAACATCCACTCGCCAGAGGACGTTCTTCGAACGGCTCTCAGGAAGAAGGAAACCTACTGGCCAGACGTCGAGCTGTATCAAGAGTCACCTGATTACAGTTTCCATTAACAGAAGACATTACCCTTGTCTCTTGCAATCTTAATGCCCTAAGAATCGCCAAAAAAGAAAAGGAAAATTGGGAGAGCAAGATGCTTGTGGTAATTTGGTTCGTCCCGTTTCAGGTCGACCCCACTGCTTCTATTTATAGTAGATTGGTTGTCCAAGGAAAAGCTTCTCGCTCTCTGACGATGAGTACGAAGATATTGCGTCAGAGAGCATAACGACTCACAAAAAAGCTTAGATGACGTCCCCTAAGCTGAAGGCTGATGAATACCTCTTTAAGCTTTGAATGAGTAATAGACTGTTTCAGCGTTTCAGCATTAGGAGCATTCAACAAATACAAAAGATGGAACTGCTTGCCTCAGCAAGCAAATCGACAATGAATGCTGCTTTTGGAAATGCCATCTAAAGGCATTTTGTGGCCATTAAAAGCACGGGGAACGTTTCTACTTGGCACACTGTCTCACCCTGGCTTGAAATGAGTTGCTGAAAGGATTATATCCGAATATAAAGACATCCGTGTCCTCGGGAGAGTATTCTTTATCAAAAGCCTCGGCTGAGAATAAAATTTCCGAAACGATTAAAATAATGTCTACACCGGTGTCGACACATCAATTCTCTCCTCAAAAGAAATTTGCAATACTGGCTGGCGAAATTGTATGCTGCTAAAGGCTGATAAAGTATGTATATATCCGTTGACTATTCCATGGCTTATTCTTTGGCTCAAACAAAGAAGTGCTGACCAAGATACTCTACTCCAGGCATGCCGAACGGGAAAGCAGAAGAGATGTATTGCTTTTGAGCAGTTCAGAGAGAAGGACGTATGCTGAAGAAGACCAATGGGAAAAGCGCATGGTCTAGCGATGTAGGCGATAGAAACGAATGAAAAATTGCCTTTCGAGCCCACCAACTTGGATAAGTAATATCTAGAAATGCTAGATAGATTAAAGCATTCTTATAGTGAACTACATTAGAATATATAGAGTTGATCTATGAATTATACATCTTTACTTCTTCCAGTATACAGTATACTTAAAATAAGTGAATATCAACGTAAAAAAGAGCATTACAAACGTTCCAAGAAATCTCAGTATACTCATTCTATTCCCGCCGTTATACATGTACTATCCTGAATGCTCATTTTTGAAACTCCACCTATCCGTCCTCCTATCCGAAACTGTGCTCCATCTTCGTTTTCTACTTATCTGAGAATTACCACGGTCCACGCGACAATGTTTCTTGACATAATTCCCCTGTCTTCTTCCGATATGGAGTAGAGTACAAACCAGTCATCCAGTCATGTCCAGTCGCGTCCAAAGTCAGACCGTCAGACCGTCAGACCATCAGACGTCACGCACTTGCGAACTGTCTTGGCTCTTGAGAACTTTCTCTTTCCCCCCTCCCCCATAGGCTATACCTGTTCACAACCGCATCTTTAAGATTGGCTGCTGAAGTATTGACCTGCATACGCGTCTGGTGGGTCACTGCGTAAATTCATCTGGACTCCGTAGGCTTGAGTCCTCCGAATCTTTGATATGATTTGTTTTGAGTTTGCGTTGTATCTCCACCACCACCACCACCACCACCACCACGGGTCCACGCGACATCCGTTGTTGCAGCAACTTCATTTTGAGAGATGAGTATCGTCGTATCGACTTCATCTGGTTTCAAAAAGGTATTTACAGACCCAAGTTCCCAACATTTCCTTATAGATCTCATTACATTTCAATCACCAAGCACAACACCACCTGTCTTCAAAGATTTTTCATTCACCAATGCAATTGACTCGCTGTAAACCACCTTTCACTGCAAAATCGGATATGAGGTAAGACTATAAGGCAAAAAATTCTCTCCAATCCTCATGTCGCCTGCTCGATGAATCCAATAATATCACTTGTGGTCCTCGTCTTGCTCCTTACCTGCAACATATACTTCTTGTATGCTTGACCAAGATCCGCCTTGGATTGGCATATTGCTCGTTCTTTTCGTTGGCTGGAGATTGCGCGCTTGAGCGCAGTTCTGGGTCTCCATAATACAATAGGCTGTAGCTTTTGATACTTTGATACCGCCTGCCACACGGGATTGGGAGGGCGATATGGATAGAGAAGTTCGAATAGATTTTTCCAAGTGAGCCAGTCAACGGAGTCTGGAATTCGGCTCTTTTGCTCTCATGACTAGTCTTGCGGAGTCTTTCTGGCCATCTCGTGAGATTCCCTTTTGTGCTGTGCAATAAATTGAGGTCGGACGTGCTGTTAGTACTATACCACCCCAGAAAAGACCAAACAGGATGGGAGCAGGAGAGGAAGTCAAAGAAAAAGAAACTAAAGAAAAACCAATGTATCATTAGATAAGAAAGTTCGTATGATGGATAGGAGTATTGTGTTTTTCCCAAATGAAGAATTGGTAGGTTCTTCGCCAGTGTTTCCACTTTGAATCTGCGCTATTCAAGATTTTTGGCAAAATGTTGGTGCCTTGACGAGACATTCCTCTTGTCAGGAGGGGTTCCAGATCCGCACTTCTGTGTTGGCAAGAGTTGCATGATCTTGTCGAGGACTGAGAAGACAAATTTCCCTCTTTCGACTGTAATTTTCTCATCGTTCCATTCTACGTCTTTTGCATATTTCTTTTTTTCTGGTTTGTATGTGATCCCTCGCTGGAGATCATGAGCTCGTCAGATCACTCTTGTCTTTCATTTGCTGCCATCTCCTGGAGCTCTTGGAAGTAACCGACTTCTTGCGAATTCATCTTTCAGGTCTTTGGTTTTTTGATCATTTAAATTTCTTCAAATTCCTCGGATTTTGCATCCATTGGCTTTTTGTGTTGAATAAAGAGAAATCTTCCGCTTGAGAGCCTTTCAGTCGATTCTGACGGCTTGTGAGTATTCATTCAGTCTCTCAAGTCTGTCGTCTGTCTCAATCGAAACCAATTTCTTCAGGGATCAGGATATCTGGACAGGCGGAGACGCTGATGCATCTTATTTGACAGCCAAAATGGAAAGTGAAATCTATCAAAGTCTCGCGCAATGCAGTGCTTTCCTTCTTCACTTTAGTATCCACAGGATAATCATGGTCCCAATGGCCACCTCCGCACGTGTGACGAGGTCGAAAGCTATATCCAGCCTCCTCAGGGTCCTTCCAAGAGACGTTCGAACTCATCATCACATACTTTCCTGTCTTATTGTTGATAGACCAGGGGGCTGGACACGAGGTACTATCAACACTATCGGCCTGAGGTACTGATTGCTGGATTTCGTATTTAGAGCGATTTAGGGTTGTTCACTCCATCAACTCATTGTCGGTTTATGACGGACCTCATGCCTGTGCCTCAGAAGTCTAGATGCTCCGCTTTCAATGCTGTCTGAAGCTTGTCTAGACGATCAGAAGAATTGGTAAGTGGATTCTCGTCGTCTTCAAGCACCGATTCCATGACGATTGTATTTCTGGTTCTCGAAAGAACCCGTCGTGGATTCTTTCCATTAGATAGTTCTCATTAGTTTAATTAGCAATCCGCGGCGAGAAATAAAAGAGGTCTGAATCCCATGGCCAGAGGCCGTAGCAGCAAGCTATTTCTCTTCGTTGTGTTACTAAAGCAGCCAGATCGATGCGATACTAGACACTGAATCCTCAATAGCTGACCTTCCTAGAGGACAACATCTTGAAATCGATCTTGCGGAGTTGTTCGCCAACCTTCTCAATAGCATAAATACCCGTTCTCCATCCGGGTATTTGATGTGATAGCATCGCTGAGCTAAGCTCCCACAAGACAATGTTAGTTGGTTCGGATTTTAGGGACGTCTTAATGTCCGTGACTGCACGAGGCTTTAAGAATATAAAGTCAGGACAGTTGCGGCAGACCCCAAAACACGCCCCACACAAGGAAGGGAGCGGATTGTCCTCGAGACTATACACATGTTAGCTGTGTACACACAATTTAGGAGCGTATGACTCACCTGAACCCAAAAAAAAAAAACGCCTGGATACAGCTGGGCCGGCCACACTTAATTTGTTTTGGCCGTGCGGACTAGCATCATCATCTGGAAGAATTTACCACAGTCCTTTCAGACGCCAACAAATTTCCGAATAGCCGTGCGTTCGATCTCGGTGTAGCCTCGATTGGAAATTTCATTGACTGGAAACTAAAGATTGGAACTTTCTTGACAAATGGATCCACGACGGATCTTTCGGGTCCCATAATGACTATGCCAAAGAGCATGTTGGCCAGTAAGTTGGAGAGGTCTATAAGGGAACGAGCCGCACCACAGGGCCAAGGCGAGCCAGCAGCTCACGATGACCAGGCCGAGGGACATAGCGGTTGAGCTACACGTCAGGTCAGCAGAGCCAGTAGCAGCGTACGAGGCAGAAAACTCACCTCAGCGTTGGCTATGTCCAACACCAAGCCATTGGACCCCGGAAGATACGAAATCAGGGCATCCGGCCGCCCAACCACCGTGACATGCCTGTGATGGTACGACGGAGGGATGACCATCACCATGGTGGCAGCACTGAGAGCGGAAGTACCATCAGGGCCAGCAGTGGACGGAGCAGCAGGGGCAGCGGGAGAAGTTGGGGTCATATCCATCTCAACGAAAGGGCCAGAGAGTGCCAGGGGAGCAGGAGACGTGGTTTGGGTGGCCACAAGAGGTGACCACTCCAGCTTCGGGCGTACCGGAGCAGAGGAATCGCGGGCCGTGCGAAAAGGGTCCACTTTGCTCTGTCCCAAAGGAGCTCAGAATCCAGTCGTTTTAACTTGGCGTCTAGTTGAGCGAGAAAGAAGCATAAGGCTTCTTGCTGATGCCGATTCGGACTCTGTAAATTTTAGAATGGGGAAAAAATCTAAGACACCCTCCAAGGATGAGCGATGATGAAAATCAGCTTTTCGCAGAATTCTGCGCACCGAAGCCATAATAGATGACTTTTGGAATGTTCTAACTTCTTTCTTATAGAGAGAAGACTCGGAGCCGGATGTCATACGTGACACCTAAGCCACTGGAGAACCCTAGCCGGCAAGATGAGCCGAGCTGGCCCCACCCCCGAGATTGAGCCAAAAGGCAAAGCAGCATCTTCCTCGAAAAAGCATCAATTTCCAGAAGACGTTGTATGGCACAACTGAACCAAAAAAAACCCTCTCCAAACGACATGGAACGTCAAAAATAACGAGGACTAAACGGCAACTACAAAATAGTGCCCGATACCACTAGAGGTTTTGTGTTCGCATCAACCGGTTGGATTCGTGCTTTGACCTGAGCATTGTGTCTGCCCTCTGGAAATATTGTTGTAATACTGGAGACAATACCATATCAGTATCCTCTTGTCACGGAAATAAATCTCTCCTGGCTTTTCGAGTCCGTAACACTCCGACGGTAAGTGACGGAGTTTTAATGGCATGTTTCAATGAAGTTTTAATTTTATTGAATATTCGAGCCCAGGCTCTTTCTGGTTTAGCATCTTGTATCTTTGGCGGCGCTTGATATTAGGTTGGGCTGGATTTGGTAAAAGAATTTTGATAAGCCGACTGAAGAGTATCGTCATTTGCGATACTTCCAGTATTGGTCTGGAATGATTGCCATCAAGACTAGTAATATTGAGATATGTTGAGGTATTTCCATCAGCTGGACCTGCAGCGCGTTCGATAATAAATATTCTATGGAGCGGAGACCGTGGAGCAGATTGAGATGACCCGAGAGAATGGTCCAACTTCAGAGGAGCGACTACATATCCCCAAAATAAACAATGAATGGCTTGGATATTAACTGCGTAGGTGACTCTAGCAGACAAATGAATATTCTGGTGCATGAAGCTGATGCATGAAGCTGATGCATGAAGCTGATGCATGAAGCTGATCCATGAATGGTCGAAGGTTAATGAGCAAAGTGGATATAGGAAGAAGGTGAAGTAAACAAAGGGTCTGGCGCACAGGTCGTTTCCTGATCCGTGCAGTAAGCTTGGGCCCCTTGGGCTCTCGAGATCGAACATGGAAGGAACAGATCCGGTGTTCGAATCCCTGACCCAAACAGTTTCTCTCTGCGCACAGTTTTGTATATCACGGAAATCCTGACAATGAATACATCTTTCTGAAAGATCCAGAATTGTATATACAGATATCTATACAAATATATATAATGTCCTTGGGATCATACCCTGATCATAAATTACGCTGCATCGCCAAATGCAAAGCGCATCCAATTCTCCTTTAAGCACTTGACCCCGTCCTCCAATTCCCAACCTTTAATATCACATATCAACCGCGTCATCTCTTCTAGGTATCCATCCATTCTATCACCCGCTTCATGCAGGTCACTTTCCACCAGTAACCGGTCATCAGGCACCGCGCGAATAACATCCTGCGCTTTCTTTGCTGCGGAAGTAGACATGTTGATAACGGAGGAGAATGAGAAGAAGATTTCTGTCGGGATAGATGGGTGATAGTATTGCTTTAATGCCTCAGGAGGACCAGAATATGAATGTAGACAGACACGAGGCGGATATGGCTTTGGCGTTTTCGATTCCCCGCCATGTTTTCCGTTCTTGCCATTCTCGCTATCAGATGTATAAGCGGCTTCGCCGCCGATGTCCTTTCCTTGTCTTTTCCGCTGCGACTTGCTAATTACTTCCTTTTCGTGCCCTTTCCACGTTTCTTGCAAGACCTCGAATAACACTCCATGTGCCTGAACACCGTGAATTGATACGGCGCGCTGCATTTCGCCCGCGAGATGTAGCTGCGCTTTGAGTATTTTCCGCTGATGCTCGACGCTGACGCGGTATGGAGACAACCGGCGCCCTTCCCGTCCGCCAGGGGTTAATGATGAATCACGTTCTTCCGATTGACTGGGAAGCCAGGCCTCGGGTATACGAAAGGATTTGTCAATGCCGACTTCACCAACAAGTGCGAGAGGGTATTCTCGAAGAAGATCTCGCGTTTGGTCGAGGAATTGAGAGAGCGGGAGAGGGTCGGGAAGTGAGTGCAGAAAGTCGTGGTCTTCGGAACGGGGAGAAAGGACATTTTGGTAATGTGCCGTTTTGGCTTCGATAGACAAGGTTTTGTTGTTGTCTGAAGCGGACAGGTTGGGATCAGAGTCGTCGTAGAGCTGGTGAGAGAACCACGGGTGCCATCCGAAGCTGGGAACGATGCAATGTTGCTGTTGAGCACCGCTGCTTATTCGGTCTGAAGCTCTTGCATGTGCTTCCTTTATGCTGACAAAGCCATACGTGTCTGCGGCTTCAGCGACCAAATGCTGGTCCTGCCCTCGGGTGGCCATGACAGTTAGGCCGGCGGCTTTCATGCGCGGCATGGATTCGAGATTAGCCACGGTGTCTGTCGGGTGACAGTGGGCATCGTAGACACCGATATGCCATGGAAATGATGTTTTATCGCCATTGCTGCTGTTTTCTGTCATAGTGACAAGTTCCTTGTGCGTCTAATAATTTTATTGTTGATTCCATAGCTTGGGGTTCAGTTATATTTCACATGTGACGTCAAAGGGTCCCTGACACATTCCACCGGGTAATAACACGGTATCCGACCACATGGTCTCCAACCTATTGAACTTTCTCCGCATCTCCGCATTATTGTTAACCGACAAGGGAGTCATATCAGCATGTTGATATGATATTATCTCCATCTTATTTAATCCGGGGTAATTGACCTAGCAGTCCCGCACCAACATACCGTTACACCTGTCCGCCTCATTCCGTTCATACCCCTCAGTTATAACACTTCTCCGCATCTCTTCTCCAATGCATTCATGATCCTCTATGTGTACACTGGACCTTGAGTCCTGTGCTGTCTCAAACACCAATATATTCGATTAATCTATCCCCCCGAGATTTATCACGAGAGGACCTCTCTCCCCCACACAATGGCGGTGCTTAACCCCTTGTATGCTGTTTTCCCAGGACTGCTCTTTATCCTGGCACTCCCACTCATGGGCTTCGCCGTGGTGACCAGCGTTCTCGCATTTTCTACGCTTTCTATTCGAGCAATTATCGTCTACATTGAAATGGGCATGGCGTTTATACACAATTTTCTATTCTCAAGCAATCACAAATCAACACCATATCATCCTATAACCCGTGCTCATCCACATTCTCCGTTGACTGCAGTTCGACTGAGCAGCGGAGGAACGGGAGGTCACGGACCCGCATTTGCTCACCACGCTCAAGTCGTTCCTGTCCTGCAGCATCAGCATCAACATCAGCATCCGCACCAACACCAACAAGCATATGCACAGCCCCATGCTGCGGGACAAGCTCGTCAACCTCGCAGGAAGAAACGCAGAAGCAGCACTTCCGTGTCCGATCAAGGACCTTCAATGACGATCCCGCTCGGCGCGACAACACCCGGCGCGGTAGGAGGAGGAGGAGGACCAGGAGGAGGCACCAACGCTCTCAACCTTGACCGAGACTTTGAAGGCATGGGCGGCTGGCGATACCCAGACGCGCCCGAAGACGACAGGACATGGTCGTCTTTCAATTCCCGACTCGAGCTTCCTGCGCTGGCGCTTGGCGAGCGGACACGCACGAAGCGGAACCATAATCGATCGTTGACGTCCGGCAGTTTGCCAACGCCGTATTTGCGCAGAAGCGGAAGTAGAAGTGGCCAAGGGTCTTTTGTCTTTGGCTCGACGGCCTCCGGCGCCATGTCTCCTGGGAATAACATGCCGTTGCGCACACCTCCTATTGTAGCGACGTCATCATCGACCCTGGCTACGCCGCGACGCAGTCATAGTCCTGAAGAGTATTTTAGTTTGCAGCACCATCATCATCACCAACATCATCCGGATTCAAGCAGTGCGGGCATATCTCGCTCTTTTCCTTACGGGTTTACGTATCCCCCCACGGGCGCAGACTCGGGCGGTAAAGCCCGGAGTGAGGGCGGTGGGGTAAGCATCTATCAGCCTTCTGGTCATCATAGGAAGAATTCACTGTCGTCTTCGTCAACGTCTTCTGGCTCTGCAGGCGGAGGAGACGCCCATGGAGGGAAAGGATCGAAGTTGTATTTAAAGGTATCTGGGGCTGGCTCATGATATGTGGAACTGACGGCGGATTTCATTACGCACCAATGGCTTGATGATTTGCGCACCCTCTGTAATGAACACCGGTGATGAATTTCTATAGTAATGTTGCTAATTATCAACACTCAAGAAACACGACATATGAAAGTGACGATATATAAACAGATTTAATAATAATGGAAATGTTCAAGTATGTTTGAAAGAAAAACGGTGGAAAAATAAAAAGAAGTCTGCAGTCTAAAGCAAGACCTGAAAAGGAAAAAGAGCGAATTAAATATGATGCTACCCAGAGCCAATAAAATTTATTAAAGATGTGAATTGAAGAAATAATGGGCTGGTAGAAGGAAAGGAAATGGAAACAAGCAAAGGTATCTATATCATAATGCCAGAACATGCTCTCCGCCCTCTATCAACCAAAAAATAAACGCGAATATCATCGCTGTGCTTCACGCTTCGAGACATCCTTCATTTCCTCCAACATGACTTGATTAAAATGCTCCCATCCATCAAGATACACATGGTGGCCTGCGCGACGAATGACGACGACTTTGGCGGAGCCATTATCTTTGCGGCGGGTTTCGGCATCGGCATCGCGGAGAAGGCGGGCTTTTTCATCGTTAATCTTTTGCTCGGCGGCATAGCCGCCAGCAATGTCCATCCAGTCATTCTCGCCATACATCATGACAACGGGAATGCCGTTTTCGCGAACTCGATTTTGAGCGTCTGATCCGTTGGGGTATGCAGTGGTGGATTGAGCAGGCGGAGATGGTGACGACGTTGGCGAACATGAGGACGGAGATTCAGAGGAAGAATCAGTGTCAATCCATTGTCTCCCGACGCCCTGAATACGCCTGATCAGGGGACTGCGAGCGAAAGCTCCTGGTGCAAGAATATATGCGAGGGCGTACTCGCCGCTTCCCTGTTGGCGGAAGAGCGAGTACGAGTAGTCGTGGAGGGCTTGGGATTCGTTCGAAGGCAGGTGGGAGAAGCGACGGCTGGTCCAGCCGGAAACGAAACGCGGGCCGAGCGGACCGGCCCAGCGCACAATGCTGAAGGGCGAAATGTTGGAATCCCAGAGGTACACCAGCCATTTGGGCAGTGGACGCCGTGGGGCAGATGGAGTGGTCTTGGAGCCAGAATTTGCGTCTCGGCCAGAAGACGATCGAGCGTTGAGAAAATTGTTATGGTCGCCTGCCGCTGTACCTGCGCCGACCTTTGCGGAGTCAGGAATCTCGGGGTTTGAGCCATGGATGATGTCGCTTTCAGACTGGGTAAATTCATTGTTCATCGTCGAAGCGTTCGGCTCGGGCATATCTGCTTTTACGGCATAAGGATCCTCGGGAATGCCGACGGGCGATGCGAGAATCAACTTATTGACGTGTCCAGGATACTTTAACGCATAGGCAACGGCCATGTAACCACCCATGCTGTGACCGAGCAGCGTGAATCGGTCAATCTTCTTTTGAATGCGCCATTCTTCGAGTGCGTCAATGAACCAGTTCTCTGCCTCGGTAATTTTGCCCTGGCTGTCTTTGCTGTGCACCTTGAACGGTGGCCGACTACTCCGCCCCATTCCGAGCATGTCCAGGGCGTAGACTTTCCATCCCTGGACGCGGCTAAGGGCTTCAAAGTTTTTGTAGAAGAATCCAAGACCCGCGCCGTATCCATGGAGCATGACGAGGTTTTGCTCAACGTCCTCCCCAATGCGCTCTACTGAAAACTCGTTCAAAGCGCGATTCTTGCCGCTCAAAGTGACAAGATTCGAGGCCCATCTTCGTGGGCCATATGGGTCGGTGTTAGATGCAGTTGTTACAGGCTCGGCGTTCTGGGACTGGTCATCGTCAACCACCATTGGTGGTCTGTCGGGAGAAGCCGGTTGGGATCCAGTTTTGGTATGGGTTGGAGGCGCCTGGAGATGGGGAATAAACGAGAGCACTCTATGCTCTGCGACAGCTGCGGGAATATTTGCCCACTGTGAGAAATCGTTTGTTAATTGCCATGTAAATTTGTAGCATCATTGCTTTCAAAGAAACGTACCCATTGGCTGAAGCCAGCCTTGTAGCCCAAGGGGAAGTATGTCCTAGACTGCTGCTGAGCTCTCTGTGATGCCAGAGGGCTCTGCTGCGTCCTGGAACCCAAATCCTCATCGCCCGAAGAGAGCGATGCAGCGTCGGCGGAAGACATTATGACGTGTTCACCAGAAGGAAGGCGAACAATTACGTATTGAGAATCCCAGTTTCTTGATCTGCGAAGCCTTGCTGCTGACGAAGTAGATGATGAGAGGAGTCTTGGAGATGCCGCAGAGCGAAGGAAGAGGAGAGGAGGAGAGGAGGAGGAGGAGGAAGAGGAACGAGGGGCAGCTGCAAAGCTCTGAGGAAGAGACCGCCAGAGCAGCTGCGGAGAGATAAACCGGATGGTTGGAAGAGATTAGGCAGAGTGACAGACGCACGGATGTCTGCCACTCGTATGGATCAATTCAAAACAAAGCGAGATCTGAGACAATTTATGAAATGGTGGCTTTGAGGGAAAAGTGAAAAGGAGAGTCGGGAATATAAGATAATAGTAGTAATTTGTATGTAGCGGTCATGACAAGGCCGGTGGCGGCTGCCTGGTGACAGGGACGAATGAATGATGACGACGATTAGACGGAAAGGATAAACTATAACTGAATACAGTTAAGACTCTGTCACTATTTGGTGCATGTTCCTGTACAAAAGATTGCGGATATAAAACTCACCGCAATCATCTTTCTCCGACATCCGACCGGAGCTAAGACGAGCCGACGGAGTAACAGAGAGACAACGACGAAACGAGGGAACAGCAACAACACAGAGGGGAAGAGACAGAGAGACAGAGAGACAACAGCAGCAGGATCATCATCATCATCATCGTTGTGGTTGTTATTGTTGAGCTTCGCTATTATTCCCCCCTCCCATTAATTCCACCCCTCATATCGTGACCTTCACCCGCCCCTCCTCAAACCCACCGCATTCCTTTCTTACTCTTTGTCACGCGTCACTGAGTTACTTTCTTGTCGTCACCCTCCCATAAGTAATTTAAGCTTTGTTATAAACCCTTTTTACGTTACAAGTACCTCTGTTTTCCCTTTCGGTCCAAATCATCCAAGTCACTGGGAGGGAGAGTCTGATCCTGAAGAATTTCGCATCAGTCATTTGGGTTCCTGCATTTGGCTTGGCCGAGATGAGATTTGCTCCCGTCACCTGCTGCTAGCTGATCAGTGCGTCGACATCTGCCATGACCGAGTCCAGACTGGATGAGCTTGTCAAAGGTGCCCCTGCGCCCAACGTTTCAGTCCCGAAACCTGCCCCGTCCATTGGCAAGTCACCCGACGCCGACGTTGAAGCTGGGGCAGCAACTTCTCCATTCGTCTCTTCGACCGATCCGGTGATATCCACCCTACCTTCGTCGCCACCGCAGATATACTTGAATCTATTAATTCTCGAAGCGTCGCTGCGATCGCAATACCTGACCCTCCGTGCTCGAAGGCGCCAGTATACCTTCTTCCTGCTCCTGCTCACGCTTTGGATCTCATACTTTGGCTACGCGCTCTTTCTGCGACCACGTGAAGATGGCAGTGGTGTGGGTGGCTCCGTATACTGGGTGGTCGAGATGGGCGAGAAGCTTGCTCTCATGGGCGGTGTCGTGACGGGCATTCTGATCTGGGGCACTGGACAGTGGGAGCGTGGTATTCGTTGGCCGCGGCGCTGGGTGGCAATTACGAACCGCGGACTGCGCACCATGAATACCAAAATCGTTGTCGTAAAGGGGCCATGGTGGAAAGAGATGATTTCACATCTTTCTTTTTTGTTTCCATTTGCTCCATTTTCGGCATCAAACGGTTCATCATATCATTTCGTACCGGGCGCACCCCGCGATAAACGCCGCGACATTGATGAGGAAGACGAAGAGGAACAAAACGGGGTGGAGGAAGACCTCGCGTCAGGCGGCGACTATATAAAGCTTTTACTACTTCCAAAGCCGTTTTCGCCGGCGTTTCGGGAAAATTGGGACACATACCGCAGCGAATACTGGGAGAAAGAGAACGAGCGACGAGCAGGTTTAGGACGCAAATTGCGGCAGAGGCAGAGACATCTCGCGAAGGAGCAGGGCGGATGGCTTTGGTGGACAGGTTGGAGGGGCTGGAAGAAGAGAGCCAACGGGTCTGGCGGTCGTGGTGGAACTGCTGATAAGCCTCATCGACGACAGCATTATCATCATCATCACCACCATCATTCCCAGCACCATCAGCCGCTTGAAAAGGAACTCCCACGATATCGAACTCGGGGGCTGAGCACCACATCTGGTACAGGTCGCTCTGGGTCCAACTCTCGAGGCTCGTCGCGTAGCTCCACGAACACGCCTGAAATGGATGATAGACCTCTCTCAGAGCAGCCACGGAGAGGCAGCAGCCATGCAAGCGGGGCAGGTGAGAGGCGCAAAAAGTTGAAAGCCACGGGAGGTGGGTCAGGTACTATACGGAGTCTATCCAAGATAACCCCTACGGGCTCTCGTCCAACTACTCCTCCTATTGCAGATCCACCACGAACAAGCAGCTGAACCCTACGTATGCCTAGACTATTATTCATGATACTGTGGACTAGCCCTTTGCAAATTTTATTCGCGAAAGTACAAATATGAATGACTTTTTTTAGACAAATATATAAATTAAATTAAACTCTCCTCCCAAGGGCACAGATATGGATTGATTGCCCGATGTGATTGTCTTGAGCTTCAGCAGTAAATGATCCAATATAGACGCCCAAAGAGGAACTTCTACGGCAGCCGACAGACACCACCCAGGCAGTAGACTCTGATGACATTCGCAGTCAAGTTCCTTCTCAATCGACACCTGGAAAACTGCCATTTACCATTTGATGTGCCAGTCTTTCCTTTCTCTTTCGGACGTTGAGCAACTAGGAAAGAAGGGATTATTCCGTCGTATTGATGTTCTGTGAAGACGTGGTCGCTGTTTCCCGACCTACACTTTCATTTCTTCCAATGACATAAGCCTTTCTCCTACAGTATCACGTTCGTTGGAATCTTACAATTTCTCTCAAAGGGTGGCCTCTTTGAATATTTTAATCACTCTTTGACCTTTCTCTGCTTTTTTTTTTTCCTTTGGTCGCTAGAAAAGCGTTCAACTGTGGTTGCTGGCGTTGTTGTCATTTTGGGTGTGAACACCCCACCATCATATTCACCCTTCTGTTATTGTTCGCGTGGCCTACACGTCGTCCTAATTGTCGTGACTACAATCGTAGTCTTCTGCTTTCTCTCTTCTCTGTTCATATCAGGCTGGCCAGCTGTTCTCTTTCATCTGCCTTATTTGTCGTTCAGAACAACCCATTTTAAATCCTTTTCTCATTCTCCTTCCACACATCCATCGCTCAACTCGAGCTCAGACAGCTGATTCCATCCTGGCACACCCTAACGATTAACGGGGCCTATTTTTAAACCTGCACTCTGGCATTACTACGAGTTCTTTACAGATTCTCTGATCATCTCACTCTCATGCTCACAACCTGAGACATTCTCCTTGCCTTCCATAATAGCTCACCATGGAAGACATCCAAGCCACAACCCCTCAACAATCAGCACCTGCGACTCCAACCGCACATGCACCTGTCCATGAATGGACGAACAGGATGCCATCGCCGCCTCACCTTGTGGTACCTCCCTTTCCACTAGAACAAGACGCGGAATGGAACCTTATTCCCTCACGCTATTCGGAATTCCAAGCCGGGGACTATGCTCGAGTATCCATCGAGGACCTACAAATCTTCTACAGCGCCCTCGACTGGCGCTACGAGCTACGACGCAAAGCCCAAGCCGTTCTTCCATTTCTTTACCTCGGGCCTTTCAACGCCGCCCGCGACCGCGACTGGCTTCGCACTGTTGGCGTCACCATGCTCCTTCATATTCGCGAGACGTCATCCTCGCATACCAGATTCTTCGACTGCTCTGCCGTTGCGCGCGACTTGGGCATCACATCGCTCACTCTAGATGTCACGGGTCATTCGGGTCTCATGGCATGTTTCCCTACCGCAATCCACGCTATCAACCGCCACATGTCTGCCTCGCAACGGCCTGTGCTCGATGTTTCCGCCTTTTCAGCATTTGGCGATGCCGAAGCTACCGGCAAGGTCCTTGTGTTTTGCGAGTCCGGAAACGAAAAGTCTGCTGCCGTTGTCGCCGCGTATCTCATGGCCGTTTACGACTTGTCTATTGTACAGGCTCTGCAGCTTATCCAGATTCAGCGCTTCTCTGTCTCCATCGACGAGCCTATGAAACAAATGCTCCTATCATTTTCATCCATTCTCGAAGCCAAACGGGACGTGCTCCGTACAAAGATTGAAGAAAAATCGTCGGCGTCCTTTGGTGGTGCAGCAATCACGACTCCTGATACACGACCGCAGTTGCCTCCGCTGTCGACACTTCCCAATGGAATCGGTCCAGCGAACAAAGTCAATAAACGAACCGTAGACGACTTTTACGACGGTGAGGACGTGTCCATGGACAGTGTAGCGTCCCATGATGACGTTACTGGACAAAGACCCGGTTTTGCGCCCTTTCGGGGATGATGCCAGCCTCATTTTTCGAGCATACATACTTTGTATACACTCGGATTTTCACAACTCCCTATTGCGTACGACTACAGTTTAAAACACAACCCAATGGATTCAATAACAAGCAATGTTAGAGAGGTCAACCCCTGCGGAGGTCAGACCATGCCTTGCGCTATTATTGAGTCCCTGAGTTAGTTGTTGTTCTTGTACCTTCGTACGAATTGTATGAATAGATTAACCACGACAATTACGTCGACGCGATAATGTCTTTACGTCTCGTCTGCTAGTAAATAAAAGTATTTTCATTTTCCATGTTCTCACCCTCTCTATTTCCCTTTCCTCTTCTCCTCGTATCCTTGGTCCATATAAATAATGTCGTAAGCGTAGACGAATCGTGTAAAATACTGACGAGGGAAGAAGTATTGTCATCCAAAAAAAACCGTTTGGAGGGGGGCGGGGGTGGGGGGGTTGCGAAGCGTAGGGGGCGAGGGTAAATAGCGGAGGGACAAAAAAAACATGCAACAGCGGGGATTCGCTGGTCGTCACCGACCCAACTACTAGTCCGCCGATCTGAGGCTTATGTATGGCAGAGCGGACGGGATGCCCAGTTCTCCTCAGTCTATGGTCGCATGTACTTGATTAGTGTCACAATATGGTATATAAGATACCTTAGGTATCTTATGTTACAGCTTTGAGTTTGTTGGTTTCGGCGGCTTGGTGTTGTTGTGGTTCGCGGTTTCAGGGGCGGCACTACGCACCATGCACCATGCACCGTGCACTACGGACTACGGACTAAACTTCTATTGTTCGCGACAGCTAACGCATGCGGTGAGGGTAGTAGTGTAGTTATGATGAATTGATAGGATTGATAGAATTGGTATATTTGATAAGTCATATTAGGGGGAAGAGTAAATGAGATTTACTGGGAGAAATGGGAGAAAGTATGAAGGATCGGCCGACGATATTGATATATTTAATACGGAGGCATAATGCTACTGAGGGAGTAAAATGAAAAGGGAATGTTCTGTACATACTTCATATCGTAGGTAAATATTGATGATAGTCGCGGTATCAGGAATAATATGGCTCGAGTAAGGACTCTGATGGGTATCAATAGACTTGAGGAAAATATATATGCGCGCTGTGTGTATTACAGCTTAATTCATTCCCTTCAGGATACCAAGTGTTTGTCACAGGAGCGTATGAATAACATGATTGAACAGAAAAACACGTCAATCACCCATCGCCACTCACCCTATGCGGGCAAAATCATATAGTGAAGTGTCCCCACGTTACGCCAGTCGCCCCTGACGATGTAAGCAAAAAGAAAAAAAAAACGTAGATGTGAACGTAAATGTGAATGAGGTCTTTGTTACTTGTGTCAGCAGCGTGATCTCCTCTTCAACACACAAAACCTGCAAATCTTGACACAAAGGAACCAACGCAACGCAAAACTTGGCTTCAGCGTCTTTTCGAATCAAGCTATCCTGTTCGACTCCAGCTTTATCTCCCTCGGCCGCCTGGCTAGGTAAGGAATGTAGTCTGCTAAGGGTATTTGCTATCTCTGACAAAGGATTAGTCAATTCATCCTGCGCTGCTCTTGCTGGGTTGTTGTTGACACAGCGAGGATTCAGCGCTGCGCGTCGCGTCAACATCGTGCTGCATCAAGGAAGTGGTCCAAACGTTTCGATATCTGCGACGTGGATTGCTTTTGATGGTCCACTATAACGCGCTGGAAGCTTTACCATTTCGTTGATCTGGTTGTTGACGGCTTGCTTCCAACTGAAGGCGCGTGAGCGGTTCAGGTAGTTGAGGTTGATCGTCGATGAGGAATTGTGGTCGTCTGTCCACGATATTTTGAGAGCGTTGGCATAGAAAATTCTCTGGTTACTTATCCTTCTCGCCTGGATTGAGTTTGACGCTTGGCTGAACGACGCGCCGGCGAGTCGCAAGGCCTTTAAGCTTGGAGCTTTGTTCTGCGTTTACTATTAACGAGTAGAGCAGGCCTGGGTCGTTGAAGATTGGCTCTCTGGCTTTGCTTCTGCCTTGCTCTTAGCTCAGCTTCCTCATATGACAGCTTCGCTCTTCGCTCTGTGCATAAGTTTTGTGCCGCCCGCCTGGACTTGGTCATTGTTTTGCCTTCTTGGCATCTAAGAGTCAATTTTAAATTCAGAAGCTAGCCAGCGAAGGATAGTGAGGAAGAAGCAGTTAATACTGAGAGGATTGATAACGCAAAGCAATAAGGCAAAGACAAAACAGAATAGAAACAAGAATGGAGCTGCGGAAAACAAGAAGACTCCCAGCAAGGTATCGGGATGATATTGAGCCTCCAACGCCGACGCGAACTCCAACGCCACGTGCCCAAGGTGCTGTGAATAAACGTGGACGTGGAGGGGGCCGTCAATCTGGTGGACAGGAGGAACTAAGCCAAACTCTGGGGCATGATCAAGCTGCGGCTCAAAACAAAGATGATTCACTCCTAATGTTCTCTCCTGGAGCATCATCTACCTCAGCATCTTTCACGACCTCATTCAGCGCTGAGGACGAAACAGAAGGAATGACGGGTTCTAGTAATACAAGCCTTAAAGACAAGATGCAGAAATCAGATCCAGAAGCGGCTGGAGAGCAGAATCTCGGATTGTTTAGCCATGGCGATGGTCAAGGCCAAGTTCAAGTTGTAGGAGCAGTAAATGCCCTTGAAAATAAAAACGATAGACAACTGCGGGAACAAGGACGAGCAAGCAAGCAAAACGTAGACGACGAAGATACAGCTGGGGAGAGTGCTGCGCTGGCGGGAAATGGATCCGCGGGCAGCGTTTCTGCGGCCCACACTGCTGGATCTGCAGTAAACACATCAACCACGATTTTCAGTACCAGACACGGGCAATCCGGGCAACCTGAATCTACATCCAGCCATAACTTTGTCCAAAATAACTTGAGCTCGACGCACCGTGCAAATCCTTCTGCCTCTTCTTTAAACACTGTTCTTGATAATCTGTCGACTACGACTCGGCGTCTCACAAAAGGTGCCCCGGGTTCAGCTCAATTCTCAGAAGAAGCATTGGAGCCCGATTCTCTTTCGACGTCTTCTCTCAGAGCGAGGAAGGATCTTAATCATTGTAGTACGAACGACTCGAGCTTTTCTGGGCGTAGCGAAAGCTTTATTAGAAACGAAGCCGAGGCTGAGCTCCGCACCATTCGCGCCCATAGGTTGAGCTTGTCCACGTCAAGTTCGGCATCAGATACAATTACCGTGGATAAGGGAGCGCCATTGAGATTTAGAGCAGAGGTAAGGCCCTTTTTCTTGATCATCTGAATGCTGCATCTACGGATGAGCAGTCCTTTTCTATTCCGTCCCGAGCGGTGATATCAGAATGAGATCTCTCAAGGCCACCTCCAAGAAGATCAATTCCCCTTGACCAATGGATTAAATAGAAGGACTAACAGATGCAAAATAGTATGCCCGAGACTCGAGAGAGAATCTATATCTGCCCTACCAAGGATATCGGACTCAACGAGAGTTTGTGAACGAGCCGAGCTACTACTATCGTCGCCGTAAACGTGGGCCTCGCAATATCCTAAAAGAAATCAAGTACGACCAAACCAATCCTGACCCAGAGAGCGAGAGTGACGGGGAAGTCATGACTCGAGATGACTATATCATCAAAAAGCTCTGGCGGGACAAAGATCGCGAGGAAGAAGCCGCACTCAGTATTGATTGGAAAGCGAGTAACTGTGCGAAAAACCCGACTTATGTCAAGAATTTGAAAATTATGGAGGACTTGGGAGCAAAAGAGGAGGATATTGATTGGAAGTTCCTCCAAGAGTGTGAGACTTCGAGCGAAGAAGAAGAAAGCGAGGACGACGAAGAAGAAGAAGTCGATGAGGATGAGCTGGCTGCAGGCACAAAATCCAGGAATGATACCCAGGTATGTAAAATGTAGATTTCTCCCTCGCAAGATGCATTACAATTTCCTTCGTCGAAAAGCTGAACAGCTACTAACTGCTCTGACGTTCTCATGCCATCGGCATAAATGAGCCTCGAAGGCTTCGCCTTGAGCTCAAGTATTGAGTAACTGACGTCTTTGCCAGGCTGATCTTGGTGTTCAAGCCCGCGAGCCTCCGCCTGCATGGGAGGACTTGACGTCGGAACATCAACTGCGGATTATCGATGAATTTCGGGGAAACAGTCCTGTCGACGTTGCCTATGATATGTTGGGACTGACAAACGCTCAGCGCATGGATGTAGAAGAGATCCGTGCCGCTCGAATCCAGCAGGAAGTGAACGAGAATGAAAGAATCCGAAAGCTTCAGGAAGAACAGCTCAAGCTTCTCATGAGCTCTGCGAACGTGGAAAACCGCCGCCCTTCGTCGTCTGATTGGGATGCCTTGCTTAATACATATTTGTATAACGACCTTGATGCACCAAACCCGGACGTTACAACGCCAGGAGACATTGAACGAGCTCGCATTTTCATGCAGAACTTGGGATACGATGCAAAGTTCGTGGATGAATGGGTAGATGATTTCGCCTCGCAGAAACAGCCGGTGCCTGAGCCTGCAGCTGAGCCCGTTCATTATACTAAACCAGCAACCGCCAAACCCAAAAAGCACAAGCGGACGGCATACCAAGAAGGACCGTTTGCTGGCCCGCGCTCAAGTCTATTGAAGCAAGTGCTAAGTAAAGAAAGCAAACGGAACCAGAAAGATCCTTTTGTGAAAAATGCAAACAGTTCTGGAACAGACGTTGGTGGTACAAGCCCCAAAAAAGGTCGACCGAAGAAGACAGTCACTTTCAAGGACAGTACGAACCATGACGGATCCTCGGATGCAGGATTTGATGATGCAGAATACCGCCTTCCTCCCCTCCCAAAAGAAGGTGAAGATATTCAGGCTTCTCGTGCAATGCACCCACAGCCTACCAAAAGACAACGCTCCCCTGAACACGCAAGACCAGTGAAGCGAAGTCTAGGGTTCGGCCACCCAGCTACCATTTCTCGCCCTCGCTTGTCTGTCATGGGCAATTGGCCGGTTTCGTCGATTGTGCATGGAGACCATCAAGCAGAGCACCTGACGCAGTCTACCGAGTCGACTCTGCGGAGTATGCGATGCATCCAGAGCCCTCTCTTGCAAGATTCGCCAAACATTCCTGAGTTAGACCCCGCTTTCCAGCAACCGGCGATCCCGTTCAAGCTTTATCTTCCAGCCAATAATAGATTTGCCAGGGGAGAACCTAAGAGCCAATTTGAACTTGAAGGAGGAGGTTTGAATCCAATCATGTCCCAGTCTCCATTTGGAAGCATGCCACAGATGCAAGAACAAAATGAATTGGCCATGTTTGCCGAAGATCAGGGCAGTGAGTTCGTTTCCGCATTTGCAGGCGCTCCAGACATGAACGCAGCAGCGCGAGATGAAAAGATGTTGGAAGCTGGACTTGGACTAGTGGCGGAAATGAAGGTTCCATTGATCATGAATAGTACCTCCGGGCGCAGATCTCCCAGCTCGGGAGAAGCGGCCGATATGGCACCACCAGTTTCTACTACGGACTCCAGAACAGGCACAATGGCAACCTCGACGGCTTCTTCATCCATTGATCAAAGGGTTGCTGCCAGTGGGTTGAGTCAGAAGAAGCAAAGTGATGGGCTAGTTGTCGCCATTCCAACTCGCAACCCAGCACGGTCGAACGTGCCATCAGACAGATTCAAGCTTACGCCTAGAGCTCGGGAGCGTGAACGAAGAGGTTGAAGATCAAAAGGGGACGAGACGTCCCTCTGCAAAAGAGACGGGGCTAGAAAGGAACCAAAATGACAGTTTATGTGATTAATAAGCTGAGCCGAAGTTGAGTATGCAGAGAACCTTCAATCCAAAATGGACGAACGCAAATCAAAGTCAAGTCGGCGTTCTTAAATCTGAACACATGAAGATATTGAATGGGAAGCGCGAAAGGTAT